GTGTGTGCAGAATACACGCTGGTACTTGTTCGTCCAATGTCTCGCGCGTATGGGAAACTCATCAATCTCGAACTGGATCCTTCCAACCTTCCAACCTTCCAGCCTGGAACCAGAAGACCAACCAATCTACCCCATACCCTGGCCGCCTGGCTTGCAACAGTGACGGTAAGAGCTGTGGGATAGCTCCAGCCCCATCCCGAGCTCCAGCTCCCAGCTCTAGCCCCGGTCTGGAGACCGCATCTTCCTTGTCCCCGTCGTGGTGAGCTCCAGGCCAAGACCAGGGGGTTGGCCAAGGGTGTCCAGCAGCTCTATTCACCTTCACCGCAACCAGTCGCATGCCGCAGGACTTTCAACCAGTCCTGTACCGAGACATTGTCCGTCGACGTCGTCGTGCATGGCGACCCCAACCTGCCCGGGAGCGCTTCGCTCCACTCTCCACCCCCTTGTCACCCAGAGACACACACACTCCAGATAGACCAGCCCTTGGACCTCGTTGGCGCGATGGGCAGCACTGCAGCACTGCATCACTGCAGCTCTGCAGCACCAGATGGATCTGTGTGTTCGACACTTTGGTCACTTCACCAGTTCGTCAACGCGTCTCGCCCGGCTCAGGACATCAGACACCCACCAGACCACATATTTTACCTTTTCGAGGCTCCACTCTTTTGCAGAACATGGCCCAAGGCCCCGTCGCTGCTGCAGCCAGAGGCCAGCCTCACCTCACCGTCTTCATGCACGTCTGCCACGACCGCCATGCCACCTTGCCTTGCCCTGCCCTGCCCTGTCCTGTCTTGCCCTGTCTTGCGCCTGGCTCCGCCCGGCTCTTCAGGCACGCCTGGCCTCAACTGAACTTGTCTGCTCTGGGTCAAGCTGGCTTGGTTGACGTGTCGTTTCTTCCGGCTTGCCGCGGCCTCACTGCTCTCGCGACGGCCAGCTCTGCAGCAGACTCATCAGAATAGACTTCACCGTCTCTTTGCTACGCCGGCCACCATGATCCGCTCTTTTGTCACCGGTGCCATCTAGTGCAATCCGATTTCGTCAATGGTTACGTTCTACAATCACCGCCGAATTGCGTTACATCAAACCTAAAGTACTGGTACCGACCATCTCCGATGGGCCTGCCTTGACCGGAGCTTCTGCGCAGTACGGATACACAGTAATTGTGTGCGTGCTCTGTGTTGGATCTCTCGACACTTGCTCTCCCGTTGGAAGCTCGTCATCCATGTATCTTGGCATCATTATGGACCCTGTCGACTAATCCGATCCCTGCTTCCCATGTCTTCCAGACCCACGCCCCAAATGTGAAGTCGCAAAGTTGTTAATTTCCTGGCTCGGCTGTCGCTCTCCCATCAAAGCAGATACTCGCCTGTAGCAGCTGTGATATCACCCAGCACCTGGCAGCTCGTGGCCTCTGATGAGCCTTTCCCGCCATGCACACTTTGATTGACTATAGTTCATGCATGGCACCGCCCCCATTCGAAGAAATGGTCGATCTTCGCCCTCCCATATTACCATGGGCGTCACGTTACCGCTGCCGCGTTGGCTGATTTGGTGACCCGAATCTTCTCGCAGCTTTCTGTTCAGAAGACCCTTGGCATTGTGTCTGCTTCATTCCAAGCCATCCGTTGTGATGTGCAAGATGGCAGTCGACGATTTCGCGGAGTCTTACCTTCTTCCAAGACGTGGCTCGCTTAGACACACTCCGAGAATCGCTAAATTGGCGCAGCTGGCACTGTCAGCCGTGAGAATACAAGCCAACCCCATCAAGACTACAACCTTCCACTCGGGATGAACAATTAAAAGACGGTCGAGTAATTCACTGGCCCGAGATTGACATTTGATTCCACCATCTCCGCGATCAGTCTCGAGGCGCTAGCTCCCATCACACCGTTCTCACCCACTCCATTGCCAGCTCTATGGTTTTCTTTAGAAGGGGGTTGGGGGATATCATTTGCCACTCGTGTCATCCACTCTTTCTAATTGTGGGCGTCGCGAATGTGCCATGAAATTTTGATCGTTAAGACCTTGCAATTCAGGACTGAACCCCTACAAGTCAATCATTCGCCTATGCTCGTCATCTCGGGAAGAAGGGCTAAAATGATGCGATGCCATCACTCGCACAATCAAGCCCATTATTTTGACTTGCGCGACGCCTCCATGGCTTAAGTCCCTGGGCAGCTGACAGGGTCAAAGGCCGACCATCTGATGACTTGGACAAAGTACTCCACGTTGGGAATCTCTACGGTCTTCTTTTACAACGACTCCGTGCACGGGATGTGCAAGTACATATCCCTAAAATCCATGTCACCACGCGAGCACAACATGAGTTGGCGATGTTGACCTGATAGCCGCCGGCCGTCACTAAGATCACACAAATTTAATATCTAGCTGCTGATGACTTGCCAGGCCAGGGGTGGGGGACGTGGACATTACTCACCTCTTCACCTCGGCGAATTCAGCGATTAGTGTCGATGTCTCAGCTTGTCCACAGTGTCAGATACAGCGTGCTACTGCGCGGGTGTGAAGAAGCGCGTTGGAGGGCCCGCGCTCAACGGAGTTGGACATCATCGAGCAACATCGACTTTGCGATGGTCGTTCTCGACAGCCAGAGGTTCCATCCAGGCTGTATCCGTAAGCCCTGTCGTGGTCTTAGCACCCACCAAGCATCCACCCAGTATCCACACAAAGCGTGGCATGGGCCACCCCTGACCTGCAGCTGCACCCCGGCAGACACCCACAACCCAACACCTCTTCCTCTGGCTCCACCCCATGTCCCATCCCAGTCAGTACCTGTTTCCCAGATAAGAATGGCGCGGGAGCAGCAAGACGAGCCGGAGGAGGATAGAAAGCACGAATACCCAAAAGAATATCCTGGTGTCGAACTTTCCTCTTGTATCAACTTCCTCCAACAAGACAGAGCTTCAATAGTCTGGTTGGTTGCGCGAAGTGGAACCAGACACCCAGAGACACCCACATCTTTCAAGAATCCTTTCTGCGATTATACGGTACGGGAGACGCTTGCGCGCTGTTGGATCTCTTTGGAGCGCGAACAGGCGACTTAGCTCTCTGTGAGTCTGCCGCCGCTCACAGCCAACTACCTGACATCGTCGCCCATGGCCGAGTCCGACCGGTCACCAGACACTTCGATCTAATATTACATTCCTATCTTTTCCAGTTGTTCTTTGTTCCTCGACGCAAAACCAAGGGACCGAAGTACGAGAGCAGGCCCAAACCGAGAGGCCCGTGAAGACACACTTGGCCGAAATCTTCCAGTCACGCTTCGACCCATTCTAGCGCAGGAGGGTTGAAGTAGCCACTCAAGTCGCAGAGTTTGGTATGAGAATCATGGTTGGTGGGCTTCACTGCACCTATCCTTACCAGTCACCTCCACCGTCCTGCTCCCAATATCCATCCCACATGCATATTGCATCCGTCATCCCGTTCGAATCAGCTAAGACCCTTTTATCGCCAGCTACAGATCGTAGTCCATCTTTTTCGAAGCAGTATTTCGACGAGTATTGCTGTCCAACCGTCCAGCACCAGGCGGTTTCAATTCGACAGTCTCTTCAGCATTCTGTTGTGATAGCAAGCCAGTGAAAAAACCCGCGAGTCCCCTCAAGAGTTCAGCAACACTTCGACACTCCTCTTTTCTCGTGTTCTCTGCGGTTACTGAACCGGACGAATCCGCGAGACACTTAGCTTCCACGGCGTCTAGGAGTCTTACCCGACCTCTTGTATGACCGGAAAGACGGAAAACGGTCCTGTAATCCCGGAAACTGCCACATCTGCGCTTCACAAGACGATTTTTGGATAACATTCTCGCCCTGGCTATCCAATCTTTTCCTTGGTGTCCCACCAACCCCCTTGTAGGCCGACTTGACGGAAACGGCCAGAGGCACCCAGCTGAATCGCGACGACAATCTGTGGTAACTAGAGCGGAGAGACCCAGCAGTGGGGTCCAAACGACTGGAATCGGCCCACGGCCGGAATCTTGTTCTTCGTATGAGGACGGTCGCGGTGATCAATGTCCGGAACCACAAGATCCTCAACGCGAGGGCGAAAAGGTCTCGATGTCGCAGAGAGGCGCCGCCTCTCGCCCTCCTTCTCGCCGCCGCTCCCAGTCACATTCGACAGGTGCGAACGCCTCACCTTCGTCCCTGCAGCCAGCGCAACCGTATCACAATGACAGTGGAGTGGATCCCGCTCGAGATTCTAGCAGAGTGTTGGTTGCCCCGGGCGACTTGCCTCCACGGCAGACCACTCCGCGAACGCTTGGAGTGCACACTATCCTCAACCCGTCCGAGCCGAGGGACACCCAGAGTCGAACATCGCCATCTCTCCAACGGGCAGGTGGTGGCGGTGACAGCTCTCCGTCAAGCGTAGGGACGAGACAGTATGGCGTGTCTGGCTCGCCGTACCAACCATATGGCGCGGCTCCCCCTTACGGTGGTCCACCGGGGCCTGCAGTCTCTCTTGGCCCGTTGACTTCGATTCCACCGCCTAGTCAACGAGAATCTCCGAATCCAGCTCGACCGTTGCCCCCTGCCTTGGGGGCAGCAAGAAGGATTTTGACGCCGAGGTCGCCGCGATCACTCAGTTTCAGTCGTGTGGCAACACCATCAACTTTGGCTGATTCCCAGCCGCCATTTGACTTCTCGACACCGACACCTGGCCGATTCGGAGCGACGCAAGACATGATTCCATTTTCTGGACCTCCCGGGCCGCCCTCGAGCATGCCTAGCCCATCTCCACGAGCAGTGCAGCAAGCTCCTACTGCGGTATCGGCTACCATGGACCCTCGTTCTTTCTCTCAGGCGACATTCTCCAGTGCACCGACCCATCATTTCCACCAAGGCCCCTCGCAACTTGGAGCTTCGGGAAGCCCACAGAGAATGGCTCCTGCTTATATGCAAGGGCAGATGGAATCAATACAAGGGAGTGGGAGGGGATACGCACACCAAGGTAGCCCACCCGCGGAAGCAAATCTGTCTTCGGCCATCATGAGTGCTTTACAAATCGGTGGTGGAGGCAGTAGAGGACCTGATTCGCAGCCCCATCTGACCTTGCAAACAAACACTGGAGAGCATATCACGGTACCGTTAGACGTCCATCAAGGCTCGCGCCAGGCTGACGAGAAGCGACATCGCAATGCAGGAGCCTCGGCCAGGTTTCGAGCCCGGAAGAAGGAGAGAGACAAGGATTTAAGAGAAAATATGCAGCGGCTGGAGAACGAGAACCGGGAGTTGAGCAGGCAAAACCATGATTTGCAGGCCGAGCGCGACTACTACCGTAACGAACGAAACAGGCTGCGGGACGTGGTCCTACGAACCCCAAGCATCAGAGAGCACGCAGAGCAAGGTCCCCCAAGCCCCCAGCCAGTGCGCACTGCCGCTTCTGGAGCTGCGGAAGGATCATTTGCGGGCTCTTTTGTTGCGGGCGGTAGTTCTGCTACGACGTCTCCGTCGATGGCCCACCAGCAGCGTTCACCGCCATACGCAGACGAGCCCCTCGAAAGACCGAGCAGGCGGCGCAGAACAGACCCGACTGCTGCCGACTTCTCACCCGCCCCTTATGCCATGCGTCCAGCACAACCCCCAGGATCCTTACCTCCTATCGTCACTCAAGGGTACACAGGACCGATATCATCGGCCCCCCCAAGCGCCAGACTCCCCCCTCTTCGCTTTGACCAGCCCGCATCCTCTCCGACGACTGTGCCGCCTCCAGGCCTTGAATCGCAAACCACTCCACTGCCGCTTCACACACAGTACTATGGGCGACCACCGCCACATGAGATGGGATGGGCGACGGGGGCGCGAGAACCACAGGATCCCTCCAGACGATGATGTCTGATCAACAATCAGACTGACGAAAAGATTTTCGAATTTTCCTTTCGAATGCTGTCCACACTTCGACTACGGTGTCATTGCCACATCGACCACGCTTGTTCAATCATTTTCAAATACATATCTACATAGACCCAGGACCGACCCTCGAGATACCCTCTTCGCAACTTGATCAATAGTCTACCCGATTTCTTCTGGGATAACTTTTCTTTCAGTTTTTTCTCGACTACACTTAGAAGACGCGTTTCGTTCGGGCAACCGACAAGGGATACTTTACAAAAGTCGTGGCGTTTATTTCTTTTGTCGGTGCTAGGAATTCAAGGCTGATTTTTCCCTCGGTTCAACCGGATTTGCTCGGCGACGACAGACCCGGCCTGCGATTCGGATTTGCGAATTTGTCTTTGTCTTTCGCGCGTCAACCTGTCACACATCTCCCGGCGGCTCCAATGCCTATTGTGTGGCTCGTCGACACTGCACGTTGGGGGAGGGAAAAAAAAGTGACCTACGGGCTAAGGCGTCTTGATATATGGGGCGTTCTGGGACCGGAGATGCCGGTTTGGGGGGGAATAGAAGGGGCGATCACCACCGTCATCATCACCATCACAACACAAGCATTTTCATCTATACACTGCTTCTAATCTTTTGTCCGGTACTGCATGGTCGCGGGAATACCCTCAATTTACCAAAAACAACAAATGAGGAGTAGGAGAGGGGGCCAGGGGCCAGGGGCCAGGAGGGGACAGAGACCAAGGGCCGGAAAAGAGAGGGAAAATCGGGGGACGGGGTGAAGACCATTTACAAGCATCAATATCCACCACCATAATTACTTGGGAAAAAGCGGCGTCTTCTTACAAGTATCTACCAACTATAGCATTTTGTAATACTATACTAATCGTATCGGTTCTTTCGCAACATACTAAGCGCAAGCACACACTGCCTGTGCCGTCAATTGCGGCGTACGATGGTCTTTCTGTCGACATAAGTGTCTAGGTGAAAACACCCAAGTGGCGCAAAGCTTCGGCACCTTTATGAGCGCTTTTTGGAGACCTCAAACTAAAGGACCGAGGCAACCCTCGCTAGGCACAAGTACTGTACTGTTGGTACAGAAAATATCTTTTGGAAGATTATCCTACAAGATTAACTCATAAGAGGCTGTCCCATGGGCGGCTTTTAGAGAACTATCCCGAGGAAGATGGCACAAACAGATGTTTGACTTGCACGCACTTGAGACTATTGAGCCATTCGCTTATGGGGGTATCAACAATTGAATTTTTAATTGCATCGCTACTACTTTTTTAGATGCCTCGTCATCATCGCTGGCTTTTCCCTCCGTATTTCGCCATCACCCCTGTAGCTACACCTTCCCCTGCAGTCGAAGGAACGCCCACTCTGCTGGGTGCATAGGCGCCGCGCGTGGCGGATTTTGTGTGGTGGCCGCGGAGGCCTGCGGCGTCGGGCACTGCGTGACAATGCGAGGTGAGTTGTTTGTGGCGGCGGCGGCGGCCGCTTGAGGCGGCGCCTGAGCGAACTCTCGCGGCGAGAAGTATGTCGCGTTCGCGAACGCTTCCGACGTCGGGTGGTGGGTGACGGCGCGCGCGTCCCTGGCCTGCTGCTGTTTGGCGTTTCCCTTCTTCCGCTTCTCTTCAAGTTTCATAGCCTTGTAGACAAGGGAAGTGAATTCGAGAAAGACCCTGCGAAAAAGTTAGCGGACTGCTGTGACTTGGGCTGCAGGCAGGCGGGAGGGGATGGGAAGTGGTGAAACTTACTCAGTTGAGTCCCCCTGGTATGTAATGAACTTGCAGCCAGAGTCTAATGAAGGTCGGTCGAAGTAGGTCTGACCCCAGCACTGCTCGTAGAGGAGCTTGTGGGCGATGTCGGCGATGATTCTCTTGGCATCTTCGGTGTCAACATCTTCAGCGGATAGGTGGACGGAGTTGCCAGGGATTCGCAAGTAAGCCTTCAAGTTCTCATACAACGCTTTACCTCGACCGATATCAAGACCCAGTGACCGATAGCAGTGATTCAAGTCAACTCGCGTGCCTAAGAATTCGCCGTTAGCAATGTCTCGGTGTAAGATAGGAAATTGGAGAGAAATGAACGTGGGTAAAGAATACATACTTAGAGTCATGTGCTTCCTCAAAAGATTCCAGTTGGTGCCAGGCAGATGGTACAACTGTGGCAGCTCATCTGTCTTTCGCATCGGTGGGGGCTGGCTGCGTCCAACGCGAGCTGCGAGCGGCCCAGGTGCAACCTTTGTTGGTGCAGAAGTAGTCGTCTTGGGTTTGGCTTTCGGGGCAGTCTTCTTGGCCGCCTTCTTGGCAGGTTTCTTCGATTGCCTCTTGGAGACGTGCTTCACTGTCGAGGGGTTAATTATTGGTCCGAAATCTGTCATCCCTGTGACCATGCTGGTAACGTCGCCGATGGGTTCATCGACAGCATCCGCTGCACGTAGCTCGGCCTCGAGCTCGGCCTCGAGCTCCTCTTCAGTAGGAAAGGACGGATCGTCTCTCTGGTCATATGGAATGGCCATTGCTGCTTTCTCGGCAGCGATCCGCAGTGCCTCTTGAAGATTGGCGTTGCGTTGTGCGGCTTCAGCTGCCTCTTCCTCGTCGACGGATTGGTACTCCTTGTGGGTTTCTGCTTCAAGTTCGGCGTCAAGCTGTGCTTCGAGGTCCCCGTCGAGCAGTTCCGTCAAATCGTCGAAATCTGATCCTAATTCGGCGTCGAGCTGTGCTTCGAGATCGCCTTCGAGCAGTTCCATCGATTCGTTACCACCTACTCTGAGCTCCGCGCCGAGCTGTGCTTCGAGGTCCCCCTCAAGAAGGCCCATGGATCCGTCGTCCTGGATGTCTGAGCCAGCGACGGCGGTCGGAACCTCTGCCGCGGGGGGCAGTTCGCCGAACTGGGCGAAGAACTCGGCGTCGCTTATGTCCTCATCGTCGCCGTCGTCGAAGGCAGAATTACCCGTGGAGAGATTGGAATTAGAGGAAAAGGGGTGACTAACTGCATTGCCATGATAGAATTGCGATCCTCCGCAGAGAAGTGAAGGCTGAAAGATCGCGTTCTCATTTCGAGAGTTTTGGGCAGAAAAAGCAGTGCTGGCGTCAGTCTCAGTGGATTGGAGGGGTACTTCCTTTCTGTACTGTTTGAGATCAATGTCGTGGATGATCTCGAGGGGGCCAGGGCTACTCTCGCGCGATGAAGAATTGTCCCAGTAAAAGGGGGAGAATCTGTCAAAGCCACCACTGCCAGAGTTCATGGTCGAGCCGACAGAGGAGGAGGGGCGGCGATCAGTAGGATCAGAAGCGTCAGGAGGTGACGCCATGGTGAATGGTGATGGTGACCTTGAACGGTGCCGAATTGATCGACTGAATTGATGCTGAAGATGTCTTGAATCGATAGGTATGGTGTGAGAGAGAGGGTCTTCCCGGTCGTCAAGACCTGCGCAAGGCGCGGACGCACTGAGGGTTTCGCTTGTACAGGTGAGAAGAAGTTTGAGTTGACAGTCTTGATGAGGGTCTGGGAGAGGAGTGAGACGGCTGCCTGGCTCCAAGTTGTGGTCGAGGTACAGTCGGGGCGAGGTCGAAGCTAGTGCGGACCAAAGTGGACTGGGGCCTGCGGCTCCTGTGCAAGTGCAGGCACAAGCTCCGCCTCGTCCAATCTTCAGTCGAAAACAGTAATCATCCCAATTTCCTTGTCTTCCAGGGCATTGCGTGGAAACAAGCACCCCAAGGCAAAAAGTTGCAAGAATTCACCGTCTAGTGATGGGACGGAGAGATTTCTGGGAGCCCATTGGTCCAGCAAATATTGGAAATGGTTAGGGCCGCTGGATGCCAGCAAGCGATGGGGCCCGGTTGGGGGAATGCCCTGATTAACACTTTCTGCCACCCGAAATGCCTTTGCACACTTGAACAGGCCATGTTTGATGGCCCTCGAGAACATGCCATCAGTTCTGATGGGTCGGACATTAGGGAATATCCTGAGAAAAAGAGGCAGATCTTGAACTTTTGAAACCGAGGGCATACGATCTATTTGGGCTTGGCAAGAATTAGATTCATGTTGCTTCTCTTTGGAGATGCATGTTTGATAGACCAGCCAAAGAATACTGGTCCTCCAAATATACAAATATGTTGGAAAAGCTGGCTACGAGACTTCGGCCATGTCTGAGAGAGAGAAAAGAAAAAGAGACGGCCCCAAGAGAGCTCACAGCCACTGGGTGTCGCTCTGGTGATAAAGCTGCGTCTAAGAAGCTGTAGCATCTTGCCCTGTGCAACTTCAGTATAAGTCACCCCGCCAAGGCCAAGCCTTAGAAAGTTGAAAAGGCAGACACCCTGCAAAGAAGAAACGGGTCGGAAGTCCCGGAAGCCCCGGCCGGACGTCATTCTCAAAAATACCTAGGTCCAGGTATCTTAACAGCCTCTCCTCCACCGACTTACAAAACCCAACCGTGCGATACCGCACCAGACGTCCCAACATGCGGCCACGACGCAACATCATCCCCGGGCGCATAGGCCACACGCCAGCAGCAGCGCCAAGCTTCATCTGCTCGGCCTGCAGGTTTGCAGCAACAGCCACCACTGCAGGCCCGCGAAAAGCGCAGCCATTCTCATCATCATCCCCCGCCAGGTCTGCGCTGCTACCACCATCGCCACCGCCCTCCGGCCTGGTCGCGCTCTCGTCCAGGCGCCTCATCTCCGTCTCGGGCCCGGACAGCCCCAAGTTCCTGCAGGGCGTCATCACGCAGAACATCCTCTCGCCCGCCGCCGGCGGGGGCTCCTACGCCGCCTTCCTGAACGCAACGGGCCGCCTGCTGCACGATGTCTTCGTCTACCCTGACTCCCGCGGCGCCCCCGGGGAGAGCTTCCTGGTCGAGGTCGACGCCGCCGAGGCGCCCCGGCTCGAGCGCCACATCAAGCGCTACAAGCTGCGCGCCAAGTTCGCCGTGCGCCTGCTCGACCCGGGCGAGGTCACCGTCTGGCACGGCTGGGACGACGGCGGCCGCGGCGGTGCTGCGCTGGGCGCGACGCCAACCAGTGGCCAGGGCGCCGAGGACACCAAGCGGATCGCGCACCTGCGCGACCCGCGGGCCCCCGGGCTGGGGCACCGGATGCTCACGGAGGGCGACCGGGAGCCGCTGGTGGATCTCGAGAGGGCCGCCGACGAGGACGTCTATCGCGTGAGGCGGTACCTGATGGGCGTTCCCGAGGGCCAGTCCGAGCTGCTCCGGGAGCAGGCCCTGCCGCTCGAGGGCAACCTGGACGTCATGGGCGGCATCGACTTCCGAAAGGGCTGCTACGTGGGTCAGGAGCTGACCATCCGCACCAAGCACCGCGGCGTGGTGCGCAAGCGGATCCTTCCGGTTATGATCTACGGCGCGGACGGCGCGGAACAGCCCCAGCAGCTTCAGTACCGCCCTGAGGACTCCGGTGCGGTGCAGGTGGCTGGCTCTATCCCGACGGACACGAGCATAGGGAGATTAGGGAAGAGGGGCCGCAGCGCGGGCAAGTGGCTGCGGGGCGTCGGCAATGTCGGCCTGGCGCTTTGCCGGCTGGAGATCATGACGGACGTGGTATTGCCCGGGGAGACGGCTGCGAGCTCATATACTCCCGCAGACGAGTTTGTTATGGAGAGAGGGGCAGGCGAGGAGGGGGAGGAGCCCTTCAAGGTCAAGATCAAGGCATTCATTCCGGAGTGGCTCAGACAGGGGCTGGACGGGCAGCAGAAGCACTGATATGCGATCAGAAGGCTTGAGGGTGGCTCGAGCGAAACTCGGCTCAAAATGTTCCTGACGCACCGCCTTCAGCGCTTCTCATGGGCTTGAAGGTGCATCCAACTATTATCTTAGATGCTGAGTCTGACTCATGAGGGACAATGTCCAAAGCTCCAGCTTGTATATGTATGTACATGAGAGGCATGAAACACAATTTGGAAGTATTGTATTCTTGCCATGGATTGTTACCATGGTGACGCACGTGTCAAACAACGGTGAACGAAGCCTTACCTGCGATTATCGCTGTCATGATTGTAGTCTCATAACACAAGGGCATTTGAGCTGCTTGCGCAGAGCTGCCCCCGATAGTCCTACTGCTACTGGCTTCTTACCTCTGGGTTGGTTTCATGCTCCCTACATTCGGCGTAGTTCCATCTCACCTATGAATTTGCGAGCGTGACGCCGATTACTGAAGCTCTTATGTGACGTGAGGAGAACATGCGGAGGGTGGTCTTGAAGAGAGCAATGGTGTTAGCTCAATCTTGTTTTGTTGGGTATCATGACACAAAATTATGTGGACTTCCGGGCAACTACCTTTCTCTCAAGCCGCAGTGCTCGCCTCCTTCATCCTCTGCTCCTTAACAATCTGTGCTGCTTTCAGTCTCTCCCTCGTCTTGGGCCACTGCGTCGCCCAGAACTTGACCGGGTCGTCTGACTTTTGCACGTCTCTCCGGGGTATCGATGCGGTCTGACTCTCGGTGGCATGCTTCGGTTCAGCGACATGGGGGGCCAAGGGCGCGGAGTCGGTCCTCTTTTCCTCGTCAGCGACACCGGCCTTCCTGCCCTCCCTTCTCGCCCGCTTCTCCTCTTTCCGCCTCGCCTTCTCCGCAAGCTTGTCCTGCAGCTCCCTTATCCGGTCGTCCATCGCCTCGTCATCCTTAATCTTCCGCTGTTGCTCTCGCTCCTCGGCTTCCCTGACAAGCCGCTGCCTCTCCTCGACGATCCTGCGACCCTCAGCCGTCTTCAGCGCCCTCTCGCGCTCCTCCTCCTCGCGACGCGCGGCGCCCTCCTCCCGCTGCCTCTTGCTCCGGCCTTCGGCCTCCTCCAGCTCCTCGACGAACTGCCGCTGCCGCGCGTTCATCTGCTCCTTCTCGCGCGCCCTCTGCAGCGCCGCCGCCCTCGCCCCGTCGTATGCCGCCCGCGCCTCCTCCGAAGCCAGAATGTCACGCGCCAGCCCGAACTCCTCCCATTTCTCCTTGTCGAATTTTTCGCCCGCCTTGTCCGGGTGGTACTTCAGCGACCGCTTGCGCCATGCTCGCTGCACCGTGTCGCGCGTGATCGTGTCGGTGGACGGGTCGATGCCTAACAGGGCGTAGTAGTCGAGATTGCGCGCCGCGGCGTCTTTGGCCGCGGCCAGCAGCTCGGCGCTGGCGTTTTCGCTCATCTTGGGCTTGTGTTTCCGTTACTTGTGAAAAAAGAAAGCTCGGTTAGGATGGTGTAGAGTTTTTTGTTTTGAAATGGTGGTAGTTGAAGAATCAAGGTAGGCAGAGAAGGCAGATGGAAAGCTTATCGAAGATAACGACCAGTACAGAATTACGATGAAAACTACGGCTGAAAAATACGGTCTCCATTACATAAACCTTAAGTGCACAAGGCGATCTCTTTTATAATCAGCGAGCACCTTTTTATCTCTTGTTCGTTTTAGCATTTTCGAAACACATTTATTTCATTCTGATTTCTTTCGACTCATCAATACGTCGCAGTGAGCCTCTGCACTAGGTACTGCCCGCTGTTGATGCCAGCATATTTTTTGTCCGTCTCTGCCGCGAACGTGCCCGGGATGGCCTCAATATGGCTTGTGAAATTGGGGTTGCAGAAGTAGCTAAAAGAGCAGGTCAGTCTTACGGTTCTCGACAGAGTAAGTTTGAGGGTACTCACGCGATGCTATATCTCGCTGGATGCTCATCAGTCTTCCTCGGCGGCTCTACCACGCGGTGAATGGTGCTCTTGATGGTGTCGTTGCTCCATCTCGCGAGAAGATCACCAGCATTAACGACACAAGTATCCTCGATCGGCGTCGCGTCGACAAACTGCCCATTAGGGCTCTGCACCTGCAGTCCGCCCGCGCCATCCTGGAAGAGCAGCGTGATGCTGCCATAGTCTGAGTGCGCGCCCGCGCGAACCTGGCCTGGGTTGACCTTAAAGACCTCGCTCTTGACAGCTGGGTAGTGGAGCAGTCGTAGGGTGTTGTCACCGACATCAACGAAGCTGTCAAAGTGATCCTCGTCCAGATCCATCCCAACGGCGATGGCACGCATGACCTCCACGTGAATGGCCTTGCATTGCTTGTGGAAGTCGAGCATCGTCGCTTTGAACCCGTCTACTGCGGTTCCAGGCTTCTCAACTGGCCATCGGTTTGGATAATTAGGGTCGCCCTCGCGACCAATCTCAAAAGTCTCTTTGATGTCTGGGCTATCAGCGTTCAACTTGGCCACCTCACTGATGTCAGTGAGCTGGGTAAGCTTCTCGCGCCCTGGCGCCGAGTAGCCCCTGTTCGCCTCTGGAGTTGTCCACCCGAGTGCCAGTTTCTCGTCTTTGCTGAGCCCGTTGAAAAACTTGGCGCTGGTGTCGAAGACATGCTTGCGTGTCTCGGGTGAGAGTGGTAGATTCTTGAGGTAGATGAAGCCCGCGTTTTGGAAGCCGTTCAGGATTGCCTTCGCAGTCTCCTGACGCTGGGTGGTGTCTCCGTGCAGGAACTTGGACAGGTCGATCAACTGATGAGACGTTCAGCATCTTGGGCCACGCAGCCAGCCCACCAGCACCCACGTACCGGGATCATGAGCCCCTGCTCGTCAACGGCGGCCTTCTCCATGATGTTTTATTTCCTTGAGACTTGCGACAAGCCAATCAATGATAGCGAACTGAAGTGGTCAAGCGAGTACCTGGGTAGAGTGGAGGTTCTGGCTTGTGAAGTGGACTTCGTGTCAGTATTAAAGTTGTCACACGGCCATCCCCGGCGAGAGTCTGGGCCTGTTTAAGTTTTAGAGAAAACGAAGCAAGCTCGGCAGTCTCCGACTCGCGAGGCGGCTCTAAACGGCAGGCGAATAAGGATGACATCCCACTGCTCTAGGGCCGAGACTCTATCCAGCCCAATCAGTGGGATTTTACACATTAAAAGTGCCAAACTCACTTGACGATGGCCGCCGTTGATAAGGATTCCGCCGGTTGACCAGGCGCCCCCCGGGACGTCCAGATAAGGCCTGCCGTGGGAAGGGGGAGATGGAGGAGGGGCCCGCGGGGTAGTTTTCCGCTTCCCGTCGATCCTCCGGGCAGCACATCCGGATCCACAAGCTTCTTTTCTTCACACATATTACTAGTTCTATCTCTTGCTCGTTCGTGCCTTGTCGGTCACTTGGTCAGCGCAGTCAGTCGTTCACTCACTCAAAAGACTGGACTGAATATACACAATCATGGCCGATCCTTCGTCCACCTCGCCTGCAAAGGTGGTGGATATTCACACCCACATGTATCCTCCTTCCTATGTCCAGATCCTCGAGTCACGGTCCACCATCCCTCTGGTCCGGAAATTCGCCAGCTCGCCGGACCCGCGCTTGATCCTGCTCGAGGCCGAGGTGCCGTCCCTCACCGGCGCCGATGATGCGTCGGCCAAACCTCCGGGGCGGCCCCTGACCAAGCACTACTCCTCACTGGCGCAGAAACTACACTTCATGGACACTCACAAAATCGACATCTCAGTCATCTCACTCGCAAACCCATGGCTGGACTTCCTGGAGCCATCGGAAGCGGGCCCCTTTGCGGCCTCCGTGAACAAGGAGTTTAGTGACATGTGTGCTGCCCACCCCGGACGGCTGTTCTTCTTCGGCACACTCCCCCTAACCGCACCTCTGTCCACCATACAGGAATCCATCACACAACTAAAGGGGCTCGACTACTGTCGCGGCGTGATCCTGGGCACCTCAGGCCTAGGCAAAGGGCTGGACGACCCCAACCTCGTGCCCATCTTCCAGGCCCTCGCCGACGCGGGGCTGACCATCTTCCTGCACCCGCACTACGGCCTGCCAAACGAGGTCTGGGGCCCTCGCGCCTCGGAGGAGTACGGCCACGTCCTGCCGCTGGCGCTTGGCTTCCCGATGGAAACGACCATCGCGGTGGCTCGCATGTACCTGGCGGGCGTGTTCGACGCGGTGCCCAAGCTGCAGATGATCCTGGCGCACAGCGGCGGGACGCTGCCCTTCCTCGCGGGCAGGATCGAGAGCTGCGTGCTGCACGACGGGCACTTGGTGCGCGAGGGCAAGGTCACGCCCCAGAGGCGGACGGTGTGGGACGTGCTCAGGAGCCAGGTGTACCTGGACGCGGTCATCTACAGCGAGGTGGGCCTCAACGCCGCCATCGAGGCGAGCGGTGGGGCGGACAGGCTGATGTTCGGGACGGACCACCCTTTCTTCCCGCCGCTGGGCACGGATGAGGACGGCGAGTGGGAGAGCGTGGGCATGAATGCTGAGGCTGTGAACAAGGCGTTGGGTGAAGGTTCGGAGAAGGCGAAGGGGGTCATGGGCGAGAATGCTGTGAGGGTGCTGAGGTTGCATGGAAAATGATGGCGTCTGGGACCATAGATACTTGCATACTGCTCTGGGCCATAAAAGTCTTGATCTACAAAATAAGCTTCATATAACACGTTGACTGATGAACATAAGTTTAGGGATGTTCCTCCTATACATGTGGGCTCCGTGATCCACTGCATACGAGATCACCGGTCGACTGTCTATCTAGTCTACCTTTATTGTCATAACTACAGAATATCTGCCATGTATATGCCGGGCTTCCGATACGAATTACTCAATTCGAGAATCAGCCTGCAAAATGCCGACCAAATATAGAATTAAAGACCCTGATCATCGCACAAACCTTGTCTGGGGTAGATTTGACAGCCGGATCCCAATTTCCCTAAAACCCCCCGCTGACATCACCTCGCCCGGCTGGTGGGGTCTCGACCCTCCACACCTCAGCTCAGCACCAGCACAGCAGCTCACATGCGCCTTGCCACCCAGACCCAAAGTCCATTTAGTTTTATCAACCCAAATCTACTCAACATCCCGATCCCGCTCCCTTCCTGGACCCAACCCCTGAGCATCACCTGGGCCACCTCAGATGGGTTCGCAAGATGAAGAAGACACTCCTTCTCTGCTTCATTCACGGCTTCAAGGCAAGCACTTCCGTCACATCATTCATTACCTGCTACCGCGCCATCGAACACTACTAACATGGGACACTATTGACGTCCATACAGGGGGGTGAGGAGACCTTCGGCTACAAATATGCCTTCACCCAGCATCTCCGCGACCTAGTCGCCGAGCGCCTTCCCAAGCTCGACGTCCAGGTGCTGGTGTACCCCAAGTACGAGACGCGCGGCGACCTGGCGGACTGCGTGTCGCGGTTCCGCGACTGGCTGCAGGAGAAGGTGATCGACATCGAGGTGGGCAAGGGCACGCCGTCGCCGACCGTCGAGCCGTCGGTGCGGGTGGTCCTGTGCGGGCACTCGATGGGCGGCATCGTAGCCGCCGAGACCGTCATCGCCCTGACCAGCGAGCGCGTCATCCCGCCGTCGTCGGCGTCGGGCGGCTCCGGCGACGGCAACCACACCGCCGCCCCCGCCGAGGCCGACCGCATCGACCTCAACGGCCTCATGTTCCCCTACGTCCAGGGCGTCCTCAGCTTCGACACCCCCTACCTCGGCATCAGCCCCGGCGTCGTCGCCCACGGCGCCGAGACCCACTACAGCACCGCCAGCGCCGCCTTCTCCCAGCTGAGCACCCTGACCGGCCTGTGGGGCGCGAAGAGCGCCGCCGACCAGGGCAAGGACGCCCAGGCGCAGCGGGGCCAGGAGAAGAAGCCCGTCGCCGCGCTGCCGGCGCCCAGCGGAGCCGGGAACACCGGCAAGGCCAACGAGTCGTCGTCGACGTGGGGCAGCTGGGGCAAGATGGCCCTATACGCGGGGGCGGGCGCGGCGCTCGCCGGCAGCGCCGCGGCGGCGTACCTCAAGCGCGACCAGCTGACCGAGGGCTGGACGTGGGTGTCGTCGCACCTCGAGTTCGTGGGCTGTCTCGCGCGTGGGGAGGAGCTGCGGCGGCGCGTGGCATACATGGCGCGCGTGCAGAATGAGCTGGGCGTCGGCTTCGGCGTCCTGTACACACGCCTCGGCAAGGGCGCCACCGCCCTGCAGCAGCAGGTCGCGGGCATCGGCGGCACGAACATGGTTGGCACCGTGCTGGGCAGCCAGAGGACGTTCTGCAACCTGCCGAGCAAGCGCAACGGGCCCGAGAAGCTGGGCGTGTGGGAGGAGGCGGTCAACGAGCAGGCCGGGGACGAAACATCGGCGCATATGGGTGAGCCATTTTCTTTGCTCCCTTTGATTGAGCGGGTTGGGTAGTACTGGTGCTGACTCTTGCCTATTCTGTAGCGATGTTTGAGCCAAAGGAGAACCCCGGTTACGATAAGCTTTCTCAAAACGCGGCGGAGCTCATCGCGAAATGGTCGGCGAATGATTGGTATGAAAGCAGCACGGAGGGAGAGATTTCACAGGATAAAGACACGACGCCAGACTCGGCCTCGGACAGAGATGTGGCTGAGGATGAGGATATCACCGCGAAGGGAGAGGTTGTGCAGTACGCGCCACCGTCTTGATTGAGCCTTGTGGCTTAAAGTATGAAGTATCAAGGCTTTTCGCACCTGCTTATTTGGACTTTTGCTTTTTCACCCTTTGGTACTGGTATTTCTATTTGGTACGATACAGGATACATTGATTACAGGTGGCGTGGTTGTTTCGTATATTCTAGTTCGTTTTGGTCAAATACCCCTATAGCGGCCAGATAAAGGCTTCAAAAACAGATCGATAGCACATGTCCCGTACAGAAGCGATGCTACATGGCATAACCCCCCCTCTACAGAATCACTGCGTCTTCTTCCCCCTCGCCTCGCCACCAGCCGCACCACCACCCAAGACCTTGCGCCGCTGCTTGATCATGTGGGTGTATAGCTTCGGCGCGCCAGGCAGGTACGTAGCCATGACGACGGCAGCGACGACGACGCCCACGGTGTTCCCCTCTGCGCCCGCAGACCGCGCGGCGAGGAACAGCTCCCACAGCTCGCTGGAGATGCCGACGGGGTAGAGGACGTAGAAGCCGCTGTAGCGGAACCAGCGCAGGAGTGCGGGCTCGTAGCCGCCGGGCGACAGCGACAGGGCGAAGAAGAGGTAGCGCACCACCTCGGTCGTCGACCAGGCCAGCAGCATGCTCGAGTAGGCCGGGCTCGCGGCGATGAGCGGGTAGGCGTGCACGGCGCCCCAGACCAGGGCGAATCGGGACGAGACCTGCATCAGGGTCGTGAGGAGCGGGGCGCGGACGACGCCTGTGTTTTTTGCGATGTGAGTCAGCTTGGCTCATTTCATCTCAGTTCCCTTCCTCAGCGAGTGAGGGTCGAGGTCCCGGAACTGGAGGTATGGGAAGGGGAGGGATGGGGCCACGCACCGAGCACCGAGTGCACGATCTCCAGGGCGGCCAGCGTCTGCGTCCACTTGGTCCACTCGCCGACGGCCGGGTACACGAGCGCAGGGCCCCTCTCGAGGCCGTGGGCGAGGAGGGTGCTGAGCGTGCGGCCGAGGACGACGGACCACAGCAGGGCCGAGATGGCGTTGTAGGCGACGAGATAGGCGCGCTTCGGGGCGGACATGCGCCGCGGGGACACGTTGGTCTTGACGACGTCTTCTTGGGCCATTGTTGCGTGATGTATGCGATTGGTTGGCCAGAAGAAGAAGTGAGTGCGCTGGCGTTTGTCTTTCTTCCTCAAGTGACGCGAATGCTTCGAGTTTTTGGGTTGACTCGTTTGGTTTGGAGGGCAGGTCAGTTTGGCTGGTGACAGTGAACCCGTTTTTTTTGTTGAGCTCGAAGCTTGAGCTCGAGCCCACATTGTACCCGCTTCGGCTAGGGCCGCGGGCGATGTTTCCTCTGGGTCCTGCAGCCCTGGGGCCCTGGGGACCAGGGTCAAGGGCACAGGGGCATGACCCGCGAACAGCTGCACGGCTGGCAGGGATCAGGGCCAAAGTGCGAAAGATGGGGGTGGCAGTGCTCGAGTTGAAGTGCCGTGCCGACAGCTTGGTTCCTGGATGGATTGGATTGTATTCATCCTCAGCCCTATGAGATCAGATGAGATCAGATCTGCCCGATGTCAAGGTGCATTTCCACAGCTTGCTGGACATCATGTTTAGATGGCTGGCGGATTCTCGGGCGAGCAGATGGGCGTTGACAGCAACTTGTCTGTCTAGTTATCTAGACATCGTGATCCTAACCATGAGGAAGGCACAGGCAACTATGAAAAACTTGGACGAGGAGTTGGGGTGAACAGAGTTCCACAGCCATAGTATTATTCGCAGACTTTGTGGTATTTTTTCCACCCGACACCAATTCGTTGCATCGTAAACCATTCCCTGCTTTCCCGGAGCTGACTCTCAGGACGAGTCAATCGTCTCGCCCTCTCCGTAAGAAACCAGGAATCGAACAAGTCATTATTATATAGTACAGTCTTGAACCCATTAACTTCCAACCATTTTCTGAGGTCATCCATATTCGTCATAATACATAAAGTCCAGGTTTCATCTGACTGGTCCACACAAATACAAAGCAAGGACTGGATTACAGAACATGCTGTCATTGCTGCCGACTGGAGGATGGTCACAGCCAGGCCTCAGTGTTTTCTGCTGAAGACCTTGGACCAGCCGCTGAACAGGTACTGGTCCGTGTGTCTGCCGCAGCGCGTGTACTGGTTGACATTGCTGGACGACCGTGACGACACCTTCTTCCTCGAGACGGAAGCCACCGAGGCCGACGACATGGTCGAGGTCACCGAGTTGGATGAGTCCTTTCTGTCCATGACGCCCGGTGAGGCCCAGCCGTCGGTTGTGGCTGTTCGCGGCGTCTGTTGCAGGGGTCAGTCATGTTGCTACTCCTCAATTTGGCCCGCCGGGTACCATCCTCGAAGGCTAGGTACTCACGTCTTGGTATCTGGGAGAAATCGGGGATCCTGCTGTGCTGCTGCCAGAGCCCAGTGTGTACAGCGGCGCTGGGGCTGGTGCACGAGACGAGGAGTTCATAGTGGCTAGGATTCGCCGAATTGTTTGTGTTTGGAAAATTGCAGCTCAAAAGAGATCGCCGTTGTATTGAAACGGGGCTGTGACGTCCGTTTGACCGGGCGATGGGTGATGGATTGGTGTGCTGGTTATGAAGCTGAAGCTCCTTTGTTCTTCTCGAGCAGGGCTGCTTGACGATGAGCAGCGCGTGGCGGCTTCACGGAAGCGACGTGATAGCAGTAAGAGCCCGCCAGGGTCATAGGTCGAACGAGTGCACGCCTGGTGCGACAAGCAAGGATGCCCGAGACGCTTGTTGAGGACAAAGAAAGGGAAACGAACACGAGATAGGTCGGGAAGGTGTTGTTTGGAAACGTGAAAGGGAGGAGGACAGAGAGCTCGCTAGTTTGGCCGGCGCAATCCTCCCCGGCGGGACAAGCTACTCTTATCAAGGGCCAGAAACAACGGCAGCTATGTCAGAAGCCATTCCCGTCGATCGGTCAGCCGTGGGGGAGTAACACCTGGGCAGCAGCAGGGTGTGGGCATGAGTATGACTGCCTGGATAGGGTGCCAGGGTGGTTTTGGATGGACAGGAATGTACGGAACTTGACTCGACAGGCTGCATGTGGCAGAAGGAATCGCATCCCGGTCACCAGCTGGCAGTCCTACGTCGGCGACAGGGTGGCCCCACAGCTCCAGGTAGATGCATTTTCCCATGCCTTAGGGCTGAAGGGTGAGCCCGGACCAGAAAGACGTACTGCAGCAGAAGAAGAAGAAGAGGAAGGGTGGGTGGGACGAGCCAGGTCATGGGTTGAGCCAACGGTGTGGTGCTCCCAAGGTTGCATAGGGTGCCGAAGGTTGTGCCTGATTGGGGTTTGTCGAGCTTTGTCTCTTCATCTGACATGCATCCACATGCGTTCGTTGACCACACTTCGGAATCCTGGACCGGGCCACTGTTCCTTGCGACCCAGCCCGAGAGCCCAGGACATTAGAGATGTAGTTTCGCAGCTGAGCTCTCTCTTCTTCTCAGTCCAGCCCTGCCCACGCTTGCTGTGTCCCAGTTCTGAGGGGCGCTTCTGCTAGCGAAGCATGCTAGGGCAGACGGGCAGATGCTCTGGCGGCGGGAACCGCTCGGATGGTACGAGGACAAAGCCAAGGACTGGAGGGGTCGCTGGTGCGGTTCGCTGGCCTCTCTACAGGTCTCTCGGTGACGCTCCTGATTGCCTGCTTGGTAGCATCGGCCCATGACTGAGACCCTTTTGGGGGCTGGAATGGGCCAATCTAACGGCCAGGCCAGCCAGTCACGTCGTGCGTGGTGTCAAACACTGCAGGGTGCCGAAAGCAGGGAAAAGAAGGCAACCAAGGAAAAAGGTTACCACCAGGCAGCCAGATATCTGAGGCCAAATCGGCTGGAGGCACGCTACTCGTTGGCGGGCGCTTCTGGAATCATAACGCCGTCGATTGCGACTGTGTCACCCGCCCTGGCCCGGTTCACGCCCCGTCTGACTCCGATCCCGCAGAGTCGGGAAATGGCAGACTAAACGCAGGGCCGAAACTGCAGGCCCTGCTCTCCCTGCCTCGTTCATGCTTCGCGCGGCTTTCCTGCCGACGAATCGCCCCGGCGAGCTGTTCGCGCAACCCTGGATCGTTGGCTTCTGCGCCGCTTGCCCGCTTCTCCTCAGACACATCCGTAACAGCGAGAGCATCAGGTGATACAGTCGTGCTCTCTCTCTTGGATCTTATGTCTCTCTGTCGCTCGAACTGCACTGCGGCCTCCAGCCGCTCCTGGAATTGCTGAGCCTCTTTGTCCTCTTGAATGACCGCGTAGTGGCAGCGCCGGTAGACTCCCAGGGCACTTACAACCAAGCCCCAAACCCACCACGCGAAAAGAATGGGGAGTGCGTAGTAGAGCTGGGGGTTGCAACCCCGCGACCAGATGTCGATAAGCACTTGGTAGACCTCGTGCGCCGGAGCAGCGTAGCCAATCCGGAAGAAGCCCGGGGACAGCTCGAAGGGGAGGAGAATAGACGTGACGTTGAAGAGCACCCATGAGATGAGCGCCATTGGGATGTAGGGCGGCGGGAGCCAGATCGTAAATATGTCAAACTGCAGGAAGTTGACGTGCGCAAAGAGCCACAGCGTCATCCAGTTCAGCATGAACTGCCCGGCTTCCACGTCCCAACCAGATCGAAAAGCCCAGATAGCCCCGGTGGTACACAACGCCCCTATCAGGCAGTATAGTATAGAGATGATATCTCGCACAATGACAATCCGGTTTGGTGAGACCCTGACATACAGCTTGTGCCCTACGTAGAGCCCATTGAGTGTGCCCAGGTAGAAGAACTCCTGAATCAGAATAAATATAATGACCAGGGTATTATAGATAGCCCTGGATCCTTGAGTTGTCGGCTGGATGTTGATACTCGTTAGCTGCCACGGCTCGGCAAACACAGATATAGCCTCCGGAGTCGACAGCTGCCGGACGCCACCCGTCCCATTCGCCGTGGTATAGGCGACCCTGGCGGCCGATGCCAGAGTCTGAATGCTGGAGGACACGACCGCGTCGACAACGGAAGAATACCGCGCCTCGTTCCAGATGTAAGTAAGAATATCCGACCTGTCAAGCCGCGACCCATCCGAGTCACCATTTAGCACAGCCTGAAGCTTGTCCGACGAACCCCGGGCGACATAGAGAGCAGCCCAGTATTCCGTCCTGCACACGGCATCCTCCAACGCCGCCGGGGACGAGTATACTCCAGGGTCCCGCTCAACCAGAGTCGGGAATGCGTTTCCCTCCAGCCTCGCATACGCCTCCCGCAGCGCCAACCCGACCGCCCCGCCATCGTAGTCCACGAGCGCGACGGTGATCTTGTGCGCGTGGTCGGTCTGCTGGAACAGGGCCGCAAACACCCAGCAGAAGAGCCCCAGAAACAGGACCTGCAGAAGAGTGAAGTTCTTGCCTGCCGCCTTGAAGAAGGCGATCCTGCTCCTGCGCACCTTTGGGTCGGAGAGCCTGTGCCGGTTCTCGAATGCTTTAGGGTAAACCCTGTCCATGTACAGTGTCTTCATCTTGAGGCTTTGTCGCTCCGTGCGAGCTATGCGTGCTCGCTCGAGGAATAATGTTGGTCTGGCGTGGGAGTGAAATTCAAAACATTGATATGGCCTCAGGTGTACCAAATGTATGTAGCATTGAGGGGCGTGCTGCGATGAGTAAGCCCCATAATGATGGTTTGTGATGTCGTCAACTAAATTTGTATGCCTCCAAATCCCGGCGCAACTAGTGTTTCGTGGTCTTCACAGATGAGGTGCAGCCTTTTTCGGAAGTCTGTAAATATTCAATTGGCCCCCGTTTTAAATGTGACGGGGTGATTATTTTCTGGGTACCTACGCCGACTCCTGCCTTCGGCATAGCATCACTTCCTCAAAGTTGCAGACATCTAGAACAAAGATATAGAAGGCGCCTGGGACCATTAACATGCAAGAAGCGCTCGAACAAGTGTTCTGAATTGATTCGTGTCAAAATTCGCATTTCAACAAGAATTATCCGCCGAATTTCCTTCAGCAGCTAGCCAACCAGACACTGTCTTTGTCTTGCCGGGATATGAATGACTGGTCATCTAGGATCTAGCTCGAGGTCTCGAAACATTATCAATCTCCATTGTCATACTTGCAAATTTGAGCAGATATACGAGAACTCGATGACAATGAACAGTCCCGGTGCTCAGTCCCCACCGCATGTCCCTTTCAATATCGACCGCTGAACATTACCTTCCTGATCGGATGATCGCTGTTTGCATGCCCTAAAATATACTTTGATTCAATTGGTTATTTAAATCTAAGCATTTATTTTATTCTCCTGCAGTACTTCTATTGATTCGACTACGTACCTGCACTTGTACTTCATCAGAGAAATTGTTCAAAATCCTCTACTTGATACCTTTGTCTTTTCAATAGTAGATAGTGTTACCGCAGCTCAGCGTATTTCCTCCAAATCGGATCGGCAATCAACCTTGGCAGGTCTTCCTCATTAATTCCACAGAGCATTTCTCGACCACCATCAGGAAGCTCCGGCATCATAATCTGCATGCCATTCAAGATGCCATTGCTTGGAGATCTGATTGCCTTGATCCGATCCCCCAGCAGCGGACCCCACTGCAAGCCGTACAGCTCAAATTTAGCCCAGCTCGTCTGAGAGCAGGACAGTCCAGGGCAGTCCAGGAACGCAGACGGCGATAGAAATCTCACATCTTCCAAGTTATTGATCAGCTTGATCGTATCGTTGGTGAAAGTCCCTTGAAAAGCCTCATCCATGTTGACAATTGCCTTTCGGATTAGGAGAGCAATCTCAGCGACGCTGTTTGTCTCCAACATCCTGCGAAGGGGCGTTTTGACCTCAATAAACTCAACGAAACTTCCTAGGGTGCCCTCGTCTATGGGAGGCTGTATGCGTAGTCGCCCATCAACCGCCATGTTGAAGACCGAGACCTCATCGCCTTTGATTTTCTCTAGTGGATATTGTGCCGCCATGATAGAGCGCCATGCGAGTGCCGTCAGAGCGTCGTTGGTGCTGATATACGTCGGCTCGCCCGGCCGAGGGTTTTGAGGATACACGTCCTTCTTGAGCTGTTCTAGTGACTCCTTGGAGAAGTAAAAAATTTGTCCCAGATGCCCTTCTGATGTGAGCACCTTGGCCAGTTGCTTAGCTGGATCAGTCAGCAGCACGTATTGAGGATGGTCCTCCAACCTGCCCGACTTTCCACTAGAGGGGCTCTGAGGGTTGATCGCGTGTCGTCTGTCACTGACGATACTCTGGCGCAGCTCTAAAGGTTCGGGTATATGGATCCCTTGGGCACGGCGGCACTCTTCCGCCCAGATCGCCGTCCAGGTGAAAAATGTCGTGCCGTCGCCAATCATGTGGAATGGATTCCAATTCAGTATCAGACCGCCTCGGATGAAATTCAGCTGCATGAGCATGATAGGGAGGCGGTCCCCGGGGGATGGCCATGTGTAGCGACGTGTAAAGACCTTCGGATCAAATGCAGACACAGGGAAATGCCTCTCTTTCAGCTCAGAAAACGTCAGGGAGTAGGCTTCAGGTGAACGGAGGTCATTGACCGTAATTGGCTGAATGTGCTCGAGCCTTTCCTTTTCATCGAGCAGCTGGATCTTGATAGCCCCACTTTGCTTCGCGTCCGGGTCAGCAACGACTTCACCTTTCAGGACGGGAAGACGGCGGCAAGTGGTTTCCCAGCCGTCTCTCAGGACCTGAGTCACTTCATCGAGATTATAGTCGGCGGGAAGTTCAAAGGGAAAGATCTGGAGTGATTTTAGTTTCCACGAAATATGAAGCCTGCTATTGGATTGAGATTAAAGACTTACATATCTTGGCCAGCCTCTTGGACTGATTTGCTCGATGGGTGTAACTTTGAACAGGAGGTCCTCGTCAGTGAAACCCATGGTGTCCTTTTACTTGGTCTTGAGTGCCCAACAAGAAAAGAAAAACGAAAAAGAAAAGGAAAGCTGTGTAATATGTGAGCACGGCGATTGGACCGTCTTCAGGGGAGCTGTTACGGCCGAGAGAAGGAGGCAAGAGAAGCCCGTTACTCTCAAATTGAAAGAGCTCCAAATATTTGCTTTTTCTTGTCTTCTTTACAAGGGAAAGCAGCCCCTCTTGTTTCATACCTGGCCATTTTTTGAGCAAGGAAAGCCGTTGTCACAGTCATTATAAATTCATTGTTGACTGTCCCTTAAGCTCACCAATGGCAGCTCTTATTACTTATGGAGCTTGGTGGACCCTACATATGCAGCCAGGATATTTGCCAAGGTGCCTTCAACTAGTCTACCACCAACTGCATATTCACAAGTGATCAGGAATGCGATCAGCAGCACCGTACTAACTTTGAAGCGGAACTATAACGGGGATTGGCAGAAGATGTTACCGCGCCGATAAGTGCGGGTTTTCTACTGCCAGGCGTTCAAGTGATGCTAAATTGCTAGACGCAACTAAGCTCCACCACGAAAACTGACATGTCGCTGGAGCCACGGGCAGCAATTAGAACGACAAGCCTAACACCGTAAATCGGTGGTTGAGAACTTGAGATGGGTCGGAACTTAACCTGTCGGTATTAATCCCCGAAGCCCCTTGAATCCTTCAAGACAGCCAGCAGCCCTGGAGGCGCCCGTCTCCCACATGACATGGCTGATTCGCTGTCGCAACAACTTTTCTTCTCTACCTTCCAATTATTATGTTTCTCATAGCGCAACCAACAGCTTCCTCGCACTTTCTCATTTCGCAATGCCGGACATTGACCCTACAATAGAGGATATCTTCGGTCCATTGCCGGCCGGAACTGACCTGAACGAAGACCCCATCACCGGCAACGATGTCGCTGTGGCAATCTTGCTCGGGATAGCGACTGTGGCTGTTGTGCTAAGACTGGTGTGCCGCCACGTTACAAACAGCCCATTGAAGGCCGATGATTGTGTGATAATAGCGGCATTGATCCTCACGTATGCTACCGGCGGCATGTCATTCGCTGCTGGACATTATGGTGCAGGGAGACATGTCTGGTCTGTCAAGGCAGTCGATGTTGCAATGGCAGCCAAGGTGAGGCGATCTTAGTCACATGTTCACTGCTAATTAACTGACGTATGAATAAACATAGCTCCTGTATGCCTACAGTTTCGTCTTCGCGGCCGCTATCACCCTGACTAAGTCCTCGATCCTGCTGCTCTACTCACGTATCTTCGAAGTCTCTGACCCGAGATTCCGTTTCCTTCTCTGGACGGCGGCTTTCTTGGTTGTAGCCTATCCACTAACATTCGTTATTGGCATGGCAAACTGCTGTAAACCAGTCTCGTTCTACTGGTCACAGTTCTCAGGCAACACGGACGGACACTGCCCACTAAACACGGGATTATTCTTCGTGGTCATGGCCATCATCAACCTTTTTATAGACTTCTTCATCTTGGTCTTGCCTATCCCTTCAATATTACGACTGCAAATGTCTTGGCGCAAGAAGGCCGGCGTATGCGGTATCATGCTGCTAGGAGGATTGTATGTCGAGTTTTCGTTTCCGATGCCCTACACCACCTATTTGTACAAGGTCAGGTACCAGAACTGAATTCTAACAAGGAATCAGTGTTTGCTGCGCCAGCGTCGTGCGAATTTACTATCTGAACGTCTTCTCACACGCCATAGACGCCACATGGTATATGGGCCCTGTGTGTGTTTGGTCAGCCGTTGAGCCTTCTATCGGCATCCTTTCGGCATGTCTGCCAAACATGCGCCCCATCTTCGTCCTCTTTCGCAACAAGATATCATCTTCAAACCGCAGCGAGGGCCAATCACGCACTGCGTCAGCACCAGGCATAATTACCTGGGGAGGAAGTGGTGGTCCGGGGTCAAAAGGCGCCAAAAGCCACCGTCGGAAGGACGAGGATGAGCTTCGCTTGACCAAGAACAACTACAGCATGACGAACATCGTCACGTCGGGTGGATCAAATGAGAATGAAACTGTTCACGGTGAAGGGATTGTCGTGCGTTCCGAGGTAACGCTCCAACGCAGCTAGCAATCACAATGTTAAATCGAACTTTAAAGGCCACTTGAATAGCTATTGTTCTCTTCGAGGAGAATTGAATTACGATGTCCATGGGCAGCCTCCACTATCGTCATGAAAACTTCAGGGTGATTCCAGTCAGAGTTCGACAGCGATCGCCCCTTGAGTATTCAGCCCGTCAAGAAACTTCCAAAACTAATACTGACAGTCGTTCTATTCAGCGGGTCATGCCCGCAGCCCGTTGCGGTACATGCAGCGACGATTCTCTAAAGCTCGTTTAAGTCCTTTTCGGCCATAATAAGATATGTGCTAATTTTGTGCAAGTCTTTCCCGCCTCGTGACTCCGTCAACTTCCCTGAGCTTAATGCGCGTGAAGGAAATAGTGTAGATATGCCGACGAATGAATTAGACCAAATGGAATGAATTCAATGCCCAAGTCTATGGCTTTGGCATTTGTAGGGGGTGAACTGGAAGGCAACGTTCGTTCCTGGATTGATGTCCGTTCAGCAGCGGGGAATGCTCCAGTAAATAAAATTGAAGTTGGCCTATCATGGTCGTGAAACCTTCACAGGGTCACTTTCCTTTTCGGATATCAGTCCGACCCATGGGGGCAAATTCGCGGGCTGTTAGTGTGCAGCGGGTGGAGACCGGATCGCCCGAGCCGACCAAGGGTCAATGGGATGATGGATCTTCCTTTCCCATCAGCCATAACTTCAACAACAGACGCCTCTTCATCACACACCTCGATCGCGGAGGCAGAGTCAAACCTCTTCCCTACCTGAGGCAAGGAGACGATGAGACTGCTGCTCTGTCTGTTCGCCTATGTGACAGCATGTGCAGCCACCTTTGTGCCGAACGAGCGCTGCGATGAAAGCAGGCAAAAGGGGCTCCCGACCCTTCCTCGAACGTATATATGGGCAAAGCTGGAGCCGGGAAATGGCACAGGCGAGCGACTCACACTCAATACGATCACTGACTTGAGCCACGAGGACTGCACGCAGTGGACCCAGGAGCTCACCAGGGGAACTATCGAGCTTGAGGCCTTGGGAAGGCCAACACTCTACGGCCAGCTTAACATCTCGGGATGCCGTCAATCAGAGTACCGGAAAGACGACTCTCTGCTTTACGTGTCATACGTTCAAGATATGCACGCCTTTTTCCCTGTGTCAACTCTGAAAACCACGGTCCGTCTGTTTGATGTCAATTCCGACGAAAGAGTCTGTCTGCGGTCCCGCATCACTCCCGCCCTTCCTCAGCGATGGAGTTCCACGCTACGGTACTTTCCGCTGGCCATCTTTCTCTTCGTTTTGGTGGTCGGAGTGATCCGAAGCTTGGTGAATCTTCCTCCGCCGGAGGTTGAGGACACTGCCCCGCACGTGGAAGACGACGACGACGATGACGAAGACGCCCCTGAGCCGAAACCTGTCCTCCCCAACGTCGGGGATTGCCTCCAATACCTTCAGCACATCTTTCTCGGAGCCAGTCTCAGCCTCTTCTACCCTGGTTTTCTGATCCCTGTGGCTGGTCGCTTGTCCTGGTCATCACTCTTTACTGGTGGCGTCCTGACGTATGGGCATGCCGACTACGCAAGCATTGCCGATGGAATCTATGAGACGAACGGTACTTACGGGGGCACGTTCGGTCTGGAGACTATGGCTCAGATCGTGGGAGCGCCAGCCACTATGGGCACCTGGGTGAATATGGTGTTTCTCTTCGCTATCTTTCTGACCATCAGCGCTCTCATGATCGAGGCGTTTTGGTTTTTCCAACGAGTCAGAAGCCCGGCCTCGGCTCGATCATGGTCAATTCGGCTTCAACAGACCGGTAGACAAGTGCTTCAGGTGGCTTTGTCCTATTTCATCGTACCCCTGATCTCTCTTTCCGTCTACCAGTTGATTCACGCCTCATGGCTACCAATCTACCATACAGCTCTGGCTGTACTGTTGATCGTCATAGCCATTGCATCTCTCGCTTGGCTTTTTCAATCCCTCCCCACACGCAGCCTCGGCATTCTGCTTTTTAACCGAGACAAACAGTATTCACGGATGACGGGTGGTGGACATCAAGGCGATACGCTCTTCGTGCGCATGCTGTTTACTCTCAACTTCATCCGCGGCATCGCTATTGGTGGTTTGCAGTTTTCAGGGCTCGTTCAGTTGGTGGCCTTGGCAGCCTGTGAGCTCACCCTGCTCATATGCATCGCCGCTCTTCAAGCCTACCCGACTTTTTCGCTGCCGACCATCACTGCCATTACTAAGTTCGTTACTTTCTTAAGTATGGTCGCGTTCATCCCCGGAGTGGCATCTGATGGAACCCGGAACGTGGTTGGCTACCTCATCTTGTTATTGCACGCTTCTATTCTTGTGCTCGGCTTCCTTTTGCAAGCCACACGGGATCTCGTGCGGCTTGTCAAAAGGTGGATGAGTGAGGAGCGCCCAGATGTAAGTGGAGCACGATTTCAGATGATCTCCTTACATTCAGGTTTATGAGCTAACTAGCAAAGGCCTACGGTCTACAGCAGCTCGAGCGACGGCAGCCATCAAGGCATGACATACGGGAAAGTCCATTGGCACGTCTAGATGTGTCTAGTATCAGCACACCCGACGAAAATGCCGCCTCTCCGCGATCATACTTCGAGTCTTGGACACCCCCCGACAAGGCCCACCGCTTACAACTGCCACAGCACAGGATCCCTTCCACCAGCTCTAACCGCTTCTATAGGCCCCCTAGATCTACTTCCCGTACAAGCTCTACTCTCTCTTGGGAGACTCGGGAGTCCGGAGTCAGTGGCAGTAGATTCTCCAAGGCGACCAAGGACGGAAGTCTTGGTACTCTTCGTGAGCCATCGTCACCAACGATCGACGAATCTGTGCCTTTCAGCGGGACGATGTGCTCAAGCCCCTCTGTGGTAGGAGACCACCGCTCATCGGACAAGGAGAGTGATCCTGGGACACCAGCTGAATCTGAGCGCACAGAAGGCTTGGGGCCGCGTTGGAACGACTACTCGTTCCGCGAGTCTGATTTATATTACGGAAGTCGCTCCCGGGGAGAAGGAAGCACAGTGAAAGAAGAGATTACTGTTGACGATTCTCAGAGTTCACGGCAGGCATCTAGAAAAATGCTCAGGCGATACCTGAAAAGGGATAATAGTAGTACAGTCCCTCCTAGCAAAGGCTTCGAGGTAATAAGGCGGCCTCCGCCACCAGGCATGTAAGCCACCACTCAGATAATTCATTCAAAAGGAAAGCATGAAAGTATAATGTGCATATATTCAAATCGCTATAAGTTCTATGGCTCTACATAATCTTGGTGTTTCTTACTTGAACGCATTCGGTCCCCCGAGATCCAATGCAGGTCCGCCGCGGCCATGACGTGTGGTACTAAATATTTTGTCCAGACTGTTTGTCTCTGTGCCGAGGGCTCACGCCCGAGCATCGCAAAATAGGCCGTGGACTCATCGGTGAATTTTCTGTAGTGCTGCCGCCTCCGAGCTACCTCCTCTAGGTAGGCCGTCCTGGCTGACACGATCTAGTGCCGGCGAGGAGTCATAGGGCGGGTCCAAGTGGAGACCGCCTGCAGCATTCCGAGCTGCCACGCCCCGTTGCACCATCAGCCTGATCACCTTCGTCCTCGTAAGCATAAGAGAACAGGAAAATAGCCCACAGTAAATCTTCGGTGTCGGAAATACCACTCAGTCTGATCCGGACCGCGTCTTGAGCACAGGTAACAGCCGCCATGGCGCTCCCGTTCCCCATCCCGGCCGGCCTCTCCCCGGCCTTCACCATGGCCGCCCCCACCGAAGCCGACGCAGAGAGCCTCGCCGAGATCTACTATGAGGCCTTCCGGACCGATCCTAGCAATACTTACTGGTGGCCCGCCGAGAAGGAGCCCATGATGCAGTGGATGGTCCCCCGCATCCGCAACAAGATGCGGGACCGATCCGTGCGTCACTTCAAGGTTGTCGATGTCCAGACCGGCGAAATGGTCGCCTTTGCCCGGTGGGACATTCCGGAAGGGTCAATCAAGTTTGGCGAGTGGCTGGGCGGTGGCGGCGAAGCGGACGTCTCAGAGCTGGTGAAGAGCGAGGGCGAGCCGGCGAACGGTGCGGCGCCTGCGCCTTTGACTGGCGGCACCGAAGCGCCTCAGCCCACATCCGCCCCGATGGAGATCCCTCCAGGCGCGGACGCAGAGCTGTGCCAAGATTTCTTCGATGGATTGAGCCGCATGTCTTCCAAATGGGTGACGCCGGATATGTTGGGTAAGCAGCGAATTCTAACCATGCTTCGGTGAGGGTGCTGACTACCAGCAGGCCTCTCGCTGATTGCGACGTCGACCAAATATTTCAAAAGAGGCGCCGCTAAGGCGCTGATTGTCCCCATGCTAGACATCGCCGACGCAGAGGGCGTCAAGGTCTACCTTGAAGCCACACCAGCTGGCAAACCCATTTATGAGAAGTTGGGTTTCCGAGAGGTTGATGTCCTTGAGTTCAACCTGGATGAGCTAACCAAGGACCATCACGGCGTCTACAAAATCTGCATCATGATCCGGGAGCCATTGAAGCAATAACCACTCGGTTATCTCAAAATCAAAGCCTATTCTCCTGGAACCATGAGGAGGCTCGTCCCAGATTTGCAGACATGAAAATATAATAAAACTAATATAATGTATCCAAAGCTCTCCTTTTCCCTTTTCCCTTTTCTCCTCTCGTGAGTTACATGGTCTGATATTACAGATTCAATCAGATTGGACCATCTGAATAAATTCAAGACTGTTGCCTTTGATGTATCTGTTGGTTTGGGACAGATAATGCAACTTGTTGAATAAGCGGTGCCGACTTCCAGCCTCATTTGCTTGATACCCCTTTTCTCTAGTTCTGAATGCTGAGCTGGCGGTGGGCACGTTGATAATCAGGACTCCTCTCAGCACTTAGTATCAACGCCGCGCGCGCCTTATCCTGATGCGAAAGGATGGGGAGCTGTGATCAGGATGTCGGGATGAAAACAAGGCTTGGATTTCTATCAAAGTGCCTGCTTACCTGCCACATAATCATGGCAGAAAAATTCAGACCGAGTGATATCTGGTATTTGGAATGGTTTCTGAATGCTGACCTGAATGGAGTAATAGATTGACCCATAATACGTGTTGGCCCATTGAGAACAAGACTATCTTAAAAGTTTGTATGCGCTGTTTCATGTTAAGGGGTATACATAGTCTTCACTACGCTGTAACAACCGTGCTCTATGTTTTACAGCAAACGCAGGATAATATTAAGGTGGGGCATCTCAGTCATGGAGCCTTCGAACGCAACCATTAAGCAGACTATACAATGAACCAGTATGTTTTAGCTCAGATATCTCCACCATGTACACATATATGGTAAAGTTGCTAAAATATAGTCACTCGTCCGCCTCTCTGCCTCATGAAAATGGGTAGTACGAATAATACCAAGTCAAGGCTGAATTATAGAAGACGTGAAAGCGTAAATCACCTGAAATGAAAAGTAGATACTTCACTACAAGTCATTCAAAATGTTATCCAGATTCCTCATTCCAGATGTGTTCGGCTTTCAAGTGCATCCAGCTCGGCGGGGGCCTATTCTGGTTCATGTACCCCACTTATATTCAACCAACATGTATTGCGTAGCACCAATCTCCTGCGAGACTTTCGACAGTCTGCATGTGTTGGGATTGCCTGGTTGGCTCTGATGAAGGCAAGCTGGCATTTATCTCTAGGCTCAAGCAACAATAAACCATTTTGTTCTGCCCATCTGCTAATTATTTCCCTCCTTTTCTTCAACTGATCGCCATCAACCGCAAAGCTTTCTGAAGATCTAGCGGCAACGCCTTTGCAACAGCAGCAACCATCGCAAAGGACTCCCTCAAACCCGGCTCTCTGCAAACAATGCAGTGCTTTACTACATCTTGACGACAAGTTCTTGGAGTCAAGGCTAAGAACCTCAGCCAACGGAGAGCTATATCTTGGCGGAGACCATGAGGAATACTCCGATCTGGACAGGACCCGACCCAATGGGCCGAGTTGGCCCCGGCTTCTATGTGAAGCTCTCTGGGCTCATGTGCCGGGATCCACTGGACCTATTTGCCGCCGAGGTAAATAGCGATTATTGACAACGTAACTTCCTTGGACGACTTACTTGTGAATAGGCGTATCGATAGGATGTTAAGGCGATGAATTTACTGATGTGAAAGCGCTGTTCTAGTGCCTTAATTTGACTGGGACTAATAATGTAATACATGCGATTATGTCTTCTTTGCTGAGCTACCTTTGTCTTCCATCCGTTTGACGGACTGTGGAGCGTGTATAGCTATTAAATTTGACTTTGATATTCTTCTGTCGCAAATTTGGCGTGCGTGCGAGCTGCCGGGAGCTATTACAGGGGAGTGCGCACTCGCCGGAGCACCTATAAATTACGCTCCGAGGGCTCGCCCTCCGCCGAAGCGAACTTAGCTAGAACAACAACGCTTTTATCTACGCTCAACCACTCGCTACGTGATCCACGGTGCTTCATATCTTCAGAATGACGAAAGTACCCAATTCCAAGCCACGGATATCCTATTTTGCCTTTGGGATTGACTTCCCATTAATCTTTTCATCTTGGTCCTTCCGGGCCTTGTCGTCCAACTTCTTCCCCCCTTGCATGTTGTTGTTGTTGTTGCCGTTGTTATCGTCGAGGCGCATCTCAATGAAAGCCTCGGGGATGGCAAAACCATTTTTGAGACATTGTTCTCGGATGCGATCAGGCTTGACACCGCCCTTAGCCAGACGTTTCCGGAAGGCCTCGATATCGTTGTGGCTGATGCTCTTACCGCTGTCCGAGCCTGTCACGTAGCGGACCATCATCTCATATGTCGTGATGGCCGCGTCAGTGTCCATCTTGTACACCTCTACATGCTGCCCCTTGAAGATGAGGTTCTTCGAGCAAGCGGAGTCGCGGAACAGCTTGGTTTGATGCTGCCTTGTTGCAGGCTTTCGTTCCCCGCTTATCGTCCTCCCGAACTCATCAACCTCCATGAAACCTGCCGTACGGGCCACGCAACCACGTATATCCACGGCCTGAGATTCAGGCTCAAGCAGCAGGTCTATCTCGCATGTTGCTTTGTTGTTTTCTAGGTGCCTTGTGTCGTGAGCTTTTGGCAGAATGACCACTTTGGCAGGACTGCCCTGCTTGTTATGGCCACTCGCAAGTGCTGCATCAAGCTTAGCGAGATCTGTGTTGACTGATATAATTAGCCCAAGTTCTCTTCACTTCGGAGTATCAATACAGAATGCTCACTCTTCTTTTGTACTTCGTCTGTGGTCACTTTTTCTTGGTCCTTGGAAACAGATTCTCCACCCTTCTCTGGTGTCTTGCCCGCAGCTGGAGCTCTCTTTGACTGAGTGTTGCCCTGGCTAGTGGATTTGATCGCAGGTGAAAAGACGCTATGGCTAGTTTGAGTGTTACCTTGGCGCGTTGTTGTGGCCGCAGGTGTAGGGTCACTGCGACTAGCTTGATTATTACTTTGGCGCGTGGTTCTGGTCTCAGGTGAAGGGACACTGCGACTGGCTTGAGTATTGCTTTGGCGCGTGGTTGTGGTCGCAGGTGGAGAGTGATTGTGCATGGATCGAGGGTTGTCCTGAGACCGTGATCGATTCACGGCTGAAGGCGTCGCGCCTACGCCCGTGGAGTTGTCCTTATTGTTTCTGGAAGTCGATGTATTTGCAGAAGGGGCTGCATCAGATTTGTGGTGAGAGCTTTCTGAACGTGCTTGACTCGAGGGAAAAACCATCGCGAAAATATTCATGCTCGCGGGTTTCGAGCCTTCCGAACTGCTTGGGACAGCTCCAGCAGAAATATTCGGATAGGCTAGCTTCTTGCCTTTATTCGGGGAGGCTTTTGGACGTACGGCGTCAGTTGAAGCCTTTGGAGCGGTGGCCTTTTTGTTTTGGTCTTGAGCTGTCACTGAAGGGTTGGGACACCGTTCAGCGGTAGTAGGGCCAGTTCCGTTGGGTTTATTCTGAGAGCCATTTTGACTATTTTGATGAGTTGTGTTTGAAACTTCTGTAGCTGAGCGCACACTAGCTGGCCCTTGAGGCTTGTGATCGAGTACTCGGTCCGTTGGTGTAGCTGTATGAGGAAGTTGATTGCGACTGTGACGGGAGCGTCCTCCTTGCTTTTGATTCGGTTCCTCGGTCGGAGGTAAAAGTTTGTTGTCTGTCTGTGACTGTACTGTATTGGCTTTCATAACTTGTTGACAAAATTCTGCTAGAAGCTTATTATTGTCTAGATTCTGAATATCGACAGCAAGGAGCACGGGAACATAAATCTTGTTCTTGCTCAGTGCTGTCGCGTCTATCACAGGCGCCGAAATGACATTTTTCTGTTGCTTTGTAAGGCTTTGTTTATTCATCTTGAAGATGTTGCGAGGAAGTTTGAAGAGATTGATACAAGGATTGCCTCGGATGTGGTCAAAGAGCTCTCTGCTTATACATTATAAACTCTCAGTTTTTCTCAATGTCATAAGTCTTCCAGCGCCGCAACGTTGGCCTTGTGAAGCTGTTCGTCGTTCCGGCCGCGCACCCAAGCCTACTATCTCCACATAAAGGCCAACATCTTCTACCGCCTACGAGACGCTCCTCGTGGATCAACACGCTTGTGAAACGTTACCGAGCATCGTAGCTGTTGAGGCTCGTGTTATAATCCATCAGCAGCTCCCACAACCCCGGCAATGAAACACATGTGGACTTCGTCAAATTGCGACCAGCTGGGCCAGTCTCGAATTGCAAGCTTATTGACCGGTTCGTTTTCAATGCAGCCTGGCTTTTGGGGTCATGGCCGAGGTCACAACACGAACATGAGACCTCTCAGCTGGACGAGGATGAATATGCGACGGGCCGGCGGGCCTCTGGCCGCGGACCTTGAAGACTCAAATGAACACCAACAGAAAGACACACCGCGTGAGGTTTGAGGATGAGGAAGCCAGGAGCCTGTGAGTGGAATGAACAACAGCAAAAACGGCCTTGCCGTGTAAGACAGCGCGGAACTATGCGAGCTTCGTTTCACAGAGAATGATGAGGGAAAGTGAATTTGATGACGTATCACAGCCCGCATACGTTGAATTAAGCAGCAAATTTAGATTCTGGAATCTTTGATATAGCTTAATTCGGAGCAGTTATCCGATGATAACTGATCTGGCGGGAAGAGGTCGGCATACTTAAAATAGACCGCCTTCTCCAGTCAACCAGATCTGTCCAGGATGGCCCAAGTCATGAGGGCGGGACAATGACACGCGCAGATACGCTGTGGTCCATATAACCCTGGTAATAGAAGAGACCAGGACAAGGGTAAAGGTGCCAGGCAATTTGTACGCTGAAGAAGGAGATCCCGAAGAATCAGTCCCGGCATGTGTCCCACATACAAAAAACGGCGAGATGCCGAGTGCAGGGGCTAAGAGCCGAACCAAATGAAGACATTGAAGTGAGAAAACACGTTGCGAATCAACAGAGGAGCGGGCATCTACTGCATCCTAAGTAAACATGGGTCCATTTCTCAATGGCCCAATCCATGCCGAGCTGAAAAGACAAGGCCAAGACAACGGTCCTGCGTCAACGCTTAAGCGGCATGTCTGCCGCTCGGGGGAGTGGAGGTCAGGAAATTAGGATGCAAGATCAAAGATTGGAACAGCGGTGGTTTTGGTTCACCAGTTGAAGGATCTCTGAGGATCTTCGAGGTGTGGATTTCTCAGGAGGTCGCGAAATGTCGGAGGGTGGGGAGGGGACGTTCCTGAGGAACGTGCAATGCTCAGTAGCTGCAGGTCTGCGGCAGCGGCCTCAAGTCTGCTTCCCCGGGATGAAACCAACCCTCCCCAATAATAGGACGAGGCCGGTTCGACTGGCCCAGGACGGCCCATGTGCGAGCCTACTAGAGTGCAGGAACCCAGTTTGCCCACCGAGATACGGAGCAGAATTAGCACTCGACGGCGTCGAAGTCTAATAATGCGCGCTTGGAACGTGCCATATGTAGGCACGGTAGGGTGGTGAGGGTTTGTTAGCTCCCGCGCCTGAGGCCTGCGAGGGGCGCCACGGTCGAGGGCCCGAGAAGATCCGTGGACAACAACAGTGGGTAGCATCAGACCCATCTGTGATAAATATCCCGTACCGCCCGCCCGCTTGGGCGCTTGGGGGCTGAGGCTATGGCTTAAGTTGGAAGCCAGCTGGCTTTGAGCGTGCGTGCGCAATGGAAGTTGAGTATCCGAACGGAGACATCATGAAAGATGAAGTACCACAATTCTTGACGATGGTAGGCACGGGTGACTGAGGTCTCAGGGCGTCAATGGATATTAATGATCTGTCACAGCCAGCTTACCTGCATGTGGCATTGATGAGTTGAATTGGTGGTTTGCTGAGTGAGGAACCTGGTAAACTCTGTGTTCGGTGGGCCCGCGACATCCGCATTGTCACCAGGAACCACCAGGAACCACAAAGTCGACGACCGGGTATCGGGTGCCGGGTGGTCGACGTAAGATGCAGGGCACAGCCCAGCCAGCCAGCCCAGTTGTACTCGAACCCTGGCTCTGATGGCTCACACAGCCATCCTTCGCCTTGCCTCGTGGCTCGCGTCGCCCATTTTCCGTGACCCCAATGCCCGCCGTGACCTGATCCGCCTCTGACTTGCCTGCTTGCTTGCCAGCTTGCACAGCCAACTCACCACCATCTCTAGTCACCCCCTTTTCCGTAACCATATACCGTAACTGTACACCCCTGTCCTGACCCAGCTGAAACCTTGCATGGACCCTGAGCGCATCGCAGCCTTCTGCAGAGCCATTTAAGGGTCCCTGTTCCTCTCTTCTCCCTCAGTCCCAACGTCTTCTCACTCCAGCAACCGCCAAATCTTCTCACAATTCACTGTCCAGTACCATCCGCACCATAATACTCCCGTCTTCTCACCAGTCCACCAAAAACCTCAGTCAAAATGCCTGCCGAATCGATGGAGATGCCTCAAATGAACAACATGGTGGCCCAGCCCCAGACCGAGCAGCCTGTACGTGCCCAGTAACATCTCCAGCAGAGGCCAAGCTTTGTCCGTCTCTTGGCCTTTCGCCATCCTCCCGCCTTGGCAGCCAGCCCTGACAGCTCTTGGCGTTTTGCCAATGCGCTGATCTCTCACCACAATCGATAACCTACATTGGACATGATCACAACAAATCAATCAGATTGCTAACCAGACTGGATGTATAGAAGGCAGAGGAGCCAATGTCAATGGGTCTCCGTGGTGGTGGTCTCTGTGAGGACGTAAGTCTTAACAACCCCCATGCATTCTACTGATGAAAAACAAATTCACTAATTGTCCCTTTACAGTGCTGCTGCTGCTGCGCCGGATGCTGCGCCCTCGAGACAATCTGCTGCTGTCTCGGCGCTGAGGAGGTCGCCGACAACCTCTAAGCGCATTCATTAGACGACCGAGAAAGGATAACACGAAGAAGAGATGAACGACCGACTTCCCATCGTGGGACAGTCGAAGGTAGTGCGAAATGACGAAGGATACCCAATGAAGAGAAAGACCCTGTGCCGTGACGGCGTGTAACAATAGTGTCGCCTGGAAGGGCGTGCATGGTCATTGTTTAGATATGGACGGCGCACAGGTCTCGGATGCCCAATGATAAATTCTTTTGAATCCCCATTTCATCGGTTCATGCACGATCAAGCGCTGCACCGCTGATTGAATCGTCTCTTGTTGTTCACTTTGGGGTGTGTACTGGCCCCCTGGGCGATCGGCACTGCGGGGGCCGCCTCAGCAGAGACCTGCTCTATAATAAGCTGTCGCTCCCAATTTCTGCTGCTGATTCAGTTCACGGCCTGCAAAGCCGGTCGCGCGTGCATCAGGTCTGACAGGCCTGGTGGCCTCATCCTGTGAGACCTCTCGTTCTTGGTGCTGCCATCACATTTTGCCTCTTCATTACACAATTTGCGCAGATGAGATACTGCCGGGATGATGGAACAGCTTTCAAGAAGCTGCCTCACAACGGGAGGGCTCATCTCGCAAATTGAGCCTGATACCAATTTCTATGATCTTTTGTTTATTCCAAGAGACTTGTTTTGAACATTGCCGTACATCAGGCTCGATACCAAACTACGGCAATGGGACGACTTGATCTTGGTACAATCCAAGCTTCTGATTCTATCGGCATTTCCCTGCTCTGGGGAACGGGCCGTCGAGCTTGTCTCGTCCTGCGGAGCATTGGACGATGAGCAGCAACACATCCCAGTCACACATGAGTGCCCTCTTATATCCTCGGTTGAAGGGAAATTGTTTGCACATCGTTATATCCCACTTTGACCACCATCGCGGTGATCATATCCACTACCATCGCAACAAACAGCCGAGCTTCTTCACCTTGTAGACTCCACGAGGTGGGCGCTCAGCCACTGCTGTAGTTGCAATTTGGGTCACAGCTTATGTGCAGCGTCTTCTGCACCGCCCAGACCATGCGAGTATGATCAACAGACTTTCAAGACCCACCAAGCCCGCTGCCCTTATAACTTGGACTTCGTCGCGGGGACACTCTCTGCCGCACTCGTGACCTAAATCAACCAAATCGTCAGTCACCCACGCAGTCATGTCATAAGGTTAAAAGGGGGAGGGGTGACTCTGGTTCCTCACATTCTTCTCAGTCGCCTCCCGAATACGCCGCCCAAGCTCAGCATTCACCATCCCAAACATGTCATACGTCCTCTTCCGCGTGTCCTCGTGCGCGCCGCAAAGGTGCACGGAAACATTATGCACAAAGTTCTCCTGCTGACCCTTGGTGCGGCCGAGGACCTGCCAGAGTCCGTTGGCCTGGGCGTAGTCGTCGGGGCTGATCTCCCCGAAGACGGCCGTGACGGCGCGGCCCTGCCACTCCTCGTGCGCCGCGGTGGCGCTCACGGGCCGGTAGGTGAGCGGCTTGTAGGTGGAAGGGTAGTTCGGGTTCGCGCCGTAGTTGCCGTCGACGGCCATGGCGCCGTCGCGCTGGTACGGGTTGAAGGCGCGCAGGGGCCGGTTGACGGGGATCTGCTGGTAGTTGACGCCCAGGCGGTGGCGGTGCGTGTCCGGGTACGAGAAGAGGCGCGACTGCAGGACCGGGTCGGCCGACGGCTCGACGCCCGGCACCAGGTGCGACGGCGCGAAGGCCGCCTGCTCGATCTCGGCGAAGTAGTTCTCCGGGTTGCGGTTCAGCGTGAACTTGCCCACGGGCCGCAGCGGCACCTCCGCCTGCGGCCACACCTTGGTCAGGTCGAAGATGTTCCACCGGAACTTCTGGGCCTGCTCCGGCGTGAGGACCTGCGCGTACACGGTCCAGCTTGGGTACTCGCCCCTCTGGATGGCCTCGAAAAGGTCCTGCGTGTGCCAGTCTGGGTTCTCGGCTGACATGTTACCGGCCTCTTCGTTGTTGAAAGTCTTGTTCCCCTGGTCAGTCTTGCAGTGGATCTGGACGTAGACGAAGGAGCCATCTGGCTTGGTCCACTTCATGGTATGCCCGGAGTAGCCGTTCATGTGCCTGTACGAGTACGGCGTTCCCCGATCGGAGAAGAGATGCATCAGCTGGTGGACAGCCTCATGGTGATTACTCAAATAGTCCCAGAACATTGTAGCATCCTTGAGGTTAGTCTGAGGGTTACGCTTCTGGGTGTGAATGAAGAGAGGGAAGTTGGTAGGATCGCGAAGGAAGAAGACGGGAGTGTTGTTGAACACCCAGTCCCAATTACCCTCCTGGGTGTAGAATTTGAGTGAGAAACCTTTCCGAGGTCAGTACTCTGCCGAAAGGAATGTGAGAAATTTAGAAGGGGCTTTTTACCTCGAGGGTCACGAGCAGAATCAGCAGAACCCTTCTCGCCTCCCACAGTCGAGAAGCGGGCGACTAGCGGAGTCTTTTTGCCCACTCCATTCAACATGTCAACAGAGCAGATATCACTGATATCGTGCGTAACCTCAAATTCGCCATAGGCACCGGCGCCTTTGGCATGGACGACACGCTCAGGAATACGCTCGCGGTCGAAGTGAGCTAGGAGATCAATGAGGTGGAAGTCCTGCAACAGCAGTGGGCCTGGCTTCTGGCCAAGCCGTTGCCAGCTGGACGGGTTCTCAACAGGGCAGCCATTGGATGTTGTATACACTGGCTTCTCATTGTAGCGATATGTTGGTTTATCGTCAGCGACCATCTTGTCGGGTGAATGAGGTTGTTTGTTAAAACTCTTCAAAGATGTTAAGATCTGTTAGGGCACGAGCCAGATGTGTGGTATCAGACCAAGTATTGGGATCAAGAAATTGGGTCTTGCTCTACAGGAAGCCGGTTAAATTGGGAGAAATAACAATTGGCCGAGTGGTGAAAGGAAAGATTCACCTCGACATATATATTTATCCCCGCCATCGCCTCATCTACATCGGCCCGGTGCGTGTGGGCACACCCATCCTGCAGCTCTCCGTCCGTACGTTTGACCAGGTAGCAAGTCAGGCTGTCTCCTCACCGTGAGAATGCCGAGAATCTGTGGGCCTCAGACCAATGATTGGGCAGATATTGAAATACAATACAGATCTGGGAATGGGTGTTCTTGGGGCTTGCATGCTGTGTGGATCCGACTCGAGAAAAACCCACCCGTTGCCACTTTTTCGAACGTAATGGCTCTCCTCCGCTTCTTGGCTGGAATTTGAAGCTGACGAGTCTCAAACGACCACGAAGGGTAAACTTGGTTGGCTGATCTTGAAATCACTAATTCTAGTGATAGATGCTCTCCTCGGAAAAAGGTTATGTGCACATCAAGTCATAAATTGGCCAGGTGCAGGGTGTATGCTCTGATATCAAATCAATGTATTTAAGGCCGTATCAGTCAGCCGTACAGGTGTCCACAGCCAGATAAGCGAATGCTCTCACCAGATAGCTTCCAATAAGCGGTTCAAACTGGCCGTGCGGAGGCCCAAAATGGCAATGCCCTCTTTTTGCAAGGGTTTTTTGCTACTTCAAGGCGGAAGTTCTTGTTAGACCTGAAAGGCATCCGTCATAAGAGTGCTGCACATCTACAAAGCAAAGCATGATTCAGAGGATAGCATATTGCAGCCGGAAGGGGAATGGCCAGTCCAACGTTTGCACCTCAGCAACATGTGCGATCGTCTCTTTGGAGGCAATGGCTGAATATGTGATGATGTCCGATGCTCCTGGTGTGAATTGACCGACCTCAACCCATATCGTCAGTTTGCCCTGGACAGTGGAACCCCCCGATACAGCTTGTTGAATGAATAATCGGTCGTGGGCGTTTCGTCTGTTATGCCCCTGTTGGCGATAACATAGTTGACAGATTACTCATGCCTGTGACTATCAAGTCGCGTATCCAGGTACATGGCCTCTCCATATTCAGTGCATCAGTGTTGGAGGCTGCTGATCCCGGCCTTTCGGTATTCGGCATGTCGTACCCTGCAGCTATCGTTGTCTCTTCTTGGCTGCCTTGTCAGCTTGTGCCGCTCCGCAGTCGCTGTTGTGCAGTCGGTCGTGGACTAAAAGAACGATCTCGCGTCTGTATTCATTAAACCGTATTATCACATAAACTTTGTATGTACATGCCGTCCCAACCTACAGTGCATTCTCGCCCCGCCTGATGAACGCCGTTGCTAAGGTCAGATTGCCAGATTGTCTGCCCATTAGTGTGAATCGCCCGTTAGGAAGCAATCAAGCAAATGAAGCCGATGATGGCCGGCCTTTGAGCACTGGTATGTGCTTCTTCGCCCTTAGTCTTGAGAGACGGTTTGCTGTTACGGTCAGTGCAAGTGCTTTGAGGCCCGGAAGAGATATCGAACTTACCACCAGCCAGTCCATGCCTTCCGTCACACCACTGCCGTCAACCGCCGAACATGCCATGATGCTCCAATTCCTGTCCCTCAGCTCTCCCAGCCGCAGCGCCTGTGAAATGTCGCCTGCCCCTTTTGCCCCTGGCTGGTCCTGCTTGTTTGCGAACACCAACAGTGCGGCGTCCTTCAACTCCTCCTCGTTAAGCATGGCTGCCAGCTCGTCTGCTGCTGTTTGTAGACGTTCTATATCGGTGGAATCGACAACGAAAATGACCGCTGCTGTGTTCGCGTAATAGCACCTCCAGTAGGGCCTGATGCTCGTTTGGCCACCGAGATCCTGTCCCGCGCGTCAGCCCGCTCGCTCAGACATCCGCTTCCGGTGGAAGATGGGAGGAGGCGTACCCAAACATTGAAGTTCAAATTCTTGTATGTGACAGATTCGACATTGAAACCGATCGTTGGGATCGTTGTGACCACTTCGCCTATCTGTACGCCGTGTCAGTGAGTGTCACTCCGGCTCAGAGTGGAAGCCAAGCGGGCCTCGTACTTTGAGTCTGTAGAGAAGGGTTGTTTTGCCAGCATTGTCCTGTATCGAAATCATCAGCAACGCGACCTCGGGCTACTGGCTCATGCGATCCGTACCAAGCCCAAGATCAGTATTCGTATCTCTTTCTTTGCCCACAGAAGGCCGGAAAGCCATGACATTCCCTGACCCATCTTCGCTTATGCTCCGCCGAGAACGCCGTTTAGGGACCAGTGTACTGTTGCGCTGCAAGGAGTGCCGTATGTGTTGTGGAATTCGGGGCGTCGGTTCGGCGAGGTCCCTCGCGCCAGGTTGCCGTTTCACCGTTTCCGGCGAATGAAAGACAATGTTTCTAGGAGGAATGTCGAATCAAGGAAAACGCCGATGTACTGCTCTAGTCGTTTGTGAAGGGAGTGAGTGTAGAGAGGGAGAAAGCTGCCAGATGGCGATTTTCAATAGAAAAGTTTCGAGATAATGCGCTGGTACTCGCTTGCAAGCTTGGCACAATGGTTGCATCAGAGGCGCCCGGCTGTAGCTCGATGCTGTTGCTGACGAGGGTCGGCTGCTCCAGCTGGCTTCCAACTCCAACCCAGGGCCAGGGGCGAGGGGCCCAGGGATTTCCAGGTTTGGGCGATCCGCCCATCGGTCCTCCCGGTCCTCTGTTGCCCGCCGACGCTGGCCAGCCAAGGCTGGGTTGACTGCCTGCACTGCCTGCCCAGACACCGAGTCCAGTCCAGTCCCATTCCAGTCCCCAGTCACAGTTCCAAGGACGGGCTAGCTCCGATTTGCTGACGGCCCCCACTGTTCCACGTGACTACACCAAATCAAAAATTATCCCATGAGCGTAACTCAACTCCTGTGAACTGGACCCTCCCCCCATCGACCAAAGAAGACGAATAACCCAGCCACTCGACATCGACGACAATCAGTCAAAATGCCGGTACGTACGGGATGGAATCACGGTGAAACGATGCGATCTCAATTTCGATCATGGACATGCAAGAGTTGGACTGGCCAGCCCGGCCCCGCAGCGAGGATTGCCTTGAAGCGATCGCAGGAATGGATTTCATCGTGAGAGACCACGACGCTGACGGGTCATGACCTCAACAGAGCCACAAGTCTTTCCGCACGAAGCAGAAGCTCGCCAAGGCGAAGAAGCAGAACCGCCCTATCCCCCAGTGGATTCGCCTCCGAACGGACAACACCATCCGGTACGATTGACCCCACGAGAAAATCCCCACGCCGTATGCTGCACGGCATCGATGGCGGTGGGACACGGCACGGGTGCCTGTAGAGCACCGCGGGATCAGGAACATTTTATAGCTAACGGATATCTTGCAGCTACAACGCGAAGCGGAGGCACTGGCGCAAGACTCGTCTCGGCATCTAGATGCATCACCCCGCACGCGACTGCCTCTTGCTGCTCTTCTTCCCCATCAATTTACCTCTTCACGATACCGACTACCAGCTGTCACAACTCACGATGGACGGATAAATAAACGGCCAGCAGGAGGAAAAATGCTGGAGTGACATGGCGTGAGGGCAGGGAGAGGAATCATCATCATGGACTATGAATGACGGAACAAAGGGTTCTTTTCTTGGTCCCGGACAAGGTGTCTCGCTGGGTTTGCTGGCTTATTTTAGCCGCACATTGCATTTAGGGACTCGGGGAAAGCAAAAAGAAATGCCAACTGATTGACGTACGATTCTCAAGCTTCTTGACTGGGCGCTTCTGACTGCGAAGAATCGCTCGGGCCCTCTTACTGTGACATGTACGCACGAGGCGGCGACGCTTTGAAGGTCGAACCCGCATTATGCCCAGGAATTCAGCCTCGTGAGCTTGCAATGAGGTACTCAGGCAAGCTGACACTATCTAAAGGAGTCGCCTAATGAATCAAGGGGAAATAGCTGTGTGAGCGATAGAATCCCTAAGCGGCCCATCATGGGGTTCATTCTTGAGCTTCAAAACATCACTACGTGGTAGCTCATTATCAAGCATGACCATGTCGCCTGAGTAGTTGTCTCTGCCTGTACTATTGTTGACAGCCAAAGCTTGTATTGCGGTGCTTTACGCGGATCTCTGTTGGCTAATGTGTCTATGTGCTGCTCAATTGAGCGGCATTCCCATGTCCCATAATTGATATGATACCTGCGCAAAGTTGCTCAGCAGCCATTCAGCACTAGGCTGGACGTTACCTGCAGGAAGATCAGTAAAACAACCTACTCACTTAGCAAAGTCGTTGCATGCCTTGACTTCACAAATCTATTCACTCAAAAATCAGTCGAGGCAGTATATCTGTTAGGAATGATGAGAATTACAGGCTACGAGGTCACCGGGTCACATGCACAACGATTGTTTAGGGGATTCTGGTATTCATTCTCAGCCTAAATGCAGTGCCAACCAAGTGGCTGTAGGCGATGTGTGTTCTGGTAGAGCACGCCTGTGTGCACTGTTTGCCGAGATCCATCAACTCCACGAGAGCCGGCCTGTTAAGTGAGTAAGAGCACATGAGCTCGAAGGCTGCTCCTCTCAACGCGCTAGAACTGAAGAAACCAGAATCTCTCCACTCAGTAACGTATCCTTTCCGAAGCCGAAATCCCTCAAAAAGCAACCGTTTAGTCAACCTCAAACGCCGAGCGAGATGCCGAGATGGGTAAAAGCCGGCCATGCGAGACTGAGGACATGGTGGGAAATGTCAGACCGTTTGCTGCTGGCAAGACGCTGATGGTAAGTAGCAGCGACATGTTTAACGGTCTTCGGCCCACTCGTTCTCCCGGCGGATCTGCTCCTCCTCCTCGGGCGTGAAGTCGTTGGTGATGTTGAAAGTCTTACGGATCTCCTCGGGAGACTTGCCCTTGATCATGTTGGCGACCGTCTTGCACCCGACATCAAGGAGCGCCTTGATGTCCATGTAGTTGGCAGCAAGGATGATCTCGAAGAGCATCTCTTGGTCGACCTGCATGTACTTCTGGTCCCACTCATCGATCTCGGTGGTCTTCTTGCGGGACTCGCTGTCATCGTCCTGAGTGGGGAGGGGGTCGTTGCGGTGGTGGTTGCACCACTCGACAATCTTCTCGAGGACGGGCTGAGTGACGTTGGGAAGAGGCACGGGCTGGGTGGTAGCCGCCTCGAGGCCCAGATCCTCAATCAGGTTCTTGAGGAGGATGGAGCGTTCAGCGACGGGCAGGTCGACCGGAACGATACCGCCATCGTTGCACTTAAGCTGGAGTCGGACGTTTTCGCGGGTGGCATCCTTCTCGCCGGACATCTTGACAGATTGTTGCTGGACGGAGTTTTTGTTGAAAGTTTGATTTATTGGCTAAGAAGCTTTGCGGTCAGACGCTGTGATGACGTTTGGCTTTGCCAGAGCAGACGCAGCAAAAGGTGGTGACACTTGTTGAAGAGAGAAGAGGTTTGGGAAGAGATTGTGATGGGGAGAGCTGAAATGCTGGCTATTTACCTTGACCGATGGATAGGAGCTGTGGAAGGAAGTGGGTGGTGGGAGACTGGCGATGATGGGAAAGTATGAACAGAGGAAGCGACGTTGGTGGTTTGGTTCAAGTCAGGCGGCGGCGTGGGGTTTGGAAGTTGAGAGGTGGAGGTGCAGTGGGGCCTATCAGGCGCTGCCTGGAACGTAGGCAGGCAAGCAGGGGTCCTCGGGACAAGTCTACCAGAAGGTGCAGTTGCAACTTCAGGCAGAACTCGACTACCCAACTCCTGCCGCTCACGCTCAATACTGACTGGCAAGGACAGGGAAAGAAATTCTGAGGCTGCTCAGGAATTGTGATGGCGGGCAGGAAATGTGAGCAAGGTCGGGAGGCCCAGACCCAGTAATGCTCAAAGTGTAGTGAGAAAGGAGCAATGGATGACTTACTGGAGGGTTTGCTTGGCTGCGTAGTCAACGACGATCAACAGTGCCAAATGGTGGTTGATCTTGCAGAAAAGATAGCTTTGCTGTTGACTCTTGCTGTTGGTAGGTGGATGCAAGCAGTTGGCAAGGCGTAGCAGGATCAAGAGGTGGTAGGTTTAAGTAGGTGTCCAGCGGTGATTAGTTGGGTGAATTAAGACGAGCAAGTGAAATAATAGAAAGGAAAGTGATTCAAAAGAAGTCTGGGTTGAAAGAGTGACTTGCACACAACTTTATCGAGCATCAAAGCGCACAGCACTACGAAGGTACTTAGGTACTAAGGTGTCTTCTAAGGACGCTTAGGACGGTCTCATGGCAGCAGGAACCGGCCAACAATGAAATCTAGGGTTTATGGGAGGAAGCGAAGGGAAGGCCACAGCAGCCCTCAAAGAGGCCTTTTGGCCTGAAGATTATGCCAGGGTCTTACTTGAGGCATCCTAAAATTGGCAATGGGGCGGCCTGCTGGGCGACATTGCAGGCGGCCCGATTTACAATCGAAAGATCTAAAGTCATCCCCTTCTGTGAGAGAGAAACCCGAACAGTATATCCACGGCACCTAGGACAATAACCTTAGAACAGAGAGGGTAAAGTGTAAGCGTCGCACAACCACGTTGTTAAGGCAGCCCTGGAATGTCTGTGTTGAGCATCTGTGTGCGCAAGGGTGCAGCAATCCCAATCCGTTCCACGTGTTACTAATTGGCCAAACGTTCTAGTCATAGCAGGACAGAGTGCTGCCTGCAAACAAAGCATCTATCCAAGGCGAGGAGGCTGGAGAAAGCCTTGTGGATGCCTTCGAAATGTTCCGCATCGGGAACCTCAGATGCGCAAGATCCACCTTCAAGGCTTCTGCGGGTGATGCGCTAACCCATTGGGCCACGGGAATCTCCTTTTCAGGTTGTCTGGCCCTGATGGGTGGGCTGCCAATGCTGATCTCTCCAACACCCCCGGCCCCAGCTGACGGCTCGCTAGCGTCTGATTGTCCAGCTACCACCCCTGCCCGATGCCAGCTGAGGCCAGTCCAGTCGACTGTATCTCCCAAACATGTGGCCTCGTCGCTTGACGGGGCTCCTGACGTTTTCATAAACAAACCTACTGATCAGACGATCCAGCCCTGCTTCTTGTGAAGACAGCCGTCGCGACGTCTCTCGACCCTTTCGATCCTCCCTCCCTCTCCCCTTCCCAATATGCCGTATGCAGCCTGCTTGCCCACGGTCGAGAACGCCCCCTTGAAAGCTGAGATAAGGCCTCGCAGATGCTTGAGCTGGAATCTCTAGGAAGAAGTCGAGGTCAACATGTGGCGCCGCACATACCTATTTCTTCTCGTCGTCCGGCTATGGTTTGCTCTGTCCCCGAGCTATCTACACCCCGACGAGAACTTCCAAGGCCCAGAAGTCATTGCAGGTAAGACAACGGCTCCTCGCTTCTGCTTCCACGTAGCCCTCCTGGGCGCGTGTCGCAATATCGTCACGGCGCGACTCAGGCCGTGCACCCCCTGTCGCAGAATGGAACGGACTCCAAGTGATCATCCTACATCAGCTTCAGCTAACCAGTATATCTGTACAGGCGAGATTTTCAAGTATCCCGTCCGACTTACATGGGAATTCACCAGCGAGAACCCGATCCGAAGTGTATTTCCGCTATGGCCGATATATGGGCTTCCCATGCTCCTCCTCCGGTGGCTGTGGATAGGAAACGGTAACGATGGCGAAGTTCCTCCAATAGCGGTGTTCTGGACTCTCCGCGCTCTCATGTTCATCCTCAGCTTCGTCCTCGAAGACTGGGCTATACATGAGCTTGTCCAGTCGCCACGGCATCGCCGGGTCGCCGTTCTTCTTGTCGCCTCGTCCTATGTGACGTGGACCTACCAGACGCATACATTCTCCAACGCAATCGAGACGTTGGTCGTCGCTTGGAGCTTGGTTCTGATAGAGCGGACTATCGCAATACCCGTAAACACTGTATGTTGGAATGATGCTGCTTGTGTACATGGTCGCACGGGGCTGACTGTTTTGTTCCAAGCTACAAACTCCTCTCCTGGCACCCGCTCTACTCGGGTCGATGGTGGTTTTTGGTTTCTTCAACAGGATAACTTTTCCGGCTTTCCTCCTCATCCCTGGCCTCCGGTTGATCCCTTACTTTTGGAGGAGGCCTCTTGCACTTGTAGCGACGGTATTCTCAGCGCTTTTCACAGCATTCATTGCAATTTCTCTGGACACGGCATTCTACAGCAGACATCAGATCTCTTGGACCGATTTGATATGGCACCCCATCGTCACGCCTTATAATAATCTCATGTACAACATCTCTCCATCGAACCTGGCGCAGCACGGCATACATCCATGGTATCAACATATTCTTTTTAATCTTCCCCAGCTGATTGGCCCGGCGGCCATTCTCCTATTTACTCGACCGCACCTGTCGCTGCGCCTATACTCTGCGATCTCAGGCATATCCGTTCTTTCGATATTTCAGCACCAGGAGGCTCGATTTCTCCTCCCTACGATTCCGTTGATACTCTCGTCAGTGAGACTCCCACACCAGCAGAAGGTTTTGCGGCTTTGGACTGTGACGTGGATCATATTCAACCTTATCTTCGGCATCCTGATGGGTATATACCATCAAGGAAGTATTGTCCCGGCACAGGTTTTCATGAGCAAACAGTCCGACGCGACTAGAGCAATATGGTGGAAGACGTACATGCCGCCGATCTGGCTCTTGGATGGCAAGGCCGAGACACTGGAGACTCGCGATGTCATGGGGATGCCAGGAGTAGACCTTTACGCAGAGCTCATGAATATCGCAACATGCGACGTTCCGGCGGACCGACGGAATCAAGAATACAAGAAGGAGCCTAACGGAACTTACCTCATCGCGCCGACGTCAGCTACTTGGTTGGACCCCTATCTGGAGAACAAAGGACTGGAGGGGCTGAGGTTCCGGGAGGTATGGAGGCACAGACATCATTTAAATCTCGATGATTTAGATTTCGCGGAAGATGGCGTCTGGGACACTCTCAAAAGGGTCATTGGGAGGCGAGGCTTGGCCATATGGAGGGTCACAAAATCATGCAAGCGATGAGGGTGGGAAAATGTTTGGAAAAGGACCGGATTAGATACTCGTAGATACCCCCATTTCCCTTTTCACGAATCGACGAAATACCCATTTGACGGATTAGAATACACTCATTGAATCGAAAACTCATCCATTTCAAGGTAGTTATGAATCCTGACCGTCCCGGGTTCTAAACCCCAATCCCGTATTGCACCCAAAACCAGCTTATGTAATTGTGCTCGTAATTCGGCCTCGACTACTCGTTGCTGAAGCTCCCCACTTCAGTCGAAGAGCTTAACCAGCTGCAAGACATCCAAAAGGGTTACTTCAACCGACTCACGAGATTGATCTTATTGCATTTCACGCTCCTTAAACCGTCAAACGAATTTTTAACAATCTCAACATGGGCGGCTTCAGACTCGAATTTTTCAAGGTAACATACCCGCCCTCCGCTCGCGCCAATCCCCTCCATGGCTAACTGGTGATCGCTTAGTTCGGCATGTACCTATTCTTTCCCATCGCCTTTATGGGATACTTTGGCGTCAACCTCGACTCACGCTTCGCCGTCCCCGACTTCTGGCCCAAGCCCGAAGAAGCGAACAAGGTGCCGACTGAACGCGAAGAGATCAAGGCCGAGCTTGAGAGGTTAAGGGCCAGGAGACTCTACCTGCGGGACAAGAGAATGGCAGAGGAGGCGAGAGAGCAGGCTGCGAACCCGCTGCAGGAGGTGGAGCAGATACAGAATCAGGAGCCTCAGGCGCAACCCCAACAGAAGAAAGGCTGGTTCTGGTAGAATGTGGAGAGATCCCAGCCCGACGGGTCGAGGACCGCGGGCGATACTTCGGATCGAAGAAGACAAAAAACAACACCACTCAGTGCAAAGATTTACGGCGCATGGACAAGGAAAAGGCAGGGGCGGTATCTGGGTTGGAGAATGGCGTATTGTGCAAACCCGACACATTTGACTGGGTGAAGATGCACATTTATTATACAATTGTTGTCATGAGGTCACCTACGAATCCAGGCTGTCCTCGAAGGCCGCCCACTCTTCGTCGGGCACGCTTCCACCCTTCGCGGCGTTCGAGTATATAGCTTGGACCTCTGGGAATTCCGACAAGGCGTCCACGAAGGCCGACAGGTTCTGCACGTCCTCGATCGAATCGACCGTCGACCGCGTCTCCTCGTTGGGTGACCAAATTATCTCGGAGCTTAAAATCTTCAGATCAAACTTCTTTGCAACCCCCTGGGCTATCTGCATCGTCGAGCTCGGCTGCGACCACACGATCATGTTGCCCTCGTCGTCAGCCTCCAAGTCCTCTGCACCAAGCTCGATGGCCTCGTCCATGATCTCGTCCAAGCCGATCTTGTCGTGCTGCTCGAAGACGACCCGCCCCAGCCTGCTGAAGAAGAATTCGGTGGTGCCGGTCCTGCCCTTGTGTTTGCGTATGATGCCGCCGATATCTTGCAGTGCGCGGAGCTTGTTGTCGGTCTCTACATCCAGTATGAAAGCGTTGGAGCCAATCATCACCTCGAATTTCATCGTCTCGAGTGTGGTGCCGGACAGGGAGCGGCCCTGGCCCCGCGCGATCGCCTGATCGATGACATTCTTCGGTGTGCTGGCCTTCTTGGCTACTGCGATTGCATTGGCGAGGGAGGCGTTCAAATTTGGGTCTGGACCGTACACTGCATTGTTATGTATGTGAGCATGTGAACACTAGGCAGGGCTAGGGGACATCGAACTGTGAATAAGACGAACATTTGGAGTACAACGTTATGGCTTGGACGAATATTGTGCGTTCAGAGGTCTTCTTTTGGTCTGCCCTGCCTTTGGTGTGTTTTATCTTAGACCATTTATTGTGCCCAGATTGTACAATTGTCGTTGTTGAGAACGCGCTGCGGCATCGTGGGCACACTGGCGCAGGCCGTGCGGTTTGGATGAGTTGCGGGAGCAGCCTCAAGGTCTTTAGTCGGCAAGCCATTGTCAATGATTGCAATTACAAGTCAAGTTTCGGAAATTCAATGTACATGACAGCAGTTTGGAGCCTACGATATGCACCCAGAGAGCTCCAGTGGCGTGCGGGAAGCTTTTCCATCATGCAAGCAGCATTCTTAGAACATGCAGTAATTCTGGCGACCCGCGCTGGTGGAGCCGCTGCCAACCGATTGGAGCGACAGCGGCGCTAGAAACAGGGGTCAACTGCACTGACAGTCGGTCCAGGGTGGGATGCTGCCAGCTGGAATGTCCATGTCCATGTCCGTCTTTCTCCAGTCTTCCACTTCCGAATGCTTTGTTTGGGCGAGTACACACCTTTGATACCCATACACAACTCGCAACGTCGACTCACCCCCCAACCATGTCCTCAGAGCCGGCGCCAGAAGCTCCTGTCCAAACCACTTCCGAGAATGCCCCTCGACCCTCAGTGACAGCCATCTCGACGCCAGAGCTCGAGCTATCTAAGCTTCAAGCCTTACCCGCAGAGCAACAGGACCTTTTCCTCCTGACCTTCGTTTCGACCCTGACGAAGCATGTGCTCTCCCTATCCGCCGACGACTGCACTGCGCAGCAGTTCTACCTCAAAAAGGAGATCTTCCAGATCCTAAATCTCCCCACGCCACCGCCAACCCGTGTCATACGGAATAGCCTGGGGAAATGCCTGGCCCATATATTCGAGAAAGGAGACCGGAAGCTCCTGGTCGAAACGATTAACGATCTAGTAGCCATAATAACGAGCGGAAAATCTAAGGGCGAGGGAGAGGTGCGCGCCAAACATGCTGCCGTTTCTTGTCTCGGGGACGTCTTCGCGGCGGCCGGCGACAGCACCACCCACTACCACCAGCTGGCTTGTACGGCACTGCTGAAGCTCCTGAAGAGCTCGACGAATCATGCCGGCCTCCGCGCAGCGTGTTTCACGGCGCTTGGGAAGATCGCAAAGATGGTTGCCGGCATGATGGACGAGTCCATCGCAAGAGACATATGGAAGCAGGGCCGAAACCACGCCTCTACGGATAAGGGAGCCCTGGTCGGCGCAGCGGCTTGCCGATGTCTTCGGTCTTTGATGCGGAACACAAACTATTTCAAGAACACGAGTGATTTCGACAAGGTTCAGACGGCTATGTTCAAGACCTTTGAGCATACATCGTCGACCACCCGACGAGCGGCTGCTGAGTGTCTTGCCGAAGCCTTTGTCAGAGGCTACTCTGAGTCTTCTGCTGGAGAAACGTTTCAGGAAATCTCGGTCAAGAAACCAAAGTCCAAGGCAGCGAAACGCCAGTCAATGGGACCAGGCGCACTGCAGGATGAAGATGACATACCGTCGAGGCCTGGAAGCCCCGCGCCCACCAAAAGAAACCCAAATCTGGCACTGTCGCCCGGAGACATGTTGAAATCGCTATCTACCCAGTACGGGCGCATGGCGACGTCCAACAAGGCCAGGGCCGCCATCGGGATATGCTATGCCACGCTGCTACAGCGACTTGGGGAGAAGGCTGTGGAACTTAACTACCTCAGGATTGTCGAAAACCTGACCCTGGACTTGCTCGGCAATCCCAACATCACAAATAACCGTTACCGTCTTCTCATCTCTCGTCGCGTTGTCGACCATTTGCTACAAGACGTCGTAGGCAAGAAGATACTTGGCGAGACTGGGCAGTCACATGCTGCCAAAGTCTTGATCAACGAAATCCTCAAGAATTACCCGCAAGCATTGAAGGAGCGGCCGGAGCCAACTAAGAACATGCTGATCGCCGCGATGGGAGCGCTTGGCTCTCTAATGATCTCGCTTGGCTCAGCGTCAAACACATTTGCCGAATCTGCCAGGGATGCATTGTTGCAAGTCCTCCAGCACCCGAGCTACACAGTTCAGGTTTACACTTCGGCATGCCTCAAGACATTTGTCCTCGCGTGTCCGCAGCAGTTGCTCCCCTGCCTTTCAGTATGTATGAACAGCTTGAGCAGGGAACTCGGAGTGCTGGGAACCGGGCGGAATTCTCAACGTAAATGCACTGGCTTCTCCCATGGCCTAGCTGCCACGCTCAGCGCAAGTCCATCCAGGCCGCTGTACGGCTCTGTCGATATCAACAGCCGTGTTCTGACGATGGCGACCAATTTGCTGAAAACCAGTGGGAAGCAAGAACTTCGTGTTGCCAGTACGCAGATCCAAGTTGCTTGGACACTGATCGGAGGTCTCATGTCATTGGGGCCCAACTTTGTCAAGATTCATCTGTCTCAGCTGCTCCTGCTCTGGAAGAATGCGCTGCCAAAGCCACTTGCGAAGGACAATACGTCGGCACGAAACTATCTAGAGGCATCCTTCCTTGCACACGTTCGAGAGTGTGCTCTGGGATCCATACTGGCATTTCTGGAGTACAACAGTCGACTGTTGACGGTCGACGTGTCTAAAAGGATTGCGACCATGCTGCAAAGCACGACCGCCTTTTTGAAGACTTTGCCCAAGAAGAAGACATCAGATGACATTTCGGAGAGACTGGCCCCGGCCCTGCAGCTTCTTGACATCGAGATGATGGTGCAGAGACGTGTCATGCAATGCTACATAAAACTTGTGAATACGAGCCCAGCTGGAGGCAGTGAGGCTCTCTTGCAGTCGAATCTCCTCACGTTGGCAATTTCGCTATTTGCCGACCCGGAAAATTACTCTCCCAGCTCATTGAGTGCGGCTATTGCGAGCTCCGCCGGCACATTCGAGACTATCTGGGATGTCGGTGACAACTCTGGATATGGTGTCACCGGACTCGTCACTGGATTCAGTGTCAAGAGGCTGCCCGGACAGCACGAAAGCGCAGTGGAGCAATCCCTTACAGAAGACAACAGCCCTGAAGACGCAATGGAGAATTTATTGCTGTCCCCTGTATGTGGCGCACTGGAGCATGACGCATCTACCCTTTACATTGGCGGACAGGAAGCGTTCAACTGTTTGACCAATCCCCCGGCTACCGAGGTCGTGAACATGGCTATCCAGTTGTTTGCGTTCGCATTCCCGCTTACGCCAGCCAAAGTCCAGGAGAGTATTCTGGAACAAATTGCCTCGTTCATGGCAGCAGGCTCAGGCGAGCGTGACGCCGCGCGGAAAGCGGCCATCAAAGTCAATGTGGCGACTGCATTTCTGTCGACGCTGAAGGTCGCCGTCAAGGAGACGAAATCGCCTCCAGGAGATGTAACCAATCTGCAAGTCGAGAAGCTGCTTCAAGACATGATCAGGGGTTTCGTGCTCGACCAAGATCAGTATGTGAGAAGCTTAGGCTACGCAGCTGTTGCCCGCCTATGCAACGCTTGCGGCAATGCTTTCACAAACTCAGAGATCAAGTTCCTCGTTGATACAATCGTGGTCAACCGAGAGCCTAGTGCCAGAGCAGGATGTGCTATGGCACTAGGTTGCATTCAAGCCAAAGTTGGCGGCATGGCTGCTGGGTATCACCTCAAGACTATCCTTGGTATACTCATGTCACTCTGTAACGATCCGCATCCGACAGTGCATTTCTGGGCTCTGGAAGCCCTGGCACGTGCTGCCGATGCAGCTGGCTTGGGTTTCTCTCCATACGTCTCAAGCGCGCTTGGAATGCTTGCTCAGCTCTACGTATCTGACACGCACAACCCAGAGGTCGCATCTGCGATCTCCATGAACCTGGAATTGGAGCTGTCCACTACGGCATCTATTACACGATGTGTTGACTCCCTGATTAACGTGCTTGGCCCGGACTTGCAGGATATCAGCAAGTCCAGGGAGCTTATACTCACCTTGGTCGGATATCTTCAAGAGGAAGAAGACACCCAAGTTCAAACTGCAAGTCTTGGGTGTCTGGAACACCTATCTCTCTATGCGCCAGGGTATATGTACTTCGCCGATTACGTGAAGTTGCTCCAGAAGTACCTGAACACGGGTCATTCTGCACTACGAGACGTCGCGATTGACGGTATTTACAACATCATGAAGCGCGACCCACACGATGTCATACGAGCTGCAGAACCAGGTTTGGAGGACCACCTGTGGCTCGCACTCGACGCAAACCCAGACCACGATGGAATTCGAAATATCATCCAGAACTGGATGCGCCAGACCTGCTTGACAGACACAGCGGATTGGCTTCAGAGGTTTCAAGGCGTGTTGAAGCTCACAAGACCCAAGGCCGCCGCCGATATCCAGGGTTTGACCAGGAAGGCTACTGCAGCCCTTGACATACAGGATGAAGAAGTGGCTGGGTTCGCGGCTGCGGGCGGCGTAGCGAAGGATGACAAAGAGGGTGGTTCGGGATCCGATGTGGAACCACTGAGGTGGCAAGTCATTGCGTTTGCGATGACTCTCCTCAACGATGTCTTCATTCTCATCAACAAGGATGTCATGACGAATGGAGAGTCAGCAGCCCAGCTGGCGCTGCAGTCCAGGATCGCAGATGTTGTTCGCATGGCATTCTCTGCCTCTACTTCTGGTGTCCTCGAGCAGCGCATTTGGGGCCTCAAGATCATCGGTGCAGTGCTAAAGATGTTTGGAAAGACCCCTGATCCGGACTTTGACGAGGCAATGCTTTTGGAGCAGTACCAAGCTCAGATTAGCTCTGCACTGACGCCCGCATTCGCTGCTGATTCGTCGCCCGAACTGGCGTCAGAGGCTGTCAATGTGTGTGCAGCTTTTATTGCCACTGGCATTGTCAAGGACGTCGATCGCATGGGTAGGATCCTAAAGACTCTTGTGAGCGCTCTCGAGAACTTTGCCACCGAAAATGACAACGCCGGTATAGGCGAGCTGAAGGGACTGAGCTCCAACGCCCAGGTCATGGTCAAGATGGCTGTCTTTTCGGCTTGGGCAGAATTGCAAGTTGCAAGTACAGAGCAACCCTACTTGCTTGAAGTGTTGAAAGCGCACATTGGCATGTTGACTCCACTGTGGCTGGAGTCGCTCAGGGAATTCGCTCGACTCAGGTTCGAGCCGGACATTTCGATGACACTGGGCCCACCATCGTTGTCCGGTAGTCTGGACACTATCTACGCGGCTCTCAACCGAGAAACGCTACTTAAGTTTTATCAGGACTCGTGGTTGAAGCTTGTGGATGCCATCGCAAGTCTGATCGGACAGGACAGCGAATTCGTGTTCGATGCGCTCGATGGCAAGACGACTGCAGACGCTGCGACTAATGGCCATTCCAGGGGGTCAGATATCAACTACCGCGACGAGCCATTGGCATTCTTCTTCGTGCTTTTTGGTATCGCGTTCGAGGCTCTTGCTGCTAAACCGGGCCAAGCAGACTCGCTTGCTCGTCAGGAGCAAACACTCGAGATCCTGCAAGCTCTTAAGAAGATCCTGCATCCGAGTGTCTCCGGTCATGCAATCTACAGAGAGGCCATCTTCTCGGAGACTATGGATCTCCTGGATCGGCTTGTGTTGACTGATGGCTTGGACGTGCAAGGCGTCATTGTGGAGATTGCCAGAGCGCTCTGTGTCGCGCATCCTGCGGCCAGGAAATCGGCGGAGGAAGACAATGGCGAGCTTTCCGAGGATATCGAGCAGCTCTTTGAGTTGACACGTATTATCGTGCTGGTGCTGGCCGGGCTTTTGCCCAATCTGACAGAAGCGAACCAACCGGTCCGCCATGTCCTGACCGAAGAGGCTATTCTGCTCATCCGTACTTCCTTGAACGCCCTGGTCGATGCTGCTGAGGTCTTCCCAGCTGTCATCAAGACGGACTTGCATGCTTGCCTGATCCACATTTTCGCCACAATTTTATCGACACCCTCGTGCCAGGAAATTATTGTACCGCAATCTCTGCCAACACTGAAACGCTTCCTCGCAACTATGGCTGGCCCGCGGGAGGGAAACAGTGGCCCTACAGATGTCCAGCTTCAGGGCTGTTTGCGACGATTCTTGTCAATTTACCTCCACTCGCAGAGACGGGAAAGGCCGACAGACCTCAGCAATGTCAAGAACAGCCTTCTGGCTATCACCATCCTGTTCACAGGCGGGCAGAATCACCTCTCCGCCAACGACCCCATCGTGGCCAAGTTCCTGGAGGAGTTGGTGGATTGTCTCACGGATCGCATGGTAAGTTGCTCCAGTTGATCCATCGCCTGCTTTCTATTAACATTGAGTACAGACTGCGAAGATTGCGACGAACTGCGTTCGGTCGCTGCTCCTCCAAAGCAAGCCAACCGTGGCCGATGAAACCATCTCCCGGTTCCTCCTACCGCGCCTGATCGCCTTCGTGACGACCACAGACCGCGAGGACCCGGAGCATGCGCGCTCTCTGGTTGCACACACGCTCTCGCAGTACGTCGGCGTCGTGTCCAAAGATCACATAGCCATCGCCATGTCGCTGGTGCTCCCCACGCTGCTGTCGCGCGCCGCGAGCGAGGGCCCAGAGGACAAGAACATCTACCGCGAGACGAGCGCGCGGCTGCTGGAGCTGGCGTCGGTCGAGCAGGCCAGCTTCAGGGGCATCGTGGCGGGCATGAGCGACGGCCAGAAGGCGTTCATGGAGGAGGTAATCAAGAGCGGGAGGACGAATGAGAACGTCGAAAAGGAAACCGACTCGGGCTCTGGGCAGCCTACCATCGCGCTCAAGATGAACTTTGGTGGCAATTGATGAAAGGCTAGATGCACGGCCGAGATGCAGTCTATTTGTTACGCTACATTGATACCATGACTTAAACGCATATATACAACCAAATTCACAGTTACAGACGTGTATAGCAATGTAGTGCATACAATGCGATTATGAATTGATCTACTCCTTCTCAGATCGGTTACTCAGCTAACGTTTCGCGACGAAAATGTGACACGAGACGCTTGTGGTAGGCTGCTAATGTTTTCTTTACAATCGTGTGTTGTGTACAACTGCAAGCCAGTAGGAACTGAGGCCAAGTGTTCGGGAAGACCGATTGCAGCTGCAGGTCAGCAAAGCCAGAGGCAGATGACTGTGCACTTCGTCGACCGCCAAAGCTGCAATCGCGGAAGCACAGCACCAATCCTAGCGAGTTTCTTTACGAGTTTGCAACGCCGCATTTGGCACGCAACGTTAACGTTGATATATGTTCTATCTCTCAACCCGGGGTATCTCTATGCACTGTGTAGTGTGAACATATACATCTCTTCCTAGTTCGCCGCCAATATCTCCGCGGCGTCCGGCGCCTGGGCCACGTCCCTGCTGCCGTCGCTCTTCCTGATGGCTGCGGCCTCCTGCTTCTCCTTCTCCTCTTCCTTCTTCTCCTTCTGCGAGACGACGTTACTGACCCGCAGCACGAGGAGCGACAGAGTCACCATGAAGAATAGGCCGGTGACGGCGCGCCGTGCCAGAACCCAGCGCACGGCCTCGATCTCGGACTTGGATTCGCTGTTCAGTATGACGCTAATCTTGTAGGCTATTTGTTGGGTCTGTGGGAAGGTTTCCGTGTTAGTTCACCAATATCGATGCCATGCAATCGACTCACTAGGCCCCCAAGGGAGGTGAGGGGCTGGGGACGGGTGTCAAAAACTCACGGCGCTCTCTGCGGCCTTCTGCTCCTCTCTGACGGCCATCTTCCGGTCGTTGAACATGCCCTTGACGTTATCGCTGAGCGTGGCCAGCTCCTGGTTCAGCACCTGGGTCGTGTTGTCCACCTCGTGCTGCAGGAATGTGCGCTGCTGGCGCAGCTGCTCATCGAACACGCGCTGGTTGTTCTTGACCTCGGTGCCGAGCTCGGCGCACGCGGCGCGGAACAGGTACGTCTCGTTCTCGACGTCGCTCTTGCTGATCAGCCCGCCCTGCGCCTTGTCCAGGTGCAGCGCGAGCAGCGCGCGCACCGCCTTCATCGCCGTGATGGCCTGCGTCTGCGTGAACCCGCCCACCTCGAGCTGCTTGACCAGCGAGTAGCTGTCGAAGTGGTGGACGTAGGGGGCCGGCGCGAGTCGCGGGGGTTTGTCTTCGGGTTTCTGCGCCTCGGGCGGTTCCATGTGCAAGACTGCGTCCATTGGCCCGCTTGCGCGCTTCGCCTTGGGGGGCCCCTCCTGACCCTGTGATCCGGAGCCGCCTTCTTCCTTTTGCTTCTCTGAGGAGGAGACGCCTGGTGAGCTGAGAGTCTCTTTGGGTTTATCCGTAGCTGGATCCAGGGCTTTCGCGGCGTCCTTCTTCTGCTGGGGTGTGCTCTCCCTGGCGCCTGTTCCCCCAGTGCTCTTCTCGGGAGCGGGAGAGGACCCAGCTGACGCCTTCATATCCGACTCAAGGACTGGCGCAGCCTGTACCTTCCCCAGTGGCTGCTTCGAACCCGTCATGTGCGATTCGAGGGCGGGAGCATCCTGTACGGAGCCCAAGGGCTTGGGCTCGATGCCCTTGCCCGATCGAGGCGCGAAGCTCGCCTTCTTGGACGTCGTGGAGGTTCCAAAGGGCGCTGTAGCATGTCGAGGCTGGTGGGAGGAGCCGTTGGGAGCGGGAATGGCTCGTCTCCGACAACGGCCGCTTCTGCTTCCTGCGGCAGACTCGCCCAGTCTCGCAGTGCGAAACAAGTGCGGGTAGAGAAAACTCAGCCTCTGGGTTGACATGGTAGGCGATAGGGGGCGGAGATCGGAATCTAAACGGCCTGGTGCTACGCCATGGAGGAGGAGGATTGTTTCTAAGGCTGGCGAGGGGTGAGTAAGTAGTCAGGACAGCTGGCAAGCAGTGGTTTAAAATGCCGAGCTTAGGTGTGGATCTCGTGGATCTGGCTCGCACTCCGTCATGCAGATTGAAAGTAGCAGTAAAGTTGGATTCCCACCTATCCGCCCAGCATGCCCGGTGCACGTGGCGCCCCGTGCAGTGTGATCTGGCATGCCCAGGCGTGCCAGGCAGGGTCTCGGGCCTGGACTCAGGACCCCCAACGTGCCCCAAGTGCCACCCCGAGCTTAACGGGCGGCAATTCGGGGCTGGATCCCTGTCTGGGATTGATTAGGGGCTCAATGGAGTAAAGTAAGGGCTGGCCTGCAGAAATGACGACGGACTTGCACTTTCTTGGACATTGGACACCTTTGTTGGTCCAGAACAGGCCTTTGATTTTTCCTGCCAGCCTCAACAGTCTTGCGAACAGGCTTGAGCAGTCTCAACGACGATCCTGTCAAAAGTTTCTTTTATGTAGGACAAGCTTGTTCGTTCTCCCACGACAGCACGCTTCGCTGCCACAACTATGGATTGCCAACAGCTACGATGCGACTTCGACTCATGAGCCCTTCCTCCCTCTGGGCCCTCTTCCTCCTTGGGCCCCTCGGCCTATCTGCCGGACATGGCTCCACCGGCGCCTCACTAGGTGCTTCCACCGGACTCTGCGAGGCCAGGACAATCAACTACATTACCCACACTCTTCCACAGCTCTGTCTGCCAACAGCGTGGTCTGCATCGCAACCTACGGCCTCGAGCAATGCTTCCTCAGCCACTGTAACATCTTCGCCCGGCTCTACGACTGAGGCCCCAGCGGCGACACAGAGTGTGCATCGGGAAGAAACTTCACCGGGGAATAGCACCCAGCCCGACGCATCGACCGATCAGAATGCCAAGCAGGAAAAGCGAGGCACACATGGCGAGGACACAACAGCTAAGCAGGCGGAGGAAGATGCCGAGGATCTTGCCACGGGGTCGTTCATGTCCTTTGATGAGTGGAAAGCTATGATGCTGAAGAAGTCGGGTCAAGACCTAGCCGATCTGAAAGACAGGAAGCGCCGCGAGGCCCGAGAGGCTGATCCCAGCGTGGGCGGTGGTCTCGATGGCTGGGGTGAGGACGGCGAGATCTCGCTGGACTTTGACGTTTTGTCGGACAAGATTTCCGAGATGACGGCCACTGCTAGTTCCAGGAGCGGCACTGTCTCCACTGACGCGCCAAGTGCAGACGTGAAGGACACGACTGTGTATGACGATGGCGTCGCCCATTATCGTCGTCCGAAGGACGCTGGAAAGACATGCAAAGAAAGATTTTCGTATTCGTCATTTGATGGTGGCGCAACGGTTCTGAAGACCAGCCCTGGTGCCCAAAACGCCAAGGCGATCCTCGTTGAAAACAAGGATTCCTATATGCTGTTCACATGCTCTCAGGAGAACAAGTTCGTTATTGTCGAGCTCAGCGAGGACATTCTCGTGGACACCATCGTTTTGGCAAACTTTGAGTTCTTCTCCAGCATGATACGTACTTTCCGCGTTAGCGTGAGCGACAAGTACCCAGTCAAGATGGAAAAATGGAAGGATCTGGGGACCTTTCAGGCGAGGAACTCGAGAGATATACAATCATTTCTGGTTGAGAATCCCAAGATATGGGCAAAGTACATGCGGATCGAACTGTTGTCACATTACGGTAACGAATATTACTGCCCTGTTTCTTTGCTCCGTGTTCACGGAACTCGGATGTTGGATTCCTGGAAGGATGGCGAGGCAGGCCTTGAAGACGAAGAACCAGCCGAGACGATCAGTGGTCCCGAGGCGGTCCCAGAGGAGGAGTCCGTTCACCAAAATCCCCCCGAGGCAGAGCCTGAGTCGACCCTTGCGGCAGAAACTCCAGCTCCTGCTGCAATCAACGAATCGTCTCTTGAGCACCAACTCTCTCCATGGTATCCTCCTCTGTTCAATGATTATTCATACGATACATGTGGCATTGGCACACCTACAACAACACAGACGGTTGATGTTTCTCCATCAGCTTTACCTAACAACAGCATCTCTTCTTCCTCTCGGTCTGCCCCGAGCACCATGGATGCTGGGGCTTCTGTGACGGCCGGGGATTCCACCGTCGCTTCTACGGTTGCCTCTTCGTCTTCACTGAGTTCCTCAACATCAGCCAATATCCCCTCTAATACATCCACATCATCCATTTCCCGTGCTTCAACATCCAATAGAGTTGACACCGCGGCCAACACAACACAAACCGTTCAAAAAATAGTACAAGCATCTGGTCTTAGATCATCCATGACCCCGCCGAAACCATCAGCTTCGTCTTCGACACAACAGTCGCCGTCTTCCAAATCGTCTACGAAGCAGTCTGCCGTTGGTCACTCCTCTCCGCAGTCCTCGAGAACCAGCTCCCAAAACAAGAACTCTACCGGCACTTCATCTACCGCACCCGCATCACCCACGGTCCAAGAGTCATTCTTCAAATCTGTTTCCAAGCGACTTCAATTCCTCGAGTCTAATACCACTCTTTCGCTCCAATACATCGAGGAACAGTCCAAGTTTCTCCAGGAGGCTCTAAAGAAGATGGAACGCAAGCAGATCTCACGCGTGGATTCTTTCCTCGATAATCTCAACAGTACAGTCTTCTCGGAACTGCGCAGAGTCCGCGAAGACTATGACCAGATCTGGCAGTCAACGGTGATTGCATTGGAGACACAACGCGAACAGTCGCAGCGCGACATTATCGCACTCAGGGATGAGGTCATTTTTCAGAAGCGTATGGCCATATTCCAGTCAGTACTGCTGCTTTGCTGTCTCGTCCTGGTCGTGTTCAGCCGAGGCGTCTTCGGTGGCGGTGGCAGTGGCCTGAGCGCCGACCAGTGGCCCATCACATCCACATCGCAGTTTATCAACTCGTACCTCGGCTCACCGCGCTGGCCTCCCGGCTCGCCACAATCCCTCAGTCGCTCGAATACGCCGGATCGAAATGCCAACCTGGGTACTCTCCACCCAGCAGGCGCGCAAGCTCCGGTACCCCGACAGGGACTCGCACGCCATAGGGTGTCATACACGGACAAGGTGCTGCCGCTGACACCCACGTCCGAGGAGTTCGATAGCAACGACAACGGCACGCCTCCACCACGGCTCTCACGTCCACAAACAGCCCCAAAGATCCGAATTAACGAACTCACGCCGGACGATGAGTTTTTCGAGCATGACGGGCATAACCAAGGGTCCGACGAGACCAATAATACAACACCACAGGCCTTGGAGCCTGTACGGGGAGACCCGATGTCAACGGTGGCCATCGAGGTCGGCGAAGATGAGGAGGGGGACGACGAGGACGAGTTCTCGGATAGCGCCTCCGCGCCCTATCTCGACTCGAGGGAGACGACAATTGAGCTGGAGGATGTGCGACGAATAGATGACTCTGACGGCGTTGATGATACCATAGGACCAAGCAAACCACCTCTGACACGATCACCACTGTCGGATCTGGGCACAACGTCCTCACGAAAACCTCTACCGGCCCTCCCGGAGCAAGGGCCAGGATGATAGCATACTTGATAGCGTTGTTTTGTTTTTGTTTTTTTCTTAGCGCAATAACACTGAACATTTGAGCAACTTTTCTTCGTATTGCTGCGACCTCCGCTGCGACGTCTTGCTCTACTGTTCGAGGAAAGCGCGCTGGCGCCGGAATGGTGCTAGATGCTTTATCCTTACTCTTGCCGATTGCCCCTCATCGCCTTCGTGGGGACCCGCGAGGTTTCAAGTTATGTCTGGATTCATCGTGAAGTTTCCGGTCGAGATGGACACGATCGTATGCTTTCCCTCCCCATTGTCTGCGGTCGGCGCAGACGAGTTTGATTCGCAACCTGAAGCGTATATATGTGTAACGTGTTTGTCTGAGGCGTTTCTTAACCAGGATAGCCACTTCAAAATAGGAATCTGGGGTATTCATGCCTATAGCCCAGTTCACGTGCTGTAAAAAGAAGGCATGGATATCTTGTCTTCGGGGAACAATGCTAAAGCGATAAGCTTAAAACCCCCCGAGAGCGCATCGATACAGGTGTAGTCCCGCATGGGCCTATGAAGCGGCGATGATACGCTTGGCAAAACACATGTTCCCAGCAGCCCTACGGGCAATTCAGTCGATCATGTACAATGACTGGCCGATCTGAAACTGACACATCTTGACACATAAACGGGCATTAATGAGGCTCTTTATAATCTTTAGCAGCCCTAGGCTGATCGTAGGTCTGTATAAGTCTGACCTATGGCGACTGTCTGGATTGGTGTACACCCAATAACTCCTTGGATGCAAGAGCTTCGGAGACCACAGACACGATGGTGATATCGGATGACAATAAATTATCTCCCGCGGAGAAGGCGACGGACTTGGGACTGCAGAGCAATCCTTCGTCGTCTACTCTGACACATCCTCTCGATGAGGAGGTTCAGAAGAAGCTCCTCCGCAAGACGGACCTGCTGGTTCTTCCAGCCCTTGGTATGTGGCCTCGACTTACGGTCCATACACCCGCTACTCGGACTTACACGCGATAGCTTCGTCAAACTAGAATACTAATAAGTCTTCCAGCATGTGGTCTCCTGACCCACGCCATCGACCGCTCCAACATCGGCAACGCCAAATCAGACACTCTGGAGCGCGACCTGCACCTCGTGGGCAACCAGTTCCAGCTCCTGCTGGTCCTCTTCTACATCCCGCTGACGCTCTCCTCGGTCCCGTTCTCCCTCCTAGCCAAGACCTTCAGCCCGTCGCGCGTGCTGCCGCTAGCCATGTTCTGCTTCGGCACAGTCGCGATGGCCTGCGCGGCGGCGACGAGCTTCGGCGGCCTGCTGGCCTGCCGCATGGTGCTGGGCGTGCTCGAGGCCGCCTTCCTGCCGCTGCCGAGCTACTACGGCAGCCTGTTCTACACGCGCCGCGAGCTGAGCCTCCGCATCGCCTGCTTCTTCTCGGCCGTCAACGTCGCGGGCGCCGTGTCCGGGCTCATCTCGTTCGGCGTGTTCCAGTGGCGGGGTCGCGCGCTGGCCGGGTGGCAGTACCTGTTCCTCATCGAGGGCGCCATCACGGTGGGCATGTCGCTCGTGCTCTTTGCCGTGCTGCCGCGCAGCATCGAGTCGAGCCGCTTCTTCTCGCCCGAGGAGAAGAAGCTCGCCCGCGCGCGGCTCGAGGAGGGCACTCTCGACGCCGGCGAGGAGCTGGAGCGGTTCCGTTGGGCAGACGCGCGGGCCGCGCTGCTGCAGTGGGAGAGCTGGGCCTTCACGCTCATGGCCCTTAGCTTTGGCGTGGCGCTGACGGGCGCAGCAAACTTCCTGCCTTCCATGATTAGGCGCCTCACCAGGGACTCAGTCCGCGCAAACTTGTTCACCATCGGACCGCATCTCACCGCCATGGCCTGCCAGCTGGGGGCCACGTTCCTCAACAACCGTATTCAGCAGCGTGCTGTGCTGATCTCCTCTTTCGCGACGGTTGCTTGCTTGGCATGGATCCTGCTCGCCTCGATGAACCTCTCCGGCGGCAAGGTCGACGTGGGATATTTCCTGACGTACCTCCTGATGGCAGGTACATTCACGCCGCCGCCGCTGGTGGCTGAGTGGATCGCGAGCAACAGCCCTACATCCACGGGAAGAGCGATGCGTCTGGGCATGTTTGCTACTGCGATCCCGATGGGCGGTATAATTAGTTCCGTTGCTTTCCGCGCGCAAGACGCACCGGTGTACCAGAGAGGCCTGCTCACCTGTGCGTCATTCATTGCGTTGCTGGCGTTGCTGGCTGTCGGTATGAGGGCACACTTTGCGAGGCTTAACCGGAGAATGGATCGTGGGGAGGTGGCTAGTATCGATCCAGGGAGACAAAGGCCAGAGTGGAGGTATGCTATATAGGTATCGCTTGAATGGAAGACAGAATTGTATATGAAACTTCATGCACTGAAAACATTATGGCCTTCCTTGCCGTTTCCACTTCTTCGACATATGTATCTGGCTAACCTCTCAACAGCCTTCGTTCAGAGCTTCTTCCTCTCATGGAATTTGTCAGAAATTTCCAGGAGGGACTAGTATCAGCAAGTGATCACTAATTTTGACATCTATCTATACCACGGATTGTTTGTCGAACCCGAGACCTGCAGTTGCTTTGCCCTCCAGCATACTTAATATGAATAATTACGCAAAGATAATGTTGCAACTGACTATGATTGTCTAAATTCAAACGATCATTGAATCTCTCTTTCATCAAGTATGAAAGGGATATCTCAAGTGTTGCATACGTGCAATTTCCGCATTCATAAGACAAACAATCCATCCCGACGACTTCATCGAAGATTTGTGGTGACAGACTTGAAAATAATTGTAAAATACACACGGCGGCTCTTACCTTTTGATTTCACTTTCTTCCCTGGCGTTCATTTTGGAGACCTCATCTCTTGCCTTTCAGCTTTGCCATATGATTTCAAAATGCTTTGCCTAGATACGGATGGTCTTTGAGATCCATTAATAGTCCCCGAGGCCTCGGTAAGGAATCCGCCAAGAATCACAACTCCAAATCATCCCTATTTCGACCGAGAGTGGCTTTCATACCACATGGGAGCAATTTGGCGGCGATTACGTGCCTCTATTTAGGAAAATTCGCTCTGGTGTGCCCTTTCCCTGTCTATTTCTTTGATCAAAAAGAAAATGTGAGTTATCTCCACCGAAGATGTCTAAGTCATTTAGCATGGTGATGATGTTTGTTCCCCAAGATGAAAATACAGTGTCAATGGCGCAAACATCTGTCAAAATTGGAGGCAGAATAACGATTAAGGGCCGAAAGAAGCAAATTCTATGCCGCCTGTGTTTGGTGAGTTTCGATGAGCGATGGTCCAAAGCCGCCGAAGTCCTGCGTCGAGCTGAGGAAAGACATGTCAACAATTTACTCGACTGCAATACTCGCGATCTTGCTTCATTTTCTACCCAAGTCTTTCTCCTGGGAGCCGTAAATCTCATGTAATACGCTAATTCATGAGAGAGTTACTTGATGCGTTGCAAAAGTCCTGTGTCACGCAGCTAAAGACATCTGAACGTCAATGCTGCATTTGAGTGAGAGAGATAGAGCGCAGCAAAAAGAATTTATTGTGAGTAGGTGGGTGAATAGTTGAGTTTTAGGCTACATCCCAGCAGTGACTACCCTCCAAGTTCTATGAGACTGGTGCCATCGACATAGAACGACGCACGTGGGCTGATGTCTTTCATGCTTTTGCCAGACGTATCGCCAACCCCAACTGGCTCCTAGGCCAAGACACTCCACTCTGTGAGACCAATATCTAGCACACCTCTTGGCAGAAGATGCAGAAAATGTGGGCCAACATGCCATACGCAACATCAGTAAGATTGGTGAAAGGCCTGGTTGCACCACACAAGCATTTGGCAAAAAAAAAAAAAGACTTTTGGTTGCTGGATAAAGATTGCCAAACTTGTCAAAATTCGCATCGAAGCTCAGAGTCGGTTTCATAAATAGCAAGAGAGTCGTGTGGTGCTTTGCGAGGTTAAATGCATAAATCGTCTTGATGACGCCGCGGTCTGGGAGACATTCAAGGTGACAGTCCAACTACTGGACGGCCTCTTGAGGGTACATGTCGAAGGTATCACACTCTTCAAGTGCCGCGAGCCGAGTACCTCGATCATATCTGCGCCAATCAGCCTCCTGAAGAAGACATGCTCCAATCGAAAAACTTACTGGGATCGGCGGTGACGCTGCTCGTCACGGAATTGTTGGCCAGCATTAGGGGTGAAGAGACCTTGACGTCGAGAAGTATTCAGTTACTTGGCCTGTAGTCACCAAGAGGGATTTTCTTTCACTCACCGACATGCTCTGCGTTCTCACAGCTTCGCTTCATCTTAGACTGATTGTCCGGCACAGGGAATATCTCTTCACAACCAGCCAATTCTGGCACGGGCCCATTGGTGGTGTAGTAAAGCTGTTGCCGTCAGCATTATCAAAGTGATATTCCTCGCGAGTGGATTTAACGTACTTTGGGACGGTAGTGATGTGCCTCCAACATCACAGAGCTGTTGCGAAATTTCTGAACGAGGCAATCCTTGCCCTGAATGGCTGGATAAAGATCAGTATCTGGAATCATTACCAACAAGAACACAAACTTACTGGCATACGAGATCTCGGCAACCTTGTCACTCCTGAAGCAATTCCATCGCTTGTTGGCCCGCCTGTTGACAAAATCAATGATGTCGAGAGGGTCGACAAAATTGATGAACGCGTACCCCACGTTACAGTCATTGGCGAAGTCGATTCTCAGGTACATGAAATCGTACTTGCCCCAACTTGACTCATCAATGATGCGTTTGAGCATCTTTTGGTCCACTTTGTTCGGAATATTTCGGAGCATGATCTATGGTCATTAGTTGGGGCGGAAGATGGCAGATCAAGCAATGCAAGACATACCGTGGTGCGGACATCAGTGCCTGCTTTGATTCTATTGATGTCGACATGGTTATGGTGAGGGCCTGGTGGGCTGAATTGAGTGCGATTGATGCGGATGGCAGTGGTCCGACGTCCCTCTGAGCGGTAAAAAGGTTGGATCGGCCGACCCAAAACGTCTTTTCTTGGCGTTCCCGGGCCTGGAGAAGGGTGCGAAGAGGCTGTTGGCATCTGGAAGGTCGAGGGAGAAGCAGCTGGAATAGACCCAGGGGAAATGAAGCCAGGATAGCTAGTCTGTGGTGACTGCACAGCATGGGGCCATTGGTACATGGGCCACGAGGTCATGTGCATCGGACCGCCAAAGGGGACAGACGAGGGAAACATAGTTGCGGCCATTGACTGCATGGCCAACTGGGAGCTAACCAGTGACATGTTCTCTAGTCCGCTCGTGACATCGACATGGTCAGAGCTGGTGACTATAGGTGTTTGCAACTGGGCGAAGCAGTTCACACCTGGTGGAGTTCTGTCATCCAGGCCGAAAGGCGACATCATCATATAGAAAACGCTTCCAACCTGCAAATCTGGGTCAGCAGCGCTCAATCGGTCGCTTTTCTATCTGGAGAACTAACCGAGACCCAGCCTTTCTCCATAGTCTCATTGGCCCAGGTGGAATCGACAGCGTCGAACTCGATGACCCAATGAAGCGTATCTGCGATGTTGGATGGTTGATGTTCAAGGGCGTATACTCCACGATCATTGAAGTACGTGAGGATGTTGGCCTCGATCTGAGACTCGCTCAGATCAGCAGAGAGTAGAATGGTCAAGGTTTGCTGGCCTTCATGCTTGCTGGCAACATCGACACCACATGCCTGGACTACTGTCAGCATCTGCCGTTGGCAATGGGAACAGAAAAAGTCTTAAAAACCTTGTTGAAATCCTGAGCTGAGATACACTCGATCTTCCAGCTCTCGGGATTGCTGTTGGATCCGCTCAAAATCCTAGAAGCATCTCTGATGTTTGTGGCTCGGATGTATACCTCGTCTAGGCCGTGGGCGAATGGGGGATCAGGACATCCTTGGAAGGGAGCGCCACGTTCCTCGAGAGTCTGTCGTAAAGGGTCAGTGCATATCCACCAGTAGAAAAAGCAACACTCACCTGTAGGTACTGCTTGACTGCATCGACATTCACACCATCCGAGGAGGAGACACGCAAGGAACGGGTCAAATTGAGATTGTGGCTGAGGCCGGGCGCCAGTAGCAGACCAGTCTTTGGGCATATCGAAACTGTGGCCGCCGCACGTCCGAAGGGCTTGGGAGTGACACTAGACGAGCTGTAGGCAACAACGGGTGTGGAAACGACCGGAGTGGAGAGAGGCTGGAAAGTCGAGGCAGTAGCTGACAGCTTCGTTTGACGCTTCTCGGCAGGGGAGCTGATAAAGGGGTCCTTGTCTCTGGCACCAGAAACAAACGAGGTTGGAGAGGTAACGTGGTGAAAACTGGCGGGACCCTGGAATTTTACGGCTTGGGCTCTGCCGTCTCCATCACCCAGACTGATAGCACTGAGGAGGCGGGAGGACTTGGAAGAATCCTCAAGGGGGGAGAAGGCTGTCAGACGGGTGTCTGGTGTGCCCTCATGGTTGTATGAGTCAGCACCGCCCTCGCTGGGAGGTGAAGACGGATGGAATGCTTCCTGTGGCTGAGCCATAGTGGCAGAGTTGACGTTGGTTGGCTGCTCCAGTTGCCGGAATGGGTATAGATGCTATTGATTCCCGAGGATGCTAGAAGAGGGAGTGCTACAAGTGAAATATGAGGTGATCACGGCAGGGGAGAGGTGTTTGAGTTGCTTGACCTGGAGATAGGAAGAGGTGGAGGGTGACTGGTGAAGAGAACAAACACCACTTGAAAGAGAGACTGAAGTTGGGTAAGGAGGTGGAGAGGCGGTGATATTGTTGTCCAGAAGTCCAAAAGTCCAAATTCCAAAAGTCCAAAAGGGAGGTGCAGAGTGAGACGGCAGAGAAACGGAAAACAGGAGGCAGAGGCCCAGACTGTTGTTGGTTCAAGGAGGGCAGTCACGACGGTGGTGCAGTCCTGGAAACAAGTAGTGAAGTGAGAGGGACGGAAGGCATGAGGTCTGTGCCTAAGGATGTAGGCAGGGAAGGAAAGAAGGACAGGAAAGAAGGATGTAAAAATCACAAGGACTGCAGAGGGCTCACTTGGAATTCACTGGATGTATTCATTCCCACGACCAGCCAAGGTCTATTTCATCACTTGCCATGATCGTTTGCCTCCACAGCTGTTGATCACCAGCTCGGCAGCCATCAGGGGTGGTCAAAGGCTCCTTCCCCTTGGACTGCCCACGTTAGCAATTTGCCAGCCACAGTCTGCCTCGCTCTCTAGGTTTCTTGGTCCATTGCCACTGCTTTGTCCAGCACTTGTAATTAATGGTGTTTGAAACTCTTGCCAGGCAGTGCGGAATTGCAGTGTCAACACTCCGCATTTCCTCAGCATTGTGCTTTATATCTGCTCGAATTCTAGAGAAAATCAAGCCTGATCCTTAGGAACTCACTTCCAAGTGATATGGGCAGTACTTAAGAAGTAGACAGGACCTCATGTTCCCCATTAGAGTGGTAAGAGAGCCAGAATCAGTCCCATGCGTTGCCAGCGACTGTGCACAGGTAAGATCTTGAGACCGTGTCACAGAACGATTACTATGCCAGTAATACTTCAGCAGCCAGTTATGAGCCGTCAAGCAAGAGAATCTCGAGTAAGACCCTGGGAACGTGGGTGCAGTTGGAGAATCGACATCCTGATGGATCATCTTGGTTCGGCATTGGGGCTTTGCAGACACAGTGCCCACATGTCTGCCTATGAACCTACCTAGTAGGCACTGAACATGTTTGGAATGCCCTCAAACCAGTAGAAAAATTGAAGACCCCCTGAAAATGGAAGATTTAGAGCGTTCAGTCCGTCTCAATCACAGGTGATTGAAAAGGGGGCAGTGGATGAGGCCTTCGGAGCAAGGACGAAGTAGATGTGTAGTCAGCGACAGCTGGCAGCGGCTGGGAGACGTCTGTCTGGAGGCTCATGTTGCCTACCCCTGTACCTTTCAGCTGCCTGACCTATCCCTGCTGCCTAGAGCTCCTTTACCATCCCAGTATGATGCGCATGTGCCTACCCAGCTCTACCAGTCCAACTGCAACCGTCTCAGAGTGCCCTCATCCCAAGTGCATTTCTAACCCAAAGCCGACAACATCCAAGGCTCTCACTGATGCTGGTCGTCCTTGAGGAAAAACAGGACAATACACTTTTCAGTCTCCTCACAAGAACCATTCGTCCCTGGATTGACGTTGATCCAATAGGCGCAGCGCATGCAGTGTCTCTGATGTTGCGATTGCGTACCATCCCCTGCTGAACAGGAGAGGGACCCCCACACTCCATTCCTGGTGCCGCCGTCCCTGCAATCGAGAGTATTTCTTAGTAGCTGCGACTGCCTCAGTGATCTCAGGATGCCACGAAGGGCTCAGACGTTCGACGACTACGGCTCTGCCGTTGGGGAGGTCAGTGATCCGTCGTACTCAGGGTCGGCATGGTTGCCGGTTAACAACTCCTCACAGATCATCTTGACTTCTTCCGACACGGACTTTCTTGACCAACTCATCCCCCTTCTGAAAGATGCCAGCACCAGTAATCGGACCAGCTCTCTGGCCCAGAGCCTCTCCCACTATGCCGAGGACCGCGAGGCCGAGATCGAAAACATCGGCTTGACGAAGCACGAGGAATTTCTGAGTTCTGTCACCCAGCTCCAAAAGGTCCGCGAGGGCACTATCAACCTGACCGCCGAGATCCTCGAGTTGAACCAATCCATACAGTCGAGCACTCAGGAGCTGGCCGAGCAGAAGCAGAAGTTGGTTGACAAGAGGGCTATTCGGCAGAACGTCTCGGATGCTTCTGATGCGCTGAATGGATCTCTCAAGATACTGCATGCGGTCAACCATGCGCACGAGTTGATCCGCAAGAAAAGATACTATGCCGCTCTGAAGTCGCTGGAGGACCTGCAGAACGAGCATCTGATCCCGATAATACAGAACAAGTATGCCACCCAGCAACAACTGGCAGATATGATCCAAAAGTCCATTCCGGCTTCTCAAAAGTCGATAGGCGACGCCGTCATGAACGATTTAAATACGTGGCTTTTCCGCATCCGTGAGACCTCACAGTTCCTGGGTGAAGTAGCATTTTATCATACAGAGATGAGGCGGTCAAGACACAAGGATCGATCGGACAACAATGATACCCTCAGCAACTTCAAGCTGAACTCCGCGATTGAACTAGTATATGACGAAGCCGAAGAGTTCGACGTCCTCGACAACGAGGAGCTTCAAGTGGACTTCCAGCCCTTATATGAATGTCTGCACATCCACCAGGCTCTTGGCAGAAGCGACAAACTCCGGGCCGACTACGCCGCAACAAGGCGTCAGCAAAAAGATCTCTTGATACCGACCTCCATCCACGTTGATGGCGACGAAGAACCATCACTCAACAGTCTACTGGAAGGCATCGCTGGTTTCGCAGTAATTGAAAAGGCAACGATGCGACGTGTACCTCAGTTGCGGTCTGCTGTAGATGTGGAGGAGCTTTGGGATTCCATGTGCACTTCCGCAATTACTCTCACATCCCGTTCATTGGGCAACATTACCAATGCGGAGGTACTGCTCAAGATCAAGTCGGTCTATGCGCTATTCATTCAGTCCATGGAAGGCTGGGGTTACAGTGTCACCATGCTGGATAATTTCCTGCTCACTTTGTTCGACACATATGCCGACCTGCTGAAACGCCGATTCAGTGAAGACTTCCAAGAAATAGTCTCAACGGATGACTATATGCCAATGGCGATCAACAGCGCCGAGGAGTACGAAAAAGTTGTCAACGTCAGCTGGTTCACACAGGACACCCCAACCGAGGAACTCACATTCCCGTGTGTTTTGCCATTTTCGCAAATGTACCCGTTGTGCTGCATCGACATCAGGAATTTCCTTAACCAGTTTTATTTCTTTGCTGATGATCATTTCCAACACCCTAATGTCATCGATGACACTCTGAGAAAGGTAAGCAATTCTCGTGCTTCGCACAAAATGTCTGTGACATTCTCTGACGTGTTCTCGCAGTCTCTGGATGAGCTTTTGACCCAGAAAGTCTGTCAGTCGTTGGTCGAGCGCCTCAACTCCCAATATTTGGGCCAGATAGTTCAGATTCTCATCAACTTGGAGCATTTTGAGATCGCGTGTCAGGAACTGGAGCAACTTTTGATCAGGGCTCGATCCTCCACGTCAGCTGGTGGGCCTGTGACCTTGAGCGCTACCGAGCAGTTCAGGAACAACAAGAAGACGGCTGAGAAGCGCATTTTTGAGCTGGTAAACTCGAAAATTGACGACTTGGTGGACACAGCGGAATACGACTGGTGAGTAGACCGCAATCCTGTGAATGCTGATCCTCTCTCCTGAACCGTAATGCTGACTGGACGCGCAGGATGTCGACGACCGCCTCTACCGAGCCAAGCAACTACATACAGACGCTGACTAGATACCTGTCGAACATCATGAATTCGACACTGCTCGGCCTTCCTCGAGAAATCAAGGAACTCATCTACTATGACGCCCTCAACCATGCCGCCGAAAGAATACTGGTGAGTCGCAAAGCTTTCACCCTACTCACTATCCATGATCAAATTACTTACAAACACACCTCTGCAGGCCTTGCCTCTCCAGCCCGAAGTCAAGACTATCAACCCCAACGGTGTGGCCGCCATGGCAATGGACGTGCAATGCCTGGTCGAGTTCGTCCAAGGACTCGAGAACTCGTTTATGCTCATGCAAATCCTCCAGGAGCTTGAGCAGACGGTCAAGCTGATGCAGGCGGAGAACGCCGACGACTTCTACGACATCTCGGTACGCAACAGGAACTACGGCTCCGTCAACGCTATGACCGGCCCCGTCCTGCTCGAGAAGCTCACGCACACGGTCGAGGCGCCGAATCGTGCGGCGGCTACAATGGCCAATTTCTCGTCGCGGTTTGGCTTCAAGAGCTGAGCATGTGTGTATGCTTACCGCTGGGGACCTATTGTTCATCTGGCCGAGGCTGTTCTCTGTGTGCCTGTAACGGCAACTGGCATACCTTCACAAGAGCAGAACGTTCAGATTTATTCGCAAACCAAGAAAACTCGTCAATTTGTCTCTACTAAAGTAACGCCATGTTCAGTAGCGACTCGAAAGGAACTTTGTCCCTGGGTTTTTGGATCATAATGTTCGAAAAAGGTCCCAATCCTGTCTGCCGTGTACGCCATACCAATCGACCCGCGTCAGGCTTCTGGTGGGTAACGTCCTGTTGTCTCAAACCATCAAAAATAAATAAATAAAGGCACGAGGGTATCCGTCTATTCTTCTTCTCTCTCTCGGGGTCGGCTGTTCAAGCGCTCTGGTCGAGATGAAGCATGTTAAGAATTATATTCCTCAGGTGGTGGCATTTGTGGTGCATGCAGAAGGACAACGATTAGGCGAACGAACATCAAACAATACGGAGTGAGACAGGGGGACTTACCTGTTGTGGTTGCATGGCTTCGTAGCCGTACATGGGCGGCATCTCGCCGTACATAGGTGCCTGTGCCTGGCCGTATGCAGCCTGGGGGTTTGGAGCGACTTGGCCAGGGTACATGTTAGGCGGTTGGCGGTAGTCGGCCTCCGTACCGAGGGCGTGGCCGGGCATTCCGTAGTCCGTCGGTGCCATGGGATGCTGTGCGTGGTTTGCTTGGACATGCTGCCCGGGCAAGGACTGCGCGGCCTGCGGCACGCCCTGGCCGGCCTGCTGCTGGCCGGCCTGTCTCTTGGAGTGCGAGGCAGCCTCCTCGCGCGGGACAATATCAATGAGGAAGTCGAACATGTCAGACTTGGCAAGTGCCGAAGCGATGTCGGACCGTTGCAGGGTTCGCCGCTTGTTCTCCTCGGCGTGGATCCACGCGCGCATAGTGAGCTCCGTAATGAAGATATCACAGCCCTTGGCGAACAATATCGGAGCCTCAGCGCTTATCATCTTGACCTCCGGGTCCGCCTTCATGACCTTCTTTATACGAGCGAGGGGCAGTTGGTGGAGCTTGTAATCGTGGGAGTCGCTCTCGAGGTGGTTGATTGTCTGCTGCCAGTACGTTGTGAGGATGTCCTTGTACTGGCCGTTCAGGCCCTGGTGAACGTTTGCCCATGGTCCTGTGTAGAGTTCTGCCGGCGCGTACCCCTGAGCGGACAGCTAGTAGTTTGCGAGAAGATGTTAGTGACAGTGGTCGGCTAAACACGACCAGTCGTGTCGCTGGGTCTTAGGGAGGGCAAACAAACCGCTGCGCTCGCGCCTGATTTGGGTCGCACGGTCAGCATCTTCCTGGCTGGTCGCATGAAGTAGAGGCCTGGATATGTAGCTTACCATAGTGTCCGCCGTGACTGGTATCGTACACAGGCCTGGCCTGCTGCTGCTGCGCTTGCTGTTGATTCTGGGAGGGGTCCATGATGGGATGAAAACACGACGACGACGACGCGACGAGGATTGGGGGGTTGGTGGTGAGTGAAGTTGACTTATAAGAGGTCGGATTTGTCGCGCGACTGTAGAATCCGCTATTCACGATGCACAAGAGAGCGGGTGACTCGAGTCTGGCGACGATCTCGGCTTCGAGTCCTGTGTTGCGCGAAAAAAAACCAGCAATCAGCATTCGTTCCCCATGCCCAGCGCGTTTGGCGCGTCAGACGCAAGTTCGAGCTGGTCCGCTGCCCAAGGATTCCCGTGCCTCGCACCCGAGGGGGCCTGCACGTTGCGCATCCCCGGCGGCTTGATGTTTTCTTTCCTCCTTTGTTGACTCGAGTTGCAAGGCGCAACACGCGCGCTACCGTTTGCGCCGGGGGCTCGTTGGTCCCAAGGGTCCCGACGCCATCTTTGGGAAGCTCTGTGGATGGCCCGAATGGATGAACTCACCTTACTCGATAGCTGCGATGCGATCGGTCAATTGATTGGCTGGGGGCTCTTTTGAGTTGAAGTACGGAGTAGCGAATGGGTGACCAAGGTGGAGTTTGCCTGAGAAGCTCGTCTGTTTTAGAGGATGAACTCGGGCCAGTCAGCTAGCGCGGGCAGCTGGGGAGGGGGAGCAATTGGCAGACAGGCACACAGGTAAGTCTAAGGTAGTTGGAAGGGGTGAGGGGGAGGGGCGAGGGGCGAGGGGCTTGTTCCGGGTCGACCACCCAAGGTGTGAGACGGGGAGGTACCCACGCAAGTGTGAAGATACGGTTTTATATGCTCTTCCTCCTCTGCTCTCCAAGATGTTTGCTGGACAACAGATCGTGACGAAATCGGCAGGGCTGAGGATCATCATCCATCTACTCTAGAAGGGAAGATGACGATTAAAGTATGAGAGGCGGTCAGGGCCAGCAACAGGGTTGGGCATCAAGCCGGACACGCCCCTCAAAGGCCCAGGACTCTCCGACACGCTTCCATCAACCCGATGCTCTCAGTCTCAACCACCACCGCACCCGCACGCACTGCGCTGCGCTGCACTGCACCGCAGCTCACCACACCTCACCACACCTCACTCACCAACAATGCCAGCCCTTGCGACGTACATAGTAGACACGGGCGGTCGGTCCTCCCCATCTCGAGCAGCCTCGGAACCCAAACCTGCTGCACCTGCAGCTACAGTAGCGCATCCATGGCTATATGACAGCTGGCAAAGTGTGGCAGACCAGATCAGGGGGGGCTTGGGTGCCCAGGGAGGTCTTACTATATATACCTAGGTGCTACGTAGAGGGCCTGAGATGCCACACAGGTGCTTCCGTGACCTCACCGACGGCATCTTCAAATTGAGATCCAGCTCCAGACGAGTACGACGCTATGTAGACTACATGTACCTCTGTACCTTTCTGGCCTGAGGCAGCTAGCCGTTCTGGTCTAGCTCCCCAGAGATGTGGACCCAAAGGGCTGGCCCGTGCCATCCCAGCGTCTTTTTTTTCGTAGCTCCGTCCTCAAAAATCTGAATTTCTGAGGCTCCAGTCCCTCCACGCCTTTTCCTTGTTCTTACCGTCTTGAACGGACAAACTCACAGCGTTCATTATGGCGGTTGTGGATTTGTCTGATCATGACATAGACCAGCTTTTGAGCTCTGCTGAGCTCTCGCTGGCCAGCAAGCCGACTGATCAGGCTGTTGCCACCAAGGACAGTCAGCAGAGCCTGACCCTCGCTCCCAAAGCACCAGCTGCCACAGGGTTGGTTGGCAAGGTCGGCAAGGAGGCCGGAAACAAGCAGCCTGAGCTGGCGCTTCGGGTCCCCCAGCTTAAGTCCAAGGACAAGAAGGTACGTGAATCTGTCACCTCCCATCCACTTCTCCTATGAGGAAATCTTATCCCAAACTCGAATGACGCGGCGACGAGACCCCGTTATGGGGGCAGATCCTGCAACATACATGATTTTCTTTGTTCATAGTTACTCTGAGGACAACTTCTCATCCCTGTGTGTCTTGCTTGTTATCTCCCGATCAGCTCGTTAACTGGATGAATAGGCAGTACCAGATAACGCGGGCGCCGCTTGGAACTACATGCCTCGCACCCAGATCGATGATCCCAAGGTGAAACGAGAATTCCAGTTGCTGCGAATGAGGGGCATTGTCGACAGGAAGAAGTTCTTCAAGAAGGATTCTCGCAAAGATCCTTTCCCGACGTTCTCTCAATTCGGAACTTTGATCGAAGGACCGCTTGAGCACCACAATGGACGACTGACCAGGAAGGAGAGGAAGCGCACTCTCGTCGAGGAGGTACTGGCCACCGGGGAGGCGGATGGAAAGTTCAAGGACCGATACGAGAAGATCCAGGAAAAGAAGATGAGCGGCAAGAAGGGCTATTACAAGAAGTTGATGGCAGCCAGGAGAAAGGGGCGCTGAGACCCAAAGGCGTGACCGCCAAAGTGTCTTGTCTTTTCCACGGCGAACACTTGACGGACGCAAACACTCACACAGCTGGGCATCGACCATCGCATATTGCATGGGTCTACCCACCCCCAGATTCGCAGAGCATGCACACCCATGCCAGCTTGGGCATCCGGCTGAAGCATGACGGCAGGCCAATAACCAGCCCGTGTGCATGGCGAGCTTGATCTCTTGTCAAATGATCAAGTAGCTTGACTCGAAGCGAAAAGGCGACTGCCTTCATACTGTGGTAGCAGCAGGAAGAAGCAGTCATGACCATTCTGGCCGAGAAGGAGGGACGTGATCTGGAAGCTCTAAACATCCCTCCGAAAAGGAGCTTGAGCGGACTTGGCCAATTCCTACATATCTTGTGATAGAAGCAAACAGAGAGCAGGAATCAGTTCAAAGGAATCAGTTCAACGAATTCAAACCCCGTGAAAAATCTCATACCATATCACGACTCCAGTAGCACTCACGTAAATGTCATTAGCTTCCCAGGCAATAGCAGATTTTCAATTGAGGTTTTGCCGATGCAGGGTTGGGGTTCACTATCGATACCCGCAGCTGAACACAAACTTTCTCAAGCTCGACGATCCACACCTTGCTTCCCCGGCCCAAGATCATGCAGAGATGAATGCGCCACCCGTATTACGGCCGTTGAGGGCCATTTTGCAGAGGCGGCTGGTATGGTTTTCCAAACGCGATCCGAATTGAAGCTCTCTGGGAATACTGACGTGATTGACTTAGCAACTTGTGCCCTCTCGCCCCATCCGAACACCTTACTACGTCCGAGCCTCCCAGCTCCGCCCTCAACTCCGCTGCAACTCCTCAATGTGCGTCAAAGTTGCGGGAGATATGGATGGGCAGAGAATATTCCGCTGATGATTATGCAGACCCAAAGACCAAACCTTCAAATCGGACAGCTCTGCCGAAGAGCCAGCGAAGGAACCATCCCAAGATACCCAAGCCTCGAGAACCGCAAGCCCGGCGGAAGAGGTCCAAGATGTCAACCCAGAAGAACACCTGGAACCTCCAGAGCGCCCAGAAGCCACGAAAGGCGAGATAGAGGTCCATCAGGCCGAGCCGGCCGATTTCGCCCAGGTGGTTCCTGGGGAACCTGTCGCGGAGTCTGAGGTCACAGTAATCGAGCCAACAAGCTTGAAAGAGGCCGCTCTGCCGAAATTCAATGACGCGTTGATCAAGTCCGCATTCAAGCGAGTCAAGGCTGCGAGCGCTGAGATCGAAGCCGGCATATCAGAAGTAGTAGCACGGCAGATCGAGGCTGCTGAGGCCGCTGCCACGAGCGAGACACAAGAAGAAATCCCAACCCCAGGGCCCGACCACGCATTCGTGAGGTCGAAGATGCAGGAAGTGGAGGCTTTGTCCTCACAGATACGAGTCGGCCTCCACGAGTTCGAGCAATTGGGCCTGCAAGCGGCACAGGAGGTTGAGACGATCCTTGAGAACCCAGCGGTCACTGCGAAAAGCGAGGGCGCGCTCCCAGATGAGATAGTGAAGGCTGCGGAAGAAGTGCGTGAAACGGAGGAAATCGGGGCAGGCGAGACGGAAACCTCTGAACTTGTGTTCTTGACTGCGACGGAAGCCCAGGAAATTGTTAACGAAAAGATCGCAACGGCCGAGCTCAACGAGGCACCATCACAACAGCCGACTCCCCAAAGCGACTCGAAGGCTACAGCTGCGAAAAAGCAGGGGAGGAAGTCAAAGCACGAAGGTCTCAACGCAGCAGTGGAGAAAGAACTGCGGAATCGGACAGAAGAAAGCGCCGCCAATTTGGTCGAGGCTGAGGATGACGTCCCAGACGAGCCGTCTCGTCTTCCGCGAAATGTACAAGCGTTCTATCTGCAGCCGCTCCGCCGGGAAGCGAAGTACAACTTGCCCTCTTGCAACCTTCAGCTGCGTTCATACAGCGTCCGGCCGCTGGAGTCATTCTGCGACTTCGCTCTGCGTGCGGCGTACTACCTGGGTCTGCCTGCTTACGGCCCGACACCACTACCTAAGATCATCCAGAGGTGGACGGTGCCCAAGTCCAGTTTCATCTTCAAGAAGTCGCAAGAGAACTTCGAGCGTATCACGCGCCGCAGGCTTATTCAGATCCGTGATGGACATCCAGAGACGGTGCAGATCTGGCTGGCCTTCTTGCAGAAACACCAACAGGCCGGTGTGGGTATGAAGGCCAATGTGTGGGAGTTCAGCAGCCTTGGTAAGTCTCACTATTTTGCATGCGCATCTTCGCCTGTTGATCGTGTACTGATATGAATGAACAGATGTCGCCAAAGAACTGGACCAGGCTTACGAGGAAGCCAAACCCATAATTGACAAGAAGTTCAACCTCTTGGGCCAGGACAGGGAGATCGCGACGGTCGAGAAGGTGGACGAGATCCTCACAAGTGAGAGGTACAAGCTGGCTGGAGGTCGGTAGATATAGTGTAAATGAGAAAATGTATTATACTTGTGATACAAAGCTTCGTGCAGAGCCGCAGTGGCAGACGTGTCTAAGATGGCTCAATATATAGCACGTGCCGTCAAAGTTACAATACTTCATGCAGCAAAATGATAGCCAGGTGCTAGGAGCATAAATTGTAGCATTTAGACGATCCTGGGGCCGAGTGCTGGCCTTTACATCGTAAGCGTGTTGCTCTGTAATGTCATATTGCACCGTTGAGGGCTCAGGTGAAATCTCAGCACCTTGCACCTGAATCTCAAGACTGCTCATGCGCCTAACACCACAGACAAGCTGCCACAACCACAGAACCCGATACATCTAATGCTCGCATGAGCGATTTCACAAAATAATGCTGTGCAGGAGGGCTGGAAGGACCTTGGCACTTGGGCCCATAGCGCGGGCTGCGGAAGTCGCATCATCCCACAACGTCTACCCACCCACACAATCATCATCACCACCAAGTCCTTACCAGCGCCGCGCAGCCACCACCACCACCACCACCACCACTACATCCTTTAAAGATGCTAGCCCAAGGGTGATCTTCTCCGGAATCCAGCCCACAGGCGTGCCGCACCTGGGCAACTACCTGGGGGCGCTGTCACAGTGGGCCACGCTGCAGAACGAAGCGGCGGCAGACAGCACCAACAGCACGCGGCTGCTGTTCTCGGTGGTGGACCTGCACGCCATCACGCTGCCGCAGGAGGCGTCGCAGCTGCGGGCGTGGCGGCGCGAGATGCTGGCCGCGCTGCTGGCCGTGGGGCTGGACCCGGCGCGCAGCACCATCTTCCACCAGTCGTCCGTGCCCGCGCACGCCGAGCTCATGTGGGTGCTGTCGTGCACCGCGTCCATGGGCTACCTGTCGCGCATGACGCAGTGGAAGAGCAAGATGTCCCTGCCGGAGGACACATCCGCCCTGCCGACAGATGACCGCGTCGGCGGTGGCGCCAACAAGGCCGCCGCCCTCAAGCTCGGCCTCTTCTCCTACCCCGTCCTCCAGGCCGCCGACATCCTCGTCCACCGCGCCACGCACGTGCCCGTCGGCGAGGACCAGCGGCAGCACCTCGAGTTCGCGCGCGAGTGCGCGACGGGCTTCAACCACGCGCACGGCGGCGGCGGCGGCGGCAACCCTGGCATACTCGTCCCGCCCGAGACGATTGTCAGCCCGGCACGGCGCGTCATGAGCCTGACGGACCCGACCAAGAAGATGAGCAAGTCGGACGCGAACCCGGCGAGCCGCGTGCTGATCACGGACGCGCCGGCCGAGATCCGGAAGAAGGTCATGCGCGCCGTGACGGACTCGCAGAGCGGGTCCGTCAGCTACGACCCGGAGTCCCGCCCCGGCGTGTCGAACCTGCTCGAGATCCTGGCCATCCTCGAGGGCGAGGAGAGGACGCCCGCCGAGGCGGCGGCGGGCTTCGCTGGCTCGCAGCACCCGCTCAAGGCGCTCAAGGAGAGGACGGCGGACGCGATCGTCGCCGAGCTGAGGGATGTCCGCGAGAGATACTTCGAGCTGATGGGTCATAATGATGGGAAGGAATTAGATGAGATCGAGGCTCGGGGGGCTGAGAAGGCCAGGGCGAGTGCGGATGTCACGATGAAGCTTGTCAAGGAGGCCGTGGGGCTCTAGAATTATGTATTGCGTGATGTAAGATATGTAAAAGTAGGCACACAACTCAGTTCAGCCAGCAAGCGATGGTTCTCTATCCCAATACATGTCCGAATCCATTCGAAGACGAGTGGCAGACATGGCCAAATGCCAGCTGCCGAATCTTTTTCCATCGATCTGGTCTGAGGGATACGTCCGCTGCTCATAGCCTCGAAAATTCGCATGAGATTTGAGCCTTGCACGCAAATATTACTAGTCGGTGTCGTTTGCATGCTACTTTGTGAGGTATCTATGATTTGCATCTCATTCGCCCCCATCTATTTTGAATTCAGTTCTTCTCGAGGATTACGGTTCACATGTCAACAGCATGTTAAGTTCAAGACGCATACGCAAAACTTGACCCCCTCGATGCCAGCCAGAAGTCCCTCACAACGGTGTTTGTTTGCCGCGCTCCTCTCAGGCTGTATGGACAGATTAGCACGTTGCTTCCCTGACGACCGACAAATATCAAGCCTGGTAGTGATTAAACCTACTTCGTGATCTTCTTGAGGAACATCGACTTGTCCTCAGCCGTCACCTTGGTGCTGGGGAACGCCGGGTCCATCAGAGCCGCCTCGAGCCACTGTTTCGACCGAGGATGCTGGACGACAAGCCTCTTCAGGGGGTCACTCAGCTTGTCCAGCTCGCTGCGCGAGGCATTGCCGCCGATGTTCTGCACAAGTGACCGCGTCAGGAGAGGTCCGAGGTGTTCCAGGGCGTTGCTAAAACCGGCTTGCACTGAAGGGTCGTCACTCTTGATGGCAACGAAGGCGGACTTTGTTGTTGATTAGCTGCGATCTTGAACATTATGACGGGCAGACTGCGAGGGCACACTTGAAAGCACTCACCCAGAAGTCGCAGGCACTACCCTTGGGCAGGGGCTCTTTGCCGTCCAATACCCTTAAGGCAAACATGAAGAAGAATTCAAGATCACTGGTCGGTTGAAGCTGCAGAAGAGCTTCAGGGTATCGTGACATGACACGATTCAAAAAGTCGATACCATTTTGCGTCAGATCAGGGTCGCTATCGGGTTCTTCTGACAGTCAATAATCTACAGATCCACTTTGGTCGTCGGATTCGTGGCTTACCTGATATCGCCTTCAACAAACCAAGTACCCATGGTAACAAAGCAGAGAGGCACTCGAGGACCTGTGTCCTGGGCCTGTTGCTCAAAGAACTTACGAATGAGCACATAGTGCTGATCATGGTGCCTATTCTGGGGCTGCTGGGGCCGTTTTGTGTGAAGAATTGGATGACCAGCGCTGGGGGGAAGACGAAAGGGCCAGCTTCTGTCTCGGAAAAGCCCGCTCGGAAAATGTTGCAGATTGTCTCTGCAACCTCGCCACTATGACCGAAGGTCTGGTGTATTTGGCTCACCATAGTCACGATGTGGTTTTGGATGCCAAGAAGGCGCTCATTACTGGTCTGAGGTGCCTTGCCATCCTCGGTATCTAGTTCGATAGGCGCTTCAGAGAGGCTCTGCAAGCCCTTGGCCATGCTCGCTATGCTCCTCAGAACCCTCTCTGCGATGATGAGAGCAGCTTCATCCACGGACGTTGGCGCATTCTTCTGCGACATAATATCTGCTCGAAGCCTGGTCTCAACCCATGACTTCATGTCTGAGTCGTTCGCCAATTGTGGATGCTCTTTCAGGCGAAGGCAGTGCTGGGTATCGTTGTTGAGTAACGAAATGAGTTCCTCAAGGTAGCCCATTCTTCGCTCCTCTTCCGGGATAGCTTGGACAATGGAAGCAATTCCAGTCATAATTCTCTCTTCGGCAATCGAGTCGATTCCTAGACCGTGAATGCGACGATAATGTTGAAGAAAGCCTTCGACATGATCCTTGAGCAAGGATCGGCAGGAAGAACAGAGGGTCATGATGGACTTTGAGGAAGAGCCTCCAAGTGCTCCATCCTCACCAACAACATTGAATAAGAGTTCGAGAGCTGCAGGGAGGTACTGCTGGTGACGTTCGAAGAAATCGGAGAATCGCTCGATTGTAGACAAGCTTGTCTGCAACAGGCGAGGTGGTATTGCTGCCCGGGCAGGACCTGGGCCCACGAGTTGGAACAGCTCAGAGGAGAAGACCTTGTGCAGGTCTTGATCACAGTCTCCACTGTCTCCTATGCAGTCGCTGATCGCCCCGAGACAGAAGAGAGAGGCCTCGATCTGAGCCCATTCCCGAGCGGGAAGGGCTCGGAGAAGCAAATCAACGAATGTGCTCACGAGGGACTTTCCCTTCAGAGTCCAGGCCGCCAGCAAGAAATCAGCGACATCCTTCCTAGCCTCGACCCAGCCAGCTCGATCATTGGAGTCCATTTCGGTCCATTCAGAGTGGTCAACGAGCTGGATTTTGCCGTAGCAGTGTGAAATAGCATCATTGACTTGGCTCATGGCGAACGGTAACCAGCTGTAGGCCGCCTGCTCTTCCATGTAGACCGTATCTGTCAGGGTTTCAACAAATGTGGCCCAGAACTCAAGGGCGGAAACAAAGATCTTGTCTTCCCCAACCAGAATGCCCCTGCAGTTGAGGAGGCCGCAAAGTCTTTGAAGCATCCTATGCGATCGCTCATCCGTGCCCTCCATAAGGGTCAGAACTTTTGCGTCCCCGAAAGCGATCATCAGAATTCCGTACTGCGTGAAAGCAAAGTCGAAGTCACCGGAAGAGAGTTGCATATAGCGATCCCTAGACCAGTCGCTCTCAAACAAGGCAAAGAGGGCCTCGTAGTGCTCATCTCTGAGGAAGCCGGAATAGTTCTGAAGAATGTCGATGAAAAGCTCCATCGTTGTCTCGGTCAGCTCATCCGTTTGGATGCACTCTAGTGCCGGGATGATGAGATTGCGGAGTGGCTTCGTCAGCGTGTCATCGGACGAGGGAAGCCGTTGTTCGTAGAGTATCCAAGACTATGTGAATGTTAGCAGCCTGAAACCACAAAGGCTCGTAAAAGCGGGAAAACCCTTGTGATGCTCGCTTCCCTATGTCGCAACACTTACTTGCAAACATTTAATTGTTTCTTCTCGGATCCTCACGCCACTGGGAGACGTGATGGAAAGCCCACAGGCCAAAAGGGCTGTTACATCTTCCGAGTTCTGGGCAAGGCTTTCATGCACTGCTAAGCTACACCAAATCAGCCAATGTCAACTGTCACGCAGGGAGCGGCGGCCTACTATTTCTGAGACTTCATCTCAGTCTTTGCGATTTCCTCAACGAAAACTGTGATGAACCAGATAGCAGCCATCAACCTTGTCTCATCAAGGCCGGCGAGCAAGGCCGAAGCAGGAGCGTTCTTAGCCTCGTCCCTGGGCACCGCACGGCCAGCGTCGAAGCAGTAGAGCAGGTGGTGCACGCATCCCGGCCAAAGATGCGGAAAGTGGATAAAAAAGGTGACGAGGGCGGAGGCGAGCTTGCGAATGACGAGGGCGCCGCTGTCGTCGGCTAGGGAGCGCACGAGCCAGCCAATTAGGCTCTGGAGGAGTTGTCTTGCGTCGTCCTCGGCCAGAGACGAGCTCTCGGTGTTGAGCTTGATGATGATGGTGAGGGCGCCGAAGAACTTGACTTGGTCGTCAGGGCGCTCCAGCATTCCGTGGGCGAACTGCCACCCGAGCTGTGAGCGCTGGAGCCGTTGGAGCGCGTCTTGGGTCCTTGCGATGACCTCAGGCGGCGCCGGCCGGTAGAGCGCCAGTACCAACTGCAAGGAGTAAGCATTTGGTTTGTTTGATGCTTTAAAAACTGCGGGGAACTCATACTCACCGACTCGGCCTCGTCCAGATTTGATGGCAGTGGTAGAGGGTCCATCTTGCTGTGCAGTCAACATGGCGACACGGCAAGCAGCCCCGGCCAAAAGATTGTCTCAGGCTGCGCACCGCACCGTTCAGACGGACGGCGGTGCGACAGAAGTGCAACCCGTACACGGTAGAAACGCACACGGTGGGGTGGTGGGGTTCTTGTGAGACGGAGAGGGCGGGGACTGTTCTGGAGTTATCTTGTTCAGTGGGATGGCTCATCCATACTGGTAACCGTAAGAGATGTCGAGAATATCACCTGGCTCCTGGATGTAAATCGATCGCAGTGAGGCATGAGGAGATAGATACCTGCCTTCAAGTACATAGGGAGCACGACTCATATGTAGACGCGCCGTTTGTCCTGCGGTGGGGCAAGTTTTGGAAAACGCACTCATTTATCGATAAGGGGCCTCGCAGCTTCTTTCACAGACAATGCCCTGGCCTGCATGTACCCAGCCCTTTGGCCTTGCAAAAGGATGGGAGATACAGCGAATACTCTGTGATTTCTGGAGTAGTTCCTGACTCCGTATTTCTCGTGGCTCATTCTTGCCTACAACAAAGACCTACTAAGTAGAGAGCGTAGACTGTGATTCGATATGTCCAGTCTGAGCTCCAGAACGCTATGGCAGTGTAAATGTAACATTCTCTACCCGAGGAACAGACGTATATAAGCGCAAGCTTTTGCCGAAGCAACTCATGAATTGATTGGACTCGCAGAGACCCAGAGGCTGAAAAGAGACAAATGGCGCACTACAGACCAACCTGTCAGGAATCAAGATGGCGAGCCCACGCCATGATTGCTTGCTCGACGTGACCAGTTCGCACATATGCGCACTTGGTCAACGTCAACTTCCTCAGACCTGCGACTAGCCTCGCTTAGCCATTGGGTGACCTTCCGCTCGGAATTTTTCTCGTGCCCTTGAATGGTAAGCCATCGAAGACCTCAACATGCCGAGGCTGGGATCTTGGTGGTTCGTGTTAGTCCCTGATAATTTAGCCCGCCTGTAGGGTGCCCTGAAGCTTGCCAAATACAGCAGGAGAGCTTGTGTGGGCCACACTCGATTGGCGACTCAGGGACCCAGAGGGAGGTGGGAGGTGGGGGTGTCCACCTGCCCGTTGTTATACGTCTTCCCCTCCACCTTCCCCTCCATCTACGCCATCTCTTTATCCGTCCTTGTTGCTTGCCCTCCTTCTGTCCCGCCCATGTTACTATCCTCCCCCAGGCTATTCTTTGCTCCTTTCACGGCGAAGTCAGTCGCTTTCCAGCTCCAGCCAGCTGCCCACAAATTCAAAGGCCTTATCTCTCGCTCCAGGTTTCACCCTGGGACGGTATCCCTCTTCCCAAAGGTCAGCTACAGCTCCAGCTCTGTCGCCACCGAGATGGAGACCGTCGACACCAGCTCCCAGCTCTCCGAGCTACGTAGGCTCATGAGGGAGCGCAAGCTGGACATATACAGTCAGTCCACAAATTCGACCCCCCGGGAACCGTCCAATGAAGTCAATTCTAAGAATGCTCCTCCATAGTTGTTCCCTCCGAAGACAGCCACTCGTCCGAGTATATTGCACCCTGCGACGAGAGGAGAAAGTTCATCTGTGGCTTCAGTGGCTCAGCAGGATGTGCCGTCATCACACACGACAAGGCCGCCCTGGCAACCGACGGTCGATACTTCAACCAAGCGACGAAACAGCTGGACAACAACTGGACTCTCCTGAAGCAAGGCTTACAGGACGTGCCCACGTGGCAGGAGTGGTCTGCGGACCAGTCCTCCGACGGGAAGGTTGTCGGCGTAGACCCAACCTTGCTCACGAGTTCGACCGCTGAGAAGCTGGCCGAGAGTATCAAGAAGAAGGGAGGCTTGGACCTTGCCGCCGTCACGGAGAACCTCGTGGATATCATTTGGGCTGGTGCCAAGCCCTCGCGTCCGAATGAGCCTGTCAAGTTGTTGCATCAGAAGTATGCTGGCAAAGACACCAAAACAAAGCTCGAGGAGCTGCGCAAAGAGCTCAAGAAGAAGAATCTGGAGTGCTTCGTCGTGTCAATGCTGGATGAGATTGCTTGGCTGTTCAACCTGCGCGGCAATGACATCCCATATAACCCCGTTTTCTTTTCCTATGCCATGGTTACGGCTGATGAAGCCACACTGTATATCGACTCGGCCAAGCTCGACGGAGAGAGCCACGCATACCTGGCCGAGTCCGGAGTCACAGTCAAGCCCTACGACAGCCTCTTCGACGACGCAAGGGCGCTAGGCAAGACGGTTTTAGCAAACGGTAACAGCACGGCCACTAATGGTGACGAGGCAGCAGAAAGTAAGAAATTTGCCATCTCCACGAAAGGCTCATGGGCGTTGAAGCTGGCATTGGGGGGTGACGACGTTGTCGAAGAGATTAGGAGTCCCGTCGGCGATGCCAAGGCCGTGAAAAACGAGACGGAGTTGGAGGGCATGCGGCAGTGCCACATCAGAGACGGCGCTGCGCTGACTGCCTACTTTGCGTGGCTGGAAGACCAGTTGGTCAACAAGAAAGCCACGCTAGACGAGGTGACAGCGGCTGACAAGCTGGAGGAGCTTCGTTCAAAGCAGAAGGACTTTGTCGGATTATCATTTCCCACGATATCCTCGACGGGGCCCAAGTAAGTCTAATCAAAGCCGACCATGAGTTGGTGTTGCTAATTTGACACCCACCAGTGCGGCGGTTATACACTACCAACCCGAGAGAGGCAGCTGTTCGATCATCGACCCGAACGCTATATACTTGTGTGATTCCGGAGCACAGTTTCTCGACGGCACAACGGACACGACTCGAACTCTGCATTTCGGTACGCCGACGGAAAAGGAGCGCCAGACAAACACGCTAGTTCTCAAGGGAAACATCGCCTTAGACAGAGCCATATTCCCTAAGGGTGTGACAGGTTTTGCTCTTGATAGCCTGGCACGCCAATTCCTCTGGGTAAGACCACCCCTTAGCTGTTCGCTCAAGTTTATGAAACTGATACACTGCCTATAGAAAGAGGGTCTGGACTACCGCCACGGCACCGGCCACGGTGTAGGCTCTTATTTGAACGTGCACGAAGGGCCTATAGGTATAGGAACTAGGAAGCAATACTCCGAGGTCTTTATGGCTGCTGGAAACGTGACGTCGATCGAGCCAGGCTACTACGAAGACGGCAAGTTTGGGATTCGCATCGAGAACATCGCCATCGTGAAGGAGGTGAAGACGACAAATCAATTCGGGGACAGGCCGTTCCTTGGTTTCGAGCACGTGACAATGACACCCTACTGCCGGAATTTGATCGACGTCAACCTCCTGACAGAAGAAGAGAAGCAGTGGCTGAACGACCACAATAAGGAGATATACGAGAAAACCAAAGCCTTCTTCAAGGATGACGAGCTTACGTTAGCCTGGCTGAAGAGAGAGACAGCACCGTTCTAGGAAGACGGAACTGGCTGCAAGCGCCTGCGGATGTGTTCATGAAGGACACGCCTTGTACGGGGGAGTAAAATGATAAGCCTCTCGCTACGCCCACACTTCTACAGCAGCCTGCTGGCGCCTTCTTGGATAATGTATCATCAATGCCTGGGCCCATCCCATAGCACCATCCTCCGAGGCGGTCTTGGGTTACCGTGGGACAAGCTGGCCTAGGGTGCATTGTTGCCCTTATGGCAGCATCCTCGAGCCGGCCCATATCAACAGAGTTGGGGCTCGAGGCATGAGGAAAGCAGCGGTCGATTCAGCGTTGAGGTTGATGCGATGTATATTATGGTACTGTGCATAGATAGCCTCTAAAAGTGCATGAATGCAGCGAGCGCAAAGGTGGTACCAAAGGCCAACTTGAAAGTAGGGTTCTTTTGGAGTGCCGAAAGGACACGTGAGGACTCTATGCGCTGCCGGATCCTGAGCAAGCCGAGCAGATCGACACCCCATCGTGAAGCCACCTGCGGTAATCTGTTACAAGGCGGGAACTATGAAGGAGACCAACACATGTCTCTCATTCCACGTCGGGGAGTGACATACCTGCACAGAAACAATCGCGAGCCCCGTGAGCAAGACCAGTGTTTTCGAGAAGACACTGACGACCAGGCCAGCCAGGAAACCTGTAGCAGGGGGCGTCAGTCATCCAAACATCGCCCATCACATCCCATCATCACATTGGCCCGCGCCGACACAACCACCCAAGACGGGGCACCACCTACCTGCAAGACTTCCCCCTGAGAGCTGCCTGATCACCTCTGGGTTCAACCACTCCTCTGACTCGTTTACAGTCCCCGAGGTAACAGGCGAGCTCCTGCGCGGGGCCGGTACGGCGTCGAGGCGCATGGGGTGTCGTTGTCGTTGGCGGTGGGCAAGGAAGAGGCCTGTTGACAGGCCTAGAGTGAGAGGAGCGGCGGAGCGGCGGAGGGCGCCGCGGCAGAGGGCTGCTGTTGCCATTTTCTTTATTATGTAGAATTAGCCCTTTGGAACTAGGGTAAGAGATTGAGGAGAGATTGTATGAATTGACTGGATAGCTCGGGAGAATTGCTTATTCTTGTCGACGTGAGCACGGCGATGTTTAAGTGGCAGCAGCTGGGTAGTGACGTAGTTCAGTGCTAGTGAGTGAGTGGGCTTCCAGCGTGGCTACACTGTGGGTGAGCTCTCAGGAGTTCAGGGGGAGGTTCGAGTGCTTATGTAAGTGGCCAATTTGCATGTAAGGTTGTAAACTGACGGCCAAGTTCAGTGTAAGATCCCATCACCAACTTCCATACAGAACAACGAGGATTGGAAAGTCAATTGAAGATTTACTAATTATATCAAATAGTCTCGTAGAAGTGGTCGATTTGTTTGCGTGCCCGGGCATCCAGAATAGGTCAACTGCTCCCTAGGGTTGACCACTCTATGTGCTCGGCTACCTATACATTGCCGCTTGAGCAAGTGCCTACTGTAGCATTGTTGGGAAAGATTGTGATGAACTGGGATTGAGGCTTTTGAGGCAGCTTAAAATGTCGAACGGACGTCTATTTCATCCTCATGCAACCGACTGATACTCGCTCCGATGTTTTTGGTAGCAGCCACCGACGTCCCTAAGTTAACCGCCTCCAAAACAGACCTCCCCGAGTGACTAGCCTTTCCAAAAAGAAACATGTCGTTTTGAATTGGTTCATTATCAACCAAGCTCCAGAATGCCAACCTGACTCATACTGACTTTCCACGACCTTGAAAGGCGTGACGTTGGGAACAGGCCAGAAACAAGACCATGCTCGCTCTCAACACAGGCAGGCTCAAGGCACAAGCGGGCGTCATTTCCCACAAGGACTGCCATTCACTTACCACCAGACAACTCCCTCGCACACTTGAAAATGGTCATATATTTTACTGCAAACAAATTCATTGGTCGAGGCATCGATAGAGATGTCCAGCCAATCTGCTCACTCTCGGACACTCCTGAATTGAGCTGTTTGCCATTGTCCATTTACTTTTGTCCATTGTGGGAAGTGGCAGGCTGGGTCTTCGTCGCCTTCCTCGCCCCCTGGTTGGCTCGCTCCAGCAAGATGTCGAAGGGAAATATTCACTACAATGGCTTTCATCCCATTGTTTGCAACTTTTTGCGCCCACGCCGTCTTGAACCTCGATCGCATCCCCCTCCACCCCTCCAACCTGTATCATTTATAAGCGCTCATCTCTTCCTCTGACTGTCTTTTTGACCTCTCTTTCGTCCCCAGCCCCCAACTTTACTCTGAACCATCGTTAACTATCAATCTCTCGACTTCTTTTCCTTCCTTGATCACCAAATTTTGACTATCATCTCACTGCTCATAGCAATCAGTCTTGTGCTTCTCTGCTGGACAGAGTATTTCAATCAGCTGCTTGGTTCATATCAATTCAAACCAACATATTCATTCCCGGGGGAGCATCCCACTTGAAAATGGCGCCCTGCGACTCCCAGTCATCCACTCAGCCCAAGCCAGTCGTTGAGATCAAACTCGAGATCAAGCGTCCCGATGGCCAGGTCCAGAATGGTGAGCCCCTAGCCACTTGGCGTTTCTCAAGTCTACTTAGAGCTTCAGTATCTGACCTTCTCACCAGACACACTTCGCCTGTACAGCAATGACAGGATGCGAATTGGCCGTGACAAAGATCACAAGTAAGTTGAGTTGCGTCAATTGCGAGCGAAAACTTACTGAATGGCGCTAGTGACTTTGTCATCGACGCCCCCTTTGTGTCTCGCAAGCAACTTGAATTCTATACAGTTGTCTTCGACGAGGAACACTACCCCATGGTCTATGTCAGAGACCGCGAGTCCACTTCTGGAACCTATGTCAACGACAGACTCATCGGCGGCCGCGAAGACGGAGACTCGAAGAATAAGGTTACCCCTGGAAGAATTCTCCGCCATAGCGACATAGTCAGCATTGGACCCGACGTGACTTTCGAAATCGTCCACCCTTTCATTCCGAGGCTGAAACTAAACACTGTTCAGGCCCAAGAAGTCCTCGTAAGTCTTAACCTTCACTTCTGAGAAATCTTTCTTGACAATTTTCAAGTCGTTTCACGACAAATACGCTGTCACGAACTTTACAATCGGAAGTGGCGCTTCGGCCCAAGTTCACCTCGCTATTGACCAGGAAACGAGCGACTATGTTGTCTGCAAGGTCTATGATCTGGAGTCACTGCGCCTGAGAGGTCGTGAGAGTGTCATCCAGAGACTCGTTCAGGAGACACATGTCAGAAGCCAGATTGAGCATGTAAGTGATCCCTTTTCAATTCATGCGCTTTGAGAAATTCACTGACACAGAGTCCAGCCAAACCTGGCGTCTTTCCGCGGTGCTTACAAGAGTCACTCGAATCTATATGTCTTCGAGGATCTAGCCACCGGTGGAGACTTGTTCACGCTTACGGAGCGCGGCCGCTCTACTCTGAGCGAGGTTGAGGTACGATGGTTGATCCGCCAAGTCATGACTGGCGCTGGCTACATGCACACCAAGGGACTCGTGCACCGGGACCTGAAGCTCGAGAACGTTCTCTGTGCCATCAGCCCACAGGCTTCGCACCGAATTGTCATCACAGATTTCGGCCACACCTGTTTGGTTGGCGATAGAAGCACGACTAGTAATGTTGGCACTCCAGGCTGGCAAGCTCCGTAGGTACCTTATTGATAATACCAACGCAAGACACTAGACTAACCATTTACCAGGGAGATAATCAGCCCGAACTGCCACGCGGGCCCACCTGCCGACATCTGGAGCATCGGCGTCCTGGCCATCTACCTCCTCTGCGGAAGCACGAAGTGCGAATCGGTTGACCTCCTGGAGGCCTTCGCAGAGAACTACGCGCTCTTCCCGCAGCGCAACATCAACGAGCCAACCAACGAGCTTGGAAAAGTCTTCGACGAGGTTGCCATGATCCGTTCCAATGTCACCATCTCCAAAGCCGGGAAGGGCTTCATCCGCCGCTGCTTCCAGGCCAGGCCGGAGAGGAGGCTCACCGCCGCAGCGGCCCTCAAGCACCCGTGGCTGTGCGGCTCTGACGAAGAGACGGAGGCTTTCAAGAAGCTCGAGAAGGACACGACTCACTGGTGGGAGCCTCGGACCGTCACCCCAAAGGCCTGCGAGGACCTGAACGAGACGGTTGCCAACAAGCCTGAGGACGGAGCTCTGGACCAGTTGGTGTCACCTTTCTTCCCTTGCAAGCTAGTGGTTTGAGTTCACGCGTCGAGGTGTGTGAAGGGTAGCTAGGTACTAACTCTATTGCAATTTCATGTGCCTTAAGGGGCATGCCCTTCCTGTGGAACCAGACTCTCTTTGATCATTTCGTGCCCAGTGAACATGGTTTTGTCACATACTTGACTGTCACCTAGAACCGGATAGTCTTTCAGTGAGCTCTCACTAATCTGATCTCATCGTGCAGTATTTATAGTTTCGCGACGTTGTTTACTTTGAGCATTGGTGGCTTCAAACTTAAGAGCCTTTCAGAACTGCAGTATTGCTTTGAAAATGGGTTTTATAATAAAAAGCACTCTATTTTCCCTCCCAAACTCCAGTTATAATCACCTAACACCTATCTACATGCAAATACCTCATTACAATGCAAGGAAACACCCTATTTATGAATTAACCTCCGCAAACCACGTCCTCAGCAGCCCCGCCAGAGCGCCCGGCAACTCCTCCAGGTTGTGCACGATGAGGTAGTACTGGAAGGGGAAGGTATCTAGGTACCTCTCGATGACGACCTCGCTGATACCGTCGGCCTGCCGGACGAACTTGGCCTTGCCCAGCTGTAGGACGCTGTCGCCCTTGCGGGTGGAGCTGTCGTCCATGATGATGAAGACGACCATGACGCGCTCCTCGAGCGCCTCGCGCAGCATCCGGCGGATGCGCTCGTGCGAGTCTGACGGCGTCAGCCCGTCCGACAGGATCAGCGCCAGCTGCCAGAGGTCGTCGCCGCCGCGGCCGCCCGAGCCGGTGGCGCGCGCCGCGCGCAGCTGGTCCAGCGTGCGGCGGATCAGCAGCGCGACGTCGGTGCGGTCCTGCGCGAACGTGAAGTTCTGCAGGACGCGGGCCCCCGCGTCGTGCGACGAGAGCAGCGGCGCGGCCAGCTCGTGCGCCGTGAACACGTCCGCGCCGAACCCCACCACGCCCACCTGCCCGGCCTCGAGCATCGCCAGCGCCCGCGACACCATCACCAGCGACTCGAGCGCCATGGCGCCCGCCGTCGTGTGGCCCATCGACTGCGAGTCGTCCACGCACAGCAGGATCTGGTACGTGCGTTTGGTTGGCACTGCACGCCGCATCCAGATCTTGTCGCGCTTGTAGCTCGACGCGATGTACGGGATGATCTTCTTGATATTGAGCCTCTTGCCCGTGCGGTACGAACCTGACAGCTTGGTACTCTGCGAGGGCGTCAGGATGAGCCGCAGTTGGGATGTCAGCGCGAGGGAGAGCGGGTGCGTCTTGGTTTGGAGTGCCGTCCAGGTCTCAAGGGCCTGCTGGTAGTCTCGCAGCGGGCGGTCCGAGTCGCTGAGGTGCGTGCTGTCCAGTTGCGTGGACGTTTCTTCGATAGTTTCGTCCTCTTGCTCTTCCACTTGGTTTGTCCTGGTGGGAGACTCGGATCGCTCACGGTCGAAGGCGCCGCGTCTGGTCGCGACGCCGCTTCGAGACTCGTCGCGCTCAGGCATATCTTGGTTTTTGGACTCTTCTTGTTCGGCACCGTCTACCTCATCGTCAACGTCCATGTTGTCGTCGATGTTGTTGTCTTGCTGAGGCATTAATCGGCTCTGGTCGTCTTGCTTGTCCTCGTCAATGGCCATGGATTCGTCGATGGGCTGGACTTCGTCCTCGGCAGCCGTACCAAGGGCTTGGGCGTCAGGGGCATCATCATCGTTCTGTAGATGTTGGAGCTCCTTTTGAGCCATATCTGAATCGTCTTGTTGACGCGCTTCCTGGTTCTCATCCATGGAGTCTTTGATGTCTTGGTTTTGTCTGTACCACCTCTCGAGGGCATCTCCAAGCTTCTTGAACGGCTGCGACTGCGCTGAATCGTCGGGCTTGTTGGATTCATCAGAGCGGTTCTGGTCCTCATTTTGCCTGGACATCGCCCCCTCGTTCCCGGCGGCGGTCTGCTGATCGTCCGTGTTCTGACCCATCTCGCCGCTCTCGCGTTGTGCCGCTTTGGCTTGAGAGTTATCATCCTCTTGCCCGTTGTCCATGTCATTTTGGTCCAGCCCAGCGCCGCTCTTGACATCGCTCGGGGCAGCGTTGTCTGGATTCGTATGGGAGTTGTCGTTGGGGTCCAACGGCGGCTTTGTCTCGTCCTTCTCGCCAGAGTCGTCTGCACCTTGCTCCTCGGGCTCCGGCTCCTTCTCTTCCATCTCGGCATTGTCGCCCGTCATGTCCTCATCTGGATTTTCGCTGTCGATCTCCTGTTCCATATCGTCCTGATTCATCTCGCCCTGCTCGCCTTCATTGTCGTCGACACTCTCGGCGTCTCCCTCTTTCTTGGCTTCCTCCTCGGTGTCTTGCGGGACATCCGACAAGTTGTCCAAATCGTCGTCAGAAATTGCTGATTCATTGTCGTCGCTGCCATCGATATCCATGTCTTCTGGTAGTGCCAATGCCTCGTTTTCTTCGACGTTCTGATCTTGCCTGTTCAACTCCTCCTGCGCGCCGGCGTCATCTTGCTCTGGGCCTGCCTCTTCCTCCTCTTCCACTTCTTGCTCGGGTTTTCCCTGCTCGGGTTCCTCTTGCTGCTGCGCATCTTTGCTCTCGGGCGCGTCCTTGGCAGCGACCTGCTCATCTTCGTTCTTCTGACCCTTTGTGTCGTCTCCTTGCTGGTCCTTGTCCGCGTCGTCGCCGTCTCCATCCCACATCTTTTCGTCGACTGCGGTGGGGTCGAGATCGTCCACATCGCCAGTTTCCTCGTCCATTTCCTCCTTGTCTTCCTCATCCTCGCCATCTTTGTTGCCTTGCTCGTCCTCGTCATCACCAGCTGCGCTACCCATCTCGCCCTCCATGTCATCTTGGCCCATGTCAACCGCATCTTCCTGGTCTTCGATCTCGCCATCTTTTTCCTTGTTAGGCTCCTGCGCCAGCTCGGAGAGATCTTCATCTGGTTGAATGTCTTTGCTGATATCCTCAGCGCCCTCGCCATCGCCGAGGCCTGTCCCGCTTTCGAGCTTGCCTGAGTCTCCTGAGGTTTCGTCAGACTTCTCCTGCGGAGTACAGAAGCCCCTGGAAGCAATCTCCACGAATGCCTTGCCGAGGTTGAGCGCCATCTTAGAGCTGGCGCAGTGCACATTGGTCAAGTCTGTGACGGTCGTGCGGCATATGTTGGAGTATTGCTGTAACAACGGCAGCGTGACGGCAAGAAGAGAAAACGCAGCATTCCTGACAGTAGGATCGTCCAGTCTCAGGTTGTCCAGGCGGGCAACGGAGTCACTGATGCTATCAACTATTGTCCTCATGTGCAGAGACTTGAGCATATTTGCGAGGGTGTCATTGTACTGCAGAAGCCACGATGCGTCTTCTGTCGATGTTGGTATGGACGCAGCTGCCTTTTGCAATTTTTGCACAGCATCGAGGACCTTCTTTGACAGGTTCAAGGTCTCACTGACAAACACAGTGGCGTCTTCGTTTGTTGTGACAGCCTGCTGGTCGCTGACTGTGACAGTGGTCCAAATCTGAAGCTGCTCAAAGATGAAGCCAAGATCAGGCCGCTCAGACTCAAGCAACTGCAAGGTTGCCTCGAAGTCGTCCAGCTTCTCCTGCAGCTGCTCTCGTAATTGCGATCGGGTATCTGAGTCGAGACCCTCAGACAATCTTTGGCATGCCTCAAACCGAGATTGAAGTTTTGTGAATCTCGCAAGCCAGTCTTCGAGCGCGGACCGAACTGGACCATTGGCAACCTTACCGAGTGTGCCGTGTACCTCGATGAGATGGAGACCCAAGTTCAGCACAGGAATGAGCCAACGCAGAAGCTGGCTATGGTTTGACGTTGCCCGTTTTGTGACCAGGTTCTCAGACTGATTGGAGATAATGAGAGATTGAAGGTTGGATATAGCAGCATCCACAGTAGCTAGCGTGTTGGCACTGTCGGCTAGGCAAGAGCGTTGTTGAATGAGCACATGAATGATGCCTTCCATGTAACCGGTACTTCGTCGGACGGTTTCGTTTGTGAGATCGCCATTGTGGTCGTGCAAGGAGTTCCTCACTTGCGGGGCCAGATCCAGAACCTTGAGGAAATAGTACTCCGTTTCTGCCAGGCTTGAGTCACCACCCGAAGGTAGGTTCTCCAACTTGGCCAACACAGCTGCCAATTGCTTTTGATTGCGCAGATGAGCTTCGTTGAGGTTACGAGTGAAGCCCATGGTCCGGATTGCCTTGATCGTGTCTTCGAACAGACGAGTTTTTCTAGTCTTGAGATGCTTGACTTGTTCCTTATTTTCGTCGTTCAGGAAAGCCGGGGTCTCCTGCTTCAATGAAGCCATGGCAGACATGGTGTCAGACAAGAAAGTGCTAATAACTTCCGCTGCATTTATCGTGGACTCAGGTAATTGGGACGCCTTTGACATGATGCTGATAATCTTCCCAGCTTTGGAGAGGCGCCTGGCGTGAGCATCGTCAAGCCAACCAGGAATCAACTCTCGGCACATCGAAGCAGCAGCGTCATCCGGCTTGGGAACCGCTGGATAATCGCTCTTCGTTACGTTGCTGCTTACATGACTCTCGTCGGGAAGGCCTTGGTCGATGATGGATCTCATAGGCTGACCGAGGACAGCCCGGAATTTCCTGACAAGTTTGAAGAGCTTCTGATGAGATTTGCGGGCACTCTCCCGCAGAGCCACAATGTTGGTGTCCTTCCAGCTGGCGAGCATTAGAACATCCTTCATTGCCTTCTCGACCGATGCCCTGCCCTTTTGAGTTGCTTCTGCCACCTTGCTCTCATAGCGGCGGTACATGGAAATGAAGTTCAGCACTGCATTGTGGATGAGCTGGAGTGGTGCATAGTCCAGGACCAGGAGCCCAAGTTGTTTGCTCAGCTGGCGAAGCAACCCAAGACGTGTCTGGAATTCGCCCAGAACAGCCTCTGAGAAGAACATCTCGAGGTCAGATACCAGTTGCACTGTGTAGTCTCTCAAGTCCTGTCCCAAATCCATCTTTGTCATGGGAATGGCAATGACAGCGTGATAAGCCACGAACCACCAAGACTTCGCATCAGTTTGGCATTTTTCGACCTCCATATCGAACAGCTTGGCCCAGGTTGCGAGTTCCAGGCGACGCCAGCTGACGACAGTCTCTGTCAGTCTATTGTAGAGGTTCAAAGCACCATAGATATGACTGGCCCAACCACCATGCTGCCATTCGTAGACGAACGCAACAAGCTTCTCGACGCGAGGGATGATCTTTGCAAGAGGGTCCGAATGACTCAGCTCGAGGACATGTTCGCAGGCGCCCAGGACGTCGGCAAGAGGCTGTAAGTGCGCGATCTCATCCACGTGCTGGAGCTCCCTAAAGCGCATTTGGATGCCGTGAACCAGGTTCACGAGTTTGCGAGACTCAAAAAGATTGGCACTTGTGTAGAAGTTGTAGCCAGCAGAAGTAGTGCTGGATGTGAAGTTGTCCGTCTTCTCGTCCAAGACGAGCAGTGCACCAGGTAGGAGAGCTCGGTCCTTCTGGGCGTCCAGAGGGGACTGCGTAGCTTCGCCCGAGATTTTGCGGGCGACGGCTTTGCAGAAGTTGACCATACTCTGTTGGGTATCCTGAGGCGTGAGGAAAATCCTTTCGTGCCGCTCTGCCAACCTCAGCGACAAGTTTCTGGAAGCTTGGCCTGGAATCTTTGTGGCGGCATGATCTTCAGCCTCCATCTCATAATCAGGGAACAGCTCGTTAAAGTCTTGCTGATCGGCCTCCTCCTCTTCATCAACGCCGCCCTTGTACCTATACAGGCTGTTCCTCGCAGCTTCCTGCCTCTTATCGGCGTCGAGCTTCTTGCTCCACTCTTCATAGAAGTAGTGAACGGATTGGAATACGAGCTGCCGTAGAGTAACATCAAGGCTTTCGATTCCATTCACACTGACCCAAAGACCAACGTACGACAGAAACTCCAAGCTTTGATGAGGGAGTTGAGTGGCATTACTCCAAAGTGATCCCCCTAGCATGGGCGTGACTCCGAGAAGCGAGCTGGTATCTGATCGCTGTCCAGCACCAGACACAGTGCCCAATGAAAGTCCAAGTTGTAGACAGCGTAGAATCGTCACCAAAGGCATCGTCAAGTCCTCATAGACTTGGAAGCGACTGGAAAGGCGTTCAATGAGGTGCAGAACGTTTTCTTTGACAAGCTGCACTTCCTGCGCCTTGCCTTCGGTCCCGACAGCCAGGTACTCGAAGAACGCGGATGCGACGTCGCTCTTGACAACGGCATTCAGAACGTTGTTGAACTCTCCCTGAAGTCGGGCCAAGTCGACGCTAGATGGACGGTAAATAGTAATCGCAGCGGCCGGCGGCTCACCCAAGATCTCGATCTCCTCACGCAACAGTTCAGCACGCAGATTTGACGCCTGACCCGTGAAGCTCGCTTCGAAAGCGCAGAGAGCTTGCCATTTGCGCCTCAGGTTGGTCAAGAGCTCCTCGTGAGAATTCCGTTCAGTCTGGGCCCGCAAGTAGGGATCGAATATCTTGTCTGGAACGTAGAGTATGATGCATCCGATGGCGAAGTGCACCCACGCCACAGCAGCGAAGGCACTCTTCTGAGATATGGATTTCTCGGACGCCACCAGAGCAACTACTGCGGGTATGAAGTGCTGCCTGAATATGATCAAACTGTGCTCTGGGCATCTGAACTGTCCAGAGGCTCCATCGCTCGGTAGTTCGAAGACCAAGCCGCCTCGCTCAATCCTCACCGACCTTGGTGCGAGTTTCTGTGACAAAAGTTCGAACAGGGACACAAAATCCTGAAGGAGGAGCGGGTCGTGAGAACCAACGACTTCCCGCATCAAGTGCCAGAGGATTTGGTTCAGGCAGCCAATGGAGTCTGCCGAGACGGCTTCCGAGGAACCTGCAAGAAGTTTGCCCATGGCTGGCAGCTCTATTTCAAGCGACTGGAGGGCAAAGAGACCGGCAGAAGCCGTTGAATCATACTGATTAATGAGCCTTGACATAAGCTGGCCGTTCCATGGGTGGGAATCCGAAGATTGAACGAGAACATATTCCATGCAATGAAGAAGTCGCTGAGCATTGGTCCAGCTCTGAAGTCGCATCTGTGAGAGGGTCGGTATGTTGGACAGTACGACGACGTCTTGCAAGTCCACGAAGACAGGAGATTGGCGCGACGCTCGATGAACAGTCAATGCTTGCCTCAACGTCTCGAATTCGTGTTCGAAGAATGGAGTGACCTCGCGGGCATCGTTGGCATTGGCCTCAAGGCGCTCGATTTCTCCCTGTAAGACGTGTAGAAGGTCGGCGGCTGCAACAGCATTTTTGCGCACAACGCTGTAGGCCTCGGCGAGGGATGAAATGGCCTCGCTGAGATCTGCGACACTAGCATTAGACCTCCACCTGATGGCATCGAAGCGGATTGCCAGCTTTTCCATCTCGCGAATGGCCAAGAAAGTGGCCTGGTCAGTGACGGGAGCTGGTCTGAGAAGGGTCCAGAGCGTCTCCATGCTCAACCCTGTAGTGAGCTTGAAGCCAACAGTGAAAGCATCTTGGATGTTATCAAGGACATCTGTGAGAATCTGCAGTCCTCGCTGGCCATTGAAATTGGCTGCGGTAGACTCGAGTGCGTCAATGCCTTGTTTGAGATGGGCCTGGAACTTTGCCTCCTCAAATGAAGCACCAGTGACAAAATGGAACGTCCTCCACCAGTAGTGAAGAAGCGCACGCAGCGCTGGCTTGATATCCGTACTGGACTCTGAATGCTGGAGACTGGACTCGATGTATCTCTCTAAAAGTTGAATGATGGAGCTTAGGAACCCTGCCACGTTGACGGTCGAATCCTTTGCCACAGTAGCGACTTGGCCGGATACAAGCGATCGCTGCAGACGGTTCAGAGTCGAGGGCTTGCTCCTGTCAAGAGTCCGAATTTGTGATTGCATCGCTTGCTGAGCGTGTTGGATCTCCAAGATCACTTCGTAACAAAATGCAAGCCACTCTGCAGCCTTGGGTGAATGTTTGTCCGTAAGGCTGGCCATGGGTCCATTGTGCAGTGTGTGAAGAGGTTGCGTAGGCGTCAGTGTTTCCTTCCCTGATACTTCGTTTGACACAGCCGCGTACAATTCAAGGACGGCTTGTCTTGTCGATGCAGCCTTTGGCGACTGCACGTATGACACGAGTGCTGATACATCGGAGCCGACTTCAGGAACTGCTGCATCTTGCAGAGGACCTAAACCGTTGGCGAGGGCTTTCTCATATTTCGCTAGAAGCGAGGCATCTCCAAGACTGAGGTTGTCAAGGGCCAACCGTGTGACTTCAAGCGCCCCATTCATTGAAGCCTCAGTGCTCACATGCGTAGCATGACCGTATCTCCGCATTGAAGACTCAATTGGCGTTATGCTCGAAATGTAGCGGTCACACTTCATCTGCGACTCTTCCAGATAAATCTCGATGGAACGATTTCGCATGGCACGAGACAGCTCGCCATAGCACGGATCCATAGTCAGAAAGATCCGGAAGTCGGAGTGAGGCTTGATGATTCTTGGCTCGCCATCTGGACCGGTGTGCTCATTGATGCTCAAGAACCCGTTGGGCCGCTCAAGCAGGGAGTTCAGCCTGTCGAGGACAGACGCGCTGCACAGGTTGGCATTGTCGAGGACGAGCCACTTGCCTGCTTCCATGGCGCGGACAATGACTCCGTCGAGCCACTCAAATCTCGGATTAGCCAGTGTTCTTGGAGAATTCAGCATCTGGTGTGCCTGTGTAAGGCGTTGGCCCAGCAAAGAGTCGGCGGGTACCTCTGAGGCCAGTGCCTCTATGCAGACAGTGATCTCTGAAAGACCATGGTCTCCGCGACGCTCGTCAAGAAGGCTGATTAGATTGACGGCATTTTGTGATGAGTTTTGAGGCAGCAGCGACAAGGCGAACTCCAAAAGCGCATCTTGGAGTTCGTCCAGGCTGGCATGGAGCTCCCTCAAGGGATCCGCCTGCTCGAATCCGCCGACGAGATCCATAGCATCGACGTCCGCATTCAGAGGGAAGACGATCAACTCTTTTCCGACAGACGCAGCTACATGGTTAAGGAGTGATGACTTTCCGCTTCCAGAAGGACCGACAAGAATGCACGGCAAGTTTTGTTTGACACAGATCAGGAGAGACTCGATCTCCGCGAGCCGTGGCACAGCGTTCATGCTAGGGAACCGGCTCGGCTGAAGCAGTGGGTTGCGATCCAGCAGGGCCAGTCCGACCTGACAGATTGCCGAGGTGAGGCTGTGATACAGACTGTGTGGTTGAGGCGGTGCTTCAAAAGCGCCTGTGAACAACTGTGCAATGTACTCCCTGTCAGTCGCAGAGCGGAAACGCTGCGTGACAATAATGTCCAAGAAGTCCGAGGCCTGCGCTGAAGCAAGCAGTCTGTCGTCCGAAGCTAGAAGTTCCAACCATCGAAGGGAGTCTCGCAGATTGAACTCCCAAGGAGAGCCGTGAGACCCGAAGGACTTGCGAATGGAGGTCTCATAATCCAGAGCTGACACGAATCTGATCATCTTCTGAATGATACCCGCAGGCACATTTGGATACCTCTTCCCGGCAATGAGCATGAGATCCTGCTCAGTGAACACGTCGGCGTAGACCACGATGAAACGGTTGACAAAGGAGCTAGGCAGGCCTTTTCGGCCACCGCCCTGCGAGTGCGGGTTCTGGGCGGCAAAGAGCTTGAAGTCTGGGTGGCACTTGAAGACCTGATCTAGTTCAGAAACATATACCTCTCCTCGGTGATCGAGACAGGCGTTCAAGCCCTCGAGGACAGATTGGGAGGCGAGGTTCATCTCATCCAGTAGAACCCACTCGCCTTTTTGCATTGCTTGGAGAAAGGGGGCGTCCCTCCATGCAAAATTGCCGGCCTCCGCGCCTTCGACGGGAACGTCGGTACCAAAGAGGTCCATCAAGTCCGTCTGGTCTGAAAGGTTGATTCGAGTGAGTGGCCGTCCGCATGCCTGAGCCAGGGCGCTGACGAGTGTCGTCTTGCCTACGCCCGGATTACCCTCAAGAAGGACAGGCTTATTGACGGCAAGGGCACGGATAACTCGCATTAGATTCATCTTGGTAGTAGGGGCATCGAATGCGAAAGCAGAATCGTCCTTGCCGCTAGGCATCCGAGCGACAGAGAATCCACCAATCTGGACAAAGTCTGTGCCGATTGCTAGCTGTGGCTCATTCCTGTAAACGGCACTGACATCGATGCCATCTCCAAGGAGCTCATTCAGCTTGTCCAAACACTTCTGTCTTTGCTCATCCATGGTCTTTGGATCCAGTGAGAGCAGAGCCGAGGGGTTCGCACCAAGAGTGTCAATGAACACAGTGGCTGCTCCGTGCAACAGGGCCATGGCAGGCTGCATGCTCTCGGCATGGTTGACAAAGTTTACCCAAACCAGAATATCACGAATGGAGAAGGCAGTCGCTGTTGACGAGCGGCACGTCTTGCCAAACCAGTATGAGAAATCCACAATGACACTTGCAAGGGGCTTGAACGGGGGCTCGAGTTTATCAACCACGATGTCCAAGATGTCTTGCCTATTTGACAAAGGCGGCACCCAAATCTCTGTGAATCTGTTTCTCAACGCGGGCGAGAGCTCTTTCTTGCCAAAGTCGCCGCCAGGGTTCATCGTTGCGAAGAATTGGAAGCCGTCCGCAGCGCGCACGAAAGACTTGTCAGTGCCTTTCTCAGCTAGCAAAAGGCTTCGACCCGGCTCAAGCACCGAGTTCAGTCTTTCCAGCACGGAATCGTCTGCCAGGGAAATTTCATCCAGTAGAAAGAAATGCGCCTCTTTCATAGCATGAACGAGACTGCCGTCGGACCATTCGAACAGCGCCTTACTCCTGATCTCGTTGGCAAGCACTTTCTCCTGAATAACTTCAGGAACTCGACTCCTGTCGTCTGAGGAGAGCGCGTGGTACCGTGCCAACAGGTCATCAATGCTACCGTGAGAAAGCTGTGCCAAAGATTCAAACGCTTCCACGAGACTTTGCTTCAAAGCTTCAGCGATCGCGCCGCGGTTCCGGACTGGTCTCTGCGAGCCGATCAAATCACCCGTCTCGGTGTTCTGGTGCGCATTGACGATGTGCAGCTCTTTGCCAAGAGATTCGGCAAGCAACTGACAGATGGTCGTCTTTCCACATCCAGTCTCACCAACCAGGAGGACCGGCTCGTTATTCCGCAGAGCCTGTGAGACTAATATATACAGTCTGCGCATGGCATTGGTCCACACAACGCCCTGCTTGTTATCGTTTAGACCGGCCCGTCGCATGGCCTGAGTGAATCTCTCTTTGTACAGCTGGTCGGGGTCGATCTTCACCTTGAAAACCGTCTCGATGACCTGCCGTACCGCGTCTCGTTCCTCATCGTCCCGGACACGCTCTGCCAGAAGCATGAAGCCATTGTTCGCAATATCTTCGCGTGTGTCGGCATCCCGAAGAGCCCACCTGAAGAGGTCTCTTAGCGTTGCGAAACTGTCTTTCTGTTCGAAGACTCGGCTAGTTTGCCGCAGGCGGGAAAGCTCCTTGTAAACCGAGACGATTCTCTTGCAGTCGGAAGGCGCCGTGTTGATGCTCCGCTTCTGCAAAATGTGTTCCAACTCGTCCTCGGGAATGTCGTCGTAGTGCAGCTCGAGGAAGCGGTTACGGAAAGCTCTTGAGAGGACCTTACGACCACCGTAGAGTCCTGGGGGGTTCTGCGTTGCAAAGAGCATGAAACTCTCATGAGGACGGACGATTTCTTGAGTCTCCGGGATCAAAAGTTCGCGATTGTCGTCAAGTAGACGATTGAGCGCTTCAAGAATGTCGGTTGGTGCCAAGTTCAGCTCATCAAGGACAATCCAGTGTCCCTGACGCATAGCCTGGACGAGCAGGCCCTCCTGGAACTTCAACTTGCCATCTGAGCCTGATACATATGTGCCCAAATACTCTTGCAGATCGGTATGTTCGTGATTGTTGATTCTTACGAATTTGTTGCCGCTATACTCGGCGAGGTATTCGATCATACTCGTTTTTCCTGCTGACGTTGGTCCCTGAATGAGGATGGGGAATCGCCTGGTGGAGGTCGCTCGCACCAGGTTTAGCAAATTTCGCTCAACATATGGTGTCCTAATGTAGTCCGCCCGTTCCTGCGGGGGTTGAGCTCCCTTGAGCAGCCAATAGACCCGGCTGTTGTCTGTGTCCGTGAACTTGACGTATTCACGCCCGTCGCTTGGATACTTGGGTGGTCTTGACAGAAGACGATTGGGATCCTTACCAAGCAAGTACTGTACAATCAAAGGCATGACCTGTGTCTCGGATGCCCGACTTAACAGTGTCAAGAAGCCCATACAGAAACCCTCGTAAAGAGATCTCTCAAGTCCATAGAACGGCGCGACATCATTGACATATGTCAACACTCGAGTCAAAGTACGCAAGCTGAAATGTGGGACTTCATTTGCGCCATCCACAAGCGCCTTTGCCTCAGCAAGCTCCTTGATACGCATGTAGAGGTTGGCAACTTTGTCGGCTGCTTGATCAGTCTGAGAGTTTTGGCCGTTCAGGTAAGACTTTATGATAGTCACGAGATCCTTGAAGTCTTTGTCCGGGCTAGAGACGTACAGCTCGGTGAATCTCGATCTGAGGCCTTGGGGCAAGTCTCGTTTGCCAACGTCAGTTGCTGGATTCATTGCTCCAAAAATTCTGAAGTTGGGGTGGGCCTGGATTCTCTCGATCTCGCCTGTCTCCGAGAGAAGTATCGAAGGCGTCGCGTCTGGTCCTGATTGCAGTAGATCCGCTACGCTTTCTAACGTGTCCGGTGATGCCAAATTGATCTCGTCTAGAAGCACCCAGTCTCCGTTCCTGACGGCCTTGACGATGTTGCCCTCGATGAACGCGAACGCGAACGCTCCCGACCCCCCTGAGAGTTGGATCGCGAACTGCTCCAAATTCTTTGAAAACTTCTCCCAACGAGGCTTGAGCTCCAGCAGTGTCTCCAGTCTCGTCGAACCAGTCTTTCGCCTCTTCGCAGGTTGACCATCGGCATCACGCGTCTTGTCCCGGGTTTTGTCTTCAGCAACCTTCATTCTGAGGATCTCTTCGAAAATCTTTGGCGCCTGGCTCCAGAGCTTCGCGGCGTCTGACCATTTTCCCTTCGCAATGCTCTTGTTGATCGACTTTAGATACTTCTGGTTCTTCTCCTCTGAGATGCCGGTTGAGGCAAATAAGTCCTCAAATTCCTCCTTCAAAGGCACAGCCAGGTTGCGCACGTTGATGGGCTTAAAGCCGCCTAAGAGGTCGCCAACTTCACTCTGCTGTGAAAGATTCACGGCTACCAACCTGTGGCCAAGGCTTTCAGCAAGCTGTTGTACCACGGTGGTCTTGCCTATACCGGTTTCTCCCACAAGCAAGACCGGCTCCTTCAAGCTCACTGCCACAGCGATCTGCTCCAGCAACCGTCTGGCGTGTGTGGTGGGCGCAAACGGCCTCTTCGATTTCGTCACGCGATCCGGTCGTCTCGTTTTGCGCAAGATTGATCGTCCCACAGTCAGGTGTGTCTCGGTTTCCGCCAGACGGGGAATGTGGGAGCTGAGGTGGTGCTCCACGCGCTGGCTCGACCTGCCCATCAACTCGCCGATGTGAATTATCAGCTTGTCTCGCACTCGAGAATCCTTGATGCCGCTTGCAAAGCAGTCGATCGCCTCCATGAACATGCCGTCGTATGCCGTCTCGGTGATTGGTTCTTTGCCTGTCTTCGCGCCTGCTGATGCAACGATCCTCTCGAGACGCCGGCACCACTTGAACAGATCTCTTGAGCTAGTCGGACGTTCCGACGCCGATGACACACCCGGGATGAGTCCTGAGCTGCTCAGGAGGAGACATACGCGTTCGTAAACCTTGAGAATCGGGTCTGACACGAACTTGCTCAGCAGAGGATACTTCTCGTGCATAACTGTCTGGAGCTCATCTTGCACCATATTTTGCACCGGCAACAAGTTCCAAAACCGCAACCCAAGCAAGGTAGGAATATTTTCCTGGCCGTCCATTCCCTTGTGTGTCCTCACCGTAGCCAAAATGCGGAAGCTACTAGGCGCTTTTATCGTTTCACCACGGTTCGGAATGAGGAGCTCGCCCCTTTCAATAAGAGGAAGGAGTGTGCTCATGACCTCTGTTGGCGCGCGGTCGAGGTCTTCTATCAGAACCCATCTCCCTTCCCTGACTGCCGTGGTCAAGATACCAGGTCTCCACTCGAAGGACCCGGGCTTCGTCCCGGTGGTGTATAGGCCGATAAGCATTTTGGCGTCAGTCTGCTCGTTTAGGTGCAGTGTGACCAGGCTTGTGTCCATGCCGAGCTCTCGCGCCAGCTCCAGAGCCGAGGCCGTTTTACCAGCACCTGAAGAGCCATGGAGAAGTATGGGACCTGCCTGCTGCAGAAGCTTTGCAAGGCTCTCAAGATTCCGAAGGGTTGTCGGGGTGGCAATGAGGGAAGACTCCCGCTTTGGCGGACCGCGCGGCCGGGGAAGTACAGTGCTCCCATAGTGGACGACCAAGCTGGTTAGGTTTTGAGGTGGTATGTGTGAAGGGGCAAATGAATGGACTTGTTCTTTGACGGCGACAATCTGCTTCTGTATGCCCTTGGCACGAGCATGCTCAAATAATGACAAAAATGCGTAGTCTATAGGCTTGCCGTCAAAGTCACCAGTCAGGGACTCATTCTCAGGTATGTGATGCCGAACGAGAGCTTCAAGCCTCTGATCGGATGCTCTCAAAAGGAGACAGAAGATTCGTATTGCTAGATATCTGACAGGGGCGTATGAGTGTGAGAAGAGGTCTTGGACATCAGACGGCAACACCAAAGACGAGAAAGCCTTGCGATCGAAATTGAGGAGGCGCCATACTGCCAGAAGCCTCCGTAGGAATGCATCTGGGCCTAGTGACTGCGAAGACTCGGTGAGATCGAGGCGCGTAGTGCCGCGCCCTTGTGACGGTTGGCTCCGCAGTGCGATGGTTTTGAGATAACCTTCTAGGAAAACAGAAAGCTGCGGAGAAAATGGTAACACTCTAGCAAATGATGCAAGTATATCATCGTCGCAGCTGCCGTGCGGAGTGTTGAGGACCCATCGAGCGCAGATATCTGCAAAGACCGGCTCAAAATGGGGGAATATGCGACCTGTAAGTCGAGGTATGAGCGCCGCCTGAGAGACAGCGTCCAGAAGGTTGGTCGGGGTTTGATCACGGATGATGTGCAGCAACTCGGGCGGTAATTGCGCCACTGTGGTCGCGTCGCTGAGCAGAGAGGCCCTCTGCAAGCTCACATCGAACTTCGCCATGGTTGGCGAGATATCCGGAAGTTTTGTCGGTTGAGGCAACAGTGATGATCTTTTTTTCGTCGGTCCTCTGCGTTGACTGCAGTAACTTTTTTACAGGGATGATTCCTACCCCTGCAGTGCCTTGGACGCGGGCGGTCCACTCAAGCGCGGGACCCACATGCTTACCTAAAGCAGCTTCAAGCCTCGTGCGAAATCTTTGGACATCATCACCGCGCGCATCTCAGCACCAGAGCTCGACTGACTGGCCCCTCCTCCGCTATTCAGAGGTTCTCTCTCACACATACTGCCCGCCATGTCTCTTTCCTGCAGGTACGCGGCTCAATGCTGCGCTCGTCAGCTCCGCTCCACCTCCACCATCCGAAGCACTGGCGTCCTCGCCCAGCAAAGGATATCGCGACGCTACCAATCGACCGACGCCGCGGCCGCACCTACGAACCCCAAGATCGCCGGTATTGTGGACCAGATCAGCCAATTGACCCTCCTGGAGACTGCAGACCTGGTCACAAGCCTGAAGGTAAGCGCGAAACTTCTTAACGCCACGAGGGCGAGGGCAAGAAGCTGATCAGCTCCCTCAACAGTCGCGACTCAACATCCCAGACCTACCCGTTGGCGGCTTCGCCGCGGCACCCGCTGCAGCGGCACCAGCAGCTGCAGCTGCAGAGGCCGAGGAGGAGGCCCCAGCGGCCCAGGAGAAGACGCTGTTCAGCGTGAAGCTCATGGCGTTCGAGACGGCGTCGAAGCCCAAGGTCATCAAGGAGATCAAGAACCTGCTGGGTTTAAGTCTGGTGGACTCCAAGAAGTTCGTGGAGAGCGCGCCCAAGTTGATGAAAGACTCCGTACCGAAGGACGAGGCCGAGAAGATCGTGGCGACGCTGAAGGAGCTGGGCGCCACCGTCCAGATGGAGTAGAAGACGGGTACAAAGAAAGCGAAAACAGGAGGAAAAGGTGTGGCTATGCAGCCCATGGTTGGGTTGAATCAAACATTCACATGTAAAAATGTACGTGTAACAACATATACAGGTAGATGGAAGCAATATGACATCCCTCTCCTGTATGCCCTCCCTCGTCTCAATGATGGGAGTACTGCTACCAGGATCAACTACCAAAGCCCAGCTCAAACACTCGACACTTGACTTCAGAGGACCAATTGCACGCAACGTCTCTGGCGGTTTCTGTCTATCTCATGTATACTTGAAAGAGTAAGCCATGAGATTAGATCATTCAATAACACACATGTGCTAGCGGGAAAGGCAAGGAGTTGCAGCAACGAGGTAGGCTGCGCCACTGGAGGCTATCCCACTGGATGTCATACTACTAGAAAGGAAAGACCGAAGAATATTTACATGAAGACAGGATCAGTCCAAGGGGTCTGTTAATTCGATCTGTTTCACAGGACAAGGCGGCACCGAGAACAGTCCATGAGTCAATGATTAATAGGGTATCTTTTGGTAGTCAGAGGCAAATATCGTGATTCGTATGCCAAGCCCATCCGGCTTCCACGCCCATGATTGATACAAGGTTCCCATCACGCATGTCTCCCATTCGTCTGCCCATTCCTCTCTCTGGCGGCCTCGTCTCTCTGATGGGAGCAGCTGTCCCTGACACACCTCTGGCGCTCCTCCTCCTCCTCCTTGGCCATGAGTAGATCGTCGTCGCCGAGGTCGCTCGTCTCCTCCCACATCTTCCACATCTCGGCGTCCGCGGGCTCGGTGGGCACGGCCCATATGCTCTCGCGCAACCGCTTATGCCGCTCGCGGTCCTCCTCGATGCGCTGCTCGATCTGCTTCTTGTCGGGCCGGGGCGGCCGGGGCGTGCTACCGGGCTTTGGGATCGTCTGTGAAGGCGGCATGTCGCCTAGTCCAGGGTTCGTGCTGTTAACAGGGCTGGACATGACGATGTCCATATTGGAGGTTTCCCGCTCTTTGAGCACCTCGTTGATCTCTGTCACGGTCTGTGGTTGGAGGAAGTCTTTGGACTGCAGGCCTTGAAGGACCTGCGATATTTGTTCAGTACAAATCGAGAGGTGGGACACCGATGCTACATCAGCGCGGGATGGCATTGCGTACCCTTCTGACGACTTTGACGTTAGCCGCACCAGAGCCGTCGTCGGGCGCGACGGCATCAACAACTCTTATGATGTCTCTCTGTAAGAAGCGGATGTAGTCCACATGGCCATCCTTCTGTGCCATCTCGAGGAAGTGCTCAATGAAGTACATAATGTTGGCTCGGGTGTTCATGTTAGTCTGTGTGAATTGTTAGCCGAGTGACCTTTGCTATTGCTTACGGGAGATGAATTCCGAACCCGCTCGATTTGCTCCAGTATGCATGAGTGCAAGTCCTCTCCCAGTTCCTTGTACCTAAGAGCATACTGGGCGGCCTTTTGCGCTGATGTGACCGAGGCGTTGAGATGCTGAAGTTGATGTGAGAATTTCATGCGAACTTCAAATGGGTCCGCCATTTTAAGAACTGAGTGTTCTCCCCCAACGCAATCCTGAAGTGCTTCGAATGTCTGATTGTCAAAGAAAGTCGTTGTCTTGGAGATCTTGTTGTTTGACCGATGCTAAAGAAATTGAGCTCGAACTGCTTCCCTCTTCGCTTGTAAACCAGCCGGTACAGGTACTTGGAGACCTTCGAGTAGTGAAGTTGCTTGAGCTCCAGTGAGTCGGTTGATTTCAGCAACTGTACCCGGGCAGTTTTGGAGAAACTGTCCAGTCTGGACGTTTTTCAGTGGTAATAGAGGAGCGTCTGAAGCCTGTTCCAGGCAGTTCCTCAACCGAATTTGATTGTTTCCCCCAGAAGTCAGGCTGGTCTCAACTCTACTCAGAGAAGTTTGGATCTGATCAAGTCGATCAATGAAGTGATTGAGCTGTTGGGCAAAGTGATGATTGTCGAGTCGTGAGATTTCAGCAGCCACAGATGAAAAGCCCCGTACAATGTTTTGATGATTGTATTGAGGCTCACAATCCATGTCTGCTGTATATGATTATGTGATGGCGGGGCGTGTGAGTGGATGCTTAGAGACCTGAAGTTCAAAGGTGGGGGGCCGAAGTCTAACACTGGGAAAACATTGCTCGGGGGTGGCGGCTGGCTATTGCCGCTAGAATTATTAGACTTAGGTAGGTACTTTGCTGTACAGTAACCGGGCAGTCACGAACCCAACACGCCCACTTTCCTCGTGAGGAACGAACCTTAGAAGGGACCTTGCAGGCGCTCCACAGGTGCTAGGCTCATCGGGCCAGGCGGTGTGGGCGCTACAGTCACCCCTGTGCCCTCGCTCGAGGCCCGCTATCGGGATTTTCAGCGCGCCCAAAGGCGATGTTCACCCGAGTTAATATCTTTAGAAACCGCATAAAAGGGGATGGCAATGAAAGTCGTAATGGGCATCTGCCGGGTTGCAGAAAGGAGTCGTCAGGCTCGGATCCGACGAGGCCGTCCAGATAAATTCTGAATCAGTCACCTGGACATCTTGGATCTTCCTCGAGAGGCCCATCGCCAAGAACATCTCGCTCTGTTGAAGTCAACATTTCCTATCATACCAACACTCTCTTCCTCGTTTACCTTGTCAAGTGACCTTGTCAAGCAATGCCCAACATGAGTATGATCACTTTGGCGTCTCGCAATTCTTCATATACGTCCATGAGGACTATTGGGCATCACGATGACCTTACTCTCTGCGTCCTCGGGTGTGGTGAGTCTCTAAACATCACCCTCAACATGCACATTTTATACTCACCCAACGCCAGGTACAATGGGCATTGCCATTCTTTCTGGCATCCTCAACTCGCTGGTAGAACTTGAGGCCCCTAAACCACTCCAGACTCCCTCCTCAGGACACTCAACCCCAGCAGAGCCGCTCCCCCAGCGCCTCCCCAGCCGCTTCATCGCCTGCGTGCGGCGCCCGGAGACAGCCAAGAAGGTCAAGGCCGCCCTGTGGGAGCACACCTCGGCGGTGAAGGTGGTCCAGGGCCTCAACGTGGCCAGCGCGCAGCAGTCCGAGGTGGTGCTGCTGGCGTGCAAGCCCTCCATGGTCAAGGACATCCTCACGGAGCCGGGCATGGCCAAGGCCCTGCACGGCAAGCTGCTCATCAGCGTCTGCGCCGGCGTGACCGTCGAGCAGATCGAGCGCCACCTGCACGGCGCCGTGCCCGACCGCGACCCGGAGGAGGACGGCCGCTGCCGGATCGTCCGCGCCCTGCCGAATACCGCCAGCCTCATCCGCGAGTCCATGACCGTCATTGCGAACGACGACGACACCCCCATCCCGGTCGCGACCATGCAGCTCGTCACCTGGATCTTCCGCCGCATCGGCGAGGTCGTGTACCTTCCTTCGGCGAACATGGACGCCGCGACCGCGCTGTGCGGCTCGGGCCCTGCGTTCTTCGCGTTGATGTTGGAGGCTGCGATCGATGGGGCGGTGGCTATGGGCCTGCCAAGGGCGGAAGCGCAGCGGATGGCTGCGCAGTCGATGAAGGGTGCTGCAGGCCTGGTGCTGAATGGCGAGCATCCTGCCTTGTTGCGCGACAAGGTCGGCACGCCGGGTGGTTGTTCCATTGGCGGACTCTTGGTGCTGGAGGAGGGCGGCGTCCGCGGCACGGTGTCAAGAGCTGTGAGGGAGGCGGCAACTGTCGCTAGTAGGCTGGGACAAGGAGCCCAGGGTGTCAACGGGACGAGGTTGAATGGTTACGAGCATTGAGGATTTCAGCATGGCGTTGTAGGTCAAAGTATTTGCGTCACGCGTTCACTGCTGCAAAACAATAGAAGGGAGAATAGATTGTCATGTAGGATAAATCGAGCAAATCAAAGCTGATCATAATAATTGGTATTTGCATCGTAGCTCTTCATCCTAGGAAGAGCAACACCTCAATTCCCCAAGAACGTGGAACCAACCTAGATAATTATCCGCACCCTCTTCCAGGCTATGCTATCTGTACAGTACCACCCATAACGGCGTTCGAGAGAGGTCACTGAAAATTAAAGATATTTTCTGATCCCATCAAACATCCATCCAGCTTGCTAAAAGCCACTCAGGCATCCTCGGTCTTCGGCTTCTTGCCGCTCGGTGACTCTTCATCATCACCCAACTTTCTCTTCTTGCCGGCCGACTTCTCCTCTGCCTGTAAGGCCTGCCTCGTCTTGAACCGCGCCAGCAGCAACGCGTACTCGAGCTCTACGGCAAACACCGTCTCGTCCAGCTTAGCTATGCGCTCATCAGGCTCCAATTGGCTCAATATCTCCCGATTCTGCGCATAGATCCGAGACTTCGTCAACAGCTTCCACAAGCTGTACTCATGATCCTCGGCTTTCGTGGATTTCCTGCTCCTGGAGCCTGCAGCGTCTATATCAAGACTTGGGCGGACGGAGTCGGGCAACTTGAAGAAGCAGTTCAACTCTATGAGCCGATTAAACTGTCGAGAAGCGATCTTGTACTTAGTTCGCAGCGCCTCAAGAGCCTTCTTGTCCACAATATCCTTCGGTAGAGTGCCTTTCTTCGGGATCTCGACGTTGGTATTGATTTGGACTGCCTGTTTGAAGTCGTCCTGCTCTCGTAGATATGAAAGATCTGCCATGTCTCTCACAACGTCGAAATCTTCGTTGGGGTCTTCGACAGTGATCTCGAACGTCTTCTCATCGTCAAGCAGGGTCTTGTAGATCTGTCGGTATAGCCGCATGCCGTTACCCTTCTTACTGAAAGGCGGCAGGATGATGAACTGAGATATCCTTGAACGGCAGGGGAAATCCGTGAACGCATTCTGTGCCGGGAGCTCAAAGTCACCAGTGGTTAGATTGGTACTGGCATTTTGTGGCTGCAGAGCGTAGAGTCGGTAGACGGTCGAGTAGCCGGCGAAGACGTACGAGAACTGGCCGGGCTTGCTTGTCACAGGGCGCTTCTGGTACAGGAAGAAAACAGTCCACCGTTCAAGAGGATCCTGCTCGTACTCGTCGGTGCTCTCGGTATGAATTGGCGTGCCTCCCTCGATGAACAGAGACACCAGCACTTGGATTCTCTTCACCAACTGCAAGACAGCCGGGTCGGCGAGACTGCCCTTCCAGATCTCGTATGTCTCGTCCTTGCCTTCAGATGTCGAGATGAGAGTCCCTGGTGGCTTCCAGTCGTCCGGTGTGTTCTGAACGTACGTCTCGAAGTCTGCCTTCCTCGCAAAGGCGACTGTGGCGTTTTAGCCTCTTAACAGTACCCAAGAGATGATGGTCAGCTTACCCTCTGGAAGAAACCTTTCGATTGACTCCTTGATTTCAGTTTGATCCTTGTCAGCCACATCTGCTGGGACCTCCTTGGCTTTCGTGTACGAGAAATGTGGGCGCATGTCGGATGCATTGTATCGAAGGTTGATCTTCAGTCCCTGGTAGCCATAAATCTCCTCCTCTTCGTAAATCGGGTACGTCCATTTTGGTTGGAAGCTTTCGATAGTCTTTGGAGGAGGCTGGTCTGACTTGGTGACGAGAGAGATGTTGAAGACATCGTTCGCCTTGGTAGTCCCTATCGATTCAAGGTTAGTGGGAAGCCTAGGTAGAAGCGAACGAATGCGCAACATGGAAGAAGATGCGACGCGACTTACATTCGTCGTCCTCGGCCATCGTGAGAAGTTAGGTGTCGCGATTGTCTGAGAAGCTGTTAATTTCGCGACTTCAGTTTCGCAATCCTGGACGACAAAAGACTGGACGCAAGTCAAGTTTTGGCCGCTCAGCCCGTCAAAGATTCAATTGTCGTCTCAAAAGCTGCGAGATGCGCGTGGAGATGTAAAGTCGCGTTTGCGCCTAGTTGAGACGCGCAGCTTAAAGTGGTGGGGCCTGCCGTAAAGTTTGGTAGCCGCAGGCGACAAGAAGGCGCTAACTTGAGGGCGGCAGGGGTTCTTGCAGGGGGAGCTTGGATCGCCAGGTTTACGCAGCAAGCGTCTGGACAACTTCCCAAGTCCATTGAGGCAGGGCCCAGTAAATATTGCGCGTCTTTCAAGCGATGCTAGCTGCTGTTTTTACACGAACACAATCATCTTTATCTTGCGCTCGGGAAACTACTGGCACCTACATCGGCGAGCTCAATACTACTGGCAAAGCCGACACCTGGAGGCCAATTCTGGCGCAAGGGAGCCTACGAATTTGGAGACGGCACAGGAAAGACTAGGGAACCTGTGTGAAACCATCTCAACAACTTTTTGCCCCGGCGGAAGGAAATCCTCCAACCCCTTCGCCCAAATCTGTTCAATCGAGTCCTTCGCCGATGAATTGTGCATTTGGTTAGATACAGAAAGCAAAGATGGGCGGGCTGTTCCTTCTCCTTGTGCTGAGTGTGAGCAAGCGCAACCCCTGATGTGTGATGCCTCGAACATGACAGCTGATTAGCTTTCTGCAGGTGGTGATGGCGCTCGCGTCCTTCCTCGCCGGCGCACTCCCCCTTTCGATGACATTAAGCCAGTCACAACTACGCCTGATATCGAGCATAGGAGTAGGAATACTAGTTGGCACATCGCTGATAGTAATAATACCGGAAGGGGTCGAGGCCGTTGCGTCCACGGCCAAGCCTGCATCGGCGCCGCACGACGCCCGATCGCTGATTTTCGGCCGCCGTCAAGCACCTGAGCTCACTATACCACGAGACGTACCCGTAGTAGAAGTGCGAGAGGCTTTACGAGATGACATTGCGCCGCTCCTGCGCAGGGCAGTTGGAGAACGGGACGACGCGCCGCCTCCAGAGAGCGAGCCAGCAGTTGAGGCTCCAAAAGAGGATGCGCACTCGGAAGACGATGGGTTTCCGACATTCTACATTGGACTTTCTCTGATGTTGGGCTTCATCCTCATGTTCCTCATCGACAGAATACCCCAGCATGCGACAGACGGGTTGAATTCGACCCCGGCAACCAGACACATCAGCCTGGACAACCTGGGCTCGGCAAGCGTGAACGGCGACGTCGACGAGGAGGCCGAAGGGTTCCTGGGCTCTTTCGCCCCGACTCCCAGGCAGTCCAGGAGCCTGGCCACCACTACGGGGCTGGTGATCCACGCCGCGGCGGACGGCATCGCGATGGGGGCGTCGGCGACGACGAGCGACATGAAGCTGGGCCTCATAATCTTCATCGCGATCATGATCCACAAGGCGCCCGCGGCATTCGGCCTGACGTCCATATTGCTCAAGCAGGGGCTGTCGAAGCGGGCAGCTAGGGGCCACCTCGTCGCCTTCAGCCTGGCAGCGCCAGTCGGGGCCCTGGGCACATACATTCTCGTTTCGATACTTGGTGGGGGGAACATGGAGGGCCCGGCGGGCCAGTGGTGGACTGGCATGCTACTTCTCTTCTCCGGTGGCACTTTTTTGTAAGTTGTTTCCTGGGAGCTTACGAACAGTCACAAGACTAACGACCGTGAAATAGATACGTTGCCATGCATGCGATGCAAGAGGACTCTGCAGCCCAATCTCACGAACATCACTCGGCGATGAATGGTTACGCAGACAGTGGTGCGCAAAGGAAACCGAGCCGGCCGCAAATGCGGGACACATTGGCGACAGTCGGCGGCATGCTACTGCCTCTATTGACCCAGTTCGGCCACCACCATTGATGGGAAGGTCAAGAGCGTGTTTGAATGTACTACGTGGCTGGTGTATTGATTGTCCGAGTTCTTTCTAGACACTGTGAATCAGGCTGAGAGGGGCATGGCATAGCATATAAGGAGTCCAAGATCTATTTTGCAGCACTGCTCAGGATGGTGATCGCTTAAACCACCCTCGTGATATGCGATTGTGGCAACTGCAGAGGAGGGGGCCGAATTCCTTCAACAGCAACAGCCGTTACTATGCATCGGCGGAGGGGCCATTGCGGGCGGTCATGTGTCTGTTGTAATGGACGTGCTTTGCACCCACAATTCCGAACAGATTGATCTCGGCCAATTCCACGGACGCGTCCATGTTTCGATCCCGCAGTCGTGCGACTTCTTGTATTTTGGGGTAGGGGGGGATTCTCCGTGGGGAGACGACAAAAGGAAAACAGTTGTGCACATTTTTGCCCTTGTCTGTTTCACTTAGAGAGGGCAAAAGATCACCCACGCCACAAAGAGGCCACACAACGTCTATGCGCGCGAGCCCAGGCGATTGGTTACGGCCCGCCTCCGTGTCAGCCTTTGCTGGGCCGAGAGACGACCCGACTGGAGCATGTAGCTGCACATGGTAATGTCTACGTTGATTTTTTCATGTCCAGCAATTTATCACAGCATCTGGCCAGGCTTTGTTGCTTTGGCTGCCTCGACTTTCAGTATTGTCAGCAGCCGTGTGCGTCTAAGTGCTGACGGGCGAGGCCGTGGCCCACCCCCCGTTTCGGGTCGGTCCTCTCGAGACCCGCGGTTGGTAACTGTTTGGTGTTGGTGGGCTCTCAGTCTTGGCCGATTTTCTTGGGTAGCATAGCTGTCGTTTTCTCTTTTCGGCCTTTCCCCTCATTTGTCTCCTGTGCGAAAAGTCGGACTGATTTGTCCTGCCCCGTCCTGCTTATGGTGGGACGAGGGTAGTCTTCGCGTATGTGTAGTGGTTGCCCGGGTGCGTTTCGATGCAATAAGCTGCCACTGCACGGGCTAGAATGAGGCAGAAGGATCCTCGGTAGGGTTGAATGAGGCTGAACTTTTTTTTCATGCCGCAGCCTGCCTGCCTGTGTCGCTCCCTAGCCACCCCTGCGCCATTCCTTCCCGCTGCTAATAAAAGGGGGCAGCGTCTCGTCTGACAAGGGCGATCATTCTAATGACGAGATGCGATGGAATTTCATGCATAGCGTCCAGAAGTTCTCGGCCTGGCTTAACTTTCAGGCCGTTGAATAAGCTTTTGCCTCGTCCGGAGCGTTGGAAGCATTGACAGTGATCGATTGACCGCAGATGTGGTTGCCTCAGGATGGCGGACACTGCGACATGGAGCAGACTAAGTAAAGTACTACTGTATGTATGTAGGTACTTGTGTAGTTTGCGTAGGCTCCTGACCTCATCCGGCCTCTGTGCTGACTGCATGCATGTAAGTGAGACGAGACCCCAGACGGGCCGGCACTTCTACTTCTACGTCGAGGGACAAAGATAGAAGCAAGAGGTATCGCCCGTGTGCGTCGGGTACGTCCATGCTGTCCCGAACAGCAACTCCTCGGGGGTACTGGTCGAAGCAGGAGAAAAGAGAGAATGGAAGGTGGAAGAAAAAGGGGCGCCGCTATTTCATCCGACGTCTTGGAAAAACATAATGGTGCCGCCCAGCCGTAGCATATGTCATAAGCCTGCGGGGTTTCTCGAGAAAACATCGGACGTGAAGATCAGAACGTCAGATGTATAGTGAAGGTGCCTCCATTCGCCGTCAGGGTGACAAGTGTATGTGAGGGTGTGTGTGTGTGTGCGCTTGTGTGCGTTCGTGTGTGGCCGAGGCCAGCGGTTCATGTCATGTCAGACTTGACAAGAGTTGCTGCTGTTGGCCCGAGTGGACTGGTAGCCGGCAGCCGTGGCACCAGTCGACATCAAACTACAGCTGGCGCTGAGCAGATGAGCAGATGAGCAGGTGAGATGGCTTTTGCAGTACATATCTGTTCGCATATGCGTGCACGGGTGCGTGGACAATTCCCAGTGCCAGTACAGGAGATCATCATTTGCTGATCACTGAGGAAACCCTTGGGTGCTTGGTTGCTTGGATGCTTGGAAAGACTGGGGGCCATCGCTCTCGCAAATCTGAAAAGTACACAGGCTGCACGTTTGAAGTTGCCCCTGACCGCCCGGGCGTTGGTGAAGAGGGTCCGTGGGCTTATGACAACCGCGTGCATCCACATTGCTACCTGCGTGATGCAGATCACCGGCGAAAGCAGAATGTGCTGGTATACGTAGTATGGTGCTGGGTGCTGGTCGAGGGTGGGATCGAGAATGGGGACCCGCCCCAGCTTGGCTTGGCCAGCCAGGTGGTGCTGCATTCCATTCCCAATCCTCTTTTCTCAATCACCTACTGGTACAGAAGACACAGAGACGCAGAGACGCAGGGCAGGTATCCAAGTACCCAAGTACCGATTGCTCTCCGCCATCAGCAGCGAGGGCAGAGCCAGGTCGTGCCGTCCCAGCGTCCCAGCGTCCCAGCGTCCCTGCGAGCCGTGCTGACAAGAGCAGAGCCCGTGGAGACGAAAGACGAGGAGACGAGCGAACCTTGGAAGTTCCATCGGCTAGGTAGCTGGGACTGGGGGCACTTGGCTCTACTTGACTTGACTTGACTTGACGGACGGACTTGAAGGGCACTGATGGGCTAACGAACGAGACGACGGCTACCAGTCGACCTCGTCACCTCATTTGTTTCCCCGTCCCTTTCAGCTTTTCAGCCCAGTAAAATCACGCCCACGCCATCTGACTTGTCGTCGATTCGAATCTTCCCTCACCCACGTTTCTGTTTCGCGCTGCAGTCCAATTCCCAGTCCCAGTCCCAGTCCCAGTACCCGATAGGCCCGAGGTTGTGTTCGGGTGGTGCCGAGGGCAGCAATAATATTATTAGAGTGCACCGCAGTGCAAGCGCAGTCTTGTGCCGCCTTCGCCTTCTGGCCTGGTGTCGAGCCGAGTCCTGGAGGAAGCAGAAGCAGGTCGTCTTGGGAGTGGCCGCTGGTTCCTTCCATTATCTCTTTCTGTCTCTCTCTCTCTTCGCGCTGCACCTGCACCTGCAACCTGCAACCTGCACCTTGCACCTGCACTTGGGCAGTCAGTGAGTCCAGACGTACCTTCGTACAATAACGGTACATACAATATCCCAGGCCCCCCCCCCTACCAACGGGCAACATCAACCTTGGAAACAGGAAACCAGGAGTCGCCAGAGGGAGACCCACCGCATCTTTCTCTGTTCCTGCAAATCCCAGTCCACGTCCCAGTCCCAGTCCCGGTCCCAATCCCAATCCTAATCCAAATCCCCAGGTCCAGTCCCAAGAGACCCATACACCCTCTCAGGCTCGCACACTGGCCTGGCCTCGACATCCCCATCATCTCATCGTTCCCTTCAATTCTGCGGAACCTCATGACAACAACATTGGAGCAAGGCGAATTCGGGTCACATCACCACCCCCAAAACTCTTCCGTCTCACCCTCACCACTCTGATCACTGCATACCACCACATCCCGGTATTGACTCGGTCTCTTCCACCCACTCGTTGCCACTCTGCGGTCATCCAGTCTTTTTTCTCTTCTGCAGAATCCTCGCCTCTTGGTTTTAATCAGTCTGCACGTCTGATGTACTGCGTACGACTCGTTCCCTCCGACACACGTTACTTGTTACTCCGCAGCGCTTCCGACTCTGCCTCGCCGTCGGCCTGACCCTCACACTTTAAGCCTCGCGCCTCCTCACCTCTCCTCCGCACCAACAGCCCCCTTGATTTGACTCTCCCTCTCCGTCCCCCCGGATCAAAGCGCCTGCACCATCTGGCTCTTCACCTCCAGCCTTCCGCGTCGGTTTCGGCTTCCGTGTCATCCAGCCTCTGCGGACCCAGGACTCTTCTCGCCGTTTTATTAATTCAGTCCTCTTCCGACCAAATCCAAAACCAAAAGCTAGCACTGTGGTTTACCGGTCCCACTAGGCCTAGGCGAAGGAGCCACTGCCACCATCCCGGTTAGCGCTGCCGCCATTCCCCTTGTTCCACATCATTAAAGCGTCCTGGCTTCCCAAGTCACGTTCCCTTCCAGCGGTTCCAACAGCCTCCAAGGACCCGCCATTCCGATCGTGAACCGAGCCAACTTCGACATCATCCCGCCTGTTAGAACCTCGAGTCCCAGATCGTGGTCTGTAGTTGACACCGACAAGACGACTCCCCACCCCGCGTTCCCTTGATCCTCCCTCGGCCGCCGAGTCCTCGAGACAGAGTCCGTACAATATTATTGCGTTCGGGGACTCTTGTCACAATGGATGGCTATGGCCACCGACCGCTCAGCTTTTCAGACAGGAGAGCGAGTCTGTACTCAAGCGAGGATGTCGTTATGGGCAACGGAAACCACACGATCAAGATCCCTCAGCCTAGACCGCCCAGGGGACCGCCGACTCCCAGCATGAGCACACCTGCTGCCGACTTCGACCAGACACTGACCGGATCGCCACCGCCGCCTCCCACACCGGCGGCGTCGCCTGGTCCCACGCACGCGCAGCCTGACTGGAGCGACGCTGCGGACGACGAGGACATCTTCCTGGCCCAGTGTCGCCAACACTTCCAGACCTGCAATGGACCTCAACGAACACGCATCTTGGCGGATTTGTTGAACTTGTGCACAAGCCAGCAGCTGTCATTTGTTCATCAATTCGTTAGCCCGCTGCTGAAGAAAGATCCTTTCACCAGTCTTCCTGATGAGTTATGTCTTAGGGTAAGTTGGGATTGCATGTTCTGTTCCAAAGAGTCTTCCGTCTGATGCTGACCAATCCAGATTCTGTCATTCATCGACGACCCCAAGGTCCTGGCGAGAGCATCCCAAGTATCACGAAGGTGGAGAGACCTCCTCAGCGATGACATGACATGGAAAAATCTGTGCGTCAAACACGATTACGGCCGTCGTCTGTCCGAGGTGGGTACCACGGTGCCTCTCTACGCCTCGAGGCCTGGAGCACAACCACTTGTCTCCTTGGACACCCCATTTTCAAACCACATGCACAGTTTCCCAGGGGCATTGCCAACTGCGACCGGTATGTCCGCTTCTAGGAGCCTGGACGGGTCGGACTCGAGCTCGCGTCCTAAGCTCAGGTCGTACAAGTCGCACTTCAAGCAGAGATACTTGGTGGATGCGGCATGGCGAACTGGTGGTAAGGCTACCACGCGAGCTATCACCCAGGATGGCGGCGTCGTAACCAGTCTGCATTTGACACCCCGGTACATCATTGTGGCTTTAGATAATGCCAAGATCCACGTCTTTGATACCGAAGGCAACGCGTTGCGAGTACTACAGGGCCACGTCATGGGCGTATGGGCTATGGTCCCATGGGAAGACATCCTGGTCAGTGGCGGTTGTGATCGCGATGTGCGCGTCTGGGACTTAAGCACCGGGTAAGGAAGACTATACATGGTGACTATCTGGTCGATCAGCCGCTAACTTTCTTAGAAATTGCGTCCACACTTTGAGAGGTCATACCTCCACAGTGCGTTGTCTTAAGATGTCCGACGCCAAGACCGCCATCTCCGGCTCGAGAGATACCACCCTTCGTGTCTGGAATATCGAGACTGGCGTCTGCCGCAACGTCCTTGTCGGTCATCAAGCTAGTGTTCGATGCTTGGAGATCAAGGGAGATATAGTGGTGTCGGGCAGTTACGATACTACCGCCAAAGTATGGAGCATATCCGAAGGCAGGTGTCTCCACACACTTCAAGGCCACTACAGCCAGATTTATGCTATTGCCTTTGACGGCGCGAGGGTGGCAACGGGCAGCTTGGACACAAGTGTTCGGATTTGGAACGCAAACACTGGGTAAGTTGGTCTACATGCGCAAACTCTGACGGAGGTCGGCTAACACGGGCAACAGGGAATGCCAGGCAGTCTTGCAAGGACACACGTCTCTGGTGGGCCAGCTGCAAATGCGCGGAGACACCCTTGTCACGGGTGGCTCTGATGGCTCGGTCCGGGTTTGGTCCCTCTCGAAGTTCGTCCCTATTCACAGGCTGGCTGCCCACGATAACAGCGTGACAAGCTTGCAATTCGACGACACTCGTGTTGTCAGCGGCGGCAGTGACGGCCGTGTCAAAGTCTGGGACCTGAAGACGGGACACCTCGTTCGCGAACTGATTGCTCAAGGCGAGGCCGTGTGGCGCGTGGCTTTTGAGGATGAGAAATGCGTGGCAATGGCTCTCCGAAACAATCGAACTATTATGGAGGTGAGTAAACATCTGCCGATCATGCATGCAACACATGAGTACACGCTGACCCGAGCTCAATAGGTCTGGTCATTCTCACCGCCGCCAGAGGATGAGAGGCCATTTGCGTTGAGATCTCTTGAGGAACCTGACCGGCCGAAGAGCGCATTACCCTTGGACTACAGACCACCGCAGCCAGCATTGCTTCACAGCCTGGGCCCCCGTGACAGTGGAGTCGAAGATGTTGACATGAGAGACGCCGGCCCGTCAACCGCTCCCCTTCGGCAAGGCACCACTTTTTTCCACGACTGAATCTGAACTTGGACCTGATGGTAATTCCTCACAACATTGATAGTGGACGTGTCAGCATCGGCTATTCGAAAAACATAACTACCGCCCGCAGTTGGGTGGCACGCATCATCATCCTCTATGGCAGCCGAGCAGAGGCCATTAGAAACTTGATTTATTATGGCATACAATAGCATAGGCCGGGTCGGCTGAATCTTATTCGCTGACACCATTGTTTGCATTTGGGTAGACATCGCATTTTCTGGCTACAAAACTATTATCGCCTTTAGCTCCTGGCGCAGACGCCGGGCTTTCATATTCTATTTATCCGCATGGCTGGGGCGTTGACAATGAGGCTGGCTAGGCGTTGCTACTTATCAATTTCAACATAATGGCTGGCTTGGGAATGGCGGATGAGAGGAGACGCGAGGTATTGTTTCTGTGTTTTGGTATGGAGTTAGCGGAGGATAGATGAGCTACATCTGAAATAGGGTTTGAACGAGACAAATATCACAAGTCAGCTCGCATCGCCCTCTCTTATGGTGTTAGAATTGGACCGTCGACGTGATGAAGATCAAAGAGTGAAAGGAATTCATGGGCCAGTCGAGCTGCGGTGCTTCGGGGGTCGAGCTTCTCAACGTTGAGCGCCAAGCTTGCAGTTCTGGAGGTCCGGTTCAGGAGCTCTGACCAACGGCCCAATCTTCGGCGTCCGCAGCCCGCGCTAAACCCAAAAGGAATGAGCTGTTTCCCGACAATGTTGAGAGAGAATAATTCTCGGACTTTGCCCATCTCGCGACAGCTCTTCCTGCGACCACATCCACTCCGTCCCCCCCCGAAAACCTGTCCCGACTTCCCATCGTCGTCGACAAGATGTTCTCCAGAGCCGTCAGGATACCACGTGCGGTGCCTCTGCGCACCGCCCGCCCTTCGATCCCCATCGTCGCGGCTCGCCGGTCCGTTACCACCAACGCCGCATCCGCCAGCGTTGACAAGAGCGCAGTCCCGAAGGCAAGTTCATTCGCACTCCCGTCTTCGCTCACAAGATCCCTAAAGACTTGACGGATACAAATCCATACACCTCACCAAGCCTGGCATGATTGATTGAATCTATCTAACACAATTCCGTTATCAGTCCGACGACGAGCCCTTCTCAGTAAGCCTCAGCGATGAGAGCTTCGAGACATACGAGCTGGACCCACCTCCATACACCATCGAAGTGACGAAGAAGGAGCTCAAGCAGATGTACTACGACATGGTCGTCACCCGGTATGCCATGCCTCGAGCAAGCCATCTATTCAATTCCCCAAACCAGGGAGACTTGTGTAGCAGGCATTGACGGACTTGATTCTACAGACAGATGGAGATGGCCGCCGACCGACTGTACAAGGAGAAGAAGATCCGTGGTTTCTGCCACTTGTCGACAGGTCAAGAGGCCGTCGCCACCGGTATCGAGCACGCTATCACCAAGGAGGACGACGTCATTACCGCCTACCGTTGCCACGGCTATGCCCTGATGCGAGGCGCCAGCGTGCGGTCCATCATTGGTGAGCTGTTGGGCAGACGCCAGGGTATCGCTTACGGAAAGGGTGGTTCTATGCACATGTTCGCCAAGAACTTCTACGGTGGCAACGGTATCGTCGGCGCTCAGGTCCCTGTCGGTGCCGGTCTGGCCTTCGCCCACAAGTACACTGGCCGCAAGAAGTCCTCCATCATCCTGTACGGTGATGGTGCCAGCAACCAGGGCCAGGTTTTTGAGGCCTTCAACATGGCCAAGCTGTGGAACCTGCCAGCGCTTTTCGGTTGCGAGAGTAAGAACGCCTTGGAATGAAAGGCCCCTAGACAAGTGCTAACTCGAGGACCACAGACAACAAGTACGGTATGGGCACAGCGGCAGCTCGTTCCTCCGCCTTGACGGACTACTACAAGCGTGGACAGTACATCCCGGGTCTTAAGGTCAACGGCATGGACGTCCTTGCCGTGAAGGCAGCTGTTAAGTACGGCAAGCAGTGGACTGATGCCGACAACGGCCCCCTCGTCCTGGAATATGTCACGTACCGATACGGAGGTCACTCCATGTCCGACCCCGGCACCACCTACCGAACCCGTGAGGAAATCCAGCGCATGCGTAGCACCAACGACCCCATCTCCGGGCTTAAGAAGCACATCCTCGAGTGGGAGGTTGCGTCTGAGGACGAACTCAAGGCCATCGACAAGGACGCCCGCAACCACGTCAACGAGGAGGTCGCTATCGCTGAGGCAATGCCAGTGCCAGAGGCCACCCCACAGATCCTGTATGAGGACATCTACGTCAGGGGAAGCGAGCCTCCATTCATCAGGGGTCGGGTACCGGAGGAGAACTTCTACTTCGCCTAAAGCTAGATGACAGGATGGATGGGAGCGAGGGTAGTCGATTTCGGGACCACGATGGCTACTGAATCGGGCGAGCCTATGTGATTGTCGCGCATGTACAATATCCAAACAACAACTTAGAGCATGGCGTGGCCTTTGACAGGAAAGCTTGCGTTATTGATAACTTTGGTTGAGGGTTCCCAAAATCGTGAAAGATGGCTTTGAGTGAATGATTCGTCTTCCGTACTCATGGTGATTGCTAGGAATGACCTGCAGAACGAAACATATGGTATCTAGACACAAGCCTTAGACAACGTATGCGGACTACTCTTTCCGATATTTACGCTGCAGAAACCGTGATGATTCGAGCTTGTTTTTCTGGATTCATAAGCATGTGAAAGTTGCATCAATGATGAAGCGTGCAGACTAGTCACGAAGTGACAAGTCAAAAGGCTGGTGTGTAGAGAAGTATGAGGAGATCCGAAGGAGCGTACCGGAACGGCACGTGAGGGTCGCGTTCAATTTAGATCTAGGCGCGTACTCGAGCCAGAAAAGGCGCGTCATTCTCACTAACACCAAGGGCTGCCGCCTGCACCTTCCGCCGCACACCCCTCCCCCTTCTGCCTAGAAGTCCACGTTCCTGCAGATGCACTGCCTTCGTGGCTCTCTGTTCCGTTCTTCATTTAAAGGATTGAGACACCCGGCCAATTTACACCAGACACGAAACTGGTCGAGTCACGCCTCCAAGCAACTCCTCCGCTTCCCAACGCGACCCACGCTCCAGCCGCTTCTCGCAATGGCGCCCAAGCAAGCGACCCTGGGGTATGTCAAGCCGTCGCAAACAACCTTGGGGTGTGTGCGCAATAGCCTCTAGGTTGCGATGCGATCCATTTTACATTACATGGGAAGACCCTCTGAGTTCAATTGCTGACTATGTGTCTGTCGCACTGTAGCAAGTTCTTCGGCAAGGCCGACGGCTCCAAGCCAGCTCCCACACAACAGACTCGGCTGTCCTTCGCGACGAAGACGGCAGACAAGGCAAAAAAGTCAACCGCCGTCAAAGAAGAGGACGGTGGTTCCGACGAGGAGGTGACGGAAAACAAGGCGAAGGTGTCGAGCCAGGGCAGCCCGAGCAGCAACAGTGCAAAAGAAAACACAGAGCCAGTACAAGGTCAGTGACGTGGGCCACAGGGACGAGAATCATAGCTGATTACAAGCGCACAGATTCGAAAAAGCGCAGCCGAACATTACAATCCTCTAAAGCATCTGCGAAGTCACCAAGTGAGAAGATCAAGCAAGAAGATGAAGCAGAGGACCTCGAAGAGGAGGATGCTCCCGCGGTGAAACGATCGCGAAAGGGGCGGAAAGTAATTCAGGATGACGACGAGGACGAGGTAATGGAGGATGCGCCCTCACCAAAACCAAAAACGAAAAAGGTGTCGAAGACAACCAAGGCAACAGCTGCAATATCGCGCAAGAAGGAGCCCAGTCCAAAACCTGAGCCGGCCGAGGAAGATGATAGCGCGGCGGCTGCAACAGAATCCGCGTCAGAAGCAGAGCAAGAGGCCGAAGAAAGCGGAGAGGACGAGAAGCCCGAGGTTGTCGAGAAAGCACGCAAGACCGTGCAGACCAAGCTGACGAGCAAGACCAAGGATCCATATCCTGATTGGAAACCAGGCGAGCCTGTCCCTTACGCTGCGCTCTGCCAAACCTTCTCCCTCGTTGAGCTCACCAGCAAGAGATTGGAGATCATGGCTCACTGCTCATTATTCTTGCGTCAAGTGTTACGGCTCACTCCCGACGACATGCTGCCGACGGTGCTGTTGATGATCAACAAACTTGCGCCTGATTATGCAGGCATTGAGCTGGGGATCGGCGAGTCTCTGATCATGAAAGCCATTGGGGAGAGCACAGGGCGCAGTCTTCAGGTCATCAAGAATGACCAAAAGGAGATTGGTGATCTGGGTCTGGTCGCGGTCAAGTCGAGGTCCACACAGCCAACCATGTTCAAACCAAAGCCTTTAACGGTTCGTGGTGTCCACAAGGGCTTGATGGGCATCGCAACTGTCACCGGGAATGGCGCACAGGGCCGGAAGGTCGACGGAATCAAGAAATTGCTGTCTGCGGCTGATTCGCAAGGTACGGGCAAGGTTGACATCACCAAGGACAAGGGCGGTCCAAGTGAGGCCAAGTACATCATTCGATTTCTGGAAGGCAAACTGCGTCTAGGTCTTGCTGAGAAGACCGTGCTGGTGTCCCTTGCTCAGGCGATGATTTGCCATGAGGCTGAGCAGAAGGGCAAGGTCCCCAGCACCACGGAGATGGAGAAGGCGGAGGCAACGCTCAAGACTGTGTACAGTGAGCTACCAAGCTACGATGTCATCATTCCAGCGATGCTAGAACACGGCATTTTGAAGCTTCGCGAGAATTGCAAGCTGCGGCCTGGCGTGCCACTCAAGCCCATGTTGGCAAAGCCCACCAAGGCTATAACGGAGGTTCTGGATCGGTTCGAGGGACAGAACTTCACCTGCGAATACAAGTACGACGGCGAGCGTGCGCAGATCCACTACGTCGCAAAGGACGCGAATCAGGAGCTCAGCCAGGCCACGGCTGGCTCAGTGCAGGCAGTCGGTGATGGCGTGGCATCAATCTTCTCGAGAAACTCAGAAGACTTGTCGAAGAAGTACCCCGACATTCTCGCCAAGCTACATACATGGGTCAAGGAGGACACCAAGAGCTTTGTGCTTGACTGCGAGACCGTAGCCTGGGACACCGTCGAGAAGAAGGTCCTCCCGTTCCAGCAGCTGATGACGCGGAAGAAGAAGGATGTCAAGGTCGAGGACGTCAAGGTCAAGGTCTGCGTCTTCGCCTTCGACCTGCTGTATCTCAACGGCGAAGCCATCGTGGAGAAGTCGCTGCGGGAACGACGAGAACTGCTCAAGGAGGCATTCGTCCCCGTTGAAGGCGAATTCTCGTTCGCAGTCCACATGAACGGCAAGGAGCTCGACGAGATTCAACAATTCCTGGACGAGAGTGTCAAGGCGTCCTGCGAAGGTCTGATGGTGAAGATGCTTGACGGCGAGGAGAGCGGATACGAGCCCAGCAAGCGAAGTCGCAACTGGCTCAAGGTAAGCATATCATCGCATTCATGAAGTTTTCTACTGCTCGCGCCATATGCTAATATTCGGTTTTACTCATAGATCAAGAAAGACTACCTCTCCGGCGTAGGCGACTCGCTCGATCTCGTCGTCCTAGGCGCTTACTACGGCAAGGGCAAGCGCACGTCAGTATACGGGGCGTTCCTACTGGCATGCTACAGCCCAGCGACGGACACGTACGAAACGGTGTGCAACATCGGAACGGGGTTCAGCGAGGCTGTGCTGGAGGAGCTGCACAAGGCGCTGTCCGAGATCGTCATTGACCGGCCCAAGCCCTTCTACTCGCACTCATCCGGCGGGCAGCACCAGCCTGACGTCTGGTTCGAGCCCCGCTACGTGTGGGAGGTGCGCACCGCCGACCTGACCCTCAGCCCGCGCTACAAGGCTGGCATTAAGGAGGGCGTCGACCCCGCCGGCGAGAAGGGCATCTCGCTCCGCTTCCCGCGCTTCATTAAGGTCCGCGACGACAAGAAGCCCGACGAGGCCACCAGCTCGCGGCAGGTCGCTGAGATGTACCGAAAGCAGGAGAGCGTCACGAAGAATAAGGGGCCCGCGGTGGATGATGATTTTGAGTATTAGGAGAGGGCAATACTGCTGTAGTGGTGGTCGGAAACGAAATGAGATGGTCGGTGGTTGCAGGGCTGTACGCCAAATTGCTTTACTGCCTGCGGCGGACGCCAGGCATGTATTTTTTGGGAGTGGGGGTATCTTGTCACGACTCCGTAGCGTACCCAACGAACCTCTCATAAGAGCTGTTGAACCACATTTCAGACCGTGTCACGGGGAACCCGCGCTCTATATTGACGTGCATATGCACATTCGCTGCATTTGGTCACTTCGCTTTTTATATCAACGATCGCTATCATCACACATCTAAAGAGGCATATGCGCGCCCTGCCATTTGCCCGCCTTTCTACAATATAGAGCCGACCTCAAGCCCGGGGCTCTGGGCCTCCTCGACGAGATGACTCCTCTCCAGGAGGCCCCTCTGCTCGCCCTCGCCCTCCTCGCGCGTGATGCCCGTCTCGACCGCGGCGTTGCCCGACAGCATGCCGCCGCCGCCGCCGCCCGCGCCGCCGGTGCGCCGCGTCTCCTCGGCGCCGTTGAGGACCTGCCAGACGTCCTTCTTGGTCAGCAGGCCCTGCAGCACGCCCCTGTCGCTGAAGAGCACGTAGCGCAGGCCGATCTTCTGGAAGTAGCTGACGGCGAGGTGGAGGCTGGCGCGCGAGGGCAGCGTGATGGGCGTCTGGTCGACCCAGGGCCGGAGGTCGAGCGTCGTGCGCGGGTCCGCGAGCGGCTGGTGGCTGAAGAAGGCCTCGGTCTCGGGCGGCAGCGAGCGCGGCGGCCGCGACGCGCCCACCAGGTTGTACTGCAGCTCGGCGCGCGAGATGTAGCCCAGCAGCACGGCGTCGCGCGGGTCCGACACCACGGGGAAGCCGCGGTATGTCTGGGTCTCGAGGATCGCCTGCAGCGAGGCGATGGTGTGGCCCGTTGCGGTGAGGACGACTAGGTCCTCGATGCGCGTCATGACCTGCCCCGCGGGGATGTCCGGGATGGACGCGACGTTCTCGTCGCTGTTGTCCAGGAATGGGTACTCGTTAAAGTGGATCCACGACTCGTAGATGCCTCTGCGGCTGAATGCGTCGCCGACCCATTTGGATATCATCACCGCGATCATGATCGGAAGCACGTACGTCAGGGCGCCGGTGAGCTCGAACATGATTACTACGATGGAGACGGTCATGCGCGTGACGCCGGCGAGCGTCGCCGCTGCTCCGATGATGGCGTAGGTGCCGGGGTTGATGCAGGGAATGTCGGGCTCACACTGCTGGAAGGCGATAAAGCCAGGGTGGTTGTGCACCCAGATCTCCATGATGATGCCGACAGCGCGGCCCGACAGCGCACCGATGGCCATGGACGGGAGAATGATACCTGCGGGTATCTGCAGGCCGAAGGTGATTGCTGCGAGGAAGAAGCCAAGGATGGCGGCAAAGAGGAGCAGAACGATGGTCCCTGCCGTGGCTGCTCCTGTCTTGCACAGGCCGAACTGGTCATCCAGCAGCTTAGAACATTCGGAGAAGAGATTTGCGACGAGCTCTGATGATTGCGCTCGCATGTAAAGGTTGGGATAGTTGATCACGGCCGTGAGGAGGGCAACAATTGCCACCTGCGTGACCGGCCCCGGCAGCCATTCGTTCGAGATCGTTCGGGCCTTTTTCAATGAGGCAACCTTCATGTTCAATTTGATGAACAGGCCCCCGTAGATTCCCTACTTCACCATTAGCGACTTCACGTCGAGACAGGTCTGCAATTGACTCACCCCCATGATGCCGAGGATAAGAAAAGGGCCTAAAGCTTCAAAGTTGTGCCATTCGGTGCTGTACTTGACATGATACAGGGCGGTTTCCCCAGTACGGAAAGGGTCCAGAGCTTTCAAGACGACAGCAGCAGTCATAGCACAGACGAAGCTTTTCCACATCGTCTTGTCGGGAAAGTAGTACGAGATTTGCTGCCAAAATCAGCGATTCTTCTCCTCTGACCTAGGGAGTAGTTGGTGTAGTCCTACCTCGAGACTGAACAGCACTCCACCTATAGGCGCACCGAAGGCCACAGATATGCCCGACGCCGCTGCGGCAGAAAGCACTTCTCTCTTTCGAGCTGGATTCCGTCAGATGGCCTGCCAATAGTACGCAACAAGAGCATTACAATACCTTCATTCGCATTGATGGCCGGAGAAAGTTTAATGAACAGATTCGAGCAGCAGCATGCAACGTGGACTAAAGGACCTTCCTTTCCCAACCACATGCCAGACGCCACAGCCAAACACTAAGATGCCGTTAGATCCAGCTCGGGTGTGCAAGACGAAGGGTAACCTACTAATCCGAGAGATTTCGTGACCAACGTCCATGTACCGAGAAAGCGCCTAATGACAAAACCCCCTAACACAGTCTTGATCTCGGGTATACCACTGTGCCTAGCATAAACCGAGTACTCCTTTACCAAAATGCTGGCGCATAGAGCAAAGAGAACCTATCATTTGTCAGAAAATGCCAGGGTTCAAGACGGGTCTGAGCATCGAACATACCGAAAAAGAGATGAAAAAGAAATATTCTATGATCCACTTTCCCCCAGCCGATGATATGTGCAACGCTGCAGCCCATGGGCGCCAGCCCATACACTGAGCCCCTTCATCATAACCCAGACAGCAGAAGTTTTTGTTTAAATAGAAAGCACCGCCATCTGACGTGGAACAGTACCCGGCCTTCAGGTCGCCCAGCCAATCCGTGACGATGTCAATGGCTGCGGCGAGAGTGCCGACGAGGAGCCCAGTCAGGACGAGTATGATCCATTCCTGGCTCGCATCGAGTAGCCTCTGGGCGTAGCCCACGAGCCCCGCCGCGCTGGAGTTCAGCACCCTCAGTCGGGCCCTCTCCTTGGTGTATTCAAAAATCCAGTCTATGGCCGTCAGGTTCTCGTAGCCTACTCGCTGGCCTGGGCCCTCGACGTGCCAGTCCAAAGGTGCCCCGTCCTTGGGGGTCGAACCGGTTTGCGTGGTGTTGCCTGTGCCCCTCCTCCTAGGCGAGGACTGAAAGGTCTCCGGGTAGGGCACCTCCGTCTCTTCTTCCTGTAATCTGCTCACGGCAGCATTTGTCCCATTGCCTCCTCTCTGGTCCAACAGAGACCCCGTCAAGCTCGTGATCAATCCCAGGCCAATGCCTGGGCGCTTCTGCTTGCGCTTGAAGGATATTGGCTCGGCGAGGTTCTGGCTGAGGGGGTCTTCGCCAAGGAGGTCGCTGTCGGCGGTGCCTGGGCGGAGGGCGTCGCTGTCGACGTGTGGTAGCGAGTGTGAGCCGTGCTGCGGCGATTGGGACGAGGATGACGAGGCCTCCCCGTTGGCGAGGCCGTCGTTCATGGTCGGAGACGGCGTCTGCTTGTTTCGCGATGGGCCGCGGGTGGGAATGCACTCATCTTCCGGCGCGGCGACTCGTCGAGCTAAGTCACCTGGGCTTGTCGAGATCACTGGCCACGCACGGTAGACGGCAACGAGGACCGGCGTGAGGTCGTGGAGGCGGCTGAATCGCTTATCGGTCGGCACAAGCGACCCTGGCTCGTTTGGCTGTCGCCAAGATCAGGGATCCGCATGCGTCCTGGATCTTCAGGTACTAGGCTACTGTGTCGAGTGGACTTGTATTACTAAGCATCAATCAAACAGAGTGGACAAGGAGTCGGAAACAAATATTGATGAGCAATGATGTTGTACTATTACATTGATATGAAATGACTTCAAAGAAAAAATTAATGAGAACGACCCTACCTGCTGGTGATAATGTGTTGTTGCTGCACGCCTACTTGGGCATGACCGAGCCGAACGTGTACATATTAGTGGCCATATAGTCTCGATACTCAGCCTTGATTCGCCAGGTCTTCACTCGCCAGGTCGTTAATTGCCCCTCGCTGTCCGGGCCATTCGCTGATATTTCGAAGTAGTTAGCACGTCTCTTCTTGGGAGCAAGGGCGTATTGAATATGCTTCCTCAGATTGTTGTTTTGTGGCCGATATTGATACCAAGGGTATGTCTCCCAGATGTAGTCAACTATTTCCTCTCCGGTCATTTGCTCCCGCGGTGTGCTCAAGATAGCCTGTGCAATCTTGTTGAACATGGCGTATGGAGGTCTCTCGTGGGGAGATACCCCGTCCCTTGGATATCTACGTGGGGCTAGTTTGCGCGTCCGCTTTGGCGCACGTTCATCCTGGACTTCATCGTCTACGGTAAGTGGACGCTTGGGTCGAGACGCTTGCGGACCCATAACGATTGCCCAGAAATCACTTCTGTCTGGGGGATGTGTATCCACTACATTGTTGACAGGCTTATGCTCTGATAGCATGCAAAGAGCCTCTACGGCGAGCTGAATATCCGATTCCTGCTTTTCGTGAGTAGCTTGGGGAGTTTGTGGGAACATTTTAGACTGACCAGGGCTTTCCATGATGATTGACATTTCTGTTCCTCCGGCAAGTTGTTGTTGAGTTTCTCGAGGTCTAAGGGCAAGTGTAGATATGCAGGCTGTTGGAAGTCCAGTGCAGATGGTAAGGAACAATCTCAGACTTGATAGACTGAGCCGAAATTTACCAGACCTTATATATTCATGATGCCCGTCACGGTCGTTTTGAATTAATATTTGTGAACAATACATTGTTCACACCTTTCAACATACGCTTCCCGTAGAGCCTTTAAACAACATGGCCATTAGTCTTTGTTTGAAACGTAGCTCTCTAAGATGGCCTTTGTTCTGTATAATTACTGTAGAACTATTTATTGTGTATTCAAGGCTGGCTAACAGATTCTGCACCTTCTGTATGCACCTCCTTCAGTATCACTACAGAGTTATTTGTGGTGTAAAGGAGGAGCCATGCCTCACTCTGTTCAGCTGACAAGCACGCCATTCAGCATCGCAACCCCCCCCCTCCCCCTTCCCAAAAAGAAGTGTGTGATTTCATTGTTAGTACTGTCAATATTCACACCCAGTACAAAAACTTCATTTTCATTTCATACCAGCTGACCTCTATGTTAATGATTCCCACTCAACTGCTGCGGCCAATTGGCAGGACAGCTCTCGGTGCACGGAATTCCACTTGACTGCTGGTTCTGAATGTTCGAGCATAACCATTTGGCCGTGCCACCATTCATTGGGGTAATTTTCACATTTTCCATCTGGAGATTCTTGCACGGCGTCGCAGCACTGCAGTGTATCCCAGCAGCCACATTGTAGCGGCTGGTGCCCGTGATGTTGACCCAGCGGATGTCCTCGATGCTCAGCCGCGAGGTGTCGCATCCGGAGCTACCGTAGATGCACGGTGTTATGTAGATGGGTTGGTTGACGTTGTCAAAGTGCATGTTGGCGAACGTCACGTTGCGTACCCTGCCCTGGCCCGAGTACGTCTTGATCCACGCTGCGTTGCTGCTGTGGTAGGCTGTGACGTTGTCGTAATACACGTTCTCGACGAAGTCTGGTTGGGATGGGTTCGAGCCTATGGAACCTATACACATGGCACCGCTTTCGTGGCAAACTACATTGCTCACGTGGACGTTGGTTGAGTTGCCTTTCATGCTGATGCAGTCCTGATGAGGATGACGTTTAGTACAGTGAGCATCAGAGAGCTGCGGGATATTTTCATTATAATAGGAGAAATTAAGGGGAAGTATGTGGCAACTCACATCGCCGCAAGTAACTGTCCAATTCGAGATGACAATATCTTTTGAGTTCCAGGTATCCACCCCGTCCGTATTGACAGTCGACCACTGAGAGTTCGAAGTCGAGTTCATGTCAAGATTGGTCATGGTAATATTCTCCGAATAAGCGACAAAAGTATGCCTGTTACCACATCAGTCATCCAAAATCGCACCTCTTCAAACATCCCAACTGACCAGAACTGGCTCTGCCGCCAGGTGATTCCATCCACCAGCACATTTTTGGCGTGCCAAAGCGTCAAGCTGATCGGTCTGCCGTTCTGATTCCCCTGGTTCCTATTTTGGTCATACCATAGTTGACCATTTCCATCGAACAACGCCTTGCCAAAGCCGCGCAAGCTGATGTTGGTGCCGCCTAGCTGCCACGCAGTCGACCTTCCCGCATAGGTCACGCTGATGCTGTTGCGCAACCAGTATTGGATATCGGAGCTCCACTTCAGTGTTCCATGGATCTCGATGTCGCAGTTGTTCAGGTCCGTCGTCCGCATCACCTGGCCGATATTGAAGAGGCCCTCGGTCAGCACGACCGTGCCGTCGCGGCCGCATTGCTTGAACGCGTCCAGGATTTGGGGCGTGTCATCGGCGCCCGTCGTCAGCGGCGTTATAGTGCAGGTTGAGCCCGTTTTGTTCAGTGCTGCGAGCGCCGACGCACTGAGGATCGCGAGGAGGCTTAGGCTCGGGAGATGCATCTTAGTTGGGTGCTTGCTCTGGTCTGGGCCTTGTAACAGAGACAGAAGAACGATTTGAAAAAAATCTACTGATCTCGTCATTCATTTTGGCTCTTATATACAAACTTCATTAAAGTCTCCAGCCATACGTCCAAATTGGTCGCGGTGAGGTCTTCCGAAACAGCAATGGAAAAGGACTGGGCGTCGCAGCCGGAACAAATCGTCGATTATTATTTAAGCTCTCCACCTGACGGGACCTAAATTCAGGCCCGAGACGGTCTTTTAATGTCTGCGTTTATTGAGTAGACAAAGTCGCGGGGGCATTTAACCGGGTCAAGTGACATCGAGTTGGAGGGGCACATTGCTTAACGCCATGCGGGCACAAGAAGTCATTTATATATAGCTGATCGTCTCCTCTTCGGACTTGAACAATTCCGACTGGTGGCTTTGCTGGAGTCTTTTCTGGTAGTTATTACCAAGGTACCATCCCAGGTTACACTTGAATTATAGACTGCCGTCCACCGATGCAGCTGGATCCGGGAACCTAGCACCGCACTTCGGGAGTCAAATAGCGGCACTACGGGCCAGAAACATGGGGACTAGTATACTGTACCGTCCCTTGACAAGCCTAAGATTTCCCTGCCCATGTAACCATTTGCGGATGGGAAAGACTGCCTACGGGCAAATAGACCGTAGGAGAGAGGCTCTCCGACTTGAGTGAAAGGAACTATGGGAAGAAATAACCACTATACTATGTGAATAAAAGGGTGATCGTTCTCGTTCCCAATAGGCTCACAGGGTCTACATCTTTCTTCACAGGAACTCTGAAATGACACCAAAAACGATGGAAGGGACCAAGCAGTCTTCGATCTGTACGAGCTATTGAAGCCTCTTGTCCTTGAGGGGAAGAGGGCAGGGAAAGACATATGATGTGTGGAGCGATGTTGGGCGAGATGGCAGGTGGGGGAAGGAAGGTTAGGTTGGGAAGGTGCGGCTCTACGGTGATAGTGGGCGCCCATGGTGCTGCTGTGATGGGCCTCCAAAGGCTTCACATCACCTTCGGCTCGAGGAATGTGTCTTTCATAAGGCCATAAGGCCGGATGGTTGTCCTTTCTCACTTGAGCGTCTCAGAAGCAAAGGCCGTATAGAAACTCCAGTGGCGTTCAGATCACAGCACCAGGAACCGGGTAAAGTCATGTTAAACATCAGGTTTCAGGGTGCTTTCAGCTAAGCGAGGCGAATCTGCCTTGGCTCGATCAAACGATCCGAGACGTAGAAGTCTGATGGGCATCTGGACAGCGCAGGGTTCCTATATCAAAGCCAGACTGTCGCAACGACCCAGTCATCTGAGAACTGGTTCATCTTTGCAATATTGCATTTCAGCTATCCTGTGTCAAAGTTTGACTAGTTATCTTTCGAATTATTAGTCCCCACAATGCCCTCTGTCATGACTGTCTGGCAAACCTCCTTGAGCACCTTAGCGCCCCAGACAAAATCACTCTCGTCCAAGTAGATTTGCGCCGAGAATCTAGCCCACCACCGCCCCTGATACCATATTATGGCTATGAAAGTATTGTACTTCGTCACCAGAGTCTCGCAAATCCAGGCCTGTACCCCAGACGCCTGCTCGATAGGCACACCTGGCGTTCCCTTCTCGGCGCTGGCTACCTCAATCGGCAGCCTTACCATGACCATAGAACACTGCCTCGTCAGCGTCCCATCTTCATTATCCATGACCTCGGTGCCCAGGATCTTCGCGGCTGCGAGCCCGCCCCTCCTCGCCAGTTCCCAGCAGTACTCCATGATAGCGGCCTCACCACCGCAAACCGCGCGGCGGAACTCGAGGGCTGCCTGAATACACAGCAGCGAAGCGTTGTCGACAGTTCCCACAAACTCAAACTGCAACGCAAAATTACTCTTGTTGGACGGGGGCAGCGGGTTCGGCTTGGGAATAACACCCGGCCGCGGCCGCGACTCGAAGTAGTGCGATGTCGGCAGGGACGAGCGCATCAGCGGCTGGTTGCGCATCGGCACGTAGAAGATGGCGCTGCCCCGCGGTGTATACAGCCACTTGTGGCAGTTGGAACTGAGGAAGTCCGGGTCCAGAGACTTGATGTCCAGGGGCAGATGGCCCATCCCGTGGGCCGCATCAACAAAGGTCATGACGCCGTTTTCCCGCGCGATGGAAGCCATCTTCTCGAATGGGAGGCGCACGCTAGGGAGGCTGGCGATGGTGTCGAATATGGCGAGTCTGACGCGGCCGCGCTGGGCGAGGATGGTATCACGGAATGCAGTGAGGATGTCGTCCTCGGAGCATGGAAGGGCGAAATCAACCTTGACAGCCTCCGCAGGCGTTGTTTCCACGATGTAGTCGATTGTCTTCAGAACAGCACCATAGGTAATGTCGAGGTAAACAATTATGTCGCCTTCTTGGAATACAAGGTTGCGGAGGACAGCGTTGACGGCTGTAGACACGTTCGCGACGATGACGAGCTCGTCGACCGGGACGTTGAGATAGGACGCTGCTGCTGCGCGGGACTCGTCGAGAAGGCCCGGATACTCGTAGCGGATATACCGATCCGGCGCCGCCTCCGAGGCATCTTGGAATCGGCGCATCGCATCCCGGACAGACTTGGGTGTGCTGCCGAATGCCCCTAGAGCAGTGTGAGGACGTGAGACTATGCACTTCGACGCTTTACTCACCATGGTTGAGGTTGTTGTATTTCTCGTCTAAGAGAAAGTGTTTCTGTAACATATCATGACCGAATGATGTGCGTCTGGTGTCGGCCATCTTGTAATGCGGGCTAGTGCCTTGGATCAGGCACGCACTTGCATGCGTCCAAGTTTCCCTTATGGACTTATTTAAAGACAATTTGCTGCAAAGTATATGCTTGAGGTCACCGATGTCTTCTCAAACATCAAGACTACATATAATGGAGCGCATGCAGCGGGTCGTGCTCATATGCGCGCATTGATGACTCAAGCCTAGTCTCGGCTCGATGACTGTGGTTAAGCCGTGCGAAACTGATAAACATCACTTTTGCGGGACCCATATGGTACCGATTGGAGATCTAGCCGAGGTCGGCGTAAAGAGGCAAATGCTTCTGTTTCTCAATTGTAAAAGGCCAAGACACTAATGGAATACATATTGGATACTCCTGGACGGTTCGCCAATTACTGCGTCGACTTCTAGAGTGCTGCATGTTCAGATGTTCATGTTTGGCATGTTATGATGAATGCGGCACCATAATAGATATTGGGCTCCTTGTGACACCTTCGGAATATGACACGTAAATGTGTTTTTCGGTGCCAATTTTCGATATCTTTGGCGGGAGAGATAAAGTGAGCTCAGATGGTCACTACATTGTTACAGTATCAAGGCTCATTTTGACAGTTGCCAATTCTTGTACGCGGCCTCAAGTTGATGCTTGGCTGAAAAACGGGAACGGCGCAGGACGGGCAAAGGAGAAGCCAAGCAGCGGGGATGAAGATTGTGTGGTTAAAACTGCCCTGGACGAAGTTTGGTGGTGTGAACCCCTGCATCAACCGATGGGAACTTCCTGCACCGTCTGATCAAGGGCTTTGGGCCCGGTTCAACAGACCTCTTGACCATACCCAACTCCCATAAATGCTTAGTTTTCTGGTCGTCCTCACTCATTCGCTTCTTTTGCAACGCACGTCAGTATTTGCACAGGACGTTGTTCACACACAGCACTGACCACTGACGTTGTCTGCAGGATAATATGGCTTCACTATTGACAACATGTCTGTCAATTGCGTTTTCTCCATACGCGTTTCTATGGGGTCTTCTGCGTTTCACTCAGTCCGAATCTGAACCGCTTGCCGTCGAGACCTTGCTCCCTTTCATTAGTCCGGCAATCAGCATGTGGCGAAGGAGCGCCGACTACTGGAATGGACCACAAAAGTAAGCAAGCTCAAGGAAGCATTCAGTACTTTGCACGTCCTCTTAGGAGACGGAGGTATGATTGCATCTGACAACTCGCGAAAAGTCGCCTTCCAATCTATACTTTACGATTACCATGGATCCGCCTTTATATAGTGAATTCAACCACCCTTATACCGTCAGTCCGGAAGCAGGTACGAACCATCTCCTTTGCGCCCGTGATGGTGCGAATGGTGGCGACGATCATGGGCGGCAGGAAGAGTACGCTGAAAATCATCGGCCGGGACCTACTTGAAGACCACGGTCACGTCGCAGGAATGGTCAAGATCATTCACGCCACCTTGCACCCCGGAACAAAATTGGATGCCTTAAACAGGAGATCCGTCCATTTCGTCACGGCCTCTATGGATGCTCTCACCTCCCGGATCGGCGAGATTGAGGCTAGGGGGCTCACCAAGATAACATGTGCCAGTGGATCAGCCATCAAGTCATGATGGCTACGACCGAAGGCATCTACGGGCCCAAGAACCCATTCAGAGACGACTCTGCTGTCCAGGCTTTCAGGTGAATGACGGTCATTACTACGTGAAATCTTCACAAAATTGTGCTAAATTATCTGATTACTCGCAGAAAATTCGAAGCAGGCATCCTGCCGCTCATGACAAGCCCTATAACATCTATAACGGCGAGACGGTCCATCAGAGCTCGCGAAACCCTGCTGAAAGCTTATGTCACTTACTACGAGAAAAAGGGTTACGAAGATCCTCAAGCATCTGCTTTCATACGCGATCGACAGCAATACTTGTCTTCCGAAGGCCTTTCTCTTGTGGATATCGCGAGGATCGAAATGCTGAACTCGATCGCGCTCCTCAGCAACACTATGCCAGCGACCTTCTGGCTGGTCTACCATATCATGTCTGACCCCACAGTCCTAGCAGACTGTCGGGAAGAGCTTACCAAAACATTGAATATGTCCGGAGAGCGAGATTGCAAAGACACCACAGACGCCGTGCGGAGCATCGACATAGATTATATCAGACGCCATTGTCCAATCTTGCTATCCACGTTCAAGGAGGTCTTCCGCTACCATGGTGTCGGCATCTCATCTCGTGTGATCCTGGAAGACCATCTGCTGGACGGACGGTTCCTCCTCAAGAAGGATAACATTCTGCTGATTCCCGGCGAGGTACAGCATCAGGATCGAACTGTTTGGGGCGAGGACGTGGACGTGTTCTCCCACAACCGATTCGTCGGTGGGCAGGGTGGAAGCAAAGGCGGGCGCCGATTGAACCCTGTGGCCTTTCGAGGATTTGGCGGGGGTTCAACGTTATGTCCGGGTCGCCACTTCGCGGCCACAGAAATAATGGCGTTTGCTGCGCTGTTTGTTCTCCGATTCGATGCCAGACCAGCGTCTGGGGTGAGGTGGTCAATTCCGACTGTGGAGAATACCAATATGGCCACTTCTATCCACCAGCCCGACCATGATGTAGAAATCGAGGTGCGACTGCTGGGTAATGAGAGGGTCAAGTGGGAAGTGAAATTATCAGAGTCGAATAAACCGATGGAGGTCTCAGCCGAGGATATAGCCGCTATCAAGACTACGGTATAACAATAGGCAAAGATTACAAAAATACCTAACTAAATATTTGAATTTATGATGACCCTTAAATAAAAATAAAAAGACATCCGCAAGGCCTATGTTTGTTAATGGTTGGAACATCTGCTTTATCGGTAACGACAGACCTGTTGGGAATCATTATCTACCGGAGAACCCCAGTCAAATCCTAGTGAAGGTGAGGAAGAGATTACTGATATTCTTAGACCTGCGGGCTGTCAACTTTGCACTTGTATTTTGAGTTTAATGGCGCTTGTGTCGCCGTCTTCTTGAGCTCACAGATGTGAGAAGGTTCTCCTTGCCGAAGAAGGAATCTCGAAAGAGCCTCAAATGAACCACTGCCTCAGTACAACCTCTTTCTATGGGAGACTAACCTTGCTATAATTATACGACTTGACCTGAGAAAACCAACATTGGTTTTGTGGGGTGTGGCTTTACACACCTAGTCACAAGCGATGCAAATTGAATCCATTTGGAGTTTAACGCATGAGCTGAGTTCGTGCAAAAAAGGTTACACAACATGAAGAAAACAAGTTTGGTTCCGTGGCTTCTTGTTTTTGGTGGAGGGGTGGGGGCGACACCCAATATTCTTCGGCCGACACTGCCGCTGTAGTAAATGAAAACTACTCCACCAGTTCCCACGTTTGATTGGGAAGAAAGTACTGCTCGATCATCCTTCTGACTGCATCGATCTGGCGATAAGTCCCAAGTAAGAGGAGACAGAGGCTGCCCCGCCGCTCTCATCAGATGTAGATGCTATAAACGTATTGGCAAACGTCTGCCGATTGTGCTGCCGGAAAACTTGAAGTGACTAAAGAAAGAAATCCCGAAGGGCCACACAACTTCCTTGTTGAATCAATGGGTTCAGGGACTTTGGGCCTCTTCATCACGCAGTGACTGTGCGTTTGCCAACATCAAGTCTACCATTTTGAACCTCACATTTAGATTGTTTCTTACGAGCACAGGAAAGTAATACTTAGACATATGGTTTCATTCAACATCCGTTTAGAGGTGACATGTGGTCTATTTTTGGCTACTAGTACAACATGTTATCAATGCACCTGCACCAAGAGTGGTGGTGGGTGGTGGTGGGCATTTTCACGAAGGGGCGGATGCATTTGCAACCTGGGGGCCACGGCTCGAGTCCGACAGCCTTACAACCCACTCTGAAAGTATCGGTAGATTTTATCATTTAACATTTTCCATTTCGTACTTCTTATTGTCTCTGCTCCTCAGTCCGTAACCTGTCTTTACATTCATGACTGGCTACCCTTTTTGTTTCTTCCAAGGTCACACCTTTTCAAATCGAATACTGCGTGTTTCACAGCAATTGCCCCGTTGGAAAAAGTCTTCCTTCACTAATTTTCTAAACTAAAACATATCTATTGAGCTCACCCCTCTCCAGTCAAATCAGTTCTCTTCCCATTGCTCATCTCGTCCAAACCAGCAAGGTCAGCCACTATGCCCGCATTCAAGCGCATAGATCTATCACAAATCCCCTCCGGTCAGCCACCTGAGGGTGTGATGCCGAATTTCGTTGACCCGGAGTCCATCGGCTACATTCCACGGATTGGTATCTACATTCTCCTCCCTCTCATGCTCATATTCCTCGCCCTTCGTATTGGAACTCGGGTGAAGTTGAATCATGTTGGTGCGGATGACAGTACGTGGATGCCTCATCTCTTTCTCCCTTCATCCTCCCTGCCACTTCCTGAATATATGCGTATATACAAATATACTCAGTTCTTATTGTTGTGCGTGGTTGTTGATGATTATAAAATTTTAGTAATTTGCATCCTTGCAGCCGTGGGTATTCTGAGACAGCAACGCTGCCCACCGGTCACGCTAATGCGAATCACAGGCCTGCACTGTTGTCTACTGCGGATGTGTATTGCCATGTATGTTTTGGACCTAGAGTTGACGACACGTCAGTGGATTTACTGAGCTGACTATTGATAGTTCTCGGGAACCTGCTGGGGAGACACCAGTGGGATGTTCCCCTGTCGGAAGTGACGAACCATTTCGTACGGACACTTACGATCAGCCTCATTTTTTCGAATTTTGCCACGATGTTAATCAAAGTCTCGCTGTTGCTATTCTATCTTCGCATCTTCAATCCTGTCTTGTGGGCACGTGTCGCTATCTGGGCTGGCCTGGTGGCCAGCGTGGTGTTTTATGCCATTAGCAACATTGTAATGCTCTCCGTTTGTGTTCCCCCCTCTGGCAAGACATGGTTAGAGACGGCAGCATCTCCAAATTGCACTTCGGTGGAATACAAGGTAACTCTAGCTGGAGGTTGGTTCGGGACCATTGCGGATTTTTTCATCATTGCTATCCCAGTGCGGCTCATATCTACCCTGGTGGTCAACAAGCAACGCAAAGTCGGCATCCTGGCTATATTTTTGACAGGATTGCTGTAAGTTCTGCCTTTCCAGCCTTTACTACACCTCTGTCCGTTCTAATTAAACAATCTCTTAGTGCATGTGCGGCATCTGTCGCAGGATTAGCACAGCGGTACAAACTGTCCTATACTGACATCACTTACAACGATACATTAATCTTCATCTACAAGTATGTTTTTTTTTTTGATCACTTGCACAAAATATCCGGGTGCCGAAACACTGCGAAAGACTGCTAACCCTAAGTATTTTAGCATTATCGAGGTTATTATTGCTATCATCTGCAGCTGCATGCCTATACTCGCAGCTCCACTAAGGGCTATGGTCACGAAGATGACCTCGTCGTGGAGCTACCTGAAGAGAACTACCAAGACACTTGTGGCGCCGAAAGAGGCCACAGGAGAACACTCCGACAAGCTTCCCAGCATCCCTGATGCCAAGATCTCGGGCCTGAGAACCTTTATCCGAAGATTCAACCGCTCCACCTCCCAGCAAAGTACCGTCAGGATGGACATATCCAACTTTTCAAAACTTGGCTCTGTTGATGATGAATACCACCGGCAGTTGAAGGCATACCATGCGAATGAAGCTGCTGGTATTTCCGCACCGAGTACTCCTGGGAGCCGTGGACGGGGCATGTAGAGCACTCGGGCTTGAGTGAATTTTCCAAATGCGTGGGAAACAGTATCAATGTGAGGGTCATTCTTATCGAGGGCGCTCCAATGAGTTTCGTATGTGCTTGTCGCAGGGTTTGGGCAGCATTAATATCTCGAGGCAGAAATGGCTACATTGGGGCTCATATGTAGACCATATTCTTCCTAAAGTTGATAGAAATGCATGAATTTTGTCAATCCTATCAAATATACATGATTTCCCATAGAGTTTTCCACCTCAATCTGAAATATATACACACAAGAAAGCAACTATGCTAGGGCTCCCCACCATTCAGCCTCGACCCGGTACTTTTTGACAGTGACTATCGTAAGCCAGTCGGCTCCGTCTTAGCATCTAACCAGTGATGGTGTACTTGGAGCTGCCGGAAGCACTTCCCCAACCCTCGGTCGCAAGGACCTGGTAGTTCATAGTGCCCAGGTTCAGACCCAGCTTCGCCCAGGCATCAAAGTGGCACTTTGTCGTGACGGTACCGCTGCCGGATCGCGCGCTCTGGCGGTTCGAGATGTATTGCCAGAAGGTGGCCGTACCGGAGATGGACGGCTGGTTGACCTGCTGGTGCTTCCAGATATCGTAGGTGGAGCCGTCGCAAGTCACGCTGCCGACCTTGGTGCCTTGGGCAGAGCCCGCGCCGTTGGAAGTGTACTCCTGGACGTAGTACTCGATCAGAGGGTTTGTCGTCCAGCCATAGACTGAGACCAGGACGGTGCCGCCGGAAGCGCTGGTGGAGCCGCTGAAGGTGATGTTTCTACAGAACGGTTCGTTAGTATAATTGATCACACCAGCTCCAGCTCGTGAAGGCCTTCTAGACCTGGAGCAGAAGAGAGCTTTCGCGGGGTGTATTTACCTGTTTGTGCCGGTGGTCCAGCCCTTGCCGACCACAAAGTCCCCAGCGCCGGAGAAAGAAACGGAATATCCGTTGCTCGCCGGAGAGTAGTTGACAGACCCGCTAGTTACGTAGTCCTGGTTGTAGTTCTGACGACGGGCGAGGCTGTCGCCGCCAAGCTGGAAATCAGGACTATCGGGGGACGCCTCGGCTGTAGGGGCGGCAAGTGCCCCAGTAAGCGCAGAGATGGCAACGACGAGTTTGGTAAGGGCGAACATTTTGGATGCAAGATTCGACTTGTAGAGGTGTGTAGTCTCTCGGCACGAGCCTGGGCATGCACAAGTTCGTCTTGGCCGACATTTATTCTCTTGCGGCTCTCGTGCGGCTCACTCAGCCCCGCAGCCGCAATAACTGGATAAAAGCATGGCATTTATCCCCGAGTGAAGTCAACAAGGAGTGCGTGGTTCCTAGCGTCGATCTTGACCCGTCGAAATTGCCGTGACAGCCTCGCCATGAGATGTGCCGGGACCCTTGTCCCGGTCCGATCAATGAGAAATGATATCCGCTTTAGCCTGAACCCCTCCCCCCTATAGCAGACCAAAAAATACTGGCCAGGAGGGGCGACAAAGCTCAACATAGAACGGCGTTAGTGGCTCCGGCGCAATTAATCTCATGCGTAGCCTTGTGAACGGAACCGACAGTCACGCGGTGGGCGCGTTGTAGGTATAGAGCTGAGCCACATTGACATTTATTTGCCAGGCGTGGCGGACGAGCGGACTCCCTGACAAGCCCTTCGACCGGCAATCGCCACCAAGAAGGTCGATTTCCCCATTTAGGCCAGCACGTGGCCGGAACAGGGACTCAATAACCGGCATTAAAGCTGCTACATCGGTCCATATGACTGCCTTTGTCGGGTCGCCGTCTAATTAGCGAGAGCAGCGGGGCGTCCCGCTGATGCGGCGCCGATGCGGTCATCCTGAATCTCGGCCGAAGTGTAAGAATATATATGCCACACTAGTTCGGCATGCCATATCTATTCTATATTATGCACATTGCCCCAGCCTAGTTTTGAAGCAGCTTGCATGAACAATGTGATAAATCTCGGTCCCTTGCAGCACGTCGATAATCGACAGATCTTTCTCTTCGCTCATGTTGATTGTTTTCTCTCGATGTAGATATAATTTGAATCACTGTTAGGTACTTGCTAATTGATAATCCGTGGCTAAGAAGTCGGATAAATGTCCAAAATTGAAGATGATATCGAAGATGATGTTGAGTGGCGCATGGGCACGTAAACGCTGTAGACCACTGCTGTGGACCCTGAAAGCCAAGCACGGGAAGAAACTCAGGGTACCCCTGACGTCATCAAAATTTTCGAACAGTCCAGCTCAACTTCCAAAGCCTCGGGCGGGTTGATCGACATTGGTGTTCGCGATCGCCTTCTCTGATCTGATTTGTCGGGAAAATCAACTGCCTGAGTAGTCAATGCACAGTGTGTAACCATCTGGCGCATGAGCTCAGGCACAGGACTGGTCCAGCAGAAGCCATGGCTGCGGAAGCCTCCTCTCAAGCAGGCCACGTGCAAGATGTGCACACTGGCAGCGAGGGCATCAACAACCAAGAGACGTCCGTGACGATTCAGAGAATCCAGGAGCTCCTGAAGACCAAGAACGATACATCAAGGTTTGTCGGCCTCGCACTTCTAAAGACTGTCCTCGACAACTCACCACAACTACGAGAAGATGAGGAAGCCATCACGACACTGTGGCAGAGCGTTTCGCCCAAGTTCCTCGACCGCCTCCTGAGGAGTGGTGCCAGGCAGGGCCCATCAGCCAAAGATGCCAAGGACATGATTGATATAGCAGTTGCTGTCGTCCACATCTTCTCGGTGCTACTCCCAGATGCCTCCAAGAAGGACCCAAGTCTTGTGGGCCGGATACCAGCCCTGGTGTCGGTGATACTGCATAGGTAGGTGATTCTCTTGTCCATTCCTGGGCCACGCCTTGTTCACATTTTATCACAGCTCCGAAGACACTACGCAGCTTGTCCTCCAGACTCTTTTGACTCTTGTTAGTCATCCAGAAGGGGCCAAGGAGTTCGTGGCCATAGACGATGTCAGCGCTCTCATTGAGATCGCGCCGTCACAGCCTCTTGCACTGGACATATTCCTGTATGCTTACTCGCAATCTGCTACGTTTGCGGAAGATGGGGCTTCCATCAGATCCAAGGTCGATAAGACCATTCAGGGTTTGATTGCTTCATTCAAAGGAACGGATGCTGTCACGCTCCTGGCCTTTCTCGCCGAGCTCCTGCGGAGGCTGGACCCTGAAGTGAGTTGCCCAGTTCGAAGCTTCGCTCTAAAGATTGCCACTGACTATTTCCCAGTGCGTGCCCCGGAACCCAGCTTGGTTGAAGACAGCCACGGGTTTCATCCGCAATCTTGTGACTAGCAAACCCACAGCAGCCGGCCGTGCTGCTTACACCAACCTCGCAGCCTCATTGCTCAAGATTTGTCCCGCTGATACATCTAAGCTGCTCTTCACAGACGAGACAAAGTCAGAAAAGCCGTTCCCATACCTTCTAGTGAATTTGATACTCGTTGACCTCCGCTCATCCTTCCCAAGCCTTCTGAGTCAACTCAACAGCTCCAACTACGAAAGCACATCAAAACGACTCGCATCAGCGTTTGACGTCGTCTCAGCCTTTATCGGCTTTCTGGTCCGCTTCTTAGATGACGAGAGCCTAGAAACCCCCATATCGTCACTTATGATGGCCCCGGACTTCCTCCTGAAACTACGTCAATCCATTGCAGAAACCCTCTCCCTCGCCATCGAGTACCTACGCGACCGGTGGGATGCTGCAGAAGCAGGCGCCATGGGTCTGCACCCGGACGCAAGGCTAGAGGCGGCCAACACAACACGGGGCTCACATTTCACCCTGGCTTGGGACTCGAAGATCGACAGCGCCAGCCAGGACCCCCTCATTCTTGCTGCGGTCAGAGCGCTGGCCATCTGGCTACGCGAGGATGACAATGATATGCTGAGGAAGGAGGCTGTCGGGCTTACGGATATGTTATTGGACCTCTACAAATCTAGCGCGGAGGACGGCGCACGTCTCGACTTTAGGCGGCCCGTCCTTGTCGCTCTGGAAGGGACTACTGCCCTCGAGGATGGCGCCGCTTCGCTGTTGGACAATAACGGCTGGGAGGTCCTGACGCAAGACCTGCTCACTATCCTGCGCTCTACATCGTCTACAACTAGCGAGGATGAGGCGGCTAGGGGAACAGAGATAGTGCGAGTGTTGATTGCCGTGGTCGAGAGGGAGAGCCCCGGCAGCCGCGAGGCGTGGATGGCAGTTGTCACCGCGGTTGCGGCGTGGGCCGTGCCGGACGCGGACCAGACGCCGGCCGTGTACGAGTTCCAGGTTGCCGTGTTGCAGCTCGTCGCAGCGCTGATGGATAACACGCACTCCGGGATGCAGAGGCGGTATGTCCACTCGATCAGTGCTGTGCTGGGGATCGTGGAACAGCTCATGGGAAAGATTGTCAAGATTCATGATGAGGCGTTGGAGGATAGCCTCAGGGATGTGGAGACCACTCTGAGTGCACTGAGATAGATTGCATCCAATGATGGGACCTTGAGGACACAAGTTCAATCCGCGGCAATGCCTTTTCTTAGACGTCGTTCTTTTGCGTCGGGGTTTCGAACCCATTCCGCGCCACTGCACCCATTCGTACCGAGTTGAACACCAAGGCGAGATGCTCCAAAGATGGTACCTGGCATTGACTGATGTCCACAAGGGCAATCAGAACCCTTTACAAGCCATCGCTTTACTTGTTCCTTACTCACGGGCGGACGATGTTCCCATGCCTTACGCTTACCTCAGCCCCCGGCATCACGATCCTTCGCGCGTTCCTCACCAGGAGTGCTTACCTATGCAGGCTTACCAAGCTGCTCATTTTGTCATCACTAGCTGTTTCGAACAGAATCCAAACTCCATGCAGTTTGATCACTACGCCAAAACAACGAAGGATCGCAATCTGAGATGGTACGCCACGGTGGAGATGCTTTGAAATATTGCACAATTGGAGGATCGTAGGAATGGCTTCGGCCTGAAAGTTGTCTAGAGTCTTATAGATGGACACGCAATACAACGAGGGTTATGAATGGTATATAGTCTGTCTCTCACAACATAGCTTGTAGGTAGCTCACCGGCTGCCTCTCATCCAACTCAATCTCATCAACAAATACTCACCTCTAGACACCAGAAGGTCGCAGCAAATCGTGAAAACATGGCTTCCTCACTTCCCAACCCCCGAAGACTCCTGGTCTCCAACCAGGCAAACAGCACGGCACTGGACCAGGCGGAGCCAGGCGTCGAGGTCCTCGTGGACAGCCTCGAGCCCACCACCGTGCTGCCAGGGATGATGAGGGCTTTGGTCGCGACGCACACGGCCATTCCCACCTCGAACGAAGAAGCGTAGGGCTCACTGAACCCATTGCAAGAATGGCCTTACTGATCACTTGTTATCCGCAGCGGCCGGCCTGCTCTAAATACCGCCCCCGGCTCAGGCATCGTCATGCCTGGCGGCGCGAACATCTACTACCTGGACCTTGCGCCGAATACAGACAGCGCCATGGTACGTATGACCTCTCGAAACAGCAAGCGAGACAACCGGCTAACGGGCGCGGCTCTTATCTTCTAGCACCGGACGCCCTCGACCGACTACGTGATCGTCCTCCACGGCGAGCTCACGGTCCTGACCCCGCCGGCAGCCTTTGACGTCGTCAACGGCAAGGGATCGTATGTGAAGGTGGAGGAGACGGTGGCGCGCGCCGGTGATGTCGTGGTCCAGCGCGGGTGTATGCACGCGTGAGTTACGCTCCTGAGGCCAACCCTCGTTGTGAACATGGGAGCGATGAAAGTGCTGACTGGTCCATGTCTGATATGATAGGCTCGCGAATCGTACCGGTGAATGGGTCCGCCTCATGGGTATTGTTCTTGCCGCGGAGCCGGTGAAGGTCGAGGCCGCTGGGGAGACGAAGGAGCTTGGGGAGCTGTGGCTGCAGTAATGGATGCTTCGAGGGTGTGAGAGAATAGGTACACCCATCACTGGTTCGTGGCCTTGGCTATCATTACGGAGGGCATCATTGAGATAGCATGTTAGGCTATATATATCACAGTAAAAGAAGTTGATATCACGAGCAACCCCTCTTGTGTAAGTCATTGAAGTTCAAGAATAAATCCGAGCTGGATGAGATACAAATGTCATAAACGAAACGTGATGGAAGAGAGCACTGGAAACACAACTATCAAGATGATCCCGCACCCAATATGTTTGATGTGTTTTTGATCCATCTTCGGTATACTAAAATAGTGTTGCGAGGAGCGCCTTCGCTAAAAGGCCGTATAGATTTTGGTTTGACCAAGATCCCAGAGTCGAAATTGTAAAGCATAGGAGATTGTCGAGGCGAGCAAGACGGATAACGTGGGTCGCGAGGCGCGTTGATGGCGCCTAGATCAAGGCTTATCTACAGGGGTTGAGCCGCACTGGTATCCGCCCTGCCAGTGATGTCACATGCTAAGTTCAGCCTGTGGTCCGATCCGCCCTGCACTGAGAGGCCGCTACTAAGGCTACTGTCAACTTTTTCAGACTCAAACCTTACAAAACAGCGACAAGTCTGCACAACGCGACGACGCGCCGCGCACCATCCACAACGAAAGGATCGAAAAGCTACACAGTGGTCCAGCATGATCCAATAGACACACGTTCACATCTTCGACTGTTGTTTAAAAAGAACACACATGCCTGTAATGGGCACATGACGAGCACCATGGCAACCGACGCCGAAGACCAGCCCTCCCCCGTCCCGGAGGCCTTGACCGAAGCCGACAGCAATGCTACCAGCAGCGACTCGGATAGCGACTCAGCCGACTCGCCCGCGCCCCAGGTAGAATGGCTGGCAACAGCGCGCGCGAAGCGGTCGACCGCCGGCAACCGCATGAAGTCTATGCTCGCGAACGAGGAGCCTGCCGACGAGGACTCCGACCTCGAGCTACTGTTCCAAGAAGATGAAGACGACGCGGGATTCAGCGAGAAGGAGCAGGATGACGGCTCCGATGTGCAGATGGACTCGTCCTCCTCCGACGATGAAAACGAGGGCGAGGCCGAGGACGAGGGTGAGAAAGAGCTGCAGCGCAAGGAGCGGGAGAAGAAGCTCGCGGCGCGCAAGCGCAAGGCTCAGCAGGCCATCCCCGCGAAGTTCAGAAAGAAGGTCCGGATAAGCCAGCCGGATACGCCAACCAGCAGTACCGCGCAGGCGCCGAAACCGAGGCCTAAGAAGAAGTCGGAGCGCGCGAGCTGGCTGCCCTCAGCGGCCGACATGCCCACGCGCTCATCTGACCGGAAGACGACGAAGCTGAGCAAGGAGCAGCTGCATCAACAGATGGTTGAGCGCGAGGAGAGGCGGAAAAAGCAAGTGGAGATGATGGAAAAGAAGGCCAAGAGACTCGAGGCCATGAAGAAGCCACCCATGACCCAGGAAGAGAGGCTAGCCGAGGCAGCGATCGTGGAAAAGAGGAACGCCAAGAGTCTGAACCGGTGGGAGGAGGCCGAGAAGATTCGAGAAGAAGAACGGCGAGCAAAGCTGGCAGCGTTGAACAACCGGAGACTAGAGGGACCCGTCGTCACGATGTGGAGTGGTATCATCGACCTGGGCGAGACCCAGCTGAAAAACATCGGCAAGTTGGTCTCCATAGAAGAGAAGCCAAAGCGGAAGAGGCCATCCACCGCCGCATCTACTGCTGCGAACACAGCCGCGCCGAGCCCCAAGCCAGATCGGCCTTCCACGGCCGTCTCAACTACCGGTACTGCAGCTACCGCAAGCCCCAAGACCGAGACAGCAGCATCGGAGACGGTGCTGCCTACTCCTACTGCTCAGGAAGCCCCTAGTCTGCCACCTGTGCCGGAAACGACGGGGGAGCCGGGGGAGCCCAAGGCGGAGCCAACTGAGACGATAGAGCCGATCACTAAGGAGGACACTCAGCAGTCGACCACTCAGTTGACGACCACCGAGCAGAAGACCACCGAGCAAACGACTACAGAGGAGCCTACCACAGAGCAGCCTACCACAGAGGAGCCTCCCACAGAGCAGCCTCCCACAGAGCAGCCTCCCACAGAGCAGCCTCCCACAGAGCAGCCAACTACAGAGCAGCCAACCACCGAACAACCACCACCATCGTTGCCAACAAATACTGCACCTACAGCTATACCTATCACTGCGCCTGTTCCTGCACCAGTACCAGTGCCAGTGTCAGTGCCAACGGCACCGGTCTCCATTCCACCTCGCCCTGTATCTGCCCCAAGACCCGAGTCCATGTCTCCTGGAATTCCCGGCCCAGCTATATTTGCTCCCTTGGCCTCTGCTCGTGAGACACCTCCCCCGAGGCCTTTGTCTGCATCTCCAGCAGTTTCGGGTCCAACACCATTTCCCCAGATGTCTGTTCCTTCACCACTCTCTGTGCCTTCTCCGTCGACAAGCTTGGCTCCGTCGATGCCCTCTCCTACGGTCAAAACAGAGCCTCAAGCCACGTCACAGTTGCCCTTGGCCCTTAGACCGGATATAGGCCCGCGTTTCATGCCACCCCCGAACCCTCACCTCGCACAGTCACCACAACCAAGTGTCCTGGCACCTCCAGTCGGCATGCCCAGTATGTTCAATGGGCCTATGCCAGTGTTGGGATATTCAGCTCCACATCCTCCCCGCCCTGCCGGCCTAGCTGCTCCAAATGCTTCGCATTCGCCCTCTCCTTTGAATCCATCATCACCTGCCCTCAATCCTTCCAACCCAACACCATTAGCAAATCCGAATCCCAACACAGCTACTGCCTTCCCAACACCGTACCATCCTCCGGCACCGCAGCCATCACCGATTCACACGACGGCTAGCTTTCAGCCTATCATACCGACCACATCTCCGGCTGCAACTCCACCTCCAATTCCTGCTCCTGCAAAGCTATCTAAGAAGCAGCAGAAGGAGGCACAAGCCAGCGCAAAGAAGGCCGCCAAATCTGCAGCTCCTAAGAAGCCTCCTCCACCACCAGAGCCACCAGAGCCCGAGCCACCTTTGGAGGGCAAGGTCACCCGGAGCTGTATCATTCTCCAGGATTTTGACGAAGACGCAATCAAGAAGCCCGACGTGCAGACACAGATTCTGTTCGGACGGAAGATGAGCAAACTGGCGAGTAAGTCAAGGATGATTCCACGTCTCTATTCCAAAGCTGTTGGCTAATCAGTTTTCTCACAGAACCACCCCATGCTGCCCTTTGTGTCATCACCAACCATCCGGCACGCTACAGGGACCCAAAGACTGGGCTGCCCTTCTACAACGCCTACGCGTTCAAGGAGATTCAGAAGCTCATGGAAGGAGACTTCAAGTGGAGCCAGCTCACAGGCACGTGGGTTGGCCGCGGCGACGACGCGGCCCAAGGCGTCCCGGCACGTTTCACGCGGCCAGAGACAGAAGAGGAGAGGAAGGAGAGGCTGGAGCGGAAGGAGAAGGAGAAGAAAGAAGCCGAAGAGCGCAAGGCGCAGGAGGAGAAGCTGGCCGCGGAGGAAAAAGCTAAGCAGGAGGCTTCTGGGGTCACGACGGATGCCAGTGCTGCTCCGACAGCTCCCATGGGACAAAGTGCGGACGCGCAGCCGGCTCCTATCGCCCCCAACCCTGTACAAATACCAAACCCAGTCCCGGCGACAGGCGCCGGGGCTGGGCCTGCAGCTGCGGCACCTCCACCTCCACCTCCACCGCCAGCGGGAGTGCCACCCGTCGTCCCATCGCCTGATGAGTCAAAGCCGATGGCTCCGGCCCTGGCGGTACCTCAACAGGCTCCCTTAGCAGGAGAAACACAAACCCCTGCTGCTGCCGTCTCCGCCACGGACGACGATACTGTGATGACACCGGCACCGCCGTTAGGGACCCAGGCGGAAAAGACAGAACAGGCGGCGCAGTAGACCGCCATAAAGAATGTCCTCTGAGGCGAAGTCTGGATAGAAAAGCTATAGAAGACCAGAATCACAGCTCCAATCGAGGTCTAGACTGCACCCGTTGATCGCTTCCTATGGTTACTTTTCTATGATATGCGTATAGATACAGGTCCAATGTCCCATGTTCAGTAAACATTAGTCAACCTAGGTGGAGGTGGCCACAGAAAAGGTTCAGTCATCGAGTAACCTGTGTCGACCAGAAAAGACATTTTATATGCCGACGCAATCATGTCCATGCCGAATGAAGCGGGATCGTGAAATGGTGTATCGTGACAGGGTGCGCCCTCCGAACCCACCTCATCTTCTTTCCCCCCGGGCTGGTCCTATGTGCGCCACACGGGTCCTGGAATCATGAGCAAGAATCCAAAACCAATACGGGAGTCACTTGGATATTCTCATGCGTGTGCTTAGTACGGAAGCCTTGACGATGAGCGAACAATCTTGTTCAGTAATGTGGGCAAATCAAGTGACTCAGTGGTATCTCAGCTCAAATACAATCAGCAAAACAAATCATCCACCTCGTTGGAAGTCATGTGCCATGGCGTGATATGCAGTACCTCCTATACCTCCATCCAGTCAGAATCTGTGACTTCTTCCGCTTTCGCATCACATTCTGCCCACAATCACCGAGAACTCTATCTGATCAGGGGAAGTACGGCTCCTCCGCCACGAGAGTCTCCTCCTCCCAGCATTTCTCCAACCATTTCTCGGTCACTACATACGGCCGCTTGAGGCTCCCACGTTGGCTTACACGAGTCCTGATGTCAGCCGCAACTTTCTTCGCGCCTGCGTCATCGCCCCGGCTCACAATGATGACGTGCGTGACGACACCATCATCAAGGTCGTCTGCTACCTCGCCGTTTCCGAAACGGACCCAAGACTCGAGGCGCGCCGTCGTCAGTGCGTTTGGCTTGTCCTCCACGTGCGCAAGGTAGACGCGGCATCTTCGGAACAGGTACCCCCTTGACCGCGGCAGCTCGTGGCCGTGGGCCTCTAGCTGGTCGTAGAAGGCGTTCTTGTCGAACTTGGCGCCATCTGACATGCGATTCTCTTGCATGAGGGCAAAGAGCCTCGACATCTCGTCCGAATCCAAGTCTCGGTAGTAGCTGTCGCCGTACTGGTCGGTATTGTCCGCAGCGAGGGCACGCATATCGTCCGTTGCAAGGTACAGATGATCGTCTTCGTAGGGGAGGAGATACTGTTGTTTGATGCAGTCGAGCACCCACTTTGGACTGATGAAGAATTCCACTCCTTCCATCTTCAACAGGGATTGGACAAGTATGGCCTCTCTGTCCGCAATTGCAACCGCATTGCCCTCGGCCACCCTGACCGCATTGTGGACGATAGAACCACCGTGCTCTTTGATCATGGTCTCGAGCTGAAGTTTGCTCTTCTTCAAGTTGACGGATCTGGTAGCAATGTAGAAGAACTTGCCCTCGAAAAGCTTAGACTTCTCAACCGTCACGGCATCGCTGCTACCAGCAATCGTGAGCTCGCGCTTTTGCCTCTTGTTCTTGGCTGCTTTCCTCTTTTTTTCAATCTGCATTTCTCTTCTCTCATTCTCTTCCTCTTTGACCTTGAAACGAAGCTCGTTCCATTCATCGATATCGAGGGCATCGGACCACTTCTTGTCTGTCCGTATGCTACGGAAACGGGGAAAACGCAGTGTCTTCCGAACACTGAAAGATGTGGAGTCTTCGACGCTGGCGGCTTTGACCTCGATGACGATTGACTCGCTGGGTCGAACCCAGCGATCCGGCTTCTCGAAGTAATTTTTGTCCCCTGCTAACTCAATATATTGCCGTGCGCGTTTGGGGTCCCAGTCATGCCACTTCTCCTCCGGGATGAGACGCTGTATCTCTGCGTAATCCTCTGCTTTGAGGCCGCCTCCGACCTTGAAGAAGCTAAAGAACTTCTCTGGACCACACGTGCCGTTGTCAATGTCGTGCTTGCTTGCCCTCAATCCGCAGAGAAAGCTAGACAGTATTCCGCCACGTCTCCCGGTGCCGTAGTATCCTCCGATGATGACACAATCTAGGTTTTCTCCGAACTCGGTCATGTATTCGGGCTTGACTTTAGTCCAATCCCAGGGGCGAGCATTGAGAGTGTATGTTGAATTTGGATTCTTCAGCATGATGCCTTCGGAAGAGTTCTGAATAATCTTGCGAAGATAGGGCTCGATTTCGGATGGAGAAGAGCAAATGAGACGAGGGTGAATTTCAAGACGTCCAGGTACATCGTTGATCATGCCTTCCAGGGTATCACGTCGATCCCGAAGTGGATACCCCGTACAGTCTTTACCATTGAAGTACAAGAGGTCAAAGACACGAAACAGAGGCCTTGGAGCCTGTTTGTCATAAGGGTTGGCTCGTGTGTAGAGGGCCGCAGTCTTGAGGGTCCCGAATGTTACCATTTGGCTCGTTTTCGGGTCGAAGCCGATCATCTCGCCGTCCAAGATGCAATCAATCACCCCTTCGCGAAAAGCACCTTTCAGGTGCCTGGTCAGAGCCGAATTGTCATCATCGAATGAGGTTCCGTAAAGGTAGGTATAGTCAGTCCCACGACGAGACCAGAACCCAAATTGGAACTCGACAGTTTTTGGGTCCAGTGTCATATGCATTTGCATGCGCTCACCGTCGAGCTTTTCCTCCATCCAGAACTCTGGTGCTTCCTCTGTGACGCCAAGTTTCTGAACGATCTTGTCCCAAGTGAGGGCCGTGCTGGAGGTTGGTGCGAGTTGCGGCTGGAAATTTGACATGGGAGAAAGCTTCCTCTTGTCATCACCGAGACGAATTGCGGGATCCGATAGGTGCCAACAGACATACCGCAGACTTGAGCAGACGTTGAACAACTGGGAAGCATCGGGGTGCCATGCTGCCAGCATGGTTCTCTCAGAGGCGCTGATCTTCATCTGTCTCAGGATGATGCGTATGAGCCACTCCAGCTCCTTGGGATTCATTCGCCTGTAGAACTCGTCGAGTATTGGTAGCTGTTCAGCTTCGCGACTGACAGCGGCCAGCCTGTCAAGAAGCACGTTCACCTCCGCAACCCGCACATCTCCAGGCTCCGCTCGCATCGGGCGCTTCTTGAGTGCCTCGTAGCATCGTCCTGCAAAGTCGCCAGCCAAACGGCTCGCAGCAGTTTTGCCCGGGACCTTCCAGGCGATGAGGCTTCTGGCGTCGTCAGAATTGGACCCAATATTCATGAGCTTGACGATGAGTTTGCCGATGGCCTGTTCCTTCAGCCCGTACATAGGTCGATCGTTGTCAACTTGGGGAATCATAAGGCGCATGGCCGGGTAGATGTCGTTGCCGACCTCATTGCGCCAATGTGCAAAGAATTTGTCCAGAGTCCTCTGTTTATGTTGGGCGGATGTGATCGGCTTGCGACCGCGGGCCCTGGCGGCAGGGGTGGCGCTGGGAGGGCCGTCTTTCAAGGGCTCAAAGAGGATCTTGACAAGGTCGCCAAATAACAGCGTGCAGGAATGGTTTTGGGGACGGTGAGGGTACTTTTTGTTGATCTCGTCAAGCGTTTCAGGGCCAGAGGCGTACATACGCTCCTCCTCTTCCCTGACAGACTCGCCGGGCGAGGGGTCTTGGGCGGCTTGTCGGCTCATGACGGGCGAGATTCTTGACCTGAGCAGAGTCAAGATGGGTTGCGGTTAGATGAGTTTAGATGGAGGGGTGAGGTGAGGTAAGGTCGAAGCCCGCTGGAAGGCAATCAAATAGTGGCCCGTAGAGGGGTCGTTGGCAAACGCGATGCGCGTCTGTAGATGGAAGTGCTGCCTAGCAGGCCCCTGGTGGTTTGTCGCGCCTGCCTCGCCAGATCATGTGCAGCTTACATGAGCTCCGCCAAGCTCAAACAACCACTGTACATAAGTATGTACATAGGCCAAGCAGGACAAGCAGGTCAACCACAATTGGGCATGCGCTTACTCATCCGGTATTTTTTTTCTTCTTTTTTCACTTTCTTGCCATTGTTGGCGTGGCTGGGACCCAAAGTAAGTGAATGGGTGACAAAACAGTATGTATGCACGTAGCGGATGGCAAACAAGCCAGCCAGCCTGTAGCCTGCCTATAGGCATGTACTGCCTGCCTGCTTGTCATTTACAAGAGAAAGGCATAAAACACAGCATGACTTGAGAGGAATGCCCAGTCAGTGGCTGACTGATTGAAACGGTCTCTTTACTCTCAAACTGATGCAACTCGAACATCAATCGCCAGCGCCTGCCCACCTACTTGCTTGGGTCTGTCCACGTGTAAAGCAAAATCAAACTCAATTGCGCACCATCCTGACAATGCACGGCTGTTCATCCCAGCCGACAACCCCTGGTACCCTGGCAGGCATGTTGAGCGTCTATTGTAATATCTATCTTTCCATGATCAATGTATAGTGGTAAGAATTAGCCGCTGCAGGGAGAACTTCATCTCGGAACATATTCGAAAAAACTGTCTCTTGCCTGTGAATAGCACATGGCTAGTGGTCTATATAGTAGAGTAATATTAACATGGGATGGGAAGAATGCATAGTCAGCACGGGAGGGAGTCGGGTGTCCCTGTGGCGATCACAGCTCCGGGAGTTGGAGTGTTTGGTTGCATCATTACCCTGTAATGGCTGTCACACCAATCTGCAGCTTCCCGTCCTGGTGGGACCTGCAAAGGGGGTCGCGTGCCGTCGACGTGTGGTGGTGGGAACTGGGGAGCTTCGTGTGCAAGCAGGGAGAGAGGGCAGGTGAACGAAAAAAAAAAAATTCATCAAGGGCCAGACTCGCCGATTTGGAATACGTAGAACACTCTGAAATGGCAAAATTTGGCGTTGAAGCCATTCAGGACGGACTAGACGGGACACATGGTCCGGCCTGGCCATCAATTGCCATTAGACAAGCTTGACGTCATGCATCGAACGCCTCCTTGAGAGCTACCCAGTCCAGCCAGTGTGTAAGTGGCTACACCCAAAATCCCAAGTTCAGATCCAGGCCCAGTACCGATCATATGATAATCTTGGCATGCCGATTCCAACTTCTCAGCCCAACTCAAAAACGCCCGCCCGTCACAGGCTCCTTCAAGCCTCCGCGTACGCACATGGATGTACATGTGGCACAACGGCATCGCCCTCGTCGGACCAATTGGTCCTTCCTGGCCCCTCCTTCAATGCAAGGTGGCAGCTGGCATTGGCATTGGCGAGTCTTGCGCGCAGGTTTGGGGTTTTGTGTGTGCTGTCTCATCTTGGAAATGGGTTCATCAATGGGAGGGCAAAGCAAGGCATGGCATGGCTGAGCCTGTTAGCGAGAGAGAGAACATCTGGGGAAAGCTCAATGTCGACCCACCTGGCCGCCCAGCAACCAGAGCTTGCCCAGCTGGTTACCGCACCATGGCCCATAGTTGGGATACGAGTGCAACCCTGTTCCCGGCTTGCCATCCCTGCTTTTCTCCTCTCCTCTGATGAATCTCAAACTCGTCTGTTTCTGCGACGCGGAACTTGATGAGGCCTCTCAATCTCTGTCAATCTCGCTGCCGTCTCCCATCCCTGGCAGGCCTCACGCCCGCAGGTGGTTAGCCGCCCACTCGCCCGCCCACATCGGGGAGGCATCGAGAAGGTGGCTGGGTGGGACAGCCTTCTGTGAAACTCGTGCTGAAGCTCTCTGGCCGGTGACTGTGGGACAATGAACCAGACCATTCTCGCCAGTCTCGTGGATGCCAGGCCAGGATGAGTAGTGTATTCGCGTCTGCTCTGTTCTCCACAACATGCAAGCCACAGGCACAATAGAAAGCAAAGGAGATTCGAGGGCAGACGGGCAGACAGGCACATGGGACAAACACGTCTCCTCCTGCACACGTCCTGCACACGTCTTACTGCGGTATAGTATCTAGGGGCTGAGCCGCACAGACGGGCATGATCGACACGCACACCGAGCGTCATACTTCTCGATTGGGCCAGGACCATTGCGCATCTCGACTGCTCATTCTTCCTGGACCGTCTTTCGGCGGCTGGAAACAGCCAGCACCACGACGAGATTGCTCTGCTCTGCCTGTCCAGGTCGGTAGCCCGGCACGCCACTAGCTGCAACGGGAGGTAGCTCGAGCTGCAACTCGTCCATTGGCATTGTTCATTTCCACACACCCCGATCTGGCCCCTTCCCTTTGCAAGTCAAGGTGTCAAGTTACCCCTTGACAGCCAAATCTTTTTTGACGTCGATGCTGCCATACATATGACGTATTGGTTCACGTCACAACCACAGCAGCAAACGTAGGTACCACCCTCGCACGCAACGCACGCACGTCTGGACCACACTAGACCGCCACGACTACCACGACGACCAACCACTTTGTCCATGCTTGCATCTGCTTGGTGACTGGCGCCGAGTCAAAGCTCTATAAACCAACTTTGGCCATCTGCCCACCTTTCCTCGCTGTCCCTTTCCTCTCCCTTTGCCATCTTTTGTTGTTGACGCTTGTGCATCACCAACCCACCCCCCTTACCAACGACGTGATACCCCTACCCCTTCCCCAATTACCAGTTTTTGATACCCAGGCAGTCTTGCTCCATTTACCACTCTACCTCCAGGAATCGACTTTCTACTCTCGAAGTAGTAATTCCAACAAGACTAAAACACCATCTACGAAGTAATCATGGCGTCAACCAACGTCAACAAACCTGTTGATTTGAAGCTCAAGGAGGCCGATGTCAACAGGAAGCTCCAGATCTACGGCATTGCCACCGCATTCCAGAACGGCAAGGTCCCATCGGTATGTTGCAGATCTTGTCGCCCGGTCAATTGACTGCTTCTGACCAATCGCGCTAGAATGACCAAATCGATGTCGCTTTGAACAGCTTCCTGGCCTCCAAGGCCCTCTCCAGCCCCGCCGACAAGCTCTCCACCGAGGGCAAGGCTCTTGTGAAGGATTTCCGCGAAGTTGTTACCCAGGCCAAGAACCTCCTGCTGTCCAAGAATGAGGGCAATTTGCTTCAGGACTTCATTTGGCAGACCACACAGTTCGACCCAAACGCTGTCTCCACACCCAATGCCCCTGTGAACAAGGAGACCGCACAACAGCATGGCGACAAGGCACTTCAAGGGTTGCGCACTCTCGGAACGCTGATCATTACCAATGGCCAATTCCGGAAGCTTCGTACGTCCACTCACCATCATTCGCTTCTACTCATAGGCCACCGCTAACACCCCTGAAAGTGAATGACGCCAGCATCTTGTTGCGCGACATTGCTGGTGATGCTGCTACTAATGCTGCCGGCAAGGTCAGGCCTGGCGAGGAGCGATTGGCCCAAATCGATCGGCCCGCCGACGACAACACATGGCACGATGCGCCCGACTTTTCCAAGCAGAACATTAAGAGTCAGCTCCAGAAGAATTACAAGGGCAACGACCCTCAGCAGGATGCGCAGCACGTGGCCGGAAACGCAGCCACTGCTGCTCAAAACCAGAGCGTCGACAGTGGTGTCAACGTCACGGCAGGTGTTGACGCCGCGAAGCAAACCGCGCATGAGAAGACGGGCTTGACCGAGCAAGACACTGAGGAGGCGAAGCAGGCTGCCAACCAGCGAGCTGCAGAGTATCGTGCCAAGACCCTGGACTACCTCAAGAGGAAGATTCCCCAGGAGCGTCGTGAGCAAACTATCTGGCGACTGAAGAAGATGATCCTTGAGTGCCAGCAGCACCCTGACTACCAGGAGGCAATCACGACCCTGTTGGATCTCGCTGAGCAGTATGGTGGTCATGCAAACACGTTGGCCCAGGGTGGCACCGGCACCGTTAAGGGCGCTCGCTCGTCCCTTGCTCAGGCCGAGGCTGACCTCAAGACACTGATCGAACGGTTCGCGAACGGCACTTCCAGCGACGATCTGTGGTCATCTGTGAACCAGATCTACGAAGACGCCCAAAGGGACCCAGAACTCAAGGACTGGTTCAAGTCTGTGGACAAGTACATTCGTCGGTCTCTTCAGGAGCAGGGCTACATCCTGGAAGAAGCTTCCACCCAGGAGTGGAATAAGTTGTACGACCATGGCGACTACTTGCTGCGCCAGAAGTACAAGACTCACACCGACCGTGTCATCGACGAGATCAAGTTCCTCGCGGGCCAATTCGATGAGGATGCCCAGAACAAGCAGTTCGCCGTCACTGTCGAAAAGCTCTTCACCGACCTTGGAAACGACGAAAACGGCAAGCCAACCTTTAAGCCACATTTGGTCAAGGATCTTACGGAAGTCATTCTTCCCGCTGTCTTTGAGAATATAGCGTACATTCCCGTCCCTCGCATCGAGTACTCCGATCCCCAGGTCGACGCTGTCATCGAAAACCTCGTTCTCGAGAGTGACAACTTCACGCCAAACCTGCTGGAGATCAACAGCGAGAACCACATGAGGTGGGGACGCAAGAAGGTCTCCAGCAAGCATCAGCATGCCTTCGAGATCAAGGTCTCAGGAGTCCAGATGGATCTTCGTGATGTCAGCTTCTATGTCAAAAAGAAGCAGGGATTCCCTTCCATCACCGACCAGGGTGTTATGGACATTATCCTGGCTGGAGAGGGCTTCGGCTTCACCTTGAAGATGTCTTCGGCGGATAAGAAGGATTCCCAGAACTTTTTCAAGGTCGACAAGGTTGACGTTAACATCAACAACATGAAGCTGAAGGTGAAGAAGTCCAAGCATAAGCTGCTGTTTGCTATCGCCAAGCCAATTGCGTTGAAGGCCATGCGACCCGCCATCCAGAAGGCTGCTGAGAAGGCCATCAAGGACAACTTCAACCAAGCGGACGCCTTCCTGAAAAAGGTCCAGGTTGAGGCCAACCGTGCGCTGGAGGAGGCTCGCGAAGATCCTCAGAACGCGCCCAATGTTTACAAGCGCTACGTTGACGCCTTCCAGAAGCAGCTCCTTCAGGGCAAGAAGAAGGCGGAGGCTGCTGTTGCCGATAAGAAGGTCAACTACGCCATCACCCAGGAGGACAGCATCTTCAAGGACATTAAGCTGCCCGGCGGTATCAGCTCCAAGGCTACTGAGTACAAGGAGCTGGCCCGTAAGGGCGAGAAGTGGGAGTCGCCTGTCTTCTCCATCGGATCTGCCAAGAGTAAGTTACCCAGTGACTCATCATTTACATTCCCTTGTTCGTATATCTTCCTTGAGCATGGTCCAGCGGGACAAGTCATGCATGGAGATGAACCACTCAACCCCTCCTAGCCGAAATCTATTAGCAAGATATTAACAAATGACACAGCAAGCACCAACATCCCGCCTGCCCCCAAGGTGACCAGGAAGCCTCACACCACAGGCACTGCCGCTAATGGCCCCAGCACCAACGGCAGTAGTACCTTTGCCGACGGCAACATCAAGAATGATCTCAACTTTGCTGCGCAGAACCAATTCCACCCAAACACCGCGACCACCACTGTCTCTTAAGTTGAGATTGCTACAGACCGAGGATCTCTCTGGTCAATGATGACGAAGATACCCATAAGTTTGTCGGCGCAAAATCACGGAACGTCCTAGAGCGGACTGATCCTGTCTCTTTCGAGGGGCACAGTAGAATAATCACGGTTTCCTTTTGTTGAATAACACTTTATCAGACGCGCCATGCTTGGTCTTGTTTTCCATTTTTCTTTTTCTTTTTATACCCGGACGGTCATGGACTTTCATACGTTGATACCCGGTCTGGGCAAACCAGTCTTTTTTTCCCTTTTCGAGTCGGGGCCTTGAGTGTAATGAAGGATGTTGGGGAAAGAAGGTTCTCGGTTTTTTATGTTTCCTTGGTCTTTTGACTATTGATCGTACTCTCACTACTCTCGCCCTAATATTCCATAGGAAAGAAAAGGAAACAAGGAAAAGCTTCTGCTCGTTTGAGTGATTTGAAATTAACACTGTAATGTGACTCATGACCCTCATGATGCCTTCGTGTGATGTTGTCCAGTATTTGCGGTACCACATCCTTGACCAGTCACTTAACACTGTGTAACGAGCCTGTGATATATTTCTCATGTGCGGACATCGTACCTCTCGAATCGGTTGTGACTCTATGGTGGATCATTTGAGGTGTCGTTTCTTTTCCAAGAAGAGCTCGAGAGTGATGATGTTGTGCAAAACTATACGTTGAGCTTTTGTACGGTCTCTAAAGTAGAGGCTGAGATTTTACGATAAGAAAATCTGGTAGTTTCTCTCCTGATCAACCTCGTGTAGATTGGTGGATGTTATCAGCCGTCGCAGTGTCCACGGGAGGAGACGTGCTTGGCCCTCGCAGACATATCACGACGTAATCAAGAACAACAATCTCTAGTGCCATCAACAGTCAGCTTGTCGCTTCATCCTGGCCTGATCATGTTTCTCTGAGAATTATTGACCTGAGACACTGGTAATCGGATGGACCACGGCCCAAAGGTGGGCCCTAAACGATAGCCAAAAATTTTCTGACCTGACCTTGTCGAGTCCGGGATCAACAAATGGAAGTCACAGCGACTTGTGGTGATTCACGCACATACGTTATAAAGTAAAGGATGTGAACGAACATTAGACGCCTCACTGGGTTGTATAAATTTGTCCCCTCAACCGAACCTTTGAACTTGAGGAACTACCATCCATATGCGTAACGACAGGTTCGAGAACAAACAGGAAGATCCCGAAACGAACAAACAGACCAGTTGGCGGATAACAACGAGTCCTTCGACAAAACCAATATTTAACTTCCTCCAGCCTTCGGAAATCCACCATCACTGACATTTATTGTAGCAGAGCAATCAAAGAATTCCAGCGACACGAGACGGTCCAAGTTCTCCTTTACGACCAAAAATGGACGATGATACTTGCAGGACATGTTGGTGTAAAATCTCGACATTTGGATACTGCGAGTGGGAGCGGTTCAAGTCGCTGGTTGAATGCAGCTGTCAGTGGGAAATGACCCCGTACGGGTGGTTTCCATCCGGGAAGCGCTGGGTGGAGGAGGGTTGGACGGCGCGCGAGAACGCCGATGGGTCGCTCGAGTGGTGCTGGACGAGTGCGGGTCCGGTTCCGTGTACACGCTGCAATGGATGCGGCTTAACAATGGTATGCAGAAACAAGGCGCAGTGTCAGGGGGACTCCTTCCGTGGGCAGAAACGCAAGCATGTGCAACTCGACCCGGTCCTTGAGTCGACTCTGGTGTACGTGACGTACCCGGAAGGCTCACACCCCAGGACTTAATTCTGTGGGCGAATTTCTACCAGGCAGAAAGCATCTCTTCAGCGAAATTTGTCTTGCGAAACGTAATGCCCCAAAGGAAGGGGGAAAGAAGTATTGTGAGGAAGCTTGCATATAATCAGCTTGATTGGATCAGCCAATTTTCATCAATTTTCATTAATTTTCAATGATGCCTTCAAAGCTTGGCTTACATCAATACAAGTCCTGTACGTAGGTGCTCGGAGATGGGAGAAATATACCAAGAATTACACCTAGGCATGGACCAAGAAGCATTTGGCCACTTCGTGACATCCCTTCTCCTGGTCAAAGGCGCCATTTTTGTGAGCCCAAAACGTCAGCCCCTGGTCTCCATGTTATATTTAGCATGAAGTAGTGCTCGTCCGGCACTACTTCCAGTCCCTCAAGCCCCTCGGGCCGTCGTTGCAGACATGGCATGCTTGGCAGAGCAATCTATAAGACGTCCTCAATGAGGAGAAGGGAAAATGGCTACTCATCCCTCTGAGCATACGACGAAGGCAGCCAACAGCTGTAAAGACTGTTGGATGCTATTCGCCGGCGGCGGGTGCTGCAAATACGAGACGACGCGCACAAAGCTCGACTGCGACTGCGTCCAATAATACAAGGGCGCGGGGGTAGGGTGTCGGGCAGGCCTGCGGCTGGGAAATGGGCGGTGGATTATGTGCAGAATTTGCGGCGGCAAAATGTTCCTTTTATGCGAACGAGGTCACTTTCCAGTGTCCTGGAGGCAAGGTTAACGGGAAGGGCCGGAAGCACAGGGAGATTCAAAAGAGGTCATGGGCAGTTGGGAGTGGATCGTTGGCACATTGAGTCTCGGAACGAGAGCGAAGTTTGACATGAAAGAGAGCAATTCTTAGGGAATGGTCATTGTAGCACATTCCATTCCAACAACATGACTTGCAAATGCTGAGCTTCAGCTTTGGGAAGCCAACTTTCCCCTTTCTCGTGTAGCATTCTGGAAGATCGAGGCTTCCATTGACGCGATTCATATGGACCCTGTGCTGGGGGATGGTGAGTTCAAAAAACAAGAACCCATGTACCCATACCAGAAGGTCTCCAAAACTGTTTATTAGAAATAATGAGATCCGTAACTGCCGGTGACAACTCACGGCATGCCTATATACTTGTATAATGCCAACCAGCAGCACCAAGTGAAATGGACGAGCCATCACCCGGACGGGTTATTGTGAAATTCTATTGCACATATTTTTCTCGTGACAAACACGGTGTCAAGAGCCAGCATTATATGTGAACATGGATAATTACGGCCATAGCTGTCTTACGCCACGTCTGGACCAACCATCCGATGCTTGATGTCCTGACTTGGTCACGCTGGGTTTAGGACTCACAAACAGAATCCAAGTCCCTCAGCATGACCGAACTCGAAAAGTTGCAAGCAGTTTGCGATGATTCTACAAGAGGATGGCTAATATAAAATCTGCGAAATCGACGATGTTCGAAGTGAACAACGTCCGTACAAAGCCAATGATTCTCGAGTGCGACAAAACCAAAATCCTCACAGCGACGAATACAATAAGCAGACGCCTACCAGAGTCCTTGAGGTCCGCTTTCCCCCTTATAAGAAAAAGTACACTCTAGCAGTGCTGACGTTGACTTTATGTGTTTCAGCAGCAACGATCTCTATCTCCTCTCCCTCTCTGACACCTTCGAAAATGGCGGAAATCTGCACAACTTGTGGATACACCATAGACTCTGCTGGAAAAATTGAGTGGGATTACGAGACAAAGGAATGTAGTTGCGTGACCAGGGAGGATGAGAACGGAGTCACTCACCCTGGACAACAGCGAAGAACGCATGGATGGGTCACGTGCCGTATTTGCGAGGGAAGACAAAATTATCAAGACTCTTACATTGCGAGCCAATGCCCAGGATGCTGGATAAACGGGGTCCCCAGAACCCATACAGCAGTCGATCTGACTAAACGACCGGGGGGCCACAAACGGAATAGAAGGCACAGATCACGTAGAAAATGGGTCTCATCCTAGTGGTGCGGTCGCACGTTTTGAGGGGCTGGGTTGTATTCTTTCGTTAGCGACGGTGCGACAGGGAGGTGTTTTTTTTTGGACACGTATTCAAACGTGTGTAAGGGCAGATAGCCAACGCAAATTATTCAGTCGTAGGCTCGTTAATGGAATTTGATAATGAAGACATGGTCAAACAATTCGCCACTGAGAAAGCTTCACGCTGTTCCAGATAAGATGGTAAGCCGTGTCAAGAGTGTAACGTAACCGAAATCTGGTAAATAGTTCCTTTTTCTTGGAAAAAAGCACTAGCGACATGATTGGCGACGATACTTGTCCCTGTTTCCAAACTTAAGAGGCTGCATTGGCTCTTTCTTTCTCGCACCAGAGTGCACTTGGCTACCTCTAAGTACATCTCGACATAATAGGTCTCATATTATCATTGAGGCACATAATGCATGATCATAGATCGTGAACCCATTCATACGATGATCTCGACGTCCTCTGAAACGGTTGCTTGCCGAATATTTATCACCCGGGCTCACCGCATATGCATCTTCTCGTTCTCGCTCTCGCCTTTGATAATAATATTCATCTTCTCGCTCTCGTCGTATTGGAACATATTCATCTTCTCGACCTCTTTCTCGTATTATAGTAAATCCTGGTTCTAGGCGTGCTCGTGGGTCCTCGTAATCGTCATTGTAATGGTCTCGCCGTTCGAAGGGGTTCTGGTAGTGTGCGTAACCGTCATACACCAAGTCGTCGTCAGGGTCAATCCACGGGGGCAGCAGAGGGTCAGCCCGCCGCCCTGAACGAAGTATTTCATAAGTGGAGACGTTTTCTGACCGACTATACAATGTCACACTTTCTCCTCGTTGTAACTTAGGCGTGGATGTAAATGCTGGAATCAGAAAGCCAACATGGAGAATTCTCAATGTTTTTCGTCCAGAATCACACTTGAGTAATGTGCTTCTAGTTAATCATTGTTTGGTTGTTAAGTATATGATATAATAACGAGGTAAGTGCAGGTACCTTATTTGGAGAAAGTCATCTAGTGATCACCAAAGTAGGTGGATAGACTTTATGTCCTAAGTGGCAGTCAGCAGTGCAACTACGATAGACTCGGATCTTCACCTGGTTGATTTTTTCTAATATCGCGTCCCCCGCACCCCGCTCGACAGGCAGTGAGGCTTGGCGGCTTCGTCAGCCACACGCGACATAAAACTTAATTCTACAAATTCATTGTGCAACATACATGATACCGTTGAATACTGTCAAAAACTAGAGTCAATCTGGTCTGCAAAATAAGGTGCTGAAAACAAGATACTGTGAAAACGAGTTCTGTTCCATAATAATCCATGTTTCGCACGTCATTTAGGACGAATGACATAGATATTGCTAACGTTTTGCAATTGACCACTTTCCAAAATCCGGTATAATCAATTCAATACTATCTATGGTGCCTCCAGACTGACATGACTACATGGATCACGAAGTGGAACGTAATACAGAGTCTGATGGCGGGCTTGTCCATCTTCAGCTCGAGAATATGCGAAACTACCAGCTGCACGAGAACTATTCAGAGGCTCTTCAAGTGCTTCAAGAGATACCAGCAGGGGTAATAATACGAACGCCACTATCAAGGGACCTCGTTCTCTAAGAGTGTCGAGTAATTTATTGATCCAGCATCAGATCCTCCGCAGGACACATCATCCTATCACCAGCAGGATTCACTCGGCGTACTGAGTACGCTACACGTAGATTCCTTGTTTGTTGCTAATGGGTATGAAGACTATACGTTTCCCTACAATCCAAAAATTGAATCATCAAAGGTGTGGTTCTGTGGTTACCGGTCTGGTCGCTGGTTCTCCTGCCCAACCTCTCAGCATGAGCCTTACCTAGTCTAGTTACTCTTTCAACTCCCGCCCAAGTTAATTGGGCAACTTTCCACAACAGCTTCTGGGAGGGCGACTGATTTGCGTACAATTGTTGGCAATGTAGAACGCTGGCACCCTTGTGCAGAGTGCCTACCATTTTTTGCTGTTTACTGTCTTCTAAAATTGAATTCCTAATCTTTGGAAAAATGGACGCATTTCCAACCATCATCAACACCTCATAGCAATGAAACCCCCAGAACTTGGCGATTAAAAAACCCGGCCACCTTTCACTACTTTCCAATTGTCAAAAACAGCCGGTCGCCCACATCACCCAGCCCAGGCTTCAGCATTCCACCAGCAGTCAGCTCCTCGTCGAGGCCAGCGACGTAGATCTCGACGCCCTCGGGCCACTCGCCGGCGGCCCTCGTGAGGCCGGGCTGGGCGCCGAGGACGCTCAGGACGATGATGCGCTGGGCGCCCCACTCGCGCAGGGTCTGGATGGCGGCGGCGCAGGTGCCGCCGGTGGCGATGACGGGGTCGACGATGACGGCGAGGCTGGAGGGCGACTCGGCGCCGCCGCCGCTGTTGACGTGCTCGGGCAGGTTGTTGTAGTACTCGACGGGCTCGAGGGTCGAGGGCTCGCGGTACAGGCCGAGGTGGTGCACGGCGACGGGGTCGGGGAGGAGGGTCTGCACGGCGTCGACCATGCCCAGGCCCGAGCGCAGGATGGGCACTATGGAGATGGTGTTGGGCTGGATCGTTGTTGTCTCGTACTCGAAGCCGAGCGGGGTGACGTCCTTTTTCCTCCTTTGTTAGCGTTGCTTTATACACAGCTGAGGGGATTTGGGGTGGGAGAACAAACCTTGGGGCCGGGGGCCGTGGTGATTGCTGTTGCCAGTGCTTCGCAGCCAATGATAAGAGAGATGTCGTGGACTAATGACTTGACGTCCTTTGCAGGCGTGCTTTTTGAACGCAACTGGCTCAGCTTGGCCCTTAAGCAAGGGTGGTTTGAGACGTGGACATTGTTGGGAAGAGCTGCCATTATGGTTGTTGTTGACAGATGACGATACACAACAGAGTAGTTCCTGGGCAGGACGTCACGGAAACAGTCTATTACACGCCTAACGAGACACAAAATACAGCTGTTATCGACACGTTGGAGCACACGTATGGATTCGTATGGGTATGTAGGGCGAAGGTATCAACACAACAAGACCCAGCAGCTCATCAGGAATGCAAACGTGAGTAAAGAGGTGAGGTCAGATTGCAGCCGTCGTTGCCGGAGTGAAGTTGGGGGAGGTTGGGGGGTAGCTCCGATAAGATGGCGATAAGGAGGCTCCACTTGCCGCATCAGTGGGGTTCAGAGCTGCAGGCGAAAGCAGGGGAAAGCAGGGAACAGCTCCTCGGCCCGTCGATATGCGCAGGGGTCCACCGTGGAGCAGGTGGGCAGGTGGGCCACCAGTTCGACTTCACCTGTCTTGCACGCATTTTCGCATCCGAGGTACTCTGAAATGTGAGGCCATTCAAAACTTGCTACAACGCCCTAGCTGTACGATAAATGAACTCTGCAATGAGTTTTGGGCAACACACTTTCCTGCTTGCTTGTTTTCGGCTTTCCAAGCCGATCTCTGGAACTTGGCCACGACCCCGCCTGCCTTCCCCTCTTCTGGTTCATCAAGATGCAACAGTTGAAGTTGAGCATGGGGTTCAAATTGGCTAATGAATTGGGTCGTAGTCCAAGACAAAGAAATGCTTAGCATCCCGCCGTCAGTGACAAGCGCGATCTCATTCCAGCCAAATCCGTGCTCACTATACTCTATTCTCTGAGCCGCAACGGATCGACAGACGATCAATTGTCCAAAGAGGCTGGCACGGCTGGAAGCCATCACTTCCCGCGCTCAGCCCTATCTAATGCAGCTTGTCAGGTGTCAGCTAAGAACGATGGCCTATCAAAGAAGAGATCTTGCTCTCTCGGCACAGAATCAAAACAGGTTCCGATATGTGGGTTATACGAGCCAAGACAAGTTTACATTGAGGTCTTCTTTGTGTCACCTCGCTACCAATGCTAGGTCGTATCAGAAGGAGGAAAGTAGGCCGACACCCAGACTAGGTAACCAGCCATTGGCTTAGGAGCAGATAAATGTTCAAGAGAAACAAATGAGATATGCATCATAGACATACGTCTGTACGTCTTCTGTGTGAGTACATATCGTGGCCGAAGCCCGCCAAGGAGTCTCAGTCTCAGTCCTCCCTCAAAACACTCGTCTTTCATTCCCAACACCAAAGCCACACAAACCCAAAACTCTCGCCATAATGAAGTTCCTATCCATGATTATAAACATTGCTTTCGCCGCCTCCATGGCAAACGCGCGTCGCATCCCCATCATCCCCAAGCCAGCCTGCATCCTCCCCTGCCCAGCCAGCACCCTCTGCGTTGCAGACCCAGTGCCCCGATGCGTGGTAGTCAATGGGTAAGCTCTGGGACCTCCCTTTGTAAATACGAAACTCACTTGTTGAGCGAGTTTCGCTAACAAGTACGCCCCTGCGACTAGGTTCTGCGGCGGCGTCGCAGCTGTGACCTGCGTTAGTGACACCGACTACTGTGTTGACAACCCCCTCGATGACTGTGACCCCAAAAATGGTGGTTTTGACTGTGGTGGCATCTGCGTTCCGAAGCCTATCTTTTAAGGGACAGCTACTCGTGAGGGTGTGCGGATGCGTTGTGTTACGCGTGGCTCGTTCGTCATCACGAAGGGGTAAAGCCTTGACGCCTTAGTTCGAAGTGTTTACAGCTTGATCGCATTGCTTGAGGAGAATCGGCCGGACGCAGTTGCAAAGGTGGCTTGTGAGAGGAAGGTCAGCGGATGGTACAGATGTTTACTCACTCACCTTCACTATGACACAGGCCTATCGCCCGACGATAAGTCTTTTTCAACCAAGAAACAAATAACTGTTTTGAGTCTTCCTCTCTTGTACCAAAAAGGTCAGATTGAAATAGGATAAGAAAATCGTCCATGAATTAATCGATCATTGAATATAATATCTCTACTGATTATCCGCCTATGTGTGCTGCTTGAGCCTCGGTTGCTGTCAAGACCTCTGAGCAGTCACCGTGTCCAATCTACAAACCCAAGATCAGGAAGAGGCTCAACGAGAGCCCGAGGACCTTATAGACTGTGTCCTTGCCTATCGAGTCCGTGAAAGAGCCCCTCCGCATCGTCAACGACATCGAGCCAGAAGCTAGAAAAGTAGACAAGTTGTCAGCAACCCATCGAAAACACGACGGAATGTGCGTGCTGCAGCAGAATATACTGTCAGGGGAAGGGGGGGAAAACTGTACTCACTTTTTCCGGCCGTTGCCCTCGCTGGCTCACTGATTCCGCTAGAAGCGTCCTCGAATCCATACCACGCAGTGCCGAACCCAAGCTGGGACGCATCGGGCTGCGTGGCATTCGAGTAGATGGGGAACGCAGTCGTGCTCGCCAAGTTCTCAACACGCCCCAGGAGGACCTCGATCTGGCGGAACGCCACGCCAGCCTGCCAGGTCGGGACCATGTGGCCGGTGAGGTCGACGAGCGCCCACGTGAGGCCGCGCTCGCTGTGCCAGGTCCCCAGGACGCCCTGGCCGCTGCTCCCCGCGACGTCCGGGTTGGGGTGGTGCGGCACGAACAGCGGGTCGCGCGGCTCGGACTGGAAGCCCATCTGGCCGCCCCAGGTCATGTTCTGGATGCCGAGCAGGGTGCCGTTGGCGAGGAGGACCATGTCCATGGTGCCGTGCGCGATCTGCACGTTCTTGGTGCGGTCGATGACGTTCGGGATCGCGCGGTACGACGACGGGTCCGAGTTGTCGCCGCCCGCGAAGACGGACTTCTCGGCGCAGATCTCCCAGTTCACGTCCAGCGGCGCGTGGATCGCCTGCTTCACGTCTGTCCGGTTGAAGTAGATCTGCCGGCCTGGGGCGGTGTACTCGATGGAGGTTGGGAAGCCCAGGACATCGTCGGGAACTGGTAGAATCTGCCCGACTTGGTCTGTTCACACGCGGTGTTTAGCAGTTGCCCCCAAGTCAAGAGGACCACTCAGCCGCAATATATTGGTTTCGAGCCTAGGAACTGGAGGACGAAAGATACCATAACTAGTGAATGGAGTATCTTACATATGTTGAAACCTGGATTGATGTCAAAGATAGCACTAAACGCGGCGTCGAAGACATCGCATCCATCTATGTAGTTGGTGCAGTCCGCATTAATGCCCGGTTGAGCACAGACATCGGGTTGCTGCCCTGATGGTGGAAATGTCAGATACTTGTCAGTGAAATCGTCGAAACCGCAGCTCTTGGACGCATTTGCAATGCTGGCAGCAGTGGAGTCGTTGAATGGCATAACCTGCAAGATTTAGATCTCGTCAGCAAACACATGAAAACCTGGCGGCCTCTATGAGGTCCAAAGCACATGTTGTGTGCTCGTGTGAGTATAGCCCAAAAGGTCGCAGGCCCTGAAGGGACAGGTCCGGATATGTTGATCCAGCTTAAAAGATAGTCTAGTCGGCAACTCACATTTCTCCAGTAGTCAACGAAATAATTCGTAGGTGCAATACCCGCTGATCCGCCAGTTATTACCGGATCATAGATCAGCATGCCATTGACGTTGAAATAATTCGTGTCGTTGGCGTCAAGCATGTTGCTGCTGATAAAGGGGCAATATGCTCCGGCGTAGCTAGCAAAATGGTCAGAATGTACGTAAAAACCACAATGCTTAAAAGAAGGCTTTCTGGAAGAAGCCACTCAAAGTGGGAAGCAGTGGGTACTTACGACTCGCCAGTAACATAAATCTTGTAGCCCTGCAAGCCAAAGGCATCTACGAAATTCCGCCAGAAACCCATAAATTGCTGGGCAACATCATCCTCACTCTGCGCCGTCACCGTACCAGTTGAGAAGCCAGTGCCGATGGGCTGCTCAACCCACACAACATTCGTCAACTGGTGCCAGGACCACGGGTTGGCATTAGGCTTGAACGTGCCGCTCTGCCACTGAAAGGGCCCGTTCTCTTGAATCATACCGCTCAGGGAAGAGCATCCAGGACCCCCGTTGAGCCAGATGATGATCTCCTTGGGCTGGTCCGCCGCGGCAGTGGGGAAGAACCAGAAGAACATCTGTCCATCGGTACTATTTCCCACGTTGCCGACGGGCAGGGTGCCGGCGTAGGATTCTCCGACGTCGAAGTCGACATCTGGAATGCCGTTGCCGTCGACGGCGAACTCTGCGTGTGTGGTTAGCACTGAATATCAGGAATGTGGTGAGTGCATTCCGGCAAGACCAAAGTACGGAGGGCAGCTCATCCAGGGGATGCCAGAAGACAAACATGGGCTCTGAAGCATTGGCACAGCGCCCTGCACTGCAGCAATCCGGGGTTGGGGGCACTAACTTGTGGTGTTGGCATTGAGGAAGGGCGATGTGGATGTCTGTCGCCTTACCACGGGCGGCACCTCAGTAGATCTTTTCTGGCTATGAGGCCTGTACCTTAGAAGCGGGTTGAATGTTTCGAATGCAGTGGCGGCTAGTGCCGTGGGCGCAAAGAGGCCAGCCGCGATGACCGGTCCAAGCCTCATCTTGGCTGGGCTCGTTCAGATGAAAATAGTGCGCACGCGCGACGTATTAATGTCTTCAGCCCCCAACCCTAACCACTGCGTGTATTGGCAGTGGCACAACAGTCTCGTCTGGGATATGTCAAGACCGGCTTTCAGAAGCGATGGACTGGCTGTTGGAGGTTTGTACGTCTGGGCGGTGTTCCTACAAGTCGAGTGGACGTTGAGAATATTCCGAGAAACGTGTGCCGCGTCCTGATACAGTCTACGTAATGACAGGGGCGGGCTCTCGAGGAGTCAAATAGAGACGAACCCAATCCTTTGGGGCAAGGAACCATATCTTCCCGTGCTGATTCCGAGCACTCCGCATGAAACCACATGCGTGCAGGGATCAGTGCGCGACGGCTGGACGGCAACTCTCTCCTCACATAGGCTGACGGGGCTGACGGGCTGCAGTCGTCTACTGGAACGAGAGTGCAGATCTGCGCCCATTGTTTACCTGCGATCGACCTCGAGTGATTCAACGGCTTACGGACAAATACGCGATGTACGTACACGTTAGCCGAAGAGGGGAGGTGGTCAGGAGTCGTGACGCAGTAGAACAATTCAAGTCGCGCAACTAAGCTTTGAGGCGCCCAAGGCCCACTAATTACTACCAGGATAAATCGTAATTGGCCGATTCGCCCCGTTGCATCCTACTTTGGGCAGGAAGATCCCACTGATTGCAGTTACAGTTGAGTTTTGAACGTGAATGTGCCCGCTTCCATGGTTACTTCGGTGAGAAATTGAGTGGTTGACTCGCGACCAGAGCCCGTGCGAGCTTATTCTCACAGTATCCATTGACAAGAATCACCAGACAATTGTCTCTCTTCCCTTTGCAAATTCATGGCCGTTGCCGGCGGGTAGAATGGGACACACATTGCGTGCCAACGCATCGTCGGATCGGCTTGGAACCATAGATTCATGCCGGGCTCCAAACACACATGCGTCTGCATTCTGCATCCTGCTGCTGCACGCGACGTGAGCTACTTGAAACATGGGCCCCCACTTTGAGATAATCCACTTGAGCACGCAAACATGCGGGGTGACATTCAAGCTGTAGGCAGCCATTTTGAACCAGCTTCTCAGAAGGATTGAATCCAACGTTGCACAGAAAATACGAGAATTTTGGCGCTACATTGATTCATCTCAACGCAGAGGGAAGCGGGGCCAAAAGCAATGTCATCTCCCAGTTTGCCACTGCAGGACGATGCATAGCGTGTGGTGTTCACCGCGCTGTCATGTCAAGAAGATGATGTAGCAGAAGTGTTCAGCACGGAGACAAGTGATGTACCCTGTGAAGAAAAGGTCACTTCCAAGCGCGCCGGAAAGTACATGAAGTCTCATTTCTCGTGCAATACCTTGAAGGTTATTTTAGTGCGACCCGAGTCCCTGAGTACTCCGTATACGAACGATGGTTGGCTCTAAGATTAAGCGCAAGCCTAACTTTGAGTGCAAAAGCTTGTCCTAACGGCCACGGAAAGCTTCGTGCTGGTTCCCAAGATGTCTATTTAAGGATTGTCAGGACCGAAAGATAAATCTATTTTAAGGTGAAAGCATTATTTATGGCTATTTGTGTGCTGGAAAGGTATGACCAGTCAAAGCGGTTCTCATGGGTATTTCCTCGCCTATTGCATCAGACTTTTGTTGTGCGCCTAAATTGCATGCTTAAATCGCTAACAGCAAGCATGTCTTCTTCTTCGTACTTGTGCAGGAGTGGAATGTTTGCATATCGGCATAGGTGTGGATACTCGCATGTCTTTTATATAATAGTATATTGTTCTTTACTTGGAACAGAACAAATCGAAATTGATAGAAGTTTGATGTTGCACTTTGTAGTTCAGACCGATCAATGCGGACAAAACGGGAAGGAGTCAATACTATATGTTACGGCTCCCTATTCTATCATATGTCTATCCTGACTCAATTCCGAGGCCTAAGAAGTCTTTGCTCTCCTCCTCTTTGTGCCCAAATTCTGATGTCACTGCTTGTCATCGAGCCTGGCTCATACTTATGGCCAAAATCTGTGAAACGTTTCGCTGCTCGCAGTGTTGACTGGGACCTGCAATCAATGAAAGCAGCAGTCTCCCCGAGCAGTCGACGTGCTTTGTTGGGTACAGGAAGACATTATTCCGTAGTGCTAGCCTCGCCAGTAAATTGGAAATTTCGGCTATTCTTGAATCTTTGTACAGCAGAAATGGAACGCCAATCCTCGACCGTGTGAGGTTGTGGTAGGTAATTGTAGATGCATGTAGGCCAGTGCTGCTGGCCACAGACGACCTGTCGTGACTGACGCGAAGCAGCCACGTTTTGGTTCTCTGGCTACGTGCGTAACAGTGGAATCTACTTAAGAGCGCTCGTTTCCACTGCAGGGCTGGTTGAATTGCTGGTCGACTTTCTACCAGTCCCAGGAAATGCGGTTTCAAGATTACGGGCTACCTGGGGAGCGCACCACGGAAATGTTTTGGGCGCTGTAATCATATCTTGCAAGTTCAGAGCTGGGAATCATAAATCCCTCACCGGCTGATCGAGCTCAGGTTTTGACTATTAATCCCAGGACTCGAGCGGAACATTGCAAGAGTGTATGCATAGCACTGCTGGCGCCTCCTCTCACCAATGGTGGCTTCTCTCTCCTGCCAGTGGTGCCGGAGGTCTACTCAGACAGCTTTGTCACGTCAATATGACCCAGAGCCATTTACCCGTGGAAAAACGCTCCTCATCCTCTTGGAGACCTTTTTCAAGGACTCCGTCCCGGTTAGATTCATCCTTTCGATATTGAAACCCACTTATTGGATTATGTCGCCATTTGTGAATTTAAGGTGGCACGACTTCAAAGCCGTAGTGACACGTTTGGTGATATCAGCGTCCCAGCACAACCATGGGCCGTCGATCATATTCCAATCAAAATGAGGGCACTGAAGGTCCGTTTGCAGGAGAAGCGGTCAAAGATCGATTGTTAAAAATCGGTATCGAGCGTCAAATGGGCAAGAAAAATGACGCTTCCTCGACTCGGGAACAGTCGATATACGTGTATATAGAGAGATGAGACACCATAGGGAAAATCAAAATCGAACTATGTGAATATGTAAGCTTGCCGATTTGGGATGATCTCGAACAATACGCTGTGACGCAAAAACGGATCCGCAATTGCAGTGCAATTGCGCTTGTCTTATAATTTACATCCGCTGATATGGTTCCTTTTTAACTGATGCTGGACGCTGACCATGTGGAGTGGACTCATGAGGGTCGGTGGCTCTTCGCAGAAATCTTCTTCGGGATCCCCCAGTACCTGACACAGATTAGAGGGCCAACAGATTAGAGGGCCGACAGGTTTGCAAATATGATTTGGCAATCCATCAAGGGCGACTATGCCATTGAGAGTGAAGCCTACGAGGCACTGCCTGACAAAGTGGGCGAACATCTCTTTCAACACCCAGCTGTAAGACCACCCCAATTGAGACTATCCAGCTGCACAGGGATCGTGAAGGCGGGCATCTAGAGGCGTGGTTGATTGATCGCATCATTCCACGGGAGATACTTATGTACCAGAGACCAAAAGTCCGGCGCCGTCCAGACGCCCATGGCTTTCTGACGTCCCTGGTTGGGATGACCTACCCGGAGGCGACGAATAGACCCACCAAAAGTATTGGCAGAGGCTCGCAGAAAGTATTGGTGTCAAGGAGCACTCAATTCTACCTCTTCCCCCGCAATAGGCATATGGTCCGTCAGCTTGCTACACATGCGCTTAAGGCAAATGGATTCGAAGATTATTACCGGGCGCATTCAAAGCAAGACGAGAAAGGTCTCGCCTGTTTAGACCAAAGGACGCCGCTTGGAACTTTCTTGGGAATCGTAGAGAGAATCAGGAAAGGGCTGAGAGGGTAGACGGAGCAATACCGTGCTCGAAATTGGGTCTCTGTTTTCGATGTCAATGGGCCTTGCACCAGTGCGGAACCCTACAATGCATCATCGGAGGTCATACTACGTCCGAATCTAAGAAGCATGAGTGCTTGTTGGGTCGTGAACTTTGCCAAGGCGTCAGACAGCGAGGACAATATTATGGCTCAATATAGTAGCAGCGCCGGCGCAAGCTTCGTGGGGCAGAACGAGCCCCAGCCCCAGTCATCCATGCGCGTGTTGGAAAAAGTCAGAGGAGTGTGGCAGACACAGAAAATTCCGTCTTGGGAGAATTACACTATCATGGGGTGGGGGTTAGCGGGGGGAAGATTACGTTGTTGACAGCAGGGGTTTGAGAATCGGGAAGAAGACTGCATCAGCTCCCCATGCCGATAAAGATAGAGATGCGTAGGCCGGCATAGTCATAATTCGAGTTAGTCAAGACGACATCGGAACCAAGCTGCGGCGGAGGTACATTATTTCCGACTCATATCTGGTGGTCTAACTGTAAAGTCGAAGTCGCTTTTTCTAGCACCGAGCTCTTTGTGCAAACACTACTAGAACGTCAAGCAGGGACTATCATGAGGCCAACCATGCCAAGGTTTGAAGAGCTTCTGATGTGCGTCTCGGTATAGGAAGTATGTCCATAGCACCACATTAAGCCTCGGGGGTGTCAAGCTGATCTGGCCACATTATGTTCTTAGAGGTTGGGGCGTGTTGCGATGTGGAAAATCACATGAGCACAACACGAGGTGGGTGATATACGAAGGGCACGGACCTCTATTCACAGAACCATAATAAATGTCAAGTATAGCGTGTTCAAATTTATTGCATACATAAGTACCGGGCTTGGTGGACTCGAGCTCCACGTACATGACAAAAGCCTCGTGGATTTAAAGTTTCGACTCACTTTGGTTCTGGAAAAGGAGGTCCCATAGCTGTGGGTATATGCATATTCCAATCTTGTGCAGTAGCGAGGTCCCAACCCCCCTGTCTCAACCGTCTCGTTAATCATATGCCGTCCTATATCCCGAAATCAATTAAATCTCCTGTGGTTGCTAGTGGGTCCCGATGTATCAAGCCCTTACCGCTTAAGCTGAGTCCCCACTGTAGCCTCCAGCCCCCCCTATCACAACGTCCCTGAGTAATACAACCTGTGATATGATATGATATGCTGGGGTTCCGCACGTGTTTTAATCTTCGATATCTAGATTTATCAGGAACATCTCGCATCGCCATCCTTGTGGCGGTGCGCGCCCGCCGGCCTCCCCGTGGCGATCCTACCTGCCTGTACCTGGATCGCAATCCACAATATTGGGATTTGCCGGGAGAGTCCCGGACCAATCCATACAATAACGCGCCAGAGGTCAATTTCCTCGAAGCACCGTGCGCGCTGGGCATGGGCCTCGTCGCGGTGTCCACGAACCCCCGGCGAGGCCATCACCACCAAGCGAGACACCGGGCATGACCCACCCTGACAATGGCGCCCTTGAAAGTTGGCAAGCTGCTCCCTCTAATAACACGGACGTGGTGTCAGGATGAGTTTTGCTGTGCAAGGGGGAGAGATTGCCCATTCGGCCCCCGCGTCGCGTGGGAGTTGCTATTACAAGGACATCCAAAAGCATCCTCTGGTGGTTGCACTTTTCGCAGGGAGCGGGCAGACGTCAGCCATGCAGCAGCAGTTTTAGAATCGCTTTCGTCCATCGGGCAGCATTGCAGCGACTGTGTCTTGGGATCAGCGTCATTTCTCTTGGACCTGCGCTTACTCGTTTCCATCTCTGCCCGCACGTCTGAAGTTCCCCAGCTCAGCGTTGCATCTTCCATTTGTTTTCTAGTAACGAACGCACCAGATTATCATGATGTTTCTCCTAGAGTCCCACCTGAACGTTGTCGCTACCGACGTCGTTCCATTGCTTCTTTTGTTCGCTTCCGTCAGCGTCCTCGCGATCGTCGTATATCGACTTCATTTCCATCCGCTTTCAAGATACCCCGGCCCATTCTGGGCCCGCATCACATCATTTCCTTCGTACTGGCATACTCTCAGACAAGATCGACACATTTGGCTTTGGCGTCTGCAAGAGGAGTACGGTGAGTGGCTCCGGACTCCGTCATCCAATTCCCCAAGAACGCGATGGCTGAGATAGACCTTCAGGCCCATCATTTCGATACCGCCCTGACAGCGTCCTCGTCAACACCCCCTCAGCATATGCCCACATCTTCGGGCCCAAGGGGAACGTGAAGAAAGGATTATACTACCAAGTGTGGCCTCGCCACGCCAAAGCCATAACAACATGGAATAGCATCGATTCCGCCACTCACAGCCGCAAGCGGCGCGTGCTGAACTATGCCTTCTCGTCGAAGGCACTCCGCTCCGCAGAGCCGTTCGTGCTGTCCAACACGAACAGATGGTGCGAGCTGCTTGACCAGGAGGTCAGCGCTGGCGGAGAGTGGTCCGGATCCGTCAACATGACTGACTGGGTCAACTACCTCGTCTTTGATATCCTGGGCGACCTGTGCTTCGGCAAGTCTTTCAACATGAAAGAACCAAACGGGCCCATGAAGGAAGCACCAGATCTGATGGCGGACATGGTGAAGCTCATTCATCCGGTACGTTGACACTAGCCCCTCTCACTGGCAGTCGAGAAATGATTAAGGTGCTGACCACCCACAGATTGCCTTCGCGCCTTTCACCTCGTTCTGGGTCTGGCTGAAGCCAAGAGGCCTGGACTCGCTCCTCGCCGTGGCCACCCCTCCACCTGTGAAGAAATGGGGCGACTTCGTGACTAAGTGCCTCTCCGACCGCACGCAGGCGGAACAGGAAGCGCAGAGGCGACTGGTCAACGATCCGGACTTCGAAGTGCGAAAAGACTTCTTCCACTATCTATTCCACGCGCAGGACCCGCAGACGGGAAGAGGCTTCCCCATGGAAGAGCTGTGGGGCGAAGCAGAGTCCCTAATCATTGCAGGCTCGGACACTACGGCGATCGTACTCACGGCCATGTTCTTCTACCTGGCGCGGAAGCCCGAGATTCAGGTTAGTGCATGCACCTCAAGGACTGGCGGCAAGCAGTTCAATGTGTCTTTAAGGTCATTTAACTAACCATGTCTTCAAACAACAGGCCAAGCTCGCCGAGGAAGTCCAGTCCGCATTCCACAGCTTCGACGACATATCAGCAGGCCCAATACTCTACGGATGCCAGTACCTGAAAGCTTTCATCCAGGAGTCCCTACGCATGGCACCGCCCGTCGGCGCCGAGCTGGAGCGCGAGGTTCTCAAGGGCGGCACAATCGTCGACGGCGAGTTCATCCCCGAGGGAATGAACGTCAGCATCGGCCACTATTGCATGAGCTACAACAAAGACATCTTCCCCGAGCCGCTGGCCTTCCGGCCCGAGCGGTGGATTGTGAGCGAGAAGGTCCCGGCCGAGAGCGTTGCGCTGGCCGAGAGCGCGTTTTGCGCCTTCTCCACGGGAAACAGAGGCTGCCCGGGAAAGAACCTGGGGTGGCTTGAGATGATGATCGTGATGGCAAAGATCATTTACAAGTTCGAGGTGCGGAGGGATTTTGCCAACAATCTCGGGGGCGGTAGTCCTGAGGGCAGGGTCGGACGCCAGAATGTGGACCAGTATCAGACGTACGACGCGTTCGTGTCTCTGAGGGATGGTCCGATGGTGCAGTTCAAACGAAGGCAGCTGGTCTGAAAGCGTTGTTGGATCTGACAGAGGGAAGTGGTTATCGGCACAGGGAATCGGCACAGGTAATGGGACAGGTAATGGTACGGGTTCGGCACTGGTAATCGGCACGGGTAATCGGCACTGGATGGGCAAATTGCAGGAAAAGAGCGACTACAATGGCCCTTTCGGACATACAACATAAGTATTAGAGGCTAAATCCGCCTCAAAGTTGGATATATGTGCTAGCGATGGCTTCATCATCAGCGACGAGAAACATGAACTTCTAGAATGCATAAATGCGTACCGCCACGCAAAATTCCCACTTGAACACTATTTCGACTTGATGTGATTTAGGCCTAAGCAGACAAGACGGGCATGAGCCGCACAACGAAGTAGAATATCACATAGACGACCGTCATGCCAACATTTCCAGTTGTCGGGAAGCCCCAGTAGGAGCCACTGACGGCAGCTAGAATCCAGTCAGTGTACCTAAGACAAGTTATGTGGAAGTTAGCATATCTGTATCTTCAAACAGGACTCGAGCTCATGTTGATGTCCGAGTGGGATAAAACCATAAAAGAAGTTCCCTGGAGCATGACAAGACGTACAGAGTTACAAAGAAGCCGAAGGTCGCGCCCGCGACTAGGACAACCTGCTTGGCAGAGTTGAGAACGTCTTCATAGTAGTACAAGATGGGCTCTTTGTCCGCCTCATCTTCGCCCGCCCGCGCGATCAACCTCTGGGCCTCGAGGTCTCGCACCCGAATAACGGGGGGTAGGGAGTTTCTTCGAGGGTCTCGAACCGCATCGCAGCTACCAGCCCGACGGCCCTCCTGACGAGGGCCAAGGTTTGGCGATTCCTCAGCCCTGCTCTCGCGGTTTGGTGCGCCCCGGTGACGATTCAGAGACCTTCCTCGTGGATCCTCTGATGCAAGCCTCTCCTCCAGAGCCGTACACTTTGTCTGTACCTTCCGGATCTCCCACTCCATCCTCCTCTGTCCGTGCTGACGCACCTCGAGCCAAGCGATTCCGACGCCGAGGGAAATTCCCATAAAGCCCGCAAGGAACAAGGACATAACCATGATCGGTGTTTTATTCTTGACAACCGCATCGTGGCTTTCCTCCAGGAGCATGATGACACCGGTAAATTCGAGGATAGATCCGACGACTTCTACTAGAAGCCACTTGAGAGCATTATGATGTGTTATTCTGTCCTTCTTTAAATCAATTTCTTTCTTCTTTCCTCTGCCGCGGATGTTCCAGGCGATATGAATGCCAATGGCCGAGGAGGCGACCGTCGTCAGGATCTTAGACGAAGCTATCAGCACGTAGTACTCGGTTCCAGAGCACCTGTACATTGTGCCCGCAGTCAATAGGCAAGATATGACTAGGCCGATTATGCCAAATACCAGATCCCGCCTCGAATGCTCAAGTGGACTGTTGAATTTCCACGGACATCGGTTGAAGGACGAGAGCGCAATGCCGTAGAACATAGCCAAGTGGGCTAGGAAGCCCAGGAAGCCGTACGGAAAGGCATAGCACTTGATCTGTGTGGCGGAATCATCGCTTGTCGAGGCGGTGCTGTTCGAGAACCAGTTCCATAGGACATGGCCTAGCGTGGAGCTGTCGGGGGCGTTGGCCGCACTCATCATTTCAAACGCTGTCGAACTCAGTCGGGTATCTGAGTTAGGGAAACGATGCTGTCAGGATCATCGACCGTGTGTGATGATAGCTTATCCGGAAACGGGGTCACTTGACCCCATCCTCGTCCATATTATATATTTGCAGGACTTTGCACGCCCGATAAGTCGAGAGGCCGCTTGAGGACTTCGCCTGTGTTCTCACCCTCACTCGAGGACAATGCCGCGTCTGCTTCAGGCTTTGTGAGCGAGCTTTCATTCATGATCTAGACCGATAGATCGATCAGATGAATGGCCATTGACGGGCTGGCCGAGCGTTTCAAGACATCGTGGACACATCTCGACGCGCCTACGCTTTGTCCAAGGTCGTTGATGTCGGTGGCATATTGCGGACTGGCAACCTTAGGTACAGTGTTGGGATTATGACCTCACGGAAACTAGCAGCAGTCATAGGCTATAACTGTCCGTTTTCTTATTACTGATTCATTAGGTTTTGTGGACATCATCCATACAATCCCAGGGCAAGACTTCCCGTTGATGGTTGTTGGAAGAGCAGTTGAAAATGGTATCGCTGTGTGAAGTTTGAGTGAGTTACCGAGATACTTAGAGTGTGGTGTGAATAATGGAGCGACTAAATGTATCTTACTAATACACTTGCCGAAGTGCTGCCGAAAGTGATCTTCCGCGACGACTTGCCGTCATAACCGACCCGAAGGCGCAAAGAAGCCCGGCGCTATTCCGGGAATCATGTCAATCCCTGATTATCTTTTCATGGCTTCTGTCTACAGGAATTTCACGATGAGACGCAAATCTGGCAAAGAAAGGTAGATTGGCTGGGTCTCTAGGCCATTCAACTGCCGCCTTAAACATCGAGCACAGCGGTTGTGCGATGATGCAGCCGTCCCGTCGCGAGCGTCACGAAACGTTGGACCAGCACAACAACGAAGCAGCCCACGTGGAGCTGCAACCGATTGCGCCAAAAGAACCCGGTGCAAATGATGCATTGATACCCAGCGACCGAGTCAATCCACGCCGCTCATCTCTGCAGAGAAGCAGGGAACAGCACAGGCGCCCATCTCGCCCCTCGAGAGGCTACGATATCCCCGAGTCGTATCGAAACCTCGACGAGATCGCTGCCAAAGGGCCAATTCAGGACCGAGAAGAGCAACAGCCAAACAAATATGAAAATCTAGAGGATGCTCGGAGTCGGGGCCAAGAAGGGACACAGGAGCAGGCAGAAAGTGAGTCTGGTGACAATGGCTTGTCAACGGATGCTCAAGACCCGGGCAGGGAAGCCCAAGGCATGCGAGTCTCGCGGTTGGCCACACAGATCTACACGGTGTCGTACCTGATACTGTTCTCCTTCCTCGGAACAATGGCGCGACTGGGCCTGCAATGGCTGACAGATTACGCCGGCGCGCCGGTCTTCCCCTCGGTCTGGTTCAATTTTGGCGGTAGCCTCGTCATGGGGTTCCTTGCCGAGGACAGAATGCTTTTCCGTGACGAGTGGGGCACCCCAACCTACGAGCACCAGATCCAGAAGGCCAAACGGGACGAAGAATCTGGCGGCACCTCAGGGAGCGCAGAGCCAGCCGTCGACCTCGCCGCTGCGAAGAAGGCCCACATGGCCACCAAGAAGACTATCCCGCTCTACATTGGTCTTGCCACGGGCTTCTGCGGATCCTTCACGTCCTTCTCCTCCTTCATGCGGGACATATTCCTCGCGGTGTCCAACGACCTCGCCTACGGCAGTAGCACCACGAGCCCCCGCAATGGAGGCTACTCCTTCATGGCCCTGCTCGCAGTCATTATCATCACCGTAACCGCGTCCTTGGCCGGGCTCATCGTCGGCGCCCACATCGCTATCGCGCTCGAGCCCGTGACTCCCTCCCTGCCGTATCTTGTCACGCGCAAGGTGGCCGACCGCCTCGCCGTCGTGCTGGCATGGGGCTGTTGGGCGGGCGCCATCGTTCTCGCCGCTATCCCGCCCGCGGACTACTGGCGCGGCGTAGCTGTCTTTTCGCTCGTCTTTGCGCCCGCCGGCACCCTGGCGCGGTTCTACGTCTCACTGTGGCTCAACGGAATGAGGCCTGCGTTCCCGCTGGGGACTTTTGCCGTGAACATGTTCGGCACGGCCGTTCTGGGCATGTCGTGGGACTTGCAGCGCGTCCCACTGGGGGGAGTGGTCGGATGCCAGGTCCTCCAGGGGGTGGAGGATGGGTTCTGCGGGTGCCTGACGACGGTCTCGACGTGGGTCGCCGAGCTGGCGGGATTGAGGCGGAGACATGCTTGGATTTATGGGAGCGCGAGTGTGGTGCTTGGGTTTACGGTGATGGTGGCTGTCATGGGCGGGCTGCGATGGAGTGACGGGTTTGCGGCCTTGAAATGTGTGCACTAAGGACATGTTTCGATGACAAGCACCTCAACTGCTGAGACAATAACACATCCGTGTAATGGTGTCCGAGCTTCCAGGCTGTGGTCTTTTGCCGAGCAGCTTGACCAACTTTACCGTTCTCTTCAAGTAGCCAGTGTCACGGTGAAGATCATCTTGCACTTAGAGCAAGTATTCTCACCATCTACATGTTTGATGAGCATATCATCTACCATTTTCCAGTGAACTATCTTGAAGGCTATGATATGGTGTCTTGCTCATCTTGTATCAGGCAATATGACAGAAAAGCAGACGCTGAAATCACTTATGTAGTCAGCACGGAATTACCGCATAGAGGGATGCTTCTCAACGTATCCGACTCCATCTTTCCCAACAGTCCTTCTCACGCATGACATGCCCTTTGTGATCTCATCCTCTCTGAACTGGACGTAATAGAAGAAAAGAAATTAAGAGTCCACTTTACAATGAGAAGACGCAGCTGCCTTCAAGTCGCGAGCGTGGCGAGCATACTACGCCCCATGGTACAATATATATATATATATATATATCCCTTATTATGTTGGCCTTTGGAAGTACTGTCTTGCAGTCAACAACGAAGATTGGCAAACATCGTCTGACAGGCATTTGCCATTTGGTCCGCTTAGCATATTAAGCCCCAGCGGCAATCTAGAGGACCTAGGGATTCACTCTACGCCAGTCCAGACATGGGCCTGCCTTTTAGCAGTAGTCCGAGATATCAATAGCACTGAGCGCGAATCGATAATACCCAAGGTTCAAACAAGGACAGAAAATCATCAATTTTATTGGTTTTCCAGAGGGCTCGGGTCTCGGCGTGGCCCATTGCTGACTGCATGTGGTTGCACTGATGGTGGAACGAGTTTCTTCTGCAAATGACGGACTGTCCTAAAGTTCTTATACTGACCCCTCACAAAAGTCGGAGGTCTGGATTACCGTCGTGATTTGCATGAACTGTATTCAAAGCAGGTTTCAACAAAATCTATTATCGGGTAAAATGACATTGGTAAAAGCCTACATGGCAAGCAATGTTGACACTGACGGCGATTAAAGGAAGATGTTGTGAGGCAACCCAAAATTTCCACCAGACAATCATACAGAATGGGAAAGGTCATGAATTTAGTGGTGCTTCAACTGCGTGCTGCAGAATTAGCCGTTACATACAGACGGTTGTGCACCCCAAGAACCTTTACCCCAGAACCTCTAATGACCAAGGGCGTAAGTCTCGGGAAGATCCCTCTGACCGGCGATTGATTGCTTCGCCTCATTCGAAATCTCATAGCCCTTAGATATTGGCTGCCCGGCTTTACCAGCCTAATTCATAGCGCCGGTCTTCACACCCACCTACTATAGGTCTGATGGCTGTGCCAGCCTTTAACCCATGGCCGTCCCTTGAGTGGTTCAACCCCGCCACCTGCTGTGTAAGTGCTCAGCGTATCGACTGAGACAAACCAATGTCAGACTCAGATTCCGCCTCGGGTAGCAATGCGCAAGCGTATTCACTATGAAATCCGACTTGCCGAGGACGTCGCTGACGTTTGAAATTCGAGACAACTAAGGGTTTTTGAAGCCAGGGATGTGGATATATAAACTCGGGAAGCATCAAACGTGATCTTGCGATCCCTTTCCTAAACTGAAACTGCACTCTCTTTTTCTCGAAAGAACAAGATGGCCAGCTACAAATACGTCGCCTTGAGCAATCCTGATGAGATTAGAGTCCTCGTACTTCAACCCTCTCGGGATGAGGCAGCCCCTTTACGTGGGTCTTTGAAAATAGTAAAGCTGCCGAACCAAGCATCTGTGTCCCATAACTCGAATAGTTCAATATCCACTTCTCCTGATATTGATGGACTTTCCGTAAGCAAAGCGGACATTACGTGGAGATGGATCTACTTCGATAAGCCGAAGCCTCCGTCGGTCAATCGTAATAAAGCCAGACCACTAGGGTGAGTTTCAAATATGAATTCTCATTTCTTTCTGCACTCGGAGGTGATTTGGAAGGACTGAAATCCTCCTAGGATGTCAAACCCGACAGCGCTATCTCCGTCAATGGACTGTATCCGGAAAGACTATGAAAGCAACGCCTACGATGCTCTTTCATATACCTGGGGCAGCACAGACAAGCCTCACGATATGCATATCGGCAATTATGCTCTACCGATAGGAACAAACCTAAGAGCAGCATTGCTGAAGTTAAGACATACGAACTCGGTAAGGATCATATGGGTGGACGCAATCTGCATCAACCAGGATGATGTCAATGAACGGAATCACCAAGTCCACATCATGAAACGGATCTTCTCGAGGGCCGCGTCGGTCATTGTATGGCTGGGGCCGGAGAGCCCATCGTATCGGGAAGCGATGGAGCTGATTATCGATTGCAATCGACCCATCAATAGCAAGGCACTCCTGAGTCACAAGGAAGACTCACTGATAGGGCTTTCTAACATTTTCCGGCGAAGATGGTGGAAGCGCATCTGGATCGTCCAGGAGGCCGTCGCGGCGAATGAGCTAGTGATATTCTGCGGTCGTTACAAAATACCGTGGCATTTTGTGAGCCATGTGTGTAACGAGATCCGGGAGAAAGAATTCTCCTCAAACAAGAAGTCACAACTCCTGAGGAGCAGCGGCTATCGGAACTTTACTGCCCTAAATGATTTCCGGAAGGACCGTGGTAGAATGAGTCTGACCAAATACCTTCAGTGCACCAAGGACTACAAGGCGACAGATGCGCGGGATAAACTTTACGCGCTGATAGGGGTGGCGTCCGACATCTCGCCAGAGGACATAGTTCCGGACTACACAAAGCCAACTAGGACCGTCTTTCTCGACCTAGTCCGTTTTCTGGTGGTTCAGCGTGGCAGCCTGGACATCATCTCCTCCGGGCGGCTGCTTCGGCCGGCTTCCACAACACCATCAGGTACCCAGTTGGAAGCGGAAGGAATCTTTCCGTCCTGGTTCCCGGATTGGCGCGTGTCCCAAGAGTTACGTCCGCTGAACAGCGAGGGCAGGGATGGGGCGTCTTACAGAGCTGGCGGTGACACGCCGGCCGTCGTGAGGATGGACGCCTTCCCTCTCGTGCTCGAGGCTGAGGGTATCATCGTGGACAAGGTGGACTTCTTCGGCGGGGCGATCAGAGCACCAGCGCAGAACAGTCTTCCAACACTCCAACGATGGCAATACATTGCCGGCCAGCATCTGGTCTCTGAAAGCAACTTCGGAGCGGTGACGCCGCTAGATTTCTGGACAACTATTGTAGCAGGCAAGAATTATAAGGGCTCGTTGGACTCTGGAAGCAATAAGGACTCAGCATCGTTTGCACAGGAAGCCGGGTTTTTGAGCGGCGGGAAGGGGTCCCAAGAGGTGTGGATGGCGGATTATTTTGCTGACGCCGTGACGAGGGCGGCCATGGGAAGGCGGTTCTTCATCACGGCAAAGAAGAGGATGGGTCTCGGGGTTCCGGAGATTCAACCTAACGACAGGGTGGTGGTCCTGAAGGGCTGTTCTGTGCCTCTAATAATGAGGGCTGTAGGAGACCATATGGTGATTGTTGGCGAGTCATATGTGTCTGGCATCATGAATGGGGAGGTCATTGAAGGTCTCACTGCGGGTAAGTATAAGACGAGGATGATTCGGCTGCAATGATGGGACCAGACTGACAGAACTTGAGTATTTATCTTGCTGAACAGTGTTATACCGATCTGGTAAACGAGTATGGTTCTGATATATCCTGTGGCACGTATTAAGCTGTGTGTACTTTAGAAGAGTGAGGTCTTAATCCAGGTGTTTCTTTTTCCAAATGAAGTGCAGGTGCTATCCTTGGTAGCCTCTAAGCAGGTGCTTCGGGCCGCCCGACCCACTGAGGGGCCGTGGGTTGCACAGCAAGGGTCATCCCCCATCGCCTGTTGCCACGAGCTTGACAGCTCGACGGGACGGAACCAGCAGAGGAGGGGACCAGAAGGTCCAGATCCCAAGGTTCATCGGAAAGTTAATCAATTCATCAATCAATCTGATCTCGTCTGCAGGCCTTTCAGCCTCATAGCTTGCCCAGTCAAGTACAATGCCATTCGCCTGGCAACTGCCTTTCACGTTTCGAACAAGAGGACCATTTCAGCCTTGACCCATCGTGCACAAGGACTGCCAACACGAGCTTCAAGCTTCACCTTGTCACACCGAATGATGCAGGCCTCTAGTCGACAGGCCGACAAGACAGCGTCTTCGCTGCCAGTGATAGGCCCGCCACCCAGCCAGGACGGGAACACCGAGGCACAGCACATCCTCGGGTCCCTCAGGCCGTGGGCTCGCCCGTCTCCCGCGGTCCTTTCATCTCGCAGGTCCAGCAGCTTGTGAAGCTTCTTTCTGGCCATGGTTCCAACGGCAGCCAACGTTGCATGTGGCTGATCGAGGGACGAGATGGGCAATACGTTGACCAACTCAGCCAGGCAGGCCAGGTAGCCAGTCAGCCAGTCAGCCAGTCAGCCAGCATCCGACCGATTTGGAAGCGTTAGAAGCAGCCCAGACACAGGCCAATCACCCTGGGACAGGTGATCATCGGTTCGAGATGCCCAGATAGGGAACAGGTTGTAGTCGTCCCTCACTCTCACAGCCCTGACAGGCGTGGGGGTATGGTTGCTTGCGTCCTGCGTCAGCAATTTCCGCGGCACAGGCCTGTGCAGATAGCCGGCAATCAATGCCCGGGGCGAAGCTGATAGATGCAGATGCAGATGCAATGGCCTTCCTGGGCTGCCGATCGCGTGGTGGGGTGCCCCATCATCGTCACCCCGACATGTGTGTAACAGCAACAAGGCGCCCCCTCTATCTGCAACAACTGCAACGACAGCACAAGATTGGGCTGGCAGCGCCTCATCCGAACAAGACTAGCACTGCGCGACGTTGCTGTCTCGTGCTCCCATCCCACCAAGCAGCAGCTGGCCAAACTCAACGGGGATAGAGACCAACTAGGCCATGCAGTGTCTTGCGGGGGAGCCCGGAACCTGCCTTTCCCTCTCCATCTCTGTCTCTGGTACGAGGCCCTCTATATCGACTCCCGGCCATATCCGCTTCCAGAACACGACTTTGACTTTGCCTTGACTTCGACTTCGACTACGTCCTGCACTACCTCCCCCGACCTGGACTGAATGAAGCTGAACAACACCCGTGCCGATGCTATCTAACACACAAGCCCAATCTCGCATGCATGGGGTGCAGCTGCAATTCTACTAAACTCTGAGCCAGAATCCTCCCGCATCCTGCAATCTTGGCCAGCCAGCCAAACCAGCCAGGCGACTCTTCCGACCTGATATCCCACGGCAAGCAGCAAGCGCCTTGCATTGACAGCATCCCCACCCGCAGTATTGACTGATTGTTCCCGATGAGCACAATCTGGGCTTCCTGTTGACCCTGGGTCCTACCTGTTCGGTCCCCCTTCCTCTCTCCAACCGGCCTCCCCTTTCGATACACCACACCTGTTTCTGGTCGACTTCAGATGGTCAGTCTGCGTTCCAAGCTGCATCTGGTCAGGCAGGGACGCAAGCCGTCGCCGCTGTTACTATCGGAGTCGGAGTCGCCCTGCCTGTTGGATAACAAATACGACGCTGCTGCTGCTACTACTGCCGCCCCGACCCAGCCCGCTGGATCTCCGTCCGCAGCTGATCCGGTTCACCTTCCTACTTGGTCCGCCCCACGCCGCCTGACATTGGACGCGCTGCCAGAGGAGCTCGTGCAAAAAGTTGCCTTTCACTGCGGGTCTGATGCCATCCTAGGCTTACGACACACCTGCCGAACGCTCCATCGCGCCTTGGACACCCCGTCCTTCTTGGCCGAGATCGCCCGACAACGAGTGAGTCTTCTTGCTTTATTTTATTCTGTCTTCTGTTTTTGAGCGAACTGTCGCGTTCAGACTCCTGTGCCCTCGGTCTGCGCTAGCTCTCCACACTGCTGGGAAGGGCTCGGGGCCAATCCTGCTTGTCGACGGGTGGGCCGGACGACACAGCACGAGAACCCCCCTGCCCGCTGCTTCCCCAACACCAAACTCTTAGATTGGGTTTTATTCAATGGGACGCCATGTCGCATCTGAACACACAGACAACACTATCGAACCAGGTTAGACCAGATCCGACTGACTGACACGCTAATTTCACCGTTGCCATTTAAAGATGGACCCTCCCACCAATGGCACGCCAGGTCGAGACGTCTTGATAGAAATGATCAAGACACAGATGGACGACGACCACAGGACCCAAGACCACGATGCAAGGAGGGACGCGTTCCTCTGCCTCGCCGTAACCATTCCCCCGAGGCAACGGGCCCGTGTCAAAGCGGCCATGGGTCCGCTCTTGGCGAGGGCACGGATCAAGGGTTCGGGCAGGGATCCTCATGCTTCCCCGGATTGCACCGCCGCCCAACATGGACACCACCAGCAAGGAGGTCACGACCATATTGATGACTGCAACGGCGACGATTTTGACGTTGCCGCTGAGGTCGAGGCGAGGCTGGGGTTGATATCAACCCTGTGTGTCCTAGGATGTTAGTACTTCTCTTATTTCTCCGGTCCCACACCGTCAGCATTTCTTGCGCCCTCTCTCCACTTTTCTATATTTTCCCATTCTATAGACAGACACATATCCATGCAGCTACGCACACCATGGGGTAGATGACTAAGCGGACGTATAGATTCGGACGTCTGTGATGTTGATCTGGCCAGGGCACTCATGGCTATCAACCCCTGGACCATGAAGGCAAACATTTGGTCTGAAAAGAAACTACTAGCGCAGAAACAGCTGAGCCTACAGCTGGCTTTTACCATGACGCTGGGCCTGATACATCCCTGGGATTGGTCAAATATCTCAGCCGAAACACCAGAGTACTACAATCTTGCCCATCGTGTGAGGGCGGACTACCACGGCGAGGACTTCACGTCTTCGAACCAGAGTTTCTGGCTCAGCTGGGAGGGCCTGCACACAAGGTCGCTCCAACTGGCTGGTTTGATAGCATACATACTGAAAATTGGCGGCTTCGATGATACGCCTCGGTCAGACTTGATTCCCCTCCTCCGCGACACAACATCCCCTTCGAATTCAACTACAGCCACATTATCATCACAACCTTCTCAACTTAATATACCCCTACTGGAGAAGACGCTAAACGGTAGCTACGGCGGCATCCGGGGACAGTCCAACTCCTGGCAGGAGTGGTACACCTCAAGAGTACGAGACCTCGTCAGCACCATCGATGACGACGAGGACGGTGGCTGGTACGGCTACTACGTATACACGCTGACCAACACCGACAACCTCAACCCAATCGGGTCCAAAGACCCAGCCATGGAGAACATCCACTTCAAGCTCGACAGGGCACCACCAAAATCAACAACCCCCACAGCGGCCACGGCCAAGAAGCGTTCGCCCTCCTCCACCCCGACGACACCGCAGAAGCTGCCCCTGGAGGCGCGCGCCTGCCAGGACGGCATCACGCGCAGCTTCGACTTCGTCGGCACGGTGGCGCCCGCGACAGGCATCGTCAGCATGCGCAAGAACTACGTCGGCGCCCACTACTGGGACTACGAGGGCGTCATGACGCCGCTGGGCATTGTGGGCGAGTGGGGTAAGGAGGGCGCCGGCTTCAACGGGTACTTCTGGCTCTGGCGCCGGAGCTGGATGGGCGGCGGCGACGGGACGGGCCAGCGGACTTATGCTTATTCTTAGGAGCTCAGTGTTTGGGCTTAGTCTTGATGTAACTTTATTTTTATTTTGGGTTGGGTTGTGTTAGTAGCGGGTTACTTTTGGGTTTTGGGTTTCACTAGAGCGACATCACCATAGCGAAATTGACACTTCATCACCTATTGTCCTGCTGGTTTGTTATCAATACCACTACGTGAGGTGAGTGGTTGACTCTAGTCAAAGATGGCTGAAAAAGGATCTGAGCTGGACTTGGTAACAAAATGCTTCTCGTAATGATTTCTCAGTCTTAGTCCGGTGATTATATACACATGGTTCAGTCCGAGTCTGTCTTTCCAGGTCAGAAGACGTGCTCACCTGGCAGCTTACCAGGACCGCAGCATGTTTTTCTCCAACGAGAGTTCGCGTGGCTGCTATACCAGTCACATATCGCAACATGGACCTCTGCTATCGACTGAGCTTCTCTGGTATCCTCCAAGGAGGTTCGGTGTCGATTTCAAACTGACGCCATCGCTGGGTATCGATTTCATGTCACTATCGACGTTAAGGTCGCCGTGGCATTATGAGGGCTGAATGCGAGAAGATCGCAAGGATATATGATAACAAGCCAGTGACCTAAGGACCAAGGAACAAGTCTGGACAAGATATGGCTGTGATGTGATACACGATGAGTTTTGATGAAAGAGACACAACTAACGAGAGCAGGTCAATCAGCCATGTAGCATGGCTAAATGACCCGGATAAGATCTCAGCCGGCGAGCGATGAGAAAGAGACTCATAATCAAGGGAGCCAGCATGCGCATATGCCCTTGAGTCGACAAGTCTGAAACTGGGAGGCAGAGGCGGACTAGAGAAGAATCTTGACAGAAGAAAAGTGACAAACCCACCATTGGAAGTCTTACCAAACAGGGACATGTACGTATTACTCACGGCCATCCATCTCAATAGCCCTATCAGTAACTTTACCGACGGGAAGGAAACACGAGTCGTTCATGCAACCAGATCCACAGGCTGCAACAGCACTTAAGACGTATCCCCACCCGCGATAAGCACCCCTGGCGAACACGGCCGGTGGTGATGACTCGTCTCGAAGGAAGGTTGACTCGTGCGGGGGTGGACCCGGGTCCGTAGAACGAAGGAAGCTTGTCCCTTGGCCCCGGTCGCGATCAACCCCCTCCGCCCGGACTACGGACTTCTCGAGGCGATAAGCCCGACAAAGAAGTTGCTTGTGATAATGAGCCTCCGTCATCATGCTGCAGCGGGTCGTCGGCACACACACGAGGCCTTGAGGCGTTGGCCCGGAGGACTTACACACACCTAGGCACACGATCTCTCACATTGGGCCACGGTCTAGCTCCCCAGAAGCAAGGACAGCATCGCAAGAGGACGGACCATGGCCAAGTTCCTCCTGCACACCTTCTACGCCACGGGCCACGTGCTGCCCATGCAGGCGGTGGCCAAGGCGCTGGTCGACCGCGGGCACGAGGTGGTGTGGCTCACGAGCCCGGAGCAGGAGTCGCGCGTGCGCGCGTCCGGGGCCCGGTTCGTGGCGACGGCCGAGATCGACCGCGTCGACAAGGTGCTGCAGGGTGCGGACCCGCGGACGCTCGACGAGATCGTGGACGTCTTCTTTGGCGGGCGCCTGGCGGCGCAGGTGGCGGACCTGCGCGCGGTGCTTCGGGGCGGCTTCGCGCCGGATGTGTTGCTGAATGATGCGCTGCCCTTTGGGGCGGCTGTGTTGTGAGTTTTCCTTGGGAATCAACGCCCACTCGGACTGTGTGCTGATCTAGATGCGATCTCTAGGCATGAACTGGGCGAGATCCCAGCCTACGCGACGCTGGGCGTCGTGCCCATGTACTTCCGCGAGCACGCGCCCAAATCAACGCTCGGCACGCTCCTCAGCCAGCCGGAGCTGATTGTAGGATGCCTAAACACTCAGAGGGTAGACCTGGGCCTTGCGCCGATCGAACCTTCACAGCTGCTCCAGTACAGCCCGCAGTTGCACATCCAAGCATCCAGCCCGGCACTCGAGTACGACCAGACGTTCCACCCTACAGAGTACGTCGGCCCGCTCATCAGCCCGCTGAACAAGACCTCGTCGGAATTGCCACCATGGTGGAACGAAGTCATCGCCTCAGACCGCGTGGTAGGCATCACCCAGGGGACCTTCGCCACAGACCCAACAAGCCTCATCCTCCCGGCGATCCGGGCGCTCCGCGACGACCCGACCCTGCTGCTGGTGGTGCCCTCGCAGCAGGCCGCGCAGATCAAGGAAGCGCTGCTCTCAGACGGCGGAAGCATCCCGGCAACCCTGCGCCTGGCGGCCTGGCTGCCCTACGAGGCGCTGCTCCCGCGGTGCCGCGTGCTCGTGACCAACGGCGGTTACGGCAGCGTGACGCAGGCGCTCGCGCACGGGGTGCCGCTCGTGTGCGCCGGCACGTCCGAGGACAAGAAGGACACGGCGGCGCGGGTGACGCACTTGAGAGCCGGCGTCGACCTCATGACTGACTGCCCTGGTGCGGAACAGGTGCGAGGCGCCGTGGCGGACATCCTTGGTGATGGGAGTTATCGCGAGAATGCGGCGCGCGTGGGCCGAGGGCTGAACTCCCTGGGCGGGGCGACGAGGGTATGTGAGTTGTTGGAGGAAGTTGTTGGTCGGACGTAAAATGACTATAGGAATTATTCAAACTCTTGCGGTATCGAGTAATGAGGCTGAAGTGGAATTAGAGTTTTAAAGTTCATCCGTGGGGTCTAGAGTTTAGTGCTCACTGTCATGCATTGGGCGTAGGAGCTTGGGCTTTTACTGCACACGTGTAGGCGAGACGGGGGCCAGGGATAAGAATTAACCGCCGTGGGCAGAGCTCGAAGGATTCCGTGGGTGATTCCGTTGGCGATTCCGTTGGCGGCTGGGCGAGAAAACATAATAACATGAACTTTGCCCCATGGAACTGTTCATCCATTCTGTCACGCTCTATCTGAAGAAGAAACCCGGAACCAAAACCGACGAATGAAGTCATGCAGAATTTACAAATATCAGCTTATTTCTCAGCCTTTGCAGTCAACTATCGTCGTCATCGCCCAATACCCAGAACGCCTGAGCCCATGCTAAAGAAAATGGCATTTCTATCTCGTCACCTCCACGCTTTGCTTCTATGCAGACGCTCGCTCCTTGATCAGGTCCTTTTCGCAGTCGAATGACTGGGGGCTCAGGTAGGTGACGACCCGGAGCTGGTTCTTGGCCAGGGCACAGCCGACGTAGTAGTGCGACCCGCATCTGGCGTCGAGAGTCTTCTTGCCACTGAGTCGAGACTATGGGTCAGCAAGGGCGAGTCACGATATGAGAAGAAGGGCATTGTGAATGAGGGATGAGGGATGGATGTCAGGTATGACCACTTACAAAATATCATGCAGTGCGGCCTCATAATTGTCCATCTGCAGGTCCGACCTCCTCGTCGCAAAGTACCCGCGCAGCCGGCCCAGCACCTCGGTGTCGCTCTTGCAAAAGTACGTCGGCGACACGTACATCTTGGCCGAGATGGGCTTGCCCGCGCCGAGCGTGTAGTAGAAGCCAGGGCTGGCGCGGCCGGGCGCGTCCTCGGGCAGCTGGTCCGGCGCGTCGGCCAGGAACGCCTGCCAGAAGTCCTTGAGGTCCTCGAGCGCCTGCTCGTTGCCGCTCATGTCCAGCCGCCCGCCCAGCGTCAGGCAGTCCATCATGTACTCGAGGCTGGTGTGCCGCGCGCGGATGTACACCTTGACCCGCGCCCTGCTCGGCTCCAGGCAGTCGATCGACAGGATCCCGGTCTCGAATCCCCACCTCTCTGTGCCCTCGTCTAGGTACTGCAGGAGGGGCTCGCATGCCAGCGACTTGTACTGCGCCTCCGGCAGCCCACGAATCGACTGTTGGACGAGCTGCAGGTTGGTCATGCCGAGCTCGAGCGCTTTCAGGCCTGGGTATATGTACATCTTCATCACTGGTCCCGTCTTCTCGATGTCCAGCGCCACCACGACGCCTGCCTTGGGTGTTGTTTCTTCGATGAACACGTCAACTGTCTTTTGCCTCTGCATCTCCCGCGACGGGAGGATGGCTTTTGTGAAGTGGTTATACCACTCGAGGTCGAGGCCGGGCACCATGCCCTGGTCCCTGAGCTTCTGGATCCAGGCGTCGGTGGCATATGAGTTGAGGGGGTCCAGCTCCGTGCCGGCGTGCGGGCCTATGCACTCGAACGAATACCTGACGGTGCCGTTGTTCCCAGGCCCCCATTCCCACGAGAAGTCGATGGGCGTCGAATCTGGTGTTCCTGGACTCCTCCACCCACGGACGTTTCCTTGTGCGTCTGGGGCCTTGCCTAGCTCGGGGGCGACGAAGAGGGCATAGAAGATCAGTTCCCGGTACTGCTCTGTTGCGCTATACCCGGCCCTCTGGATGAGTTTGGCAAACATGCGGCCTGTTCGGTCCCACCAGTATTGTGTGTCGTCATTGCGAAACTGGATAGTGGAATTCACAGTCTCCCATGGCTGTGGAGGTTCCGTCTCGCGGGCTCTCTTGAGATCGACGACCTTGTTGTGCTGCTCGCGCTTGAGCTCTGTCTTGTCCTTGGGGCGAGGCAAGGGCTCCGGGAGGCGGCTAATCACTTGCATGCTGGATGAGGCAAGGTATTATTGGCAGCGGCCTGACAACTTCTTGTTGGGTCTGGTATCTCAGCAGGGAGTTGGGAAAACTGGAGAGGATGGGAACAGGACTGGGACTGGAAAACATCGAGTAAGACACGGGATCGTCCATTTGTCTATTCTTCACGACTTCCACTCCCCCTTCACGGCCGCTCCTGACCCACCGTGGGCCATGCCGATAAAGGGCCGCCACCATCGTGCCTGACTCCGATGGATACTACTAGGCTCGGGCCATGCTGACGATCCATAGCTGGGACACCATCGACACGCACCCTGTACTAATTGACCCAGTATATCGGGGCCTTCCAAGGTTCTTTGGGCTCTTCTACGGAGGGGTAAATCAATGAAACGGGAAGGACATGAGATCCACTCACACAAGCCCGTTGCTCATCGCGGTTGGCTCAGGGCTAAGAAACGTCAAAGAGCGTCGTATCTCGAACAACCGACGGGCCGGGACCAAGGTTCGTTCGTAATATGGTCACACACGACACTGTTGTTTCCTGGGTCTTGCTCTACTATTCTATCACGCAGGCTTACAATGATGAGCTCACAATGTCTGACAATGCCTTAATGGGCTTCTTTTTTTGCCTCGCCCAGCTTCGTTCGCTGGTCGCCGCGACGCGCCCAGCTGTCGTGAGTTGGCAGTTCGCAGCCGACATCCGAACAGTACAACCAGGCGTTTGGCGTATGTGATTTCGATTACACGCTATCATTTCCAGATTTGATACACAACAATGAGTAATGAGCAGTCAACGTCTTCTTCCGGAAGGTAGATCCCCCCAAGCACGGCGACTTACCACAAATCAAAGGAGCCATGCCTTCACTCGGCTGGGTATACCTGACCACGAGATTGCTTCGCCCCGACTTCCAGAAGACATCGGCGCATCTAGGTTTCCCAAGACACAGATCCGATGCTGTAATCAAGGCTGGGCTGACGACGGCCAGATTGAATTCAAACCCGTGGGTCCGCACACCTGGGGTGTGCCCTGGCCCACCACGTTTCGAAGTGGTACCGTGATAAGAAAAAATTACAACGGTAGTCATAACATCTCCTCTATCATCAGTGTAACCCCTTGCCATAAACATCAGACGAGCCACCGATACCGTCCACATCGTGCCGGGTGGATCGAGTCATTCTGTCCCCACGGGGAGGAGGCTCAAGGGTCGAGGACCCGCCTGTTGACAGGCAGGCCCCTCTAATCCTCCCGACCTTTATCGCTTGCCCAAACTTTAAATACAAGGCTGAATCAGCTCTTTCGAAAGATCGCGATGAAAGGCCTGCAGATAAGCAGGGTCGGTCAAAACAAAATCGGTGAGATGACTCGCGGACCCACGCAAGTCAAAGAGGCAGAGGCGGAGATTGGGAAAAAATATTACGCGGTCACTCTCGTACTCAACGGTCATGATCTCCTTGCATTCATCATGAATAGCGGAGGAGAGAGGATGATGGGCAGGGGTATGCAGGCGTTCCTGTTCGTACCTGCAAGCGTCTCATGCATGTCTGTTCCTATAGAATGCCGCCTATCAGATTGGGATGATTACAGGCCAAAATAATTGTGGGTAATAGATAGGCGTGTCGATACTATCCCAGAGTTGGAAGCTTACAAGCCAGAATCTCACTTGTGCGCTCATCCTCATACTCATCCTCATGCTCATCCTCAGATCTGCGGTGAACGAGAGGTGAGCGAGAGACAGCCTCACCATGGAGCACTTCACAGACATCAGGGCGATGGTCTCCCTCAAGACTGTCCCGCTGTACTTCCTGGCAGTAAGATCTCAAAATTGTCCAAGTCCACTCAAGTTACAGCTGCTAACATGAGGCTCACGATGAAAAGGCAACGCTGTTGTTCGTGGTCGGAAAGCTGTTCTACAACCTCTTCCTCCACCCCCTCAGGAAGTATCCAGGGCCGTTCCTCGCAGGCTCAACGCGAGTCTATTACTTGTGGTATGACGTCCGCGGGCTGAGCCACTGGAAGGTGAACGAGTGGCACCAGAAATACGGCCCCGTCATCAGGATCGCCCCAGATGAGTTGTCCTGTGCGTCCAAGCCTTGCGGTGATGTCTCTCTATGAGACCATCGCGCGCCAACACTCGACCCCCTCCAAACCGGTGAAAATTTCTGTACGCTGACAAAACCGGCACACAGACACGGACAGCCGGGCCTGGCCGGCCATCTACGGCTTCCCAAACAAGGAGGGCACGGGTAACTTCGAGAAGGACCCGCAGTGGTGGAACAAGACCGTGTCGGGCGTCGTCAACATCCTCGACGCCGACGACGACGGCCACCGCCGCATGCGCCGCCTGCAGAACCCGGCCTTCAGCGACAAGGCCCTCCGCGCCCAGGAATCCGTCATCCGAGGCTACGCCGCGCTTCTCATTCACAAGCTGCACGGCCTGTGCGGCTCGTCCGGGGACGGCAGTGCGGTGGTGGATTTGACTGCTTGGTATAACTTCACCACGTTCGGTACGTCGGCCGCGTTTCCTCTTTCTCCCCAACTCGTTATCTGCCGCCGCGACATGACCTGTCTAGTATACCACCAGACAAAACTCACTCACTCGGCTCCGGCTCTAACTCCAACACTTGAAAAATTAAATTGACTGAGGATAACCAGACGTCATCGGCGACCTGGCCTTCGGCGAGCCCTTCTACTGCCTGCAGAACGCAAAGTGGCACTGGTGGCTGCAGGCCGTCTTCGACATCTTCAAGGCGGGCACGATGCTGCGCGCGGCGCGCCGCTTCCCCGAGCCGCTGGCCACGCTGCTGTGCCTCTTCATCCCGCGCCGCCTGATCCAGACGCGCAAGGAGCAGTTCGCCTTCGGCATCGAGCGCGTCAACAAGAGGCTGGAGCAGACGACGGACAGGCCGGATTTCAGTAAGGCCCCTTTTCCCCTCTCTTTCTCTCTCTCTCGCACTGATGGGATTGGGTGGTGCTTGTATGTGTAATTCCGCTAACAACAAGCCTCAGTGTCGTACATCCTCAACGCAGACGGCGAAAAGGGCATGACCCTCGAGGAGATGTACACGGCCGCGCAGGTCCTCATCGTAGCAGGCAGCGAGACGTCCGCGACGGCCCTGTGCGGCGCGACCTACCTCCTCCTGTCCAACCCATCCACGCTCGCGCGCCTGGCGGCCGAGGTCCGCGGCGCCTTCGCCTCCGAGGACGAGATCCTGCTGCAGCGCACCCAGGCCCTGCCGTACCTCAGCGCCGTCATCGAGGAGGCGCTGCGGCTGTGCCCGCCCGGCCCGGGCACGTTCCCGCGGCGGGTGCCCGAGGGCGGGAGGGTTGTGTGTGGGCAGTACGTGCCGGGCGGGAAGACGGTTGGGGTTCACCAGGTTGCGACGCACCGCTCGCCGGAGAATTTCAAGGAGCCGCTTGCTTTTCGGCCTGAGAGGTGGCTTGGGGACCCGGAGTTTGAGGGGGATAATAGGGCTTGTTTCCGTGAGTTGCTTGTTTCTTGCTGCCTTTTAGTGCGTGATGTCGATTTTGAGTGCTGGCTGACTGTTCACGCAAAAAGACCCTTTCTCTTTTGGACCTAGGAATTGCATTGGCAAGAAGTAAGTCATGGCTTCTTTAAGGAAACCCCCCACCCCCCCTCCCGGGCTGGATGAGACCCTCGTGTTAATCGTTTATTCCAGCCTGGCATATGCCGAGACCAGGATAGTCATCGCGAGGATGGTGTGGAACTTCGACATGAAACTGCACCCTGACAGCGTCGGCTGGCTGGACCGTCAGAAGACGTACACCACGTGGCAAAAGGACGAGATGAAGGTTGAGATCAGGCCTCGTGCCAAGGTGTAGAACTGTGGCGGGGGGTGTACCTGGCCCGGTGAGAGATGCGTGCCCGGCCTTGTGGACTGTGTACGGATATATGTTCCCTGAGGCGAGAGAGAGATATAGTAGACTTACGACGGCAAACCATTATGCGTAGGATGTTCTCGCGTGCCCTGTGCCGGTGTAAGTAGCTCCACTCGCCCAAAAGAAATAAGTAAGTCATTTCACTGACAAAGGGCAGGCGTTGTCAGGTGTCGGTTCGCGCCCTGAGGGGTATATGAAATCTCATTGAAGAATATAAACATCGAACCGCAAAATTGCTCCCAAGTATCGTGGTGTGTGGTATCCATTTCAACTGCCCGAATCATCCCAGATCATCCTAGATCCTGCACCCATGAAAATGAGAATAGACGAGCCCGCAGTTCTAGACCAGTCGTAGCGCCAGTGCGTTTAAAACCGTCGGTCTCTCAAACTCCAATACGCCTTGCGGAGGAAGAGACGACAAATCGATCCATCGACTTCCCTTTCTTAAACAATACATCAACGATTTCATGAAGTTCGTCGTTTTACTTTCGATTCTGGGCCTTCACGACCCTCGTCTCCACCCCATTTCTTAATGACTGTACCCGTAGCTCTGCGACCTCGCCTGAGCTAGATAATGATTCCTGCCTTTTGCATAATCCGCCGGGTTATAAGCATACGCCTGCTGGGCGGGCGAGACCTTGGCATCGAGCTTTTTCAGCGCGTCCGCGCTGATATTGTGCTCTTCTGGCGTCTCGTTGTGCGTCGCCAGCTCGGACGCGAAGCCCTGGTGGTCCAGTCCAGGCGACTGGAATCCTCCTGAGACGTCGGATGACACGGACGTCGGACGCGACGTGTTGCCCTGCGAGGCGCCCTGGCTCTGCGACCAACGCCAATCGTTGGCAGGCTGGGGCGACATGCGCGAGGAGTGGCCCGAGACGGTCGAGCCGTGTTCTGAGTTGTAGGTGGGCGAGGGCTGGGGCGGCTGTAGGTGTGGCGAGGGTTGAGGATATGAGAAATCGCCGGGCATCTCGAATGCGAAATTGCCGGCGGTTTGGGCTTGTTGTGCTTGTTGTACTTGAGCTTGTTGTGCTAGGCCGCCAACTTGTGGGCCTGGTAGTTCTGCATGCGAGGGGCGGAAGTGCGGTGATTGCTGTCCGCCATACGGGGCAGACCAGTGCGTATTTTGCACGGGCGTACCGGGTTTGTTGTGGTGCTGGTAAGAGGATGGTCTGGGGATTTGATATGGCACTGGCGTTGGTGACATGGAGCCAGGCTGGTGGTACAAGGACGTGGGCGATGGCCTGGGTGATAGCTGGCCATCCGATATTGTATTGGTTCGGTCATTAGGGTTGATGGTCTTCAGCTTGCCATCCTCGATCATAGCATGCAGGACTCCGGCGTCAAGAAGTTCGGCCTTCTTGATGATCCGCGATACCATCTCCTTCGAGGCTGCCTTCATCTGAGCCTTGACGAAGGACATGACTGCAACGTTGCACTTGATTTCGACATCGTCGCGCAGGTAAAGCCCGTCACTGGGAGCACCTAGCGCGGCCAGACCAATCTCCGGCTGCTCCGGGGGCTCGACACCTGGCTGGTTACCGGCGATTCGATACTTGTTCCTCAAGTCGACATTCATGGGCGCGTAAATGTGAGTTTGCAAGCCCCATGGCATGTCATGGAAACAGCCATTGAAGCTAATTTTGCCGGAGCCCATTTTCCCGAGGCCCGGCACATACTGGATCCTTTGGTTAATCTCGTACCATGTGCTGTAGTACTCGTCTGATGCCGCCTTCTGAGGTGCCTTGATGGGCTTGTGGTCAAGAACCAGTGGGTTTAGGGTGATGACCTCTGAGTGGCTGTGGAGGATGTCGATGGCGAGCTGGCGTGGAATGAACCCCGGGATGGGGGTTACGATCGTGTAGACCTCCTTCTTGCGCAACATGCTAGACATTGTGAGTGATGTCAGCTATCTGTCGCGGCACTCAAGTCTGTCTGTAGGGCTGAGACAATGTGGTTGTTCGAGAAGCAGAAGGTGGGGTCCGCGAGGAGATGAATCACATGTGGCTGGGTGATGGTTGAAAAGCGACAGGAACATGGACTGACATTGTCTTAGATTGGCAAAGGAAGGAGAGAGTTCAAGAGAGGGGGCCGAGCTGGTGGGAAACAAATCCTCGCCAATTTAGGCTTTTAGGAACAGGACCCCTGAAACTCGACTTGGTTGATGTTTGGCTGAGAGCCGGGTCGGTTGGTTTGCTGTATGGCCGTTTCTGGGAATGAGGCTTGCTTGGTCTCGGGCGGGAGATGGTGTGGGTGTGGGTGACAATGTGCGGCGCAGGTCGAGGACACCAAGATCTGGGGTGGTAAAGGAGAGAAGCAAGACAGAGTAGATGAGAAAGGTGTGCGAGTGAGACAGCTGGGCAGGGGAGAAAATGACGGGCAGGAGGGGGCAGTCGTCTTCAAGCCAAGCGGCCGCCGTGATTACACACTGGGCATGACGAAAGCCCGAGAGCTAGAAGCAGAGGGACAATGTGCGATGGGCAAGGCGAGTGTGCGGCGCAGCTGGTTGTCTGCAGGCAGAGAGATATGTGAGTTGTGAGTTGTTAGTTGGGGGTTGTAGACTATTGTTTGTTAGAGGTGGGAGGAGAGGGAGGGGTGGGCGGATGAGTGGACGAGTCGGCGAGTCGATGTGATGTTGGTCGTCGGTTGTTGGCTGTTGGGTGCGGGCAATGCGACTAAGAGTGGGATGGAGGGAGGAGGAACAGTCGGCAGGATTTGGGGATCTCCATAGCCTAGTAATGCCGCATTCTCCATGTGTGCAGGTGTGTAGGCAGAATCGAACACATTAATCAATTGATTGCCTGGATAATTAGCTCCAGCCGCAGACGGGCTTGGAGGGCAGGGAAAGGGCCATTTCCCGACGAGCTTGACGTTGGGCACAGCCAAGAGTCGAAACCAACAGCATGGTACCGTGGGCCTGCAGACGGCGCTACTCAAGGCCCTTTCCCCCAAGGGCTAGGCTGCCTGCACCTCTGGCCAAAGCATGAGCAAAGCCCAGGCCCACTAGGCTCTCCAGCCTGATGACGTGAGAATTTGACGAAGGATCGGAAAATTCAAATAATAATTGGGACACCGACATACTGACACAATGGTGATAAGTATTAAGGATCAAGACAGACTGATACCAAGCATCGGCAATTGAGATCCTTCTGCAGTGTAAGTGTAGCTGTGGTGTGGTCTGGTGTGGTGGTCTGGTGTCACCTCCTTCATTCGACTATCTGACCGTCTACAAATATCCAGGCTACGACCTTCCAAGATGGTATCGGCTGTTTGGTTTCCAACTTGGATGGACTAGACACAGTAGGGCCCGAGCTGGTGGGCTTCACTCACCAGGCATCAGACAATCTGGGGACTTTTTGTATTTACCATTCCCAGAAGTCTCAAGCGCTGGCCCAGTAGTCGATGGGTTCGTCCTCTTCTTTCCCCATCTGCTTGTCGTCGACACAACTGCTTCAGCTTCCCTGCTAGAAAGATCTAATGTAGCCACCTAGCCAACATCGTCTGAATCTGAACATGTTTCAAGAGCTATAACCTTATCGCAAAAGGACCACACTTGCATCTCCACTGTTTCCAGCCCTACCTACACGTGTAGCCCTGAGAGTAAGCAACCAAGAGTCGATGTTGCGTTACACTCATCCTTCCCTCCCTCCTCCGTCGTCCAACCCCACCTCGACGGCAGACTTCCGGACCGCTGTGTTTCCACTCCCCCTTCTCTTTTCTCTGAGGGGTGCTGCACAACCACCACTAGCCCTCCTATTTTTGGATCATCATCAGCAAAAGCTGCAAACTCAGTCAACCGGCTGTCGCAACAGCTCTGGGCCAGGGCCACCCACTCCTCCCTCATTTCATCCGATGTTCTTCCATCCCGTGGTCTGCCCCCGTCTGTCATCTGGACGCGTAGTCTGCCCAAGGGTCTTGGTGCCTCCCCCGGATCCACGGCTGTCCGATCTTCCGTCGGCAGCAGAGGCCGTCCCATGCCACCCCCGCCCCCCACCATGCACCGCCTCCTCGGGTCCATTTGTCTTGGGGCGGCCCGGGACCCTCTAGTCTAGTGTTCACGTCAATTCTGGTCGCCTTGGCCCTTCACCCGGGTACGCCACTAGGTCAATCAAGTTGTTTCGAAACAACCACCGCCCAGGCGGCCATCATCGACTCCGTCACACCTACCTGCTGCAAGGTCGCGGACGGCCACGTGTAAATGGTGCAGGTGGCGTCCGGCATGTGATGGTGGATGCATCAATTCGGTTGCACAATCTCACTCAGTCAGACACTCTGTCAGGCACGGTTGCAACAGAATCTTTCGGAAACACGGGCGCTGATTTATGGCATGTTCAACGCTACATACAGCTATAATTACCAGTTGACTATCGCCACCAGATTCAGTTGATGTCCGCAGACTTGACAACAGAGCCAAAGGCATCGCTCAATTCAGCCAGCGAAGTCCTCACGAGATCCTCCGCCTTGACCCCGGGGATATCGCGATCCCCCACCGCGTCCTCCGCGATGACCACATCGTAGCCCTTCTCCGCGGCCTGCCGCGCAGTCGTGCTGACGCAGACGTGGGCCATGCTGAGCGACGGGCAAAATTGTCAGCCACAGAGATCTCTACCGAATCATCGTAGCCCTTCTATGCCCATTGGACGACGAGGATCAAAAAGAATACAAACTTACTAGCCCGTCAGCACAATCTTGCCCCTCCCAGTGCCTTTGAGGTACTCGTCCAAGTCGGTCCCCGTGAAGCTGCCGGGAAATTGCTTGCCGACGACCTTCTCGCCGCCCCGCGGCTCCAGCTCGCTGAACTCGGCCGCCAGCGCCGTCCCCGGCGTGAACACCGGCGCGCCGTCGGGTGTCTTGTGCACGACGTGCACCAGGGGCGCCGATGCCGAGCGGTACTTCTCCAGCAGGCCCGAGATCGCCTTGCGCGTCGAGTCGACGTTGGCCGTCTTGAGCTGGCCCTCTGCGTACCTGCGTTCGTCAGCAACGTGGACCGAGTGGGTGGGGATCGTCAGCAATTGGTGAACAGTGTCTGAGGCGCTTACTCGTTCTGCGCGTCGATTATGACCAGGACGCTGTCCTTGGTGGATGCCGTCGACGGCTGCACGCCGATGAGTTCGCGGAAGCTCTTAGCCATGATTACTGGAGGGATTCCTTTTGCACGGTTGCGAGTGTCTGGGGCCACAATATTTCACACGTGCTTGAATCTTACCTTCGTGATAGCTGTAAAGGGATAGCACTTGATATATATGAATGAAGTCGTGATCGATTTCGATGACGTTTTCTTAGTCACAGCTTAGTACGGTAACGGGAACCGCCTTGCCCGTGAGGGGCGCCCCGCTGGCGCCGCCGCGTCCGGGGCAGAGGAGGGGCAGAGAGGGTCTCTTTCCCGATCGGGCAACTAACACGAGAGAAACGTTCGCCTTGGGCCGACGACACGTCGCATATTGGCCTTCTCCCCATCCCAAATTCATCGTCATAATAGTCTTGCCGGTCATTGTTTCAGCCAGTGTACTTGAATGATTGAGCAGTTCCGTGCGAGATGGCCTTGCTTCTCGCCCAACTCAACAGCTTTCTGCTCTGCCCATCACGAATCTTTGATCTTTTCTACGCGAGAACAATCCTCTCCTTACAAAAACAAATATCAGGTAGAAGGTTTTCTCGAGGACATTTCAAATTCAAAGCCATTCTTCAACAATTTACTTTTAACGAACGAATTCTAACATATGAAATGCTCCTAGCGGGCCCCAGGCTACCTCTCCACCTGATATCTAAATTCACAACTTTTTCTGCCACTTTTCGTCCTGAGGATCTGTCGTGTGTACTATAGAAAAGTTTCGGGCATGTCACATCATTTAGCGACAAGGCACATTAACCATTTCCTCGACAACTCTGGTTTGGACCTTCTGCCCGCACATCACTGCCGTTCCGCCCATGAGCGCCCGTTGGCAAAACTAGTTGGCCCATCCTAACCAGACTCCCTCGGAAGCCTCAAATAACAAGGAACCGTCCACTTGGACGGACCTTGGAATCTCAAACCGCACTGGCGCCCGTGCTGCCGCACCGTCCAGAGCAGATGCGTCTATAGTTCGATTGCTTGTTTTCTGACCCTGAAGAACCAAATCGGCCCTACCGCCATCATCTGCCAAGCTGCTAGCATGATCCACTATACTCAATGAAACCCTGATTTCTGGATGAGAGCTTCATAAGTAGATTCGCGCAAGCTGGATGACCGTTCTCTTGTGCCACCGCAATTGCATTCTCATACTGTTCAGCAGCAAACTTCCCACCAGCGGCATTCCATAGAAGCTCTATCATATGGAGCCGACCATATTGTGCCGCGTAATTGATGGCAGAGCGTCCCCCAACCTGCGCGACTGGGCCAATTACTTCCGCACCCGCATCCAGCAACCTCTTTGCGATCCTCATTGAACCCGCTTTGGCAGCAAGCTGAAGTGCAGTCGCGCCTCCACGAGCTGCCGGAGCGGCGTTCACGTCGACATTGTGCGCGAGGAGGAGGTCGACAATTGTATGACTTTGAAGTTCACATGCCTTTTGCAAGGGCGTGCGTTTCAGGCCCAACTTCGCCTCTTTTCCGACGTCCGCTCCTTTTGAAATGAGCAGCCTGACCAGAGCCAAGCTCTTTGTCTCAATAGCTTCCAGGAATGCTGTCTGCTGTACCATTATTCGGTAAGAATATGGGTCAGATCGGCTGGCTATAACATTAGCATCGCCTCCAGCGTTCAGCAGCTTACAGATCATCTCCAGACGATCGCCACGGCTTTTTCTGATCGCAAGTCCGAGTGCGGTCACAGTCTCGTACTCCTTGAACACAGTCAAGCTGTTGACATCAAATCTTGCACTGAGGCATACGGACATGAGCTCGTCATCGTGTGTCTGTAGCACATGATGCAGTACTCGACCGCCGAAGCCTGTGCGTCCTCTCGGATATTGCTTGCGAAACTTCTCGAGGATGAGATTCAAAAGTCTCAGATCATGAGAGATGGCGTTGAGAATAGCTTTTTGGTCCGCTGGATCTGCCCCACGATCGAGCAGATAGTTGGCTGTCTCTGTATCTCCAGCCAGCACGGCAGCAGCGAGGGGAGAGCTGCGTTTGGGACTCAAATCAGCACCTAGATCGATCAAAAGATCGATCAGTGGCCTCTTGCCAGTTTTCACAGCAACTGCAAGAGGAGATTCGTTCCGAAAACCATTCACATCGGCGCCCATAGAAAGAAGCGCTTTGATAATCTGCGGATCGCCCCATGTGATTGCCATCTCCAGTGCCTCGTAGTCTACATGCGCGTCAGATTCCATGATAGCCCAGGTTAGAGATCGGCTCCTGATTCGCAAGGCTTCGCAAAGAGCGGTCCGAGGACCAGACCAATTCGCCTTCTTATTCACGTCGGCACCGGCCTCCACCAGCCTCAACGCAATCTCTTCATGACCTGCACTTATAGCCTCGTACAGCGGCATGCTGAGCACGTCGGGTTTCGGATTCGGAACCAGATGTAGAATCCGGTAAAGATAATCCGACTTATTTATGTTGACGATCGCATGCAATGCGGCTTCCAGGCGATCAGGTTCTCCAATTTGGCGCCAGGCACCTTTTTCTTCAAGCAACTCCAGAATTTCAGTATCGTCACTTCGGATTGCTTCTGCTAAAGGTGTAGTATCGAAGTAGTCGTTGTCAAGCCTGATTAGTGGTCCATCTGCACGTGCACCATGCGCAAGAAGCAAGCGCACTAAACTGAGGCTTCCAGACCGCGTTGCAGCTGTGAGCGCAAAATCTAGACCGCGCTGGCCTCCATGCGGAAGGAGCAAGTTGACAAGCTCATTGTTTTTCCTCCTTGCTGCGTTGGTCATCATCTTGGCCACCTGGCCTTGATATGAGCTGATGCATTTGTTGTCATGTGTGTCACGGCACACCTGGATGACTTGGCGGATGAATCTCAGGCCTTGCTCGTTTCTGAGGTATTCAGCGGCATCATCAAGCACGTAACGAAAGCAGTACTCATGTTCTGATGAAGGAAGCCTTGAAATGAGCTTCTCAATCAGTGCAGCGTCTCCCCAGCGGATTGTAGCTCTCACAACCCGGCCGCTTACAGCTGCACCCTTATTCAGGAGCAAATCCACAAGCCTGATATCGATCTGATGATGACCACCCCACATACGAATAGCGTGTTCAAGAGCTCCTCGCTCTAAAAAAGAATCCGGATCGTCGTAGGTTTTATTCACGTCGGAACCAAAACGTAGCAGCAGTTCCATCATGTCAAAGTGGCGCAGACGTGATGCCTTTTCGAGAGGTGTCATGCGATTCTTCCCCTTTATGCCGTCCCAGTAGACGTCAGCTCTCTGTGTAAATATGATGTCATCTGGTTTAACGATTTCTAATGCCAGAAGGTCGTGGACTGTCTTCACAGCACAGCCTTCTATCGCAGCCTTGAGCAGCTTTTCCACCAAGGCAGTCGCAGGGATTGTCGATGCTCCCATTTTAAGGTAGCTCAAGATGCCAGACCGTACAGGCTCGTGCTGATTGATGAATCTCATGATCATTTTCATGGGTATCGTGTCAAGTCCAGCGAAGTTGTTGATGATGGAGAAGAGAAACAATTGAACGAATGGGTTCGTGAGTGATTCGTTTCCCGCAATGGCATTCAAAGACCCACAGAATTCCCTTCCTGGAGTTTTGATAGAGATCAGGGACTGCAGCTCTCTCTGCGTCGCCTCGATGGACACCACAGACTGTAGGTTGTCTAGAAGCTTTTCGGCGGTTGGCAATGCGTCATGTGTTATAAGTCTTCCACGCTGAGAGATCACAGAACCAGATGTCTGATCAAGACGGCGAGCAGATTCGAGAAGACTGAGATTAGGGATGCGATGGCGAGGAAAGGCGCTCCTCGGACACTCGTAAGCATATCCAGCTGATACAAAATCATGATGGTTCGTTAAATCTGTCCCACAACGTAAGTAACTGAAAAACAGCTATATGAAGCTCTTATTCACCTCGACGTATGGAAAACACACCTTGAAATTGTGGACTCAGCTGGAAATTGACAGATGAATTCAATCCAGTCAAGTTTTCTGAGGAAATCGAATCATAGATTCCTCCACTCATCTCGTAATCCTCAGGTTCAAAATTCAGTCTGAAGGGAGGAGATGCTATCAGGAAATCCATATCCCGAGGCACCTCAAAGACATGATCAGAGTACGACACCCTGTCGGCCGGGGATCTTACGAGCTGAGCTTGATTCACAATGCTCGTGCTCGCAGATTGAGAGCCGATAGGGTTAGACCTCACGTCTTGATCGGACATGAGAGCACTCGGCGCGAGGACGGCGTCATTGTCAACCGAAGTACTGCCATGTGGCATTATGGCTTCTCCATCCGGGTTCGCACCGCAGACTGCTTGCAATACCGAGTCGGAGTTGATTTCGTGCTGCAGTCTAATGTCTGGCGATTCTCGTGGCAGACGCTGTTTGAAAGTTACTCCATCAGGAAGTTGTGTCAGTAGTTGATCTGTACCAGGCATGTCAATCATCTGAAGCGTTGGGAGGCCGGGGGCCAGGACATCAAGTCACATACCGGCATCGGTAAGACATGAAGCTAATTCATAAGTAGGTTTGGCATTCTTCCGTTTCTTCTGTAAATCCTCCTCCGAGATTAACTTCCCACTGATGTAGAGATCATAGATATGGTTAAATGATCTCTGGGAGTCTAGAGCACGGAACACTGTTCTCCACTCAGGCCGTGAGAGATTCTTGCGCTGTCCTATATTACGAAAATATGTCTCCAACTGGGATAGGCTACATTCAATTAGTAACTTCTAACAAGCATGAGGTTGTGGAAGACGCACCTAGCCTTAACATGATGTTGGTTATTCAACTCGGTCTGAATTTTGGCAAGAGTCATGTCAGGATCTCGACGGAGCTCAATAAGCCATTGTTTGTGTTGCGACAGCTGCAACTGGATGAAAGATGGTGTCGGCATCGTTGACCAAGTATTGACTATCGATATCGAATATAGTGTGAATCGATCTTTCAGACTGTTAGTCGAAGTGCCGTCGGTTTTTGACCGTCTGTTTTTGAGGAATGACGCACGATGATGCTTGAGTTAAAGAAGTCTTGGAATTGCAGATAAAGGAAAAGCGTGATTGAAGAGACAATGTGGCTATTTGTATGCAGGGCCCTGTATTCGTGGATTCCGAAACCTGAGATTCTGTCATAAGATGATGATAATAAGAAGGGTCACTTGAGGGATGGTACCGTTCAGCAGAAACGCTCCTGTTTCTCAAATACAAGACTCAGTCGTTGCCGATTGAATGAAGGCGAGGTCAGATTTCCGTTGACCTGTCTATTCAACACAAATTGAAGAGTTCCCGCTAGGCTGTTGCCGAGGCAGATTCTGGATCCCAGAATTGTACTGCAGGTCAGATTCTTGCTCTCTCCTGATTCCGAGTGTGGTCACACAAGCACAGATTCTGTCCTCGCTTAGGCAGCAAATCATGAGCCATTCTGTTGGAATTGCCTCTGCCTGCCGCTGTCACATTGGTCAGGCTCAGTGCAGCTGAAGGCTGACTTCGGGTTAGTTAATTGTCAATCTTTCATGACTACTGAAAGTGTAGCGGTAAGATAGGTTTTCCATGCATGCTCGGAGCTTTATTCATGCCTAATTCACTCATAATGCTATTCACAACAATGCTATATGAATTAATCGTTCATTTGTTGCTCAATCCCTACCGCACTACCATGCCCTGAACAACTGGACGAACTGTCTTGACGGTCTTAGTCTCGTTAAGTACACAACAGCGTATTGACCTCACACAATGCCCTCGAATATTCCTGAAGTCGCAATATCCCTCCCCCAATCATTTAATCATCTTATAATTGATAATTGATTCGTGCTTTAAACCACATTGAACGGTATAATTTGAACACACCATTCCGAATATCAATGGCAGCCAAACGCTCTTTGCAGGTTGAAATGAGTTCACAGATTGAAATGACAGTTTATAACATAGAAACCACATTAAAGATCAATTTCATCTTGTTTTAATCTGTTAAGAACATGTGTTTTCAGTGAGTGGTGCTAGGGTGTCTATCAAGATGTATCTGCCCCTATCTGCTAGCTATACTCAGCCACCAGCGATCTTCGGTGGAGTAATTGTTTCGGAAAGCACTGTCATGAAAGCCTGGAATGCCCGTCTCGGAACATGAAAATGCGTCTTGAGCTCCGATCTATCTTATATTCACAATGCAGTAAGATCTTTAGTGTCACTATTGTTAATTTATGGATTATCAGATGATTCTGTCCTGTATCAACATTACACTACTAACTATAGTCGACCCCTAAACGTGCACTGATCTAAAAAAAGGATATAATTAGGGCAAAGGTAGGACGAGAGTCCATATTACTGTGCGGCATTTGCTAGCCGCTGGAGACATGGGACAATCCTACGGTCAAATTCAATTGAGGAAACTTCAAGAAGAAAAAAAATCTGCGATCAAGGTTTTTCGCAAATGCTGATTATGGCAGATTGAAAGGCAACATTTATTCTATCCGCGGGCAGCTGTTGATATCAGGTGCGCTGCGGACAAGACGAACACCGCATCCAATCTACACTTCAGAGTAATCTAGAGGGCTCAAAGTGAGGAGTGATGCCTTCAGCTGCCGCGGCACTCTCGTTAAATCACCATGACATACGATGACGTTACGCTGCGTGCAATGGCATTTTGCCGGGTCTCACACGCACGAATCCCAATGCAGATCATGCTGAAAGTGACATCTATTGCACCCACCATAAAAATATAAGACATTCATAAAATTTGTTGCCTCTTCTATTGGTAATTGAAAAGCATTTCTCTAGTAACCCTTCTCTCTGGGCATCACCTTGACTTGAGACACCTATCCACAATGGCTCTTAACCTCACTGGCACGTGCACATGCAAGAACTTGCAGTACACCGTCAAGCTGGACTCTGCAGACTCGGCGCGGACCTCGTTGTGTCACTGCTCAAGCTGCAAGAAGGCATTTGGCACGAACTTTGGTTTGACATCCAAGGTATGTTTCCGTCATTGACCATATTCGCATCATTGTGCATTTGTCTTAGGGTTCTTACATAGGTTCCGATTGAGAGCTTTAAATATAGCAAAGGAGAGCCAAAGCTCTATAAGCAGGAGAATGGCGTTATCAGGGAGTTCTGCGAGAACTGCGGCTCATTCACATGTGAATACGGGGTATGCATTCACTCTTCTGATCTCCATAACTTGGCAAGTCCCAGAAGATGAGCTGATATCATGACCACAACAGGAGCAAGCTGCGGATAAATTCAGATACATCACGTACGGAACATTGGACGATCCTGAGAAGCTTCCCCCAAAGGGAGAATTTTTCTGCAAGGAGAGGTCGAGCTGGATGCCCGAGATCCCTGGTTTGTGTCACCCGGCTCGTGCGACTGACCAACCTGTCACAACTGACTTTGAATCTAGATTTGTTCCATAAGCAGAAAATTAAGGAGTGATTCTGTATGAGCTGTACCGGTATTTTCAGGAGTACCGACAAAAAAGGGTGCGGGTACAGGGAAGAGATATATATGAGGAATGACGCGAGGATTTTACGAGCTCTAGTGGGAAAAGAACTGAGTAAATTGATTAAATTGACCGCATTTTGCCCTGTATCATTCAGGCTTGACAGAGACGCTCTGAGACCTTGATTTCGAGACGATCATCTCCTCCGTAGGGTTCTGATTGACAACTCATGTTGGCACCTTTGTCACCAAGCATATTCAGTAAGTGTTGATGGCACAAAAATGCTGTATTTTCTCATATTGAATACGGTGATAATCAACCAAAGAGGTCCAATGAGCTAGGAACGCCAGTTCCGAATTTTTCTATATCGTAGCAGGCTCAACGATGAGGAAATTGAATAGGTCTGTAGCACAAACATAACCATGGCAGTGCAAATGACACCAACACAGAAGAAGAAACACGAGCGATCCTTCTAGCCCTCAACAAGCATCACAGCCCCTTCCAAAGGACTCGAGGCCGTACCCCATCACACTTGCCACCAGTTGTGACCCGACCAACGAGGAATTGGCCAACACTTTCCCTTTGGAAAACGGAGCACAGCACCTCAACCTCCACCAGCACCTGGCTCAGCGGCTCTGCGCAACAACAACGCAGCGCAGCAGAACCGGTGGCACCGTCCGACAGCATTGGGCCGGCGTCGCGGAACAGTTGGGCACCACCGCTCTTCCATCGACGCCATCTGGGTCTATTGGGCCCCTTCTTCTTTTTGCCTCTTTGCCCCTTTGCCCAAAACATTCTTTACACGCTGCTTGGCGTACCGTCATCGAAATTGGGCTTCTACATGCTAGACGCTGGCATGTAACACAGACGCAAGCCGGGCGTTCCGGTCGCTGATCGTACATATATTTCCGGTTGCACGGCGTAAGACTGCATGCATCAGTGAGTGGCCACTTCAGGAGAGGAAGGAGGCCGGCTGCAAGATGTACAGCTTCGCAAAACGTGGCGTCGAAAACAGTCCGACCAGCTCGGTCAAGTAGAGGCGGACAAGGGACGAATGGGGGAATAGCACAGGAGGAGCCCACGTCCAGATCTGGGGCACATTGGGCAGCACACCTTGTGCACCCGGCCTACAGCGATCGGAGCAACCTAGGACAGACACTAGTAGATGGTTCGATATATAGGGAACACAGAAGACAAGTAGTGAGAAATGATCTATCAACTGCGTCTGTTGCGATATGATGCACTGACGAGGGCGTACGAGATGGGTGGGTCCCAAGTCCGAGGCCTAGGACTCGATATCCGTCCTTATGTAGGAACTGCATAGAGGTATCTTGTGGGGGCGTGATGCCCAACACTTGCCTTCGGTGTAGCCAAATCCAGGTCTGCATCTTATCAGGCCAATGCATTTTGCCCGGCTAAGCAAGAGGGTGGAGTGCTTGCGATCGGTTCTCTGCAGCGGCGCGCACCGCAGGGCGGCCTGCATGACAGGACTAGCCATAGGCAGGGAGGCATGTTCCGCCGTCAAAGGGTGAATGGAGATCGAGGGTGTCTTTCGTAAAGCTTAGACTAAAGCGACATGTGGTCTCCGATTCAGGTATGTGAAGCAACACAATAGGCGGTGGTGCACGCTTGCACAGGCACAATGCGACAATGATTCCAGGAATGAGGGCACGGTAATGAGCATCGACTGGTGGAGCAGGGGAAGACCTGTCCTCTGCGCACGAGAAAAATGACAGAAGATACACCTGAGTTACCTCCACCCGGGGTTCGAGAAATACTCTCTAGTACAGGCACGACTTGCGGCTGATATTGACACTCTACCCACTAAATGGTGAATGATAGGTTTCATCAGCAGTGACGACGTGTAGATCACGGCGTTTGCGATGTAGGGCCCAAAGACCGACTGCGCAGAATCGATAGCAAGCTGACATGGACCGCAGCAGTCTTCGTCCAGGACGTCAGCAGCCATTGGCAATCCTTCCGTCTTCTCACTTGTCTCAGTAATCGCAGAGCCGCACAAGTAACATTAGACAGCGCTTATTGGCGACAACGTAGGGATGCCTGGGTGGCTCGAAATCCGTGTAACGCAAGCAAACAAGCCGGAGAGCGCCAGAAGGAATTACCCCGAATATGTCGGGGTCGGCGGAGGGTGTAGACGTTATCAACTTGAGGAGATAGCTCTAGCGAATACGGACCCTTGTCCCCGTCACTTGACGGACCGGGAGCGAATAGGAGAGAGGGGGGAAGCCAGACGAGGCTGTAGCTGCATCTGGAGGCCACCGTGACTTGGGGTTTTTTGCATGTCTTAGCGTTGCCCGAGAGAAGTGTAAATAAGGCGTTCAGTCGGCTGCCTTCTTCTCTTCGGCCCCGGCAAACGATGCGACCCATGAGGCTCAGGTGGTACAGCATATCAGGCACATGGGCCATCCCTCACACCACCAACCCCTTGTCATGATCATGTAAACATCTGAACAGGTTTCAATGAATATCATCACTGTTGAGATGTGAACATCCAGGCCTCAGATAGCTCGGGGCGGGAGTCGCGGTACTACCGTGTCTCCAACTCGTACCAGATCATCCCCTGACATTTTTGAGCAACTTGAGCAACAAGACACAGCATATGTGATCACTTACCTACTACTGCGGGCAACCTTTCACCTCTTCTGGCCACATCCAGTATCTGCGACCTCAAGTGCCGCCATAAATGCGGCCTATCTGTCAGTGCTAGCTGACAAGCTGACCTCAAGCTTAGCCTCCGCTCTTGGCAATCCTTCGAGCAGTCGGCGTTGCTCTCCACAGGCTGCCTAGCCAATCACGTCCAGCTTTGCAAAAGAGTGCACCGTGGAGGTGTGTGTGTGTGACAGTCGGCTCACCGAACAGCCAGAGTGGGGCGAGACGTCGCTATATTTTAGCCCACTCAGGAAGTGGTCTAGATGGGGGCAGTTCCAGACAAGCGTCTCTCCATGACCGGCATTTGTTGTTCGAAGTTGGTGTACTTGTGTTGGCCCATCCCGCTTCCTGGAGTCGGGTCTCGGATTGTTAGGCTCGAGAATGGTTCATCGCAAAGTCGCAGCGGCAGCAGCCGTCCAGGACTCGTATAGGACCTCGGAGCTGTTCATCTGGCCGAGGGGTCCGTACCAGTGACCTCGACGGCGCTCGAAACCAATTCCTAGACACGCGTGGCTCAGATCTGGGGTTTGTCTCTCCTGTCTCATACTCCAGTTGTTGCTTGCGACACGAACGAACCGCGTGGCCTTTCTTGTCCTCGCCTCGTTTTTGAGATACACCAAAAAGTGGTCGTGTTGCACACCATCTTGTCGAGTGGCCTTGAGTTGCGTATCGTCCCTGCTCTTCGAGTCATCCTGGTATATTAAAGCCTTGCTGCCTGGTTCTGCCCCTTCGCCCCGACTGTGAGAAGCTTCTCTTCATCCAACCTCTCTCCCGCCCATCTTTGGCCAAGGCAGAATCACCTGTCGTATCGCTCTTGTGTCGAACCCTTTTCACACCCGTGACCATGCAACCCCCATTCTACCAGCTCAGTGGTGGTCAGCCCCAATCGACCAGTATCCCAGTCCCTCCTCAACATCATCAGCCAGCTCTAGGAGGCCGGCTGCCGCCGGCGCCACCGCCGGCGGCACTGGTGCATCAGCAGCGTCCCGCGTCCATGGTAGGCCCGATGCCTCTTCATCCGCAAATGCAGCGGCCCATGCCGCCGCCCGCAGCGGCTTCATTTCCACCACACCCTCCTCACCCTCCGAGACATCTCATACCATCTCACTTCCAGCGCCCGGTCGTCGTCTCCGACCTCCGGGAAGAGAGCGTGACCGAGGATGATATCCGAGAGGATCTTTCGGATTACATCATTCTGAGGTTCGAGAAGATCGAGCCGTATGATGAGTATGACTCCGAAGGCGAAGAGGTGAAGGCAAGCTGGGATAATTGCATCAGAACACGCATTGCAGATGTAGACAAGGCGGAGGCCCGAAAAGAAATCCGGCGGCTTAATAAGGAGGATGCCAAACGAGGAAAGACGCTCTTGGAGAAGCAAAATGCCCTCGGAACCAAGCAACAAGACCAACTGGCGAAGGCGCAACGTGAGCTTTCGCTGGAAGAGCACGATGCGCGCTTCCACACCAAACTCGCCCAAATTGACTATACGCTTAAGCCCGTTGTCAACAAACATGAAAAGATCTATACAAGACGACCCAACGTGAAGAAGAAGATCCACCAAAAGAAGACCTACGAGCGTACTTCCATCACCGCCTACTTCAGACGCTGTCCAAAGCCGGAGCAGGTACCAAGCGAACTGGCTCGTTGCATCGAAATAGAGAAGCAACGAGAGGCTGATATGATGCGGATGAGGCATCCCCAGATGCAGCAGCAGATGGTCATGCATCACGGGCCTCAAGCTGTGCAACCACACCAGCCAGGACCAATGCTCCACCCACAAGCGGCCCCTATGTGCGGCCCAGGACCTATGCCGGGACAAGTGCTTCACGCAGGGGGCATGCCGATGCACCACTCTCACCCTGGAAAGGGATCAGGCCGACCTCATACACCAATTCAGGTCGAGGTCGAACATAGAAAGGACAAGCACCACAACAGTGGCCACTCAAGAAGTTCTGGCAGCTCGGAGTATTCTGACTTCAGTTCGAGTTCCGGTTTCGGCTCCGAGTCCACTTTAGTCACCGAGCCCTCTCGATCGTCAGCCTCGTATAAGGGCAAGAAGCATTATGACCACAAGAGGAAATCCTTGAGGTATCTTGAAGAGCCGAGGAACTTTGGCGTCGAGGTTCATCGCCCCCGCCGTCGTCACAGTCTCCTCGAAGAGCCATCATATATCGTCACCGGAAGTGGAGCTCGTGTCCCCATCATCCACGTCCCAACCCCGCCAAGAAAGGCTGCAATCCCGATTGAAAACCTTGATCAGATCCGGGCCGATGCCTATCGTGCAGGTAGATCCGACGAAAAAGTTGCTTTCCGGCACACTTTGGATGATGCCGACAAGCTCGACTTGGCTGCCAGGAGATATCAGCCTCGATATGCCCCTCGTCCGGAGATCATCAATGGGGGACACGTATCTCCAGCAAGGATCCGGCACGTCACGACGAGCGAGGTCGATCGGCAGCTCGATGATGACCTCCGGCGTCTAAGACTCGGCCCTGACTCCCACTACCACGACGATTTTGGTGACTTCATCCATCTTGACGCCCAGCGAATTCGTGAGGAGCGGGCTCGAGAAGAGCAGGAGAGCATAATGCGAGCTCAACTAGACGAGGACGCATTGTACCGGAGGCGGCGAGAGGAATCACCGCCGCCCTCTATCAACCCCTTCACTCCTTTATCGCGAAGAACAGGTCACGTATATGATATCGATCGCGATTTTAGACGATGAAATTTCTTGTTAGCTGGATGCGCCATTGTGTAAGAAGCCTGTAACTTTCTTAGGAGTTGCTAATGATTGGGCAAAGGTGGGCACTGATGAGTTGGAGTGACGAGCCTGTTTTCTTGTATTCCGAAAATGCCGTTCCGGTCGGCGATACCATTCAGTCGCGAGCTTCGTACTCGGAAGATGCAAACAGAGTGTGAATTTCTGCAGCTGAGGCCTCTATTACGTTGAAATTGCAAGTGACGTCCGAAGTCATAGCTTAGAGGAGCTGATCGGACCAAAGTCTTACATGAATTCGTGGGTCGATACCGAGCTGATGAGGACGTTGAGGACGTGGATCGTGATGAATAGATAATGATCTTAATCGAGCTCTCTATGCGCACAACTCAGTGGATTCTGGGCTGAATATGAGCTTTCTGCATATTTCATATAGAGATAGAAATCCCTGTGATTTTCTCGATCATAGTAGCAACTGTGTTGAGGTCTCGTATCCACAACTGGAGCATGGACTCGGGATTGGTGTGCCAGGCTGTTTCGTTGCTGCATGGGTGATAGCCTGGGCAAAGCTTGAACAAAATCCAAGGGAGGACAGAAATCCAGATTGCTGCTCGATATCTCGTAGCTATTAAGACAATCGAGTCTCTATGCTCCGCACAAAGGTGGCATATCTGCCCAACCTCAGACGATTGGGCGGGCCTCAGTTCGCATCGCGAGGCGTGCCCCAATGGAAATTGGCCGAGCAAGAGACGTGGGCGAACCAGTTGCTTGCCTCAGCATGGCGAGACTCGTGGCATCCTTTCAATTGGCTCCTAGCTGCCTTGCATCTGCCAAGGGCTGCTTCGGGGATTGAGATCGAAACTCATGAAGACTTGGACCAGCACCGTGCGCCTTGCGAAGGTGATTCGCTCGGTGAATATTATCTTGGAGCTCATCCCGCAACTTGTTATCCTACCTCGTACTGATCCCCGAGGTCGTCCTGCGGGAGTTGTACCACTGGAAATTATCCCACTGGAATCCATCCCGTCGCTGGACATGCCATAGCAGGTTATCTCATAGCAGACTATTCCATGCAGGTTATCCCGTAGCAGGTTATCCCGCTGGAGGTTAATGGGTTCGGATAACTGGCTGTCGTAGTCCACCTTGTAGTGGAGCGCGACTCAGTCTCTCACTGTAGTATGGAGGATTGGGTGGGTTTATAACGTCACGCCACAGAGCACTCGTTAATCATGCGGGAAAAGTAGGGAGACTTTAGCACATGAAGTCATGCCGTTTACCGAGGAAAGTGAGGCGATGAGTTGTTTTCGTTGAGGGCGAAACTAGGGGCCATCGAACGAGAGACGCCAAGTCCCGGCGTGTCCCCACCAGAACGACCGACCTGTCGTGCTGCTGCTCTGTGCCCCTCCATGTGCCCCTCTAAAGAGCAAGACTGTCTGTCGTCACCTCAACTACACTTTTCCTGAAACTCTCTCTCTTCACCTTGCCAACTTCGCAATACGCAACTCTCCTCACAGACAATACCCTACTTTCCCAATCAACACGATACCGTCAGATACCAATTGCCCATCATGGCTCGCAAGTTCTTTGTCGGAGGAAACTGGAAGATGTAAGCTCCCGCGAAGCCAAGCTCCCGAGCTCTCTGAAAACCCCGCAGAGCTTCTTGAGAGCTGCTGGACTGACGATGGCCTCGCCAAACTTACAGGAACGGCACCAAGTCGTCCATCAAGGAGATTGTCAACAACCTGAACAGCGCGAAGCTCGACCCCAACACTGGTATGTGTTGTTCCACACCTCTCTCAACTCCCTGTCGCACAAGAACCTCAGGGACAGCCCTTGGAGAACAAAGCAGAAGTACATTGTGCTAACACACTCCCAACACAGAGACCGTTGTTGCACCACCAGCACTGTACCTCCACTACGTCCGTGAGAGCCTGAACAAGGACATCGAGGTGGCAGCACAGAACGTCTACGACAAGCCCAATGGCGCCTACACAGGCGAGATCTCGGTGGAGCAGCTCAAGGACAGCAACGTGACCTGGACGATCCTGGGCCACAGTGAGCGTCGCACGATCCTGGGCGAGAGCGACGAGGTCGTCGCGTCCAAGACCAAGGTAGCCACCGACGGCGGCCTGAGCGTCATCTGGTGCTGCGGCGAGTCGCTCGAGGAGCGCGAGGCCGGCAAGACCGTCGACGTCGTCACCAAGCAGCTCGACGCCCTCAAGGCCAAGATCGGCTCCGACTGGTCCAAGATCGTCATCGCCTACGAGCCCATCTGGGCCATCGGCACCGGCAAGGTCGCCACCACCGAGCAGGCCCAGGAGGTGCACGCCGCCATCCGCAAGTGGCTCAAGGAGAAGGTCGACGACAAGGCCGCTGACGAGACCCGCATCCTGTACGGCGGCAGCGTCAGCGAGAAGAACTGCAAGGAGCTCAGCAAGCAGCCCGACATTGACGGTTTCCTCGTCGGCGGTGCCAGCTTGAAGCCTGCCTTCGTCGACATCATTAACAGCAAGCAGGCATAAAGCCGCTGCCGTCGAGTAGGAGGAGAGGAGTAGTCTCTGAGTAGTTCCCAAGAAGGAGCAAGGGACGGAAGGTCACCTAAAATAGGCAGCCCCAAATATTCAAAATAAAACTCCTGAAACCACTCCACCTCGACTTGCTCTGGTTGATAGTTGAACTGCGCTTTTTGATGCTTCGAAGACGTAGTCCGGGTATATAATTTACACTGATGCCATGCCCGAACCCCGTTCTTTCGAGATGTAAGTTTCGGCCCCATGCACGTAAAATACAGTGTCGTTGTCCATGCCATGCCCGTGCACTTCGCCCACGTTTATACAGTCATCCCCTTGCCGTGATACGGTGACCAGACACCTCTGACACTCTCGTTGATACTCTTAACCGGCTTGCTGTACTTCTTGTTCCTCTCGCCCGTCGAGTCCCGCAGCAGCTCGACCTTCTGTTGTATCTGGTTCGGGTGCAGGCTCCTAACGCAGACCGTCCTCGTGTTGCCGTTGATGTAGTGTGCGCTAACAATGGGGTGCTTGGTCGGCCGTGGTGAGACAGTGACCTCGATCTCGGGATGTGCGGCGGCGAAGTTTGGGAGGTGGGACTTGATGAAGGAGCTGGAGAGACAAATTAGCATTGGACGAGGGCCAAAAGAGGGCTGGGCCACTTACTTCATGCCTTTTGAGCTCCCTGCCCAGTCACAATAGTGAAAGTCCATCTTCTTACATTGCAGCACGAAGGCGCCGACGCCGTTCTGTGAGGGCGGTCAGTACGGTATGGTGTGATTTGGAGTGGCCTTGATGTTTTTTGACGGTCAACACTTACTCGGCCCTTGGTTACTGCCTCTATTGCTGGTCTTATTGTCATGGTGGCCTGTCAAATGTGTTGAGGACGGACATCATCGTCTTGCAATCAAGTCGAGTCGCTCGATGCGTCTATCGCATCCAAAAAATGGTGCTTATGTAAGGAGGTGGCCTGAGCTTTTCTGGTGCGCGTTCCTACCCTTGTCCCTTGTTGTCGTCGCCGGTCTAGCTCTCAACTAGGCAACCTGTCGCAAAGCCCTCTCCTTTCAACCACCTCCCTTCTTTCTCTGTCCCTGGTTGAACGCGCTCGACTTGACTTGTCGGCTCAAGTCTAAGACGCGCATCTGTTTTATGCCATCGAAGAGAGGGCCATCCTTAATTTTAATCAGGTCTTGATTTGGTGCGAATGACCTGAAAGGCGACTAAAAATGACCGACAAGCTCCCTCCCAACCTCCTGGCGCTGTTTGCGCCCCGACCTCCTCTACGATGGGTCCCTCCCTGCGATTTCCCGGCGGAACAGCGCAAGACAGCTGCCATTGGAGGTGTTGCAGACTTCTTGCCTCACCTTGAAGCATACAAGGATGCCGATGGTTATGTCCCCACGGAGAGTTGGTTGCAGGCACGCGACCGGAAAAAGCTCGAGAAGAAGGCAGAAGTCGAGAAGCTGGTCACCGACGGCCCCAAGCTCTGTTAGATACCCTGCTCCATCCAGTGTGCATATCAAGCCAGACTGACACTTGGACTCCAGTTAACCCGGCCGAGGATCCGAACATCCGTGGCGATGCTTTCAAGACCCTCATGGTGTCGCGACTCAGCTATGATGCCAATGAGGAAGACCTCGAGCGAGAGTTTGGCCGCATCGGAACTATCGAACGTGTACGCTTCATATTATAACCTTGACACTCATACTGCATCATTGCTGACATGCATGACAGATAAGAATCGTTCGTGACACCCATGCCGATGAGAAGGGCAACAAGAAGAAGAAGCCCCACCGCGGCTACGCCTTCATAGTGTTTGAACGCGAAAAGGACATGAGAGGTAATACCGCCATTGATATTCCCACGTCAACAACCCTGGAGCCTGCATGGCGAACCAATACCCCACCGAGACCATGGCCCTCAAGCTTGCCTGTCACGGTTCCCCTTTCCCCCCTCATCTAGTTCATCACCAAGGTATGCAGACAATGGTAAGGACGTACTGACACAAGCGCGTCTTGCCGCGCGCGTATTAGCTGCTCTAGAACAACTCGATGGCATCAGTATCAAGGGCCGCCGTATCAAGACCGATGTCGAGCGTGGCCGTACCGTCTCAGGCTGGAAGCCTCGTCGCCTCGGAGGTGGACTGGGTGGGCGTGGTTATACTAAGGCTATGCCAAGCCGCCCCATGGCCGGTCCCGGTGGTTTCGGTGGTGGCTTCCGTGGGCGTGGAGGCGGCTTTAGAGGAGGAGACCGAGGTGGCTTCCGCGGCGGTTTCGATCGTCGCGGCGGAGGCTTCGGAGGCCGTGACCGCGGATTCGGCGGACCACCAAACGCACCAAGCGGACCAGGAGGACCAGGCGGCCGATATGACCGTGATCGCCGAGATTACGGCGGAGGTGGAGATCGTGGTGGCGGCGGCGGCGGGTACGGTCGACGCGATGACGACAGAGGATACGGCGGCGGAGGCGGCTTTCGCGGGGGCGATCGATCCAGCTCTGGCAGCAACGCGATGCCGCTTGGTCAAAGGCACGGCGGAGATAGAGGAGGGGACCGAGACAGGGACAGGGATCGAGATCGAGGCGGCGACGGTTATCGCGACCGAGACTACGGCCGTGACGACTCGCGAAAACGACCATACGAAGGAGGATCAGGTTACGAAGGCGAACGAAAACTGCGCCGCTACTGATAACAAGACAGCCGCTCGTCTTGTGGTGGGTATCTTGAGTCCGCTAATTTCGCTTTTGTCGTCTTCACCTCTCTTGCCTCCTTGACATCAAGGGTAAGCCGACGGAAACAAGTCTTTCCACATTCTGGCCAGCTTCACCGTCCTTGTCTCAAGGTAAATTCCAACGGACCATCCAAGGATTATCGACACTGGCCACCCTCGGGACGCTTCATCCGGACAAAGTGGTCGTACACAAAAAGATGTGTCATCACACAGCATCTCCTGGGGCCAACACAGGTGTCGCTTTCGAATCCCAAAGAGCAGGTGGGCGCCGCACAGCAAGGACTAGGACAGGTAGTATTCTCCTTGTAAGAAGACGTGTATTTTTGTATCTGCCAGTCACGCGAAGGGGAAAACTGGAATAGCTTTTGAGGTAAGGTCAGAGGTAAGGACTGCAGATCCTACTGACTGGCCACGAGTTCTTTGCCAGCTAGGCGTTTAGTATTGCATGGTAACAAAAGAAACTGTAATGCATTTGATCATGTGGGAGAAATTTGCATGCGTAAGTAGCAAAACTGTATCATATGTTAAACAGCGTACAGCGAGGCATGTCACTAGGTGTCACGGGTGGACAGGGAGTCTGTGAATGCTGGCCCCCCACCTATAGCTTCGGACAATAGATATCATGATTTGCTTTTTCTTTTGGTCTCGTGTCTAGGCTTTGTCTGTAGTATGCGGTGCGTACTGCCCATTTTCCCTTTCCATAACGCCATGAAACCCAACATGCGATGGTATCTACCTAGATGAACGGACGCAGGGCGCGAGATCCTCTACTATTCCCTGTGTCGATTTATTCCCTCACCTACTCATCATCCTCATCCACACCCTCCATGGCGTTCTCGTCGGCCTCCTCGACCTCAGTGACGATGCCACTCTCGGATTCCCAGAAGCTAGAAGCCCAGCACTCGTCAGCGAATGATACACATCTCGCACAGGGACCCGGATAACACCAGGACTGGTGGTTTAGAGAAGACTGGAGTCGGGTTGTACTTACGCCAATATCTTGACCCTAAACTCGCTCAAGCACTGGTCAAACAGCTTCAGCAGCCGCGTCTGCCTCGAGTCGAGCGTCTGGCCCTCCTTGCAGACGGTATACCCCTCGCCGTCGCCGCCCTCCTCGCCAAGCACGACCTTGCCGCGGACCATGCGCGTCGGCACGCCCAGGCGGCGCAGCTCGGGCTCGATGGTGTGGCCGAGGGGCACGTCGTGCTCGGCGGGGACGGCGCCGCCGGTGGCGTACACCACGCCCTGGGGGATGACGAAGTCGCGCGAGGCGACGGCGCCGGCGCGCGCGAAGTCGACGGGGGAGAAGGACTCGAAGTAGGCCGTGATCTCGGCGGCGGGCCGGTTCGTGAACAGCAGCGCCACGTTGCCCGTCAGGTGCGCCGTCAGCTTGTGGATGCCGTCCGCGGTGGCGTCCTCGGGCGTCTGGCCCAGCGCGCGGGACATGAGCTTCGTCTTGCCGAAGAAGAGTCTGTTTGTGCGGGGCGGAAAACGGGTTCCCTCTCGTCAGCCGGCCTGCTTCTATCTACCACGCCTCCGTGTGTACAATGACTGGAGGGCGTGCGGCGAAGGTCTGGGGCCAAGTGACTTTCGACTTCTTCTTTTTGATAGGGAGAGGAGAAAAGAAGCCTGACGGTTGGAGAACCGCCAGGCTCTTTTCTGCTGGAGATTAGGAGTCTTCATCCGTACCTGGAGTCCGAGAGCTCGTGGCGCACGTCCTTGAGGTGGTTGTTGCGCATGTTGTCGAAGCCCAGCACGAAGCAGCGCTCATACTTGGGCACGGTGTCGCGGATGTCTTGGAACAGCTTCTCCTTCTGCTCGCGCGTCTTCTTATTCACCTGGGTAAGGTGATACACCTTGCTTCTCTTCGACTTGGGCATTTTGGGCGACGTGTGTGCGGATCTTGGATTGACAGTGACCTGATTCAATGGGGAAGATTGAAATGCGAGCGATTCGAGGTGGTCGAGAAATTCAAAAAGTCCGTAGAAAAAGTTCTTATCGGTGCTGCTGATAAGAAGTGGTCCACAGAAATCTAACAGGGGTGTCGGTCCCTGGACTGTTGGACTAAAGTGACTACCAACACTCAGGCACTAAATGGAATGAGCCAATGTGTACCACTACACAGTCGTATTCTACCGTGTCTCATATGTTGAGTGTGTTGCAATTTACACAGGGCCGCTCAAGAAGCAAGAACTACAGGCTCTTGGTCGTATCAAATTGGTGGAAGATACATTTGGGGACTGCCTCGAGAGTAGCGCTAAGCTGAGCATGGAGAGCGGCTTATAACAATGATAAAAGAGAATAACAACAGTCTTCCAGACTCTTGCCATACGTGTAAAAATCACGCGCATCAAGCCTTCTCGTTGTGCTTCCACCTAATAGACCCGGTAATATTGACCTAGCAGCACCCGTCTGTCTCACGGACTAAAGTGCACTCTGTTAGCACGACCTGGATTGTACTGCGAAGGCGAACTTTTACGACACGAGTCCATCGCGAGAATATTCAACCCTTGAACGAACTCAAGCGCCCAACAGAGCCTGCTCCTCGACCGAAGCACCATTGACGGGCTTGTTCGTGATGGACGCAAGCGAGACGCCAACGAAAAGGAAGGTTGCGATGGGAAAAGGATGCATTGCGATATTCCGGTCGAGAAAATAGAATGAGCTCTGAAAAAGTAACTAGATTTTAAAGTCTTCAGTCAAGCCAAGGTAACGCTTCAGAAACAGCATGTCTTTGCATCGATGCATTTATATTTGAGTGATTTATGGGACCTCTCCTTAGTCAGGCCACCATGGCACGATACCATCAATGGGAAGGAAAGATGACAACTTATCCTTTCAAGTCAAACGTTTTGGCACCACCCACACAAGCGGCCCCCCCCCCCCGGAAAGTATTTGTTGTGTGCATGAATCGCCAAACCTTTAATTTGTAACTAATCAGTCTTACAATGAAAACAGCTCTCCGGTGTGGCCGTCCTGCTTTACAATACCACTCAATAAGTGCTCCACGAGCAATCACTACCATGAAATGAAGGCTGTGGTTTTGGTCATGACTGTGTCCTTCCAGCTCGCGGCTATGGCCTCTATGATCTTCTTAGAACTTCGGCCAGAGACAGTCGAATTTCCGGCTCTGTCGTTGGTTCGTTGGTTTCTCTCCGTCATCCCGTCTGAGTCTCAAGTTGTTGGCCACTTCACCTCTCGCTGGCCTCTAATGTAATCCAACCTGTTGGATTGAGCTTGTGACGAACGGTGATCAGTATAATTAAAAGGCATCCAAAATCATGGAGTATGTTAATGGTGACATGTGTGATTTTGAAACTATTTACCTTCAGTCCAGTTTTCTTCAAGCGCTGCCGTTTTGGCACATTTTTGTGCTCAATTTACATGAAATATCGGCCCGGCAAAACCAATTTCCCTTAAAAGAGATGCCGCTGAAGATCAATTCTTCTGGATATGTCCTGTGTTCATCTCCATAATGGATAGTTTGGGACCTATTTTCATATTTGAGAAAGAAAGAATCCTTAATAGCGATTTCATTTTAAGGGGCTGTAAAAGAAGTTCAATATGAACTTGAGGTCAGACGAATGACCAAAAGTATAGTCTGTAGTGCTCATTTAATATGACCAAGTTGTTGCTCAAACCAGAAACGCGCCTATAGCCCTGAAGGGCCCGTTCAAGCGCCAGCCATGCGACAAGTCGCAGCAGCTGTAAACCAGCGCAACTTCTGCAAAAGCAAGCCTTCACAATGCACGAAGATGCACACGCCGTCACGACGAAGTCTTCATTCCAGCCATACCAGTAACACTGACAGTCATGACCATTGCCCAAGTGCCAGGCTCTAAATCTACGCACACGTTTGTGTATGTGTGTGCATGCTCCCAAATCAGACCTAGTACGCCAAAATGCACCCATCCATCCATCAAGGTCATCAAAAATCCCCGGAAAGACCCCATGCAGCGAAAGTTCCCGAAGGCAATGTGATCAAGCCAAGTACGTGTACGCATTACCCTCACGCTCCAGGTAGTCCTTCTCAATGAGTCTGCAAGGGAACAATGTTAGCGACCAGACGAGATTGTCATCGTCGAAAAATGTCAAGGCACTCACTTCTCAATGTTCTGCTTGATGTCCGCAGGGTCCATGGCGCCCCTGCTCTTGGTCTGGTTGATGACCTCGGCAACAAGCTGGGCGTGCGCCATGGTCTTGCGGCTCTTCATGACGCGCACGATGGCTGCCTGCGTCTCGAACTGGCGGTCGGCGGCAACGCGGCGGTGCGTCTCCTGGTTCTCCTCGGCGGTCTCCTTGAGCTGGATCTGGTTGATCTTGACACGCACCATCGGATGCGTAAAGGTGCGGTTGAACGAGAACGTGTCCGTCTTGGCGATGTCCCTGCCCTTGGGGTGCTTCGTTAGCACCCGCACCTTGCCGCACGCCAGTGACTGCAGCGTGCGCTCCAGCTCCCCGCCCGACAGATTTGTCGCCGTCGCGATCTGCTCGTACCCCAGCACCCCTTCTGGCGCTTGGTTGAAGAGCACGAGCACGCTGGCCTGCATCGCGCTCACTGCTAGGTCCTTGGTGCCCTTGGGGAAGTAACCCTTGACCATGCAGTGCGCCAGGTTGTGTTTCCAGAAGAGCTTGCGGCCTGTGTGCTTGTTCTTGTAGAATGCGTCGTACTGGTCAATTTTCTCGGCGACTTCCTCCGGTATCAACATCTTGACGTCGGGGTATGAAGGCCACGCTGCTTGGGACAGCACGCTGACCGTCAGGTCGACACCGCTTCGTTCTCTGCCGGTGGCGTCTAGCCAGCCTTTGTAAGTATCCATTTCCTCCTTCGCTAGCGCCATGTCCTTGAACATCTGCTCTAGGTTGTGGGTGAAGCTCGAGCCACACTCGCTCTTAAGCTTGGTGAGCATGCTGCGCTCGGCATCCTGACTGGCACTCCGCCCCATAAGTAGCCGGCGGGCCAGATCTTTCTTGTAGAAAGCTTCGAAAACGTCCTTGCCTTCGATAAAACGGAACAGCTCGAGCGCTGCGTCCAACTGCCGATCCAGTTCGGCATCCTCGTCGCCTGTGCTGGCCTGGCCGCTCCTCTCAGCCTGACTCCGGTCTTTGCTGTCTGAGATAAGAGATTTTGGCAGAGCCTTGATTCCGCCTCGCAGCAGCATGTCAATGTGCTTGGCGATCATCTCCCCGACTTTGGAGGTGCCAGTACCCCACGACGATGATATCTTCTTGTCGTTGATGAAGACTGTGAAGGCTTCTCGAAGACTGTATGTGAAGACTTCATCGCCACCGAATGCATCGCGAATCATCGTGTCCATAGAGCGCCTGAACTCTAGCAAGCGGATGACCATCTCGTCGCCCTTCTCTGTATCATTTACTATCCTCGCACCCGCCTGTTGGATGTACTCCTCCCACGGCCCCTTGAGTTTCCTCGGGATGTTCGATAGACACAGCAGCGAGTACAGCGCCTTGACTGAGCTTATGTCGTTGTCATCCAGTAACCTCGAAACATCGCCTTGGTCTAGCAGCACCGCGCTGTAGTTTTGTATGAGGATCTCGTGAGCTTTCTCAAGCAACAGCACTTTGGTCGTGCTGTCAAAGTTGTATGTGTTGCACCTGTAGTCTTCCCGCTTGAGAAGCCTCTCGCATGCTGAGATATACGCCCTCAAGCCGTCATTGCTGTGCTCGGCGGCAAAGTCCGTAAAGTATTCTTCGGACTGCCGCAGGAACTCCCTCTCGAATTTGCTGCCGTAGACACCAAGCACCTTCAGCATATTGATGGAATCATGCAGGAGCGTCTGGTCGGACGCCACATTGCCTCGGCGGTCGTGTTCCACCAATTGGCACATCCCCAGAACCACCTTCTTCCCACTGTCTGACTCTTCACTCCCCGCTGCCGAGTTGAAGACCATCTTGCGGAAGAGCGACAGAAGCAGGTCATTGATGGATTGGTACTTCTTGTTGTTCAGCAGGAACGAGCGGTCGAGAAAGCTGAACGTCGAACGGATGGTGATGAGGGTCTTGTTGAAGGCCGCCCATTGCGTTCTCACCCGCAGCAGCACATCGATGTTGGACGCCATGCCGCCTTCCTTTATCTTGGCTAGCACATCGCGGTACAGGTGCTTCTCGCACTCTTGCTTGAGCACGCTGAACAGCTTGTCCCCTTGGCCCCGCAGGCACAGGTCCTCCACACCGCGGTACACCCTTTCCAGGGGTACGCGGGGGACCTGGCCGTTGAGGATCGACCGCAGCGCAGTCTCGACGTTATCCCACGTCTTCTTGTAGTAGTCCTCGACATCGGCGGCCGTCTTGGAGCTGGTCCTCAGATTCTTGATGACGATCCGCCTGGCACCGGACAGCGGCTGGAAGCCGGCCGCGCCCTCAGGCTTCTTGCCCATGGCCTTTGCGCTCATCGTGGCCGTGGCCATGGTGTTGATGGAGGCGGCAGAGGTTGGTCTGAAGGCTGTTGGGGGCGCGGTCTCTCCGGAACGGATGCGCTTGGGGTCGGGAGCGGTTCGCGACTGGGAGGAGGGAATAGAGTCGACTCGAGGGCGGCGTCGGGATGGGGGCGATGTGTGGCGGTGGTTGTCGGGGGTCGAGCTGTCGGAGGGTCCCTCGGTTCCCAATGACCTTGACTGCATGCCCAGGCCCCGGCGGATCCAGCTGCAACAACTCGAGCTGTTGTCGCACAGATCCTGGTGGGTATGTTAGGTTACTTCTTGGCTGACGGGTGCTGCTTTAAGTTTCTGTGAGATTCAGGTGACCAACCAAAGTACTAGGTGTGGAGATGGAAAGGACCGAGTCTTCTGCACGTAAACGCGAGCTGAAATTACATACGAACAAAAGTAACGAAGCAAGGTCAAGACCGGTCAATGACGAGTGGGATGACCCGATGAGGGTGGTCAGTGGTCAAACGGAGTTAAAGAGCTCCCCCACATCTGCTCCGCGCCTTAACGCGACCGATAAGAAGAGCTGGGGCTGACCGTGCCGAGGGCCAACGACATCCCTCATCACTACCCACCTTTAGAGACTAGGATACTATAGCATACCTACTCATTCTCTATAACGTCAGCCCTAACTCTACCGTTACTCCATCAGCGACGTATCTATACTTGTGTGATCTCTGCTTCTTTCTTTTCTCGCCGAGACTATGACCGTGATGCCCATGGTTGAAACCATTCACTGATATTAGAGCCCATTATATGTACAAAGTACGATGGCCCAGCTAATTCATACAATCTCCCTGTAAATCCCAGTCCCAACAGCCGTGTGAACCGCCCAGGATGTCTGTATCAAGCATAAGCTGCCCACCCAGAATACAACACTGCCAGGTTCCTCTCATCGGTCGCCTGGTTGATGAGATCGTTCACCGTCGCCGTGACGCTCAGTGTCTTGGACAGCTTCTTCCTGACCACCTCCAACGCCCGGTCCGCCTCAGATGGTTCGTTCACCACGCTCTTCTTCTTCTTGTCCATCCCCGCGCCACCGCCTTCACCCTCGCCGTTCCCTTCATCACCCTCCTCCGCTCTCCTAGCCGCCCCCTGCAGTTTCGCCAACCTCATAGGCGTCGAGCTCCACGAGTAGAGCGGGTCGTACCGCAGGACGTCCAGGATTGTCATGATCGAGTATGTGTCCTCCCTCAGCGCGTCGAGCGTGAATTCACAGCACCTCCGAAACACTCCGTCTGTCTTGGTCACACCCATGCCGTCGACTATGTCGCGTGTCATGCGGAAGGGTACGACCTCAGGCACCGGCAGGATGCGGCCTGACTCGAATGCCACGCCGAGGTCGATGTGCACCACTTCACCTGTCTTTTGATCCAGGAGGATATTGTGGCCGTGCCTATCACCGAGCCCAAGGACGTGCCCGAGGATAGATATGGCGGCTGTCGTGCGCGTGTACGCAAGGCGCTTGACGTACCAGTCGTCCGGGTCGGGGAATGACTCTATGAAGAAGTATCGCATCACGGGATGGAACTTCTCCGTGACCTTACGGTACGTAGAGACCCTCATGTCGTTAGTGCGGCCGGCGACGTTAGAAATCTCTTTCCTACAAAGATTGCCCTTCATATCTTTCGGATGATATCGTTCATGCGCTGGCATGAGCCAGTCGTGCAACGGTACAGTGTTGGCAACGAATTCGATAAGGCCAGACCTGTTTGTGAGTGGTAGTACTTTGTAGGTCCTAATACCGAGGTTCCGTTGCCTGGTTGTCCGATGCTGCTTCAGCAAGGAGGACACAGCAGCAAAGACTTGCTCCATGATTGCGTCTTGTCGAAGGTCGTCATTACCGCCCTTGACGAGCTGCTTATACCTCTCTCCGTTGCTGGCGACCACAGTGATGATTTTTGGAGCACTGACACCGGATGCAATTGATATGGTAGGCTCCAGTCTCTCTATCACCGGAACCGTGGAGTAATTACTATCGGCGCGTAGCTCGACTTCCAGTGTTGGCGGCGGGATGGGATATTTTGCAAGGCACCTCGAGAGGGTGGATGCGTATGGGGAGTCTTGGACCTTGATTTTAGCCCCGCTTCTGTATCGATCGCTCTTCTCCTTAGCCAAGTAATGATAGCATCCGCACGCTTTCTTGATCGCATCCCACGTGATTGCGACGCCACCTTTCTGGCGTTCAAACTCTTCCACTAGCCTGTTCGCGGCATCCTTGCGCAGCACGGCAACTTCATCCTCTGGGTTCGGATTCGTCCTAATTCCCGACCAGATCTGATACATGCCGTGGTACGGATGATCGAAGCAGATCCGACAGACCAAGTCCCTCAGCAGGGTCTGGAAATGGCTCTTATCCAGCTGCAAACGTGAGCTTAGCTGGTTCATGAGTGATGCGAATTTACGGGTCGGTACGTTCCTGAGGAGCTGATGAACGGCCATGTTTGCAACGTCGGTCTCTGAGCGCTCCAGCCAGAGCGCGGTAAACCTGAGGGCATCGCTGTCGTGGTCATCCGAAGCAGACAGAGACTGGAGGTAATTTTCAAGGCTGAGTTTCACAAACTCGTTTCGGGTCCTTTCAGTGCGCTGGAGCTCGGTTTGGTCGAGAAGCAGGTATTTCTCGGCTGTCCTCTGATACCTGTCATACTGGTCCTTGAGTTGTGAACTTTTGGCCGATCTGAATTCCTTCTTGTAGTGCTCCACTTCGTCCGCTTTGGTTTGGACCAAACGCTGAAGCCTGGACAAGTCCTCAAGCATGTCAGGGTCTTGCAGCTGCTCATCACAAAACACCGCAAATTGGTGGAAAACTTGCCCAGCCTCCTTGCCCGAGCTTTTGCCTTTCAGCTCCTTGAGAGCAGGCTCGAGGTATTTCTTCTGGATGCTGTCGGCTGTCTCAAGCTTTGCGACTGAGACCTGATATCCAATTTTGGACAGCAAGTCAGCGTGCGTGACGGAGATGCTTTGTTTTCTCAGAGACGAAGGGTTCCCCTGAAGCCCTTGCAGGAGTCTGATGGACGGAATCATCTCTCCATAGTCCCAGAACGAATTGGCAGTCTCCAGCGAGACAGCTGCATCGATATTCAGACCGATGGATTCACTCGAGCTAACAAGGTCTGTCAACCTAGTCGATATATTCAGGGATTCTTGCCTTGAGCGGTGGAATCGATAAATACTTGATGACAAGAGCATGCTTCGAATCTCGATTAGTCGAGCTTCTGGTGAAGTCAGATTTGACGTGCTCCGAAGCACGTCTTTTTGGCCGAGAACACTGAATGTCGTCTCGCGATGAGATAGAATTTGGCTGACGTCGTCGTATCTATGTTTCGGTTAGCAACTTCTGGATGTCCTTATCGATGCCGATGTCACATACCTTCCACTCATCATCCACGTTGACCGCGCCTCGAAGTCAGACAAAACTTTCTCAAGCTCAGCAAAGTCGGACACTCCTAGGACATCGTCTAATTCGGTGAGGGCGGCAAGGGTACCCAAGTGTTGGCGCAAGTCAGATACCCTCAAGTTCTTAGTGGCAAGACTCTTCATTGTTGTCGCTAACCCGTCCTGGACAGCAAGCCTTGCAGGTTCCATTTCCACAGCCTTGTATATAGACTGGTATGCCCTATACGATGTGGCGGCATGATTCTCAAGGCTCGGGGGCGCAGGAAGGTTCCAGATCTCTAGTCTTCTAGCCGTGGTGAAAGTGCTATCCAAGGAGGCGGAATCGTCATGATGCTGTTGAATCTGGAGCAAAGAATTGGAAAGCCCGGACAATCCCAGACCACTGAGAATTTGGACGAGAGACTGCCCGTCACGATCTGCTTCGGGATCTCTCATGCGCAAATGGCTGTCATACTGAGATCCTCGGAATGCTAGGCTCTTCCCGCCCTCCTTTTCGTACTCGATTCGTGCCAGAACGTTGGACAGAGACGCGGTGCGATTCAATCCATAGTATGCGTCTGGATCGTCAATGTTTTCAAAGACCTTAAGCAAAGTCTCAGAAGAGTCCTCTAACTCTCGAGAAGCTGAAGACCGTCGCGAGCTTCTCGTTGGCTCTGAGGAGGCTAGTTCTGCAAATAGCAAGGCAACCTTGAACATGCCACATCTTGTGGCCGCCTCTGCCACAGTAGCCAGGTCCATGTCAAGCCAATGTGACCTATCGGCGACAGAAATCTCATTCGGGAATGTCCTCGTCCTCAAGTGGAGTATGACGTTGATGAGAAGCTTAATGTTGTCATTGGCAACTGGCGAGGTCGACTTTAACCATGCTTTGAGGGCAGTGGATAGCCCCCGTTTTAGCGGCCTCTGGCTGTTGAGCTCCTCAAGTAACACCAAGTGTACAATGAAAGGCAGCGACTGCTCAGCAAAGCCATCGATCTCGGCTAGAATGGAGGGCAAGGTCGTCAACACTGCGCTGCCTTTCATAGAGCATGCGAGATAAATGGCTGTGTCCCGAGCCCAGGAGGATGATTCTATCTTCTCAGGCTGGAATGCATCGACGTTGGCATATTTGATCTCACCATTGTCTGCAGGCGGTGTCTGGTATTGCAACCAATCTGAGGACGCAAGGAGGGTTTCTGGCAGGCTTCGACTGGAGTCAGCGATTAGATCGTTATCCTCTGTAGAAGATGCATGAGACACAATTCGTCTTAAAGCGGACTCCGCGAGACCAGCCTGGGCTGAATTGTCGGTCATCGTCAGATTTGCTAACAGCCTCAGCAACCCGTGCACAGAATCGCCGTTCGTACCCATCGTCCTTTGGTAGGTTGACAACTCTGACTCCCTCAAGACATCGAGAGGGATGCTACCAGATGCCGCAAAAGACGTTCCCACTACTCGTCCAGCCCAAGTGAGATATTCCTTGCTGGAGTTGACTGTCTGGCAACTCTTCCAGATCATGGGTCCATGTGCACAAGCGTCCTCATCCTTGTCGATGATATCGTCTCTATTGGCTTTCGGGATCTTGAATTCACCACAAAGCATTCGCAGAGCCAATTCCCGGGCAGACTCGTTGAGCAATTGGTCCTGCTGTTCGGCATCCTTGAGTATTTCAAGTAAAAGTCTGCTCTCCTGTGTGTGTTTCTGAGAGTTTCCCGAGGACCGGATGTTGGATGCTGACTCAATGATGGCCCTGAAAGCCCGAGCCTGTGTCTCCGACTTGAAAGCAGACGATTGGTATTCCTTCAGTAGCTTGACAAACCAGACGTGAAAATTCTGAGCCTTGCTCATCGTCGACTTGAACTGACTCTCTTGTGTAGAACTAGCTTGACTGGATTCCAGAAACATCCTCAGACTAGCCAATGTAGACAAGGCGTACCCGGCTAGGAATGAAGGTGCCTGTGCCAAGTGAACTGAGCCTTTGGCTATGAGCCAGTTGCTCATGGCAAGACCCTCATCTGCGCAGTGTGAGTTCGAGAGAAACGGCCTGATTGACCGTAAGAGCATTTCGAGTGGGTATGAAGACGTCGTCTGCAGACCGGCCAGACACACCAGAATTCGGACCTTGCGGACGACTGACAACGCATGCAAAGGCCCAAGAGCTGGATGAATAGTGTTCAGCAGCCTCCGCGCCACGGACGTAACAAGAGGAGGCGTCCACAGAGACAAAACATCGTAATTAGTTCTTCTGACCAGATGGGATGTTGCCCGGACAAGATATTTGCCCTTGAACATGGGCTGCTGATTAGGCCCGAGAGCTGTTGAGGATTGTCCGCAACGCTTGATCTCGTCCATGAAGTCCGCAGCGTACGAAAAAATTTCATCCTTGCGCCAGGAGTCTTCAATCGGACCCTCTTGGTCGATGACATCGCAGAAATGACCGATGATATCTGCAAAAGTACGATAAATCCGATCGAGGTATGGCTCCTTGCCAAGCAGCTTTCGGACTCGAGATTCCGAGGAACTCGAAGAATCTTTAGAAGAACTGAGATCATGCATAATTGAATACGCCATGATCTTGGAAAAGCCTTCCTCAACCAACTCCACAGGCGTTACCTTCAATCTACTGGCCAAGCCCTTCACTGCTTCGTCTTGGCCACGCATGATCATGTGAGCTGTAGCTTCTGTCTTAGCTCGCTGCAATAGGTCATCGAGACTACCAAAGTCAAATATGCTGAAGGGAATATCTTCAAATGAGTCCTTCTCAAGCCAGGTGTAGAGAAGCTGAGGAGCGAACAGTTGAAAGAGTTCCTGAGGCGACTTCAAAGATCTTGCCAGTGAAACCATCTTCATTCCGCGATTGGCGTACTTTGCAGAGCCGGTAACTTTCCCAGACGTCTCAACAATATGGTAGACACATCGTCGTAGCAGCGTTGGGCACTTGCAACCAAGGCCAGCCAAGACAAAGACCCGCAAACCTATTCCCTCCATCACCTCCGGATCGGTCGGCAACGCGTCTAAAATGTCGACAAAAATGTCCTCGTGAGTGCTCACCACAAAGAACTCGAAGATCCTGGTCAGCCTTGGGGCGATGTAGAATTTCGCGCGCATACTCCCCTCCCAAAAAGGGCCTGGTCGAGGGTCACGAACTTCTGAGCGGGTGTTTCTGAGGCTTTCGGGTGTTGAGAGCAGGGTCTTGTGAGGGGGCGACACCAAAGATTTCTTGTCTTTGTGGAATTGGGCATTTATCTCCCATAAATGCAGTAGTAAACCTGAGTACGACACCTGGACATCTGGGGACATCAAATTATGCGGCCAGACTGACTTCACCAGGATATTGTACAGATCCACAAATGGGTTGACAACGTCAGGGTCGCCTTCGCCCATGGACCAGACGGGTGCAAAGGATAGAAGCACGTCCATCAGCATACACAAGGCGACCTCGCATGTCTTGAAGCTGTCCTTGAACACGATCGCCGCAGTCTGCTCAACGATATCCCTGGCATAGTTGGAAACATTGCCGAAATCAGATTGGAGAAGTTCGACAAGGAACTCTCTGCAGAGAAGATACTGATCGTCTTCGAGCGACAGGAATGTGTCCATGAAACTCTCAGGAATAAGCCCAACTTTCCCGGGGTCGCTGTAGTACTCGGAAAAGAGTTGGAGCCTTATTTTCGTCGTTTCGTAGAAGGCATTAGCGCTCATGCTTGATGCGACCTTTTGCCTAGGAGCGACGAAGCCTTTGTCGCCAGGCTTCTTCCTATTGTCTTGCGACTCGAACTCGTCATCCACGTCCATAGCATCAAGATCCTGGTTGGGCTTCTGTCGACTGCGCTGCTCATCGATCATCCCTGACAGCCTGGAAAAAAGTCGCAAAAGGTGTGGCTCTTTGCTGCAGAATTGATGCACTCGCGACGAGTCCAAAGGAGGGATGTAAGGAGCAAGCATCGCCAGTAGCAACTCAAAAGATTCGCCGCCTTCGGATGATGCGACAAGCATCTGGAAGTATCTATCCCACAGGCTTGAAAGGGTCGTATTGATATCGTTGACCGTCCGATGGTCCACAACTTCGAGATGGGAAAGTAGGATGTTGCTTGAAATTAGGCATACTAGCAGGCTCCGCAACCGATCAGTAGACATCTGAAATATCGCATCGTTCCCACGCCGAGTGCCTGCTTGGGAAGAAGGCTCTAAAATCTCGACGAAGTCGACTAGCTTGGGATGGAGGAGATCCAAAACAAGCGTCTTGGACGTCTGAGAGCTTGACGGCTGGGAGTTGGAGATCTCGTTTGACTCTGAGAACTCCCCGGTACTATTCTCATGCCAACTTTCTGTTCGATGTCGACTTAGTGCTGATGTGTCGTCCTCACTTAGTAAAAGCAGGTATCGCGTCATTGGAATGGTGTCTTTGTAGCATTTCCAATATTGGCTGAGACTACTGCCCACCAGCCCCGTCTGCGGCGGCAATTCAAATTGAGGCAAGCCACAACACGAAAGGAGGAGATTGACTAGATCAATCGGTACTAGATCACCAGCAAGCGACGAGGCGTAGGTTACTTCCGCTGGATATTGTTAATACAGGGCGGAGATCGCGTGCCACAATATCGCTTGCAGATGTTACGGGGATTGTCTGCACTTACCAGGTCGCCACATAGTGAATACCCATCTGATCACGTAGCTGTATGTTTTTTGGCTGGCACTAGGGACCATAGAATTGCGAACGTTTGCTAGACAATGCATAAACACCAGGGATGAGTCGAGCAGAGCAGCCGGGCCGCATATATCGGCCATCGTCACTATGTTGTTGACATCATTCGCTATTGCATGATGTGAAATCAGCCGCGTCTGGAGAATGACATGAAGCAGTACGCAAGCTGCTCGGCAAGTGCTGGGAATGCTGATAGATCTGACGGCCAACTGCCATACTTGTTTCCACCGGGCCTCGGTGTTTTCATCTTTCGCCTGCGACTGAAGAGCACAGCTGTTCATTGTGAGTAAACTGCCTAGTCAAGCCAGCAAACGAACGAAACATACCTAGCACATGCTATCATTGCCCAGGACGACAGAGGACCTTGCTTGTCGCCGATCATGGGCAACAAGTCCTCCATGACGGTTATGATCTCCTCCTGGTCCAGATTGCTCAGAGGCAAGAAGAAGGGCAACAGTTGCAGCGAAGTCAATTTAGTTGCGACGTTTGATGCCAACATTTTCTGGTGTATTCTATTGGAGCCTCCAGCGCGACGTTGCCTCTTCCTTGGCTGGCTGTCCTGGGTCGTCAGACGCTGCGAGTTGCTTTTGGAGTGTCGCAAGAAGATGAACTCAAGGCGAGACATGATCTCAACCAGAGCCCAGCGGCGTTCAGCGTTTTGATTGAAAGGCTTTAGAGCGAACATATCGGTAGCGAAGTGTCCAGGTGAAACCTTGAGAGAGGAGAAGGTCACATCGTCGAGCCGCAGGCGCGCGCGAGAGTTACGTGAAGAGTATTCACCCCATAGTTCGTCCAAGAGCTCTTCAAGCTGCTGAAGGAGAACAGCTGATGGGTCATCCTGCAGCAGATAGTCCAAATAGACACTAATTGCATGCATGGTCTTGAGCATTTCATCCCGCACCGAGAACTGAAGTTCATCTTTGTCGAGGGTCCGGCGCTGCCACCAGTAGCCAAGGAGTGGTACCAGCTCCCGTGTCAGATGCTGGCCGAGGGCAGGGTCATCACCGGCCGTTTGTAGCAAAATGTGGTTGAGTATTGAAAAGGAAAACCTGTGAAGCTTGTCCAGATCAAAGCGCAGCCGCAAGACCCGCAAAACTGCATTGGTCACCTCTTGACGCTTCGACATGCAAGGCGCATTCGGGGCTGAGACTAGAGACTGTAGACATTGTAGAAGGGATAAAATGTCATTTCGCTGGACTTGAAATGCACCACGCTGTGAGCCCAGCCGCGAGCGCGCGCTCGAAGGGCCGACCGAGGAGTGACGAGCGGTCCCAGGAATAGGTGAGTCCCGCCCAAGAAGGCTGGAGGCTGGGGCGGAATCCGCGGCATCCAAAAGGCTGCAAATCCTGTCCACGAGGAACACGACGCACTGTTTCCAGCCACTGGCATCTTTCAAAGCTAGATTTTCGACGTGTGTAGGATTGTCAAGTAGAATGACAAGCGTCTGCATGTAGTCCTGTGCGAGAGGCTCAAAGAAGTATCCATCGTGGGTGGGAAGTGTGTCTGTAATATGGTCGATGACCGCTCTCACGGTTTTACCCTTGAATTTCGAAACGCCGTGGGCGACGGTCTCACGCAAGGCCTTGCCACAGTAGCCAAGTCGTTCATTCGCCTTCCCAATGCCTTTGCCACTCAGCAACACCGTTCTATCAACCAGGGCTGCATGGAACAAAGCTTCACAGATGCTGTGATATTCCTTGTCCTTTAAAGCATCGCTAAGAGGCCATTAGCTTCAGATCGAAAGGGTGAAATACAGATTGCTTACTGCCTCAGAGAAGGGTTCCCAAAGAAAGAGATCAAGTCTGTATATGGTTCAGCTTTTTGCCACACGTGACCAAGATGATTGGCGACGGCAAACCTTGCAGAGCTTCACTACGAGCTGTTACTGCAGTGCCGGTGATGTCGGTCTTCAACTGCAGTATATTTGTGACCTGAGGTCTCAAGACCCCCTTCCGCGGCGGCATGGTGAGAACCAACTGTGGTAGAGTTCATCAAGGCGAGGCGAGTGTCCGAGAGGAGAAACTTTCTCCACGAGGACAATGGTTCAAAGGCGGGAGCAGAGGGATCAAATCTGGCGGCCAGTTGCACAATATCAACGACAGCACGCCCCAGTCAATGTGGTGTTGGGTGAGCTGCGACAGGGCGAAAGTCGATGAACCATCCTTAAAGACGAGACTACCCACTATGGGACGGAAATAACGAAGGGCGCAGTTGCAACTTGACCTCAGATGCTGCGTCAGGAATTTGGCTAGCCGGTGGTTTCAGTGCTGAAATCCTTGATGTCAAAGAAGGCAGCTGTAAGAGATCAGGCAGGAAGGATGCTGGCGTTGAGTGCACTCGGGATGCGCCTGCACTTGCATGTTTCTGGGGTGCCCCCTGTCACTCTACAGCTGGAGCTCCGACCACTCATCACCCCGACCCGCCCTTTTGGCCTGTGTGATTGGGCAACATCAACAAGGCTGCAGAAAGTCTAACGGACCTGTCCCCTGGGCTGGTGTGGACAGTCGAACCGCGTTGCCGCCAAATTTGTGTACAGTACGCGACAGCTTCCCTGCACCCAAAAGTTCGACAGCGTCAGCGCCTGCCTCCATCTGCTGGGCCGACAAGAACCACCGCCACACCTCAGGTCGACCCAGACCCGCCAGACCTTCTCGGCGGGAGCAAATTCAAGAAATTGCGATGCGTTGAAAACAGAACAGCAGAGCAGTTCATCATGGCCGAAGTCACTGCCCTGGACGGCCTCGAGGCTCTCCATCGAGAGCTGGTCGCAGTCTGTGAACATCGTTTCGAGAGCCTCCACATCCTTGAGCAGGAGCTCGATGCCCACGCCGAGGCATTCAAGAAGCTCCTCGACAAGCGACCAAGGAGCAATGCCAGCCGGAATGCCGTCAAGACTGGTCCGTCGCACACGCAAGAACCTTGAATGATCAAAGGACATTGCTAATGAGGGCTGCACAACAGGAAAGATTACGGTCGAGGACGACGAGTACTCTATCAACGCGGAGTTCCAAGAGATGGCGCTGCAGCTGGCCGACGAGTTAGACCTTGATGAGGTAGATTCGGCAAGACTACTTCTAGACTCCCAGGAGGACACTCGAACCCTTGGCCGCCCACTGCTGGAGTGTGGTGTGATCCGATTCCACCAACAACGCAGGTACTTGCTCGACTGCATGCGACTCTGTATCCAGATACGAACCTCCGACGACGAAGAGCTCGAGTCTCTGCAGGATGTCTTTGGCACCTACGTCACCGACAACATTTATGGCGGAAGAGCAAACAGCAAGATCGTTTCGAGGTGCATGGAGGCGATGCAAGAAATCAAGGGCTGGTTACAGAAGCTTGCGGATCGAATGACCACTGCGAACGTCGTGTACGCTGGCGCTGCCCCTCGGCTGCCTTACCACGAGGTGGTCGAGTTTTCCCGAGTCAGCCTGACCCAGCAACATGAGTTGCTGGCTTTGATAATGGCCAGCGCGATTGAGAAACGTCACGCGCAAGTAGACGACTTCAAGAACCTCCTCAAGCACCTTCAGAAAGCGGATCGTTACGATCAAATGCTAGGTATGAGCCGTGCCGGGGGATGGTCTCAACGCACCCGCTGACTTGTCGCAGTCCACTTTTTCCCTGTCATTGGCGCCTACGTCTCTTGTTTTGGATCAACCGAGGGGAGCACCTCTGTGGAGGAAGGCGAGCAGTTGAACAAGTTGATTTGCAAGCCGTCCGATGATGACAACTGGATCATGCCATATCTTCATGCTGCAGTCCAAGTATGGTGGATTGCCGAGTACTCTGGCTGGTTTACACAAATTGGCGAGACAGGGCGTCAAAAGTTTGGTATGCATCACCTCTGAGTTGCTACTTTGTGCACACACTTATATGGATACAGACGAGGAGATGTTCTTCGGACCATTCACCGAGGCCATGAAAGCTGGAGCCTTCGACTTCATTCTGTCCGTTGCTGCCGATGTGAAGACACTGGAATGGCAGGATTCTGGACGGTTGGGAATACGACACTGGCTCCAAAGAAAGTCTCCATCCCTTCTCGATGCTGCCCAGTTCTCGGATTATTTCCAGTCCGTCCTCATGGTCCACCTCGAAAATCTGGTTGAGGGCCTCATCTCAAATCTCCCAGATGCGCTACGCAGGATGCGAAGTGAGGAAGATGAACAACGTCAGCTCAGTCAAACCCATGAACAGGACTTGGATCTGGAACGGTTCCTCTTGATAATCGCCTATGCATATGAAGGGCGGCCTGACGCAGCCTCGGCCTTTTGGACAGACCCCGACAGCAACCTAGCGGGTTTTCTGCACTGGGCGTCACGAAGAGCGTCCACCCCACTGGTCAGCGCCTTCTGTGAGATGCTGCAGTCCATCTCAGATGACGATACTTGCGCTACGGCTGCCCATAACTTCCTTTTGGATGAGGGTCAACCGGCATCTGGAAAGATGCGTAAAACTCTGTCACTCACGTGGGCTCAGATATTCAAGGAGCTTCATTTTTTCACGGTAAAGCTCCGCGAGAGGCCTTCTACGTCCCAATCACTCACCTACCGCTCCGGGAAGCCCCCACCCGAACAAGCTGAAGCCGAACCAGAATCAGCAATGATGTTGGAATGCTATCTCAGACTCATCACCAAACTATCATCACAGAGTGAAGACGTCAGGACTTTCCTCCTTACAGATGACTTCAACCTGGTCCAGGGGCTCTTTCTTCTGGCCAGTACCCAGATCCCCTCCCGTCTGAAGTCCTATACCTTTTACGCACTACGGGCGCTGATGAGCCGCAAAACGGAAGAGGAGTGCACCATAATGTGGGCAGTCCTCGACTCATGGGCGACTGGACAACATAACACGCCGCAGATGCAAGGACGTCAACCTGTTGGGCCATCCAACCAAACCCCAGCCGCTCAAATGCGAAGACAATTGCTCGAGCTTTCTCGTGGGTTTGATGAGCCAAATGCAATAGTCCAACTACTGAACTCTCTTGTCTCTCCTGTCAACGAGTCGTCGCCATTGAATGACGGTCTGCCTTTCCCAGAAGATTTGGGCTCCCAAGTCAGGATGCCGGGGATAGATCCCTACGTTGACTATGTCCTCGGCTTTGTCTTTGCCGATAATTCTGGAGCCTTGCAAGATACGACCCAGATGAGGATGCTGCGATTAAGTTGCCTTGAGTTTGCGCTGCTATGTCTCGACACGTTCAACGAAGACCTGATTGTGCTTGGCAATGAGACAAACATCCCCGTGGACTCGATCATGACGACAACGGATCTTGCTACCTACATCAGACTTCATCCATTCGCACGCGTCATGGAATGGATGTTGAACGAGCGAGTAATGGCCGCCCTTTTCGAAACAATAAATCAGAGGCACCAGGACGATGTCGCCCAGCTCGCCAGCGCTCCTCCAGATTCGCCGATAATACTGAGCACTCTGCGCGCTGTTGAAGTTGTCAGCAAAGTCCTCGACATGCAAGATACGTATGCGGATCTCGTGCGCCCACTTCTCAGGAACCAGCCATTAAAGCGAGAGCCAGTGGCCACATCGTATACATCTTTCGCTGATGGGATGATGAATCACCTTCCTTTGATCGTGAATCTAGGCCGATTTTGCGGGATGGGCCACCCGGCCTTGACACTGGCATGTCTGAAATTGCTGGAGAAGGTCTCATCATCGGCGAGGATAGCTTCAGCTTGGAACCCCGGCCACTTCGGACAAACCCATCGTAACAAAGCCATTGTGGCTTTGGAGTCAAACGGTGACGCTGAGACCATATCCGGATGCTTCATTGCAGAACTGGTAGCTCCTCTTGACCTGGCACGAGGAGCGGACTCACCCAACTACATGATCAAGTTATACATTCTTGACTTCATTTTTGCTTGTCTGCAAGCCACGCCTAATCAACCTACGATCGCCCATTTATTCCTGGGCTTCCAGTGTGGCATAGATTCTGTTTCAGTCGAGACCGAAGGAGACTTCGACTCCCGCACCTCCTTGTTTCACAACATGCTACGGGTACTTCTTGAGACACCATACGGTGATGAAGAGACGGGCATGTGGCGGTGGACGATTGAACTCAAGTTCAAGATCATGAGAATTCTCCGGATCCTTTGGATCTCACCTTTATCTTCATCCATCGTTCTGAATGAGCTCAGGGAGAATGAATTTCTCTTTCACCTCCTCCTCGGCGAAATACCCATCCAACCTTCGTTGTCTTGGGATGGTCAGCTCATGACCGGGCCTGAGTTCCTGGTAACTGAATCATCCATGACCTTCATATCCTTCCTCGCACTCCGCGCCATTACTCTCGAGTACGCCAGCATCGAGCTGTGCAGCGTTTCCCAACACAGACTACCGCACTTCAAACGACGGCTCATCGACGCTTTGAACGGACAGCTAAAGAGCGATGATGGCGAGTTGATGCCAGTCTCGAGCATCTTTGACCTGTTTGACTTCCTCCCGCCAGATGGCCAGCACTGGGAGGTTCCACCACCGCAATTCCAATACTACCGCGACCTCGACCTGAGGCCCTGTTTGACAGAAGATCAGGATGGCAATCCGGTCTACAACATCGAAAGGGTCAGGGATATACTGTTGCTGAAACGCAACGAGTTCGCCAGCCTCGGGCAGATCGCCGCCGAGAAGGACATAGACTTGATGGATAGGGAAGAGCTGCTCCTCGTGGAATTCCTGGAGTTCTCGAACCGGAAAAAACAATTGGGCTCTTTCCGCCTCAAAGTCCTCAGGTATTGGAGCAATGTGTTGCTTGTCATGTTTGAGTCAAACGAGTTTAAGGGCAGCGCACAAACCTCGTTCCTCCTTCAGGCACTCCAGGCGGTACTCCCAAGCTTGGAGATATATGCATCGGAGAGCCCAGACGAGGCATACGAGCTGGCGAAACTAGCCAAAATCCTTCTCTTCAAGATTGACTTCTCGACAACGACCTCCCAGAACGGAGACACCCCGAGAATCGGAGACTTGGTTAGCGACAAACTCTTCCAGCTCTTCCAGATCTGCCTGGCTGCGATCGGCAAGTGGGCCGGGAATTCGGAGCTACGCGCCCTCTACTACAGCATCTGCTATCGGTACCTCGCGGGCATCATCCAAAAGGACCAGGACTCCCTGCCTAGCCGCCACAAGGCGATCAAGTCAATACACGTGCACGGGGAGAGGCTCCTGAACGTCATCTGCGACGACGCCTATGGGAGCGACGCCGCGTGCCAGACGGCAGCCCTAATCCTGCTCAACGCTCTGGTCAAGGTGGGAAGTGTCGAGGACGACGCTTTCGTCGTGGAGAACCTGAACAAGCTGAACTTCATCGGAATCCTGGTCGACTCGCTCAGACCCGTCCTGGCAGAGTGGCTCGAGATCGTCCAAACAAGTAAGCCCACAGAACCAATCCCCAAGCAATCAAACCTTGCACACAGCGCAACCCAGCTAACAAACCACACAGGGAACGCCGACGCCGAGCTACTGTGGAACGCCAGGCTCGCCCTGATCCTCTCCATCTGCCAGACGCGCGAGGGAGCCAAGCACGCGCTGCAGGCGAATCTCTTCCACGCCATCGAGCAGTCGGGCCTGTTCGCGGCGGACCCGGAGCTCCTCGAGGCCGAATCCGGGTCCCGCGCCGGCGCCGGCGCCGCAGCCCTGGAGAGGCACTACGCGCTGCTGGTGCGCGTGGCTCGCGTCGTCTGCGCCGCCGTGCTCACCCGCGGGCCGCAGAGCAACGTCGCGCAGGGCCCCGCGCGCCGCTTCCTCTCCGAGCATAGGATGCTCGTCGTGCAGACGCTCAAGCGGAGCGCAGGCATCGGCGGGGCAGCTGGTGGTATCAATGGTGGCAAGGCGGCCGGCGAGGCGGCGCTGCTGCTGGAGGACGCGGTCGAGGAGCTCGCCGAGGCGTTCATGGTGCTCATTGCCGCGACGGGCTTCCTGGAGTTCGAGGAGGAGATGGCAGCGCCCAAGAGTAACGGGGTGCAGGCGAGGGGACTGCCGCCGGCCATGTTTCACTGATTCGTGGGCTAGGGGCGTTGTGGGCTACCTAGCGGGGTCCTTTCCAATGTGCGGAGGAATTTAGGGGTGGGTGAGTGGTGGTGAAAACAAGGTATGAATGAATGTACTGTTAAATTACCTGCGTTGGTCGACACATGAAGTGCATCGTGTTGGGAGTCAGCGAGAGACAAAAAGCGAAGGGGGACAGGATCTAGCTTCTAAGGATAGTAGATAGACGGCTTGGCCCCATGACACATCCACTGGATGATTACCTACCTCTGTGCCGTCATGAATGTGCACATGTCCCGACAGACTTGTCATGGAGGCCTACACCCCTTCTCACAAATGTTGTATGTCGAGATTTCCGAGGCACCCTTCGCTAGGCACAAGTGTTTGTACTGTTGATGCGGTGAAATATCCCTCAGGAAGATTGCCTCACAACGCTATCCCAGAGGAGGCTGTCCCATAAAGAGCGAGCCTAAGGTCAAAAAGAAAAATTCGATCATGGGGCATGTCGCAAGAACTATGGCATTATGTCTTTGTTGCTGTTTGTTGCTACCGAGGCGTGTGTTCTCGGGCTCCTCGTCGACGCAAAGGGAAGAAGCACACCTCGGGTATCTCTACCTATTTACCAATTGAGACAAGTCCGTCTTGCCAGCCCTGCCCCTACCCTAACCTTGGCCCCCTTCCCAGCCATGCAAGACGCCGTGCAAATGCAATAGGGGGTATTTGTTTCAAAACCATCGTGAATGCTAAATCATTTGTGGCGTACTGCCTCTCGGCTTGTCGTACACACTAACTTTGGGACTTCGTCTCTCGTGGGTCAGCGTCGAGCGGGCTGTTTTCCACTTTTCTTTGAAGGTCTGAGCTTCAACTCGAGGTGGAAGAAGGCCTTTGCTGGGGGCCTGGACTTCGAGGTCGACTTGTCCAATCTCTGGCGGCACATCGGGCAGACCTTCTTTGTGAGTTCTGTATGCATGGCCTGGTGGAGGCATTGGGCGCAGAACATGTGGCCTGTGATTTATGGTGAGCATGGAATAAACTCGTGTGGGCAAGTGTGCCAGGCAAACGCGTAGGAACATACCACAACATGTGACTGTGAGGTTGGTGGCTGCGTCCATGCAAATAACACACTCAAATGTGGAAAGCTTGATGCTACTGTCCTTCACGGGCTGGAAGAGGTGCTGAGGCACCGCATCTTCGGACTTGGTCAAGTCGTAGAGCTCGACCCCGCCTTGTTCACCATCTCCGTCGAAGAGGCTGTCGATATCGTTGTCGTCAGACTCGATTGTGACCGCCGCCTGCACAGGGGTATAATGCCTAGAGGTTGCAGGTCGTGGGGTGTTTCTCGATCGGCCTGGCGTGGCCGCTCTGTGTGCAACCGCTGTGCGGGCTCGCTTGGGTGCAGATGGGCCATCGCGCTCATCGGGCGAGGCCACGGCGCGAGTGCGCTTCCTGGTCGCAGGCATCTCGGCAAGAAGTGAATCGATAGTTATCTTGTCGTCCTCGTCGTGGTCGCCGTCCCCTTGATCCTCTGTTTTGACCAGTGGGCTATGAGGGCCGGGTACTCGATGGGCTGGCCCGAATCGTGCAGAGAAGCCAGGTCTTTGTGAATAGCTCGATTGATTGAGACGGGAGTCGTACCGAGGCCGATGTTGTGGTGGGCTTTGTGGACTGTACGGTGGCAAGGAAGGCGAAGAAAAGTCGCCGGTGGCGAAAGCCTCGAGAAAATCGTCGTTGTTCGTTTCGCGCAGACGGTCCTGCCGAGGCTCGTTGATTGAGGATCCGTGGAGTGGGGCGGTGAGAGTGTGTTGAAGTCGAGAGGCGGGGTCTGCGGAGAGGTGGGAGAGGTGGGTTTGTTGCTGCGTGGAGTTTTGGCGGGAGGATGTTGTTGATGTTGTGGTAGAGCTAGTTGTGGTAGTGGTGGTTGTCGGGAAGTGGTCGGTCAGGTTAGTAAGGTGCAGGGGCCCGGTGCTAGGGTGTTGTGACGGAGGCAGCGATGGTCTGTCACTACGGCGGCCGGCTGGTTGGGATGACGTCGACAATGTTGGAGCTGCAAACGGCGACAGTCCAAAGGCAGTCGAAGAGGAAGAGGAAGAGGCAGAGACAGAGGCAGGTGCTTGGCCAAAAGCCGCATGGAAGCCCAGGTTTGGCGTCGGCGAGCCCAGGGACGAGTGGAAGGAAGTGAGGGAGTTGAACAGAGGCGGTAAGAAGGGCGCCAACGAGGACGTCGAGGATTGGCTGGACTGCAGAGCGGAATATGATGGAAGTGAGTGTGGCTGTTGGTCCGGCCAAGAGGATCCTAAAATCCGAAGGAAGGAGACGGTCAGGAGGCGATCAAACGTGGGCACTAACTAGCAGGCAAGAAAAAGAACAGCAAGTGAAGGCAAGAAGAAATAACGAAGGTGTCTGGGAAATTGAATGCAGGCTGGAACAAGAATAGGACTGGGCCTGGCTGGGGTGAAATGACTTGAGTAGAGCAGAGAGGGGCAAATGGGAGAAATGGGGAATGGGAATCTAAGGAATATTCTAACCGGAAATCCAAGCGTCCATTTCGTCCGATAAGAACGGAGACCAGTTGGACATGGCTGTGAATGAACTGAATGCTGTCGGAATTAAGAGCTTAGGGAACGTCGTTTCTCTCAACCCAGGTCGCCTCGCCCGGCCAGAGCACTCAATGGGCACCAAGGATGCCCTGGTCGCTGGTGATGTCGATGTTGGGTTGGCGCTGTAAGGTACAGTCCGGGTCGGAGGAGCATCGCAAATCTCAACTTGGTCACACGGAGCAGGCAAACAACAGGAGAGAAACAGGAGGCTGATGTTGGAGGGCGAGGCTTCCAAGGGTTCTTATGGGTCAAGCTGAGCTGAGGGGCTCTGGTTTGGAAGGGCGGCAAGGTCGGCGTCTGTTTCCTTGAGTGTGTTTGGACAGCAACCTCAGGGACTCGGAACAGAGCGAGACGGGACTGAGGACTCAAGGCTCAGGGCTCAGGAGAAGTGAGGCCTGGAAGAGGCGGCTGGGCTGTATTTGAGATTAAAAAGTGATCAAATTGGCATGTTCTTCACCGCTCAGGCGTGGTCTCAGGGACGGAGGCCCAATATACAAGACGGAATAAGCAACGCAACGCAGCGCAGCGCAGCGCAACGCAACAGCACAACAAAGCTGGCAGCAGGGTTTGTAGGGTGGTCAACACACGCACATGGGGGGAGGAGCACAAGAGGAGTAGAAGGTCAGCAAAAGCTGGGGCAGGGGGCACGAACGGGTGGGCTGAAAGAAAAAAAGGTAGGCACGGGTAGCAGATGCAGGTAAGCTGAACTGGATGGATGGAGCTGTCCAGATTAAAGTACTATATAGGCAATGTGCAAGTGCGGTACGGTACGGGGCACGACACCCACACTCACACGACTTTTCAAGGTGAGAGGACAATGCAGCAGCACAGGGGGGCCAGACCAACAGGCTGGACAGGGCAGAGCCATGGGCAGGGCCGTCCTGCGGGAGGTGCGGGATCGGGAAGTTGGAGCTTGGGACGGAACTTGCCCAGATATGGTAGATACATGACATATGTGTGTGTGCAGGCGCATAGATACAGTACAAATGCGCGCACATGTAGCCTGTCTAGGTGTAGGTGTGTCGGTCTGGAATGTCGGGGAGGACAAACACGCACAGAAAGAGTGGAGGTCGCAACCAGCGAGGCTCGCTCACTCGGATGGCCCACGATCCCACACTACTTGGACTATAGACCACACGGGCATGAAACCAAGCAAGTGACATGTCAACCCGACAGGGCATTTAGGAGTCTTAGACTGCCTGGGTGAAAAGCAGCCAGACACCCAGAATTATACATTGGCGTTCTTGGTGGCTTCCAATCGCAAGCTGCTGATAATTTTCGGGCTGTAGACTTCCATCTGGGGCAGGTTGATGCAGACAATCAAACACCCCTTCAGCCCTGCCAAAACCCAGAACCATCAAGCAGATCCCATTCAATTGTCTATGACTTCCAAACAAAGGTGCCAGCGCAATGCCATCAAGGACCCTGGGACCCTAGCATGTCGGTCTCAAAGTTGGGTGGCGGTCCGTGAGCTCACACCAGACTGAAGACTGGCAAACTGACAGACTGAATGGGTTCACTGACTGACTGAATATCTGACTGGTTGTTTAGCTGGCCTGGGGTGGGGTGCAGTTGCTTATGGAGTGACAAGGGTCAAATCCCATCTCAATGACAACCCCTGTCTGTCACTCAATTTTTGGGTGGAGAACCCTGAATGGAGTAACCCGTCGCAACTTTTCTTCTCTGTGCTACCACCAGCAGCACCACCACCCACACTATGCCCACGCTCAGCCATGCCCATGCCACCAAGCCAGTCGCACCTCCAAGCTGTGGCGCGTAAAGCAAAGATAGTCTCACACGCGCATACGCGACGCTATTCCTGACTGAATACCGGACTGCACAGAAGTACGCTCGCCCACATCGCTCGAGGCTATGGAGTGAGATGCCGTGCTATCAGGGAATGCGCCTAGCCATGATATCGTCCTTAGTGCGGCCGTCCGATCTATGATCCAGGGGTCCCTTCCCACCTCAGTACTCGCCCCTCTGCAACATCATCCCATACACCGACGCCATCCACGAACGGGTGCATTGCGCACCGCCGGCGGATTCCAACTCTCGACACAGCCGGCAACCGGCAGCGGACAAATGCATGGCTGGATGCAATAGAATGATCAGCCCCTTCAGGAGCCAACTCCGAAGTGGTTGCGCCACTGCGAGCTTCGTCCGGCTTGCGAAGCATCGCGCGCATAGGAGATGGACCTACCAACTGCGCTGGCAGTCTGCCACTGCCACAGCAAAAGCCAACGAGAAGACACCCAACAGCACACTTGCTAGTAAGAATCCGACGTCCGCCCGGACATGGCGCATGTCAATATCTCCAGAAGGCTGACCCGATGCGACCCTAGTCCCCTCGATCGCTCGCCAGAACGCAATAGGGGTGCAACAGCTGAGCGAGCACCTCTATCCACAAGTCTTTCCTAAGGGGTCCGAGCCTCCTCCAGAATCCCTCGTCGAGCTCTCCAAGGACCACCTGAGGCGTCATGACCTCCTAGGCAAGACTACCGACGCAGCCGATCCTATCGCGTTCAACCTCCCGAAACTCCAAGCTCCAGAAACCCAGACGCTGGACGAACATTTCTTTAGACTCGGCACGGACGCCGCGGAGCCCTTCTTGTCACACGCAAAAGAGTTTGCAAAATCCAATACGCCCCAGCAGCCGAGAAAATGGGTACATCGGAGCGGATGGACCAAATATTACTGCAAAGACGGGACAGGGCCGGAGATCACGGAGGAGGTAGAAGCGCCAGACGAGACCATGCTGTCATTTGACGTCGAAGTGATGTGGCAGGAGAACCCTTTTGCTGTCATGGCCTGCGCTGCTAGTCCAACAGCCTGGTACGTTTGGCTGTCACCGTGGCTTCTGGGCGAGACGGACGTCAAAACGCAACTTGTACCGCTCGGTGATCCTACCAAGGAGCGAATCGTTGTTGGGCACAACATCGGGTACGACAGGGCCAGGATACTCGAGGAATACGACATCAAGCAAACAAAAAACTGCTTCCTAGACACCATGTCACTGCATGTTGCCGTGAACGGCATGTGCTCGCAGCAACGGCCCACGTGGATGAAGGCTCAGAAGAACCGGGAGAAGGAACGAGTCGCTCGAGCCGAGGGAAACTTCAGCCTGGGCGCCCTGATGGATGAAGAAGAGCTGTGGGTCGGAAGAAGCTCGATCAACTCCTTGCGGGACGTGGCCAAATTTCATCTCAATGTTTCCATGGACAAATCTGCCCGAGACGACTTTAGCGGGCTGGATCGGCAAAAGGTCTTGGAGAAGCTAGACGACCTCCTCAATTATTGCGCGGCCGACGTTGCCATCACACATCGAGTATTTTCGATTGTCTTCACCAACTTTCTCAAGACGTGCCCCCACCCAGTCAGCTTCGCCGCTCTGAGGCACCTGTCCTCTGTCATTCTACCCGTAGATGACTCTTGGAATTCTTACATCGCGAACGCCGAAGCAACCTATCAAAAATTGTCAGTCGGTGTCCAAGAACGTCTCATATCTCTCGCTGAAAAGGCTCTGGAGGTCAAAGATGACGAGGAGAAATGGAGCAACGATCCTTGGTTGAAGCAGTTGGACTGGTCAGGGCAGGAGATCAAGTGGGTCAAAGGCAAAAAGAAAGGGGATCCACCGAGGCCGTCTAAGAATCAAAAAATGCCTGGCATGCCGAAATGGTACAAAGATCTTTTTGCCACAAAAGATGCCCCTATTAGCATTTCGGTGCGGACGAGGATAGCACCACTGCTGCTCAGGCTCTCCTGGGAAGGGCATCCGTTATTCTGGTCAGACGAGCACGGGTGGACTTTTCGCGTTTCTCGGGAGGAGAGAGAGCATTACGTCAAAAACTCAATGAAGTTATGCGATATGACGGATGAGAAGACGGAACCTCTGCTGCGAGACGATATACATGGAGTTTACTTCAAGGTCCCTCATAAAGACGGCCCCGCGGCCCGATGCGCCAACCCGATGGCAAAAGGTTATCTCAATTATTTTGAAAGCGGAATCTTGACGTCTGAATACGCTTATGCAAAGGAGGCCCTGGAAATGAATGCGTCTTGCTCATACTGGATAAGTGCTCGCGAGCGAATCAGGTCGCAACTGGTCGTCTATGAAAAGGAACTACGGGTACCCAAAGGACAGAAAGCAGGAGACACGGCTCAAGGCTACATTCTCCCGCAGCTCATACCGATGGGCACCATCACGAGGAGAGCTGTCGAAAACACCTGGCTGACTGCGAGCAATGCCAAGGAGACGAGAGTGGGCTCCGAGCTGAAGGCAATGGTCAAGGCGCCCCCAGGATACAGTTTCGTGGGCGCCGACGTGGACTCTGAGGAGCTCTGGATTGCGAGCGTACTGGGCGATGCCATATTCCAACTCCACGGCGGCAACGCCATTGGCTTCATGACGCTAGAAGGCTCAAAAGCTGCTGGAACTGATCTTCATTCCCGAACGGCTTCGATTCTGGGCATTTCGAGGAATCATGCAAAGGTATTCAACTACGGGCGAATCTATGGCGCTGGCCTCAAGTTCGCCGCACAGCTGCTCCGGCAGTTCAATCCAACGCTTTCCGAGCGTGAGACCGAGGCCATCGCAAAGAAACTCTACACTTCGACAAAAGGGGCACAGTCGGAACGGAAGGTACTTTACAAGCGAAAGTTTTGGCGGGGTGGCACAGAGTCCTTCGTTTTCAACAAGCTCGAAGAGTTTGCTGAGCAACGGCGTCCGCGCACACCTGTTCTCGGAGCTGGCATCACCGAGGCGTTGATGAGCAGCTACGTCAGCAAGGGTGGCTTCCTCACGAGCCGCATCAACTGGGCCATTCAGAGCTCAGGCGTTGACTACCTGCACCTCCTGATCGTGTCTATGGATTATCTGGCCCGACGCTTCAACATCGATGCTCGTCTTGCCATCACGGTACACGACGAAATCCGCTACCTCGTCAAGAACGAAGACAAGTACCGTGCCGCCATGGCGTTGCAGATCGCCAACCTCTGGACACGATGCATGTTCGCCCAGCAGATCGGCATCGATGACCTCCCACAATCATGTGCCTTCTTCAGTGCTGTCGACATCGACCACGTCCTCCGCAAGGAAGTCGACATGCCCTGCATAACACCATCTAATGATACACCCATACCACCCGGCGAATCCATCGACATCCAACAGCTGCTCGCCAAGGGCAGCGAGGCCCTCCTCGACGAAGCCGTCATCCCAGAGAACGCACCTCAACTCGACCACATCCAGTACACGCCGCGCACACCAGTAATGCAGACGCTCAAGAAAGAGGACGCCTCGACGGCGGACCTAGCTTTCATCAAGGCGCAGATCACGTCCGACATGAAGGAGCTCAACGAGGTCTGCGCCGAGCAGCGCAAGAAGGTCGCCGCGCTGGCGCCCAAGAAGGAGCCCACGCCTCGCGCCTCCAAGGTCCTGCCGTACTCGTCGCACGCGCAGCTCATGCCCATGGAGGAGCCCCTGCTCGTGTCGGAGGCGTTCCGCGCCGACCAGGCTAAGCGCTTCGGTCCCGGCGGAGCCGCGCAGAAGAAGATCGACTGGTCAAGGACGGCCCGCTGGACCAAGACGAACGTCGCCAGCCGAGGCACGGGGCATTGAGGGGATGTGGCTTGACAGGAATACGCGGTAGGACTTGGCTCATACTATCTGGTGGTGTACGTTGGCTTCTTCTTTGTATATTCTACTCTACGTGGCAGCAGTTCCGGGACGCTTGCTGTGTATAATTTGCTGTCTTTGCACGTGGAAGCACGCACTGTATTGATACCTTGGCGCGCGGTCTTTGTTGGGCTTGGTCAGGGGTTTCGCATCTCGTTCTGGGCTGGCGCAAGGTATGGACGGTAAAGTTCGGGGCGGCGATGGCTGTCGGAGTTAAGCATGTTGAAAAAGGGACTCTTGTTTTTCTGCTGTACTGGAGTCACATAAGCCCCGTTTCTCGGAAATGAAATCCGAAGATTGTGCTCAGCTTCCCTCGCCAGCGCGGACTCGGTGATCCACTGCCTTCTCATCGCCGTCGGAGTTTAGGTGGTCTTGTTCCTTTCTCATCACAATTTGGTTTTCGGAAAACTTCCATACGCCCGAACCTTCTCTATGGTCAAGCTATATTCCGGCCACCTGCCTGTCCTCCCCTTTATTTCCTATAGCCGAAAGAGGCCAGTGAAGATGAGTGTCATAAAGGTTAAGCAACATTATTTTCGGGCTTTTACAGGACCCGAAGGAGGATTGCAAGACCATGATCGGAATCAGGACAAATTTCCTTCTGCTCCCCCCGATGTGCTCACCTTGTCCCGGTCAGCCCGTTGTGCAACATCTTCTGTGCCGAGATACTCCCGTGTCTTAGATAAGCCAAAGGCTGCGGCGCTGGTCAGAGCCTCGCTCACTCGGTCAAGACAGCGTTCTGTGGGGCGGGCTGGGCAGTAAGTACGTTCCATGCATAGGGTAGTCAGAGCAGCGGTAGGGGTACCAACAATGATAATACTGACTACTACCTCGCAGGGGTCATCAATGGCTATGGATGCCAGCATGGCATATAATCTAAAGTATCGTGGTGGCAAAGTCAGTTGTCAACGGCGGACAGGTCTTAGACATTGGCGCCCTGTGGTGGCGTCGGGCGTGAGGCACCGCATGTGCAAGAAGCCAGTTGGAATTTGACCCGGCCAGTCCGCTTTGCCATGTCATTCGTGGGGTGGTGAAATCATTTTTGATTCAGATGCTCAGCTCAGTTCCAACGGGGGAGCTCTGGTGATTCCGTTGCGGTCCTTCAAGATACTCGACTTGGACATGTAGCAACGATCTATGTCCTACATGTCAGGCTATGTCATTGCCTGGAAATGTGACTCGCCAAGACCAACGAACTGGAAGGTTCATTAATTTCTCCTAGGTTTTTGGTACATGAACGTCTCTGATATTTTGCTGTACCTGCTCGTCACCTCAATTGGGCCCTTAAACATGTGTATGCAGTCATTGTACTAGTCATTAGAGCGTATAGTCGCTCTCACTATGTGGGTTTTGCAAGTGAGGTGAGCAGTGATAGTGTTATAAGTTAACGTCGGAAGTTTGATGTAAATTACATCTTGTTGATTGTACAACACCACTAGGTTGAAATACTTCTTTAGATTTATGTAGTGCTTCGGTATTCTTTAGAAATGTGAACGTCTCTAAGGGCAGCACTTTCAGTATATACTACTTTCCCTATCTACACTTGAACAGCAGTTCTCAACGCAGCTCTGATCCTTGCGATGTACGTCCGTACAACATCGTCCTCCTTTGAGGAGCACAATCCTCACGACCCAGCCCAAGCCGCTCCAGGCGCTCGCACATTCCGTTCATCGCGGACTCATGGTCCGATCGCCTCTTCTTTGCCTCTTCGATGTTCCCAATGTCACCGTAATACTCCGCGACCTCACCCAGTGCATCGACTGTCAACTCGTGCGATTGGCCCAGCCTCGTCGTGCACATGTTGACCCACTTCTGGGCGGCGCTGGTGGTCTGCTCGGTCGTACCTTCATGCCGTGAGATCCAAAATAGGATGCGATAGCAGTCATCCAGAAGGTAGGCGTCTTGTGCATCTTCCCCGTTCTTTTCTGCCAGGGACAGAACTTGTACCGCCAGATCTCGTGCTTCCCCGTACCTGCCCCTGTCCAGCATGAAGTTCGCAAGTCGCAGATTCGCCTCCAATGCCTCGAAGCTCGTCGTATCACCGCTCGAAACATCCTCGAGATTTTCCTGGAGTGCAAGCTCGAGGCTCAAGTCCTCAGCTGAGCCATACGCCGCGATCCAGCTAATGCCGCGCCCGTTCAGGGCCGTTATCTGTTCTGAGGAGGAAGAATCGTGACCTAATTCACCCCGAAGAGCCTGGTGGTAGGACTGCGAGAGAGCCCATGCACACTGGCGCATCTGCTCCGATGTCATCAAGCTCATGCCTTGAAAGAGGACGTACACAGGGTGCCGCCGAGACCTGTGCACGACGAGAGCCAGCTCGCGCAGGAACGCGATGATGGCCCTGGTGAGCACCTCGTGGCGTTTTGAGAATTCAAACAACAAGGCGTATATCCCGATAGGGAAATATGGCGTCTCTGAACTGAGCATGTGCTTGCATGTGTCCAAGCAGACCCCGAGCAGCCGGAACGCCTGCGTTACGTGACCCGAGTTCATCAGCCGCCCCGCCGACCAACCACAGTTGTGCGACGCCACGACCAGCCCGTCCTGCCACGGGATGTGCGTCCTCGTCCAGCGGCCCGCGTCGAAGCTGCCGCTGACGTAGCTCCGTAGTGCAAACAGCATCTGCTCCAGTTCGGGCTGGGGGTGAGGCGGCCGCAGGCGTGCTTGCGGCAGGGGGGAAGGTGTTGCCCGGGTCGACGGCGATGTGCTGTTATTGCCGATGCAGGCCGTCCCCGCCGCCCTCGATGCTGCTGTGCCGCGCTGCGACTTGGACGCACGTTTGAGTAGGTTGCGTAGCCGCTCTTGGTCTACCCTGATGCCGCCAATCGAGAACTCGGATGCCTGCGTATCCCCCTGTCTCGTCTGCTGTAGCAGCTCATGAGCTTGCTTTGCGCGGAGGTTCTTCTGAATGCCCCATTTACGCAAGTGATACTTGTACATCTTAGGTCTGTTCGTTTGTTGGCTATCAGTACGGGGGCTGAAGATAGGGGGCCATAAAGGGCAGTAGCTCGTGCGAGTGCGTGTGTGTGTGGACTCACTCACGTTGCGACAAAGCCTTGCTCCTGCTGCATGATCTGCATCACTCTCCGAAGGGTGTGGTCCTGGAACTTGTACAAGTTGATGATGCGCTCCCTATGGCGCTCCCAGTCGCATTGCGAAGCCCATGACGTTCTCTGCGTTGAGCCTGGCGAAGAGCCGCGGAGGTCTTGGATAGTGATGAGTCGGTTCTCCATATTGAGGCATGGCCGACGAGTCTTTTCGTGTGGTCTGGACTTTTCTTTTCAGCTATGTGAACTTTTTCGCATATCTGAAAGCGGCGATAGGACCTGCTGATGTGTCGACATGTGCGTGCTTACATCCCAATTTATTGGTTCCCGCCGATTTCCGCGTCGGGCTCGCCTGCGCGCCAAGTGCGACGTGAGCACGAGCTGATCTTATCATCTTTCAGCTTGGTGGATCTACACCCAGGTAGGTCAGCAGCTGATGGGTCGCCGTAAGATTCGTGCTTACGCTGCTGCTACGTGTGATCCATCGACACTACTGTCACTGGCGTCATATTCTCCTCTGCACCAATCTGAGTCTTGCTACCTTGAAATAGGCCTGCAGGGGAAACATCGGCCAATGACGAGCGGAGCTGGTTTGGGCTGTCTCGTTTGCCTGTATATCATAGCCCAAGGACTAGTTTCAGACAATCCTGTGGGAGTATATCTAGCCTTTGTCATAGAGACGCTCCCTACTTTACAGCTTCTCGGATAGGTCGTCCTTTTCTTGGCAGTTGAAAGGCTACTTCATACGCAACTCACCTACCTCACACCTAAGAATAGAGCCGTCACGATTCTGAAAGACATTCACGCCTTCAAGTGCAAGCAAGACTGCTAGAGTCTTAATCTTGGCTTACTCAACTAAACCAATCATCCTCGCGGTGGCGCATGGTGCACAGCAGTATCGCCGACATGAACGACCACCGGATTTCCTTCTTATCGGCGATTAATCCAATCGCCGGATGGGAGCCATTTTATATAAGACTCGCAAGACAGCTTTTCTGAATCGATTCAATGGCGAGACCGCTCAGCATCTTGTGCTTGGAGACATTTCTTCAAGTTAAATATACTCTATTCTGATTGAGATATTGTACCACAACTCATATAGACTCAACAGCACATCATGACAGACAATAAAGTGTGGCTGATAACAGGCTGTGCCTCAGGGCTCGGCCGAGAGATGGCATTAGCAGCTCTCGATAGGGGAGATACCGTTGTCGCCACTGCTCGTGACCCGTCCAAGCTGGCAGACCTCGCCACGCGTGGCGCCATCACCGAGCGCGTCGACGTGACGGACAGCGATGACAACCTGGAGGCAGCAGTGCAAGATATCATCTCCAAGACCCCAGGGAGTCGCATCGACATTCTTGTCAACAACGCGGGCTACATTCTGGCCGGCGGCGTCGAGGAAGCGAGCCGGTCCGAGGCCGAAGCAATTTTCAACACCAATGTCTTCGGCCAACTCAACATGATCCGCGCTGTGCTGCCCGTAATGCGAAAAGCCCGCTCGGGCGTCGTCGCCAACCTAGGCAGCATTGGCGGTTGGCGTGGAACGCCAGGCGCAGGCTTGTACTGCGCGACGAAGGCATGTGCGACGATCTTGGCCGAGTCGCTCCGTGCAGAAGTTGCGCACCTGGGGATCAAGGTCACGTCTGTGGAGCCGGGGTATACACGGACCAATTTTCTGGTACCGGGGCACCAGCTGCGCTCGAGCAGGACTATCGAGGATCTCAGTGACGGCGCCGTCAAGGACGCGTTGGCCAATTTCGACGCGTACAGTCTCAACCAGCCCGGTGACCCCGTGAAGGCTGCCAAACTTATCGTGGATGCCCTCACCGCTTCAGGGCCGTGTGAAGGACGGGAGCTGCCCCCGAGGCTCCTCGTGGGAAGAGATGCGTACGAAATCGTTGGTGAAGCCATGGAAAGACACAAGGGCAACATGAAAGTGTGGGAGGACCTAGCTACCGCGACAGACTGCGATCCATGAGACTACTCGATGTTTAGATGAGATTTTGAGAATAATTGAATCTTTTCTGCTGTGGATTGGTGCCATTTCATGCAGGCAATGCCTGTAATTACTCTTTAAGCCTGTCGTTGTGGTCAAGGCAGCCATGTAATGCTGATCGGATGCAAATCAAGACGCTCCTTAAATTTCATTTTCAGCAGTCCGCAAGGAGTCAAAAGTAGGTCCTGTTGTCCACTACCAAACCCTGCCTATTTCTTTTAACCCCTCGGTGTCTAGATACGCCTCCTGGACGAGCGAGCTCTACATATGTTCAGCTATGGCCTCTTCTCACAGTGCTTGTGATCAATACATAGCCCATCCTCCACTCGCACTGATGACCTGACCAGTGATCCATCCGCTTGAAGGCCCTGATAGCCAGGCTACCACATCTGCAATCTCCTCGATGGTGCCTAGGCGATTCTGAACCGGTGTCTGCTGCTTCTGCATCTCGACGATTTCTTTGGGAATGTTGTCTAGCATCTCACTCTGCACGGGCCCAGGGCTTACCACGTTTACTGTTGTCCCGTTCCCACCGAGCTCGGCAGCCCAGCAGCGCGTCAGGCCTTCTGCTCTCGTTGATACTTGTCAGCACACTCGATCCTTAGTAATGAACTTTCCACAGGAAATAACTCAGAAAAAGAAGCTCAGATTCCTGTCATGTTTCCTTGAAAGATGAGCAAGGACATCAAGAAGCAACTTTGGTACCCTCCGGTATCTTGAGTCAACCAGTGTCCGGACTCAGAGAAAGTTCAGTCAGGACAGTCGTACCGATTGCTGCCTTAGAAGAGCAGTACAGGCCGAGATTCTTGAACCCCGCCCTTGCGCCCACTGATGAGATATTCACGATCCGAGCATCGGGGTTAAGATAAGGCAGCACAGCTTGCGTCAGCAGGATGGTCCCCCGCACATTGACATCAAAGACCGCGCTGTAGTCCTCGACGGTGAGCTCGTCAAGGGCCTTGACACGCTCGAGGCCGGCATTGTTGACAAGAATGTCAAGTTTCACGGTTAGACCAGCGGACTCGGCCCATTTCACGGTCTCGCTCACGAGATGTTTTGGGCCGTCGAGGGTGCCTAGATCCGCCTGCACGGTAAGGGCCTTGGGCCGGTGGGGCAGCGATTCGATCTCTTTCTTCAATTCCGTAGCTTTGATCGCGCTGGATGGTGAGGTGTATCCGAGGACAACCTGAGGACAGCGTCAGGAAAAGTGCAAGATTGAGGCGGTGTTCCAACGTTCCGTTGAAGACAAGCAGCACTCACATTTGCACCCTGATCGGCCAATTTTAGGGCAATGCCATAGCCAATGCTGCGTGATGCTCCGGTCACAATGGCAGTCTTGCCTTGTAGGGGCAGGGTGGGTGTACTCATGACCGGCAGCTAGCACCGTATAAGATAAAAAGTTCTCAGAAAGTGATGCCGGGTGTAGAGAATGTAGATTACATTGTTGATGGAACAGTCAGAGACGCGAGCCAACGATAGCATGTCAAGTTGCATCAGCAAGGAGGATCCAGTGATGTCATAGTAACTATGCGTGCTAGAAGTATAATAATCACAGCAGGTGCCTATAAAAGCACAAGCAAAGACCCTAGTACTACTGAACTTGCCAAAACTGAGATCATGGATTAATTTTCTTCTCAACGTACAAGACTGTATGTCTCCCGATGTCCATCAATTCGAACGAATCTTGAACTGGCTCCGATAGTATTTGAATTAGTCCCCGAATGTAGCGACTATGGCCTGCCTACAAGTGCAAGTATATATTTGTCTGCGATACTACCTGCCTTCCGTTGATAATCTCAGCGTTGAGCTTGCTACTCATGTGTTTATGGTCTCCCATTTAAATTTGCGCACTGTCAGTCTCATTAAGAGAAGACAGATACAATTATAGTTCATAGCGATAGAAGAGAAGTTCTGACCCCTAAAAACCTTCAATCGATCAGTCAAGCAGGAAGTGCTTGACGTATCAAGGTAGACATTACAGTTTAGAATACGTTAGTTTACCACACTCGGTGTTTGTTCTTGCCAGAGTTTCCTCATTTTGTCCCACTTTCTTTGTACCAGAATATCTATGTAATGAATAGCTCCTGTCGGTGGTAGGCTCGACTCTGTCTCCCGGAAGGGGCGAGGTTATCACTCGCTTTCAGAAAAGCGATTCTTTGTTGCGTCTCGGAAGGCAAAACACTAAGAGGTGTTGGAAACTACGCAAGTTCCGGGAGTATGGTTCTCTTTTATCAGAGTCCCGGATGCGGACTTCGAAATCTTGAATGAAAATATCGAGCGAAACTGTCATTTGAATCTTCAAAACAGCACAAAGGTAAGAATTTTGCAATCACGATATTTTATACAAACAGGTTACTCGCCATCCCAAAACCGTAGTGAGTTTCAAACACAATCACTTGTTATCTTTTTGGATTAATATAGTGATCAGAGAATGAATGGGAGAGGTGAAGTAAAATTACTACTTGTCTGAGAAGTAGTATCCTGTGGCACAAAAGAAAGACTGCAACACTGTAACACAATCCCACGAGAGGTTATACCGACAGTAACGATAAAGGAGGCTTTAGTAGAAGCAGAAGCAGGCAATATGCAGAAGAGAGCTAGGGACACTCATGATGATGGTGATGATCAGAGAGAAAGCATCACAGTTGGCCGACCATTGATTATCCAGAGATTTGGTGCAAATGCGGTCAATCGCTGGTCCCGCTCTAAGCTCATCGTGTTTCTCACAGCTCTTCCCGATATTTTCCCTATCAACTGGCGCAATGATCCGACATACGTTCAGCCGTTGTTATCAGCTTTCGCGAATGCAATCGAGGGGCCTGAAGCAGTTTTGAACTTGGCAGATCTCAGTGGCGATCAGGCTTACGAGAGAGTCCTAGGCAACAGGGAAGCTGGAAATTTGATGGCTACAATACAAGCTCACTACCGCAATTTACTAAGACAGCCCAACGCAGAGTCCCAAAGGACGATCGACCAGCTTCGCAGCCAGCTCCCTCTAAATAGCGCGGCAGGAATGCCTATAGCAAGGGCCTTGTCCCGCCTTGCTCCGGACGCAGACGCCGATACTAGTTGGATATTCGATCTCTTACGTGAAGCCACGATGGCTTTCCTAGATGTTCGCATGAGACAACTGAGGATGTTCAGCCGTTTCGGAGCCGACGGGCGTCAGCAATTTGTTACACCGATACCAGCTACTGCTGGTATGCGTATGGAACTAGTGAACGGTTTGATCCATGCAAGCAACCTGAGACTCGACGCCTTGCTGTGTGAGTTAGGAGTCGGTCATGAGCGACACCAGGACCCAGCCTATGATAGATATTCGAGGGATATGTTCGAACGTTGCTATGGCATGAGCTCGTCGGTCGCAATCTGGCTGTGTTAGTGATCACCCCACATTGCGTGTCCTTTCCAAAAGCAACTGAGTGTTTGAATCAAAGCTGTGCCCGATTAACACATTCTTCATAACATTAGCGCAGTACGGAGGTTCACCGACAATGGGAGTAGATTGGCCGAAGTACATCGATGGAATAGATTCGTAAGTAAATTTATCTTGACCTGTTGCCGAATTCGTTGATTACACCAGGGAACAGGTTCACTCCTGACTTTCAATAGTTACGTCTATGCACGCGGCAATATAAACGAGGGACGCGGCTATAACTTGGCACGGAATTCGATGCAAACGATACATAACAATTATTTCCTACCCTATGCCAACAGCGTAAAACTTCTCGTTGTTTTCGCAAGGACACACCAAGGCGCAGTCCCCGATCCGAACCTCATCGCCACAGCCGACCAATGCCTAGCCGCCCTGAAGGCAGAATGTGAAACTTGGTTAGACGATTTCGGTTCCGAAACAGATGAGTTGGGGAATGTATATATGACGAGTTTGTGGTATCATTTTAAGAGGATGCCCTCTTGGAGTCCCATCAGTTTTCTGCAACGTTTTGCGCAAGATGACAGTCAACTGCCTTGGACCAACTTGAATACGAGACAGCCAGCTGGGCAACCGAATCAGGTGCAGCAGGCTCAGGAATCCCAGGGACCACCAAATCCGGGCCCAGGATCTCAAGGGCAACAACCTTGGGGCCCCTGGTCAGGGCCGCAAACAACTCAGTATTATACACCTTGGGGCCAACCACAGTGGCCAGGACCTCAAGGGCAACCGCCTCAATGGCAAGGGCCTCCAGGACAACCGCCCCAGTGGCAAGGGCCTCCGGAACATCCCCCTCAGTGGCAAGGATCTCAAGGACCACCGCCTCAATGGCAAGGACCTTCGGGACCACCGCCTCAGTGGCAAGCTCCTCCGGGACAAACACCTGAGTTTCAAGGACCTACGGGACCATCGCCTCAGTGGCAAGGATTTCAACCAACTCGGGGACGAGGAGGTCCGTGGCCAAGACCTTAGGTGTATCGATTTCTTTGGATTGCCACTTGATCAACTTCTATATTTCGGACTGGTCTTTTCAAGACTCTATGAGATCTTTCTTACTATGTAGCTTTTTCTATTTTACATATGAAAGAGAGGTCACCCGTACCACTTGAAGGGAGACTATATGAGTTGATTACAGGTCACCAGAAGGGATGCGAATCTGTTGGTAGGGCTTCGTTGTGCGTACGCACGGTATTCGCTAGCGATTGGGTTGGTGATGTGGTTGGTTGTTGTCTTGTAGGGATCGTATTGGGCAGGGGTTGTGATTTCAAGGTTTGCTGCTGGGTAAAGGGTAGCCCGTTGATAGTACGTGGTTCCAGCCGGCTGCCATGAGGTTTGAGGTGCTGGGCCACTAATCTTCAAGATTCGGACCTGAGCATTTCTTGTAAAAGAACATTTATATAAAATTGCACTGGGTTACCGAAATCATTCAAATCTGACTTTTCAATAGAAAACACCATGAGTTTAAATGTAATTGTTATAAAAGATCCCGTTCCTAAATATATTATTGTGTTTATATCAAAATGAGCAATGATGTGTACAAAGACAACATACCAAGACTCGTTTCAATGTTTTTTAATACCGAGAAGTGTGAATTCGAAAAGCAAAAGCCAAAGCATGTACAATTGTATCTGAGGGCATCTAAGGGCCGTTGTAGACAATAAAGCGTCGTCTTCTGGTATCGTACCAACCGGTCCTCCAGAAAGGATGAGATTTGCTGTAGAACGGATCGTCCTGGAATAGTTAGGAACTTAGCTAATAGTAGGGAATTCAGGAAATCTTACATATTCCGGAAACTTTTCGATTGTGGTTGAGTTGATGTGTTCTTCTTCCTCGTGACGAAGTTCAGAAATCTTCTCTCGTACCGCGGAGATTTCTGTCACAAGAAATTCAACAGTCAGCCCTTCTGCTATGGCCAGCCACAGGAGGTGAAAGAGAAATTGCCCAAAACTTTTGAAACTAGACTCCATTTTGAATGCCGAGAAGATTACTTCCGTGCTTTCCCAAAAAAAGATTTTGGTTAAAGGTGCACTTGAAATGGGTTGAGAAAGAACGTTTCACGGAAATTTGAATATCTCCTGCTTCTCGGATGATTGTGGATTTCTCATGGAGCGTAGGCCAGACTCTGTCGACTTGAATCAAGATATCTGGGTTATATGAGCCTATGGATGTATCATTGTCTTTGGCACACGGAGGCAAACAAAGGCTCGGTAGTATCATTGGACGGCTGAAGAACAAGAAATTGTGCTGAAAGCTGATTGTATTACCACCTTGTCAGATGACAATGGGAAATTAAGCGTTCTGTCAAGGCTCCCACTCTTAAACAGCTCACTGTAAGGAGATAAAGAAGGAGAAAATGAAGTCTCGCATTGAGAATTCTAGAATGTGGTCCGAATATTTGAAATTTGATTAATCATTCACCCTCCTTTTTCAAAATACCGTTGACGTTTGTTCTGGGACCCTCAAACTCAGACCTGTCATTTTCACTGCCACCTTCGTTCCCGAGCATGTATGAGCTGCAGATGTTCTCTGGTACTTGCCTTGAAATCAGTGAAGACCGAATCTCGAGACACATCGCCGAGCTGCGGGAATTCAGGGAGTTCAGAAAAGCCAGATCGATGCAAAATACAGCCATACTACATTTGCATTCAAGGGTTTGTTTTTGGTGCCACGCACTGACAAGAATCAAATTACTACTAGTGAAGATTACTTTGGAGAGCTCATACAGGGCACAGGACCGTATGAAAGTAGTACCTGCTTGATATTACGAGAAAGAAGCAAGATCGCAACGTCCGCGGAACATTTCTTTTATTTTCTAATTTGTTTTGCGCTCATTCCCAATACGTCAGAGGCACCCCTAGCGCTTCACATTGCTGTGACTCCCTGAATGAGTCCTGATACGACCCCCATGTCAGTGCTCGTAGGGTCAGGTTCCCCTGCGTAGCTGGCCTCCAACTCCCCGTCCTATCGAGCTCCATACTGGTGTTGGTGTAGTGTCTGGCTTCGAGGAAGGCCCGGTCAGGGTTGGGATCGTACGTCCTGACGAAGGATGTAAAAGAGTCGAGTGCAAATTGCTCGAATGGAAGGTCGTTGTCGTCACGCTCCGGGAGGCCCTCGAATGCCACGTTTCCGAACACGTAGTACAGCTCTCCAGAATGACACCTCAAGTAGGGCAAACTGGGATCCCCGTATGGGTGATCGGCGGTGATGGGCGGCTGGCAGACGTCAATTCCAGGGTAACCGCTTGTTTGGTACGATCTTTCAAACTCATAATAGTAGACCGAGCTGTACTTTCCACTCTCGAGGCCTGAGAAAACCGTAGCCTCGTCAGCACACCTGAAGATGCCGTCCGTTGCTATGCGCGAGGTGACGTTATACAGGTTGAGAGTCTGATTTGCGCCAGCAGGGAGCGGGAACAATTCATCCAGAGTGGATTGTGGTATATTCCAGCCATTGGCCGTCAGGTACTCTGTCTCATTCGTCGTAGTCGGGTAAGGGACGAATGGCGCGCCATCCTCTCTCATGACTCCCATCATCAGCTTGTATGGAGCCTCGGGCCCAGTCAGTGTCAGATTCTGCGTGGTGATGTAAGTCCCATCCACGACTACGTAGCGTGCCACTGTGCTTAGGCTTGTAAGTGTGTTCGCTGGTATGGCGCGGAGACAATCAACCTGCGACTCTGCTTCCGTGCAGTTCGTCGCGGCTAAGATTGCATTCGCTGCCACATTGACTTCTTCTTCGATGGTATAATATTCTGAGTAAGTCGTCCCGTAGTTAAGGCCGCCCAGGTTGGACATTGGGATCGCTCCAGCAAACTTTCCCTCTGCCTCTGGAGAGGCCATGATCGCCCGGACGGAACCTGCACCAGCGGACTGGCCGATGAGCGTGACACGGTCTGGGTCACCTCCGAAATCTTGGATATTGGCGCGCACCCAGTCCAAAGCATTGATCTGGTCAGCGAGACCAAAATTCCCGTTGGTGACCCCATCGTCGAGGGCAAGGAACCCGAGCGTCGACAGCCTATAGTTGATTGCAACCAAGACAACATCTCCTCGGGAGGCAACACTGCCGCCGTCGAATGTAGGGTCGTTTGCACTACCACCTGTGAACGCACCACCATGAATCCAAAACATCACGGGCTTCAATGCACTCTTGTCGCTCTTGCTATCCTGGCTCGGCAGGTAAGGTGTCCATATGTTCAGGAATAGGCAATCCTCGGATCCAGCCGTTCCCTGGGCGCATTCGGAGCCAAAGGTCGTAGCTGAGACAGAGGTATTGGATCCCGTGTACGGCACGGAGTATGTGAACCGTTCTGGCTGGGGTGCATAACGAATCCCATAGAAGCGAAAAGCAGTCCGATCGCGAAAACTGACGAAAACGTTAGCTGTGGTGATGCCATTTTGTCATACAGACGTGTACTCACCCGATGAGATCCTCGTTGTTCGAATGCACGGAAACTTGCCACTCGGCGCTGGTATCTGTAGAAGAAGAGTTCGCAAAGGGTGCCGTTTGTGTGCAAAGAACGTTTAGTTTTTGGCTAGGATCTACTGCTGTAACCTGTCCTGAGGCGCTGAGAGCACGAGTTTGATTGCTCTGGGCAGCTATCCAAAAGCTCGAGTTCTTTTGCGCCTTGCCCTCATAAACAAAGTAGTCTAGATTCGCTTGAATGTTGGCTGTGCCCAGAGCAGGTGACCATAGTTCCTCGCTCAACTCTTGACAGCCCGAGACGGCATCTTGATAGGCCCTGGGGCTGAGAACAATCACTCCTGAGTCTGCTGTCGGGCTGCTAGCACCTGTGGATTATCTGTAAGTTTCAAGGTGTGTTCAAAAAGTTGTTGTGTTCACGTACCCTGCAAATTATTATCGAGCAGGATTGTCAGGTCCGAGTTAAGACTGTCAGGGGATGGCGTCGAGGCTGTCAAAGGCGCCAGCAGAGCAAACACTCTCAAAAGACTTCGGAGTGACATCCCGGCAGAATTTACTCAAATAGGTGAAGCGAAGGCGGCGGACATCACAACCGTGAACACAGCTGTATACGTTGCCCATCCTGTCATTCTTATACTTTGTAGCAACGAGTCTGCCGCAGTGTCACGCGCACGTAGTACACTAGACTGGCAAGCTAAGTCCACGGTCCCACCAAATCTCGTCAACCACAACCGCGAATTCTCCGCATCGCTGACTCGGAGAGAAGGAAATGAAGCTGGGGAAAGCTTCCCCTCAATCCACCAGTCTTTTGTGAGTGCGCTAGGCTGAATCGACCCGACGGACCGGACGATAACGTGTTCGCCCCTGGAAACTGAGATTAAATTTCAGGCACAAATCTCACTGCCAGGGGAGTAGAGGACCGGGGTTCGAGGGTTCATGCATAATGCATGACGAATGCTTGTGCAGGCCACCCAGACGAATACAAAGACTTTTAGCCGAAATGTGGAGGCGCGCGAATACGAGTACCTTGGAATCAGTCTACAGGCAAACACTACTAGTGAGTTGTTGATTTGAGTGGCAACACTTGTTTATTCTAAGTCTTGCAACTTGAGGAATCGAGTACGACAATCGAGGTTGGTTCGATGCTATCTTGCTAGGAGTAGATGTGTCCACTTACCAATAACCCAAGCAAGAGAGCAAGCGAAGGTCGACTTTCATGCCGCAAGGAATACACTGCAACATTTGGCATCACAAAGCATTACGTGATTAAAAGCTTATTCGTGTTGCGGCACAGCACCGATTTGATTCTTGTGAGCATGGGCGATAGGTTTAACCTGATGTTGACGCCTGGCAGCGCTGGGGCAAAATGAGGTGCTCTGAAAATTGGTGGAGGTGCGACCATCTGTTGCCAACGGTATCCTCCGTATCGACACATAAAGATGTGGCGCGATGGAGGGAATATTCCACCAGGTTCCGTCAATTTTTCCCGTAAAACATTATAGTGGAAGAGATTGCTTGTAATGGAGACGAGGAAGAAACGGTTAGCTAGTGCCTGGCTGTTGAGAACAGGGCAGAAAATAAGCCTCAGGATATGAAAGGCTTGTGAAAGTGCCCCAGAATCATTCGACATCTGAGGCGGCTGTCTGGACTCTGGTAAATATGATCATCGGCTGTATAACTCTGCCATAATGACCTTGACATAACCTCCTCAAAGTCAACAAGCAAAAGTTTGTTGGCCTGATTGAGTAGTGGCTAACAATATCACACATGTCATAAAACACAGACGAAAACTGGGAGAGATTCGAGATGTAATGTCTTCTTTCTTTCTAACGGATATTTTCAGCTGCTATATAGTGAAGTTTGCCTTCTGTTGTCATTTATTACCCATTCTTGATGTTTCAATCGAACCCCACAAACCAACTCTCCTGATATAATATATTTCAACAGAGTGAGACATATATCGCATTGATCGAGAACAATTTCATGCATGCACGAGCAAAGGGCTGTTCTCTATTGGGTGCTGACTTCCGCTTAGCAGAAGCAACAAAACTTCGACCAGAACCCGCGGGTCTTCGGCTTTGGAGCCTCTTTGTTCCCAGACACATCCTTGAAGGCAAAAGCGCAGAGGACCTTTGATCTTTCTTGAAGGATGACATCGTGCCAGTTCCCGTTGACTTCCTCCTCTCTGCCCCTCACCTCCATCCACTTATCCGTCCCGCTAGTGTTGTGCTGGAAACATACATACGACGGGGGGTTTGTGTCTTTCACGACGATGAAGTGATATGTGCCGGACTTGGTGGCGTACCCGATACCGATCTGGTCGACGTTCCACTCTGGGTCTCCGAAGAGGAACTGCTCGCCCCGCCAGACGAGGTTTCCGTCGCCGCCCCCGTGCTGGCCGCCGAGCACCTCCGAGCCCTCGGGTGTGAAGGCCCAGGTTTTTAGTAGGTATGGATGGCCCATCTGTTTTAAGCAGTCCTCCATTTCCGTGCTTACCCCGTCGTGAGGGAACATGCCTTTCCCCTTCAGGCGGTTCATCTCGGCCACGACGGGCTGTGGAAGCTCGTTTACATTCTGGAGACCCAGCAGGTACGCTGCTGTGACGAAGAAGCAATTATCGTTGGAGCCGGAGGGATTTAAGCTTGAGGGCATTTTGGCGGTTTGTAAAGAACAGCAGGAATTGAGTATGTGTAATTATTGCGTAGGATATGGTTTTCCTGGGTTGCGAGACAATCTTGATATCAGAACTCACAGAGAACCAGCTGTTGAGATTCGAAATGAGGAACCGCAAAGTATACTGTTCTTATATGGCGATGGAGTTCATTTTTAAACAAGGTGTGGCGCTAGGTAGAAAGCAGTTGATAGAATGGCCTTGTTTACCAAGAGAACTGCTTACTCATTCATGATGGCTGTACACCACCATGAGTTTCACGTACGCTGTTAAAGTTGCTTACTGAGAATTTCAGGGACAGGCGCGGCCGCCCCTTGCCCCCATGTCAGGTCTTCGTTTTGGTCTTATCTGCAACCACCTGTATAAGTAGTGTTTTGGGGGCGACATGGTTGGTCACAGCTGGCCGTTTGCCTGTTGTGGCTTTTAAGCTAATAATGATACCTCAGCAAGTGCGTCTGACCATCTGATACATGGCCCCTGTGGTTTGCGGATGGAATCAATTCCTCCTAAAATAGCAGAATCAGCCCGATATGTTTGCACCACCATCAGGTGAATGTGCCTTAGTAACTGCGTCTAATTATTGGGACTTCTCAATTCGCCAGAGGAATCATTTCAGCTGTTTCAGTCTCTACTAGAATAGCAGAGTCAGCTCAACACTTCTGCAAAGCTATTCAACACGTAGTTCATGAGGCATGAGGGATTGCGAAATAGCGGCCTCAATAACGGTTCTTGGCTCTCATTAGTCTAAGCATGGAAATATGCAATTCAACACATTTTCTTCAAAATAATCTGGCAGATTGCCCGGAAGTCACACTCTCATAGGCTAGAAGCCAAGGCATAATGAACTGTGATTTCAAAAATGTTTTGCGTGTGACGAAGCTTACTGAAGGCAGGGTGACGTCTTCAAAAGCTACTATTCAATATTTTTCATCTTATTCAGCTTCATCCATAATTCGAATATCCTCCCAGATTCCTTAAGAGCCATAATACCTGGCTAGGCACCGTTCGCCAACCTCCAGCAGACATTAATCACCGCGCTCGTCGCCAGTACATGGCTCAAAGTTCTCGGCGGCGCGACGTCGGCCAGATAACTAGCATAGTACACGCCGGTTTTCAACAGGACATGAAGCCCCAGCAGATTCCCAATTTGGGGATCAGCAGGTGCCAGACTCTGCGCAAGGGACGCTGCCACCGCAAATCCCGCGAAGTTCTCCAGCAGGCCGTAGTGCGCCGACCGCAGGCGGAGCGGTAGGCCATCTAGGTTATGGACATGTTTCCGGGGCGTGTTGTTGTCCAGACCCTCGCGGCGGCTCATGGCCTGACCCGCGGCGGAAAGCGCGCCCGACGCCCCGAAGGTCATAAACAGGTACAGCGCCGTCACTGAAATGCGTTAATCATATGCTACGGAGCCCCAAGTGATGCATTCTGGAAGATTCGGAAAAGAAGGGACGGGCAAATGTAGAGGGGGAAGGCTTATACTTACGGGCCGGGATAGTACGGCCCGGGGCGACGCCGCCGGGGATGAGTTTGAGTATTCCCTGAATGAGGCCTTGGAGCACACCGTCTGTTTTGGTGATGCTGGAGGTAATGGGGACGCCTACGAGGTATGCTGCTGCGAAGCCGCCAATGGCGGCACCAGATGGATTGACGCTGTGTGTCCTGGTAAATAGGAGCCACGATATGGCATCAGGGAAGGATATGCACTCACATCCCCTCATCGCGGGCGGCCTGCTTCGCTTTCTCTGATGTCTTTTTGGGGGGCATTTTGAGGCTTGTGGTGGAGTTTCTTTATCAGTTCGAATGTTTTCCACGGGCAACACTCGAGTTGTGATGGGGATGAAATGCGATGATGGAACAAATTCCGATGACATCACTGTTTCACGGTTCTAGCGTTCTGAAGAGGAGTCGAATTCTTACGTCAGTATCACAGGTGTCTTTTGCCCGAGGCTTTGACCCTCTTCAGGTACACTAAACGCCTTTGAGTTGCTACTTTAGTCTCCAGGCCCAAGAATTAGAAGCTGAAGCAGTGTAAGGCAGGCAATCGTGGTGATTCAATTCTGCTTCTATTCCGAATCGTGACCTCTTGTTTACATCCCACATCCCGAGCTTGGCATCGGTAAGGCGAGAGTTTGTCACAATGCAAACGCGTCGTTCATGTCTGTAACTGCCCCAAGGGCCACTCATATTTCTCGGGGCTGACGGCGCCGGAGATCACCCGAGCGCGATGGAAACCGCCGATCACAGTCCGAACTCATTCCTTGCGGAGGCGTTGCCCACTACTCTCCTCCTATGCCGGCCCCGGACGTGTGAGCTCGCTTATGTGCCTGCTATTATACATAACCATACGATCTGGGTATTCATTCAACAGGAAAGAGTTGTACTCCGCAGTGCGCTAACGCTTTCAAGTCTTAGGCCCCCCGCATCTCTTGCTATTGCCGACAGGTACGGGTACTGCATGTTGCAATTCTCCTCGTAAACGGTTACATTAGTGTGTAGTAGATCTTTCGCATGAATGGGCCGCTTGTCTGTCGAGTCAGTCATACGAACGAAGTGACAGAGCAGGCGGCGCACTTACAGGTTTGTTCGACTCGGTAGATTTGACACCGGGCTTCTCCGTACATGTCTAGGTAATTCTATATATGAACACCAAGGAAGCTGATGCTATCAATATGCTGAAGTCAAGGTACGCTCTCATGATGCTAGAATTCTTTCGATCAGTACAGAACGCCTGCAAGTTGGCTGTTCTAACGCTTCTTTTAGAATCAGTCTTGTCACACCCCTCTGGTCCCGTTGTCCCAAAATCTGTTGTGTCTACTGCGCGGGAGCGCATAAATATCAATCATGACTGGAAGTTTTCGCGGTTTGCCTCAAACCCCGACTCTTTATCTTATGATCCTACGTTGAAACCCTGGATCCTCCCTTCGGCCAACAATTTTATTGTTAACGGGACCAAATACGAGCGGCCCTCTGGTACGCCCCCTGGCAGTAATGTTGAATATGTTCAAGCAAACTTCGACGATTCATCATGGGACAGCGTGACCCTGCCTCACGATTGGGCAATCAAGGGTCCTTTTGGTGCACCTGACATCAGTGGTGGCATGGGACGATTGCCAACCAACGGGATTGGATGGTATCGCCGTAACATCACAATTGCGGAGAGTGATGTTGGAAAGTCTATATTCCTTGATGTTGATGGCGCACAATCTCACGCCAGTGTCTGGCTCAATGGTGTTATTGTGGGTGGTTGGCCCTATGGTTATTCCTCGTTTCGACTCGACCTGTCACCGTACGCCCAAGTTGGCGATGAAAACCTTCTTGCCGTCCGGCTTGAGAATGCCGTCGACTCGTCACGTTGGTACCCAGGAGCCGGCATTTATCGCAACATCTGGCTTGTCAAAGTCAACCCAGTCCATGTTGACCAGTACGGCACGCAAATCACGACACCGTCTGTCTCAGCAGAAGAAGCGACAATTCATCTCGGCGTGGATGTTGCAAACGAAGGGAATTCCAGCCAGGAGTTAGTCGTTAGAACGGACATTTACCCTGCTGAGAGTGGCGAAATAGTGGCGAAATTTCCAGAAACGACTATTCAAGTTGCCGCAGGAACAAAGCAGTCGGTAGAAAACTCCGTTACTGTCTCGAATCCATTGCTATGGGGCCCACCTCCGGCTCAAACACCAAACCTGTACCGAGCTGTGACGACCCTATCCGTCGGCAATGGGTCAGTCATTGATCAGTACGAGACACAATTCGGCATTCGCTCTGTCAACTTCGATGCAACAAATGGACTCATCGTTAACGGACAGGCTGTACGAATTAGAGGCACCAACAATCACCACGACCTGGGAAGCTTGGGAGCGGCTTTCAATGAGAGGGCGGCTGAACGACAACTTCAAATTCTCCAGGAATTAGGATGTAATACTCTTCGCATGTCACATAATCCCCCAGCACCTGAGTTCCTCGATCTAGCAGATCGTCTGGGCTTTTTAGTCATGGACGAAACGTTCGATGCCTGGAACGTGGCCAAGGTACCGAACGACTACCACCTGCTATTTCCTGACTGGCACGAGCCTGATACGCGATCTCTTGTCCGCCGTGATCTCAATCATCCCTCCGTGATACTTTGGAGTATCGGAAACGAGATCCCCGAGCAACGAACCGCTGATGGCGCTGAGACTGCCCGAGTACTGCGCGAGATTGTCCACAGCGAGGACCCATCACGACCAGTGACCATGTCATTCGACCAGGCGCAGCCGGGCGACACTGTCGCTGATTTGATGGATGTTATCAGCCTGAATTATCAAGGCGAGGGTCGGGGGACTTCGTGGGCTAGCGTCTTCCCTGGATTCCACGACACGTACCCGGACAAGTTGATATGGACTAGTGAAAGTTCAGCAGCAGTGAGTACACGGGGCACATACATCTTTCCAGTTGTGGGCAACAAAAGTCAAATTGTCAGTGACGGCCAGGGAGGAAATTCGACCTCGTTGCAGATCAGCTCGTACGAGCTATATGCCCCAGTTTGGGCGACGGGGCCAGACAAGGTCTTCACTCAGCAGGACACGTATCCTTATGTTGCAGGCGAGTTTGTTTGGAGTGGATTTGATTACCTTGGAGAACCAACTCCATACGATTCTTTCCCGCTCGCACGTAGCTCGTACTTTGGGATTATCGATGTGGCTGGGTTCAAAAAGGACAGGTTCTATCTCTACCAGTCACGATGGCGGCCCGATCTACGAAGCGCGCACATCCTGCCGCACTGGAGCTGGTCCGACCGTGTCGGCGAAATAACGCCTGTTCATGTGTTCTCATCTGCTGATGAAGCAGAGTTGTTTGTCAATGGAAAATCGGCTGGCCGCCTGATAAAGGAACCTCTCACTTACCGCTTTCGCTGGGACAATGTCACCTATTCACCCGGCGATCTCAGAGTCGTAACATACAAAAATGGAGACGTGTGGGCGGAGGCAACCAAGAGAACTGTCGGTCCCGCCGAGGGACTCAACGCGACAGCTGACCGTACAACAATCACAGCTGATGGGTATGACCTGTCATACATCACGGTGGCAGTGACCGACGGCTTGGGCGACATTGTACCCTACGCAAGCGATAGCATCACGTTCTCCATCTCCGGCCCAGGTGAGATTGTGTCTACCGACAATGGTAGTCCCTCGGACCAGACACCATTTCCATCTCTGACGAGAAAGGCTTTCAGTGGTCTAGCTTTGGCCGTAGTGCGCACAACGGCTGGACAAGCTGGAGAAATCACAGTCTCGGCGGCGGCAGACGGTCTGACGTCGGCTCAAGTCACTTTACTTTCTGTGTAAATAAAACCACTGAATCTTCCATGATTGGAAAATACAATCTACGGCTACGTTTCAAACAAGTGGCCATTCTAGCTTCATTAGTATCGTGACCTACACCTTGAGAGATTTTGGAGTTCACGGGCAAATGCAAATATCATGGCGGCGGCAGTTGCCCCGGATTTTGCGTCGGCCTTGCCATCTATGATGGTCAAATGCAGGAGCTCTTTTCGCTTTTCGCTTACAGAATCTCACCATACATGATTTTGACCGCGAGAACGGTGCTCAAGCATATTTGTATTCAAGTACTGAAATTAAGCACTCTGCCTTGAACAGTTGAGCTAGAGCCTGAACTTCAGCAATTGCTTCTGAGATGCAGGAGGCTGCAATTCCTTTGGCTGATCTGGATCGTAGCCGACGAGACAATTGACGGTCTCATTTCCCTCGCCGCTGTCATTGATCTCGCTACCTACTGGTGACCGCCATTGTCCAGTGAGCTTGATATACCCGTCAAGCGCATTGTTCAGCGTATGGCCAATCTCAAGGGCTTGCGCAGCTCGCGAATGAGCGTAAAAGGTCAGCAATGCCTGAGCAGCCTCTCGCTGGTCCTCCTTGATTAAGAGACTCGCCGACTTCTCCACCCATCCGTCAACATCCCCACGGGACTGGTTCTCGAAACGCGTCAGCATCTCTGTCACAATGGGCAGGAATTGATTTGGGTCCGAGCACATGTAGTACAGCACGCGCTTGAACACTCGGCCAGCAAAGACTGAAGCCTCTTGGAGTTGGTAGTCCGGGTTCAAGAAGCTGCTCGAGGCTCCAGTGGTCAGGTATCTATGCTCGCCGGACTCTGGCGGGATCGACTGCACGCCGAGCCACCAGGGAGTGAAAGGGGCTGCGACTGAGCCAGTAGGTGCGTTCCAGATGCGTAGCATGTCACTGTCGATATCGGCGTGAAGGCGGACGACCTGCCCGTAGCCAGCCTCGTCATCGGCAATGCGATGGTCACGCACCCGCTCCATCAGCTTCTCTTCAGTCAATGGCGCCATCGCCAGGGTAGCGTTTTCCAGAGCGGCCTGTGACATGAATTTGTACCCGCCGTCGCGAGCCTTGTATCTGGGGTCCTGTGGTCCGTAGACGTCGAATATATTGAATGGCTTGCCGGAGGTAGAGTTCCACCAACCCTGTTCAACCGCGAACGAGACAATATTCTCAGAGCCCATGAAATTCGAGTCATTGGCAAAATCGACGGGGAAGTCCTCAATGTAGCCGGGATATGACACCCTGACTTCATTAGGTCCCAGCCGCTGGGCGGCCCAGAGCCCAGCACCACCTGCCATTTCCCAAACTACCCAACCCTCGTCCTTGTCGGCAAGAAGGTGCGAGTTGCCACCGTAAGTGGATTCGCCGTACTTCTTGATGAGGTCTCCAATTAGCTGAACGCCTTCCCGGGCTGTGCTTGCTCGTTCCATAACAATGCGGGCCAGATCGCTGTATTGCAGCCCGTGCTGGGGATTAGGCGTCATGTCCAGAAGCTCCTGGCGGTTGTCGGCCCAAACATCTCGGACTGCAACGCCCTTCTCGTTGAGACCGCCATTTGTCAATGGCGCCGGGAATCCTTCGTAGTCTGAATATTCCATACTTAGATAACGGAATGTATGGTTTACTTGAGGAATCTGAATGAGCTCTCCGGGGAAGATGGCATCTTCGGTGACACCAACAGTGACGGTGGCATTAGGAGGATGGTCACGGGCCGGGAAAAGCTGAAGCCAATGGCTTGAGACTTCTTCGCCGGTGCCGCCGAGAAGGACGCTGCCATCCGTGGTAAGGTTTTTGCCCACGTAGAAGGCATAGCTGGCGTAGGCTGGAGTAGCCAGCCAGATAGCGGCCGCCAGCGCATTATCAGGCAACATGTTCTCTGGGGGGTTGGGTATTGTCAAGAACCGCCGTGAAGCATGAGGTACCCGGAAGGTCGAAGGCGAGGGTCAGGAATTCCCTCGAACAAATACTTAGCGGCTTGGTCTCCGCAAAGTTGCTCACGTGAATCCCCGAAATGACATATCCACAATTCGGTGAAGATGCCTCTTATCTCAACCGCAATCGGAGACCCTTGAACCTGGTTCTTAGTTACCGACTCCGGCAATTATTTAATGAAATTAGTTGTTACACGAAAGTAAAGCAAGTTCTTGAGTTGACTTGGCACAAACATGGCATTAGCATGGGAAAGATGCGTGGGACGAATTCAGGAATCTATACGTGAATGTTTGCAACTGGCTTGATGTCTCGAACCACTCGATGCCAAGACACACGAGGGACATTTCTATTTGTCAAAAATAGGTGATTTATTGCGTTTAAAAATCAACACTTACATACAGGCTATAGATCTCTCAATTGCCAAGCCTCATGTTGAACTTGATCTGTTATTTTCCCATTTTTACTCTCTCGAGTCATACTAGTACACCGGACCATCAGGAAATGCCTTCAATGCCTTCATCAGTCATATTCATTATTACTACATGCATTTTTACTGCTACTAGATAGGCAAGGAAACAAGATTCACATGCAGCAGCGCAAGAAACGCCTCGATTAAAAGTAGAAGCAGTCTCAGCGCAGAGTCCCAGCGCATCAAGTCAGCGCACTGCGGGACACGCATGGCACATTATTGTTCTCTAAGGAGCCTTGTGCCCTCTTGCCTTGTAGCCCGAATTATCGACTTGTTTGACTCACCGTCGGCGTGGTCGCACAAAGTACAAACTGATGTCGAAGTAGTCCGGGCAATAATTATTGCACAACTTGAAAATCCCGGGACATATACACATTGGCGAAAAGCACGCAATGCCCTGCATCATGGCTGTTGAGAAAGGTCCGAACCAAAGTAGATCGGCCACACAAGCGCGTACTGAAGCAGCTCACCCTCTGTGTACGTGACCCTGCTTGTCTGGAACATTCCTCCCTCGAACGAAAGAATATCAGTGCTTTGGACACTGTCACCCTCACCATCATCACAGTTAGTCTCAGACCTCTAATAGGCACCTATAGTGACAAGACTTCATCTCATTGCCGTTATCACTGTGGTTATTGCTACATGATGGATGTGTCAAAGACTGGACTTTCGGGTGCCCAGCGTCGTATAATTCTGGACAATACCTCGCCATCTCGCCTAGCTCGAAAGAAAGAGAAGGAAAGTGGTCAAGGAAGTAGGGTAACTTCTAACTGCCTCAAGACTTGAAGGGCTAAGGGCCTTGTGCCTGCAGGTGGCATGAGCGTCAAGCCTGTCAGTCATACCAATCACAGCAGTCACGTCCGACCGTCTGCCACTAACACCCTGGTCAGAGATGAACCTGAATTGCCTCAGAGCTGACGCGACTGAGCAAATGTTCTGACTGGGCGGTCCCAACACTCTTCCGTGGCCTGACTCCAATCTGACAGCTGCTTCGTTCTCCATCCCGTCCAAAATCCAGGGAACTTCAACACATCGACTGGTGCCGCAATTCCAATCACCAGTTCGTGTCGTTTGTTCAGTATGGCAAGCTCCAAGAGGAGACTACTCCCAGCGCTGCTCAAACCTACCCTCTATGAGATATGCTTGGAACCTGAATTCAAAGCAGATTCGTTCAATGGGGTCGCCACCATCTAGTAGGTGATTGTCTCCACGGTGGTTTCGAAGAACAGGCGATATTCTCATATTGACCAACAAAGCTGCACCGTAGTCAGCCACACGTCATCTATCAGGCTACACTGCACGTTCATCACCATTTCAGCAGCCACAGTGGATTATCAGGGCTCTACGATGGCGATCGACCTCGATTCTTTACGGTGCCTTACTTCCCTCTTCTTGGCAAAACTGAAGCATTCTAACACCGGCGCAGTTATGACAAGAACGACGAGACCGTAGAGCTCAGCGTAGGTGAAGAGCTTCGTCCTCTGGAAGAGGTCAAGATCAGTCTCACATACACTGGGAAGTTCAAGAGAGACCTAGAGGGCCTCTACCAATCCACATACACCGCAAACGAGTCCGACTATTGCATTGCGACGACACACATGGAGCCCACGTATGCCAGACAGGTATGATTCCACTGCAGTCCCCGCGTCTGGCAGAAACTGATAGGGCAAGGTCTTTCCTTGCTTTGACGAGCCTGACATGAAGGCCGAGTTTCGCATGTCTGCTGTCGTCGACCTCTCATTTTTGTGCGTCTCCAACATGCCAGTCAAGCATTCGTTCCTGCTGCCGCAGTCCAAAAAACTGGTGGTCTTCGAAAAGACCCCCCGGATGTCTACTTATGTGAGATAAATCACGTTCTGTATCTTTCGCAGAACAGTCAGTCTGACAATGTTGCAGCTAGTTGCCTTGGTGACCGGTCCACTCGCCCAAGTATGTTCTGAAACTCAACCGCCCATATCAGTTGTTTGCCCTTTGGGATGCGAGAAAGAAGCGGCGTTTGCTTTGGACCTGGCAGCCAAGGGCTTGAAGCTCTTCGAGAATATGTTCGAAATCCCGTTCCCGCTGCCGAAGCTGGACCTGGCGGCCGTTCCCGACTTTTCCGGAGGCGCCATGGAGAACTGGGGCCTAATCCTCTCCAGGAAAAATTGCTTACTGCTGGACCCCGAGCACAGCTCGATCGAGAAGGAAAAGGATGTCGCAGAGACTGTTCTCCACGAGCTCGCACACATGTGGTTTGGTAACCTGGTTACCATGAAATATTGGGATGGTTTGTGGTTGAAAGAGGGCTTCGCAACGCTCATGTCGTGGTTGGCCACCGACAGATTGTTTCCCACCTAGCAGTTTTGGGATGCACATACTGCTAGCTCCCTACAACAGGCGCTTGAACTCGATTCCCTCAACGGAAGTCACCCGGTGGAGATGGAAATACAAGACGCTGCCCAAGCAAAACAGGTTTTTGATGATATATCCTATGGAAAAGGCTGCGCGATACTCATGATGCTGTTCATCGACCTGGGGCCAGACAAATTTTTGAAGGGAATCAAGTTATACCTTCGACGATACGCGTACGACACCACCACTTCGGAAGATCTCTGGGCTTCATTGGAAGAGGCTACGGCCGAGCCCATCCGCGAGAGGATGCTGACTTGGACAAAGAAGCCTGGATATCCAGTGGTTACTGTAACCGAAGTCATTGATAAAGAGTCTCAGAGAGTTGTAGCCCTACACATTCTCCAGAACAGATTCCTATCCAGTCCTGACAGGGACGTGGTGGGTAAAGCCTCGGATGATGTGTATGACCTTCGTCTCGGGATCCGGATTGACAGCGGTATCCGGATGGTCAGATTCAACACCAAAGAGATGACTATCGACATTTCGGAAACAAGCTTCATAAAAGTCAACGCAGATCATACCGCCTTCTGCCGCATTTCGTACTCGACAAGCCATCTGAAGAAGCTGATCAAGGCAGCAGCAGGTAACAAGCTCACATTGCGAGACTCTATCGGGCTTTCCCGTGATATAGAGGCACTAGTCGCTGCGGGAATCAACAGGACCAGCGATCTCCTGGACTTGTCGCTTGGTCTGATGCCTCGGAAGGAATACCTCGTCTGGGAGATCATTCATCGTAATCTGCAAGCTGTTGGATCAGCTTTCAAGTTCCACGACGCCTCGATAACCAATGGACTAAGGAAAGCTGTCACCGACATCGTTGGACCGAAATCTCACGAGCTGGGTTAGGAGATGACAGATCGAGATAGTGACGATATGGTGTCTTTCAAAGCATCCATGTTTAGTGGCGCTGGTATGGCTGGGGATACACAGTAAGTCACTGGGTTTCCTCGTGATTCTGAAAGCATTCGAGTCTCTGGAATCACACGATAACAGTAAGTACAGGGTCATTGCGGCAGCACGCGAAATGTTTTCTCAGCGGATAGGCGGCGACGAAGAGGCGATCCATCCTTCGCTGAGATTGGAAGTCTTTGGTATAGTCGCCGAACATGGAAGCAGACAAGAGCTAGAAAAGCTCCTAGATGTTTGGAGATCATCCCCTAGCGACATTGAGCGGTACCAAGCTCTTCAGTGTCTCGGCCATGCCAGCACGGTGGAGCTGATAACATGGGTTCTCAAACTTGCTCTTACGAGAGATGTCAAAGACCAGGACGTGAGTCACCCTGAGAGCCAATTATCAGACCACATGGATATTAAGACGCTGACCTAGCTTTGAATACTGTGTAGTTGCATCTCTTGATACAGCTCATGGCCTCCTCGGCCCATGGAGCTGTACAGCTCTGGAACTGGATGAAAGTCAACTGGGGTCGCGTGGAGACCTCTGTTCCGGTGGATCTTCGATGCGTGATACTTGGAGTTGTTCTCGACGGCCTCAGTACTGAGGAGCACATAGCCGATGTTAGGGCTTATTTCAAGGCTCGGGACTCGGAAGCATACCATCAGGTTCTGGAGCAGAGGTTGGAGCGGATGGAGGTCAGAAGAAGCTGGGCTGAACGCGATGCTGAAGATGTCAAGGCCTGGCTTGAAAGTCACGGTTACTTGGTTTGATATGGTTACTTTTTAAATTCGCAAGGAAAGACACATCGGAGATCAACATCATTACTTGGAAACATACGAGGTCTCAAGAGCTGGATAGAATTAGTGGATCGGCTGACTAGCCTTGTCAACGTTATGGTGGCACGGCCTACCCCTACTTAGTGCCGACATAATGGGAGCCTGCGTCATCGATCTTCGCCTTACAGCCCTAGTTTCAACCTGACTTAACCTCGTCTTCCAAGCTGCCATTCTACCTTTTCAAACAGAATATTAACACAACCCCAAGAAAAAGTAATGTCCAATCACGATGAACAATCGCCGCTGTTGCAGCATAACAGCGAGCAGGATGGAGAAGAACCGAGGACCATCGAGTTCTCCAAAGAGGATGACGGTAACCCGAGAGCTTGGCCACGCTCTAAGAAGCTTACAAACATCGCAGTTGTTGCGATGATGGCGAGTAAGAATGCTATCAAAACCTTCAAGCTTGCATCTGCTGATTCTTGCAAGTTCTGAGTCCCCTCGCCAGCTCTATGTTCACCCCGGGTATCAACTCCATAGCTGAGGATCTGGGAACCACAATGAACGTCGTCATAGGTGCCACAACTGGTTTCACAGTGATGCTCGGATTCGGACCTCTCATCCTCGCACCATTATCCGAGACGTTTGGCAGGAGGAAACTTTATCTATCATGCTTCTCAGTGTTCACGTTGCTGCAGATTCCCACCGCATTAAGTCCCAATGTGGAGACCTTGATCGCGATGAGAGTGCTTTCTGGTGCAGTGGGAAGTGTGGGAATAGCAAACGGCGGTGGGACCATTAGTGACATGTTCGAGCCTCACGAGAGGGCGGGCGTGTACGGATGGTATCTACTTGGTCCGCTCCTGGGGTGAGTTTCACAGTCTCGCTTTTTCAGGGATGCCACTAACAGGCAGGTTTCGACAGACCAACAATAGGACCTCTCTTCGGTGGTCTCATCGTCCAGAGACTCGGTTGGCGGTGGATTTTCTGGACATTGGCCATTGTCTGCGGCATCAATACTATGGCCGGGTTCCTATTCCTAAGAGAGACCTATGCACCTGTCATCCTCGAGGCACGCATGCGAGACCTCGAGAACGATGGAGGGCGTCCGGGCCGATACCGCTTCGCTGGGCAAGATACACGCCCTCTTTCCTCCAGGCTTGCTACTGCCTTCTCAAGGCCATTCCGGATTTTCATTCAGCCCATCGTCCTGACGCTGAGTCTCTATCAGGCTCTAATTTTTGGTACCACATACAGTCTCTACACAAACTTTGAAGCCATCTACAGCGGCATATACGGGTTCAACACGGAACAAGTCGGCCTGCTGTATCTCTTCCCCGGTGTTGGCTTTCTCATCGCAGTCCGCCTCATCGTGCCACGTATCGACGATGTGTACATCGCACTGACTCGCAGAAACAACGATATATCGAAGCCAGAATTCAGACTCCCGCTGGCAAACATCGGCGCCATTCTCGTGCCCGCGTCCCTATTCTGGTTTGCGTGGACGGTCGAATTCGAGGCGCCATGGCTGGCGACCATTACCAGCACCCTATTCTACGGAGTTGGACAGGTTTTGATCGTTTCTTGTGTCCAGAATTACTACATAGATTCTTTTGAGAAGTACGCCGCGTCAGCTATCGCTGCTGGAGCAGTCTTCCGGTCTGTGGTCGGAGGGATCACGCCACTGCTGGCACCATCGATATTTGACGCTCTAGGATATGGCTGGGGAGTATCGGTGTTTGCGTTTCTGGCTGTCGCGCTCGCGCCGGCACCTGTGGTATTTTACACGTTTGGAGAGAGAATCAGGCAGAAGTATCATGTCGAGCTCGATCGTTAGATGTGAGAGCTTGAGTCCGGGCGTTACATGCAACCATGTCACATATCCCGAAATCGTTCATCATCACTTTTTGTATTAATGTTTTGCTTGATTATGACTCGAATATCCACATTCAGAGTAGTTCAATGCTTTCAATCGGGGATCTATGTGGATGATCTCCCTTCATCTGGAACAGTCATCGCTTATATTAGTAGAACTAAGGTGCTAAGGATTTATGCTTTCCAGTCAATCTATGTCATTCTCTTCATATGACATAGCAACCCCACGCTGAACCCGAAAAAGACTCCATAAACAGACTCGATCATCCATATCAAACCGCCACCCCGCTGCTGGTCTAACGGTATGGCGTTCGGTGTATAGATACATTTAACTTGAAACATGTCTTACTAAGAAATACTTGGGGGAAGTCCCGCCTCTTCGCTGCCAACATGGTGAATTCGACTGAAAGTTTATAAAGATTGGCTGCTAGACTTTCAGTGCTAACCAACTAGTCATTTTTCTAGTTCTCACACAAATCGATTCTCCCGATTTCGAATTTGACTTGCTTCAGACATATTCTCCTAGGCTCTGCCATCCAAAGTCCGACCAAACCACCTAACAGTCTTTTTGTGTCACCCTTTAAGTGTGTGTGTTCTTGCTGTGGGCGCGTACGAAGGCACCGATCTTGGATCCGACCCCGTACGCACTTTCTTCCCAGCCCAACAGGTTTCCTGAGGCAATGGTGTCGTGCGGTACATCTTCCTCGCAAAATAGTTCGACCTCGTTGCCAGAAACGTCTCGCATGCCCTCAGCCCAAGCCACAATACCAGGACCCAAGATCTCACACTCGCCATAGTGGGCAAAGATAGGAACGCTGGTGGCGAAGTAGTGACCAAGAGGCTCGATGTATGGAATAGCTGAGCCATCAATTTCCAGCGAAGGAGCATACGCATTGGCACCGAATTGCAAGCTCGACATCGCAAGGTAGTCGGTCGAATAAGCCTTCTCATTCTGGTATGTGCGTGTAGGACTCAATGACTCGAGAGGGCTGACCCATGGTGAGACAAGAGCCGCAGAGCTGGGTGGCTTGATGCCAGTATTATGCCCCTCAACGTACCGGAGAAAGGCTAGGCACAGGTTTGCTCCAGCACTATCGCCACCAATGGTGATCGAAGTTGAAGGGATCTTCAGCGTCTCTGTAAGATAAGCATATGCTGAGATCATATCTTGCAGCGCAGCCGGGAATGGATTTTTGGCGTATCCGGAGAGACGGTATTCGAGACAGAAGACGGCATCAGCCCCTGCGTGCTCAAGAAGCACCTTCGCGAGGAAGCCACAGAACAGCTCTCGAGAATCGCCCATGACGAAGGCACCGCCGTGGTTCCAGAGAAAGATCCGGCCTTCTAGGCTCTCGGGCTTCTTGGGATACCAAGTTCCCCCGACCTTTGATGGTGCAACAGTTGAGCTCACAGCAGGACCTTGATAGAATGACTCTGAGAATTGCGCTGGGTCGACAACTTGGAATCTTTCTCCTTGTTTGCGAGGGTCTAGTGTGAGGTTTGCACTGACACCAGCCCGACCGAACGCGTCCGAGTATTTCCGAATCAAGCGTGCACTGAGAGTCTGTCTGAACGTCCACTTCGGGTGAGGCCGGCAAATGAGAGCCGCGATGAGAGTGTATGGTAGACCGACAATTATTAAAATCACTCTGGACACATGACCAAGTTGTCGCCATGGAGAGCGAGCTGCGCTAGGTCGAAGCTCCTCTTGGGCCATCGTCTCAACTTCAATCCTCGCGTCCTCGAATGCTCGGCAGCTTCGAAGTTCTGAAAGATCGGTCACGTCCGTAGTCAGGGACTACGAGTCTCATGCGTCGCCAGGCGGAGTATAAGACACAGAAGACTCACTGAATTCGAAAATTCAAAGCATCAATGGATGTTCTCGGATAACAGGCTGACATATATTTGAGCCTCTCTCTTTCAAGAGACTTTATATAATGAAAGCAATAAAAGGAATTACCTCGTGGAGTGGGATCTTTCAGGAAGTACAAAGCTGAGTGAGGAGGTGGCTTTCGTGTAAACTTGGAAGTGGCGGAGGCCAGCAGCGCCGAAGATTCCGATGGGGTGGGTAGACACTTTGCAATCCCGATACGCTAGTAACCAACTGTATTCTATCTTGGCTCCAACCAACAGTCCGTCATATTTCTTATATGCAGTTGGTACTACTTGGTGTCTATGCTATGCATATTGGAACCATTGGTTGGTGTATACGTTGTTTGATTGGCCGCATGTGGATCAGACCTCAGGAATTCTAGTTGATCTCGATAGATCTTGATGTTTTCGCTTGAATATCGAGCTCGGAAGGTCAGATACTGCCGCCAATCGTTCTTCGTATCTTTTTCCAAATGCGTTCTATCATCAAAATAACATAATTCGATCAATTCATTTGACTGTTTAATTTAATTCATATTTGATCATTTTGAGGTTTGATCAGGCTTTTCAACCAGCGATTTTATAAAAAGGATTTTACAGTACGGTGATGTGAAGAGCATTGAGAGTTATGGGAACAAGACACTTGTTGCGACGGCTCTCTTGAAGTTGATTTATACAGACTCTATTCTCGCTGTAGCGGAGACATTAACTAAATTAGAGAATATCTTTAGCGAGACCATAATATCATGAGTCTGCCTAGAATACATTCAGATCTTGAGGCTTCAATACGAGCGGTTTTAACTGACCCCGTTATGTGGGCCAACACTTCTATTTAACCAGCTTGCGAGCCCCTAAAGGCCTTGTGACTTACAGTGGCAGTTCTTTCAGACCTGAAGATTCTCAAACATACAAGACTTCACAAGATTCGTGTCGTATTATGATAGCTCTGTACGAGGAAGATATTCCTCTCGTCTGTCCTAATTAGAAGAAGTCCTGCATACTCTCAAATGCTCGAGGTGTTTTTCCCTCCAAGGCTAGGTCCCCAAAGCCCATGCAATGGTCTATGTGCTACATGCGGGTCGTCACACTAAATTAGCTCGATATACTGCAAGCCGGCTATACATTTCTGCAACACCTCGGGTGCCAGGTTCAATGTTGCCTCCGGATTCTCGGACAGTCGCTTCCGAAATTCACCAAGAACAACTCCGAGACTTTCAAGGCGAGGATCCTCTTGGAATAACTCTCCAGACCACAAATTCTCAAAACGCCGTGACCACCCAAGTCTGACGGTGTCTTCGATCCAGCTAAAGCCTATATGGTCTGGCAGATTTCCGAGGAGAGGCTCACCGCGAGCGCAACCCTCCACATAACATACCCCAACCACGGAGTATTGATTGGCCCCATTGAGGCATCTCCTTAGCACCAGAGGCTGCTGACAGCCCACAATCACGAAGATCTCGTCGCCGATTCTTGTTGAGGGAGGCGACACACCTACGTATCCGCCTGTACTGATGATGAAGCTCTTTCCACCCGATCCCCAATCCATTCTCTTCAAAAATCTCTGCGCATGACTTCCTATCTTGTAATCCTCCGAGACGAGGTCGACCCCCGAGACGAATCGACTCATTTCCGCCTCTGCTATTTGTGTGGCGGGAAAGTTGCCATCTCGGACGTGCCCAAAGTCGGAGACAGCACCACAGACCATAGTCCTGGCAAGAGCACGCAAGAGAGATCCTCCGGGCGGATATACCGTGGTTTCGCTCTGGGGTGGCGTAATGCGTCGCAGGAACTTAACGGCCTCATTCCAGTCGCGTTGGTAGAATTTGGGTACTGGCTGAATCTCTTTGACCACTGTTTGTGATATACCAAGAACTTGCAGAGTCCCAGTCCGTGGAAAAGCAAAGTGTCCCTGTAACTGTGAAGAGGCGAAAGTGCCGTGTCTCGACTGAAAGCCTGCTTTGGTCGACCAATCAGGTACCCAAGAAGGACCAGACCAGCGCTGCGAAAGTTGAGATAATTCGCACTGGCGGAGGATTGTGAGACCGTTGGGGTACCTTTTGATATAGTTTCGAGTAAATTCAGAGTACACCTCGACTGTCGACCTGGTGTAATTCGGTTCTCCGCATAGCTCCTGTTGATCCTCCAACAGCAGAGATCTTATGCCATATATACGATCCCTGGGGTCAGAGCACAGGGCGTCGTCAAAGATACCCCGTATTGACAGGAAATCGGTCCATCGCATTTGGAAGATGAAACCTGCTATGGTCATAAGGCGATTTTTAAGCAAGTAAATCACGTTACGTGGTTTAGGCCGCTTTGAATACAGCAAGCGCAAGGCCTTTCGAAAAACTGGCCATGGCATCTGATGAGAGCCGCAGCACACAAAGGCCTTGTCTTCCGCAACTAGAATTTCTTGTCGTATCCAAAGTCTGTCGAACCAATGTCTGTTCAAGAGGCTTGCTACCGCATGTGACTGTTTCATGTTCATAGGAAGATCAAAGTTGGGGGTCAGCTATGTTGCGGTCGACATGCCCGATATCTGCAGCAGGAGTGATTCGATGAATTCCGCCCCAGTCAACATCGATCTGCGAACCGATGTACGAAAGACGCTCCATCGCCATGTTACTATCGTTCGCTTCCGGGCCCAGCCAGACCACAACATGTGCCGCGCAGGCGAATAGTTGGCCCATCATAGCCACCTGAGCGCCTTTCTCAACGTTGTCGGATTGATTGATACATAGCGCATCTATCCACATGACACGTTTCTGGCGGGGGTATCGGAGATGTAACAGGGCCGTTTTGAGGCTTCTCGTGACTTGTAGTGCCGCCTTGTCGGATTTTCCAATGTATATGACTTTGCGCGCCTTCGTAGACCCCCAGACGTACGAAAGTGCTTCGTACCGGGGTGGACTTTGTAAAGTGAAGGTCTCGATGTGAAGGTCGAGAACTACATCGCCATTACCGACTCCAGGATGTATTGTTGCTAGCCTGATTGAGGCTGTTCCGGGGATCTTGGGCAAGGGCTTATATCGGTATCTTGCCATACTACCGGGATACAATACCAGATCTTAACAGTCTTATTCCAAATCATTACTCATGTATACAGTGTCAGAGAGCATAGACAAAAAGTGTGCATTGGCTACGGAAGAAAGAGGGGAAGAAAGCAGGCAATCTGCGACTTTCCTGCACCATAAATCTTAGCTAACCCGTTTGGCGTAGGCTGTACTGATACTAGACCCACACGTGAACGTCAGCAATTAATTTTGTGGCACATCAATGCTACCCCAGCAGTAGGTGGGTAGGGTTTTGCAACTCACTTCCATCGAAAGACAAGACTTACATATGCAAGGCTTGTTTCTCCATCATATCTCAGGTGGGAGCATGTCACTATTTACCAGGACTGATTTGTAGGGTTGCAGTGTCAGGTACGCATGGCTGAATGACCGTGAACTACATATACTTTGATTCTAAGGACACCAACTTTCGGAAATGTTTGCCCGCCGTGAGCGACACTACATGGTTCCACAACCGAGGCTTCCACAATTTGATCGAGAACGGACACAATCATAGTCCCACTATCCACTTCTCCAAATGAATCGCACCCATCAGAGCAGCGCTCTAAGTTTCTGTACTTCTTTGTCACCTTATCAAAATCCATGATAATTCCACCATGGTAACGCACATGAAGGCTACCGAGACTGTGATATGTTTTGTCGCCATCATGTGGCGAGAGAAGGACGCCTGCCAACTGCTTTCTGCTGGCTTGAAGCTCTATGGCTCGCTACAGGAAGACTATCAGCACATATCCATTACACCATTTAGCAATGGATGACCTCACCTCCTCGAAGGAGTTTTGGATGTAGAACCGCACTGTAGTCACTTCGCGTATTTGGCCGAGGCGGTGAATTCTCGCAAGAGCTTGCTCCTCAAGAGTTGGATTCCGGCGTGATTCTCAATGAGTGAAAGTCATGAGATAACTTTGCTAGAAACATGATCTTGCCAATGAGGCGCCATGAGATAGGCACGCGTGGCCTTGGTGAGTGTGAGGCTGAGTTAACAATGTCAGCGACGAACTACGCGTGTGTCGGTCTCAACTAAGAACTGACTCAACGGCACCGCAAGACAGTGTGAGTAACATGACACGGACTCTAGGGTCTTTCCTCAATTTCTCAACCACATTTTGTCTGTCTTTCTGTGGCATTTTGCTGTCGAATATAACGCACTGAAAAGAAGCCTGTTTCAGGCCGGCTTCGACAATTCCAAGCGTAAGGCTCCAAGTGAAAACTTGATATGTGCAGAAGGAGTGATCCGACAATTTCCACCCCAATCAACATCGATCTATGAACCGATGTGCCAAAGACACCCCATCACCATGGCACTCCCATTCGCTTCTAAACCCAGCCAGACCACAATGACTAAGCAGGATACGTGAACCAACGGCTCAACTGGCTCGATGGCGAGCCTCACACTGCGGATCGCTGGCTCAACGAGCGAGTCTGCAAGCCGGACTAAAGAGCTGGATGTATAAAGAACACATCCATTACCAAGTACGTAGCGTTCATAGTAGAGTCTTTAGTCGTAATCTAAGTATTCAGTTTAACATCTAAATAGTCTCACAGCTAGTGGTCATTACTCGAGAAGCACATTGCACAGCGTAAAACCCATTGATACTGTATCTGCTAACACGAACCCTACAGGCCACTGCTAGACCCTACAAAGGTTTAGTGTGATCATCACAATCTGATCTTTGAATGGCTCTTTTTAAAGCTGGAAGCTGAAAGTATAGGGGAGTTTCCAGGTCATTCAAGTTTTTCTTTTAAAGAGAAACTAGAAATTAGAATCAGGTAGCGGTATATTCTAATGCGACCAGAAGCCTTCTTCTTCTAATACCTTTGTTAAAAAAGAACCAGTTGCAATTATAACATAACAGAAGTTGCAAAAGAGATAAGAGCGAATGGGGCAGACGGAGACAGCGTGGGTAGTTACAGCATAAACTCCTCGGCTGTAATGGATAGCGAGCTTCATGGCCTTCGATGGTCTTTACAATAGGACAGATGGAGACAATAGTCTAGACTGCCCATGTCGCATCTCCAGGTGTTTATTGGTCGTTGAGGAGACTCTTAAGACGAGGTTTCATGGGCCAAGATCGTCGTGCGTCAAAAATTTATAAGCGCCCTCTGCAGCGCCACCCGCCCCCATGGACACTTCTAACCGAACTCCCGCCCCGTTAGAACCAATCGGTAACCTTTTATTCCATCTATTCGTCGAGGTAAATGGGATACATACAGACTGATCCCCTGTCTTCACTAGCCGTTCCTGGGTGACTGTTACATTAGATTTTCTGCATGCACGTCTTCAAGCCCGTCCAATAGTTTCACGAGTTTCTCAATGCAGTCTGTACAACCCTCCATGTCAGACGCCACATCAGCATGGTGGAATCTGAGTGGGTCTATAAGGATCGAGGAAGTCCAGCCCCCCTTTTTGCGCTGCCATGCGATTCTTCGAAGTTTCAGCTCGAAGTTGGAATTCTGTCTCTCCAGAAGATTTGAGGCCTTCATGAAACAAACTGATGCGCTGACTGTCTGGCAGGCATATGAAAAGGATTGAAATGAAATGTGATTGAGAAGGGCCCTCACCATGAGTACCCGCGACAAGGCTAGAGTCCTTCGCTTGCGGTATGTTCCTGGCCATTTGGACAGGTTAGAGGTCATCAAACTTCTCTCAAAGTCGCTCAAAAACGTGGAAGAAACAGGCATCACCATCTTTTCCCTGGCATTAGATGTCAACACTCTATCACAAATGCCCAGAAAGGTTGCCACACTCACATTCCAGAGCCTTCCCGCAACTATCTCCTCAAACCTTCAAGCAGGCGACGTGAGAATCGAAGTCCCGGGTCTCGCCATGCCTTTGGTTCTCGACAGTCACTTCCGAGGTATCACGCCCGTAAATGAGATACCAGAGCATATGCACACACACGAGTAAGTCAAATTCAGGGCGTCAGTTCAGATCAAGAAGTACGGAGGCAACTTACAAGCCCCTAGCTGCTTCGTAATATCAGGCTTGGGCAGTCACCCTTTTGGCTCATGGCAGCCCCACGGGGCCGACAAATCCTTCATGTGGATCCGAGACGAGTTACCGCATCTTCTCCCAAGCACTCGATTCTTGATCTATGGGTACGACACAACGTTGCTCGGAAGCGATTCATTTCAGACGATATCGCACCTGGGAATCTCATTGAATCAAGAATTATCAGCTTCAGGATACGCAGAACCATCCTCGAAACCGATAATGTTCTTAGCGCATAGTCTAGGGGGCGTTATTTTAAAACAATCACTGATTGCGCTCGCTGGTGGTTATGAACGAGAGAACGCAATCCTCGACAAGGTCCGAGGATCGATATTTTTTGGCGTGCCCAGCCGTGGGATGAGTGTTCCAGATCTGTTCACTATGATAGGTTCTCAGCCAAATACGATTCTGTTAGACGAGCTCTCGAATCAATCAGACTTCCTACCTCGCTTGGACAAGCAGTTCCGAGGCATCTCTAAGCTACAGGACCTCCATTACTATTGGGCTTTCGAGACGAAGGTAACCCATCGTGTCGAGGTAAGCAGTCCTGTCCGGGAAGTAAAAGTCTAAATCTAACTTCAACGAGGCGTGCCATGATACAAGCAAGTTCGCAAGAACGGGGACAAAATTTATCATGGTACCGCCAGAATCCGCCACGGGCGGTCTAAACCAGACGAAGCCACATCTGACTCTACAGATTGACGAGAATCATTCAGATATGGTCAAGTTCTCTGCCGGAGACCACAGAATCAGAATTATAGCGGACAAGCTGGAGGATATAGGCCAAGCACGAGGAAGCGTGTTTCGCCAAGCGCGGACAATGCTCGACTCTCAGCTGTCATCATCTGACGACTTTTTGACAGGAGACTTTTCGCCTCCTGAAGGGGGAGAACCCAGAAATGAATTCAGTCGGGATCAACCTTGGAATCACCGCTCGATCTTACTTTCACTCCGCGCCCCGGAGCGAGATCTTCGGTTGGAACAGATTGACGACAGAGTTGGCGATACCTTCGATTGGGCGTTTGATGACGACTCGACAGGTCTCTGTACATGGCTTTCAAGAGGATCAGGTCTGTTCTGGGTATGCGGCAAACCTGGCAGTGGGAAGTCAACATTCATGAAGCACCTGTACCAGGACACACGGACAGCCGAGCTTCTGCGTGCAAGCAGTATCGGCACTAAACTGATGGTAGTGAGTTTCTTCTTCCATCATAGAGGAAACCGTGTTCAGAAGTCCTTCGAGGGACTCTTGCGCAGCCTTGTCAGTCAAATTTTAGAACAAGAGGAGCTTCTCTTTCCGAATGTGTATCCTATCTTCGAACCTCAGTTCCCAGTTCGATTCGAGTCACAACACAAAAACTCTCTCAGGAACGATATTCGGAAAGTTTTCGGGGAAGAGAGTTTCAGAGCTTCTCAGGCCAACTCACGGCTTCGGGAAATCGTGGACAACCAGTTGAAGCTCACAGCACAACACCGTTTAGGAGTACATCTGAAGGAGCTCTTGCAAATATGTATGAGAACGTATGGGGAGTACGATTTCGATTTCGAAATCCTGGACGACTTATGGGAGATCAGTGATCCGAATCCTAGATTTCCGTTGCCAAAGATTCAGGAGGTCCTGCGACTGCACTATCACCGGGTTGAGCAAACCAAGAAAGACATCATAAACAGCGTATGGACACGGGACAATCTTCACGACGCACTTCGACGTCTGTTCTCGCAAGACCAGTTCAAAATGAACATTCTGTTGATCTTGGATGCATTGGATGAGTATGGTGGCCAACCGGAATTCATTGCATCGATTTTGCAAGACCTGGACAATGTACAGGCACCTTCGACAAGACTACGAATTATCTTCTCCAGTCGCCCCTGGAAAGTCTTCACTCAAGAATTTGCAAACACTCCGGGCTTTCGAATTCATGAGCACACAGGAAACGACATAGAAGAGCTTTGCGCGACACAAATACCCCAGAACGACTCGGCGTTGCGTTTGCTCTCCCCTCTGATCCCGGAAATTGTGACTCGAGCTCGAGGGGTGTTTATATGGGTTAAGCTTGTCATGACCGAGCTTTCATTGATGGCTGTCGCAGGCGATATGCAGATGCCTTACCTACAAGAGGAGCTCTCTCGATGCTTAGATTCGGTGCCGAATGAACTGGACCAATTCTATCGCTTAATCGTACAACGGATACCTAACAGCGTACGGTGGGATAGTTACGTCATCCTGGAGACAATCTCACGCTTCGGTGAATTGTTAAGCGTGGATGAATTGGTCCAGATAGTACGACTTTCAAGCGCACAAAACTTTTCGGATGCCCAGAAGTGTTTCACCCGTCAGCAAGGGAGATCCACCTTAGCTTTAGGGTCGCCGCAGTTCCTAGCTCAAAGTAAACAGTACCTGGAGACTGCGACGGGCGGATTGGTGGAAGTCGTGATGGGCACATCGGGGATTGAGAACCCGAAAGCAAATGTGCAATTCATGCATCAGTCAGTTCAGGATTTTGTACAGTCTTCTGACCTGAAATCTATAAGCCTTGGAGCATCTCGGGCTAGGCTTGTTGTGGAGAACGGGTACTCCTTTCTCTCAAAATACCTGTTCACGCATCCACACGCATCTTCAAAATCACGGGCCGCGAATTATGCAGCATTTGGTTTGTTCGCCAGAAAGGCAGAGCATACCACGGGCTACAGTCAGATGAAGTTCTTCCAGCCACAGCCGGGGAAAAAGTTTCTCCCTAGTCTCCTCGAGGATCATTTTGGGGGAGAACCTCTCTCGGCCGGGTTTCAAGAAATATTTATCGACAGCATCCAGATACGTTCGGTCATTGAACTTGCTGTAGTGCACGGACTGAAGCTATGCTTAGACGATGCCCTCAAGGAAGACCCGCAGTACATCAGCCGTCAACCAGACAAACACAAGCCCGATCTAATTGCGCTCCTTCTCATGTGCACATTACAATCATCTGCGCCTCATGGAGCCTCTGGACGTTTGCTTGCAGTGGATACAGCTGAGTTTCTCCTGGCCAAAGGACTAAGTGTTAGCAACAACATAACTGGTCTTGGCCTTATGATCAAATTACTTTGGGTGCCGCCTGATGATTACCGGATGACGGACCCGGCAGAACTGAGGCAGGAGAGATCATTGGAAATACATTTACTGGCTGAAACATTGTTCCAAGCATGGTCCCGAGTAGTGCCAGGGGAACGCCAACCCGTGCTGTTGCCCGCAGCTTCGATGTTGTGCTCGGGCATCGGGGAGGTAAAAAGCTGCTCGGCTTGTCGTTCATTGCATCTCATAGAGAGTCTGCTGCGACTATCTCTCCACACAGACAACTCCAGCGCATTGCTTCGTGACATCGATCATCACATGAGGGACGACACACCTCTGGATCGTGCTCTTACATGGTTTCAAACAGAGATGGAGAGGCAGCAGGCAAGAAGAACCCGTGAGATTCAAAAGTATCCTTTCACAGGACATGACCTGAGAAGACTCCTGAGCCATGTTCATGCACATATCTGTCTCCTCGTCGAGCTTGGGGGGAAATTACGGCGCACAAAAAAAAGCTCCTGGACACAGTGGACGCAGCTGTGCGTTGAGAAAGGTTTGAGCACGCGGGTATTTGAGCACAAGGCCTGTCCTTCATGGATCGACGAAAGGGATGCAGCTGAATCCACTGCCATGGCATTGGGCTATGGTATTAACATGTTGAATGTTGACCGTGGCCCGGCCGGGGATGCGTCGACAATGCGCAGCGGACAGCAAACGCCGAAAAACCAAGGAAGTATCAAGAAAGAACGCGGAAGAATCCGTCAGCACTTGGAAAAAGTCGGTCATCGTATGAGGAAATTATTTGGACAAGATCTTGTAATTTCTAAGCAGTAGGAACGGGGGTTTACCCCATATATCACATCTGGGACCAGAGTCCTCATCCTCTTTCGAACCAATCACAGTAAAATGTTATTATATAATACTACTATAGCATGCTCCTAGCCAGGAAAGCTTAACTGTTAATAATAATAAAAACTGTAAAGCCTTTTAGAGAATTTCTACTTAAAAGCAGGTGAGACAGCGTCCTATACCCCTGCACTATAGCAAAGGAAACCAAAAGGTCAGGATTCCAGAACGCCTTCTGGAATACAGTGCAGTCTTATATAGCTGTGCCGTCACAAGTACGAGACAGGAATGACGTATTCATGTTCCCTCTGGCACTGAGCTACATGAAATTGTCTTTGCAAAATACGCTGATACCTCGGGATTCTGGTGCAAATACCTTACACTCTGTAGCCTAGGATCTTCAATGACATTGATTGGGTTAGACCTACTGAGGCATTCGAAGCTTCTGAACGTGATTACCGGCGTGTCTACTCCTAATTCGGATTTTGTATATTTGAATATCATAGTAGTCTCTGTTCATCGGAAGACGGTACTGTATTGAGTTCTTGTACGGTTACTTACACGCCCACGTAGGTACACAAGGGCCATCCGGGGCACATTCTCTTACCTTAGTAATGAAAATGAGCTCCTAGCTGGGCTTTGATCATGAGGCACTTTTTTCGCATGGCCAAATAAAGATAAATACTGCGGATCTTCCTGGGTATATTGCTTCTTGCTTGTAAAGATATCGGTGTGTGGACCTGTAGCGATTCACTTCCATTGTAACAACCAATTAAGGTGTTGCCTTAAGTAGCCATTTCTTTGGGGAGTCAGGGGTGTCCTCGAGGAGCCGGCACGAGTTTCGCACCCTCCGAAGGAGGACTTCCGCAATCAGCCACCAACACCCACGTTCGCCTAGTCTGCGAGCTGATCAGCACACTAGTTCAAGTGTTTCTGTTATCGAGCACTTCAAAAGTGTTTACCGGCACAATGTCCTAAGTTCGATATCACACGCGTCGCAATCAACTGGATGATAGCGCCAGATGGGCGGATTGACAGAGCCCATACTTTCCAACCAAGCATATCTAGAATTGTGAAGATGAGGTACAGTCTCGTCTAATCTTATTGGAATTGCTTAACGCGATGCTAAGAATGCTTGCCTGAAAACCCATCAATATTGTCGAGAAAATCTATACAGATTCCTCTTTACGCGGAGGTTTCTCGTCATCAGCTGAAACCTCAATTTCTCCACTGGCATATTTCTCAAAGCCGTGATCAGCAATATCAGGATGCCGTCTATCCCACCACAACATCCCCAGCTGCACGCATATCGACGCTGCCATAAAGGCAGTAACAAGCGGAAAGCCCACAGGATACCTCGGCGAGTCGGCCACACGCCACGCCCGCAATGGGATCGTTGCATGACCGATATACACAATAGTGACGGTCATAGCCACGATAATAGACCGCGCCTCGGGTTCCTTCCGCAGGATCTCTGCCATCCAGGCCATCAAGCTCGGCTGGCCCGCGTTGGTGGCATACGAGAGGAAGTAGAACGTCAGGATTGCGGTGCTGTTGGGGGGCCACGCGCAGAGCACGATTAGGCACACGCCCAGAGCGCACGCGGACCCAATGCTGATCTGCCAGCGCCAATGCTTCCAGTCCGAGAGGGAGTTGAAGATGAGATTCGTGACGATCTGCAGCGCATAGCCACCAAGAGGGATGACGTTCACGTGGTATGTGTCGTAGCCCAGGCTCTCGAGGTAGAGCACGAAGTACGAGTTGGCGCGGTGCGACCAGGCCGTGAGGGCGAAGGCGAAGAGAAAGAAGTATGTGATCGGATGGACGATGATGTGCCGCAACTTCTTCTTCAGGACAGAGGGGGGAATGCGCACTGTGGTGTTGATGCCCGACTCGCCCATGCGCAGCCTTGCCAGCCGCTTCTCTGCTGGGTTGAGCCAGAGGGCTCTGGTGTTGGCAGGTGAGTCGGGAATGGTCAGGAAGCCGAGCAGTCCCTGACCGACGGTGATTGCGCCGGCTATTATGAAGAGCCATTGCCACCCTCCCAGACCGTGGACACCATTCATGTTGGTATAGAGAGTGGCCTGAAGCGCACCCAGGAACATGGCTCCAGCAACATCGGAGACATTGAAGAATGCCAGGCGGAGCGCGAGCTCAGACGGTGTGTACCAGTTGAAAATGAGGGACACCACGCTCGGCCAGAACGCAGACGAGAAGAGACCCAGGAAGAAGCGAAGACCGTACACAGTCTGGGCGTTGGGAGCCTTGTACGTGAAGAGGACAAGGAGACCCCAGGTGATCTCGCACAGCGGTAGGAATATCGAAGGTCGGAACTTGTTCATTATGAGTTAGATCTTCTGTCAAGAAACACGCTAAATCCCGGCGGGACGGCACGCATCGACTCACCCTGGTCTGGATCAGTTGCCCAGGGACAAGCCCCAGCGCATACCCAATGGAAAAGAACGTGGTGAACATGACGAGCTCATTTCCGTAGAGGCCAAGAGACTCCCGCATCCCAGAGACATAAGCTTGGGTTGTTGCCGATTGGTCCATCTCTTTCATCAGCCCGGCCACGAACATCCAAAGAAGAAGGAGGCAGTCCAGCTTGAAGATGAGTACATTCCTGCGGTTTCTGAAATACGGAATGACCTTGGATGTGTACTTGAACACTCCTTCATCCGGTGCGCCACTCTCCAGATCGGACAAAGGGTGTGCGGTGTCATCTGTTCCCGTAGCCGTCTCGGAGACGTCGACTCCTGTGTCTTGGACGCCCATGATGGCTGTTGTAAAGGTTGAGTGAGGGGAGAGGGAGGTGGAGGGGCAAAACCAGCTCGATTCGTGGCCTGCGTCTTCATGGCAGGCTGTTATATATGCTGGTCCTCCATCGCGGATACACTTTCCTATTCCCAGCTCGATGAACCGGCACGGATTTTGTCGTAGAAATCCTTAGTTGATCTTGGCACCCCACAAGTCCTAGGCGAAGTTGAAATAAAGCCCCAATTACGTTCAAGTTGGCGACAAATCTCGCATCTGAGGACCGGGAATTCGAAAATTGCGTGACAGAGACGCAGAACAGCGACATTTCTTGGCAGGAACAGTGGATGCTCATGTGCGTCCAGGAACACACACATCTTCGGTTGCACAATCGCGCCAATAGCATTTGATGTGTTTTCGAAATTCACAACGACGCCCTTGAGAATGAAAGATTTCAATCCATCCAAGTGCCTGGCATCCGCTTCGACGGTAGTCTCTGTCCCTTGTGCGTTTTCCTCCATTTCCTGGCTTGACTCCGCTCGCTGCGTTCATCTCTGAGTTTGACAGCACGATGATATGTCTGTCGACACCAAAGACCTCTCAACCTGATATCAGTGACGCCGAGAATACAGTCGATTGGGGCAAGAAGAAAGGGAAAGCATGCTGCTCGCCAGTCCTCATCTTGACCATAGACCTTCCATTGCTTGAAGTCGTCGGGGCCGGAGGGATAGAGTCCATACAACTGACGTTCTATTGATTCCAACCCGAAATTTTGAAACTCCTCCAATACCTCAATGGCTTTACTTTCCATGGTCACTTCGCGTCGCCAGGAAGGTATAGTCAGGCCCTCAAATTCAAGCCATACCACTTTGCTGTCCTCAGTTGGGTGGGATAGACCAAGTCCAATTTTCTCAATGTGTTCGGTCTCGCGCTGAATATAGCTTTTGATGTCGACCCCACATTCTTTCAGAATCTTAAGCCAACTATGCGCCCTGTCATCAGCGTCAAAAGGATGAGGTCCGTCCAAGATTTGTGAGTATGCTGTTTGACGGCCATTGAATGATTTATGAATGTCGACACCTTGGTCGATGAGGTAGCTGAACGCTGGAATCCAGCTGGAAACATCGTAATGCACCGGCAGCTCGCTCGAGACCTCAAGTATGAGACGGCGCCAAGCATAAGACAGGGAGTCAGAGTGATCAATCATCGGGGACTTCAGAAATACCTTCAAATATCGATTGAAGTATTCTGGATCATTGCTTGTATTCATTAGATATCGAATATCCGCTGCTCGCATATCGTATGGCCTCGCGGACAGAAGTGTTTCCGTGACTTCGCATGGCCGACTAGAAGAAGAATAACTATGGACGCTAAAAAGCTGCGGTGGAGTCTCACTAGATTGATTTTCATTAGAATCCTTGCTGGTGAGTCTAAAGCAAGGCGAAAGACGTACTCATAAAGAAAATGGTGGCGGAAGTCGTGCCGAAGTAGGTACTTGCATCCTTCAGCCCATCTACAGGCCACTGCCATCTACATTAGTCAGCATTCGCCACGTAAAACCACGATTTTCCATAACACGCACAAAAAACAAATTCATTTCCCGGTTGTATATACTGAACAGGCTGTATAGGGATAGTTGCCGCTCAGAGATCAGTCTATGGAGCTCTTTTGGGTCGCCCTTGGATATCATTAGATCATCGAGTTGCTTTCCCAGCTCTGTGGTGTTTTCGATGACATGAGTAACATTGAGTGCGTATGAAGGTGTTCCCATGCCGCAAGTGTAGTGCAGGTCAAGCTGAATTGCTGTAAAGGGTAGTCGAAAAATCACGAGCCCCTTTTTGTGTGGTGCGGGGTTGGTCTTGTTGTCCTTATCCCTTGACTCAACAGTGGTCCAGGTGATGTAGCCGAAGTATCTAGACGTATGGCATTGTTTATTGGTGGTTCTCTGGGTGCTTAAGACCGCAGAGAGTTGCGACGATGACATGCCCGCTGAAGTAGCGACAGAGGCTGTCTCGGGTATAGACGATGGAATCACAAGTTCGCCCCCACCGCTTGGCTGTGGCGGTGGCTGTAACGGAGGCACTGTCATTGTCCTATGGTGGACTGTTAGCTTCCAATTGTGCCAATTTGGCCCGCGTCACTCACCACATGTCCACGTTTATAATAAATTGCAGGAGCGATATAACGTGATCGATGTCAGCGATCATCGATTTGATCCTATCTTTCCGAAGGACCAGCCGAAGACGAGCCACCGTATCTGAGGTGGGGAATAGGAGTCTTTCATGTGATGAGCTCAGATTCAAAGACGACATCATCTTCGCAAGACTTTCCATTCTCGTGTGACACTGCGCCAGGGCTTTTGTTATGATGCCTAAGGATGCCGGGGAAGAATACTCTGGAAGAGTATGTCTTCTTTCCAAGTGGAATCTGATGAGTTCACACGCAGTCTCTAGCATGGTTAGTCTTTCAACAAGCTCTGTGGCTTCCTTCGGGGCACACTTGAAGTGCTCCACAGCCTCCCTCACTGAGGAGGCCATCTTCGCCATCTGAAAGGTGAAGGCGACGATCCCGACAATTCCAGAGGTGATTGATAATGGATCCATTATGATGAATCAAGCCTTGAGGATTCAGATATCTCTTCGAAAGACTGATTGTCCTGCATGCCAGACCGACATGGATCTGTTGCGCGACCTGGAGCCTTCGCAGCCTGATTCAGGAACTTCGCAAGCTCTGACAAGATGCAAGAGCTTCAACGCCGAAAGCTATGTTTGAGCGATAAGGTAGGAGAGTCAAGCATAGAGCAGCTGGAACCAAATGCTGTAAATGGTAATGCCGGAGAAAATTGGATAAAGGAAAGGGACGAAGGCAGCGCAGGAGGCGAGCTTTTCGGGGCGAGAAGTATCCTGAGACTGTACGACACCCCACTCTTGTACGCCTCGCCAGTCGCACTCAGGCAGCGACCACTGCTCCATGAAGTGAGCAGGAGCCCTGATTCGCCATGCAGGGCGAATGAGCTGCTGTCATCCTGCACAGCCTGCAGAGCCTGGATGCCAGGTGTGGTGGTCGCGTCAGCAGCACCTTAGGTTCACCGTGTTGATGTCTAGGGCTGGCAGCAGGATCTAATGCGAAGCACCGTTGCCGTATTTCTGAAAAGTCAATACCAATTTTTTCAAGGGGCAAAATGGGCCAGAATCCGTACTTGAGTCCATGATTTCGAGATCCAGGAGGTTGACGATTTTCCAGTGCCCTCAACTACTAGACTAGGTACGGTCCACGATTCTCGGAAGCCACGACCGTGAACGATGTGCGTTGGGGAAACGTCGATACAGTTTCCGAGGCGCACAGCCATTACTGGGGTAGTGCAGCATATGCGAGGCTTTCAACTGGGCGTACACCGAGAGAGCAAGACAGGCAGCTGATCTCAGACGCTGTTCTGGGTAAATCCTGATGGTCTTGCCGAGTGTCGACATATACACAATGTCTGCCAACCACATTCACACAGCAAGCATAAACGAGACCTCGACCACAGCTCAAACAACTTTGTTAACCAATCCATTCAGTTTGCGTGCTACGTAGGGTATTCGCTCTCCAGCCCCATCTCAGGGCCCACCGCTGACCACCAACCCAACACGACACGACCAGACCAGGGGCAGGGGGCATTAAAAAGCAAACAAGCAAGACAAGACAAGACAAGGCAGATGTCCTCCTCCGAAACCAGTAGATAGCAGATGGGGTATATCAGCGCCGTACGAGGGCTCGCCCAACAGGCAAAGTATTAGTTAGCCCCACCCAGTTTGCACCACCCATGAAAGCACAATCCCACCGCACCGCACCACACCAGGGAACAACAAAAACGACAGGCATGCAACCCCCCTTTAACGAGTAGACCCAGGCGTGCCCGGCAGCGGCCTAGGCCCGCCGATCTGCCTGCGGCCGGCGCCGATGCCCTGGGTGCCGCGGTTCATGTTGTCGCCGCCCGTGTAGCCCGCGAACTGGCTGACGTCCCACCTGCCGCCGATGCCGCCGCCGATGCCCTCGACGCCGTCGCCCGCGCGGGGCGCCTTGGCCGTCTCCTTCTGCGACTCCTCCCACTCGCGCTGCCGCTGGCGCTCCATCTCCATCTCGCGCTCCAGCAGCGACTTGGATGCCAGCGAGCCCGCCTTGGTGCGCTGCTGCGTCTGTGCGCGCCGCCGGTCCTCGGCGTCGCGCTCCTCCGTGGCGCCGAGCTCGCGCGAGTACGTCAGCTGCTGCGCGGGCGCGGAAGGTGGTAGTGGGTTGGATGCGAGGTACCGGTCTGTGCGGTTCATCTGCGGCGAAGGCGTCGTCGCGGGGGACGAGTAGGTCTTGGGGTCTGGCAGGGGCCGCGAGCCGGCCGTGTTGGCTCGGGACCTGGTGCCGCCTGACCTGGCTGACTCGCCCGTTCGGTGCGTCTTGACCATGGCTGCCGGCGGTGGGGATGCCAGTGCTGGATCCGGAAGGGGTCGTGACTGTTGTCGTGGTGGGGGTTGGGGTCGTTGTGCCAGCGGTGAGCCTGGTATCGTGTACTCGTTCCGTGCCTGCGGCAGAGCAGAGCGCTCGTCTCCGTGGGCCCACGAGTCTTGCCGGCTTGGCTCCCCAGAGGCTGGGCGAGGCCGGCTGCGAGAGCGTGCCCTGGACTTAGCATCACCGCTCTTGACCCGCAGCCTATCCTGGCGTTCGCGCTCGTACTGAGCCTCTCGCTCGCGCGCGAGCTCCAGCTCCTTCTCCAGCTCCTTGATTCGGCTGCTGTATTGCTCATCGCCGCCGGCAGTTTGTTCGGCCTGGTATTGGCTGAGGAACTGACCCTGTAGACGAGAATCGCCCGACTTTCTCCTGGCCTTTGCTCGTTCCTGGGCCAATCGTTTTTCGGCCTCTTCCTCTTCCTTGCGGCGCTTCTCCTCCGTGATCTTCCACTGGCGCTCCTCCTCCTCCCAGCGGCGCTTTTCTTCTGATGCCTTGCGCTTTTCCTGCTCACGCTGTCGCCTAGTCTCCTCTTCCCACCGTCGCTCCTCCTCAGCCTTCGCGCGCTCTTCGGCTTCTAGCACAGCTTGGCGCCGGGCTTCCTCTTCTTCACGTTGCTTCTGCTCCTCGGCCTCCTTGGCCTTACGGCGCTTCTCCTTCTCCGCAAGGCTGGGCACGGCCGGACCAGCGCTAGTGATCTGCCGCCGCCCACCAAAAGAGATTCCGAGGTTGGCTTGACTCGCCCCGCCCATGTATCCATATTGCGCGATATTCCATGCCGGCGACGTCGCGCCCTCGTTGGCCTTGCTGCTCCAGCTGGACACAGAGGGCGACTTAGGCCCGTTTCCTGTTGGGCTCTTTGCAGGAGACCAGCGCCCGGAACCTGAGTCACCAGTCTTGGACGCCATCAGCGGCGGTCGGCTGCCGTAGGCTGAGGATGCGTTGCTGGAGTTTGACATGCCACGCGGTCGGCCTCCTGGAGTAGGTGTCGGTGATAGTGTTCCTCCAGCGCCAGTTCTCTGTGGGCTCAACCCTGCGGCTTTGGGTCCGATGGCTGTGGGGAAGGCCGCTGGATTTGCCTTGTTTGCTGCCCGACTGAAGGCGCCGATGCATTGTAGGACTTGTGCGGGATCCTTGGACTCGTACAGATCGACGGTGAGGAACACGTCGTGTTCTTGCAGGTTGATGGGTGGAGATTTGCAGGCGCGGAGGAAGTGGGAGATGTTTTCCATCTGTACGAAGGGCATGGCGGAAGCCTTGAACTTGACGCCTGGGGGAGGGAGGACGAGGTTGACGAGTCTGTGAAAGCGGCAGTTAGTTACGGAGGCCTTGGATAGTTCAGCATGTATGATCGTGGGTTCCTTACTTGCAGAGAGCGACGCCATCCTTCAGCGACTCGAGCAAGTCACCCGACAGACGCTGCCCGAGTATGCCCTCGATCCATGCGCGCGCCTCATTAGCAGCGGCTGGGGTGTACTTCTCCAGCCGGAGTCGCTTCAAGTCTCGATCCAGGGACATGGTGATGCTGGGGGTTTGCCGTGAGATCCGATTTCGGGTTGCGCCGTGGTGGGCAGTCCTGCCTGGGTCTCGGAGTTGCTTCTTCTTGCTATCCACAGGAGACGAAACGGTATGTTCGACGTATGCAGATGTGAGTGGCGGTTCGCAGGCTTACGTCAGTGCCAGTCGGGTGCGCTGGACGTGGTTTAGCACTTTGAGTCGCCGGGAGTCGTTTCGGATGATGGACAGAGACGGATGCAGGACAGGAGCTGAAGTAACTCTGGAATCTCAGCCAAGGTTGATTCTGCTTCTGCTTTTGAAGACGGATCTGAGGATGAGTGCGGATTCAAGCCACGCGACACGGGAGTGAGCGAGATTACTCTGTGGATATGGAAATTGCGAGCAATCCATGGGAGATGATACAGCATTAATCCAGATTTCCTAGTGCCGACCGCACATAATGCAGCGCAGTCAGAGAGGGAGTGTGTGCCTGGCTGGACCAAGGTACAGTTAGTTGTGCAGCACAATCGTGATTGATGGATGGTCGAGGAGGGGCAATGCAGTGCCCCCAGTTGGCCCCCCTTCCCTGCCGCTTGCAGCGTGCAACAACAAGTTGCAAGCCGGTTTGGGTCGGGTCCAGGGGTCCAGGGGTGAAATGCGTGCCCGCTCTGCCCGCCACGGATGGCTGGTCGCTGCCCGACAAGGCGGCGGAACAGGGAAGGACCCACCACACCGAGGGTCCTATTGGCCCCGTTGGCACTTAACGCGGCGGCGCGTGCAGGCATCTCACTGACGGGACATTGACGCATCATCATGAATGATTTTAGGTCTATTATCAACAACAACAAATATAGTACTTTTTTCTTGCATTTTTTGCATCCTACCAGCCAAGCAACCAGCCACACACACACACAAACAACGCGCACATACTGCCTCGGTATCCACACCCGATCGCAGATGTGATGTCCTCGAAACAGATTTCACCCCTGTTGCAAACATGGTATAAGTGGAAGGCCCTGCGTCTGCCATGGCGCAAACGCTTCCTCATAGGTAAGCTCCACCACACCATACTTTTACCACACCTCACCTCACCTCACCTCACCTCATCTCACTTCACTTCACCTCACCTCCTCCTGACCTCTGAATACGACTCATCACAATGCAGCCCAACTCACCCACTTAGTCGCAAAAAATAGACAGCCGTGAAAGACCTTGCTAACCACCCCATCCAAACCCACAGGCCTGGACCTCCAAGGAAACACATACTGGGAGTTCCGCGACCTCCGCGGCGACCCAAGCGACCCTCGAACCCGCTGGCGCCGCATCGTGCAGTACCCGCGCGGCACGCACTATGGCGAGGTGAAGGTCCCGCCCCAGTGGCACCAGTGGCTGCGGCACACGCGCGAGGCGCCGCCCTCCATCCAGGAGCAGCACGCCGAGGTCCGCCGCCAGCACCAGATGAAGTACCTGGCCGCCGAGGCCGACGCCCGCTGGGCCGCCAAGCCGAGCCTGCTCGAGGCCGACGGCGCCGGCGCCCCGGGCCAGCCGGGCGCGGGCCAGCCGGTGCCTGCGCTAGAGAGCTTAGGTGCGCGCGCAGGTGGTGAGGGTGAGGGGCCTAAGCTTGGAGAGGAGACGCGGAGGGATGCAGTTGCTTCGGGCGAGGAGCAGCAGAAGGCCGCGGCGAGGGATGCTGAGAAAAAGGACCCTTGGAAGCAGAGCCGGCGTGGTGGCCCGAGTGAGGACTGGCAGCCGCAGGCTTGGTCACCTCCGGCTTCAAAACGATAGAGCAGACTTTGTAATCTCAATGTAAAATTATCTCCATAAGATGATCAATGCTGGCCATCATGAATTCAGTCGTCATTGTTCTCCTAAGTTTAAGCCTGTTTTGAAACACCACAACTCCAGCTCAGACCGGTATCCCACCTTCACCGAAAGGTTTACCTCGAACGCCATGCTGCTGTCATGACAGCTTCCCAAGTACATCAACGCATGAGAACCATTACTCCCGTCGCCTGCCAAAAACCACTCACAGTAAGCTCTAGCAATGAATCATAGCGATATCTGCTACCGCAGCTCTAAACCCCTTGTTACTGGTCAAGCTCCATCTTAAGAATCTCAGCCCAAGCCAGGAGCCGCTTCCCCGACGCACGCAGCATCTCCCTGGCCGCAAGCTCGCCGTCGCTCTTCATGCGGCCGCCCTTCCTAGGCGCGGCCTTGTCATTCCGAGCAGTAACGCCCTTCTCGACCGCCAACTGCAGCGACGGCGACCACGGGCAAAAGTCGACGCGCAGCAGCGTCTCGAGCGCCAGCGACAGCTTGGCGTTGTTCTCGGCCGTGCGGTACGCGAACGGCAGGTAGCACCGTTCCAGGATGCGCACGCTCATGCCCTCGCGCGCGTCCACCTCCCTGTCTACGTCGTACGGCTTGGGCGCGGCGCTGGGGAGCAGGTAGGGCATCAGACAGCGGATGATGGCGATTAGGCTTGCCTGTTTGAGTGGCGTATCGGGCAGGGCGATGAATTTGGCGAAGGCGGCCACGGGCAGTTGCGCAATCCTCTCCACGGATTTCTCGTAGAGATCCGGCAGGCTGATCATGCACTTCTCGGGTACGTCGCATGCGGCTTTGGATAACTGCATTCGCTGTCAGTAAGAGAGGCGGCCTTGTACTTCTCGTGGTGTGAGCTACGTACCAGCTTAAAGAGACGCAGTCTTAGTGGGATGGTCTCAAGTAATGAAGAGCCCGTCCACAGGGTCGTCTCGTTCTTGACATCTAATTTCAGCATTCGCAGATGCTCTGGAGTGGGCGGTTCCGAGCCTCCAGTGGATGAGTCGTCGTCGTAGTCGCCGAACTTATCGTTTTCCAGATCGACCCGATCACGCTTTCTTTTCTTGCTGCTCTTAGACGCAACCTTGTTCTCCCTCGTGAAGACTTCCTTAAAGATAGCCTGTGACGATGTGCTGCCGTCCGCAAACAGGGCGCTGATGATCGGCTTCAACGGACTAACGCGACCATTTTTTGGCATGACGTACGACACCAGGAGTGACTCCTGGAGCAGCTGGTACTCATATGACTCCTGGGCTCCCTCGCGCGCGATGTCAAGACGTTTCCTTTCTCGGTAATCCTCCTCCAGCACGTCCACCATGAATTCCAGCCACGGCTGCCACCACCGCCATCGATGGGGGTGCTGTGCGCTGCAGTTGAAGGCCCAACCGAGCACTTTCCAAAAGTCCTGGCCTCGCGCCCAGACACTTCCTTTATTTGCCGTCTTGCCGCGGACGTGGTCCTCGTCGCTTTCAATCCCATTCAGACCAACAATTTCGGAGCTACGACGCCGCCGGCCGTTCTCGCCGCGGAAGAGGAAGGCATCGCGCAGGTTCGCATTGACGGGGCCGACGGTGGCCAGAATGTTGCGCAGGTACGACATGGCCAGGGACGACACTTCGTGCGAGGCCGAGTCGGCCAGTTTGGATGTGTACTTGGGGTGGATCGCGAGCGTGGCCAGCACCGCTATTTGGTTCGGGGGCGCAACGCAGCCTGGTCTGGCGGGCGCGTGGGCGGGTGGAATGCCATCGCAGAGGAGGCTGTTCAACAGGTTCAGGGCGGCAGTGTCTTGCACATCTTACTTAGCATGCTTAATCACAACAATATCAGGACATCACTGGTCATGCTCACAACATTGCTCCTCGAGGTGGATCTGGCAGCGCCGCCTGAGCACGCGGGGCAGGCCAAGCGCATCGCGGTAGGCAGCCTTGTCGTGGTGGGCCGAGTCGTCCTTGGGCTCGCCCGCTGGGCTACTTGGCTCGGTCACGCTGGCGCTGCCGACCGTGCCTTCGCTCGCCGTGCGGTAGTTGGACTCATTGGATGGGGGTGTTGGCGTCCGTGTCAATTCGGAGAGGCTCGAGGTGGTTGTGGCCATGCTTACATCGTCCCAAGTCAGACGAATGTTCGGGGCATGGGACGCGGGCGTGACTGTGGAATCGCGTCTTGCCCGCGGACGCTGCACCGCAGCTCCTGTGGTGGATGGCCCACAGGGGTTGTGTCTAACACGTCCGCACGTGTGCTGTTGTGCATGGCTGTTAGTGCAGAGGCGTATGCAGCTACCGTACTCTAACTGCGATAACATGTGGGCGGGTAGGCGAACTGGATGTACATTGGCACAGAATTACATGGATAATTATGCAGGGTTGGTTGTACTCAGCATGAATATTGTGAGCGGATGCAACTTATTTCCCACTTAGACTGTGTGCTGCTGCATAAGTCATTGGCATAAGTCATTACCAACTTAGTCCGGACTTGGACAGTGAGTTGCTGGCATAAATTATTATCTCGTCAACATCAACCAAGGCGCTATCTACCTCTGGCATATTTGAGTGGCCGTGTGAGGGAAGTCCTAGACTATACGGTTGCCCTGCCTCCCTCCTTCCTGCCCTGTACACGGCACATGAACTGGCAGGTCCAATGGACCGGCCAGCTTTCTTGCCCGTTGCAGACATCACTGGCATTTCTCCCTTCTCAGACTCTTCTCGACCACCAGAGACGCATCTCTGCCACCACAGATTGATCTCACCCGCCGGAGATACCTCTCACTCATCAAAGATTCCTTTAAAACATCAGAGGTTACTTTCACCCATCAGATATCCTTCTGCGCCCCTCAGCCATCATGGAACCATCTCAGCCATGAGAGATGCTTCTCAGCCACAGGAGATGCTCTCCAGCCATCGCGGAGATTTCTCGCCAACCTCATTTTAATATTTGGTTGTTAATCATGTTGGCATCATCATGAGCCATTGCTGCTTTCTCCAAAGCTGTCATACGTTTCTCCCAATGTGCCGGTTCCATGCAGCTACTTATGTTGTGACGTCGGCACGGTGCCCCGATTCCAAGGCTTCAAGACGGCGGTCCCGCCGAGCTCGTGGGTCGCAACCCCGAAGCCCGGTCAACCCCGGTACTTGCCAACCCCGGTGCTTCAACCTCGGTGCTTAACCGCAGGGCTGGTCAATCAGGTGCCCCAGTTCAAAACCACTGGACGACAGGTCTTCTGTTGTCAACCGACAACTTCAAACTCACACCGCAAAAGGTACCGTTCTGCCTCCTGGCAGCACGACCCCATGCGCTGCCCAAGGTCACGACCTGATCTGCTCCGTCTAGCTTAAGCATGACACTCGGCTCAGACTTGGTTCTGGTCCTCGCACTTCGCCTCCAATCGCTTTGCCCCTAAGCATGGCGACACAATCATGGGCTTTGTCCGGCACGTACACGAAACTCCCTTCCCGGCTTCAAACGGTCTTCGCACGTGCTGCGTCTGACACGTCACGAATCTCGGCTTCAACCCGTCTCTACACGTGCTTTGCCCAACTCGTCTCGGCTTCATGGTCCAGCTTCAATCAGCTTCCATACGTGTTTGGCCGAGCACGTCTCGTTTTCACGGCTTGACTTCGACAAGGTCCCATAAGCTTTTAACTCGACACGTCTCGAGTTGATGCTTTGGCCTCAAGCGGTCTCTGCGGAGAAACGAGTGGTCTTGAGGCGCCGTTGATTCGTGAGGTTATCCTGACTGCGTGCCCACACAAGCGTGCCACTCACAAGGAGACTCGCCGGGGCAATGCTATGAGTGACAGTATCAAGAACGAGAGGATAAAGACCAAATCTTGGGGCTTCGGTGTATGCTTGAGTCTCAAGAATGTTGCATGCCCATCGCCTTAGAGGTAAATTCGTTGAGCCGAACTCATAGCTGATGCGAGCATGAAGGAATCTGTCCCTGGAGGTATCATCTAAGCCAATTCTATTCGCATATTGCACTATGACACGTTGGCTGACACATGCACAGGGTCGAACCCATCCTCTCTGGGCTCCCACGTCAATTAACGTGGCAAAGGTCGTTGGAGGCAGCGTGCTGTGACCTGCTTGGCGGCGGCCCTCGACCCATTCTCATGGATTGCTCAACACTGCATCGGTAATGAACGTACACAGCCAAGTGGCAGCGGACGGATTTTCCTCACTCTTCCATCCAAGCAACTGTTTTCCTGCAGTTCTTAACTTTGCTGCCTCAGCATGAGCGTCAGGATGTCAACTGCCAATCGACCTGTTCCAGATGGGCGCTCCCACCGCAAGCTTGGCTTATATGGCCAACGCGTGATGCTTGATTTCGTATCTTTGGATCGCGAGCTTTGGGGTTTGGTCAATATCGATTGATTCGTGCCGCTTGTGGTGCAACAGGAATTATCGGGTAGAATGTAATGGTGAGAACCCTTTGACATATGGCTCAGGACCTACAGTCCTTGCCGCCGGCTGTGGACAGGCAGAGAATGTTTGCTACCAAAGCTCTTTGCCTACGAAGACTCGGAACAAAGACGAGGCTGCAGTGGTCATGTTTCGGGACTGTCTGGGCCATGTTAGCTTGAGTAACAACATTCGAGGACGTCCAAGGACCTCCGGGATGAAGGGCTTCGACCTTCGGGCCCCTGTTTCCTTCCATTCCCAAGGTATCCATGGAACACACCCTCCGAGTCCTTGTCCTGGAGCAGCCTCTTTCGATGGCCCTGAAGATGGCGCTATCGTGGATTCAAGCCGGTCTCTGGTGTCCTGGAAAGCTGTCTTGGTTCAGAATCTCATGGGAGGCCCGCCCCATGCTCGGATGTGGTACTTGTGCATGGAAAACTCCCTGTGTGGCTTCCTCCTTCATGTGGGTCCCTTAGGCCGGAACAGACGCCCTGGGGCTGCGCTGTGCACAAGTGACCAACCCACCGGGATTGCAGTGGCCTTGGGACATCACTCCTGACGAGCTCCTCATTTCTCAGTTATTCGAGGTCAGATACTCCATGGACCGCAGCTGCACCATTTTCTCATACATACCAGTAGCTGTTCGGAAGACAGGCCTAACTTCTGGCACGGCTTCTTGTCCAGGCATATGAGGTGGCCTCGTCGATAGCCTCGTCAGCCGCCTGGCCCCTAGCCTCGTATCAGGAGCATCAACCTAGCCTCGGAGCTCGATCCCCGTCCTCTGCTCTGACCGGCTGCTTACCTCGGCGTGATTACCTCGTCAGTCCATTCTTTTTCCATTCAAACAGCTTGGACCTGATTTTGCCCTTCACTGGTTTGTTGTTTTGCAGGACACTCGGCACAAATTTTCCACCTACCTCCTTTTCGGCAACTCCATCCTGATCTCTCCCTTCCTACACCACAACTGGCTCAAGGTATGCACAATCTCTCGCCCTCCGTTTTTCGGTCGCTTCGGTTACCTTATTGCATCCTTCACAGACCCAAGGCCTGACAAGCATCTCCCCATCTAGCTGCCATCAAGTACACGCGTGTGCTCGAGATGGCGCCTCATCCCAGCAACCCAAGGCTGCCTATTTGGCACACGGGCGACTCGTCGCAGAATCCCACCTCCGCTCCTCGTGGCGACGGTGACGGTAATGGCTCTGAGAATGTAAGAAACACCTATTGTGGACGATAGTACTCCCCTCTACAGCACTCACTTCATTGTTCATCAATACTGACAGTCAACCCCGCAGCAACAAACATCGCATGACTTCGTGCTAGGAGACATTGGCCCTTCATATCAATCAACTTCGAATCGCTCTCAGTCTCATCCTGAGCCTGGTCTACCTAATCTTCAATTGCACCGCCAGGTATGATACATCACCATTCCACTAATTTACAAATCAAAGTGTCTAACAACAATACCTTGAGCAGCCTGGTACAAACCAGCTCATGCTGAGCCATCAACACGCAATTCACGGTGGTGGCTTCGCCACTGGAACTTCAAGTTCTCATATGGCTAGCTCCCGCGCTCAAGTCACAACCGGAACGCCCGATGTTGGCATCAACACAGGTATGGACTTTGACGGCAGCTCCCAACCCAATCCGCCTTACACACTGCCGCGCCCAAGTATTTCCCCTCCACAGCGTCAGACAGTGGCCGGTAAGCGAAAGGCAGACACTCCTGAGCGGCCATCAGAGTCTACTAAAGCAGCAAAGACTGGTGCAGATCAGGATGCTGGATGGCAGTCACATGGAGGGCTGGCGGACAAGAGGCTGTCCAGCGGTGGCGATAGCACCGAGTCGAACAAAAACCCTACTTCCGTTGGCAAGCCTCCTGAAGGCAAGTCCTCCCGTCCTCCAGGAGGAGGCGGAGGCGGAGGCGGAGACGGCGATACTACTTCTGATACCGAACCTCGGTCTACAGAGAAACCTCTTCGCAGTCTCCCGGAAATCGTCATGAGACTCCTTAAAGATGCTCGACCGAATGGCCTGGACCTTTACACCAAGAGTAGCCGCCAGTTCTACATTCGTGTAGGGACACTTTGCTCAGGAACCGACGCACCCATCCACATCATGAATCTCTTTGCGGCACTCAAGAATTGTGAAGGCAACCAAGTCTTCACAACCATCAATTGCTTTGGTTGTGAGATTGAGCCCTTCAAGCAGAGCTTTCTGATGCGAAACAGCAAACCAGAGCTGCTGTTTCGAGATGCAAGAGATTTTGCTGAGGGTAACGCAGAGAGAGCGTAAGTCATCGATCGTATATTTCTATACGTGCTCATCGCTAATATGATCATAGTCGACTGGTCACAGGGGCGATAGCGGACATCCCAAGTGTCGACCTATTTGTCGCAGGCACCTCCTGCGTTGATTTCTCATCCCTGAGTTCCACGAAGGTCAGGGATTTCGCTGGACTGGCTCACGCATTGAAGGAGTGGAAGATGTTGCAGGAGAAGCACGGTACTAAACTCACTCGTCAACACCTCTCAGATGACGATTGGCGCGCAGCGATAGACGCCATGCTCGAACAGACTGAGAGAAAAAACACATCAACCAAGACATTCGGGGCAGGCATGAATTATATCAAGGCTCGACAGCCAATGATTGTCATATTTGAGAACGTTGAGAGCGCTCCCTGGGAAAAATGGGTCGGCATCGTCTTCCCTCTGATGGGTTACGCAGCTACCGTGCAGAAACTGGACACCAAACACTTTCACCTGCCGCAGACACGTTCTCGAAAGTACTTGATTGCTTTCAGCCACGCGGCCTTCACCTTGCAGGGTGCGCAGACACTATGCACGCTGTTAGACGATGAGATTCTGCAGAAGCTCAAGCACACTCATTCTAACACGGTGCTCGACTTTCTCCTTCCGCCCAACAGTCTTGAGCTTCACAAAGCTCGTAATGAAATGGAGCTCGCTGCGCAGGCAGTGCGTGAGCGGGAGACTAACTGGAGCTTCTCCAAAACTAGGCACTCAGGCTATCGGAGAAAGAAAGGAATTCCAGATCGTCGTGATTGGATACGTTGGGATGAAAATTCCAGCTCCGATGCACCGGCTAATATGTGGAAGCCGTGGGAGAATCGGCAGCCATGCCGTGTTAGTGATTTGTTGGAGTGCGTGTTCACCACCGGCCTGTACGGAAAGGAGGATAAGGATGAGAAAAAGGTTGTACACGGCCAATACGACCTCCGATTTAAGGCTCAAGTCATCGACTGCAGCCAGAATGTCGACAGACTTGGCCCCACCACTGTGTTTGGTCGCACTGGTTGCCTCACCCCCAACGCAATCCCTGTGCTCACGCTGGAGGCTCGCCCCATTACCGGCACCGAATCACTGAGGCTTCAGGGCCTGCCTGTCGAGAACTTCGACATGAGCGTTGAGACCCAGGCTCAACTGCAAGATCTTGCTGGAAATGCCATGACGACCACCGTTGTCGGCGCCGTGATTCTTGCGGCACTCTCGGCCATAGCTCGAGTGGCCGAGCAAGAAGGGCTCAGCTGGCTTGCGAATATGTTCCACCGGGGCAGCTTCAAGATCAATGGCAAGATCCTGAATTCTTTCCAAGGAGTCAACACGAACATCGATCATGGGCCGCAGAAACTACTCCACATAAAGCTGTATGCGTACGTTGTTCCTCGGGCGCAAATTGCTCATAATGCGCGCATCATCTCTGAACACCACGCCATCACTCAAGGCGGTGTACGAGAAATTCTCGATCTCGGAGAACGAGCTCGACGACGATGCGTGTGCCATCACATACTTGCTTACAGCAGCATCGAGCTTCATGTGTGCACTGTCTGCGGTGCCAGCTTCTGTAAGAGCTGCAAGGGCAATCCAGATCATGCGCTTGTTAAGTCTCCAGAGTCGCTGGAAGATTTTAAGTCATTGCCATATTCTCAGGCCGAGTACGAGTTCCGGAAACGCTTCCCTCCAATCCTCTGGATGCGGTCCGAGACTAATTCCTTCGTGCCAAAGTTGGACAAAGCCCTCCTGAAATCGACATACAGTGATGCTCAGCGGCTGGAGTTGGCCAAAGCCATCGTCGAGGGACTCTGTCATTGCACGTACCAGCTCCAGTTTGTGGAGATCACCGATGCCGTTCGCCTGGAGTACACCGCAGATTCGGCTTTCATCTTAAGGGCGGTGGTCGAGAAAGCAGAGATCATTTGGTACCTCCATCTTGACGAATGGTCTGATGCTGGGAAGAAGCTGTCCGGCGTTCTCACTACGGGCCAGCCAATCGCTCGGGCTGTTCTCAGACCAGAAGAACAGAATCAGTTTCCTGGTGCTCGGGTATGGGAGTTCTGGGTGCCACACAAGATTTATTTTCCCCTAAAGTTCGAAGTCCAAGAACAACAGTCACTCTGTCTCACCGAGGTTGGTAGCCTCGGTAGCATGCCCACCCGATCCCAGCGCCCAATCAAGGAACTTCAGGGCAGTGTCTGGACATTTCATCCCGAGTGTGGATTCCCTGAGCATGCCCTATGGGTTTATGATGGCTATCACCAAAAGCTATTCTTATTCAAGAACATTGACCCGATCGGCCGCGCTCAGGAGGACGTGTTTGTGGTATCGCCCGTGAGCCGCGATATGGGCCATACGCCCATCCCGGAAACCCGACCAGTACTGATGCAATTTGACGTATCGGATCAAATCCACCGAAACTTCAAGAACGTCTTGATAGACGACGGAGACTTCCTGATCCAATCAGGGAAGACACTGCCGATCCAAGGCTTCGTTGACGGCTGGTGGGAGAGCCTGGACAAACACGGCGTCCGCGTCGAAGCCTTTCCCAACTTCGGATTCGAGGATGTGAGAGCCCTTGCCAAGGGAGCCCCAACAAGCATTCGGAGATGCGATAGTCCCAGCGCTGCGACCGACTACAACTCCTGCGACAAGTACCAGAGCTTGCTCACGACGTCTCTCCCGATAATTGGGAAGGACGAAGAAGCTGTAAAGATACAAGAGGTTCTCAAATCTCTTGATCTGGTGCAGCAGTTGGACCTCGCAGAGTTCGCTAGATTGATTGGTCCTTGCTACTCCGCTGTGGAAATGGGTCTTGTCGGGACTGGTAACAAAGTCTCGATGATTCAAGAGGATGTGGCGCTTTCATCAGACTGTGAGACCTGCGCTCCGAGGATTCCGGAGGTGCACTATGTCAAAGCAGAGACAAGCGGAGGCATGGGCTCACGCGCCAGCGGATCTGTAGTTGCTCGACACAGTGATCCGGACCAGCAACACTACGAACATGGTTTGCAATCAAAGCCGACGGCCCTCCGAATCGATCACAACGTCACGGCGGAATTCAATGACTGCGGAATGAAGAAGCATGGAAACCGCTACGTTGACATCCGCTTTGTGGCTAATGGACATGCCCTGCTTCACCAAGCACGTGCCCATCTTCCCCATCATCCAGCTCATTATGGCGACACCACGGAGACTACGGGAGCTTTCACGATGGAATTTGGGGTGATTGAAAACCCGAGGGTCGTCCTCCCACTAGCCAACGTCTCGGCTCCCGAGCCTGTTGCATGTGAGGACGCAATACAGCCTTCCGGTTTCCAACGCGGTCTCTCTCTCTTCAAGGAGCAATCTGACTCCTTGCAATGGATGCTAGCAAGGGAGGAAGTAGAACCAACGACGCACTTTGTTGAAACGGAGGTGGCAGAAGTATACCATGAAAAGTTCCATTTACGCGTTCGCGCAGACGCCAAGAGACCTGTTGTCCGCCGCGGTAGAGTCGTGGCTGACAACGTCGGCTTTGGCAAGACTGCTGTCTGCCTGGGCCTCATTGACGTCCAAAACAAAACTGATCGAAGGGACTTTCTCGACATGCGACGCAGAAATGACCATCTCAACGGACTGGTTCACCTCCATGCAACCTTGGTCATTGTTCCGAATCAGCTGACCCAGCAATGGGTAAACGAGGCAAAGCGATTCCTGAGCCCAAGGCAATACAACATTGTCAAAATCGAGAAGTTCAACGAGCTTCAGAAGCAGGGCGTTGCTGGATTGAAGAGGGCGGACATTATTATTTGCAGTAACAAAGTCTTCCAGGAGAATGTCTACCACTCAGAGCTGTCTAGGTACTGTGGCAGCAACGGCCTTGACAAAATTCGGACGCTGCAGAAAGTCTACCGCGCTTGGTACAAGCGACTCCAAGCTCATCTGATTCAAGTTCGAGACGACGTCGTGCAGATCCTCGAGCAGAAGAACCAAAACTTGGCACGGCAGCAAAGAAGATCACTCAGACGCGACTTGGCACAAATAAGAGACCATCACCAAAATCGTGATGGTGAGGAGGGGCTCTCCTTCGTCCCATCCTTACCGGAGGCCAAGAAGCCTCGTGGAAAGGCGGCCGCAACGGCTACACAAGTTGGGGACATCGATTGGGAGCCTCTACTGCTCCTCGAGTTCTTCAGCTTCTCGAGAGTCATTTGGGACGAGTTCCCGTATGAGAATATTCCGGTCACAGAGTTTGTGGCTAACTGTGCCACGACCTCAAAGTGGATGCTTTCCGGTACGCCTCCTTTGGAAACGCTAGGAGACATCTGTAAGGTGGCCTATCTTTTCAATGTGCACGTGGCACGTCCGTTGCAAATGATAAAGGGACGTCAGCCTCCAGTATGCGAGCATGAGCCACTAGCACCGCACTCGGATCTCGAATCTACCAGTCTCTTTCAGAGTCGGCACTCTCCGATGGTGTTGTTGGAACGACACGAGCAGTCCCTGGATTTTGTACGTGTCTTCATGCGCAAGAACGACCGCAAGACAGAAGTTTGCAAGGTCGACATACCGCTTGTGTTGGCCATGTCGCCGCTTTCCCTCCTGTCCTACGCAGAACTTCAACTAGAACTTCGCAGCCGTCAGTACAATGCAAATAACGTCGGGAGCGATGCTCGACGACGTTTAATGAGCCGGATTGCGTGGAAGGGAAAGGAGAATGGACGTGACCGCTCCATGGAGGCACTGATGATTCGCGCCTCCGCCTCTTCCGAGGACGTCCTGAGGCAGTCTGGCTTGACCGGGAGAACAGACCTCGAAGCTTGTAAGGCGCTCCTTGCCATTACTGAGAAAGAAATCCAGGGAATGGAAGACCGCGGTCGCGAACTATTTGCCAAGGCGGTTTTCTTGGGTTATCGGCTTACTTTTATCACGATTCCAAAGACGACAAACTCGCAGAGCACCCAGGAAGAGCGTCAGTTGAGCTACTACGAAAATCTGGTTGAACTGGTCGAAGCTATCCTAAATTTCGACATCAACATCTTCCAGAGTTGGGATGCTTTCCAGTCAGCCATGCGAATGTTAATATGGAGCGAAGGAATGCGGACTGCGCTCGGTGCATTCAGACATCTTCCTCGGGACGCACTTCCCGACTTGTTACGAAAGATTTTCAATGGCATGTCGATTTGCGAACCACCGGCAGAGCAGCCGGTGTGGCCCTCAGGGGACAGATTCAATGGAAATGCCAAAGAAGAATTTCTCAAGAACCTAGCAGCCCAGAAGAAATACCACGAAATCTTCAGGGAATGGCTCACCAAGACTCCGCTTCACTCAAGACGATGGTACTTCGCTGATAAGGTCCAGGATCTCGATCCCGCCGAAGAGGAGCTATTGAGGTTGGAGTGGGAGGAGAAGGTGACCTGGGAGAACGAATACAATGCCTCTGAGGAAGGGGGTTCACGAGTGGTGGTGCCGATCTCCAAGCTGCGCGCACCAACGGACATTTCTCGACCTGATGATTTCGATCTGGACCATTTGAAGGATATTGATGCATGTCACCGAACGAAGCACGCCGAGTTGCGAAATGTGAGCGCTGAGGAGGTCAGAGCCATAGCGGCCGAACTCCACGGCTACAAGGATACCAAGGTTTTCTGGGAGGAGGAATGCAACCGACGCGGCCTCATTGCAAAGAGCACCGACAAGAAGGATGTGTTGATCGCCCGTGTGGCTGCCGACAGGGCAAATATCGCGACCGACACAGATTATGTCTCTCCAGAATCCTGCGGCCTGAGTCCTGCCGACTTCCCACAAGAAGGCAAGAAGAGAGTCCGGGGCGGAACCATGGAAGTCATCTTCGATCAATATATGCAGGACTCCGACGCATTTTCAAGGGTCCTCGAGAGGATCGTTGTCGCGCACGCGAGGCGGAATCTGCAGAACGTCATCGCCGACATTCTCCAGGGCACTTGGGTGTGCCACAAAGCCGAGTGCCGCAAGACGTACGAGGCGCACTACATCTCGCTCCTTTGTGGTCACATTTTCTGTGCTCAGCCAGATCATGGTCAGCGTTGCGGCGTTGGTGAGTGCCAGCGCCGTGTCAAGCACGTCTGTATCCCGTTGTCAAAGATCACACAGCCCGAGCGTGTCATTGCGGCGGAGTGCCTCTCCGGGGCCATAACCGAAGATCCCAGTCCATACTTGGCCTCAGCACCGGCCTATGAGCTATCAACAAAAGGGCCAAAGGCTCGTGCCGTGATCAACCTCATCGCTAGAACGAAGAAGTCTGATCAAGTCGTCGTGTTCGTTCAGAACATGGCCATGGAGAAGGACATTTACAGTGAACTGGCCGCAGCTGGCATCGACCATGTGGACTCCTTAAAGCTTCATCGGAATGAGGCGGAAAGCCTGGAACAGTTCAAGCAGGGAAAGGGGAAGGTTCTGGTGCAAGTAATCAACTCCGAACAGGCGGCGGGAAGCAATCTTCACAATGCGAACCATGTCATCTTTGTCTCCCCTCTCGTCAGCCGCAAGCAGAGCGAGTGGGACGACCACATGAAGCAGGCAATGGGACGCTGCGTGCGCTTCCGGCAGGCCAAGACGGTGTACGTGTACCACATGCTCATGGAGGAGACGATCGAGGTGGACACACTGGAGTGGAGGATGAAGAAGGAGATCATCGTGAAGGACGGCCAGGCGGCGGCGCGCTTCAACGAGTGCTCGACGCGAGAGTTCCTCGCACGGTGCGACGACGACAGCACGGCACCCGAGCTGCAGCTTGCCCCAGAAGAGAGCCGCGCGGTGTCCATCCTCCCCCGCGACGACATCCAGCATCTTATGGGCGACGACTATCTGAGCCTCGCGTCTATCAAGGCGCTGCGGACTATTGACGAGGCTATTGCGGACAAGGGCGTGGAGCAGACCGAAAAGGTTGAGATGGGCGAAGTAGACTATTTGATCGAGCCCGAGGCTTACTATGACGGCGCCATGGACTTTGGCGGTGCCTGAGCTCGTAAGTCCCTTTTTCTCATCTACATACCTCATGATAAACACAAGCGGCTAACTCTGGTCGTGTAACAGATCACGTCCACTCCCTGCCTCTCACGACCCCTCAACAACACTACGCATGCTCAAGATACGGAGTTGGCTGGAATGAAAACGATGGAAAAGAACAGAAAAAAAACATGATGAACCCCAGCGTGTCGGGGCATAATAGGCCCATGGCTGGGCTGGAATACGAGCAACGAGAGGCACGCTCGGGTCATGAAAAGACGAATCTGGATTTGTAATATGTGTAGGATATTTGACTAAATTGGAAAAGGCGAAAGCCACCAAAAAAAGACTGTCTGTATGCATTGTATGATGTGGCTTGTGTAGATGCCGTTGTGTCTTTGGGTACCGATCCCGTGGCTCACCCACCTTTGGGGGTTGGGTCTCATTTATCTCCGTGCCCCGGACTACCTTCTCCTGATTGTCTTTTTTCTGCATGTCTTTCCTGGGTTACCATCCTCGGATTTTGTTCCAGCCTGCCCAACGGCCGTCTGGGCGGCTCTCTCTCGAGCATATCATGTCACACAATCAGGTCTCTTCACAGGCCAGAAGTCCCTCCAACGATGAGTGCCTCCACATAACAAGCGACTTTCTTGCCATACTGACAAGAACTCAGGCACGAACCTCCGTAACGGCGCGTCACGCTCAGCCTCACCAAAAGAAAATATGCCGGAAATAAGACATGCGAACACCCACCCTCGAACTATGCGGGACTGCGGCCAGCCGAGAGGCCGTCAGCTGCACGTCTCACACATACATATCTGGCAGGGAACGGGCGGGACAAAGATACACAGAGCAAGACAGGTTGAGAGAGGAGAGAAGTGCGACAAAGAGGTTCACCGCCTCGTCGGCGGCACATGCTGTGCGCCGTCGGAGGCAGGACTGCTGTGCTACGGAAGAGGGAGGAGACTAGTTCGTCACTTGCTTTTTTTTCTCTTTCTCATGTCTCCGTTTCCCTCTTGTCGTGCCTGGGCAGCTGCGGGGGAACTGCGTGGGGGTGTATGTATGTGGCTGGTTTTGGGTGATGTTGTTGAGGACAGACTTCTGCTGTGTACTGCTCCCTCAGCCATTCCCAGCTGTGGCTCTCTGCGAGGATGGGGGTCGATACGGCTTGGCTGGATCTAGGCCAGGATCGACGGCGATGGGAGTTGGTGGATGACACAGTCAGCGTATTAATGAATGGATGTGATGAAGTCAGACAGACTCTCATTGAGCTGGTCGTCGTCTGCGAGGAACGTGCCGAGCAGGGTCGACCCTGGCTCTTGATGCACAGGGGAAGCCCGGAATGAGTGGCAAAGAGGACTGTCAGGCGGGAGTGTCAAGCAGAGGACGCCCAAGCGCACGAGTCGAGATACTGTATTATTCATGTACAGACAGACAGGCAGAGAGCATCACCACCTGCCAAACCGGCGGACGCGTCTAGTGCGAGCCGAGAGCGTCGCACAAGAGCCGAAACGAAAGGAGATTGAGCATGGCTGGTGCTGCAGGAGGGCAAAAGAGTTCATGTTATCGTTGCACAGGACGAAAAAAACTGCACCTGTGCGTGCTGTGCTGCTGCAAACACCCCCTGTCCCCTCACCGCGGCACGATGCTTCTTCGCTCTCTGGGCCGTCAACCAGGAGTCGGGCATCAGCCATCAAGTCCGAGTTGACCCAGGCCACGCCTCAAAGAAACTGCCTCATCAACCGCGCCAACGCGCCGTCGACGGCATACATTCATCCATTGCCTCCTCCCCCCCTCGCTCGAGACTTGACGGCGAGCTTGGATCTGTCTCTGTCCGTCTGTACTGACTGCATGGTGCCCGAGAAGCTCGAGGCTAGTCCATAACGAAAGCCCGAGGGGGAAATCCCGTTTGCCTTTCGAACAAGTCCGACGGCGACAACATCATCACCGTTACCGACAACAACAACCAAAGGCAAGTTCGAGACCTGCCACGACTCAGAGGCTCAATCAAGCTCCTCCACAATCCCAACCTCGTTTGTCTTGGCTGCACCGGCTCAACCATTGTAGAACAGCACACAACCGTCGACCCTGCTTGCTGCTGCTGCTGTGGGTGAGCTGTCACTGTCACCGGCACTGTCACTCTCACTGTCACTTTCGCTTTCACTGTCACGGGGATCTGCCGCCGAGCAGCCGGCCATTGACTCGGACACACGAAGCGCGCGCCCTGACCGACAAACCAGGAGACGCGCCTCCAGTTTTGGTCAGCCCAGCTCAGTTCAGCTCCAGCGCAGGGCCAGCCTGCCTGCAACACGATTGGGCCAAGATGAGCCTCTACAGCTTGCCGTCTGGGGCTCCACAGTCCTCCTCGACCAGCCTGAGCGGCGAGTCTCCGCTGGCCCCCACCGTCGGCGACCTCTCCTCGGCGGACCTCTTCAGCTCGGGCACTCCTAATGGCAATTCCGCGGGTGCTATGAACGACAATGTGAACGGGAACGCGACCGTGCCCACTTCTGCTTCAACTTCCGCCCACGATCCTGGCTCCCAGTCTACTGCCGCCGCGGGCCCTGCCGTCCCCGCCGCTTGTCTGGCATGTGTGAGTAGCCCTCTCTCCTCTCTGCCGAGTCCTCCTTCTCTGTCTACTGTGTGAAGTATCTGGTCCTTTCTTCTCGCTGGGTCTCCACATCCACCGGAAGGTGGACGAATCTGCTTGCTTCCCCTCGTGTCGGGTCGGTTCACATAGGGCTGACATATACCCATCTGCAATGACAGCGTAGCAAACACCTCAAGTGTGATGGCCAGAATCCCTGTACCCGCTGTGTGGCATCTCAGTCCGAGTGCGTCTATGTCGCCTCCCGACGGGGGTACAAAGGCCCGCGGCGAGGTACTGCTCAAAACCCCAACAAGCGGCACGCGTCCTCGTCTCCCGATGCCTCAGACGTCACCTCCGCCGGCGGGCCCGAGAGCTGCCCCATGTTGCTCGGGGCTACTGCCCCTGCACTGACAAGCGCCGGCTTCACGCCGCCCGTAGGCCTCGGCACCGACCCGAACTCGCCATTCCTCTCGGCCGCCGCCTCTATGAACCATCTGCAGCTGTACAGGACCACACCCTTTGGCACGCCCATCAGTGCCGTCCAGCACCATGCTCCCATCGTGCCCGTGACTACCATCGCAGACAAGTGCTTTGACTCGTTCTACTATCATTATCATGCCTCCCACCCCTTCGTGCTGCCCAGAGAATATCTGTTCCGGCACATACGGGAGAGCGGGCAAAAGCTAGAGCACCTACAGGCGGCCATGAGATATGTCGGCTCTCTTTTCCTGGACGTTGGACCTGCTCGTGCTTCGTATCTAGACGAGGCCCTACGGCTGACCTACTCTCCGAGCACTCCTAAAGACGGCTTCCTCGTTCAGACTCTGCTGTTGCTCATCGTCGCGCTGGACGGAAGCTGCCAGCAGGACAAGGCTCGGGATCTCCTGTCCGACTGCGAGAGGATAGCGGTCGAGTTAGGCATGAATACGCGGCAATTCGCCACGATGCATGGACGCGGCAGTCCCATACTCGAAGAGAGCTGGCGGAGGACGTGGTGGGATCTCTACGTAATCGACGGAATGGTAGCGGGCGTGCACAGGGTTACCAACTTCCTCCTCTTCGACCTGACGGCAGACGTGGCCCTGCCGTGCGAGGAGTCGGAGTATATCTTGGGGGTAAGTCATCACGGTGTTGTGTCCATTTCGGTCGCGCGAGGGACCGTACTGACAGCTGAAGCAGACTATACCACAGCCCATGTACATGGAGGACTTTGACGACCAGCTCTTTTCCGGAGAGGACCGCCCGTTCTCTTCCTTCGCGTACCGCGTCGCCGCGATCCGGAACCTCGGGCGCTTCATGCGCTGTGGCCCCATCATGTTCCCAGAGGACGAGAACCTCGCCAAGATGGAGGCTCACCTCACCAATTGGAGGCTGCATCTGCCGCCGGGGAAGAGGGACCCGGTGGACAAGAATTGTCTGCACGATGAGATGATGTTCCAGGGCCACTTCATCACCACAGCGTAGGTTCAGGCCCACCACGAAGACTGCCTTTCTTTAAAGCAAGAAAGATGGGTCTTTCAAGACAGTCCAGCTTACCGTCTTTTCCCCCAGATGCACCATCATGCTCCACCAGCCGCACTCGCAGCTCGACTCCTCCCCAGCACGCAACGTCAACTCATGCGCACCATACCGCGCCGTGCCGTCAGGCGAGGCATACAATATCCACACGCGTCACACGGTGACAGCCGCCGCGGACATCTCCAAGATGATCACGGCGCCGGTGGCGCTGACGAGCCACACGCACTTCTTCACGTGCGTCATCACCATGAGCGCGATCGTGCAGCTGTCCAAGTGGGCGCTGTACTTCCTGCAGGACGAGGACGACCTGCGGCAGCAGATCCGGCTGAGCATCGGCGCCCTGTCCAAGCTGTCGGGCGTGTGGAAGGCCGCCGACAACGCTGCCGGCCAGGTGCGTGGCGTCGCGCGCGAGATCTACCGCGCCAAGAAGGCCCAGCAGATCAACCCGGCCTTCTGGGTCGCCTTCACCCAGGAGGAGATGATCCAGAGCCTCAACGCCGACGAGGCTATCATTAGCGAGATCGACTCCATGCTCTCGCAGGTGTCTGGGGCGCCCGTGTCGGTTGCTGGCGCGCCTGGGGTGCTGGAGCACTAAGTGTGTACATGTATGACTTAATGTGTTATGAACATATATTATAAAATCCTGGAAAATATTCAGCAGTCCTTAGCATCGCGATGAAAAGGATGGGAAGGTTTTGGCTGGGGTTGGGATTGGGCCGATAACTCTTTATTGCTTGGGTAACTTGCTTGGGTAACTCTCCGGGGACCACGAGAAAATTTAATATCAGACCTGCGGGTCTAGGTAGTAGCAGCTCAGCTCATATGAACAATATCCCTCCCCAGCCCCCACTCGGTGAAATGATTCTCAGCTGTGATAGTGCTCGATGCTGCTGCAGCAGTGCATGTGTTCGTTCTCGGCACCCGGAGAAGTTGGGACTTGGCGATCTAGATATTTGGTCTCTTTAACGGCGTCATGGAATATGCGCAGCATCCTCCAGATGCAACCTCGCCCGATCCCAAGGCCCGACAGGGTTATCCTTCCTTCGCCCTGCTCTCCGGGAGGAACGATCTCTGGTCGCCGACGAACTGGCTGCCAACCGCGTTCTCGTTCGCTGCATGAGGTAAGACGGCCGAGCCGTGCCGGGCACCACACTACAACGAAACCGAATGATTGGAACCCGATGACCACCCACAATTTAGACTACACATCCCCGGTTTCTCCACCGGCTGCACCTTGGTCGCCGACCTCAACCCGCCCTACAGATCTGGTTGTCTAGATGCCTTGTGACACTGCCCCCCGCCCCGCCTCACCTCTGGATTCGGAAGCAAGGGCATCTATTCCTGGAGACACAATCTTTATCTTATCCTGCTGATTCCACAGTCTCACACACACACGCACACACACACGCACGCAGGGATCCGTCCCGGTAGACCGGCTCAGCCCGGTGTATGTGACTACCCGAGACCGAAACGCTTTGCGGGAGGGTGATGAAGAAAAAAAAGAAAAAACCCTCCCGCGCGTCGGAGGAGGACCAAGACAACTCTGATACCCGCCCACGACGATGAGACCAAAACGGCTGACTCCTGTCACACGGCCGGGTCCGATATCCCGTCATCTCCTCACGGTCACACTGACTCTACGGGGCCTGACCTTGCCCGTGATACTTAGAAGACCGCTCTCGGTTGGCGTCTCCGAGGAAGGGCGGTCCAGTCGACAGCCCTTCTTGCTCCTGCTCTATCTCGCCCGCCCTTGTAGGTTTCGTCGTTCTTCGGCCCAATCATCCCGCTCCTATAAGATCGCCGCTTATGGTTGCCCTGTGTGATGGGGAGGGCATCGTCGGTCAGCGCTCTCCTGCTTGCCCTTTCCTCTTCTCGCGCCTGGTGCGTCACGCTCACCGCGTAATGGACTTGCTACATGCTGCTGTGCGGTACTTCTGAAGACGGAAAGGGGTCGGTCGTCCGAACTTATCCCCTGACTCTCCGCTGTCGTACCGGAATCGGGAGGTGTGATGGTGATGTGATGAGATGGCTTGGTGGTTCCTTGAGGATATGGGGCCGCTCTATCTCTTACACAGCCTCGCCGTCTCGTTGGATCTAGATGTTGGTGCTCCTATGCTGAGGGTGTGGTCATGCATACGGCTTCGCTGATAAAAGATCCTCCCTCTCTTTCTAATGCTATCGTCGTTGCCTTGCTCGGGCAAATCCTTCGTATAATCCTTCGGCGTTCATTCCAAAGACTCCAAGGATTCCTAAAAGTTTAGTCTGGTTTTATAATTACTTGACAAGGCATTGCTGTCAATATCACTTCCTTTCACCTCTTACTTGTTCTTTCCACTGCCCTCCTGGTGTCATAATATCTCATATCCCCCAATATGGCAGCCAACACCAACACCAACACCACCACAAGTCAGGAAGCTCGCAGCTCAGACAGTAATTCAGCAACCAAGATGCTGCCCTACCTCCCCGACACAGACCTGGAAAAGCAGCACGGCGGCACATCAGGGTCCCACCTCCTGAGAAATACAACAGTGCACAACATTTCCTGGTCCGGCATCACCGTCACCGTCACCGACCGCACATCAAAGCAGCCCAAGACCCTGCTGGACAATGTCCAGGGCTACGTCGAGGCGGGCGAGCTGCTCGCGCTGATGGGCCCCTCGGGGTGCGGCAAGACAACCCTGCTCAACGTCCTCGCAGGCCGCCACTCACCAGCATCATCAATAACACCCACCACAACCAAAGGCCCCAAGGTAGCCGGCACAGTCCGCGTAAACGGCACCATCCCACAGCCCACAACCCTCCGCCGCCTAGCCCGCTTCGTAGAACAGGAAGACGCCCTCCTGGGCTCCCTCACAGTCCGCGAGACGCTGACCTTCGCGTCGCGGCTGGCGACCCGCCTGCCCGCGCGCGAGCGCGCCGCCCGCGTGGACGACCTCCTCGCGGCGCTGGGGCTGCGGGGCCAGGCGGGCACGGTGGTGGGCACGCCGGTGCGGCGGGGGATCTCGGGCGGGCAGAAGCGGCGCGCGGGCATCGGCGCGCAGCTCATGACCGCCCCCCGCGTGCTCGTCCTCGACGAGCCGACCAGCGGGCTCGACTCGGCCGCCAGCTTCGAGGTCGTGCGGTACCTGCGGGCGGTGGCGCGGCGGGATAACCTAATTGTTGTCGCGAGTATCCACCAGCCGTCGACGGCGACTTTTAATCTGTTTGATAAGCTGTTGCTGCTCGGGGAGGGGCGGACGCACTTCTTTGGCCCGCTTGGTGCCGTCGAGCCGTATTTTGAGTCGGTGGGGCGGGCGCTGCCTTTGCATGTCAATCCGGCTGAATTCTTGCTGGACCAGGTTAGTGTTGACTTTGCTGGTAGGGAAGAGGGAGGTGACGGCAGCAGTAAAGGGGACGCCGCAGCCAGGCAGCGGCTGGAAGGCTCGCGCCGCGCGTGGCTGGCGAGCCCGCTGGCGGAGCAGCTCAAGAGCATCGTGGCGTACTGCGAGACGCAGCAGCAGGGTGAGATGGACCTTGTGGATGCGGCCGAGGAAGTGAACAAGCCCGGCTTCGCGAGCCTGGTGCTCACGCTGCTGCACCGATCGTTCATCAAGAGCTACCGCGATGTCATCGCCTATGGCGTCCGCATGGCCATGTACTTTGGCCTGGCGGTCATGATGGGCACGGTGTGGGTGCGGCTCAAGACGGAGCAGGAGTATATCCAGCCGTACATCAACGCTATCGTGAGTCTCCCTTTCCCCTTGTCTCTTCGTTTACATAAACGCGGTCACTCACACCCGTTCAGTTCTTCGGCTCAGCCTTCATGTCCTTCATGGCAGTGGCCTACGTGCCAGCCTGGCTGGAGGACCGCCTCCAGTACGTCAAGGAGTCGAGCACGGGTCTGTATTCGGCGTCGCACCTGGTGCTGTCCAACTTCCTGATCGGCGTGCCGCCGCTGTTCCTGATTGCGCTGGGATTCAGCGCCATCTCGTATTTCCTATCCAACTTTAATCCGGCGCCCGCCGCTTTCTTCACCTGGGTCATGTGGGTTTTCTTCGACCTTCTGGCCGCCGAAGGCCTCGTCGTCGTCATAGGATCGTTGGCGCCCAACTTCGTCGTCGCGCTGGCGCTGGTTGCTTTCGCCAACGGGCTGTGGATGTGCGTCAATGGATTTATGGTGCAGCCAACTGTGCTGAATGTGTTTTACAAGTATGTCTTTAGCTACTGGGACTACCAGAAGTATGTGTTTGAGGGCATGATGGTCAATGAGTTCTCGGGGAGGAGCTATGGGTGCGGTGACGGGTGCCGCTGCATGTATCAGACCGAGCTGGCGGATGAGTGTCGCATCGCTGGCCAGGGGGTGCTGGACCAGTTTGGGTATCGGGATGGGTACCTTGGCAAGAACGTCGGGATTATGATTGGGATTATAGTTGGATACCGAGTTGCTGCGTGGCTTGTTTTGATGTGGAAGAAGTGAGTTTGAGGATGCTATGTGCGTTCCATGGTGTTGGTATTAGGCCTACACAATATATAATTTGCAGTATTCGAACGATTTCTCAAGTCAGCCGGCCGTTAGCAGAGACAATATGATTTGTGTCTTGCGATTGCTCCCAAATTTTGCGCCGTATCCTGAACGCCGTGTCGCTCAATGAAGCACCCAACCTCCTAGTTCACTTGCTGTGTTCGTCTCCTCGGAGATAGGTATCTTTTCGCCAATGGGCTTCTGTCAATGAAGACGTTCCATGTCACTTAGATGGACTGGTCCCTGTCAAAGATCTGTACGGTGATCCTTTGATTCCCTCAATATCCACCTCTAGGGCTGAGGTTCATCCACCATGTAAATTGCTGAGATCACCGTGTTGCAAATGTCAATGTCGATGGTTACTGGTTGGTCAAACTTCTCGCTCTCTTCCAACTCACGAAAGCTCAGTCCTAGCTCTGTCGACTGCTACTTCACCCCCCAGAGTCAACCTCGATGGCAGCATACCAGCTCCCGCTCCAGTTCGGCTCGCCCCACGCGCTCTTGAGCCAGCAAGTGTTGGTGCCGTAATAGTTGCCCCACCCCACCGCCGTGCAGCCCTCCTGGGCGGAGCACTGCTCCAGGCAGGCTTCGAACGTGGTGGTGTTGACAGTGAGCATGTCGACGGCGCCGCAGCAGCTGTTGTAGTCGCGCCCGCACAGCACCAGGAACTGCTTGGACGACGACTCGAGCGTGTAAGTGGTCCTGTTGGCCATGGGGCAGACGATGGACGTTGCCGTCGTCGCGGCCGCCGTCGCCGTCGCGGACGGCACGCTGTGGCTGCTGGTCGATGTTGAGGTTGAATTTGAGCTGTTATGCCACATGGACGAGTCAGTCTTTGCTTCTTCGTGGAGGCTGGGCCGTGTGCTGAAGTATATCGGACGTCGCATAAACATGTCCCCACACCAGCTTGTTCATCCGTCTTGCCGTTCTCCCGCGAGCCGATCCGCGCCTGGGGTTCACCTGCAACGCCGTCCCGTGCTTGGGAACGGGGAACGACCCGGGAAAATGGAAGTCTCTGTTCCAGCCCAACACCGTTGTTCCGTGTGTTGCACAGGCGGGGTGAGAAAGAAAAAAAGGGAAAAGAAATAAGAATCTGACTCACCTCGAGCTATCATTCCTCGTCCCCAGCCCTACGCCAACTCCGACAGCCACGCCGACGACAACAACAAATACGGCCACAGCCAGCACACACCAAAAAATCATCCTGCGCAGGCCGCATATTCTCCTCTCAGCAGCGCGCTGCTTCTCTGCGTCGGGTGGGTCGAATGGGTTATGCCCGCCGTGATAGTTGGCCTTGCTAAACTCGCTATAGGGTTGACTGACGGGGGTGTACGCGTTGTCGCCGCCGGGCGACACCGCCTCGGGGAAGGGCCAGGAGCCGCCGCCACCTGCGTGCAGCACCTGTGGCGGAGAGGAGTTATCGCCCCATCCCTTGTACTCAGCGTACGCGGTCTCCGGGTCCGAGGGCGGTAGGGCCTCTGGGAGGGCGCTGTGCGGGACCTCCAGGCCCGACTCGACGACTTGAAGGCCGGAGAACTCGTCGCGGTTGATTTGGTGTCTGCGGTCGTCGACAGGGCTGTTGTTGGTGTCGCTGGCGGGAACTCCTCGCTCTGAAGGATTATGGGGAGGTTTCTCGGCGGCCATCTTGGCGCCGGTAGTGCCGGATTGGACCCGGACCTTTTGGTCGTCCGGATCCGGGCCCTGAGAGGCTTGGTCACTGTTTGAATCCATTGGTATTTTCGTTCATTCGTTCATTCGTTCATTTAATTCAGTCTGCCTGTTGTGCCGGTAGCGGCAACATCGTGATGGTCCCACCCGCGATGAGCCTGTGGGCCGAAACGGTGCTCAACGTCGACGTGTCTTGGGAGCTTGAGGACAGCAGTTGCTCGAAGCAGAACGAAGGGTGAGATTTAGATGAGCAATACAAATTGGCATGGGCGGGAAGGAATCTAAGGCAAGGTAGGACTTGTCCTATTAGTCTCGCAGAGTCCACTCTTTACTGGATCAGAAGCAAATCCCTAGCCCGCGTCTGGGTGCATAAATACAACCCTGGATCCCGACAAATACCACACAAAAGGCCATGCTGGGGGCTGCGGGCTTCGGTCTGGGGTCGAGTCCGACCACCTCTCAGCCTCTCAACCCCTCCCTCAGATAGAGCAACCTATCGCTTCAGCTGCTGCAGGAGGTAGGAGACCAGGATGCGTTTGCCGCGTTGCCATGGGGCAAGGAAGACAGACTGTGGGCGGAGACGACAAAGCCGAAGAGGGTGTGAAGAGACCCGCGTGTGATGAGTGAGGCTAACGAGAGTCATGTTCCCTGTCCCTGCAGCTGGGCCCCTAGCGCATTCTTATTCCTGAATCTCCCTCCAGGGGGAGACGAATAACATCGAGCAGCCCGTGTTTGGAAGATCTCAATCAATGTAAGAGGGAGTGTGCCGGTGGGTGACAGCGGCAGTGGCGCTCGTGATCATGACGAAGATGAGTTCCGCTTTACGGCCTCCCCAACGGCTCGACCGGCCCGCTTTCTCGCCTTTTGATACGCTACTGTAATATCAGACTTATGCCGTCCATATGTGCTCCACCTTGTTGCGTGACCTGTCAAAACCCGAGCACAGGGTTAGAAGTAGGATCCGGCTTCTTGTTAAATCTTCCGTCGAGGTGGGAGGGTGGATCGTCCCAGAGTGCTGGGTCAACCTGGGACTCGGAAACTTGCGCGAATCTAGGCCTCCAGGGCTATAAGGGCTGTGATCCGTGATTACTCATGACCTCGGGACTTGGAACCCTGGTGATGTGGTAGTAGCGCAGTCCATGCATCCGAGTTAGTCTCAAATAATAAAGTTAAGCTTTTGCTATTTTGATTATTTGGAAATCACTTGAACAAGATGAGATAATCTTTGCAATGGGGAAGGCGTTCCTGACACGCCCTGAAAGAGTATTACCTTGATTGTGGCGTCGCTGTGTCGCTGGATACGTGCATGCGGCTGAAGCAATAATCGGCAGTCGAACAACAAGAATGCTCAAGGCCTACACTTTGAGATGCGATCTCATCACAGGTGTCTTACAAGATTGCGATTGGGTGATCATCTCATCGCCGCTCGGAACGGCTTCGCCACAGTTCATACGCATCAAATCGCTCCCAAATCACACCCAAATAACAGATGGCCTCCTGGCCATGATGAAATGGACGCATATGCACGCCGCGCCGCATGCCACGCAGGTCCTGGCACTAAATCTGACATACAGCAACATGCATCTCGATCAGTACGATGGGTAGCACAAGTAGCGATTCTTGGTGCAGGAAGTGGGAGGCCGCACAAGTTATTATGCAATGCCCTAGTAGTGGTGGCATTGCGTAATGTTTCGTGTTGCTCGGGCGTACAGTAACAGTCCTTGGCTGTACATCCCGAGGTCATTTTTGAGACCGATGGAACACCGACATGGACTTCTGCAGAACCAGTGCTTACATTCAGAGAAACGATGGTCGGTGGCCATTTCTATTCTGCCAGACCATACCTACCAGGGGGAAGGGGGGTTTCTGATTGGGTCTTGCAATGCACGCTGCGGAATACGTCTGCTGCAATAATATTGATATTAAATCAAAATTTAGAAATCATAACGAAATGCTTGTAAAAGACTAACAAATCATTGCAAAAAAAAAATCCAATCAAAAGGTTGATATCATATCGATATCATATCAAGATTGATTTCATGTCAACGCATGTCAAGACATGTCCAAACTAGCCTTATAAACTTTAAAATATTTCTATTTTTAGATATTTCCGTAATTCCGTAGCTCAACCCTTAGTACATAGTCAAGCGAAAAAATAAGAAAAAAAAGTTGGGTGGGGGACGAGTTCTTAAAAGGGTTGCAAAAGGGTCTTTTTTTGGATTTCATATCGTGGCTTAACATCATGTCAAAGCATGTCAAAAACAATTGCATATCAACCACAACATTATAAAGACAGAAAATCTTTTTATAATTATATTAAACAATTGATTTGATTTTGATATCATTGCGATATGCTATTGCAATGCTTTTGCAATACATTCAGAAACCCCCCTTCCCCCTGGTAGGTAATGCATGATTTTCATGATGACCGGGTAATTATGTGCTGGTGTGATTCTCGGTGCCGTTCTTACCCTTCGCCTATTCCCCTTCTCTGCTCAACTCCTTGTCTAAAATTGGATGACATCCGCATTATGGTATAAAGTATTTACCGAGTGTTGGATTGGAAGCCTAGTCTTTCAGGTCGATAAGTCCCCATTTGCACACGTACGTGAGCCGGCTGTGTCAACTGAGCATCTCACACCTTCGAGATTCGAATACAAGTGAGTGCCCGCCAATAGGGGCACAGATTTAATTTCCTTTCTCTGAATCCGCAATCGGATTCTTTGGACGAAGGAGCGGATCTCTAGTGTTGCTCGAGCTCGTCTCGCACGATGTTGAGGGGTTTGAAGGAATGAGCCTTGAGAACCTGGGTGTCTCCAAGTTGGACTCCCTTGGTCAACAGCTCGGTTTCAGCGGTCATTCCCTCTTGTATACTCGGGGCAAACTGCTCTACAACGGTCGACACTGTATTGTATTGACTCCATGCATCCCTGGCTCAATCATTTAGTCTGACAGACTCTTGATTCTATTGCAAGCATATGACAAGACTTTCGCCGAAGTGGATTCTGGGGTCTAACACGGGTATTTGCTCATCGACAAACCGTTCCATATCAGTTCCCATCCATAAGTCATATTTCGTATCTCCCTTCGCCCTCCGTCAGGAAGTCTAGTCAGAAAGTCTACTGACAACCCACTTCATGCTGAGGGTGCCTCAAAGTCGTGTTCAGTTGCTCAAGCATCCATATTCTTCCAATTATTCTTATTGTTTGAACAGTATTGACCAAATTCAAACCTTCAAGCGCTGATCGTTCTCTGTAACTGAATGAAGCGGCAGTCGCAGGCTTTGTTGGTTCGCCCTGATCTGCTGATATGACTCAGCCTTCAGAGGCGCTATGTAGACCGGCGTGGGCTGGACCGCAAGGGTGTCACCCAGCGACTGCGAAATGCTTCCTTGATTCTGAGGCTTTGGGCTCCCGTTGAAGACATAGTCACCGTGAGAGGAGCAGCGTGACAGTATTTTGGTGAATTCTCTCTTGAGATGTTTCGACTCCCACCGCTTGGATGCCTGAAGCCTCAGCATCTTTTCTTCGATGAGCGTGAGGATGTCTTTGACAAAACCGGAGCAACCTTCACGGGATTTGAGGAGCTGGATCCACTGGTGTGCTTGTTAGCTCCTTGGTCTGGTCCGAGACGCGCTGGAGGACACCTTACCTGGGTCAGTTTCGGGTTTAGTTGTATCCCATACCACTTTTGCCTGTCGGTATCCTGCGATCTTCAGCATTGTGTCTATCCTTGAAAGGGACCTAAATCATTTCTTACTTTGAGAATACCATCTCTAATGTGCACAGAACCGGTGCCTTGCGACTGGATCTCACAGATCTGGTAGAACATTTTCCGAAGACCCCCCGTGATGTACTGCACCTCGACGAAATTCTGGAAATCGTCCAAAAGCTTTTCACCTCCTAGTAGCCAGGTGAGCATGTCAAGAAAAAGTGAGCCTAGTGTCCAGATATCTATAATCAACTTTCAGCTTATGCGTCATCAGAGCCCGGAATGCGATGTGGATACTCACCATACCGACGGCAAATCAGCCCACCTTGCACGTCGCATTCGGGCGGGTTGTACGCTGGAGTGCCCATCACCTTGTTGTTGGGGATGTTGGACCGGGTTATTTCACGATGGAATGAAGACAGACCAAAGTCAGAGAGCACGAGTATCCCCCGAGGGCGCGCCTGTGAACGAAACAGGAGGATGTTGTCCGGCTTGATGTCGGCATGCAAGCCATATCGCCGATTATCATGTTCCAGCTCGTGAAGGTGGGCCGGCTCGTGCAGTTTCTCGACGGCTCCCAGAATGCCGTCAATCTGCTCCGCCATCCAAATGAACGATGCGGCGTCCCATTTCCAGGATTTATTGCCCAGTTGCCAGAGGCCAAGGAGATCACACTCAGCCCAGGGAAAGACGAAGCGGAGTTGCAGGTGGCCGTCGTTGTGCTCGAAAGCTGTCAGCATCGTCAATAGATGAGGATGCACCGTGCCGTCGAGCCGCCACAGAACAGCGACCTCTTTGCGAAATCGGATCCGCATCTCCTCATCGGTCTCGTCCCGTGGGGGAAGCTCTGGGTTGTCGCGAGTGCGGGTGATTCGGCGGAGAGTTTTGACCGCGAAGACTTTGCCATCGAGGCCAATCTAGTAGATAATTTCACTATTTAGTGACTTTTCTGCGATTTGGGTGAAACTTAATCACCTACACCCTCGAGAAGCTGCATGAAATCATGATTCCCATCGTCTATTTCGAACGGCGATACTCCGCCGTAAGCACCACCAGCATAGGAGCTGCTCATGTGAGGAATAGACAGGCCTTCTGTTTGCGAAGTGCTCATTCTCCGCTCTTTCCAGGGAAGATATGTCGTATTGGGCAGCTTATCTACCCACATGCATGTGGGTTCTCCCATTTCTTTGACTAAATCTTCATCGCGGGCCGGCCTCTGTCGGAAGAAATGCACCAGAAATTCCCTCTGGACAGCAAAGAATCTTTCTCTATCATCTGCTCGCCAGTGCTTGCATGCGTGGATCTCCGTCACCGAAGCTGCATTCTCAAACAGGGGGAATCGTCTCTTCATTTCTAGCGTACCATCTCTCCGACTGAATGGCAGCTTGTCGTCAGAGAGTCCCTCGCCTACAAACTTACCAATGTCCTGGCACTTATTCAGGCGGATGAGGGTGGCAAATACTTTAGTGTAGACTCCCGATACCTTTATATCAAGACTTTGGTCCCTTGTGCCTTCGGGACAAATGAGACTGGCGTATTCTTGCACTTGAGCGACTTCGTAGTGGGATTGCAGCTCGCTTACGACCCGACGTCGCGGCATGACAGCGTGGAGAAGGTGCAACGGCATGTAGTTGAGACCAGAAGTCTCATCACAGAGCATCCGTTCCCTTAGAAGATCTGCAAGACTCATTCCTGATGCTTCGTCATCATCTGCGTCGCTGCTGAAGGTTTGGCACTCGTCGTTCAGCGAGATGCTGCTTTGTTTCGCGAGGCACGGCGCATCTACAGAGGGAAGGAATGGCTTCTCTCCGTCCACATCGTAACCCGAAAAAGTCGGCTGGAAGGTCTGCTGCTGAGAGGCACTCATCGTAAGGGTCTGGAGGCTGGAGCTGTTGTTGATTGTTCGGGGCGATCAGAGTCCTGATTGTCACTTGGGGAGTCTTGTCCAGTAAGGCGATGATTGCAATGCCTTTATCTCTATCAGGCATCCATGTGGCAATGAGCCTATCAGTATGCCTACACAAACCGTTGGATGGAGTGCCGACATGTTCGCTCGTGAGGCACCCGCCAGGGCACACAGCCTTATTTGTTCTCGTGTGGTCGCTCGCTAACTGTAGCTGGGCAATTCAATATGCAACTCCTCAAGGAAATAGTAATATTACGTTACCGGAGTTACCAACTTCTGGTGCTTTAGGGCGTAAATGTGGCAAGGCATACACACGCTTTGCAACGCTTCGCTGGGCAACAGTTGACTCTGAGATTTTGTTGGGACGTCTCGGATCTCAGTATTCACAGCACTGGTGGCACAAAGAGTAGAAGGAGTCCGAGAAGCTCTCAAATTGAGCTTGTAATCTCTAGGTAGATACCTACGGAGTGCAGTACTATAACTCTCCGCCACGTTTAAGGTGAGATTTGTGGTTGTCGAGCTTGTGAAGTTAATTTTGGTACTATCGATAGGAAAACACCGCCGAAACCCCTCAACCTCTTGTGTGGCTTGTAATCCAAGTCTTCCAAGCTGTTTCCACCATCCTTAGGCACTCAGTTGTCATCTCTAATAGTGTTGCTTCAGTGCTTCTAGCTGGGTCTGCTCATGCTAATTTGACACATATCAGCGTCCACTAACAGCCAACAACCACAACCACTTCATTTCATAGCACAACTCACATCCGACAAATTTCGAGGAATATCACAATGGAAATAAGCACGCTTGAGCTGCTCAGTAACAGGGCGTTTTGTTAGCCACAATCATTTGATGTTGAGGTCATTAACCAAAGCCCTCAAGGGCATGGTTACTTACTTGCACTCGGAAGGTTCCCTGGCCAAAGATTTGACTGAAGAACCCTTCCAGTGAGTTTTGGAGGTAGTAAGTTGCTCGTAAAAGAATGAGTTCCATGTTGGGTACGGTCTTGGGATACGCTACGCAAAAGCAAGTAAACATCCACTTCTTTTGACTATGATTGACCGTAGATAGCAGCTTGATTGCCGTACGACGACAGTGAATCGGGCTGGCGCAGGGGAGAGCTTGAAAACCTGCTGGTGACCAGCTACATAATATACATACTGGGAGGTCCGTGGCGAAAGTTTCCTGAGACATTTGCTACATACCACATGTCCAACAAGGCTGAGTCACTAGGCAGTTTCGCCGGCTTGATCCAAGGCTTTTTTGTGCTGTGTTGGCATACATGGCGTCCATACAGCACTGATCAGGTTGAAGGGTCGAGGGGCTGAGGCAACAGTGGTTCCACGACAGGCATACTTGGGCGGGGCTGGGTAACGGGAGGTAAGTGTGTCAGAGCCACTTTCCACGCAAGTAATCCAGTCAGCAGCCCAAAGTGCATTTATTAGCTTGCGTCACTCTTGTATTCCATGATTGTCTGGAATTAGGAGAGGGTGTGGTGAGCTGGGTACATACTTAGGTACCTAGGTATCCGGACAGAGAACCAGGGTGCGAATCAAGCTTGGGTTCTTAGGCCATATCTTTCTTCTCGGTGTGTTTCCACAGGCGACAGTCTAAAAAAAAAAGGCAATAAAAATTGAAAGATTCAATGGACTGGCCACATGACTATTCAATTGTGGATGAGGGCAACCTGAAGCAGGTGTTCTCTTTTGATCCTAAACCTACGACAGTGGTGCGACTTCTTGAACAGGATGAGGTGAGCTCATCTTTAATTCTTAGACCAAACTATTGCATGACTATTAGGCGCTGATCTTGGGTCATCAGACACCCACTATCACCTCCCTAGACGGAAAGGAAGACTGGAACAGGTGGATGCACAGTGTAAGTGATCGAAAGTCTCAGCAAGCATTTAGCCCCTACCCATAAATGTGGCCCAAGTTCTTACTTTATGGCGTTTAGGAAGTACCGTCGCTCGATGGAACCACTTCAGGCTTGATATTGGTGTACGTCCCCCCGTTCACTCCCATCTCTCCACCCCCCTCCCCCCCCCCAAAAAAGAAAAGAACATCATGCGCCACTGAATATTGAGATATCCAATACAGCTTGGCTCGGCGAGCGGGAGGGAAAGATCACGATCTTCCTCGAGTGACGAAAGTCAACTCAGATGAATGGCTACAGCATCTGGACCGAGAGATCAAACGTTCGGGAGTAACTTCAAACATGGCATCAGATGGAGCAGGTAACAGTGACCTTCGTAAGCTTCCATTTTCGAAAGATGTCTTTCTCGACATAGCCAGGAAATTCCACATCCATAATTCAATTCTCCGGACTGTCAGCAGGGCAGATATGTCGGAGTTCTTCAATGCAGAAGTGCGGATAACTTTGGGAGACGGAACTGAGACGCCAACATATGGTATGCAGCCACCCTCTTGAAGATATGCCCAACTACTAACAATGAGCTTGCAGTCTACAACTGTCGTTCTGCCAATACATGGCCCATGGACCTGGCCCTGACGGCTACGTATTTTCCTAGCTGCAGATTGACTTTTGCGGTGCTATTCGGCTGCCCACTTTCCGTAGAGCAAAGTATCATTCGGCGCCTGAAAGGTGCTATTTCTGAGGCCGGTCATCCTCTCCTCATGCCTGGTATATTTGTCGAGATTGAACGGACTCGACACCTCCGAGTCATCGAGAAGTCAGTCTGCGCAATAGAAAAACGCATCACATCACTGGCCTATAGCTTAGAAGAGATGGAAGCCATCGCCTCTTCGCAGCGGGACAGAGACAATCAGGAAAAGAGGGATCAGTGGCTTGACACGACATTCCTACGCAATCATCTACTCAGCTGGAATCTCCAGCTCAGAACAATGGCAAGTCATGTAAATGAGCTCGTCGACGGGCACTTACCACTCCAGATCGGCCATCATCCACCCAAGGACAGCCGATCCCAATGCAACGTGTATGATGATTGTGAACCAAGCCGAGCACATTTGAAGCGTGTCAGTATTAAAGTCGGAAAACGGCTTGGAGAGATAATCAACGAATACGACGACAAGATTCGAGATTGCACCATGAGAGTCGACGGTATGGCAATGGCAACGCAATGGGTGAGATACTCCGGTCGAACATGACTTTTCACCTGCCCAAGAGGATCTAATCACCCACCAACTCAGACACAGGCTGACCTTACGGCTATCCTAGGCACAAGGGGAAACCAATGCGGATATTGCCTTGGCTACAAGCAGAGACTCGCGGCATATGAGGTCAATCGCACTTGTCACGATGATATTCCTTCCGGGTACATTCTTCGCTGTAAGCCGGCCCCCCCTCCCACCTTTCAAACTCGGATAGTACTGTATTAAGGCCTCGTATGTCTTCAAGTCGTTCTTCTCAATGACCTTCTTCAACTGGTTTGATGCAAATGGAAAAGCGGAGGTGTCTGGCTACCTATGGATCTACGTGGTTGTGAGCGCGGTTTTTACAATCCTTACAATTGGAACTTGGTGGTGTTTTGGCGTCTGGCGTCGACATCCGCTGCGCCTGAGCGGTGGAGATATTGAAAAAGTCGGTTTCGTTGCGTAAAGTCGCTCATTTATATTGATACACACAATGCACGAAAGATGTCAGACTAGTGACCCTTGAACATCTTATACAACAATATCAATGCTGATGGACCATCTGATAACCACATTTTTGACATCTGGAATGACCAATTTGAATTTTTCTACGGGCGCTAGATTCAGCTAGGTGACGAAGGTCATTGCGTATGCTTCCCTACTTCAAAATCTCTCGTATCTGATGAGTCCAAATCATTTCCTTCGATCTACTCAAGTACTCACAATTGTGGGAAGGGATCGCAGACTAACAGTGATCTGCAGCGTCAGTGAAATAAAGCATTGTTCGCGACAGACACATGCATGTAAAGCGCCACCATTAGAACAATCAATTGGGAGACCGAGAAGGCCAGGAATGTGGAGGGAAAAAAAGAATCATTGATTGATCGGGAAATTTTCTCATGGAAAACACCTCCAAAGGCTCTTAACAGAAGGATATGTGAGCTCTACCAACCGGGGTCCATCCACGACTGGCAGCTCGCCAAAGCACCCCTAGCGCTTGCCGCACCCAGTGCATTTCTGGTACAACGTATCCTGGTCCAAGGTTCTACTTGAATGAATGACATAGACATTCCGTCGCACCTAGTGTTTTCAATGAGCGTGTTAGGACAACACCATGACGGTTGAAAAGGGGCAAAACCCACCTCGACCCTCAGGTTGGTGTCATCGCCGAGGAGATGTCGCAGTTCGATGGAGAGTTTCCCAGGGCTTATGTGTTTTGTTGGGATCTTTGCACATGGTAAAGACTCAAAGCTGGAGTGAGCCATGGTAGTGGCGACGTGGTATGGCTAGATAATGGTTGTCTAGATGGAACGAAGTCTGGAATAGCTGCTGATTTCACTGCTGGCACACCAAAGAAAATGATCTTGCTGCGTTCTAAGCGAACCCTCTGATTTATAACCCGCCGGGGATCGAAACTCCTTCTCCAAAAGTCCGTAGCCTCACTTGACTCATTGTCTGACCTGACCGACATTGGAGCCAACCAAACCGGAGATGAATACGCAGCATTGTTTGACTTGGGGCCAACATGGTGACCATGGTGGTACAATAGGCGCAGCACTAAGTGATCCCACATGGACTCAGCGCTCTAGAAAGTGTAAAAAAGGCTGACTCTGCAGCAACACATCGACGGGCAGTGCCTGGCCGCGGACCGTCCAAGGTCTGGGGCGGTTTTGGTACTACGTTAAGGTCTTGCAGGGCTGCTGTCAATGTAGAGCCGCATTGCACATTGGAGCTGGAGCCTTCTTCAACTGATTTTACATTTCGCTGGCGGCCCCCGGATCCCTCATTGTTTCGGCCATTAGGCGAGAATCACAATTTCGACTCCTTAACGCTTGCAATACTGATAGCCTCATAAGTCACAACTCAGTATTAAGGGGCCTCTTTGCGTGTCTTTTAGAGAATTAGCATCACAGGGGCGGGAAATGAGGCCGAAACTGTATGATTTCTGCGTGCAACATCAGTCAAGGGGGACATCTGCTGTGGCAAGTCACAGGCCACGCCATACGAACTCCTTCATATTTATAGTGCAGCAAGCTTGCAGTTTGCCGACTCCTTTCCCTCTTCCATTTCGCAGCCGAATACGTTTCTATCGGGCTCTCCGTGTTAACATATTCTGACTTGCAGCGGGGGCTGGAAATCTGCCCAGGGGGAAGGGTTGGTCAGCGTGCTAATGCAGCTATTGCAGGTATGCACAGTGGATGATGAGCAGGCATATCCAAACTCTTGGGAAGCTGCAGAAACATACATTTCCGAAATCAGAAAGGCATACTGGGTCTCCGGGCATGCCTATTAGTAATTTGCCTACTGACCTAGAAAGGAGCTGCCCATAATACTCGAGCTGCCCAAATGATTCAGACTACTGCTCCGCCTTCGACATTCTGCAGCCTCGATACGAGATGTCATGTTGCACAGTACTCAAGCGGGTGACAGCCATCCAAATCGGATGGTCAGAATGGGATTGGCAGAGAAACCTCCCCCCTCGCTTTCCCCGTTCACCCAACTGGCCAGGGCAGACGGATGTTGACGAGATGCTATTCCTACACCCCGCAGGTGATTTATCAGCCCGTGCGATCTCAGTCGATACTCGATAGATTTAAACATTCAGAAAAGCCTATCTATGAGTTCCCTCAAGCTTCTATGCAGCTTGTCTAGAAGACCACTTAGTATTTACCCGCCAACAGGGAGTAGTACGCAATGACTCGTCTCCCATCAATCAATCTGGACACGGTGAGGCCTTCCAATGGTTTTTTGGTATGCCGTGGTTTAGAAGTGTCAACACGGCTACTGACACAGTTTCAGGGCCACATACTGTCGTCGAGCAGCAACGAAAGTCCACCCTGGAACCCTCATGACGTTTCCTCTGCTGCACAACCAACGCCATCACAGGCTCTAGACAGCTCTTCACATAGCCTGAGCCCATCACCATGTGGAGAAGAGGCTAGCCAGGTTGGAGACTATGGCGATGACAAGCACCTGGAGCATTTAAATCGGCTCGAATCGCTCACTAATGGACTCCCCGTCACACATACCGCTGAGTCTATCATCTCAATCGGCGCCATATTTTCCGAAGCGTCGGATGCGAGTGATCCTGGTATCCAAGACACAACTTCTGCTGCAGGCGAAACAATTTCGTTGCGCGCGGGGCGCCTAGCAGACCTAATTCGAGAGAAGAGCGTAACAGCACCCCGCCCAGAACCCAGAACATTCTACCCTATCAATGATCTTTTAGAAGTTGTCACGTTGACTAGTGCACGCCAAGAGCTTATATGTTGTGGAGTTTCAAATGCCGATGGAATACTAGACAAGATTTTCACCCCCGAGACTGTTTCCGGCCACAAGACTCGACTTTTCAAGATATTCGTGATTCTGACTTTGATTGAGAAGATTGCGGAAATTCAGACCTTCATCCATGACGGTATCTACGATCTTGACTTACCTTTCGAGAAGAAACTATCCGACGGGACCAGGAAGACCAAAAACCAGTACCTTCGGAATCATCAGATACCAAGGCGAGCAGAACTTGACGACATCAGTGTGTTCAGAGACTGGACACCCATTGACATCGAGAACTTCATGGAGAAACAACATGCAATCTGTGTCCCGATATTCGAGTTCAATACAGAGCCCAGTGCTCCAGTTTCACATTACAACCTGCATCCACAGACTATCCTTCCATACATCGAAAACGAGGAGCACGAGAAGCGGTGTGAGGGCCGCTCTGATGTGTGGAAAGTCAAGCTCCATCCGGCCCATATCATTTGCGAAACACTTGATGTGAGTGCAATTTGAAAGCTCTCCCCGGTGTCGAAACTTCTAACTAAAGCCACACTAGCCCAACATGTCACTCGCGGTGAAACAGCTGAGACCTAATGTTGGTAAACCATTCACCGAAGAGTCAGAGAAGTTCATGAAAGAGGCCAAAAATCTTCGACGGTTTGCCAGCCGCAACAACGACTTCATCATTAAGTTACTGTGCACTTTTCAATGGCGCGATCGTTACTACTTCCTCTTTCCTTGGGCGGATGGAAATCTGTATGAATTTTGGAGGATTTATCCGGACGCGCTTGCTCATCTGCAGAACCCTTTGACGGCTAGGTGGCTCTCTTCACAATGCCTCGGCCTGGTCGCGGCACTCAGAGATATACACTACGGCGATGCTCATCTAATTTCCCACAAGAAGAAACATGGCAAACATGGAGATATCAAACCTGAAAACATTTTGTTTTTCAAGAGAGATAGCCAAGAGGACGCGGAGGCCCCTCCGGCCTGTCGTACCCACCTCAAGATATCAGACCTCGGCGAAGCAGAATTTCACTCAACGACTTCCATGGAAGTAGACGCTTGGGGTCTGCGTCACACACCATCATACTGCGCGCCAGAGCTCAGAGTTAAGAATACCTCGATGCCGAACTACGACATTTTCTCCCTAGCTTGTGTTTTACTAGAGTTTGTGACCTGGTACTTACGCGGGATTAAGGAGGTCGAAAGCTTCAGGGACCGCAGACTGAATGAGCCTGAGGCTCGAGTATATCCAGTTCATTTCCCATACGTGCTAGACAGCTTCTACAAGCATATCACAGTGGCGATAAAAGATCACCATGGCCAAAATCCCACCACTGGAGCCATACACAAGAGTAGTGTTACGAGGGTAAGCACTCCATTTCCATGGCAAGTTTCTTCAACGTACGACGGGTCGCTGATGCGGGCAAAATAGGAGATAGTATCCCTTCTCGAGGATCCGTACTGCTCAGATTATATCTTGGATCTACTAGTCTTTATCAAAGACCACCTCCTACGTATGAACCCGGAGGACAGAGCTAACTGTGATACGATCTTCGAAAAATTCGAACAGCTCGACAAGCTATGCAAGGAGGACGAAATGTATTGTGTCAAGAAGCTCAAGCAGGCCCCAGCCCGCTCGAGGACAGACACATCGTTAATTGTTGGTGTGGAACTCGAGCTCTCGCGGGAGGAAAGAAAAGAGATCCTTCGAAGTCTCAGAATTGAGAACAATGACCAAGTCCACATCACAATAGAGGAAAGGGTCGGTATTGGAAGCGTCACCGGCCATCAGTCGCATCTTGCAGGAGGCTCACAACCAGCATCTACTTTAGCGACCTACCAGCAAACATCACTGTCGCATGAGCCCGAATTAGTGGATTGCGAATATCGAATGCAAAAATGCGATGACTCTTGTGTGGGCAAGCGAGAAAGTTGTGCAACAAGTCGGCATGACATAGTGGAGTCGCGAGACACCATGAGAGTAAGTCCAAGCCAGCACCATCGCACATCTTCACGTTGAGTCAATTTCTGAGGATCAGCAGGATGAGTCCCACCCCGAAGCGGAAATGTGTCCCATCAGTAATTCCATGACGACTTCTGAGAACACTCCAGCGACGGCTCATCTGAATGTTCCCAACAGAACAGACGGCCAACAGTCATTTCAGACTATGGCTGAAAGCATTCGAGGCGAGGAAAAGATTCATAAGACTGATGATGGGGGTTCAGTGAGTATAGAGACTGCTACAGGGCGATCAAGAAGCGAGAAGGGCGCCAAAGACTGTGGTGGCCCTCGTAGAGTAAAGGACAAGACCGTGCGCTTCTTGCGGCGAATTTTCTGTTCATGAGTAGGCGTCATTTGAGTATCATTTTGATGTACAAGGACCAGATTCAGAGTAAAGTCTCTGACTCCAACCGGCACATCATGCCAAAGCATAGATGTGAGGAAGAATTCCACGGCATGTGTGCAGGAATTTATAAATTTAATATCTTTTAAAGGCGCATAGGTTCAGTCCAATATCTTTCAAAAGCTCACAAGTTCTTGGTAGCTTATTTTCATACTCTTCCTTAACACAGTCTAATTTTCAAATCAATCCTCTTAGTCCATTCTCGGATCGTTGAGCAATTCAAGACCAAGGGATGTGGCAATGACATATGAATTCCTTCCGCCAGGCTAGCTCCTTGGTTTCACTATGTAGGAACGGGCCACTACCAGACGGTGCAGGAAAGTCGCACGAAGCATACACAAGTCATTCTTTGCTGTTTTTCCGCATCCGCGTTTCTAATGTGTTCTTCTTTTCGTCTGCCCTGTTAATATGGCCTGGTGTGCCCATCCCAAGCCCTTACACCATCACACCCCCAAGTACTTTGACAATATCCGCCCAGAATCGCATCAACAGCTTCGCAGCAACAGCATCACCCGCTTCATCATCCCCCTCAGAAAGCCCAAGCTCCTCTCCACCAGCAATACACCTCCTCGTGGCGTCCTCATATACCTCCCCCATACAAGCCCCGACCTCGGAGAGCACCCCGCCCCCAAGTAGCCGCGGCCGCACGCCCAGCGCAGTCCGGGGCGATATTCCACCGCCGTTATTGACTTCGATCTCCAGGACGCGGTCCACGGTTCGCCAGTGCGCCAACTCGACCAGCAGAACGCCCAGACTGTAAATGTCGAAGCTGCGGCGGGAGCGGGCACGCGCACCATCCGCGTCGGCTGCGCTCGACTGGGCGTGTGGATGCCGGTATAGGTCATCATACGCGCGGGCGCCACCGGGTGGAATCTCAGTCATCTCTCCCAGCCGCGCGGGCCGAGAGAAGTCAAAGCCTGAGAGGAGCGGGTCGCCGTAGTCGACTGTGGCGCCATCTGCGGCGCGGAAAAACAGGATGTTGGAACTGCGGAGGCCTTTGTGTAGCCAGTTGACTGCGTGGAGATAGAGCAGGCAGTGAGATATGGCGTGGGCGAGCTTTATGCGCTGGGTGACGCTTGGTCTTTTGGAAGAAGTCAGTAGTTCGCGGAGGGAGACTGGGGGTTGTGTTCGGTGTAGCTTCGGGTCTTGCGGCCGCTCGAAAATGAGGCCTAGGCGGTTGTTTAACAGGTCATCATCCTCTTCGTCGTATTCATCGGTGTTCTTGGTTGTCGAGGAGGGAGAAGCCGCCATGTCGAAGAAACCCAGGCACCGCGGTGTGCGAAACTCCTTGGGCTTGGGGTTGTGGTTGAGCAGGGCAGCGAGCTTGCTTACTCGCTCGACTATGACCTCTTTGGGCGGTGAGGCGACGCCTGGTTGCTGCTTTTCATAGTCTTTCCATTCCACCCAGCACCTCATAGTCGTCCCATCCGGTTGCTTTAGGAGGGCCTCACACCTGGGGGCGTCTGCGTTCTCGGCCGTGGGGTCGAGAGTGACCAGTGATCGATCTATTCGGAGGTCGATCTGCTCCTTTGGTTTTTCTGAGATACTACTTGGTCAGTGAGACACGTATAAGGGTCATGCTAATCTGAAAAAGGACGTAGCATAGTTTCGACAACAATGAAGGCGTCGAGAGTGGTCAGGTCAAGGTAACAGCAACTTAAGGAGAACACTCACCCAGATCTAAGCTCTTCGCATCAGCCATATCCCAAGACAGCCCCTCCTCAGCCTCCATGGACTCATTGAAGGCCTTGAACTTGGCCAACTGACTTAACTGTTCCAGATCCGACTTGTTTCGGCCCCCTTGAGCCGGCATAATGATGCCTACCCCAATATCACCACCACCGCTACTCATCTCGAGCCGTACATTGAGCGCCCTTACAAGTCGGCTCAGGTCTGACACTCGCCGGTGCAACTGCAACACGCCGCGATTGATATCCTGTACGGAGTAGTGTATCTCGCGCTGTAGGCCCGCGTCCAGGATACCCGTCATGCCATCATTGAGCGCCGCAAAGCGCGCAAGCAGAGTCTCAAAGCTAACTTTGTCGAAGGAAACCCACCGCAGCCGCAGGGTGGCGTCGTTGGATTTCTCGCGGAGTGTCCGCAATGCTTTTCGGATGAAGTCGCGCCGGCGTAAGGGCAGCGGAAAGTTTGCAGCGGCGGCGTCCTTCTCTGGGTCAACATCTGCCGTGGTGCCTGCTCCCTGGCCATTGCTCAAATTCTCAAGGGGAAACGTCTGCAGCCGGCGGTTCCGCTCGGCGTGCCGCCTGAACTCTTCGAACAGGCACTGCACCTGCACGAGCAGGTCCAGCACGGTCTGGCGGTGCAGCACGAAGGTGTTGGACGCCAGCACCCTTGCCCCGCCATCGGCGGCGTCCAGGTCCATCAGGCCCGAGGTCTCGCTCCACGCGAAAAGACGCTGCTGCTCCATGCGCAGCCGCAGGTTGAGGTACCTGCAGTCCTCGGGGAAATTGGCCGCGGTGATGAGCAGCTGGATGCCTGAAGCAAGTGCATGTGGTCAGCCAATTGTGGCTCTTCCATCCTTCTTTTCTGGGCTGAAGATAGACGTCGCTACTTACCTGCTATGCATCCTGTGTAGATCTGCAGCCCGATTCCGGCTACGCTCAAGGCCAGGCCTGCTGCGCTGACGGGGTCCATGGTGGAAGCTCCTGCGTGTGCATTTGTGCTTGCGGGGTGGTCTTGTATCCCAATCCTTCTTTTTGCGTCGTCAATTCGGGCCTGTATCGTGACACTTCGAGATTCTCGTTGCCAAAGAGAGCATGGCGTGGTTCACGCATGCAGGTGAGGGCGAGCCGACGTCCCCTCACGGAAGAAGTGCCGGTATGCCTGTCGAGTTCCCACTGTTCTGAGTATCACAACAGCCATAAACTAGCTGCAGGTCTGAGACAATCATTGTAATTCAAATGTGATTCCGAAGCCACAAGGTTATGGTTCTCTGATGCCGCCTATCGCTGTCATACGATTCGATTATACCTGATTAAAATTAGTTTATCTCCATTTTGACGACAATTTTAAGCCGGCTTGCAAGTCCCAAAGTCACGTCTTACTTCGCTGGGATGTGTCCGCACTTTTGCAATCGTCTCCTGAACCATCCTGTTTTGTCTGTCTAGATTGGTAGCAGTTCAAACGATTCTGAGGTGGCTATATTACTATTTATTTGTCCGCTTCTCACTTCAACAATGCCAAGTCGACACCAGTAGACCTGGAACCCCGTTGCCTTGAGCTACTACCTTGGCAGCGGGCATTAAACAGGAAATGCGCAATTGTCCCAGGTCCTGTAGCTCATGACCCTCAGTCAGAATCTCACACCTCATCTATCCACGCACCTGGTACCAACTGCGGCGGATTCTCAACAAAATTCCAGAAATCCCCTGCGTGATTCTCATAGTGGAAGTCCATTTCAAAATACCAGTCGACTGGCTCCCCGCCGTAGTGGACAGCACTGAGATAAGGAAGTCCATAGTATCCACCGCATCTATCATCAACCCCCAAATGCAACACATCACCAATAATCTTGGCCGTTTTGTTCTCATTTACCCATATCGCAGCTTCCTTTCGTCCAAAATCCAACGCATCGTGGCCGCAGCTACCCAGTAGCGATATCAGAGACTGAAGACGAAGGTTCGAGTTATCCACTTTTGATTGCGTGAGACCTTTTTTCTTCATGAAATCCTCGCCTCTATAGTGTCTGCTTTTGTTCGTGGCAACTACGGGTACATAGTATCTGTGAAGCTGTAGGACCCTGCCGAACGCGGTAACAGGCGGAGCTAAACCGTATGATACTGGTAAACCATCTGATGCTAGTGTGTACCCCCTGTAATGCAAGTCATCGGTAGCTGTAATGATTTCCAGGAGTAGTGAATGCCAGCCCGGTTCGGTTTGCACTTTCGCAAAGGAGTTAAAATAAGGGCTGAGTACCAGCCACAGGAGTGAGGCGTCATCCTCTCGCCATTCCTGCACGTCACTCTTCTCGATCGGACCATTTGGGCAAGTTATCAAGCGGATAGTATCAGGAGTCCAACGCGAGGAACTCCCGTCATTAAGAAGTAAGTATTGTTTCTCGATCGGCCAGAGATCGTGCCAGAAAGGCATACACGTGCGAATATAAATTTCACAAGCCTCCTGCCGATTAGCTAATTGCCCAAGAACATACACACACAAGATAGAAATCTTAGTATAGGGATCACTCAGGTTCTCATAGTAATGTGCAGCTGCACTTGCAATCGGTTCAAAAAAGCCTCGGGATGCCATTGGCTGCATCGTTTCTATCGACTGGTTCGCCATAGGACTCGTAAGACTCATTATATAGATATCGATTATCGTAATGCCGGTATTTATTGTGTCGAGTTTGGTGTCAATGAAATGTTCGACAATGTGGGTACGGCAATGAAGACAAGCGTACTTGGTTTGGTCAGTGGACAATCTCATTCCGTAGAGTACTTTTATTGGACGTACATGGAATATAGTTCTCCCGTCCGTATCGCAGTCTCGAGGAGAAGCTAGCCTCCGGTCAAACAAATCGATGAGCCCGTCAAGATCCCCTCCTCTGGCAAGAACCATGCCGGGCGAGTCATAAGGGACAACGTTCCACACGGAAAGGTTCGCTTGCCATCCTGAGCAGGCCCGTTTGACACTGATGTCCCAAACTCTTCGTGAGAACCATTTCGGCAGCTGGATGCGGGCGGCATAACCTACTTCACATCAGCGAGTTCCACATGCTCTGAATATCACCATGTCTTACTCGCGTCTTCGTCAGAGTCAGCCTCGGATTTCTTTACAACGATGGCGCCGAAGATGGAGAGTCCGGTCCAAGGGAGAGAGACGCTATTTCCTTGACGCTGGGCTCCCATCCCTTTGACCAGGGTCGGGCCCTGAGCCTTCTTTTCGTGTTGATTTACAACTGGAAACGGTGACGTAACTGTCAAGGAGGCTGAAATACTGTCGCTGAGCTGTTGCAATATGAGTTGTTGCTGGACCTTCATATCTGCTACTGCGGCCCACATGTTTGTGACTATGGCTCCGGTGATCGCGGCGTTGGCTCTGGATGCTCATTAGCGCTATGTAGGCCACGAAAAGGAGGACTGAGAACTGTTACTCACGTCAGGTAATTCATTTGGCTCAACTGTAAAAGTTTGGTGGCTCTTTCCAACCTGTCCTGAAACCCGTTGATTGTATTCTTTTTCAGCACGACCCTCACTCTGGCAAACGTTCGCCTGCTTCTCTTCTCTGACATGACAGCCCCCTCCAGATCCTCCGCCAGCCATCGTAGGTCGTCCAGAGCCTCGCGGCAATAGGCAGCGCTCTGTATCGCAGGTGCGTCCTTATGATTCAGTATCTGCCTAATAGGCGAGATGTTTTGGATGGGGAGGTTGTTTTCGCAGTCCGAGAGGATAGGATCCATCATTTCTATTTGCCTCATCAACTCCTCGATGGTCTGTGGAACCTCATGCACTTCTTCCCACAGCTTTTTCAGCTTCCATACTGTGGTTCCCACCTTGAGGCCGACTTCAGCTACAGCGATGCCGCTGGCAACGGCCCCGAGGACTTCAGCCATGGTAGTTTGGCGATGAACCAGGCGAGAGAGCTAGAATACGCCGAAAGATTTTTCGAGGACGGATGAGCAAGAACAAAAGTAGAAAATCGAGGGGGCAGGCGCCTTTGAGATGCTCTTGAAGGCGGAGGCGCAGCGTGGCTGGCGGCAGATGCACCCATCATTGGATAGGAATTGCGGCCTCACTGCTCAGTGAGCTGCAGTCAGCAGAGCAGAGACTACAAGCGCGCCTGCATGAGCAAATCGAGACACCGCCACGTCTGTCTGCATCACTAGTCTCTCAAATTTGCAACTGAACCTCTGATAATACTTGGGACTCGGGGTGCTCTTATAGCTGCGCCCCGCACCCCTTCGCTCTCTCACAAATGTGACGATCCCATGTCTGAATACAATCCCACCACCACAATGACATGAAATATGGGAAAGAACCAAAGACGCTCTTCAAGAATGAGGGAATAGTATCCGCATTTGTTCATGGACTACCGACAAGGTGTTCGTGTGAAGAAGCTGTTCTCCATCCTATCTGTTTCTCTGAGTTCGTATTTCGGTCGCGGATTGGCAAGTCAGTAATACTCGACGTCCATAAAATCCTATGACTGTAGAATGAGGAAAACTAGATGGCTTCAATCAAACATCATCACTCGCGCGTACCATATCATAGCACGCATCTGGCGCACTTTGCAAAGGAAGAGTCAGAACAGCCTCGTGGTCAATTCCTCTCCGGAACGCCCTCCTTGGTGATCGAATCTCTCTCTCAGTGAATGCGCAGAAGAAGACCGCGACTTTATGCAGGCCACACAGTGTCCAGAATCAGAGCAAAATGTTGCAGTCGATCAGTGAGGTGTCCGATCGCCGACGTCGCTGTCGAGAACGGTTGTTGATTTACCGTCTAGCCTACGTAAGCTAATGGGCCGGGCCATACGCTCCGTAGCGTAGGGTTTGGACGGTGGCAGGGGTGTATCCTGGCTGATGCAGCGGCACGGAAGCAGCCACCAGGAACGGTGGGGCAGAACGGGGCAGCAGCCCAGGCCACCCAGGCCAAACAAGCACAGATCAGGATCCAGCCCCTATAAACTCTGGGCGTGACATCATCGCGCCAGCGGATATCAGACGGTTGGAACGGCACATCACACCTGTCACGGTCCTTTCATCGGCGCCAGCAAGCTTCCAATGTCTCACGACCAGTCATCTCGTCTGCCCAGATATCTAATTTGTTCATGGTTGTCATTAATTGTCCAAGTGCCCTAGCGCACGGCAAGAATGGCTAGCCATCTTGGTGCTTTGGATGACACGGCAGTCGTCTGTTGTTGAGGTTACTCTGGCCAACTACAGTCAAAGACCTCACAGACTTAATTTCGTTTTTGCCCGCCCTCGTCATGCATTTGTCCCTGCTCTGGTTTGAGCTTCATGTTCCCATAATTACTACCCATACTACCACCCGGAGCTCCACCAGCTAGCATCTGTATCATTAATCTGTAATATTTCAGCCACATCAAGTCGCATCATTCCCAATTCGTGCCATCGCCTCGAGCACGCGAGACCCGAGACGCAAGATGATGCCCAAGCTGAGCCCTCCAGCTGTGCCAGATGAAGACAAGGCCCTGAAGCTCGAGACCACCAATGAGTTGGCCGAACAGCCAGTGACGGTACTGCGAGATGACCAAGGACGTGTAGCCTACCCTGGCCTCGTCCCTCAGCAGCCAGTATCACCTACCACGCAGTTCCCTCCCACGGCCACGTCCCAACCAACACCGACAGGCGATATTCGAAAGACAGCTTCTGAACCAGTCGGGTCTGAAATCAAGGATCTACAAGAAGCGACGCGGCCGCAGGCTGGCCAGAGGTCTGCCACAGCTGCTCCCCCGAGAACAGCCCGACGAACCTCGGCGCTGCCACCCGCCATCAAAAGGGCTGGTACCAATGTCTCGCAACTACAGCAGGCCCTATGGAACACCAGCTCGAACTTCCAGGATGACTCCTCCAGCAGCGATTCCTCCTCCGACGAGGACCTCGGTGCCGGCGTCGAACGTACCGACCAAGCAACTACAGCCGGCAAGAAGCCTCAGCCCCCTCGAACCTCAACGAGCGATCGCTTTCGACGCTTCAAAGTCGGTAACGAAAACTATAGAACCAAAGGAAAGGTCTCGAAGCGCGATGGGCGGTTAGCCATCTCGATCAAGGATACAAGTGACAAGGGCTACCTCGCCAAGGCCCTCGGTGCCACCGTCGGGAAGGTGGTTCCAATGAAGGAGACTGATGAAAACGAACAAAGCGATGAACGACCTACTGCCGCAAGAAGGTCCTCCGAGACGATTGTCACACCGGAGACTATCCGATGTCCCAAGCTCAATATTGTTATTATGGTGATTGGGAGCCGTGGCGACGCTCAGCCGTTTTTGAAAATTGGCAAGGTTTTGAAGGAACAGTACGGCCACAGGGTCAGGATCGCCACACACCCAGCATTTCGCGACTTCGTTGAAAAGGACACAGGGCTGGAGTTCTTCTCGGTGGGAGGGGACCCGGCAGAGCTGATGGCTTTCATGGTCAAGAACCCGGGAATGATACCGACTTTGGAGACCGTAAGAGCAGGCGATATTGGGCGGAGGCGGACAGCCATGGCCGAAATGTTTGAGGGTTTCTGGAGGGCTTGCATCAACGCCACGGATGACGAGAAGGACATAAAAAATGCGCGCATGATGGGAGAGAAGCCACCATTTATTGCCGATCTGATCATCGCCAACCCTCCGAGCTTCGCACACGTGCATTGTGCAGAAGCACTCGGCATACCGTTACTCCTGGCGTTCACGTTCCCGTACACTCCGACGAAGTCATTTCCACACCCGCTAGCAACCATCAAAAAGAGCAACGTTGACCCTGGCTACTCTAATTTCATGTCCTACCCTCTTGTGGAGATGATGGTGTGGCAGGGACTTGGCGATCTCGTCAACGATTTCCGTGTCAAGACACTTTGCTTGGACCCTGTTTCGACACTCTGGGCCCCAGGCGCTCTGTACCGGATGAACGTGCCAATTTCTTATCTGTGGAGTCCTTCTCTTGTCCCAAAGCCCGCGGATTGGGCACCCGAGATCGATATTTCAGGCTTTGTTTTCCTAGATTTGGCTTCTTCATTCACCCCTCCGGACCCTCTTGAGAAATTCCTCAACTCTGGTGATCAGCCTGTCTATATAGGCTTCGGGTCGATTGTGGTCGATGACGCCGACAAGTTCACAGAGATGGTATTCGAAGCGGTGAGGCTCGCGGGTGTAAGAGCGCTCGTCTCTAAAGGGTGGGGCGGCTTGGGTGGCGAGAACGTACCGGAAAACATCTTCATGCTCGAGAACACGCCTCATGACTGGCTATTCCCCAAGGTCAAGGCCTGCGTAATCCACGGCGGTGCAGGCACTACTGCGATGGCCTTGAAATGCGGCAGGCCGACCATGGTCGTACCATTCTTTGGAGACCAACACTTTTGGGGACCCATGATCGGCAGGGCCAAGGCAGGGCCTGAGCCAGTGCCGTACAAGCATCTGTCTGCTGAGAAGCTGGCGGAGGGGATCAAATACTGTCTCACCGAGGAGGCGCAAGAAAAGGCCCAGGAGATGGCTCGTGACATTGCGCGAGAGGGCGATGGCGCAGAGAACGCGTGTTCCTTTTTTCACAGGCACTTGACGCTCTCTGGGAAACACAGTATGAGGTGCTCGATCTTGGAGGATAAGGTTGCCGTGTGGTGGATGAGGAACACTAGCCTCAGGTTGAGTGCGTTGGCAGCCGACATCCTCGTGGAGAAGGGATACATCACCTGGCGCAAGTTGCGACTACTTCGGCATTGTGAATACAATGATTTTGAAGGGCCTGGTGAGCCAGTCACCGGTGTGATCGGCTCTATTGCTGGTACATTCGGAGAAGCGCTTGGTGGTGTGGCAGGCGTGCCAGGTCGACTTGCAAAGACATCAAATAAGAGGCGAGAACGAAAAGAGAGACGCAGAAGGAAGGCCAAGCAAGTAGAAGAAAAGGCGAATAGTAAAGAGGAGGGGACTGATACGAAGACTAGAGGAAGAGGCGCAACAGATGGCTTGGGCAAGTCCAAACTCCAAAACAAGAACGATGTTAACAAGGAAAAGCCGGCCGAAACAGGGGGCAATCAAGAGGAGGATCCTGGTGATGACCGTGACAGAGAGTCCATCCATACAGTCACGACTGAAGGAACAGCAGAAGAAGGATATGTGGATCAGGTCGCCGAAGGCGTCGGCAAGTCCGCTCAAGCGATAGCGACAGCGCCCATAGACCTCTCGATAGCCCTCGCGCAGGGGTTCCACAACGCACCCAGGCTCTACGGCGACGACACCGTGCGCCGGCCCACCCGAGTCACAGGCATCAGGTCCGGGCTGCGGGCTGCGCGGTCAGAATTCCTGTTCGGCGTGTACGACGCATGGACAGGTGTGGTGCGGCTGCCATACCGAGGTGCGCGGCACGGCGGCGGCGTGGAGGGCTTCGCCAAGGGCGTGGGAATGGGCCTGACGGGTTTCGGGCTGAAGAACATCGCGGCGGCGGTGGGCCCTGTCGGCTACACGCTCAAGGGCATCAAGAAACAGGTCGAGCGTCGGCGGCAGCCTACCAAGCACATCCGGCGCGCGCGCATCCTGCAGGGCCAGGAGGAGGCGCATCAGCTGGATGACGAGGAGCGCAGTGCCCTAGAGAAGGAGGTCATCCGCGGCTGGGAGGTGTTCCGGGAGCTTTGGAGCACTGTCGAAGGCAAGGAGAAAGCCAAGGGCGGGCTCAAGGCGCAGTTCAGCGCAACGCGCACGCGCGGCCAGGGTGTCCCTGAGGCACTTGAGAGTGTTGCTATGGCAGAGAGGACGCTCGAGGAGGTCAAGAGGGGCGGCAAGGTGCAGACTGGCATGAAGGAGTTCCGCAAGTCCGAGGACCTCGCGAGGAAGTCTGGGGACGTCTCTGCAAGGCAGTCGATTGATAGGCGGGGGTCTCCCCGTGGTGGTGGGAGAAAGTCGGCGGATCAGCGGCGGTCACTGGACGCTGCTGCTGGTGGGAGGAAGTCTATGGATACGGGCGCGGACAAGCAGAAGAAGGCGGGTGCTTCTGAGCGCATTGAGGAGGGCGATGAGGGCCTTCTGAAGCCGGTCGAGCACGCTAAGGCGTGATTGGATCTATTAGGGACATGGCATGGCGTGGAGTTTAGCGACCTGCGCCTTTTTAAGGGACTGGAATACGTGATACCCCTTTTTCTACTGCTTTGCGTGGACGCGCTGGGATAGCTAGTCTATGCCTACCTAGGTAATGCTTAATACATTACGAGACAGGTTGCTTCTGAATCATGTGCGATATAGCATAACCAAAACAACCGGGCATGTAGCTATGCATGTATATAGAACGACTCGAGAGGCGGCCCCCTACCAATACTTTACTCCAGCATTACAGAAAATCGTGCATAGTCGTAACTTCTCCTAGCTGGCAAAGAAACTCAGGCAGCCTTGAAAGAAGCATGTTAGTCCCCAGCCAGATCCCATCCACACCCGCCCCGGCGGGTACCCGATACCCCGAGACAATATTCGAGCCCATGATCTCCGCTATCTCGGCGGCCGTCAACGTTCCTGGTACACCGGCGGCACCCTGGGCGCGCCGGACCTGCTGCGTCCAGTTGAACAGCGGCACACCTATCAGGCTTCCGCCGAGGTTGCTACGGGCGCGGACCCGCTGCCGCTCGGTGAGGTGCCAGATCCTGAGGTAGACGTGATTCATGTCCACGACGTGGGTTCTTATGTGCCCGCGTGTTATTTTCGCTGGCGGCGCAGCGAAACCATTTGGGACGTGCCACCGGTTCACGCGTCGGCGGTTGAGGTACTTATACTGCGTTGTTTGGTTTAGAGGTTAGCAACTTAGAAAAGGTATAACGTGTAAGAGCCTGCTAGTCGTGGTCGAAGGAAGCAGGGAGCCAGGGAAAAGGGCCACAGAGGTCACGTACCCATCTCTCTGCCCAATCTATAGCTCTTTTTGCAATAGCCTTTCCGTCTCTCCTTGGGGGTGCGTTGTTTCTGGGGGGTAGGTTGAAATAGTCCAGGGCAATTACCATACCACGGGCGAGCATCTGAGTCTCAACACAGCTCCAAACTTGATGGCCAGCCATATCACAAATAAATCAATATCTGAAAGTTCTATAAAAGAGATAATATAAGAAGTGATGGAAACAAGATGTAGATTACTGAAGCTGAAACGAAGGCTGAATGGTAAATGATTATGATTAAGTAACTTGCGCGTAGTCGTCCTTCTGTTTCGTTTGGGGACCTCTACATCAAGAGTAACCCGGTAGACCTGTGGTACCTTACAAAGACAAAGAAACCTCACCAAATACTTCTTGCATTTGTTCTATTTTCAGATCCGGTGAGAGTGCTCGACTGACTTCTTTGTAGAATAAATACCCACAATTCGCTGGCTGCCGGCTCCCTTTATGAAGATTCCGTGTGGGTTGGACTTGATAGCCATGACGATGTTGGAGAAACCGGAACCATTGGACAATTCCTTGCAAACGTGAAGACGTGCAACAATTGCCGCGAACTGATCTCGATTGACCATTGTCTTGTCACAAATACTTTGACGCGAGATAGACGAGCATGGAATACACTCTGCAAGCCCGGACCTCGCTTACCATGCTGGAGCTTCGGTCTCAATGATATTAGTGTGGTTATTCGCTGTCTTTCACACTTACTCAGTCAATACCGCATCTTCGATGGAACTGGAGCACGTGGCCAAGGGAGCCATTTCTTGGCTTGAACTTGGTAACAGCGCATCGCGCACGGAGAGTCATAAAGGGACCAGAGGGATGCTAGAAGCCGTGGAAGTAGGAGGATTAGTGAACAAAGAGACACGACAAATTGTTACTGAGCAGCAGGAGTGAAGAGACAACGTGAGTGAAATCAATTTGAATCCAATGTGTATGAAAGAAAGACAATTGCAGTAGCTCTAGAGCTGTGTAGAAGCTACCTATAGTAATTATAGATCAAAAGTGGGTAACTCCACCCACCTTGCATGTACATTAGCCTCTTCCCACAGCGCCCCATTGTAACATCAACAACGTCGTATCTGAACATCCTGTTGGCACTATCTCCGTTTTTAGACTAACTGCAATCAATCAACAGGCATCCTCAGCCCCGACATGCATTACGTTTCGCTTCATGTTGCTGAGGGTCTGCCTCGTCAACGGGATCGTAACTAACATATAAGGACATGAGTCCTGATTCTCATGCCCTTATCACTCGGTGACTGACCCAGGTGCATCTCTTCACATTGACATATTTGCTGGACACACAAACCATAATGGCTTCCCCTTCGCCCGACTATATCATCATAGGAGGTGGAACCTCCGGCCTCGTCGTAGCCAACCGCCTGTCCGAAGATTCTGCAGTCCAGATCCTAGTTCTCGAGGCCGGCGATGACCTCACCGCCGACCCGCGCGTCAACGTCCCAGCCTTCTGGACATCCCTCATAGGCTCCGACGCCACCTGGCAGTACCAGACCGTTCCCCAGCCGGGATTAGGTGGCCGATCAATCCGGGAGCCCCAGGGCAAGGCCCTCGGCGGCTCATCAGCCATCAACGGCCAGGCCTTCATCGCCCCGGCGCAGGCCGAGATTGATGGATGGGCCAAGCTGGGCAATCCCGGGTGGGACTGGGCCGGCCTAGCACCCTCGTACAAGAAGTCGTACACGCTTGCGCCGCCGCCAGATCAGGCCACGCTCGAACATCTTGGTATTGACTGGATTAATGATGAGTACCGTGGTACTTCGGGGCCTATCAAGGTGTCGTTTCCTGGCGTCATACAGAATCCTCTGTGCAAGGCGTGGATCGATGCATTCCGTGGCTTGAATAGGGCGACGAATGGCGGTAAGTGAGCAAATGAATCCGTTCATGCTATCTTCAATCATGCTTTCTTCATGCATACACAACGTCTCTGTTTCCATATTGGAATATATGCATATGTGGAAGTGTGAGCAAGAGAAGGCAGGGAATTGTGTCGCGTTGGCTGACAAAAACTTCTTTGCTTTGTAAATACACAGATCCGTTTTCGGGCAACTCAATTGGCGGCTACAGTAACTTGGCCACCGTTGATCTGGAGACCAAAACCCGAAGCTACGCTGGCTCAGCGCATGGAGTGCCTGCTCGCCAGCGTCCGAACGTGAAGATCGTCACAGGGGCCAAGACCCAGAAGATTTTGTTCACGGAGACGGGTTCTGGCGCTGCGAAGGCTACAGGTGTGCAGGTCCTCATTGACGGCAAGGTCCAGACTTTCACTCCGAAGAAGGAAGTGATCCTTGCGGCCGGTGTATTTAACACCCCCAAGGTGCGTTTTCCTGGAGGGATGACACAGTACATCGGAGAGATGTGCTGATTACTTTAACTTTGCTGACATATTGGAGCAGCTCCTCGAACTCTCAGGCATTGGCGGGAAAGAAATCCTGGAGCGGCACGGTATCCCGGTCGTCGTTGACCTCCCATCAGTCGGAGAGAATCTCCAAAACCACCTGATGACAGGCATGAGTTACGAGGTCGTCGAGGGAGTCATTACCGGTGACCCACTTATGCGCCAGGAGCCCGAAGCCCTCGCCCTGGCGCAGAAGCTCTACACAGAGCACAAAGCCGGTCCCTTCACCATCGGCGGCATGCAGTCACACGCATACATGCCCACCCCAGACGCAGCAGGGCTGCTTGACAGCCTCCCACCGCCGCAGCGGTCTGCGGACGCGGAGCATCAGGAGGTGATCCGCTCCATACTCGAGAACCCCGAAGGTAGCTCGGCCGGATGGTTCATGTTCCTGGCGCAGACGAACCTACACGAGGGCGGCAAGAGCTTTGTCGGCACGCAGCTGCTGCCAGGCAACTTCGCCAGCTTGGGCTGCGCGCAGTCGCACCCGCTCTCACGCGGCTCGACGCACATCTCATCCGCTGACGCCGACGCGCCGCCCGAGATCGATCCACGCTACTTCTCACACCCGGCCGACCTAGAGATTTTTGCCAGGCACGTGCGGGCGCTCGAGACGGAGCTTCGCGGATCGAGTGCTCTGGCGCCGTTCTTCAAGCCCGATGGGAGGCGGAATCACCCGGATGCGTTCCTTGTGGGGGACTTGGAGGGGGCGAAGAAGTATATTCTTGACACGGCGACGACTGCGTACCATTCGTGCGGATCGGCGGCTATGCTTCCTCGGGAAAAGGGGGGTGTCGTGAGCCCTGAGCTGATTGTTTATGGGACTCAAAACCTCCGAGTTGTTGATGCTAGCATTTTCCCGCTGATTCCGCGTGGCAATATCATGTCATCGGTGTATGCTGTGGCTGAGAAGGCGGCAGACATCATTAAGGGTGTCTAGAACTAGCAAATATATCTACTTACAACCGCAGTTGTCATAACTCAAGTGGCAAAAACATATCCAGTAAGAATCAGCATCACTCTGATCTTGGTGATTTGACTGCGTTTCGGTCGAGCAATTGTAGATTCTGCTTGTCGATAAAGTCTTCGCCGGCAGGATAGAAATGCAAGGCCAGCCAATGACACACCTTTGGGTAAGGGTGGCGGCGTTGTGCAACAATGCTAATGCCATTCATGAAGAAGCTGACAGATTTGTCAGACCTCCATTGCTGCTTCTACAAAGCACAGATTATTCGGAGTGAGCTCTCGTACATATTAAACAGCAGCCACTCGGCAGGTATCATCCAACGAATACTGGCAACCAGCCCTCGTTCTGGCACGTCCCCTCTAGGCCTTCCCACATTAGAACCTGACTTGCGTCACCATCATCTTTGAAGAAGATTAGATCCTTCCCAGCCCCTGAACGACGGTGAAAGGCCTAAAGTTTCTTAGGATATGTACTCGGATGCCCATGCTTCTTCGCAAAGCTCTTGATCTGCCCATGCATCACCATATGCACGATAAACCAAACCGGCGCCATAAACCACGCCCCAAGTATGTCGATCAGCCAGCTGTTCCGCAGCGCCCCTCCCAAGACTCCATAGCGCAACAGCTCGCCCGCGATACCGACGGTGATAAAGTGCTTGCCGGCCTCCAGGCCCGCGATCGCCCTCTCGGCGACCTGGTCCGGAGTCAGCTTCGGGTCGTCCTTCTCGAGCTCGAGCGTGACGTCCGGCTTTGACCTCTGCTCCCTCTCGAAGCCGGGGCTCAGGATGGTGCCCGGGTACACGACGTGGATCTGGACAGGCTGGTCTGGGTACAGCATCGCCTCCTGCGTCAGGGTGTCGGCTAGCCCCCGCAGCGCCCACTTTGTTGGGTTGTACGGCGAGTAACCCGCGACCGCGTACAGCGCCAGCATTGAGGCCGTGAAGACGAGGTGCTTGGGCTCTTTGGCGTATTTGCGGTCGGGAGACCACCACTCCCTGAGGATGGCGTGGGCCATCTCGCTCGCGCCCCAAAAATTGACACCCATCTCGTGACGCATCTCAGCAATGGCAGTGTCTTCTTGGAAAAGCATGGGAGTGGACATGCCCGCTATGCACCACACGATGTCTAGGGGCTGGCCATTGTTCCAGGCTGTGGCCTGCGACACGATTTCAACGGCATAGTTTGGTTTAGATACGTCTGCAGGTATGGCGTGGAAGCGTTGGGATTGTGATTTGGCGGCGGCCTGGCGTCAGGAGATCAAAGTGTCAGTTCCTGTGTGCAACACCGAGCGATCACCATCATTACTGACCTTGATCTGAGTCAGGGCAGCTTCCAGCTTTTGCTGGCTACGTGCAATGATTATAACATTGGCACCTTTGGCTGCTAATTGTCGTGCCGCACTCAGTCCCATGCCTTCAGAGCCGCCTGTGATGAGGACAGTCTATCTCACTCGTCAGCCATGTTAGACGCGTGAGAAAAGGGGCATATGTGTGTCTTACCTTGCCCTCAACAGGCATCTGATTCTTTCCGAAGAGCCCCATGTTCACTATGAACAGCGCAATTACCACACCAGCAGCTGCGATGCTGACATTCGAGGTTCCCAGAGAGTTTAAGTAGTTCATCTCTAAACCCCCTCAGGCAGTTCTCTGTAGGTGTAGGATTTCGAGAGAGCCCGAATCAGGACAATGGAATCCAGGAGCTGTTGGTTCTTAAACCCGTTGATTCCTAAGCCGTGCCAACCGAGGTCGATCCAGATCCTCGTGAGATTTGTTGGATTCGACTCAGTTTGGCCTGATTGGCGAGTTCTGCTTATGGCCAGGCACTAATTGAAGCCCCTTTGAATCCTCCTTCATGCCTTCGGGGGTTGGAGGAGTGAGCTGGCGACGACTGAGTACCCCTGTCCTCGGTTGCTTGGTTGAAGCTGTCTTATCGCACCGATAAGCTCCAATTGCACTGGCACTTCCAAAAAAATTCTGGGTGATGCGCCTCTAACTCCACACCCTAGCATCCCGGCGCTTTCAAATTTCTAGCGATTCCAAGTTCCTTCAGTCTTGTCAGACACACCAAGTTTGTTGTAGGACCGTATTTCATTCATTCATTACCAATATGGCAAAGAAGAGAAAGGCCTCGCGCACCTCAGGGCCATCTGGCCCCAAAGATGTCGACCCCGCCGAGGCTCGACTTGCCATCCGGACCTATGAAGACATCGCCGATGATCAAGAGCAGTACTTCCTAGACAAAGATAAGATCATGCTCGAAGATGAGCCACAATCCAAACGCTTAAGGACAAGCGATCGGTTAGACGACTTCCTTGAGGCATCCGACGAGGAGGTCCTTGGCGACGGAGATGGCGACTCAGAGTCGGACCCGGAGGCCGACTACAGAGAACTGCAAAAGGCCGTCGAGAAGCAGAAGAAGAAGAACAAGAAGAAGGGAAAAGATGAGGACGAGCAGCCTGGCGACGAGGAAGGTGACGATGGCTATTGGGGCGATTCCAGGAAGGAATACTACGACGCCGATGCTATCGAGACCGAGGCCGACGCTCTTGCGGAGGAGCAAGAAGCGAAGCGACTGCAGAAGAAGAAACTGGCCGAAATGGACGAGGCTGACTTTATATTCGACGAAGATGAGTGGGCTGCGGCAGCAGATGACAAAGAAGAGGGGGCAGACGTGGTCACAGAGGAGCTGAAGGACATTGAGGTCACGGATGACATGGACGCGAACGAGAGGTACCGGATACTTCAAGCCAGGTATCCGGAATTTGTGCCACTTGTAGAAGAGTTCGAGAGACTGCAACCGCAGCTCGCCCAATTACACAAGGAGGCTGAGGGAAAGCCTGCAAAGTCACTGGAGGTGGTCAAGCATTGGATACTGGGCTGCTATGTTGCCTCTCTCGCCAGTTACTTCGCTATTCTTACATCACCAGCACGAGATGCAGGCGCGCCAACTGTCTCGCTCAGTCCAGCAGAGCTCAGGGATCACGAGGTCATGGAAACACTGGTGAGCTGCCGTGAGGCATGGCAGAAGGTCCGAGACCTGAAGGCCACCAAGACCGCCAGTGAAGAGCCAGAGCTAGACACCGAGGAGGATATTTCAATGGCCGAGGAAGACATCAAACCTGTCAAGAAATCCAAGCTGCTACTGAAGGCCGATGCCGACCGCAAGAAGAAAAAGAAGAAGGCAGAAAAGGAGAGGCTTGCCAAGGCCAAAGCAGTCGAGGAGTCGCTTGCTGATCTTTCCACGCTGCTCACCGAACCCAAGAAGGCTAAGATGGTCAAGACTGTCGCAACAACACAAGAGGATGACCACTCCGACTTTGGTGAAGAGGAAGCCCTCGACGCAAGAACGGCTGCCGACAAGGCTGCTAAGAAGAAGAGTCTGCGCTTCTACACCTCGCAGATCGTGCAAAAGGCCAGCCGCCGTGCTGATGCTGGTCGCGATGCGGGTGGTGACGCAGATATTCCTTACCGCGAGCGCCTCAGGGACCGTGCATTACGACTCAATGCGGAAGCCGAGAAGAGAGGCAACAAGGACTCCAAGCACGGCACAGCGCTGGGCGATGACGACAGTAGCGGGGACGAGGCCGTGGCCAAGCAGGTACGAGGCGAAGAGGACGAGTATTACGACATGATAGCACACCGGTCGAAGGCCAAGAAGGACGACAAGACTGCACGGAAGGAGGCACTTGCGGCGGCCAGCGTGAGGGATCGCGTGGTGGAAGTGGAGACGGTTGGGGCGGATGGGAAGAGAAAGATCAACTACCAGATAGAGAAGAACAAGGGCTTGGCACCGAAGAGGAAGAAGGAGGTGCGAAACTCGAGGGTCAAGAAGAGGAAGAAGTACGAGGACAGGCAGAAGAAGCTGAAGAGCATGAAGGCAACGTACCAGGGAGGAGAGGGCAAGGGCGGATACCAGGGAGAGACGACTGGTATCAAGACGGGCCTGATCAAGAGTGTCAAGCTGTAGTGGAAGTTGCGCTTGATATTATCGAGTTATTGAATACTACTGTAAAATGTATGGTTCCTCCGTCGACCATTGAAAGATGCTTGTGGAGGTTCAAGACGGGAGTTAACTTGACGAATGCATGGGCTGTGCGGTGCCGAATCGGCTGAATGTTTCTCGGGCGCCCCTGGAGTCAAAATGACAGCAGCAGTCGAGCTTGAGCTGGACCTATCAAGCAACTCTCCACCGTCGAAATCCAACTCTACCTATCCACAAGGAATCGACCTCCAAAGACAAATAGCTGTCAATTAGACAGATTGAATCCCCACAAAGCCATGATAATCTCATAATACCACAGAAAATTACGGTCCCTACCTATCGCAGCTCGGCTGCCCCCTTCATACGCACCGACTCTCCCTCCACCCGCCCATCCATCCCACAGACGGCGATCCACCTCCACCAACAACCGCGAAAATGGCGTCCAACCTCCCCGACCCGGACCTCTCGACCCTGACGTCCTCGTCGCAGATCTTCTCCGCGCCCGCCGGCACCCCGGCGTACACGCTGCCGCAGATCCGCAGCCTGCACAAGCACATCCACGTCGCCATCGACGACAAGCAGGCGCGCCTGCGCACCCAGGTCGGCGGTAGCTACCGCGAGCTGCTGGGCACCGCCGACTCCATAGTGCGCATGCGCGCCGACATGGACGACGTCCAGGCAGTGCTGGGCCGCATGGGCGCGCGCTGCGGCCGCGGCGTTGTCGGTGCCAAGGTCGCGGGCCTGGGGCGCTTTGCCGCCGAGCGGGACGGGGTCAGTGAGGATCGTTTTGGGAGGAGGAACCCTGGTGATGTTGCGAGGGCGAAGATACTGGCTGGCTGTGTTTTGGTACTGGGCAGGCTGCTACAGGGGCAGTTTGGGCTACAGGATGGGGAAAGGCTTATCACCGCTACCAAGGTCCTGGTCCTGGGGAGACTGCTCGTCAAGAGCTTCGAGGAGCACAAGCCTGGTGTCGAGGTGAAATCTGCACTAAAAGGATCTACGAAGAGCCTGGAGAAACTCAGGAAAAGGCTTCTACGGAGCATTGACAAGGCATTGCAGACCGTCGGAGAGAATACCAGCAAGGACCTTCTCCTCAAGGCCCTTTGCGCACACAGCCTGGTAACTGGAACCGGTGCCCGCGATGTTATCCGTCACTTTTTAGATGTCCGAGGCAACGCGATGGCTTCAGTTTTTGACGTCGAAGAGCACCGGAGTTCCCTGGATGTTGTGAAAGGGCTGGAGCTTTACACTAAGACGATCCTCGACGTGCAATATCTCGTGCCTAACAGGCTCACTGAGGCCCTATCCCATCTCAAGAAAGAACCTCTCCTGTCTGACCCCTCGGTACGGGAATTAGAAAGCCTGAGACTGGACATCTACGAGCGGTGGTGCGGCGACGAGATCTCCGAGTACAAGCCATCGGTTCGGCACGACGACCTCGACGGCAGGCAAGCAGTGGACATGCTGACCAAGTGGACCGCAAAGGGCAGCGAGGTGCTCCTGCAGGGTCTGGAGAAGACGCTGGAGCGCACGACCGAGTTCAAGGCCATCACGGAGCTGCGCACCGAGGTGCTGCAGCTCTGGATACGAGACGGTGGCAAGGCGCGCGGCTCCGACCCGTCCGTCATGCTCGACCAGCTTCGGCAGACCATCAACGCGCACGTGGCCGGCGTTCTAGACGCCAAGGTGAACAAGTTGCGCCTCGTCGGCTCCGAGATCGCGGCCACGCTGGATGTCTGGCGCGCTGGCGTCACGGACGCCCAGCCCAGCCTGTGGGACACGGACTCGCTCGATATGGACCTGCACCACGGCGCGGGGCCGTTCGCACTAGATGTAATTAACCGCTTGTATGGACGGAACGACGCTGTTGCCAGGGCAGTCACGGGGTACAAGTCGTGGGCGCAGGTCATTGATGACGTCGAGGAGGTTGTAGAGCAGCTGAAGAAGCAAAGATGGGACAATGACGTGGACGAGGTCGAAGACGAGGAGACCATCGACCAGAGACAACAAGCTCTGAGCAGGGATGACCCGAAAAAGCTGCAGGAGAGGCTACACAGTGCGCTGGAAAAGGCTTTCCATGACTTGGATGAGCAGTTGGCTAAACTATGGGACAAGCACAAGGAAAGCGAGAACAGCGGCAGGGTCGCGATGTACCTCCTGCGGATACTGCGGGACGTCCGCGCCAAGCTGCCAAAGCTGGAGTCGGTCAAGGGCTTCGGCCTGGGCATGGTCCCCTCTCTCCAGGAGGTCACCGCTGTCACGGTCGCAGCCGCGCCGGTGGACAGCTTCGCGAGCAACGGTCTGGCGAAGAGGAAGGTCGTCGGGCGGAGCCTGTGGGAGGGCGATCCTGAGCTGCCCACCTCGCCGTCCCCCGGCGTGTTCAGGCTGCTGCGTGAACTCACTGTGGCGATGGGCGATGCTGGCATGGACCTATGGAGCCCTGTGGCTGTCGCGGTGCTGAGGAGGCATGTCAGTAAGGAGCTCTCTGAGCGGTGGGCCGCGGCTTTGGAGGCGCATCTTGCCGAAGTCGAGATCAAAACTGAGGGCGAGAAACCTGCAGCTGAAATCGAGAGTGGCAAAGTCGAGAGCGGCGACAAAGAAAACACGGCAGATAAGGATGCGGACGAGAATACTCTGGAACCTGCCGAGGAGAGCAAGGCTGAGAATGAAGATGACATAGAGGCGGCTCACGAATCAGCATCAGACGAGAAGCCCAAGGCGGCTGAAGATCCAGCGACAGACAAGGCAGAGGCGGCGGATGAGTCAACTACGGAGAAGGAAGCAGAGGCAGCCGAAGAAGCAGTGGTTGCTGAAAAGCTACGGCGAGACTTATTGGTGCAGTGGCTCTTCGATATCGCCGTGCTGCGATTGTCTGTCAGCACGGAGGAGACCTCCAGTGACCTCAAGGAGCTGGAGGAGGCTGTCTGTAAGAGGACGGATGTCGAAGGCACGCCTGCACGGCAACGTCTGAACAAGGCATCTCAGGAATATTGGAAGAGGAGCAGCCTGTTGTTTGGTCTGCTGAGCTGATTGTATATACCCAAACGACTTTTCTATTGACAGCGCAGTGGTGCGTCTGAGCCAAATTCACGCGGATCAAACTTTACAGCTTATGCCTCTTCTCACCTGAGGCGATCTTCCTAAACTCTTCCTATATGAGAGGAACAAATATCAGCAATCTGTGTTTTCGCCAAAGTATGAATTCAAAAATTGGGCTCAACTCACCTGCGGAATCCCAGCTACGAACCTGTCCAGCCCATCGAACACCTCTCTGGCGTTCGCCACGTCCATGACATCCCTCTCAGGCTGTCGGATCAGCTTCTTGATGCCAAGCATGCTGTCGCCGTTGAGATGGGGGCCCAACCGCTCCTCGACCTCCTTCAACACCAGCTCACGGAACTTCGCGTCCTCGTTCGGCGCCGTGTCGAAAACGGCATTGACGAAGCCGGCCTGCCGGAGCTCGTCGGCCGTGATGCGCTTGCTCATGATGAGGGCCTCGTTAGCCCTGGCAGCACCCAGCCTCTGGACGAGGGCGCGCGAGGCGCCGCCCTCGGCGACGAGGCCGAGCGAGCTGAAGGGCGTGAGCAGGAAGGTGTGCGGCGTGCAGTAGATGAAGTCTGCGTGCGAGACGATGGCGGCCGAGAGGCCGACCACCGGGCCGTTGAGCCCCACGACCAGGATCTTGGGGTGCGTGTAGAATGCCTGCGTGATGTTCAGGTTGAAGGCCACGAAGGACCGCATCCAGTGCTGGCGCGGGTCGGTTTCCGTGGCGGGCACCTCCCTGGATATCGAGACGTCGGCGCCGCTGCGGGCAGGCAATGATGTCAGTCAGCTTCTGGTTCCGTGTTGGGGAAATGAGCTTGCCAAGTGGGCTGGAAGAATGAGATGAGAGGACGAGAGAGAGATGAGAGGGCGAGGGTGAGCCGGGCCGACGAAGGGGGATGAAGCTCGTCCACCGGATGGCGGAATGAAAGAGAGAGGAGCAGGTGAGACAAGCGTACGCTGAGAAGAAGCGCCCCTTGGCGAGCAGGACGGTGATGTACACCTCATCGTGGGTCGCTATCTCGCGTAGTGCCTTTGCTATTTCGTAATACTGCTGTTGGTTGAGAGCGTTGAGTTTCTTCTCATTGCTTATTGTGATAGTGGCAATGCGGCCCTTGTACTCGAGGGATATCACGGAAGAGTCGGCCATGTTGATAGCGCTGATTAGAACTGTGACACAGACACAGACACAGACACAGATGCAGCAATTGGTACCGATACTGGTACAATATAATGTCAAATAGGAGGAGGGCAGGCAGAGGGTCTCGTCTCGACAGGCCAATGTGAAGCGATAGGTGTACAAGACTAATCGGTTCGTGGGATCAAGAAGGTTGAGACATAGGTCTGAATCAGGGAGCGAGGCAGCGACGCAGATCTTCTGATGTAAAACAGTCTGACAAGCAGAAAGAACATGGACAACTGAATGGAGCTCATGTGGTTGAAGCCATCGTCCCCGCGGTTAGAGCAGTGGACTGCCTCGGCATCTTGAGACACCCCCTGCGAACCCCCACGGGCAAGCTGCCTACCAGCTCGCCTTCTCTCCACACACCCACTTCGTCTTCCCTCTTCCCCGAGCGCACAAGGGTGAAGCTTTTCTGGGGATAATCCCTGAAGTCCATGGTCTGGCAGGCAATCCCATAAAGCTCCTCCACCCGTTGATGCTACTACGCAGCACGGTGCTAATCGGATTTATTCCTTCCCCCAGGGTCCACTGGTCTCACCTTTTTCTTTTTCCAAACTTGTCAGCAACGTCGTTTCGAGACAAGTCGGGAAATGATCGGCCACAAACAACGACAGCCTCGCTCTGGAATGAGCCTCGCAACCCTCTCTGCCGGTCATGGGTGACGTGCCGCTCGTCCTCTGTCCACTATCGCTTGCATGTGCGCAGGCAACAGGACCCGCACGATACCATCGTTCCGGTCGACGTATACCATTGGGGAACATGACCGTCGCCGGGTGCTCGCCAGTGCTACTCCTCGGTGTCGGCGCCCAAGGAGATGCGCCTGTCATGCTTCACCACCCCAAGATCTGTACGCGACGATAACAACCCGTTGGCGAGAGGGCACACCTGGGCTTTTTGGTCGTTGTGATTCTCGCTATTTATCCCGATGGCAAGTGTGACCCATCTACTCGCATGGCAGGCACAAAAAGAAATCTGCTATGAAAGCATAGCAATACACGCAGGCGCGGCACTCGACGGCCGCGATGGCGCTGATCCCCTGGGCTACAGGGCGGCGCTGACCTCACTGGGAGGAGCAAGCCATGTGTCCAATGGCTGGGAAATTGGGCCCAGGAATGGAATGGATTGGACATCCGGATCGTCGACGTATCTTCTCTTGCGCAAGTCGCGGGTGCTCCCGTACAGAGCACAGCGTACAGCACACCTGATAGCTCGCCTGGCGAGCACTGTGTGTGCTTGTGTTGTGTTTTGTGTCGTGACCAACCAGGCGTCATGATGTCGACACCTGGCGGAGGGACGTAATGACTTGACTATCCCGTCCACACCAGGCCGTCCCGGGCAGTGTGTGTCTGGGTGGCCATGTCCCGTCTGCCGTTGCGACCTGCGATCGTGGGTATCGATAGCTACCCCCTGGTGTCTTCTTTCACAACGTCTTGACGCCATTCCTCGGATCGTCGTCGCCACCTGCGTGTCTTTCCCAGACCATGCTCCCTTCCTCGCCAACGAAACAGAGAAGAGCTCCGCGTGCACATACATATATCAAGTCGCCACTTGTCTGCTTGTGTACCAGCACGCCGGGGCCCAACTCACCCTTCTTATCACTCCCGCTCCATCGACACAATGAAGCTGAACTCGGAAAAAGTTGAATTACAGCCCAGGCCCAGGCCTACGCTCTCGCTGGTCTCCGTCTCTACGAGTCCGAGGGTATCCGAACTTGAGGACGCCGCGTCAACTCGAGAGGGCGACGCCGACGAGTTCAGCCTGGTTCAGCTTCACCATCGTCTCGAGCTCGAGTGCCTCCCGCCGGTCGACCAAGGCAAGCATGCCTACCTGTTCCTCCTGGCGTGCTTCATTCTCGAGGCGTTGATCTGGGGTAAGCACACTCCCACCCTTTACCGCGTCCCACCCCTCCTCCCCCCTTCACAGAGAAGATCAGACAGGATGTCTCTGTTGTTATGATCCCTTCGCACTCAAAACGTCACGGGCGAGTTTAGCTGACTCTATTTGTCTCTCATTTGCCAACAGGCTATCCGTTTTGCTTTGGCATCTTCTCAGGCTACTATGCCCGGACACCCCCTTTCGAGGGCTCAACAGCCATAGCAAACATAGGTATGTGACAAGGATCTTTACACACACAATCCTACCATCAGTGACTAACATTTAGGGGAAAGGGACATGTTGTTCGGGATTGATGTACCTCTGTGGCTTGCCGGCCCTGGTCCTCAACCGTATGTTCCCTAGATGGGCGAGGTACTCACCCCTGATCGGACTGTTCATCGTGTGCGCGGCGCTCTTCGTGAGCGCCTACGCAACCAACGTCACCGAGCTCATCATCAGCCAAGGTGTCTTCTACGGCATCGGCGGGGCCATCGCGTACATGCCGTGCATCATGTACATCGACGAGTGGTTCGTCAAGAGGAAAGGCCTCGCGTACGGCATCATGTGGTCCGGGACGGGGCTTGCGGGCGTGGTCCTACCGCTGATCCTGGAGAAGCTGCTGGAGATTTACGGCTACAAGACGACCATGATCATCTGGGCGGTGGTGCTCTTCGCCATCACGGCGCCGCTGGCGTGGTACATCAAGCCGCGGGTGCCCCCGCTGCCGGTGCGGCGCCTCCGGGCCTTCAACTTCCGTTTCTGCCTGTCGCGCCGCTTCATCATGTACCAGCTGTCCAACACGGTCGAGGCCATCGGCTTCTACATCCCGGGTATCTACATCCCCATCTACGCGGCCAGCGTGCTCGGCGCGGAGGAGTTCGCAACGGCGCTGTGTATCCTCCTCTTCAACATCTCCTCCGTCGTCGGCTGCATTGGCATTGGCTGGCTCATCGACCGCTTCCACGTTACCACCTGCGTCATGGTGACCACCGTCGGCGCCACAATGGGGACTATGCTCCTGTGGGGTTGCGCCTTCAACATGCCCATGGTCTACATCTACTGCGTCAGCTACGGCCTGTCGGCGGGCTCCTTCTCCACCACCTGGACCGGAGTCATGCGCGAGGTGGCCGGCAAGGACATGCAGAGCAGCAGCACACCGAGCTCGCTCAGCGGCGACGGCGGCGAGGTCGCTGGTGTCGGCGGCGGGCATGGAGCCCCTGGCGCCGTCGAGTCGCCCATGTCTGAGTTCACCGGCTCGTACTCGGAGAACATCGACCCCATCATGGTCTTTGTCATGCTCGCCGCGGGCCGCGGCTTCGGCAACGTTATCTCCGGCCCGATCAGCCAGGTCATGTACCACTCCAAGCCGTGGGAGGGCGCGGCCGCCCTGGCGTACGGCAGCGGCTATGGCAGCCTGATCGTCTTCACCGGTGTCACGGCATTGGGGTCCGGGGCCTGCTTCCTCGGGCGCCGGTTTGGCTGGTGTTAATGACGATGCCCCCCGGCACCAGTGGTGTTGGTTGTCTCAGTGTGTAATTACGTAAACGACTACGGGAGGGTGTTTCTTAGGGGGGGAGGGGTGTGAGTATGCTTATGGGTTGTGGTGTCGATCTGTTGAAACAATATTAGATGTGAGGGAAGACTCGACACCTGCTGGAGAGGGGATGGGAGGGCAATGTGACGAGGGCTGGTGATCGATACCCGGAGCGAAGGATCCCTCGCTGCAATGGTGGTGGCTTGAACGCATGCGGCTTGAATCGGTCGCTCATAGACCTTCTTTCACCCAATGTCCTTTTACTTGGCTTTTCGAGACGAGGTGCTTGTTTACAGTAGCTTGAGACATAGAGAGAGAAGCAGAGAAACACACACAAAGATACGAAGAGCAATCTGACTCGAACAACAGACACTTGCCGCCCCGTCTCCTACTGTTTGTTTTCCCAGCCGGTGAATCAGCTCGAGACACTAGTGAGAAATGCTGGGCAGATATCTCTGCGACACATATTTGTAACGGTTTGGGTTGAAGACTTTTTTTCTTAGCCCGGCGATCTGAGACTTCCATCTTGATCCCAGACATGAGATTTGCACAGGATACCTAGATAGCCCTATACTGTGACTAGTTTTGGACTGGACATGTATGACATATGTCGGGCAGGATATCATCGGGCCAAATAACATCACCTCCTTAGCCTTGTCCAAAGATAGGTAGACTTCTCCCGCGGGCAGGATGTCAGGAAACGGTTTAATGTGTCTTCCTGAAACCATGTCCCCAACCGGTCTGGGATGGCAGCAGCGGGTGGTCGCGCCTTGTGACTCAACAACCACCTGGGCTCAACAATCCTAAGGGGGCGCGGACAGCCAGGAGCTCGGCGGGCGGAGGGCGCCGCTGTCCAGAGGCAGTTCGGGATCGTCACCGGCATGGGAATCGAGATATGTCAGAGTTTGTAGATCACTTGAGGAGCTGGAGCTCAAGTTCCGAATCCCCAAGGGCTAGCTTCCCCATTTTAGTTCGTCTTTCTTTTCGCACCTTCTTGCCTTGTACGAACACGATGCTGATGCTTTGCGTGGCCTCCCTTTTAGTGACCCAACCAGTAGAACGCCGTAACTCCTGTCGTTTTCCAAGTTCCTCCCTCTCTTCCTCCCTCTTTCCAAAGCCAAAACGCCGCAAGCAGACCAAAATCAACCACAAGTTCCTTTCACCCCTCCAGCCCGATGCAAAGAAGGTAAGAGGCAGCACAGCCAGCCGGCATGCTAAGTCGACCACTCGGACTGATTCCTCTCCAGGATCGGCCTCTGGTCCCACCTGTCCCCATCGATACTCCTGCCATCTTCATCATCCTCGATTGCGCTTCCGTCCATATCTTCCTCATCGTCATCACTGGTCTTGTTGTATAAAAAGAACTGCACAAACACGCCCATGTCAAGCAGCAGCGTGCCCACGCTGCCGGCCAGCCACGACAGGTTGACGAGGATGTACCGGCCGTAAATCCTTCCCGCCTCGCCCGGCTCACACCCGGCGTCATCGCCGTAGCACTTGGGGTCAAAGGCAAAGATGGACAGCGCATAGGTCAGGTTGCCCAGGCAGGCGAATAAGAAAAACAGCATGCTCAGGCCCTCGGTCGACTTGCGCCGCCAGTTGAGCAGCAGCTGCGGCAGCCGCGACCCCAGGTAAAGCACCGCGCACAGGTACCCGAAGATCTGGCCCCACAGGTCGAAGTGGATGGCATCGCCGCCGCTGGGCTCGTCCCCGTGCTCATCGGACCCGTAGCCGTGGCTGAGCGCCCAGCCTGCCACGCCCGCGCCGATCACCATGATCACTGCCACCGTGTTCCAGGCGACCGCCTGCAGGGTTGATGCAGGCGGGGGAGGCGTGGCGGAGGGCTCGTTGATGGGCACGATGGGGTTAACGTGGATGAGGCGTTCGGACCAGTCCGAGCCGCGGCGCTCGCGCTGGTCCAACAGGCTCGTCCTCTCGTTGGGCTCAGGCCCGCCACCGTTGTTGCTGGCGCCATTGCCGTTGCCATTGCGGTGCTGCCCGCCGTTCTCACCATTCACTCGGTTGTTGTTCTTCTTCTTGGGCGTGGGCGGGACGACCTCATCCTTCCACGTAAAGCCCCTGTAGTAGAAACACTGCCCCAGCAGGACTATATCGGCAATGGTGTAGTATATTGCAAGTATGATCATGGTAGGTAACACGCCCTGCAGGACTGCGCCGAGGATGTTGAATACATCTCCGGCGAGCCAGACGATGACGAATTGGAGGGACAGACCGTCGGCTGCACTGCGGCGGAAGTTCTCGATGATCTGGGGGCTGAAGACGACGACCCAGCATGCTATGGATATGGAACTGGGGACGAAGAGAGGCCATGGTTAGCTACGATTTTATCCTCTAGACTTCAAGGTAGTAATGCAAATTCATTTACCCTGCAATTCCTGAGATTGCTTCCACGTCAAGGTTGAGAGGTTGCGTTGGTGGCGCCATGACTGCGAATCCAGTTGGCCGCCCAAGTATGCGAAAGACGACTAAGAAATACGGTCCAAAATAGGTAATACTAATCGAATCTGCAACGGGGAAAAGGGCCCCTCCTAGGACTAGAGCAAGACTTGGTCAGAATGGGAGAAAAAGAAAAGGCAGGCCAAGCAGTGACAGAGTAGGAGAGAGGGGGCACAGAGAGAAAGAGAGAGACAAAAGCCTGCAGCAGGATTTTCCATGTGAGTGACGCATAGCTGGCGGCAGCTCCGAGCGCGGCGGCCTGGAATTGGGAAATTTGGGTAGGAATCTGGAACTGGGGACCCACGCCACTGCAACCTCTTTAGGGCCTTCTTTAGGCCCGCCTGCCCAAGATGGGACAGAATCTGGGGTAATGCGGGGAAAGGGGCGGGCCCAGCTGCAGGTCCCAGCAGATCATCTCGAGATCCAGCGGCCTTTGATGGGTGCGCCATTGATGGTGTGTTCCAATTCCGTGGTACTTTGTAAACGCAGATCATCAGATCTGGTCTCTGGCACTTTTGGTATGCATAATCATCCAAAGGCTAAAGAAGGTAAGACAGGCTTAGCCTTCAACGGAAATGGAACCGGATTCAGCTTCAAGCCAAGCTCTGTGGGCACGAGACTTTCATCAGCAAATAGATCTACATCTCACCTGTCTACCTCCTGAGCAAGGCCATTCGTCTGGGCTGGCAGTTCTGTCGGAATTTTCCGTTCTCGCAGTCATCTCTGTACCGTCAAACAGACTGTCTCGAAGCTGTCTTGCCTCCATACCTGGGCAGCATGTGGGCAGTTCGACGATGGCGTCAAGACATGATAGACAGCTGATGAAAGTGAGCACAGCCAGCAATTTCACGATGTCACAGATTACATACTATACAGTCCTAAATTTAATGGAATGCCCAGGCATATCTCAGTGCTCCCAGCAAAACCTCCTTCCGTCAACTTCGTCTGAAGGAGTCTAGTATCAAGGGACCAGCAACATCATCACAAACCTTGTCAACTTGGATCAAAAATTTGCGCTTCTCAAGAATCCCTCGCGCACACCACCACAGTCGTCTCTAGAGGTTGCGTAAGAGGTTTGTATTTAGTACATATGTGAGTCCTCTGCTAGTCGCACGACAGACTGTTGCAGTACCAGTCTGGGCTGAGCCTTACGCACGCCCGGTCACATACGCATAGCATCCGCTGTTGCACGATATTCGGTGACGGGCCCGCGTGACTGGTTCCGGTAGACTTGCCTGACTCCGAATGGAAACAGTAGAGGAAATACATGCTCTCTTATAAACTGAACCCAGAGCAGGTACGAAGTGTAATTTTTGAAGAATGAGCATTTTGAACAATTGATGGGATTATTGATACTAAGAGAGAGTCCCCAGACAGACGCTGGCTGCGAGATGACAGTGCGATAAATGCGGGTCATCAACAATTGCCGGCCAACTCACCGGTGCCGAGCCGGCGTGCAGCTTGAGAACCTCGGCGATTCTCAAAAATCGCATTAATCAGCTTTGGTGATCGCCCCTCCAGGACCCCACCATCCCGAGATTCCGTCAATGACGATAGGCTTGTCAGCGTTGTTTGACCTCATTGCCCTCCTTCCACTCTGGCGCAAGGTGATTCCAGCTCGCAGGTAGTCTCAAGCTTGGCTTCCGACAGACAGACAGACGAACGACTATCCACAAATCAGAAACCTAAGCAAACAGACCCACCCGAGTGAACAGAGAAACATGGGAACGCCCATCCCCGACCTTCCCATTTTGGAGGCCGAAGACTCGATGCTGTCCAGAAAGTTCGGGCGCGAGCTCTCAAATTACTTCGCCGGTAGCCCCCTGAACCGCGTCGGCTTCTTGCGGTCCGACCACGCCTTCCTGCGCGCCGCCTTCTCCCACCCCTCGGCCCGCTTTCTCCTGCTGAACGAGCTCGCCCCCCTGGTCGACGAAAGCCAGCGCCGCCTCGCCTATGTGGGCTACTCGGACGTGAAGGGCTTCACGGGCGCGGACCCGTTCGAAAAGTCCGAGGAGCAGATGATCAAGGACTTCAACTCGGAAGAGTTCCATCCCCTCATCCTGCTGCTCGGCCTCGACGAGGCGAACAAGCTGCCGGCTTCGGCCTCGGCTAGCGATCAGGCGTTCGAATATAAGGAGTACAAGGGCAGGCCGTATTTTGCTGTCGATGTCACGCCGCCCAAGGGCGCTGCGGCGGAGGCGGCACAGGCAGCGAACAAGGTCATCGACGCCGTGAAGGCAAAGGGCTGGTCGTTCTACCAGAACCAGCGACACATGGGGCTGGAAGCAGGTGAAGGTAAGCCCTCCCTCGCAAGCCCGGACAGGGTGATATCCCGACCACTTAGCTGACACACATCTCACCAGCGGCCGTGTACGCCAACGCGCGATCCCTCCTAGACTGGAACTCCCGCATCCCCTTCTGCGCACAGTGCGGCAGCAAGACACTCTCCATCAACGCGGGCACGAAGCGCACCTGCCCGCCGACAGACCTGGCGGGCGGCAAGCTGACGGAGCGGGGGCCGTGCGCATCGCGGCACGGCGTGTCCAACATCTGCTTCCCGCGGACGGACCCGACCATCATCGCGGCGGTGGTGAGCGCGGACGGGAGCCGGCTGCTGCTGGGGCGCAACAAGCGGTTCCCGCCGTACTGGTTCAGCACGCTGGCCGGGTTCCTGGAGCCGGGCGAGTCGATCGAGGAGGCGGTGCGGCGCGAGGTCTGGGAGGAGAGCGGCGTGCGCCTCAGCCGCGTCGTCATCCACAGCTCCCAGCCGTGGCCGTTCCCCGCCTCGCTCATGATCGGCGCCATCGCGCAGGCGCTGCCCGGCGACGGCGAGAAGATCGACCTCGGCCACGACCCGGAGCTCGTCGACGCCCGCTGGTTCTCGATCGAGGAGGTCAAGGAGGCGCTGAAATTTGGGGTTTCTGGGCTCGGGGAGCCCGCACCTGCTGGATATAAGGAGGGGGGGCTTAGGTTGCCGCCTCAGACCGCCATCGCGAATCGTCTGATCACGGCGGTTGTGGATGGGTTTGTTGGTGGTGGTGCCAAGATTTGAGGAGTTTGGATAGATGTGAGGTGGTCTGTCGGTACATAGAACATTGGATCAAAGAATAGACAAGACATTTTCAAGTCAGAATTGGGACCGATGATTTGCCGTTCTCAGACTGTTTGAATCTGAAAATCTGGGTGGTGGCATACTGTCCCTGTGTGGTGTGAGTTGAGGCGGGCGTCTGGAAACTGGGACGATCAACCTCTTCATCCAAGGTGCGGCGCAATCCTTCAAGGTTAAATTTGGTGATCTCCTTGGGGCTCACAATGAGAGGAAGCAGTGACAGAGGCCAGTATCAACCTTTCCACTACTGTTTCTTCCTATTCACAAGAGGAAAAGGCATCACCCCATGGCTGCATTGCGCTGGACGCATGTGCCTGTCCTATGGTATAAGCTGGGTTGGATGGGCCCCACCGATAACGATAACGAAATGCGCTAACCCAAATCTAGCCTAGACCCACTATCGGCCAGCATAAAACTTCACTCAGCGCCGCGCTCACTTTTTCGAAAGTTTTCTTTCCTTTCCTCTTTATCAGTAGGAATCCCTGGTACACCGTCATGTGAACCAGGGAAATTCTAATAACTGGAGGCTCCGCTACGGCGGCTTGCTGAGGGTCTTCCCATATTCTCTATGGATTTTCTTCCGTTCCCGGCCTCCTTGAGAAACGTTTTTGATCACCTTCTCCCTTCTTTTATCGCGCTGGACTTCGTTTCTAGGTCCAGTGCGGTGGGGTGGTCGCGACATACCAACGTACATAGAATGCGAAATGAAGATTTTAGTGGGCAGGTGTCACTGGGAGGGGGGATATGGACGCGCTCGTCAAGTCAAGTATGTGAACGATGTGGTTGTTTGCCTCACTTGTGCTGGCCTGCAAATGTCAGCGCTTAATGGGCAAGACAGCCAGCCGCGAGCAACAGTCACTACCGACGTTCTCAAGATAGGCGGGTTTCTGAACTTGCCTGCACAGGAGCAGAAAGCAGGTCATTCTGACCAATTTTTGCCCAGACGCTGTGCTCTGTTCTTGGAGATGAACCACGAGATAGCTCCAACGGGTTTCTCGGTGAACTGCGCCGGATGCGTTACCATGAGTCCACCTCCATGGGATAAATTTGCGATGGGATAATCTGCTGCAGGATAGCCTAGCAGATGCCATGAGATGACCTGCCATGGGATGTCTTGTCATCGAATAACCGGCCGTAGGATAACCAGCTGTGGGACAACCTACTAGACTACGTGAGAACCTGTCATGGAATAATCTGCCGTGGGATAACCTGTCATGGACTAATCTGCTGTGGGATAATCTGCCACGGGATAATCTGCCATGGGATAATCTGCCATGGGATAACCAGCCGTGGGTTAACCTACATTGCGATAACCTGTCGTAGGATAATCTACTATGGTGTAGCCTACCAGATGCTATGGAACAACCTGCCGTGAGATAATTCTGCTGTGGGATTAGCGGCCACGGGATGATCTCTCATTTGGACACGAACCTAACCTCTCGTGGGTTGATTGCTCTACGAGCATCCCGTGGGATAATCTTCTTGGGGTAGTTACGATTTACTCTTGGGTCTCGTGGACTCTACTTGTTTTACGCTAAATCGATATCACTCTCGACGCTGATAAACTGCCCTCGATGTCTGCGCAACTCACTGAGCTTGGCGGCAACTTTTTCTGGATCACGTGATGTAGCTCCACTTAGTGTGACCAATCAGCGTTGACCCCACTGCCAAAACCGAAAAGTGCACTATCACCCAAAAAATCTAATCTGCCTCACCCACTCCACCAAGTCAATCACATCAACGAACCTTCGTCAACAACAGCGCGCAACAATCCTCACCATTAGAACCTCTAGAATTCTATTGGAAGACCGTCAAAATGTCGAAGATCACGGTCGCCGGAGTGCGCCAGAACGTCGTCGAGCTCCTCGAGTACTCGTGAGTACCCAACCTTCCCACGACGCCGTGATGACTTCTGGCAGCATTTTTTCGAACAAACAAGCTGACGACGATGAAAACAACAGCACGGAAACGAAGAAGAGGAACTTCCTAGAAACCGTCGAGCTCCAGATCGGCCTCAAGAACTATGACCCTCAGCGTGACAAGCGTTTCTCCGGCACCATCAAGCTGCCCTCCGTCCCCCGCCCCAACATGTCCGTCTGCATCTTGGGTGACCAGCACGATATCGATCGTGCCAAGCACGGTGGTGTCGACGCCATGTCCGCCGACGACTTGAAGAAGCTTAACAAGAACAAGAAGCTCATCAAGAAGCTCGCCCGCAAGTACGATGCCTTCCTTGCTTCCGACACCTTGATCAAGCAGATTCCCCGTCTCTTGGGTCCTGGTCTGTCCAAGGGTATGTAATATTCCGCAGTCGAGAGTCCTGTTTTGAGGACATAGCAAGAGAAAGAAAATACTGACACCAACCGTACAGCCGGCAAGTTCCCTACTCCCGTCTCTCACGCCGACAACCTCACCGACAAGATCACCGAGGTCAAGTCCACCATCAAGTTCCAGCTGAAGAAGGTGCTCTGCATGGGTGTCGCCGTTGGCAACGTCGGTATGGACCAGGAGGAGCTGATTGGCAACATCATGCTGGCCATCAACTACCTGGTCTCCCTGCTGAAGAAGGGCTGGCAGAACGTCGGAAGCCTGACCATCAAGGCTTCCATGTCTCCCCCCAAGCGTCTCTACTAAGTTGGCGTTGGATTTGTGATGGAGGTCTTTGCAACGTTCGGAAGATCGGCATCCTGAGATGCTATAGCGGTACATACCAGCTAAACAATCACAATGAACGAGACTCGACTTGGACTCTCTGAGAGCCGATCAAAAATTCCTGGTCTATTTGCTATGCCCGGTCGCCTGTGGACTATTTGCATGCCCCGTCATTAACCACTTGAAGCAAATTGCGATTGGTGCGAACAGTCACATCGTACCGCCCCACTGATGTTGTGACCTCTATCCCCAAACATATGTGGACTCCCCCAATCGTAGACGAGGTTGCAATGGCCGACAATTTTTCTAACGGTCTCCCCACTTCCTGACAAGCCCCGACTCGAACGATTTCAGTAGGCAGGCCTCCACGAACCACCGGTTTCATAACAGCTGCTGAGAGAGGACCCGCACTTGCAGCTTCATGGCCGTGTCTGCCTAAGTGGGCCTTACTCATCCTTGAAGCCGTCGTCGGGCCGTGATGCCTTGCGTCCCTCGGACTCCAGGTCCTGGTAACGGACCGTGACAGAAGCTTAGACGCATTTTATGCAGTTTGAAAAAAGGGCGTGGTGGATTCGAGGTGTCACAACATCTGGATATGAAATCTTGATTGCCGCTGCCATTGCATCCTTCAAGAATTTTCAATCGGGCAATTTTTGGCGGCCTCACTTCTGTGTCTGACTCTAGGAGACAAATGAACTCCCGAGGGCTATCCTGTTTCCTCGTGCCGAAAACCAGGACTTTGCCTCCATGACAGCCAAATCCTGACCTCCACGTGTGATGACGCTCGCCAGCTTGCTGTAGCTGGGCGCGTCTCAAGCCACAATTGAATGCGTCTCAGCGCTGGGATCAGGTCGCACACCCCACGAACCTGTGTCACGAACTCGTCAAATAATCCTACGATGGTGTGCACTCCAAGTGCCACGCTCGTTATCTGTCAAGATTAAGAGGACGGCTGTCAGGCCCGGCGGCGGGCCCATCAGCTCTCACGGTTGCATTGAGTGCACCTCACCCCTCTTGGCTGGGCCATCCAACCGCAATAGCGCACATCTACCACGCGACACGGTCGCCTCACCCATACTGCCGTGAAGCTTCATGGGTCTGCCCGCATGCAGGCCATCTTAGTGTGAGCCATGGCATGCTATTTGGAGTTTCCCAAGTCCGAGAAGGCGGAGCTAGACCGCCAGGACATACACAGTAGCTGGTTACAGTTCGCAGATCAATGGCGTCTGTCATCATGCGTTATCACGAACGGTTTATACGATTACCTGACAAGGGCAGTAGAAGCTCTTGATCTCCATGGGAACGAGGCTGTCGAGGGAACCCCAGATTGTCAAACTCGAAGTCGAAAAGCGATTGGCTCTTCACGTCCAGCCCTTGCTGTGGGCGACTGCAGCGAGGCTTGAGAGGCATGCGGGTCTGAAACGGCTGCTCAGATGGCGGGCCACTCACTGATAGGCGTTTCCCGTCATGAGCGCTGTCCACGCCGATGATCTTCACAAGGGCCTCCCTCTTCCGAAACCCGAACTTCCACCTCAGGGTATCTTCAGTGGACGGGCCCAGCTCGATACCCATCCCAGCACCTGGTCAATGCGGGGAGCCCATCTTGGTCAGCCGCGAGGGCATCCAGCACTCTCCAATTAGCGATGCGCTCACTATTCACCTGCTTCGGGCCCGGAACGCCATCTCAGATGCGACGACAAGGGCCACTGACGTGCAGCAGTCAACCGTTGGACAATAGCGACTAGGATAGCAGTGAGGGACGAATGCGACTTGACGGTCATAAAATCTCCGAAGATCTCGGTCAGCTGTCATGCAGACTCCGCCGAAGAACAAGATGGCGGATCGCAGGTCCCGTACCATGGTTCCCTGGCGTGGTGGAGACGGTCTCGACTGCTTCTACGTCTTTGCGCGTATCGATAACGCGTGAGCCCTATGCCGGAAGGTCTGAGAGGACACTTGGAGAGAATAAGGTTCTCGCATCGCAGATGCGGAAAGAGGGAGGCTATCGGGACAGTCCCTTGCGGCGATCGATGACCGTGAAGAGTGTTCGTGCTCTTTTCTGGCTTCCACAATGGCTGGCCGCCAAAGTCAAGACTGCTAGGGTAAACTCAATTCCGGACTGAAGACCACCAGGACCATGGTCGATTCACCGCATGTTTTCATATAGGTTCGCCTCTATTGAAACGCTACAGCCGGCGAGGCATTTGAGATCCGGTGTCAAGACACAGCACATTTCACGCTGCTTCTCTCCCAAGATAGCTATGGATCGGTCTCCATGGAAGGAAACACGTCTCGGCTTCCTTTGTGACTGCTTACTGAAATGGGTGGAGAGCAGATGTTCGCGACTGGATGGATCGTGTCTCGATTCCCACACTTTCGAGGTAGCAGTGAAGTCCAAGCGTGCTCGTCAATACGACTTGCAAGAGTAATGGCATGCCCACTCCACAACCCCCAAACCAACCCTCCCCTTGAGCTCACATCGATGATGTGTGAGCCGCAGCAAGTTGGTCAGCTGTGTGCCACAATCTTGGAGCGTTTCGCTATGTTTGTCTGGACCGCAACCATCGTTTCCCAAGATTTCAATTACGCTCCTAGCCGTGTGACAGATCCACACTAAGGTCAAGTCAGGCGAGTTTGACCACCACGAACACTATCCGTGCGCTGCTTGAAACGCTGAGAAGCTGCCAACTACCGGAGGCTAATATGCATCCCGCTCCCTAGCCACGTCCCCAGAAATCTGGACCGCACGCCTGGTGCTGGAGCCATAGCATAGCCATTAATGCGGAAACAAAAAAACAATCATGGGCTGCCAAATGTGGTAGACCGCGGGCCTCTCCGCTGTTCTGGCTGTGCAGGTTTAGCCTCGCTCCGTCCGGCTGTCACCGAGAGAGAATCTGGACACTACATCTCAGAAAATGTGGCCGGCGGCACAGGATGACAGCTCACTCACACAGCGAAACAAGATACAGCCTACCTTATCTGGAACGATTACCACCTCCTTCTCGAAAAGACGAACATGATGTATCGGATATGGTGAGAACCGAACACACAAGATGGAGTCGCCAAGGGTAAAGATGTGGCTGATACTACCGTGCGTCACTCGATCCCCATACGTACAGAAGACAAACCTGGCCATTCCGCCAGCAGCCCACGTCCAGGGGGGGTATGCGTGCCTCATGACATCCATTGTAGCATTCTTGCCTACGCACAGGCATCCGTGCCCGTTACCAGGATGTGGCACTATCCGCAGCTGCCAGCATGGCGGGCCCTGCTCTCCCTCCCGTTCACGTCAAGCCCTCAAGTGCGAACGCCCGTCAAGCAGCAGTCTGCTGGGTGTCAACTGATGAACTATAGTCTCATGGATAATAGCACTTCATGCTATTTCATCCGGAGCCGAAGAGGCAGGGCCCTAGGCTGGACAAGGACTACGTCTGCATCATGTTCTTTCCCACCCACATGGGTCCTCGATATCAAACGCAACACCATCGCCTCCCCCATTCCTCTTTCTGTCATAAGTACTACGCAAGCCACTAGATGACCGGATGAGAACACATCCTCTCTTGCGAAACCTTTTCTCGGTCCCCAAATGTCAGGACTGACTCGGTGGTGCAGACGTAGACGGCCGATCATGAACATGTTCGTCTTGATGTTTGCTTGAAGAGGCCATTCCATCCCACCCTCTTCCGCCGGCTTTCTTTCTCTAGAAGTCTCGCCACCTTATTCTTTCGAGCTTCCCTCAGCTGCCGCCCGAGTTCTTCCCCCTCGGTGTAGGTAGCTGCCGACAATCCAACATCATGCTGTTCCCTCTGTCTGCCTTACAGAACTGGCCTACGCCCAACTATACCAACCCGGAGAGGAGAGGGCCGGCGGCGACGATAGTCGTATCTGTGCTGCTTGGCCTCGTCACCCTCATCCTCATCGTCCGCATCTACACTCGTGTGAGGATATCAAGGGGCTTCGGGCTGGATGATGTGCTTATAATATTGGCCTACGTATGATTCCCACTGCCACTGGCATCTCATGAGCCATGGCTGACAAGCTACAGATTCCCACTACGGCTTTTGCTGTACTGGCGTTCATCGCCATGTGGAAGTTCGGCTGGGGCACTCATGTGTGGGATCTTCCCATAGAGTTGACCAAGCCGAGCTTGCAAATTAGGTACGGCGGCGCCAATCCAAACTGTCGTCGGAATTGTCTAGCTAACACCGTCCAGCCTGGCGAACCAGCTGTTGTTCGACCTGGCAACATCACTGACAAAGTTGTCCATGCTGGCGCTCATCTACCGAGTGGTTTCCGCGGACAATAGTCGCTACAGATACGTTGTGCTGGCACTGGCAACCGTGGTCCTCTCGGACGGCTTGATATTCTTCTTCATTACGACCTTTCAATGCCGGTACGTCTCATCCCCCATTGCGCGTACCATGAGATCATTGCCTGACCACTTTACAGACCAGTCTCAGACTATTGGACTATCTCCTTCACTCCGCAAAAGTGTATCAACGAGGAGTTACATCTGCTCGCTGCTGGATGTATCAACACCACAACCGATTTTCTTATTGTCCTACTCCCAATACCTTACGTAGTCCGGCTCAAGCTACCACGGAAGCAACAACTCATCATCGTCAGCCTCTTCACTGGCGGTCTGTTTGTCACAGCAGCAGGGGCTGTGAGAACCTACGTGTTCCATATCACACTCACGGATCCCAGTCGTGATTTGACATGGAATGCATTCACCATCATCATCGTCAGCGCACTTGAGCTGTACATTGGCATTGTAAGTCAACGCCCTGAACATATCGCAACAAGCAATAGAAACTCATACCTATCTCATCAGATCTGTGCTTCCGTACCCGCCATCAAGCCTTTCGTCGCCCGCTACCTACCCATCATGCTTGAGAACCCCAGATACTGGCTCTCCAAGCAGGCAGACAGCCGCGCAAGAGACCCTTTCGACAAGCCACCCGCGGGCAAAAGCCTCGAGCCGGACTTCTGGCTCGTGACCGAGCGAGACTCAGTAGCCACCTTCCAGGATATCGAATCAAACTCGGGCCTGGTATTCCAGATGCAGCCGCGGCCGCCAATGCCGGGCATGCCCACGCCAACAAGGCCGCCGCGGACCGCCTCGACGATGCAGACTGGCACAGCTCTATCAACTATCACGACTACTACTACTAATACCACCACAAGCGACAACATCTCGGCTGTGTCGGCCAACTCGGCCGTGCCGGCGCCGCTCAGGGTCATGAAGAGCCCGCGCGCCAGCACCGCGGGGACGGTCTCGTCGCGGCCGGACCTCAACAAGCCGCTGCCCCGGATAGGCACCGCGGTGCTGGACGCGAGCTTCGCGAGCGAGGCGGCCTCGTCGCAGGCGCAGAAGCACATGTCCAGCGTGTACCAATTTATCCCGCACGAGGACGGGCACATCAGCGTGCACAAGGCGCGGAAGAGCGCGTTTGGCAACGGGTGAAGGAGAGGCGGGCTGGTCAGTGTGTATATGACCATTTACAATTCTACGCGAAGTCCTTCCTTTGAAGTCCTTCTTTCAGGCCGGGAGAAAAACCCCCCAGGTTCCACCCTATGGCCGGTCAAGACCGGCGCAGGCAACAAAAGGGGTGGGAGGGGTGAGACTCCGGCCTCCACAGCATATGCTGTGCCGGGCCCGCTCGTGGGGTTAGCCCGCAAGTGAGGGCACCGATATACTCAGAGAGCCCCGAGACTTGGAGGGCAGCAAGAGGGCTCTTAGTCCGTCACTGCCCAGACAGTCGTTTCCTCGGCGCTCACGACATACCCATGGGATACCCCGGCAAGGTTTAACGGCCTCTGTCTATTAGTCTAGATGTCTAGATAGCTACCAAACTAATAATTCAAACTCAAGAAGTCATAATTCGTCATTGAAACTTGGCCTAAGCCACGATCGAGAGCTCGAGACTTGCCTTGATGTGGGCTCGGTGTAAGGGGGTGCCTCTTTACCTAGGTAGGTCCTACTCACGACGCCAAACTTCAAAGCCACGATTGCTAGACCATATCAGGTCGGTCAAGAATCTTGGTAATTATGGGAGAGACGTCAGTGGCACCTACATTTCGTCCACTCGCTTCCTCCGGCTAAAGGGCCCTCCCGGAAGTCAAAAAGCAGCTCGCTGGTCGGAAAAAGAGATGATCGTGTCCTGTCGTTGCCTGCCCACCATCCTCATCCGCCGCAGCATCCGGTTCTAAATTCGTGCTTGTCCCAAGTTGCGAAACATCAGACACGCCCAATCGCAAAACCGACCGTTGCGGAACTCTGGGTAGGATTCTTCTGCGTTGTGTGTAGACTGTATCGGACGAACCCAAGGCTTGGTTGAAACCGCACTACTACCACACGAGGGGGAGGCGGGTGTTCACGGGGCAGGCTGTGTTCTTTGGGGGACAATCCGGATAAATGGAGTCAGTCATGGACCAAGGAGGATGGTTAGCTGTGTCATGAAACATACGGGCAAGGCTCGTTGACGAGGTGGCGAAAAAAGTGTGGTTGATGGCAGAGCCTCTCACTCTCTCGTGAGAGGTCAGGATGCAGACTACGCAGTGCTCTCCTCCACCGGTCTACCTTCACCCACACAACACTTAGAGAACGCCCCAAGCGGCTGCTGATCACGGCGACCGGTGAAAGCAACGCAAGCAAGGTAAGCAAGCAAGCAGGCAAGTGGGCAGGCAAGCAAGCACAAGTCAACCCCTTCTCGTCCCACAAGTAGCAGCAAACATAGGGCACGCAAGCATGCACTGGAGCCCAACGTTGCCCTTCACAGAGCCCACCAAAGGACCAAACCCTTCAGACGTAGCCGCGTGACACATGTCCCCAAATCAGGCCGCCCCCCAGGGTTCCACGGGCGCCTCTGGTCCTTCCAAGCATTAGGCACGACCCAGAGTAACGAGCCCACACACCTCACCAATCCAGAACGGCTCCCCGTCCCCCAATCCGGCCGGGACGTAAGCAGCGCACAGAGCCCAAAACGCAGCAGAGCCCAACGCAGCCCCCCCGCGACCCAACCGAGCGAGACGGCAGGAAAGCGGTATGTTTCGGTACACACACGTAACAGGAAGGAAAAGAAGGGGCGAGTGTTTTCGGTGCCCGACTGCACCGTGTGTGCGACGCGAGCCGCGCCGCCTGTATGGCTGCGTGGTAAACCCGACTGCGGGATCTTCGCCCACTGATCGGCGGTGTCTGGCCCTCTCTGCCCATTCAGAGGGGGGAGTCGGTGTGCGCAAGGGAGGCGAAGAAATGTCGGTATGGGGAAACACAGAAGACGCCCTGTTGGCGGCTTCTTTTTTCCCTTGTGGTTTGGGAATTGGGATATAAAGGGGTGCGGGTTTGTCCGTCCTGTCTTGTCTTCCTCCTGCATCGACCTCGTGATCCCATCTGCACATGCTGCCTTGGCCTCCTCCTCGGCCGTTGCGAACCCCACGAGGGCGAGAGGCTGTCGGCGATATTGAGCCTTCAGCCTCTTGGCCACGAAGACGCCTTCTGCTGCTTGCTCTCGTTCTCGACGACGCCGCGACGCGATATGGGATGCTGTCAATGTCGAAGCGAGAGTGATGCCTGCGACAAGGACGTTTTCATGTGGACATGGCACGCTTACGAGACGAGAAACTGAGGAGAGGTTTAACGACGCAATCTTTTTCAATTTTTTTTATCCAACGCAAATTCAAACACCCAAAATCACAGCAATGTTCAAAGAACAAAACGCAAGTTCGCCAGCATGCGGATGACATAAGAGAGAAGCAGGCAGGAAAAAAAGCCAAACGAAACAAAAAGTGTTGCTGTTGCCCAAGTGGTTTGTTCTGTTCATCCAACGAAGGTTGCCCTTCGATACAAAAAATCTTCTATGTGTTTACATGCCCCATAAACCTGGAATCCCTCGAATGCAAAATTAGTCATTCTCTTTTTTCAATGCAGCAACGGTAATATTCAAAGGCGCAATCAATTGCCGCCTGCAGTGGACGCAGGACGGCTTCCGTGTCCTTTTTTGGTCCTTCCGTGAGCTGCCCTTGTGGGCGTCGTCACTTAGAAAGGCTTCGACGTTCAAGTCGGAATGATAATCCATGGACGTTCAAATCCGGGGTTGCTTGAAGCCTTGGCCGGATTGATCTGGTCCTGACGGGCCGTTTTTTGTGGCACACATGGCAGTGGCCTTCCTCGGCGCGGTTTCTGAGGCCAGCCTCATTCCCCGCTCGACACGGCGTGAGCTCGTGGAGCGTGGGGAGGTTGAGGTCATGAGACTCATTGTAACAGTAAATCCTGGTTCGACGGCTTTGCACTTGCAGTCTGCGATTTCAAAATCCTCAAATGGTGCCTGTGGTACCCACTTATGGTTAGACATGGTTCAAGACATGGCATGCGCGAAGTCCCTCTTCGAGATCGACGGTGTAAAGAGAGACTAACCAAAATTCATTCAGCCGGATTGCTGAGCGAAGGGGTTGTACGGCTGCTGGACCAGACCCGCGTTGTTGTGGGCGAAGAGGTCCTTGTGGATCCTGGTCATGGCATCCAGGCGGTCCCGGAAGGCATTGATGTGGTCCAAGACCATGGGGTCATCGGCCTGGGGGAACGCGGCCACAAGGTTGGGCAGGGCCGCCTGGATCTCGGCCCACTCGCCGCGGAGCTTGATCGAGGCATCTTCGACCTTGGGCACCTCCACGTCCGTCACCGGCTTGGGGGACTTACGACCGGTCAAGGCCTTGCCAGTGGGCTCAGACTTCCTCTTCCTGTTCTTGGAGTCCTTTGGGATGCTTCCGCTTGGCGATGGCGGTCCTGAGCGGGCGCTCAGGGTAGAGCCGTTGTCGTTGTGAACGCGCCTCATGTGGTCGCGCAGGTTCCAGTTGCGGGGGAATCCGTTCCCAGGCACGGCTCGGTCACATCCTTCATAGGTGCACAGATAGGGCTTGTCTCCGTGGCCATGCATGGCGTGGGCCTCACGCTCATGTCTCAGCAGGCATGCGGTGGATGAGAACCTGGCGTTCTCGCACGAGTCGACCTTGCAGCGGTATGGCTTGAGGTGGGAGTCCACGAATTTGCTGTCACGATCATCGTTAGTGCGCAGGCATGGGTTACAGGTCAGATTGTTGCTTACTCGTAGTTGCACTTGAGCTTCTCAGGCTTGTGGTTGCAGCTTGCCTGTCCCTCCCAGGGGCAGTGGAAGAGGCCGTCCGCCTTGGGATACGCATTCTTGTAGAGTGGATGATCCCGCGCAGACTCACCTTCGCCGCCGACGGTACGGCGACCATTCCAGCCTGCCAGCGAGACCTGGTCGTCTCCCATGACAGGAATCATGCTGCTGTCGAGATCCTCCGGTCCCATGATTGGTTGAGAGGCATGCCCGCCTAGGCTGAAGGTATCCAGTGACTGGAGAGCCGGGGAGTTGGACGAAACACTCGTCAAGGGAGAGTTGTGCAAGGCCAGCGGCCAGACATCCTCTTTCGAGGCCGAAGTGCCCTCGCTCAGATTATCCCAGGAGTGAGTGGGCGAACCACCCGACATGCTGGTGTCAAAGTCCAGGGGAATGGCATTGGGGTCCACATGCTGGTTAACAGAAAAGTCACTGTAGGCCATTCCGTTGACAGGCAAACCATCCATCTGGGTATAGAAGCCTGACGTGGTCATCTCCGGCGATGTTGTCATAGCAGCAGATTGCTGGTAAAGGTATTGGGACACATCCATCATCCGGCCGTTTCCAAGAGGTCCTTCCTGGAACGTGTGTGCATTACCTGAGATGTCAAATTTCGACGCTAGTGAAGCGCCCTGTGACATGACTGATTGAGGCCTTGGTTGGCTCTTGCTTGAAGAAGCAGCAGTCTTGGAGATCCGGTGGCTCTTGGCAGAACCTCTCACGGAGATTCGTCGCATAGGCTCAGCCTTGTGAGTCTTCTCACCTCCAGCTGTGGGAGCTGGCATCCATGTGGTCTGAAAGTCCTCCGTGGTTTGGGGCTTCCCGGCAGTGAAATGGCCCATTGTGAACGAGTAATCCTCGGTTTCTCCTTGGTCTGCAAAGAAGTTCTGTGGTCCTTCTACTGTCGTACTGTCCCATGCTGATCCCGAAGGATCAGCTGATGGTCCTGTTTGAGAGAAAGGAAAGATCCCGGAGTTTGGAGACATAACAGTGGCCTGAGTGTAACTGTGATCGCAGGTTGGAAGGTTAGTGTGCTGTTTCTCCACTATCCCGATTGTTTAAAAACACAAAAACAACAAAACACCAAAAAACAAAACGAGACATATTCCAACTTGGCAACAACTTTGTTCCTGCAGCAACGTAAGGTTAGTTTCTACGTCCGAGCAGTTGTCATCATGGTAGGGACTTTTACAGACCAATTAAGAGGAGTTCCTCTGTAGTCCAGGCGAAGGCGTCCATGTCCGGTTGATCCAGGCAAACGTGTAGGCAGGCAGGCAGGCCATTTGTGTCCGGTCAAGTTCCAGCAGAAGGTCCATGGGTAACGGGGATGGTAGTGCGGTAATGAACAGACACGGAGATGAAGCTTAGACGCCAAGTCAAAGTTCGTGTTCCTAGGCCAAAGAGGCAATGATATGGTGTACTCCGTTGTCCCGTTCCATCCACGGTTGTCGGATTAGGTTGACAACATCACACCAGTCGTAGTCCTCGGGTAGAGCACAACGTGCTGCCTAGATTGGCCGAGTTGAAAACTCAACAGGCAAAACTGGTCCGTGAAAAAAGGTCCTGATGAAAAAGCACTGCAACAATCCGGCTGGGCAAACTCCTTGGCAAAAGTTCGGTGTCCATCGGACATATATCCATGTGCGGTTGCACAGCAATCAAAATTAGATTGCTATAGAATGTTGAATAGAACACCACCACACCAAGCCATAGAGCTTCGAGTGGTACGTGTCTCGATTGATCGTTATGATTCCGGTACCCTGGGCCTCGGTAGAGGCTTGGCCATAGCCGGTTCCACAGGGACCATATGGCCCATACTGGAAGTCGACGTAAAAAACAAGGAAAAAAGTCCAGGAGCTCCTCTGCAAGACCAGGCTCAGGGTGTAAACCCTGGGTTCCAGCAAAAATAATCCACGGATCCGGGGCAAAATCTGTTTATAGCAGTCTGCACACTGAGGGTGATACTCACGGAGCATCAAATGATGCGGACGCATGACAGCGTCGTAAATTTTCTCCCGAGGTCTGTAAATCAGGCAATGATGGCATCCTCAATGTGTTGTTGATTTCTCCCAGGGAATATCAGGCAAAGCGAGAAAGAAAAATCCTTGGGTTCCGTGTTCCTGGTTTGGTTCTCTCCAGTCCTTGGGTTTGTGAGGTTCTCATTGTCCGTCCAGTGGAATCTCGATGGGTCCAGAGTTGAAGGTTCGTTTGAAACAAGACTTCGCTCATTACATGACAGGCTCGAACACAGAAGCACACAGTACGCCTCCCAGGGGTAAGGACAAAAGAAAAGTAAGTGTAGTATACCTAGAAGGGCTTTGGACTTCGCTTCTATCCAAATGGTATCCAGACATGGTATCCGAACGGTTTGATGTGACAACGGTGGTCATCCTTTCCAGAGCGGCTGCTCAAAATGTCCCTTGGAATGAAGGTATCAACACTTGACGAAATCAGTCAGAGGTGAATGATACGAGTGGTCCTTGTGGAACAACTGAATATGTTGTTGCTCTGGAGCGCGGCAGCGACAGCAGAGATGAGATATCCTTGGGGCGCGAACACAACCGGCAAAGTATTCCAGAACGGGATTGTTCTCCTTTGTGGAACGTTTGTTGTGATTCAAAAAAGCAAAACAGAGATATCCTTTTTTGGGTCGGAGATGGATGATTGAGAGTAAGACGGGAGTGGAGCGAGTCAAGCTCGAGCAAGAGGAACGATGGGTGAGGTTGTTAAGAAGTGGCGAAAACAACGGGAGATCAGCAGGAGAACCGAGAGGAACAGCGTGGACGTTGCTGGGTTGGGCAGTAATGCTTCAGGACGCGAGGGTGAGCTGGTGTGAGCTTGGGTGGTGGGAGAGAAGAAGAGGAGGGGAGCACGATGTTGAGTTGGGCACGGAGAGGGGCCGCTTTGGGTTTTAAACTTGCAGCGAGGGGGACAGGGCACGACCAGGGCACGACCAAGGCGCTGCGGGTGGGGACCCGGCGCAGAGTGGTGGGGCCCCACCCTTCTGAGCTGGCGAGCTCCCACTGGACACAGCACCATGGTGAATGACACGGCACCCCTGCCAATGAATCTCCCAGCCCTCCCTCCTTGACCCTTTTCCCCTCCCATTTTCGAGCCATCTTCAGCTTGCTCATCTCGATTGCCCACGCCCATTTCCCGTCACGAACAGCTCCATCGCCTGGCCAGCCTGCCAGCCTGCCAGCTCGGCGCCTGTTCACACCTCCTGCGTCTCACTCACCTGCTCTGCTGTCCTCTGCTGTACTGCTGTCCTGCTGCTTTCCTGCTGCCCCGGGCCTGCACGCCTGGCCGCTTGGCCATCACATTGGCCGCATCACACGAGCATTTGGTGCGTGAGCTGCCAACTGGCGCGGCTGCAATGGGACTCTCTCTCTCTCTTCCTCTCTCCCCTCTCTATCCCCCCACTGTCTAGACCTTTCTGCTCCTCCTCCTCCCACACACTTCTGGGCACGTTGTCTCTTCCTTCCTGCAACATATGCTCGGCCGTCACGCTTCAAGCTTCACCATCAAAGCCAACTTGCTGGTCCGGGAAGCTGTCCCAGCCAATCAAGACCAAATCGTGTGGCTTGGGATGGCTGGTCGTGACTCTCTACTGGCCAGGTCGACAGTAGCGAAGACAACGCATCCATGCAAGAGTCCAACTCTATCACGCCAAGCCCAGCGCATGATTGGCACCTCTCCCACCGCTGCTTCCTGCCTCGTGCGGAAACCTCGGGATGCGCCGTTAATGCTGGTCTTGCTTTTGACCAGCGTCCCTTGGCACATCCTCGCTCTCGTTGTCACTGAGAGGGGGAAAAACCAGCCTCGCTCACTCTCTGACTCTTCTCCCTCTGTACTTTCCGGACGCGCAATGTCGGTCATGCGCGAGCGATTTTCATGGCCGGCCCGTCGCCTAGTTGTTTGAGAAACTTGCTTCCTAGCCCCAGTGCAAGTAATTCTCCTGACGATCACCACCGGGAGCACAATGGCTTTATCAACTACAGCCGAATAGCCTGTGATCTACGTGGCTGCGTGGCTGGGAAGATCGCGTCGAAGCCGAGGCTGGTGGCGTCCAGGTGGCTGGTCTCTTCATATCTTCCCGAACCACGTCTTTTCGTTCACGGCTTCTCTCGCTCATGAGAAGGTTGGGAGGCTGCGAGCAACGTTGCACGGTTGCGGTTGTTGCGGTTTCATCCACATCCCGATATCAATGGGCGCATCGGATTCGTCCCCGACGTCACATCGAGCGATAAGGTCGTCTGCTGGCACACTATCTATTCTAGGACACTGTGGTGGACCAGCTCGGTTGCAAAGCTGTCCTGCCGAGTACAGCAGGCCACTGGTTCAATCCGTCCGGCTGGCCCTCTAGTGATAGACAGACTTCATGATTCTGCGTTGCAGACTGCCTCTTCCCACAGCTGCTTGAGCTCCTGCTCGCCTTCGAACTCGACGAAAGCAACCCTTTTCAGTACAGCAACGGCTGCATGCCATGTGTGCAACCGCAGCATGGCACTTGTGCCGCGTAGCTCATTACTAATCGCTCTCTTCCTCGAGCCCAGCCTCTCGCCATCAACACCAGGCAAGGGTGTCGTGCTGGCGAGCGCAGCGCTAGACAGCATGAGACTCCAGAACAAAACAGATTGCTCAGCAGAATCGTTTCTCGCGTTTCGTTCAAGCCTCTCCGTATCTCTGCCGATCGAGTCTATGAGACATTCGAGGATTTCGTTGCTCATACGACCAGGACGAAGTACCAGGCTGAGGTACATGTACGCGATCATTCGAGTAATGGCCACACCCGGATCCCGTCGCTGCCCACGACTTGCAGCCGAGAGGTCTAAAAGTCCACGATTAGAATTGGTGGACGCGTTTCCGTCTACACACCACCATGCGCCTGTTGGCTTGCTTGACAGACCAATAAACAGCACGCTAAGCGGAGCACATCCTTCGACACTGCTGACCGTCGTGGACAGCTGCTCCTCCACTCCATTCCTCGTGACACTGCCAATTGCCCTAGTAGAGGTATTTTGGTCAGCATGTATGTGGTGGATATGTCACAACTATACTCACATTCCCAGAAATTTTTGGAACACGGTCAACTCCGCCGTGACTACTGGGCCGCAATGATGGTTTGCCGCGGTTACCAGTCCATTCAGGTGCATGACTATTGCCAACAGGGCATCCGGGTTTGTCTACTGGAGCCAGATGAGTACTGAGGTTGGCACCCGCGCTTTCCGCCCCAGACGAAGAATTCTCACCTCCCATGAGGCCGCCTCTAATAGCATCAGACTACTGATCGTTGCCATGACGGAGTCACCAATGTCTTTGAAGGGGCTTTCGAGATGGCCCTTGATGAAATTGAAGGCGTCCTGCTTGAAATGTAGCAGGGGGACTTTGATATGCTCTGTGGGCATCGTCTGCATAGCAGTTCCAGTGTTGCACGAGGCATACTTGCTGATACTTGAGCTCCAAGGCGGTAAAGGCAACCTGATATGTGTCAGCTTAAAAGCTCAACCCTCTGCGAAAAATGACTTGGGATGACCGAACTGACAGCATCGCTTTCGGATAGATCATGGGCGCATGGACGAGAGAGTTGGTACTTACTTGAACGTTGCTCCCGTTGCAGAAGATCGAAAGCCGGTCATGCTCTCCTGTGCCACTGTGCAGTAACAAGTCAGTCACTCAGCTGGGGACAGAGCTGAAAAATCAATCACATACTCGTGCGGAACAACCACCAGGTCTTGTCTGCCAACTCAGCTGGAGCACCGGAGAAGAGGGTTGTGACAAATGCATCGGCCTCGAATCTCGGCGGCCCCTCGAGCTCTACGTTGCTAGCTGGCGGCTCAGATGTGTCTCTGACCCTGGACCGAAATGCCATTGTGTGCTCGGCGCCACCATCGCGACCATCGGATGATGATGGCTCTCCCATCGATACGGAGTCATCAGAGTATGAGCACCCGGAGCCGCTGCGAACACAGCTCGCACTTTGTGAGCACTACTTATCAGCCTCGAGACGAGCCTCGCTCATTTCAATAGATGCTGGACGAAGGAGTGGAAGCAATCGATGCGATGATATCGTTCCGCTGTATCTGGGTGTATCACTGAAGACAATATGAGGGTGACTCACCAGATTGGCCTCGCCTCATCGCACCTCACGTGGCGTCTCTTGCACGCTATGCATCCGTTGCGACTTCTCCGATGGTATCTCCGTTGCCGTTGTGGTTGTGGGTTCACCGAAAATTCGGTCGATCCGTAGAACGCCATGAGGCCGGGATCGAGTCGCCCCGAGAGATACCTCCCTCCCCCCCACCCAATGGCGCCGGCGCCGCGGTCCTTCTTATGAGACGACGGGTCCGAGGCGTAGGATCACGTCGGATCACTTGGTCGCTCTTCAGCATCATTGATTCATCTCCCCCGGATGTATAGCAAAGCTGAAAGGTCCAGATCCCTTTGCTTCCAACCAAGACGGAATAGCCTAGCCAGAAAGCCACATCGCTCCGACCAGGAAGCTGCCAAAGTACCGGAAAGACATAAGCTGGCGGCTGTTGAGACGGCCTTCAAGTCAGGAAAGGCTTGGATAGCGTCGCCATATCTCTTGGCACCGATTGTCAAGGATTTGAGAGTCTTACATTCTGCTGTTGAGCGCGCATCTCACCATTGGGATTCCACGTGGGCAGCGGTCTAGCCTTGCAGTGTTCCAAGACGGTACTAGCTGTCTAGGACAAGCCTCTTGAAAGGTCACATTAGGCAACAGGATATCTGAAAGCTGAGCAAGCCGGGCAGTCAGTACCAAGAGGTCATGGTCAAGACGCCATGGTCAAGAGTTCTCGGTGCCCTCGAGTTACTTCAAGAGTTCCCCTATGGACTACTCGGATTTGAATTCAAGTATCCTTATTGCTGCGCGCCTGTTGTCTGTCTTCAAGATGATCATCTGGAGGGCGCATACTCGAACGTGCGGATGCAGATCATCTGTGACCAGATTTGTCCTCCCAAGAGACTTGAGCAGCCGCATACCAGCGCCCTTAGACTCGGCACGTCCAGCGGAGGAGCCAGCAGCTCGTCTCGAGATGAGCCTGTGTGGATCGGAATGCTGACACTAGGAAAATGGATGACGCTACTCCTTCTTAGCACCATTTTATTGCATGCTCAAATACTGCTGCCTTGAGAGGCGTAGATTGAACAGAGGCTGGCGTCAGAATCTAGCGCTTCGTAGGATGGTCGAGGTAAGATGCGGCTTTACGGTACAAGTTGCGTTCCTGGACCGGCGCGTCTCCTTTAGAAGACTGTTCTGGAATTGTTTCAGCTGATCTACTTCCCACGAGGCCGTAGACTTTAACAATGCATCGTGGAGACCGGAGACCACCTTCACCGGGCTGCAGTGGTACTCGGGACCTAATATTAGCACGTGCAAGGGCGAGCCAGTTCTTCTAGACTAGGACTATCCAAACGGTCGCCCTCCCAGCAGATCGGGTCCGACAAGTTATTAGACTCGAGGGCTTCCTTTTGGATGTGTTGCACGCCGAAACATATGAGACGTCATGCCCTGCCTGCCGTCGCCGAAGCATAACGATTGCCTCGTGGCACTCCCACAAACTCTCAAGGATCGTCCGATGGTTGAATAGGGTCTGGCCCGGGCAACGGCAAACCCCATCACCTTTCTATCCCGCGAATGCATTTGACCGAGAGGCAAGTTGAGCCATGACAGGATCTGTCAGGGCAGTTCATCACCAAAAAAGGATGACAGATGTAACGCCGGCACCAGGAGTCTCGGGTCTATCTTAGGCCGTCATGCTGGAGACGCAGCCAGCTCACCCAGGGCTGCCGGGGACCCCCCAGGACCCCGCTTCTGTCCTCCCTGTGACCTCATCTCACAAGCCCCTGGAGTTTGGGAAATTTGTTGGAGTGTTCAAAGTTCGTCCATGTTCCAACTATCTTCTGGAACTGGCGAAACTTTACTGCGAGCCTGGGCGCAACAATGGGCTCATGTTCTCGTCCAGGGTTGCACTCCAAAATACCTCTCCAAATCTCGTGCGGAAAACCACCCCGACTTTGAGGAATCGGATCCCCAACGTTCTTACTCAAGACATGCAGATACGGCCGCCTCGGGCAAGCGGACATGACAGGTTCTATTTCTGCATGTCTTCTCCTCACCAGCGTGTCCAATATCGACTGCCCGACTCTCGTGGAATTGCTGACCTATCACCAGGAGCTCTTTAGACTTCAAGGCTACCGCTGTGTGAGACGGCGTCTGTATCTGGCATCAATGCCTGGGTTGGGCTGCCCATTCCCATGTTTCACTGCCCAATGTCCCCAGCTGCTGTCACCGCTGCCCGAAGATCTGGGTGCTTCCCTGCATGATCTGTCCTCCATGATTCCACCAAACCTGGATTGACTGTCAACCTTTGGGCCACGACATACCCTCTCGTTACAGCCATGGAGGCCCAATCGATGCCCTATCGCCCAGGTCAAATCCACAGCCGCGCCGCCTGCACACCAATTGCAAATCATGCTGCTTTACCCAAGCTGGTCATGTCGGCTTAGGAGACTCTGCTAAGCCCGCCCGTACGCCCAATTGCGCAACCCCAGGGTAGTCCCTGGCCCCCCAGCCAGCTGTTCACCATGCTCGCTGTCTGCGCTCCAAATGCGTTCCCTGACCTGACATTCACGGAACCTCCAAGTGGGAATTGCTGGCAATTGTGCCGCGCTCCGTGCCCCCTGCTTGCTTTTTTCTAATTGCCCGATTTGTTGTGGTTCGTTATTGCCCACAGTAACGAGACTCCTCGTGCATGCGGCTTGAAGATCTTGTCCCTGGTCTCGTGGATTGTGGATCCTTAAGCAGGGTGCCAAATGAAGTTGTGTTGACTCTCGCTCACTCGACTCTTGTTCCTGCCGCCCTGCCTTGGCGATAGGCTTCGGCTACTGCTCACCTAGACAAGGTCCCTTCTTCGCCACTCCCCTCAGGTATCATAGATATAATTACCCCCGGCATTAGAGCAGCACGTTTGGACCGGCAAGATCATTCATCTGAAGTTATTCGCAACCCTTCCGGAGTTGGCAAGACAGCCCATCTGTCACGCAGTCATACTTTCCTGAGCAAGCATTACGCTATGGTATTAGCTGCTTCCTCACGTCGCCCCGTATTGGACATTTCTAGGACAAAAGACTTGCGAGTCGCCGTCCACACTCCGGAGCAATCACCTGAACAAACTGAATACACACCGCTGCACCACGGAAACCACACATCCCGGAAGGACTAATTGCCATAGCCGTGGGATCCCTTGGTAACAAGAGCAGTTTTTATCCAAACTCTCAAGTAAACTTGGCCCGTCAGGACTATTCCGTGGACAGTCATTAGGAGGAGAGCGCCAGCTATTCCATGATCCTCACTTGTGGCAACAAGTGTCTCTTTGTCTGCTAGTCTGTTTGTCTTGCGTTTTTTTTTGCTGTTCCCGGAGGCCGTGTCAAATTTTTTCAACCCTTGGACATCCCGATACCCAGGACGCGGAGTTATTTTGCGAAGATGGCGCAGTCGGACTTTGCCTACAGGACTTCCAAAGGACCATGGGGGACGAGAAGGTGCGGACCAGAAGAGACATTCCCCGAATGGACTTGTGCAGCTGACCCGAAGCAAAGCCCCATCGTGTACCAAGACCCGTACCCGAGCGGAGGGAGCCGGGACGTCATCAACGGAGCTTACAGCAGCACGCCGCAAAGGTAAGACCAGAGCAGTCGAAGTGGGTCCCCTAAGCCATGGACAGTGAGAATAACGAGAAATTCCCAAAGTATACAATACAGCGGGAGCGCTTCGGCGTACAACCTTCCAGGAACCATAGCGACAGTGACAGCGAGCCATCATGGGCGAACCGAGACGGCCTACTCAAATTCTCAAGCATACAACTCAAGACCGGTGTCAATGACCTACGGAAATGGTGCCGCCCCAGCACAAGCCTATGGGTCTTATAAGAGCACGAACTCACAAAATTGGGATCACCCGGGAAGGTTTTCACCAACGGACTCGATGGACGACATCATGGCGTCCCCTAGCTTGTCCGACTACTCCATCGACAACAGTGGTGGGACCGGGACGACGCCGCCAGGCAAGCACCATAAGTCGTCTTCACACGGCAAGGCCAGCCGATCACAACGGAGGCCATCGAACCGCGACGAGTTCGATGGGCCACACCAGTTCCTCCAGCGACCGCCGCCAGAGTACATAGCGATGCAGGAGCGCGAGCTGCCGCACCTCCCAACCAACCTGCTTGTGCAGGAGCAGGACAGCGTGCTGGCGCAGGTCAACGACCGGTTGTCGCAGTGCGCGTACGACTTTGTGGCCAAGTACCAGTTTCCAATCCCGCTGACGCAGGACATGAGGCCGGTGGAGCGGCCGCAGGACCGCGAGTGGACCGAGTGGGTGTACCTGCTCAAGCGGCTGGCGACCAAGCGGCGTATCCCAGCGCGGGTGCTGTACAACGGGCAGATCAAGCAGTTCGTGACGATCCTCGAAAACAGCCTCGAGATGAGGCACGCGGCCAAGCACCAGAGCCGCCCGCTCAAGGACGATAGGAACATTCTGCAGCTCATTAGCGCCGGCATCCAGGTCGCCAAGATCCTCAAGGACGCCCAGGCCATGGACTACCTCGACCGGCTGTACGTCAGCACTGAGCAGCAGATCCAGGAGAGGGCTAAGGCCGCTGCCGCGAGGTTCAGCCGCGGTTGAACAGGACCGGCCGTCTTGATTGTCGGCGGGTCAGAATTCCCACTGGGACATTGTCCGGTGCCAAAGGTGTCACCTCGACGCAATATATTTTATACGTTTTCATCGATGTCGTGCTTTTTCAGCACGGATTGATTTTCCATACATGATGGGCCAGAGTATCTGGTGCCGTCACACGTTTTCAAACCATTCCATCCTCCCATCAACCGGCCGTCGACTCCTCGACACTGGGGCAGGGAGTTGATTATACGTTTTTACGCACAGGAAGCATCCGCTCCTTCCACTAGAAGGAGCACGATGCAGGATGACAGACCAAGGAAACGAGGAGAGAGAGAGAGAGGGACAGCCCTCGCGCTAGCTCACTCACCTGCTTACCTTCGCTCGCCAACCGACGAATGCAGTTCAACGAAACGGCAGTGTATTATAACATCGACAAAAAAAAATCAAATCAAAGGAATACTTCTTAACGACCCCAACTCACGAGCCCCATGACACCAATCGGAAAAAAGGGAAAAAAGGAAAGACAAATTGAAAGAAAGACATCCAAAACAGCGAGCAGGCCTGCCGCGGTGGTGAACACCGGCCGCGGACGATGAGATTGGAGCGGACCTCCCGCTGTGAGAGCGACGTGGCTGACATTCTGCTTGTTCTGCCTTTGGTGTTCACTTCCGCCCTGTTTTGGCATTGCGAAAGACCGACAGCGACATGCCTTGTTGTTTGTGTGCGCGTGTGTTTTGGACCTTGGGAAGGAGACTGGATACCAGCCGGGACATGCCATTAGCGATTCTGGGATGGGGGTTGGAAGAAAGCGAGGGTGGGAGGCCGTGATCTCGAGGAGTTGTTGGACGTTGTGCTGTGCTTTGCCCGCCTTTGCAATTGTATGCCTGCTTACCACGCCTTGCCTTGCTTTGCCATGCCATGCGTTTTGCTTTCTTCATTCCCCTGGTGGTGGATGGAAGGAGGACGACAGAGTCCTCCCATTGTTTTTGCAACCGGTAAATTTGTCCTTGGTTCTCCCCCCAACATTAAAGACAGCGTTTGCTTGGTGCGTGGTTCAGTCTGCCTCAAAAGAAGAATCCAGCGCCTACCCGCTTGCATTCCGCCCTTGACCTTGCAGCTTGTTGGCCATGCATTCCGCCCCAACTGAAAGAGAAAAATGTAGATTTTCACTAGAATCGAAGGGGTGTGGTAGCACCGCTTCGTTGGGAGCACATCCGATTGGGGGTGTGTTATGCCAATTCTTTTTCTTCCTCCTTTCTCTCATTCCCTGGTGGCACAGCAGAGATTAGAAGTTGCGAAATTCCAGAGCCAGTGTTTGTGTTCCACGGCAGCTTGATATACATCTGGGGTTGTTGTTTGCGGTCGCCGTCCTGCGGCCGGTGACGACGTCGACGCCCACAAGCCCCCATCCATCATTTCATGTGTGCATCCGGGTGACATGACATCTGACAGATGATTTGAAAGCAGTGCCGCTTTTGCCCCTGGGCACGCCTGAGCGCCGTACGTGGCCCAGGCGGACTTGTGTGCAGTCCGGCCCGTCGAGTGTGTATGGCAGACGAGGACAGAGTGCCTGTGTCCGAGTCTTTCCCAGGTACAGTCAGCCCGAGGTCAGTCACCGCGTACCTTTGTGGCAGGCCTCGTGGCGTTGCTTGTGTGTTGTGGCGGCGGGCAACGGGTGTGGAGTGATAGAATGCGAGACTGGGCCAGACTTGACTGCTTGAGGGAGACGAGGACCCCTGTCGCAAAGAGACCGGCTTCCTGCACCATCATGCCGAGAGGAGGCGCTGGAGACTCTGCTTCTCGGTCACGTTGCGGGGGTCGCATTGGCTGGAACCGTCCAAGCTATCCTTGCTGTCGGTCGCCTCATGCGGTATAGTGGCTGAGCAGGCCCTCGGACGCTGGGCAGTGAGCCGCGAGACATTTCCCAGACTGCTGGAAATAAAACAACCACCATGCCCTCTCTCGCTCTCGTGCTCCCAAGGGGGCTTGCATCTTTCCCCAGCGGGAAATTCCATCGTAGATTCCTGTAGTGACTTTTCTTTCGTTTTCCTAACGGCAGCTGCTTGGGGACTGAGCAACGCCGGAGATTATATTACTACCCGCATCCCCATGCATGTGCTTCCAAAAGCGAACACCCGAGGTGCAGGATACACAGAGGGAGACGTGGCAGCGACGTTGAGCTCACATCTGCCGACCTGTCGCGCCCCCGCAGCAGTCCGTCCGCTAGGACCTCCTCGTGCTTCGAAGTGACGAGAGGAAAAGAGCAAACCGGAAAAGAACGAGGGGAGAAACACGGGAGGCAAGGAGGCCTCGTCCCGGCGGGGAAAACCATATCAAGGAGACGAGATAACGCGCGACTCCATGCAGCTTGCCTAGTCTGATTACTTTTTCTGAGCCCGCGCGCATATGCAGAGGTTCACATGAGACTGGCCGTCCCAATAAGCGGGAAGAGGGGAAAGCCAAAGGACGCGACTGGCGCACAGTTACATCCACACCGCATCGAACGCTCCACGCGGGCCAACTATTTCTTCGGACAGAGTGTGAGAGCGAGAGGGCTGAGAGGAAAAAGCAATCGCATATACGTGGAGAACCTCCAGCGAGAGGGGACGGTCTTGCGAAGCCGCGAAGCTGGATCGTGACGCGGAACACCGCCAGCCTCCTCTTCAACCGAACGAGGAGCAGCACCGGAGAGATAGCAACGAGCAACACCGCCCTACACAGGACGATTACTCTCACAGGTACGACCACGAGGAGGAGAGCACGTTTGGTAGTAGCCACCGTCTGCCTCAGCAGGAGGACGTCCATATGGCCTCAGTCATCTCGTCCGGGACGTCGCCCATGTCTGGGTTCTCTCAGGCGGACGACGACCTCGAGTCGTGGCAGTTCCTCGACACAGAGGGCGGTAATGCCGCCGGGTCACTCCAGGAGCTGGCCGGGTCGTTGGGCTTCGACACCAGCCCTTCGATAGTGAGCCAGGGGTCATGGGGGGTTGTAGGCAATGCCGCCCCTCAGCATCATCACCAGCATCAATACCAACACCAACACCAGCACCAGCACCAATACCAACACCAACAACAACAACAGCAGCAGCAGCAGCAGCAGATGTTCCAGACACCCTCGCCGGGACCGCTTATGGAGCACGCCCTTTCCGTCTCCCCAATGAACGGCGCCGCATCTCTCACGAACGCGTCTCCGGCCGCTGGAGCCGGCGGCGCTGGCAATGGAGCAGCGAACTTTGGGTTTTCCGGCTCACCGCTGGACGTTCAGCATGTCTCGCATGGTCAGTTCGTTATAGAAGCACTGCAGCAGGGGCAGGCTTTTGGCGTGGGACCAAACACAACCGCCCTCTTTGGGCAAAGCGAACTTGGTTAGTGAAATTGCCCTACCCTACCCTTTTGACGAGATGGTAGTGTGTTGGGATGCTGGAGGTGTGTGTTTTGATAGAGGGGCTGCATACTGAATGTATCCAGGCTTTGAATTCGGGTTCAACAATTTCTCCATGCTGCCAAATACTGGGTTCGACGGCCTAGATGATGCTCAGTCTCAGGCGCTGATGAATCTCAACATCCCCTCCTCCATGCAGACTGGTGTCAATGCATCTCCTCCCTGGACCCATATTCCGGTGCAGCAGCAGTACAACACACCCATCGTCCCGGATTCGTTCGACAACCAATCAGGTTCATCAATGGGTCATTTCACACCTCCATCGGGATCTGGGTCATCGATCGACCTTAGCCCAAAAGCCTCACCCGGATCACTCCAGTTCAGGCTCGAAGGAGGCAGTTCTGCCACCAGCAAGGCCATCGCAATACCCACGGCAGAGAGAAAGGACCGTGCCACATCAAAAGTGCGGAAGACGCAGAAGCGCAAGAGCTCGTCCCCACCGCTCCTGTCGACGTCCTCGGCGTCCAGGCTCGCAGAGGCAGCAGCAGCACAAGGAGCAGGACAGTCATCATCAGCATCAGCGACAGCAGAGAACCCGGTGTTCCTGTTCTGCAACGCGACGCCGGACACATGGGCCAAGGGGGGCGGCAGCTTCGACGGGACGCCGGACGCGTCCAAGGCGTCGCAGAAGGGCCGCAAGGGGGCGCTGTCCAACGACACGCGGGCGAGCGCGCTGGCGGTGCGGCAGAAGGGCGCCTGCTTCTGCTGCCACGTGCGCAAGGTGAAATGCGACCAGCAGCGGCCCTGCCGCAGCTGCGAGCGCTTCTGCGCCCAGGTCCCGCAGGCCGTGTGCTGGCAGTTCGAGGACTTCACGCGCGCCCTGTTCCCGGCCTTCATGCGCGCCCACTTTGCCCGCGACGAGATGGCCCGCTTCGTCGCCGACAACGTCGCCAGCTTCACCCTCAACGGCGCAGACCACCCGGACGTCACTGTCGTGCTCTCGTCGGGCGCCGGCCTGCGGTCCAAGCTGTCCATCAAGGCCAAGTTCTTCACGCCGCGGGCGGCAACTTCGGACGTCATGCAGCACTGGTTCCATACCGTGGGCAGCGGTGGTGGCGGTGGTGGGGGCGAGGACCGCGTCGAGCTGGAGGCGCTGAGGTCGGCGCCGCTGGGGCTGGACGTGGACGGGTCGGGCGGGTCGTTCAGGGCGGAGCTGAAGCGCAAGGTAGAGAAGTACGCCGACGACATCGTGCAGGAGCCCGGGTGCCCGATGCAGCTGACGGCGTCGATGGCGCGCAAGACGGACCTGCCGCGCCGGGTGCTGCAGGTGGTGCAGCGGTACGCGCAGCAGTCCGGGTCGCCGATCGTGCGGCGCGCGCTGGCCGTGTACACGATGCAGTACATGCTCTCGCACCACCTGACCATGACGCAGCAGTGCGTCGACAGCCTGCGCGCCGTCAACCCCGTCGCGGCGAGCGGGCCGTGGATGACGCCGCGGCTGCTCAACCGCCAGGTCAAGGCGGTGGTGGACGACCTGATCGTCGAGGGCGTGGCGGGGCTGTTTGACGAGTTCGGCAAGCTGCTCAAGAGGCGGTCGCGCGCCGAGTGGGCGCCGTGCACGGCGGCGTTTGTCGTCTTCTGCCTGCTGATGGAGTCCATCCAGGCGTCGGCTGACGTCTTCGCCATCTCGGAGATCGAGATCGAGATGCGCAGGCGGCGGCCCGTCAAGTTCAGGCGCGCCGAAGCCCTTGACGTTAACAAGGCCATCGAGGACATGCCCTTCAAGCAGTTCGCGTTCCAGTTCCACCAGATCTACCAGACGCACTCGAGGGACGCGTCGGCCAAATCATTCAACCCGCTGGTAGACACCAGCCATGACCCGTCGGGCGATCTGGACAGTGCGGCGATGGAGATGGTGATGAGCCTGAGGAGCATGCTGCAATTTGACTGTGAGTTATATTTCGGAGAGTTGGTTGGTGAGTCGAGGGGAGAAATGCCGGGGTGCTGACAGACTTCTTGTAGACAGCGAGCTGGACTGGTTGACGCCGGCCCCGATTATGGCTCCTACCGGTGAAAGCCACCCATATCCACGGAACGTCGAGGAAGACTACATTGGGCGCTTACTGTCAAAGTTCCTACTTTCTTTCATGGACAGCAGGTACATTTCTGGAGACTAGTCCGTCCTGGGTCAAGGAGAATTGACGCGACTGGCGACCATAAAGGAATGTTGAGTGTGTTTTGCTTATTTGCTTTCCAACCGAGCGTAGCGATGAAAGGGTATATAAATCATGATCACGGTACGGTATGGTATTGGGTCGTACTGGCTCTGGGGTGAGCAAGCCGAACTTGGACGCATATCAAGGTGGGAGTTCTCTGGTCTGCGATTTATTCTTGTTTGCTTGATTGGATCTTATCCAAAAATGGGCTACCTGCCTAGATAGAAAAGGAACAAGTGAGCATGCTGCGGAAAATAATGTAGGCGAAAGCCATGGTTTTCCCCAACCTCAAAGATCGACGATCTCGGCGAACGGAGTGGAATATGGCGTCTTCATAGGAGTGTTCCACCGGGCTCAAGCCTTTGACAGCGAACCCGGCTTCCCAAACCCCGATTGATCTAGGACCTGTCGATTGGAAATTGACATCATGGGGATTTGATGGCTCCTTGGTGTGATCGAACTGCCTCAGCAATCAACCCTGAATTCGCACGAGGCGAACAGAGGATCGCTGGGCACAGGTCCATTTGTGTGCGTGAATGGCAGAACGTGCGACGAGATGAGGCACGACTCGCCATCAGTCTGTCTGGCTGACTCTCCGAATTGATGGCGTACCTGTTGGCGTGACTGTGACGGCTTCCGATGGAAATGGCAGCCTCCAAACACGACCGTCTCCTCCTCAGAAGCACGTCGTCGCGACCAAGGCTGACCAGTCAATCGTCAAGTCGTGATTTCAAGCTCCCTCATCCCTCCCCCCAATCTTTCCTTCTCGTAGTACGCGATGCTGGGAGGATGTCTGTCCGCATTAGTCCTGCTGTTGCACTTTAATCTACACCAGCAGGGTGGATTGGACGGGTTGTCTAGACCCTGGTTTTGCTCTTCCACACGAACGATAAAAATAAAGTTGACCGTCTTGTGCATAGAGAGAACACAGCGGTAGGCAATTTGTGGGTGTGTCAAGACAGCTGACCTCGCTGTTCTTTGACTGTTCGCAAACGAGATCGCAAGAGATGGAGAAGGAGAAGGGAAGGACGCGTGAAGGGACAGTCAATCCAGGGCGAACTGGATTGACATTGACCGTGATGAGAAGGAGAGTGACTTCAAACCTGTGTCGAGCTGCAAAATCGTATCTGCGCTGCGTCCATTTGCCAACTGGGAGGCCATCCCTTCTGGCGTGGAGGCGACATGCTTGAGCTGCGACGCGATGCTGGTAATTGTCGTTGTTGGTTGATGAAGGAAGAAACTGTGCAGAAAGCAAAAGTTGAAGTCGAAATTTTATGGAAGGCCGCGCCCCACCAAATTCTTTAGTTCGGCGCTAAAATCGGTACGTACCGGCAGCTGGGTCCCATGGTCACGTGCTGCTGCGGTAGAGTGCCATTTTTCAATTGAACTACTTCCCTTGCGACGTCGGTCTTGCTCTTGGTTCTCCTCTCTTCTCTTCTTCTTCACACTTTGTATTACGCACGGTTAATCAAGCGGTCTTGAAAATCACCCACTTTCGACCGTTCATATTTACGTGCCAAAGAAGAATGGATTTTTCTGCTCATCATCATACGCCCGGCGCTGCTCTCACCCACTGCTGCAACGGGCAAGGCGGGCTTTCCGACACACCTCCAACTGAAATCGTCCAACGAGAATAAGCGCAGCCCATAAGCGAGAGAGGCACCGTTCGCCTCGTTTGCCCAAAGCTCCGCGGGAGGATCAGAATGTTCCGTCCTAGTCGAATTCGGGCCGCAAGCACTTAGATCGCCCCCTTTCCACGTGAGACTCTCGCTTGGACTGGGAAGGATCGGGTGTTGGTCTGAGATTTGGACTTGGGTTTCGGCTTCGGCCTGGAGATTCTCGCGCGTTCCCCTCGTCCGCATCGCATCGCACGAATCTGGCGGCTTGGCCTAACTGACTGTGGCATGTCTTCGTCGTTCCTTGGTCTCCCTCGACGAAGTGGGCAGTCAATCATTGGCCCTGACGTCGAGTAGCGGTCGGCCTCCTCCCAACTGTGTTGAACAGCTTCATGCCGTGCGACTTTGGAACATCGAATTCTCCCCTTTGGCGTCTCTCATTTCGGCGTCAATTGTCTGAGCACAAATCGTCCGCATGCCGATTCTCGCACCATTCTCCACGCCCATTCGTCAGTTGCTCCTGCAAGGCATGACTTGGTTGGGTCTGCCTTATCCCACGAGGAATTGTGTAGTACGGCCTTCGGTCACTTGAGCACAAGGCCCGTGTTTCAGGATTCTCAGTGGCTCCTAGGCATGACAGAGAATCGCTTCACCGTATGGAGATCTCACGAACGCTTCATTTGCGTCTTCTTCACCGGCTTTCCGCGTCAAGAATGATCCAACGGCAGACTTGTCGACGAGGTTGGCAACCATTCTGAATCTACGCCAATGAGCTCTGAAGACGGCCGCACCCGTGATCTCGCCACCCCTGGACTGTCAGCCCGGTACCTGTCACAATCGTAGACCCATTCGATGGAGCCCCCTTGCGAGCCCGGTCCACTCGTCATCGGGCCATCTTGATGAATTCCGTTGACCTTGCGGAAAATGTAGAACTGCCTGCAGTGCTCATGGACACGCTGCTAAGCTTTCGTCCTTGTCGCGCGGAACACTTGGTAATCGGGCAGCCGTAGCTATAAATTCGATGCTTCGCCTCCAGAAGACGCATGCCATGGTACGGCCATTCAGACACTTCCAACAAGCCTCCTGATACTCTTTTTCCACGCCGTTCATCAAGCTATTCGCGAAACTTGAGTCGACTTTGCTTGGTCACCGACCTCAGGCTGGATTGTGTGAAGCCCTACCACAAGGCGCGCATTTGATCGAGTCCTCGTCAACTCACTCCGCGGATACCATCACTGGACTTTCTCCTCTCCATTATCAACACTCAGCTCAGCAGCAAGTCATGGCAGTGGTCGGCTTTTCCATTTTCCTCAACAGCCAACCCCCAGCAGCGCCGTCCACGACGACGACGACTAAGCCGCAGCCCAGAGACCCAAGTAAGTAGTCACATGAGCACACTGTACTGCAAGCAGAAGAGAGGGTCTTATCGTGACATTTTTGTGGTTCGGCTCGCATGTTTGTCCTCCCGAAGATTCAACACCGCATTCCAAATACGGAGATGAACAATTTGGCTAACTGTTATCCTAATCAGCCCATGGCTTGAGGCAATGAGGAACGGGCTCGACGGGTCGGGCTGCCGTCACGTAGAAGCGGGGGTTTTCACACCGGTCGCGGGACCGACTGGGATCATCTACAAGGCATGTCTCGAGGGTGTGTGGCTTGCGCTTCTGCACGTCACGGAAGTAAGATCTCAAAATGGATGCGGAGGGTGCACGCAAAGGGCTCTGGCACTTCCCCAGTGGGCTGTTTGAATTTCCGTACGCGTCAATTGGTAATCGATATCTTGTCTACATGCGGATCAGTACCTGTCGGCCTTGATGAGCACCCTGTAACGTGCCATGCATCTGCCTCCATCTGGCCCTCAGGTGGAGATAACGTACATACGATCGGCAGTTCGGGAAGCTGGCTATCTATTCTCCTCACCAGCAGCCGGAACCTCTCGCATCCTTGGAATCTTCGATACATTTCCTAACCCGTCCAAGGATCGACCATCACCCCACGCCAGCCGTGTGCCGTCGGCACCAAGACGGAGGTGACCTCCAGGATCTACCGCCAGCCAAGGTGTGACTGAGCTGTCACCCACCTTGGAGGATTCACTACCATTGACCGGTCAGAGCCTATGGTCCCAATCCGATAGCCCAGGTGTGATTCCTACCCACAGTCATGGGAGCATCGCGCTACGACCCAATACCGCCAACAGCGACTCCCGGTGAAGCCCATCCCGACCAGTCCGCCATGCCGCCAGTCCGCTGAACCACCAGCACACATGCTTTTTCGACGATCGACGATGGATGGATTGACGCTTCCCTGTGTCGCGCCAACCGCAGGGGCAGGGTGAAGCTTGTCATCGGATTCTATCGTGGGAACCTGCACTTGTGATACCCAACTCACGTCAAACCAGTTAGCTCTGCGGGTACAGTACCCATTTTACCACTCCGCCGGGCAATGATGTCTTGAGAAAACGGGATTCGCCGAACGCCTCGAACCAAAAAAGCAAAGTTAAAAAGCACGTCGTTTATCGTTGTGCTCCCTCGCCGTCCCACCAAGCCTCCCTTACACAGCAGGGACAGTACGAGCCGGTGTGGCTGACCTGTTGCTGCTGGCTGTGGCTCTGGGGCTGGCCACGTCCCGAGTCCACCAGCGAGACCGGTCGATCCTGAGGCGTGGTATGTGGAGGCACAGGCTGCTGATGATGCTGGTTCGCGTCCCGCGATGGTGGCAGCAGGCCCTCGCCGCGGCCTGCACCTGCACCTGCACCTGCGTATGCGTATGCGTCTCGGGCGGGCCCGTACCCGTTCCTGCTGAGTCGCCAATTGCTGAAATAGTTCATCGGCAGAGGCGAGCTGGCCGTCCCGAAGTAGGCAGCCCTCGCCAGCCCTGGGCTGTACCCGAGTGATGGCGTGTCGGGCCAGGGGCTGGCGGAGCGATACCTGGACTGATAGCCGGGGCTCGATCGCCTCTCGTCTTCGACATGGTATTGGTCGTCGTCGGACATGTTCTCATCCTCAGTCGTAGGCCATGGCTCAATGCCCTCTGAGTCTTCCTCCTCCTGCTCCTCCTCCTTGATGCGGACGCGGCTTGTGTCAGATTTGTTGTCACCTGGGGCCGCTTCAGGGTCAGTACCTGCCGAGGCTGTAGCAGAAGCAGCTATCTCTGGGGCCGGCTCCGGCACGTCGATCCCTGACGGCCACTCCACGATGCGCTTGCTGAAAAGCAGGCTGTACAGCCGGCGGCAGAACTCCTCGCGGAAGTGCGTGGGGATGCCCGACAGCACCTGGGCGTAGCCGTCCGTGTGCTCTTTGACTGGCGCCGTGTCAACGAGCTCCTCCAGAATCACACGCGAGAAGTACCGCAGGATCAGGTAATCGGTGAGGTCGTCCATCTTGTTCGCAGCGCGTGATCCGTCGCCCTCGTGGCCAAGCGCACTGCCGCCGCCACCGCCGCTGGTAATGTCGCCGAGATCGAGTGAGGGCGAATAAGGAGGTGAGGCGGCGGCGGCGGCGGTTGTTGTTATTGTTTCTTGACCCAGAAAGGGGGCGAGGTTGCCCCTCAGGCGGTCCTCTGTGTTCACTCGCACCAGCACGTGGATGTACCACATGTACGAGGTTATTTTCGCCTCGGTGCTCTTGGTGCTAAAGTCTACACTGCTTACCGAGTCCACCGAACGTTGGGTTGGTAAGTTTGAAGAGTCGGGCATCTTGCTTTTCTTTCCTTCTTTTCAAGTTGTGCTTGGAAATTGAAATTGTCGTTTTTGACAGTGGAAGACAAGTCTGTGGAACAGGGAGGAAGATGGAAGATGTGTGTGTTTTTATACTGGGAGCAAAGCGAAGTCGAATATTGAGTCTCCGTGACTACAGGTCTCTGTTGTGATACTGCTCAGGTAGCGAGTTTCCATATCACTGATGTCTAACTAGGCAAGTGTCCGCAAACGCTCTTAAGGACTGAGTGGAGAGTGTGAGGCAGTCATAATGAGTGACTATGTAGGGCAAACTGACGTGCAACGTCACAGAGCAGACCGCGTGGTTTCGCAAGCTTCAAATCTGCCGCGCAGTCAAATATGTGGTTGAAAAAATATCTAAGAAGTGAAAATCCCTCTCTATCCTCCCTCATAAGCTGAACTTCCTGCTCATACGTCGTCTCGTATCAACTTGGTCCTCCGCCACGGTGAACCAACCACTCCTCAACACCACTCAACATCTCCCAATCCTAGCCATCAGGCTTTCCAGCGACATTTCCACGGCGGACTCACCTTTGCATATTCGCAACCCGCCAGGCCACCTCTTTTCTTATTTAGGCAACGCGTCCTCACCCGGGAGCACGGTCCCGTTCTCAATCGCGGCGAGGTGCCCCCTCGCAACCATACCGTACGCAGGGAAGTACCGGTCCAGCCAGGGGAACAGCTCCGCCGCACCGGGGGTGTTGCGCCAGTCGCGCATGAGATCACAGATGATGGAAAACAAGGAGACGACGTTGACGCCCGCTCGGGCCATGCGATCGTTGGAGATGTCGCGGATCAGGGGCGTCGTGGTTCCCGAGGCCTCGACGTTTGCCCAGACAGAGTAGCCTTCTGCGCGGAGCGAGAGGGCGAGGAAGGTCGTGCCTTGATTCGCGGGGGGGCATGTCTTAGTCATGATGACACTTCGAGGCAAGAGGAGCGAGTCTATGGAAAGATAGAATGAGAGTGGACTCACAGACGTCAGTGACGATGCCGGCCATGATAATCTGCGACTTGTTGGTCGCCCTAATGGCGTCGCGGAATTCGGCGTTGTCCCAGGCATCGACCTCGCCCTGGCGCTGGATAAGGGGTGCGTCAGGGTACATATCCAGGATTTCCTGTGGCAGAGGGCCGTTTGGGCCTGTTATCGGTTGTCAGCGGATCGCAATCATCGAGTTTTAGAAATAAGGTATCTGACCTGTCTGGGCCGAGGTGGTCATCACGACAGGCAGGTCGAAAACCTTCCCGATGGCAGAGTGAGCGATCATCGAATCGCGGTAGAGGGTAGCGTCGAAGTCTCTAGCGAGATTGTAGAGGCCCTCCTGCAGGTCGAGGATCAGTAGCATCTGTCTCTGTATTAGCCATGACCCATGACCTGATGCTGTACATGAGTTCTTCGGTTCCTGTTTCCGAAGCGCCCCGATCTCCGGCAACTTTTGAACTTTTCGCTCACAAAAGTGCTCGTATGGATCGCCTCTATTTTGGTGATTTACGAGGATCACTCACAGAGTCATTCTTGTCGATCCGCTCGAAAGGAACAGCTGTTCGCGTCAGTTCACAAGGTTCGGCTTCCAAAATCGAGGAGACTCACAATCTCCAAGTGCCATTCCTGCCAAGGCAAAAGCCGGCAGCATAGATTTCGCAGACAGCTTCATATTAAAATCGTGATTGGCTTCTAATGAGAAGATAGTACTTGACAATGATTGATGACAGAGAGGGAGACTCGATACAAGATGGTCTGATGATCCAATGTAACAAAGAGAATCGAGTGATTGACTGCCTCTTATATGCTTGTCTCAACCTCGTGGTCTCGATGAAGATGGGCTGCTCTATTTTCCCCAAAGAGCCCCATAGGATCAGATTTCTCATGATCAGGAAATCTTGACCAATTCATTACATCTCGCCGCCATCGCCCCCGGGGCCTTGGCTCACACGGCCCCTTGAGCGACCTGAGTAAGCCAAAGTTGTTATCAAATTCTTGACTGGATAGTCCGGGGTCGTAAGTCAACAAAGGGCCCGCAATTTGGAATTGTTACTGCTGTCTTTGTCAACAGAATCCTCCGAGGGATGCCATCGTGTTCCCCAATCGGAGTAGCTGCATCAGGAGCCCTGGCGGTGACTTGGCGCGCAGTAGCTGGGTGCTGTAACTTACAGAGCTAGCTGTGCAATTATGGAAGGATGTGACTAAGGAGCTTTGTTCTCTGATGTAGTCTTTTGCTGTGTCAGCACCTTGTCAGAGACGTCTAATTGTTCATTCTGCTATAGCAAAATCCAGAGCCGTTGTGCGTACATGCTTGTGTGGTTGAGTCAATGGACGCTGTGCCCTATTTCCGTAAATCCGCTCTCCACATCAGTGGGCTGTATGCTGTCTGAAATCGTAAGGTGAGCATCAGCAAGCTTTTGTCAGTCGTTATCGAGCATTAGGAGTTAGCAATGCTGAGCCAATTGCTGACGGGACGTGCCAGCGTTACATCGGCCCTTAAGGAAAGCAGCCCCAAGGTCACCGTATTGGTCCGTTGGTGCCCTGTGGGCTGGGCTATTCAGCCATTCCGTCACTAAGGCTTGTTTGTAGCTCTAGAGGATGCGAATGCTCAGTAAGCAACCCCATTCGCTTCTAAAACTCCTCTTCATAGCAACTGTTGCGGTAGAAGTATCTGCTTTTCAGAATTATTAGTTGACAAGTTGACTTATACTTTCATATTATTCACAATCTTGAAGTAAAGCAGACTCAAAGTTTAGAAATGTGCTGCAGATGAAAATCAAATATAGCATGCTGAAACTTTGAATATTGCGGTCATATCTCTCTAATCCTTCTGGCATGGGAAGAATTGGCTGCAAGTTATGCCTAGCAGCTAAAGAAGAACTTGTAGTTGATAATTCTAGTCCTACAAGGTAATGATTCTGATATGCCACTCATCTACCGCCACCTCCGCATCAAAAGAAAACTTCGCCTATACTACGTGCTTGTTGAACAAGTCATTGCCAGATGCGATAGATTTCGGTAATTTTGGAGCGATTTCGGAACACGCTTGCTTTCTTTTTCCTCATGAATGCCTCACTGATTAGTGAAGCTGAGCAGCAGACAGCGAAGAGGGCGAAGAGTGAAAGGGTGACTTCAATGCTGTTCACAAATGACGATGAGTGGCAATTCAGCGGATTGGCCCAGTCTTATAAAGAGCCAGATCTTTTTATGCAAGGCTGCAAATCTCCGTTTGATTGAAACAAAATATGTACATTTATCCAATAAATTTTAAACGCTCCGGGAGTCCCCATGCATGCCCATTAAATGCAATATTAATCCGTCGATATTTAGTTGACGAGGTCGAACTCGGTCTCGCCAGTGTAGACCTGCTGGGTGGAGGCACCGGTCTGCTGCATCTCCAGGCTGCCGGAGAAGATGTCGTAGCGGGCGGACTGGGTGGAGCTGGGGGTGACCTGCTGGGAGACCTCGAGCTCCAGGCCGCTGGCGTGGTTGTTGGAGAACTTGGTGATCTTCCAGGTCCTGGAGGAGTTCTCGCAGGTGCCGTCGGTGACCTCGGGCAGCTCGCCGTTGCTGGTCACCAGGGCGGAGCACTGGACGGGGGTGGTCTCGCCGTTGCCGATCTGGACGACTCCGAAGGAGTAACTGTAGGAGAATCGAGTTAGCTCAAAGTGAACCAAAGAGACTGATGGTCACTGATATGTGGTTGAGCAAGACTTACGAGCACTGGGAGCTGTGAGCGATGCACGCGGCCGAGAAGTCGGAGACGTGGAAGACTGCGTCAGCCGAGGCGACGGCGGCAGCAAGGGCGAAGATGGCACCAGTGGAGAACTGCATTTTGATGGTTTTGAGGGTTTGGTTGAAAAGGCTGGAGATGGTGTTGTTGAGTGTGTGTGAAGAGTGTTGAGTGTGTAGTGATGGTGATGCTGATGATGCTAGAACAAGATTGGATGAACTGTTCAAAGTGCGGCCGTCTTTATATTCATGAATCTTGCTCTTGATATCATGTCTCCCTACGTAGTGAATGGAATACGAGCATGATCAAAATAGAAATGATGGGGCAAAGTGGATACAGCGGAAGGCGAAGGCCGTTGTCACATCTGCTGGCGTGCATGGGTTCAGGTGGCATGACGGGGAATCTTGCTATCCCCCTCTAAAATCGGAAAAGCATCTCCACTGCCTTAAAAATTAGCCTTTTCTCCTTAACACAGTCTCCGCTCGCCTGACATACACATATCTCGCTCGTGGTGTCTCGCCGATCGCTTCCTAGACGATGCAAGGGCGCCCCATTTTCTATATACTAAGGGGCTCTCTCTCTGCATGGTCGCGTCTATCGTATTGCTTAGGCGCGAGAGCGCCTTTCACAAAGCTCTTCAAGGCCTCGGACGGTCGAGTTCAATTTGGTAGCTTGGGTTGATCAATTCTAGAAGTCAAAGCTTGGTCTGTTACTGACCAGTCGGAAGGCTTCGACGAATTCAAGTGTCGGGGGGTTCTTAGACCGAGGCGTGCGAGGTCAAAATAAAGGGGAGGGAGAGGCAGGGTTCCCCATACCAGCGGGTCCGGACAAAACACGAGCCTATGACGGCACAACCGTGATGCTTGTCTCTAAGCTTAGAAGCTCCAGCCCTACTGGCGCATGGGTAGCGAATACGGACGACCCACATTTCCTCTGCCAGGGTTAACACAGCACCACTGTTTACTGTACAGCCCGGCAGCCTTGATGTCATGATCCATTGAGGGAGAGACTAAGACGGTCATGGGGATCGTCGTTGGGAGGCAATTGAGCTTGGCATGAATACGACAAACAACGCAAAGGAGAGGTCCCAAATCTCCTGAGCGTACTGGTGATCAGCAAGTAACGTAACATGTTGAACGTGCTGGTAATGAAAACCCAAAAATATCCAATTCGAAGAGCTGGAATTCAAAGACTACGTTGATTGCAGTAGACGAGGCTGCAAGGCAGCCTTTCGGTCGTCAATCTACAAAGTTCATGGACATACGTATCGTAAATTTCGTCACTGAAGTATATACAATTGAATACGAAAATAAACCCGAAAACTCATCACTGCGTCATAGTCAAAGAAATAGGCGCCTCAGAACCCCCATTGTTCGTCCCGCAAATCGAAATGCTGCCGCCTGAGAAGTCGATATACATCAGGCCAGCCCCGGACGCCCTATTCCCGGAAAAGTACTTAGGGCCGGAGCTGTCATCGCCAATTTGGACGACTACCCCGTCGGACGTAGTATACGAAAAACCGTAGTTGCCCTCCTGGATGTTCAGGCCAGTGGTTGGGAAGCACGACGTGGTCCCGGACGCCACCTTGTCATCCAGCTTGAAGACCTCCTTCCCAGACGGCGCTGCCACCGCCTGCGAAGGCTCCTCAGTGATGGTGAAGGCCAGCGGCAGGGAGCCAGACGCCTTGCTGGTCCCGCAGATGCTGAGTGATGAGCTCGACTCGGCGTAGAAGGTCCCTGTCCATGACCCCATGAACTGGTGATAACCCTCGTCCGTCGAGCCAGTCTGGATGCTGACCAGGAGGTTTGCGTCGACGTCGAAAGAGAAACCATAGGTCGTCCCTGCCGTCACCGAGAAGTCATTTGTGGGGAAGCATGACTGGGTACCTGCGCCAATCTGCTCGTTCAGCGAGAACAGGGTCTTTGGCGCAGGCGGAGGTGCCGGGGCAGTCGTCTCGGCGGGTGGGTTCGAGGTTGTCGCTGGTGGTGGAGCCGATGTAGGGGCTGATGTAGGGGTTGCTGGCAGGGTGGTCGTAGACGAGACGGCGGAGCAGGCCTCGCCGCTCAAGTCTTGACGCCTGAACTTGGCGCTGCTGGGGCGAGAGCAGACGGCTCCCTGGCCGTTGAACACGACTTGCCCACCGTCTGGCACTCGCTGGTAGGCCATGTCAATGAGCAGCTTCTTCATGTTCTCTGCTACTTTCCCGGTCTGGTAAAGCTCTGGGTATTCTCCCAAAGCGAGCAGGTATGCTGCGAGGCCAGCTACGGCTGGCGCGGCAAAAGATGTTCCATCTTGTTTCTGTGTCCCGAAGAGATAAGAGTTTGCAGCACACTGGACTTGTTGTCCTGGCGCCATAACATGGACTAGAGGCCCACCCTGGGAGAAGGAGGCATTTTTGCCAGTGTTGTCAACAGCACCAACATTGATGATCGGGGAGCCGGAGGCGGCCATCAACGGCGGATAGGAATCAATGTCGGCCGCAGTCGCTTTGCCGTCCTATGATTATCGTGTTAGACTCTCTCGACTCGAAAGGTGTCACAAGAAGTGCACATACCGCGACTTCTTCCCGGTCATCGTTTCCAGACGCCGTGATAAAGACAACGTCTTCCTTGATCATTTCGTTGATGTAGTACTCCATCATCTTTTGCGTGAATCTGCTCGGGTTGTGGACTATTGATGGTATTAGCTGGGGGCCACACGACCATTTCCGGAAGTGATATACGTACTCCCACGCGAGAAGTTCACGACTGCCTTGCCCTGCAACTTATTGCTTCTCACATCTTCCAAAATTTTGTTCAGGCTGTCGAGTGTTTCATCGATGTTCGTCGAGGCTTTCACAACGACGAGATTGGCCTGCTTCGCAACGCCGTACTTGGGCCCGTTGACCTTGGACCCAGCACAGCTGCCGTGCCCATCGGAGCCTAGGTCCTCCTCGACTGACTTGTCAGCCTGGGAGCCCCCGAAGATCCAGCGCGCTTTCTTGGCCATCCCGGTGTACTCCTGCATGCCACATTTTGTCAGCGCATACCCTACAATGATGAAAAGAATATCCACGCACGCTGTTCTTCGTGTAGTACCCCGAGTCCAAGACGTAGACAGTGATGTCGGCACCCGCACTGTCGTCGTAGGTATAGCTCTTCAAAGCCTTGAGGTCCACCAGCGGCGGCTGCGAGAACATGACAAGCTCGGTGGGCGCATTTTCCTGCTTCACCACGGCACGCTTCTTAATTCTCCCGAGCTTGTCCAGCGACTCCATCCACCACTTCTCGTGAACGTCTTCATCGCGCTTGCTGTTCTGGACCGGCACGGCCTCTCCTGCGTTGTCGTCCATCTGCACAATGGGCTCGACGCCGCCGACCTAAATTGCTGGTGAGTCAAGACCCAAAAGGTCGTGTGGGATTACTGGGAGTTGACTATACGTACCAATGAGTTTGCGGAGATGGTCGCATTCTGGGTTGCCGTGATATTGGCGCTTACGAACAGCTGCACCGTGTCGGTCGTCTCCCGGTAGTTGCCCTTGCCAAGCTCCTTGTCTAGGAGAGAGATAAAATCGGTCTTGTCCTGGCTCGTGGCGCCGTCCTTGGGGAAGATGAGGCACGGCGTGGGCGGCCCAGTCGGTGCCGAGCTGGTCGGCTCCGTGCTTGTGGGCTCCGTGCTGGTTGGCGGCTCGGAGCTCTCCGGGGGCTTCGTCGTCGGCTCTGGTGGGTCATCCGGGTTGTCACCCCCTGACGAGGAGCCGGCCGTGACGGTCGTGCCGGCCGCCACTGCCACCGGCGCTGCCCCCGACCCGGCGATGGTAAAGAACCCACCCCCGGTCCCGCCCACCACTACCACCCCAGCGGCTACGACGATCGTGTCGCCGTTACTGACTGTCGTCGTCGCGGGCGGAGCGCTTGTGGGTGCTGACGACGAGGCTGGAGGACTGGTGATCGTGGGCGGGTTCGTCGTCGGCGGGGCCGAAGAAGGGCCGCGGGATGTGGGTGCTTTCGAAGGAAGGATCGTCACGGGAGGAAGAGAAGGGCGGCTGGAGGATGGTATCACTCCACCTGTGGAAGTACCATTAAATTGGCCTGTGGAATTGTCTCGTCTGACGAGATGAGCAGCATCATAGTTAGGCTCCGCTGGGCGGGCTGTGGCTGTAATGGAAAGTAGGCCCAAGCTGAGTAGTAAAGAATGTTGGACATTGAACTTCATTTTCGATCAACGAGAGTGGGTCAACGCAAACAAAAGAATGTATGGCAAGTTAAGCCAGGTAAGGACAAGAAGCTTGTGAAAGAAACGAACTCGAGACGCTCAGTTCATGATTGCATGTATATATGGCGATGTCGAATAGGCGGGTCGATATCGCTCTTGTTCAAAAACATTCTCATCTATTCGACGGGTGATCCCAAGACAACGGGTCACTGATTATAGAAACATCTCTCGAACGATTCTGGGATAGAGGTTCTCGCGATCAGCGCCCCATTGTTCATCCGTACTAGTCCCCAGAGGCTTGAGTCAGCGCCTCTATCAGCATCTTCTCCCCTTCAACACCAAGTATGCAATCCGTGATCCTTGACTTATTGAGCTGGCATATACACACAATCTGATGCCATAGAGGCTAGACTTGATAGCGATTAACCCCGGCTCGACCGGATCTCGCGGAAGGAGATGGCAGCGCGCTTGTGCCCTTAATCACTTTATGCTTGTCTATTTCTGTACTGGCTCCTTCGCCAGCCATACAGCGCTTGGCGTACGACTCAGTAACGGGCGCCGAGTGAGCAGTTCAAGCGGGACAGCTTCACAGACTTCGGATGGCTTGCTTTAGCTGAAACACTGCCCTGGAGGCATGAGGTTGGCGTGCCCTCGCAATTTGAGGCTGAGCCTGGTTTTATGTGAGCCTCTCACTAACTTCAGCCTCAAGAAATGTGAGCCAGATTTGCATCGATCTATCTGGGATGTCAGCAAGTCCTTATTCCTGGTTCGGGCTCGGAGTTTCTTGGATAGCGATTTTGTGGACTGACCCGTATCGCGCCATCTTTCGAAAAACGGCTCACGGATTATATTTCTCTGCCGAGCTGCTGCTGGAATGAAAGAAATCAGGTGGCTCTCCATTCATCGATCATACTTAGCAGGATCATCATCATGGGTAAAAGCTTTTCCAGCTCAATCTAGCAGCCCAAATTAAATGGCTGTGCGCCAAGCACAATTCCTGGGCATAGTAGATCTTTCATAATCGTGCGATTGCACGCTCCACCGACACGCTCCACCGAAAGCAGAGGGGAGTAGATGTTGAACTGTGAGACAATCATGAAATACGTCTGTGAAGTCGAATTGCAGTACCATGACAGAATGGACTCCTGCCCACATGCTCATATTTGACGATCCATTTGCACATCAGAAACACTGCGAGCCTCCATCCGAGCCAAATCGTATCTCTGAATTGGGATAATGCTTCGAATAGCGTAGGAATATCAAGCTCCATTCTATTCCGCAAGAATAATGCTTCATCCTAGGTTTCTTGTGACAAGATGGCGCAAAGATGGGCTATGATGTCTTTGTGATTGCTAAATTGGTTCAAGAAACTTTGAGAGTAATGCTATTCCAGAAGTCATAGAGATCATGTCACTGGTAGCGCTGACAATAGCTAGTTACTTTGGCTTTCCCTTCGTTACTCCCAAGTCTTTTTCTTCGATTTTCAAGGGACACCTGACGGTATTGGTTGGGACTCACATTTCAAGGTACTCCAATTTGTTTGACGTTGGATAATACAAGATATGTGAGCCTTTGTGACGGCCAGGTTCGTACGGACGCACTCGATGACCTTGGAATGGTTTCGAAGACTGCCTGGCAAATCAGCCGAGTCTACTTTTGCATATGCCATGTTTGACTGTAGATGCCAAAAGCTGACTGAAATATTGGTCATGATGAAAAATCTCTAGGCATGTAAATGAGGAAGCACCTATAGTGCAGAGAGTCCATATACAATGTTGCCGATTCTACAGGTTGTTCTCGATGATGACCGAGTGGCGTGGGTTGAATGGGTGTGATCACGAAAGTGTAGCACGCGAACCACCGTACATAACACTCACATAGACACAACAGACTTCTCCCTTCCAAGAGCAGGGAAGTACAATTTTTGGTCACGGCGGGATTGGCGAGCGCACCGGGCTCATTGGAACATGTAGCTCGGGACCATACAATAGTCATTCATTGACTAGACCGTCTTGGCGGAAACGTCTTATATTGAAACAGTATGCTACTACCGCCTGCGGCTCAGCATCTCATTCCACTGCTGCGCGAACTCCCTGAGCCCACCTGCGCCGGACGCACTAGCATCGACGACCTCCTTGGGCAGCTTATGGGCCGAGAACTGAGGCGAGCTGAAGTTGTACGCAGCGGGGTCGTCCTTGTCGACCAGCCGCAGCTCGGGCTCGTAGTCCTCGTCTTCGTCGTCCTCTGTCTCCTCCTCAGTGGTCGTGTCCTCCTCCCCGCCTGGGCGCGGCCCGTCCCCGATGCGCAGCCGCACGACACCGTCCTCGACGCCCGTGCCGGCCACGCCGATCATGGGGTTCGGCACGTGCAGCTCCAGGAGCTCGTCCCATCCGAAGAGCAGGGTGTCGGTCCGGGGCGCCCAGGGGTTGATATCGATGAGCCTGGCCTTGCCCAGCTTCTTGCCCGGGTCCTCGTCCCCGGAGTCGTCGTCGCTGTCGTCGAGGCTGTGCACCTCGGGGATGTAGACGTCGAAGCAGAAGTTGCCGTCTGGGAAGGTGAAGCGCAGCTTGGAGTCGAAGAGGTCCTTGACGCGCGCGATGATGGCCGGGCGCAGCCGCTGCAGGAAGTTGTAGTGGTTCAGGTCGCGCTGGGCGATGGCCACCAGGCTGCGCTGCTTGACGAAGCAGCGGAATTCCAGGGCCTGGTGGGGCGTGAAGAAGGAGCGGAGGACGAGGACCGGCTGGAAGCCTAGGCCGGAGTCTGAGGTCACCGCCCCGTTGCTGGATGACGAGTTTGTGGTGACGGTCCCGTCGAAGGCATGGTCCAGGTCGTGGGTGATGAAATTGGAGCTCTTCAGGAGGAGGTAGATGTCATTGGGCGAGGTGCACTTGACTGTATTCTGGTGTGGTGAGATCCAAGCGGCGTCCCTGGGCGAGGACCAGTTCAGCTTGGGTGCCACTTGTCCACCCAGCTCCTCGATGGTGTCCTTGATCTTCTGGTGCACCTCTGGAAAACGCTGGTCGGGAGGGAGCCTCGGTGGACCTGCATCTTCGTCGTCCTCTGAGTCTGAGTCCTGCTCAGGCTCATCGGGGCGAGGAGGGGCGAATGCATTCGATGTGGGCTCCCAGTCATCGTCATCATCACCATCTGCTGTGGACGGATCATCGCTTGACAGGATGATGCCGTCCTCGCGGATGTACTCGATAAATTCTGCAGGCAGCTTGATGATGCGGGAGCGGATACATGATGTACGGTATCTGGCTTGTGCATTAGCTATGAAGGCGAAGGCAACTTGCTGATTTAGAGGATCACCTACTTGGGAAACCAATAGTCGTATGAGCAATGCAGGATGTGGTCCCTCGTGACAGGCGGGAAGCAGACGTTTGAGTCTGCAGCGGCAGTGTTGGCAACTGCAGCAGCAGGCTGTTCTGGGCTCTCAAAGGCCGGCATTTTATAGCTTCAACGTTTCTTTCCAAGCAGAACTCTGCAGCAAACAGGTATCCAATCTGCCCTCGATGGATACCCAACTAGACAACAGAAAAAACCACTGCGTCTTTTCTAGACTATTTTCTAGATAAATGAATACCAGAATAACGGATAGGGGCCGTTGGATACAAGTAGGACAAGGGGTGTTTGTTGACTCACAGTCGAATTCTTTGTGACTCTTACATGCCTACTTCATCCTCGATAAAAGTCGCCGAAGGGGGGGCAACATGCACCACTACCCAGCAAGCAAAACGTCAGAGGCAGCCCCTCCAAATGCCGCCAAAATCCCAGCAGCCTTAGCGCAGAAGACCCTGAGAGCAGCCACACCGCCTTCCCAAAACACCCTATCGCCAATCCGTATCTTTCGAGCATACAGGCTCCCAAAATCACCACCCAAACCACCAACTCCGAAGCAGAAGCGACTCTCTCCACACAACCACCACACCTCAATCACCATACGCATCTACAGACCGCACCGCCCAACCCACCACGGGTAGAGACCACAAACATACCCCCCACACGAATCCGACAAGACAAACACAACCCATCCAACCCCACAATGTCCGACAACGTAGGCCTCTCCACCCCGCGAGGCAGCGGCACCTCAGGCTACGTGCAGCGCAACCTGGCCCACATCCGGCCCCGCGACAGCGGCGCGCCCTACCCGCCGCGAGGGGGCGACGACATGCCGCGCCACCGGCAGCGGCAGCCGGACCGGGGGATCCTGGAGCACGACCGCAAGCGCGCGGTCGAGGTCAAGGTGCTGGAGCTGCGCGACGAGCTCGAGGACGAGGGCGCGCTGGACGACGACGAGATCGAGGAGCGGTGCGCGGCGCTGCGGTCAAAGTTGCTTGCTGAGGGGGCGCGGGGAGGCGGAAGTGGTGGTGGGGATAATAACAAGAATGGGAAGAAGGGCGCGCTTAAGATGCACCAGGTGCACGAGATGGCGGACCAGAAGATCCGCGAGAGCGAGAGGCTTAGGCGGGCGCTGAAGATCAGTCGGGATTATGAGGAGGGCGGGCACTGGAAGAGGCAGGAGGACCGGGCGGCGAAGGCGGCTGAGAGGGCGGAAGGGGAGAGGTCAGAGGGAACGAGGGATGAGAGGGACTGATGGGGCGGGGGATTGATTCAAAAAGCAAAGATCGCGCAGTTTTGGGTGTCGTTAATAGCATTGCGGTCGGTTATTTCAAGGTGGGACACACGGCAAGGCGAGGGCGTTACCGGCGTTGTTTTCATGGGTCATGCATGGGCTTGCGACTCTTTACATGATGCTGGTGTTCCACGATATACTTGGTTCTCTTCATAATTTCAAGCCATCTGCACCTACAAATGCTCTCACCTCCCAGATCTTAATCAAGTCAAAATGTGATGCTCCTGACGCCCCCTAGTCCCACCAACGTCTCTTCTCCTAGGAATCTGGCCTACAAAGGCGCCCGCACGATCTACCCTACCGAATCTACCGTAATATAACCCGGCTCCCCTAATGCAGTGGCAGGCCCTTCAGCCTGGTCTGCAGGATATCCAGCTCCAGCAGCACCGCCTGGCCGCCCTGGTCGTCGTTACCGTCGCCCTCCTTGCGTATCCACTCTTCCAGCCTCCCCGCTGCGGCCAGCAGCGGCTCCACGTAGCGCTGCTCGACAGCCGCGCCCATAGCCCCAGGTACAACGTCCTTGCACGCGTCTGACGCGAACAGGAAGTAGGCAAAGTTGGCCGCCTGGATCAAGAATGCCGAATTCTCGGTCCAGTACTCGAGCAGCGCCTCATTGCCGGCCTTGTCGAGCGTCGATACTAAGTTCGGGAAGATGTGGTACTGCAGCTCTTCGATGCACTGCGTCGTAGCAAAGATGTTGGTTTGCTGGCCCTCTTTGGCCTTGCCGGAGGAGACGGCTTTGTGTGCGCTGATGAGCTCCTCACGCAGCCACGTCAATGCACAGGCCTTGAGCGAGGCGAAAGGCGCATTCTCCAGCAGGTCCTCGAGTATCTTGAGCCGGTCCGCGTCGTCGGGGTCGTCGTGCAAGATCAGGCCTGCCAACGTGACGGCGGCGTTGCGGACGTGTATTGATGGGTGGAAGACGGAGCAGAGGGTGAGGGCGTGGTGGTACGACATGAAATTGGGCTCGTCCTTGTCCTTGCCCGTCTCGGGGGAGATGAGCTTGTTCTCCTCGAGCCACAGGCCAAGCACCAGGATCGCCTCGATAGTCGCTGGGTGTTCGATGATCTGCGACTGGGGCGACTCGCCCAGGAAGTTCTCTAGGAGCGTCAGGTGGTCTGGGAAGAGGTGCATTTCGGGCGTGGGCGCGTTGGCGTCGAAGACAGTTGATGAAAACACCCAATAGGCCATCAGACATATCATGCCGCCCGTTGAGAGGTCGATGTCTGCTGCGTTGGATGCCTCTTCTACATTTGTCAAGGGCTGCCTGTTGACTGGCTCATTGCATATGTCATGTATGATAGATCGGGGACATTTGGACAGGCCAAGATCCCGTGTAAGTGCCTGTTACGGACGTCAGTAGAGGCTCCAATCATGAGCTGCCAAAGTCACTTACCACCAGCTTCCCAACCATAGCATCCCTGTTGGAGAGCTTCTCGTCCTCCCTAAAGGCCTGCGTGGCTGTTTTCCTACCAGGGACTACCTTCTCGGGGTTGTAGAACTCTAACAACCTCCTTGACCAGGACATGTCGTTGGCGCCAATATACGACTCAAGCACGCAACTGGTAAAGGACAGTAACAGCCGCCTCTGGATCTCATCCTCCTCCGATGAGTTCTCATCATGATCAGCCTCAGGGTCTGGGGCGTTCTTGGAAGCATCACCATCATGGTCCGGGTTGGCAACATTAACGCTAGACTTCCTCTGGGGCAGAGGCGGGCGAGCCCTGTGGCCAGAGAGGGAGTGGACGAGGTTGAGGATGGAGGCAGTCTGCTCCTGGTTGGGCTGGTATGTCTTGTAGACGGTGAGAAGGCTGGAAGCGAGGAAGCGCGAGGGGTACTTTGTCTTGATGCGCTTGTGGAGGATGGCGAGCATGCCTAGAAGGGTAATGAAGCGGCGGTTGGCCTCGTCGATGGAGACTGGTTGGAGCTTGCCCTTGGCCTCGTCGCCGTCGTCCAGCGTCAGGTCCTCGGGCTCAACCTTCTCCGAGGGCACCTGCAGCTCTTCGAGCACCTCGAGGACCTTGATGATGCACTCGCGGGGGTTGCCGAGGCGGGCAACGGTCTCAAGGACTGGCTCTGACCCTTGCAATGGGGCCAGTTTGTCGACCAGGTCCCATCCGATTTCCGAGGTGAGATTTGCATCTTGCAGGATCTCGTTGAGGGTGGGCAGGATGTCTGGTGAGAGAAACTGCTCGATGAGGGTGAGATAGGTGAAGTTGTCTGTTGCTGGAGGCCGTGACTCCTTGAGCGCCTGGATGGCCTTTGCAGTGTCTCCCATGGCGAGTAGATTTGCGGCAGTCAAATCAAATCGGGTCGAATGAGTTGAGGCAGGGTCTCGTTGACGGTCAAAGCAGTCGCAGTCACAGGAGGTTGGACTGGAGATGGGTACCGTTGCAGCGAGCGTGACGACCTGGGGCTGGATGAGACGAGTTGGGATGAGATATGCTTGTTGCTAAGGTGCCAGATGCTAGATGCTAGGTGCTTGGCCTTGGCTGGGCTGGGCTGGTCTGGAAGAGACGCCCTGCAGATGCAGATGGCCAACCCCGCAGTGAGGTTCCTGGCCTGCCTGGCTGTAGGTTCGTCCACCTGGGCAGGTGGTGGGGTAGGCAGCTCTCCACAGCCCACAGCCCACACGCTAACAAGGTGGACGGTACGAGGCAGAAGTGGTCACATTGGCCGGGCTTGCTCTATGACGCCATTCCTAGCACAGAAAGGACTGGCACCAGCCTGGCACCAGCCTGGCACTCGCCTGGGTGGTTTCGACTTGAAACATTGAGCTGACACGAACACTATTTTGTCGTTAGACTGCCTGCCCTGGTTGGGCATCGCAGCGCCTCATTTTCGCTATCAATCGTAACGCAGAATTATAACATAGGTGCAAGCAGACAAGCTGAGGTGTATCTACACCTCGTCGTCGTCATCGTCATAGTCGTCATCAGACCCTCTCATGTGCTTGCTCGCCACCGGCCTCATCGCGCCCCAGCTCATCCTCTTGCTGGTCCTGAGCATCCAGCTCCAGTGCGACCAGGGGTCGTCGGCGAGCTTGACCATCTCGACGACGTCCCTGTCCTTGGGCCCCGCGCTGGCGAGCCCGGCCTCGATGGCCAGGCGGGCGTAGCGCACCGCGTTCCACGGCTCGCCCGCCCCGTTCCACTCGATGGCCGCGAACGTGTACGCCTCGTAGATGCTGCCGCTCAGCCGCTCCTGCTCGTACAGGCTGACCATCAGGTCCGCCATCTGCGGCGTCGCCGACGACCCCGCCCCGTAGTCCTCCAGCTGCCGCCTGATCCGCTTGATCTGCCGGATCCGGTCGTCCGACGCCGCCGACAGCTCCGCGCGCTGCCGGCACAGCGAGCACCCGCAACGGAAACCCCAAACGCTCTGCAGCTTCTCCAGCCGCTTGGCCCGTGTGCGTATTGGGCTGTGCATTGGTCTCTTGTTAGCTATGATCTCAATCATGGTTCTGTTGCTCTCCAAGACTTGGTAGTAGGTGTGCTTACTCCATATATGTGAGGCTAATCTCCTCCCCAATCTGGATGGGTCGGGTGGCATGAATGTGTTGCGCAAGCGTGGCTGGGTCGAAGTAGTAGTCTGCGTTTGGCCGACAGTCATGGTTGAATCGGGAGACTGTTTCTCTGGTCAGTTACACGCACACGCGCACAAGCTTGGTGGCTGAGCTAGTTGAGAGGAGATTGGGCGATGACTTACTCTCAGGGAACACCACGTAGAGCCCATTGGTATTCTCGTCCTCCACATCGACATCGAACGCATTCGTCCGCAGGATCTTGTCCACCCTCTCGATGTGACCAGTCGCGCCGTCGTGCGTCGACAGGTTGAGGAAGCGGCCCCGCAGTTCCGACGGCAGGTAGTCGATGGCCTCGGCCTGCAGGCGGTGCATGTCCGCCTCGGGCAGCTCGTCGAACATGGCGTAGTCGATGACGATGGCCGGAGTGAAGGTCATGATGTGGTCGCCGCGCTGGAACGGCTGCGTCGCCACCACCCCCATGTCCTTGCCCGGTACGTGAACCATCTTGAACTTGGACGTTTCCGGGTCCTCGTCGTGGTTCTCGTTCTGGAGAACTTCCGGGTCCGTGAAGCCCGGCAGATTCGCGACGTAATCTGCCCGGTCTGGGCTTGTTAGCACCGCTATCCCCCGCCCATTGGCGAAGGTTGAGCTGATGAAGATGCAGTACTCTGCTGTGCCGTTCGCCGTGCATGACGACGCTCGCGTCCATGCCCGGTTGGCTGGGCTGTGGCTGTCCCCTGAGAGGTATTTTGTGATGAGTGTGTCGTTGGAGCACACCGGTGTGGAGAGCAGGGGAAAAGAGCGTTCTAAAGGAGAATGACAAAGTCCGGCTTTGTGGATGGGAGAGGAAATCTCATGGGCAAGCGCCAGAGGCGCTACGCACAGCGCGAACCACCCAAGTAATGTCATGATGCCGTCGTGTGGTGTATTACGATGGTGAGCTATGTACAAGAAGCGAAAGAGCAGGTGAAGCAAAACATTGCTCGAGGTTTATGAAGAGGATTAAGTTTCGAGCTTCACCTCACCGGACAAGAGGAGACATGGCCATGGCGACCTGTACCTGGATTCACGGACCTTGGCCAGTGAGTGAGACTGGGAAACCAAAGGCCAATGCGCCAAATAAGCAACGCTTCCTCCTCCTCCGTTCCTGCAGCGCCAGAGGGAAAAGCTACCCTGGAGTGCTACCCCAGTGCCGAATGAGACGCCGTCGCTTAGATGTTTCATCAACGGTGCGGAGGAGCGATAAGGTGCTTGAAACAGCCGGATAAGGCATGTAGCTTGCGGTCTCAAACGCACACGAGCGAGCCCCCAAAGGAAGCGAGCAAGGGGCAAAAATAGTACACATGCTGGCCCGGCTAATATGGCCCAGCCACCCAGCACATCTTGAGACCGAGGGGCCAGTGGGCAAGCATCTTGGCCCATCAGCCCTAGCCCTGGACCTGGATCTTGACGACCTCGATCCTGGGCGCAGTGGCACTCGGATCTGTCTGGCACTGGCTGAATTGGGCCCCGAGTTGGCACTAGTATCAAGCTCGTTACAGAACCACGACACAGGACGGTCCCAAGACAAAAGGCAACACATATGCATCAAGCTTAGTCCGAGCAGGTACCCCTGCGCAAGTCTTGGGTCGTGACAGGTCTTGGCGTCGGAGAGCTGGGCGACTGGGGTGCTATGCTCCATGGTGTGAGCTGCTGCGAGGTAGATACGATCGACAGATGCATCGGACGGGACCATAGAGACTTGAGCGTGCTCGTGTCATTTTGGTATGTACGTACTGCGCAGATCGTCAAGCAAATAGACGAGCCAGTCAGCTTCAAGTGGTTACCGGGTGTTTATTTACTGGGGCAAAATCCTGACACACAATACTCAGACAAGCGAGGAGGGTTAGGAGTCTTGTTTTAAGCTTGTTTTGAGAGTTAAAATCTGAAAATAGCTCCACAACCTTAGGTACGGTAATTGATCCTCATCTCCATCATCGTCATGACTTCACATGAATGCAGAATGGAATAGGTGCTTATGTCTAGCGGGCGATATCAACGATATTCATCAATTTACAAGTCTCAAAATATCTCGGCAGCATGTATACAAGAATCCCAGGTTGAGTTTTCCCAAACTTTCTCAAAACACCCAATCATTTCTGGACCAAGAGCTCGGCATCTCGGGGCCCAGAGAACTCGACACGCCACGTTCTCCCAGCCACCTCCGGCCGTGGCACAAACACAACCTCAACATCATCATCCGGCTGCTCCATGGCCTCAGCCTGCGACGACTTGGCGGTCGACGGCAGGACCCACCGTGCCGCCGCAGGCTCGATATCAAAACGAAGCAGCAGCAGCGCCGTCAGCAGCAATATCTCGCCCGTGGCGAAGTGGCGACCGGGACAAAGAGTGGTGCCGCCCCCAAAACCGCGGAACGCAACGGGGTTGAGCCGGCGGCCCTGCTGCTGCTTGACGAAGCGCCGGTGGCGGAACTCATCAACGTCGTCGCCCCAGACGTCGGCGTTGCTGTGCTGCGCCCGCGCGGACATCATCACCAGACCGCCCTTCTTGAGGTAGTACTTGTCGTCCAGCGTGTAATCCTCCGCGACGACGCGCACCGAGTTGGCCATGCCGTGGTAGCGGAAGACCTCGTGGTAGGTGGAGAGCAGCGCCGGGCAGGAGCTGAGGACGACGCTGAGGTCGAGGACTGACTCGGTGGTTTCGTTGTCGTCGCTGGTCCGGACTGCTCGGCTGACCTCCTGTCTGCATTCTTCCAGGACGGCCGGGTCGCTGAAGATGCGGTATATCACCCAGAAGGCGGTGGGGATCGTGTTCGCGACGTTGTTGAAGACGGTGCCTAGCAGTAGGCGCGGGATGTCGTCCTCTGGTATCTTCTGGCCTGCGCAGTACTCCGTGAACCGTTGGATGTACGCAGATCCCTGCTTGTAGCTGCCGTCATTGTAGTATTTCGTGAATCTCGTGACTAAGTACTCCCTGGCCTTCATGGCTGATCTGAAGAAGATATTTTGTGGTAGAATATCCAGCATGATGTACATGAGAGCTGAGTGGAATTGGCTAGGTAAAGTAAAAATCAGCTCAGTTGACCGCATCGAGATGTACCATGCGGAAAACAACTTACGACCACGCCTCAAGGCTACGGGCATCTCTCATCGGATTAGACGGTCCATATATCGCCTCCGTAGTCGCGCTCATAATCATTTTGTCAATCCAATCATACATGCTGACAGTCGTGCGTGAAGTCAGCTGTCCCAGAGCTTTGTCAAAGACCTCAAACGCCCGGTTATTCAGGGCATCTAATGCTGGGCCGTTGCTTGTGGTGGGGTGAGTAGCCTTCACCATGCCGCTCATGAAGCCGTGCTCGGTTACCATATCGCGTTCCATGATGGCGATGGCCTCTTTGCTTGCGCCCATGGCTGCCTTTGCCGCTTTGACTTGTATAGGCGCGAAGATCAGCGTGCGCCACTGGCGCTGGACCACGGGGATGAGATTCAACGAGTTGATCACGTAGAGGCGCGCTCCGGGGATCCTGAGGGTGTATATGGACAGATTTTGGTGTTGTCTCCGCATGTGCGCATAGAAATCTTTGCTCCATTTGATCACTGTCAAATTGTCAGAAATGCTCTTCACTTGTTTACAAAAGACTACAAAGTTTGCAGGACACCGAGCCGGCAGAGTTAGAAGAAAAGCGCTCAAGCACTCTTGGACACCCAAATGCTGCCAACGAGTGGGGTGTGATCATCTCTTAGAAACTCACTTCCTAATATAGGACTAATAAATGGAACAGTTGTAGAAACCAGAGGGGGCTCATTGTTGTCGTGGGTCAGGTGCAAAAGAATCCAGAGCAAAGCGTAGACCGCCACGGCACCGCACAACGCTGTCGCGACTGCTGGGCTGATATTGACTGATATCATCTTCAAATGTGCGAAACCAAGATTGAAAAGGAACGGAGGACTTCGTGTCTACTGAGAGATGTTCGAAGACCCTCTAAATGCTGAAAAATCCGATTATCATGATTAGTTGGATGAGTTTCTTATTTGCAGGCGATAATGATCCTTCCTGATCTGTTGGTCGCTAGCGCCGGACGTAACGACTAACATGCAATTAAGCGAGCGATAAAAGGACGATGGAGTCCGCTGTCTGTGGCAAGCGAAGTGCAGCCCCCCCCTTGTTAGTTGAGTTAATTCTGCGCTAACCACTAAAATTTGTAAACAAGCTTAGGCATTTACTAACACCCTTCTTAACACCCTTATTATTATCGCTTATACACTTAAATTACTTAAATAAGCTAAAAAAAAGCTATTATAATAACTAGCTATTACTTATTAAGTATTAAATTATAAATATTATAATATTACCTGTAGCTTAACCCTTTACTACTTAATAAATAGCTTAAAGCTAAATTTTATTATAATTATAGTATAGTTTAGTAATATTATAAATAAGTTGTATTTTTAAGTATTATAGCTTTAAGTATACTATTACTTTTACTATTAAATAGTATTATTCTTAAATAGTAAGCTTTTAAAGTTAATAGTTTTTTTTCTTTAAAATAAAACTATTTAGCTTAATTAATATTTAATTTATATAGTTTAAGCATTTAAAAATCTTTTTTTTTAAAAAGCTTAATATATATTTTAATAAAATATAATATTTTTTTTTAATTACTATTAAATTAATTATTTAACTAGTATTATTATTAAAGCATTAAAAAAGTATAATTAATTTAATAAATAAGTATATATATTAGCCTGCTAATATAATAATAATTTATATAAATACTATTTATATAAAATTTTAAAAATTTTATATATAGCTAATATATTTATTTTTTATAATAAATTAGCTATTAATAAAAAAAATAATATATAAAAAACTAGTTAAAAACTAGTTAAATATATACTATTAATAGAAAATCTTTTTAAATAAAGGGCTTATTATTATATATTATTAGTAATTATAATTAATAATTTACTTAATATTATAGTATATAAGAGTTATATTATAAAAAAGTTTTTTTTATAATAGCTAATAAAAAAATTTTTATTATAAATAAACCTATATTTAAGCTTATAATTAATTTTAATAATAAATAACGCTTTATAATATTATAATAAGCAAATTTATACTATTATTAAAATAAAAAGTATTTAGCTAATATATTTTTTATTATATTTTTTTAATTTTAATTTAATTAAAGTTTATTTTAATAATTTAAAAAAATATATTAAGTACTAATATTAATTTAAAATAAATAATTTTAATTTAAATTAAAAATTTACTAATTTTTTATACTTTTATATAAAAAAAGTTAAGCGTTATATTAAAGCTATATAAAAGCATTTTTACTATATAAAAGTATTAATAAAAAGGTTTTAAGCTAATAATTAGTTTAATAATAGTTAAAAGTATAAAAAACTTAAAATAATAATAATATTATAAAGGTTAATTGTAAAGTAAAAGGATTAATATTAAAGTTATAAGTATAAGTTAAGCTTTATAGTAAAAAAAAAACTATATTATAATAAATATACTTAATTTTCTTTCCTTTATTATATATACTTACTTTTAATTACCTATACTTACTTTATTTATTAAAAAAACTCTTTTTTATTATATTAAATTACTCTTTTTATTACTTATAATATATTTTAGCTATTATTACTACTTTCCTTTTTTTAAAAATTATTAAAAAACTTATTTAAGTACTTTTTTATAACTATTAATAGGTTTAGTAATATTTATAGTTTTTATAGCTATAATAAATCCTTTTCTGCCCTATTACTTTTACTACTTTTAAAAAAGCTAAAAAAGTTTTCTTTTTTCTTTAAATATAGCTTTATAAGCTTTTTAACTAATATAATTATATATAAACCCTTTTTATTAAATTAAATATTATTTTTAATATAAAGGTTTTATAAATTTAAACTTTTATACTTTATTACTTTTAATAACTTTTTTAGCTATATTTTTTTTATAAGCATATAAAAGTACTTTTATAGTATTTTTAATATAAATTCTTTATATAAAACCTTTTAATTACTTATAATTTAAAGTAGTAATAAGGATATTATAGTAAGCTTATATTTTCTTTATAAACTATTTAAGCAACTTATAAAAAAGAGCTTTATTAGTAATAATAGTATTAGTAATTCCTTAAAGCTTTACAATATATATAATAATAGTAATAATAATAAGGGCTTAAATAATAGTAGTAATATTAATAATAGCTATTATAATTAATTATAGTTAAAGCTAAAAGCGTAAAGGTTAATTAATAAGTTAATTACTATATAAATCTCTTTTTTTTACTTAGCTTTCTTTTTTTTACTTTTTTTATAGCTATAAAAAGCTAATATTACTATTACTAAGTTTCTTATTACTTTAATTGCTTTTAGCTTACTATTACTATTAAAAAAAAAGCTTTATTAATAGCTTATAAAAAGCAGCCTTACTAATAACTATTACTTTTACTTACTTTAATAAATTATTATTAATTAAATTAATATATATATTATTCTGCTTTATATAGTATTATTAATATAAAGAGTTGCTTTTATTATAATAATAATAATTAGCTTTATAATATATACTTAAATTATACTTTTATTATATTATTAGCTATTTATAAGCTTTTTATAAGAGTTTTTAATTACTATATATTACTATAAGTATATAAATAATAGTTAACTTGCTATAAACTTTTAAAAGTAATAAGCTTTTATTAAATAATTTAATACTTTTTAAATATTTAACTATAAGCAGATTATTTATAAAGCTAGTAATAAGCTATACTTTTAGTAGCTTATTAAAAACTTTAACTATTAATTGCTTAAGCAATAAATTAACTTATAGTATTAGTATTATTTATAACTCTTAAAAAGTAACCTTATAAGTATATATAAAGGTTAAAAAAAAAGGCTTTTTACTTATAAAAAGCATTTTTACTAAATTATAATAGTTAAATACTTTTTTAAAATAATCTATATATTTTTTTATTAATTTTAATTAATAAAAAGTATTCTATAGCGCTTATTAATAGCTAGCTTTAATATATAATTAGTATAACTTAATAATAATACTTTTACTATTTTTAAATTTTACTTTAACCCTTTCTCTTATATTAATTAATAAGTCTTTTTATAGGTTAAGAATATTAAAAGTTAGCTAGTTAGTATTAAATTTAATAATATAGCGTTTTATTAATAGTATTTAAAAGAACTTAATATTAATAACTTTTATAATTAATATTATTAGTACTTTACTTAAAAATTTTAACTATAGTAAATTAATAAAATAGCTTTTTAAAACCTTAATATTACTTTTAATATTTTTTAATAATAAAGCTATTTTAAAAGTAGTATTATTATTATTAGCTATTTTTAAGCTATTTATACCTTTTTTAAAAATAATTACACCCTTATCTAGCTTATTAGCAACCTCCTTAGCATTTTTTACTATATATTAAACTATATATTTAATAGCAGTTAATTTATTTTTAGTAGTTTTTAAAACAGCCTTTAATATAACCCTTTTACTACGCTTTTTTTACTATACAGTTTATTTAGCTATAATAATAGTATATAACTTATTAATAGCTGCCTTTATTATTAGCTTATATATATATATTTATTTAAGCGCTATTATATAATTATTAGTAAATTATATAGTATAGCACTATAAGTAAATTTTTTATAACAATAAGTATTTAATTACTGCTTTAGGAGTTAATTAAAATATATTAATAGTAAATTTAAGTAAGTAAGCATTATTCTTTACTAAAGTAAGTAAAGGCTATATACCTTTATATAATAAGCAAAATTCGATTTTATTACTTTAAGCTATAAAAAAAATATACTTAATTAAGAGTTAGCAATAGTTTACAGTAGTTAATAATAATAGTAATTTTATAGAGAGGTTATTAGTAAGTGCTTAAGCTTGTTTATAAATTTTAGTAATTAGCGTAGGACTGACTTAACTGACAGGGGGGGGGCTGCACTTCGCTTGCCACAGACAGCGTACTCTCTCAAAATCCCACTGTACCAGACAAATTGCAACCCTGAGATCCGCCGAGCACTGATGATGCCGCCCCGCCTAGAGGGCACCAAGACATGTCAGGTCTGCCATATCAGTGCGTGTAGAGTCAAGAGTTAGGCATCGCCCTTAGCGTTGTGTATGTGCAGCCAAGGTAGCGAGGCTAATGCTAATAATTCAGACTGACTTAGCAGCCAGACTTCATGCAATCATACAGCGTGCAGTGTTTGCTAAGTCACGGGCAGTGTACGTTGTCTGATGCAATCACAAATGGTGCTCAGCACAACCTTCCAGGAGCGAGCTGCAGGAAGTGTCTGAGTCTCAATCACTTTTATATAAATGATTATGTTGCACAATGGGAACCACAAAAGTGTGCGGGCTGCAGGGACGTTCGGGGTGGCGGTTCAAGAGCCCTGACATGGACATGCGCGTTGCGAAGGCCGTGCCATTCGAGCGTTCAGGGGCTCTGAATTCAGCTGGGGCTGTCGCGTCAGAGTACGGAACGGTCATTTGTGGCCGACGAGCCCTGTTCCTCATTTCTTGCAGCAGAATTTACTCAAAGGTGTGAAATGAAAAGACGATGTTTGTCTTTAAGCTTCTACCAGTAAATAATAAAGTCCACGGGTAGCACTGCTGGACCTTGAAGACATGGTCTATCTGAATATCATCCACGGATACCATACTGTCCTTCAAAGTATCTACTGGTTATGAATGCTTTTAAAGCTGATATACAAAGAAGTACCATTCACATTCATACTGGATATGAAATACAGTCATGGCTAGCCTGATGGCCTGAGAAAGACCTCGCTTATATACGTCTCACCCGTGCCCGCGAAGGTTTCTTCATGTCGCTACTGACGGCTCACGCCAACATTTCCAGATATTCTATCCTGAGTCTAATATACTCGAGTGTGGGCATGATCCAGACTTTGCTCCGAATACGTACAACTGTCCCAAGCAGTTCTTTCCAAGCTGTGAGCTTGGCCATGCTCGTTTGCCCAATACCAATAGCTGCCCTCACGGCGACGCTCGGGGCTTCCATGATCAAGCGGTGACCCCGCTTGGCTTCTCCCCTCTTCCTCTGAAAGGACCAACCCCTGTTCTCCAGCTTCGAGATCGGATGAATACACCTCCGTCGTACCTTCTAAATCGTGGCACGTGTCGACTATGGTGTCAAAGAGGCTCTGTCCCTTCTTTTTTTCCTTCTTCCATGAATTTCCGAATGTGCGTAATTGGCCACTATTATGAAAATTTTGAGCAACAGGTTGTTTGTTCTTCCGTCCCTGCATGAAAAGGGCCGGAAATGAGATAAGACAAGCAACTAAGAAGGCTTGACGGAAGAGGCTATTCATCAGCATGTATTATAAATTGGCACATAGAAAACTAGGGCGGTGACCAAGATTGATTGAGCACTTACAGACGAAGAGCTCCATTTCCATCCAGAACCAGCTCCATGCGCTGTTCTGGGACTGGGTGTAGTCGCTGGCAACTCGGGCGTAGCCGCTGGTGCAGCGGATTATGGCCATGGCAACAGTAAATAGCGATAGCATGAACATTGCTGAGAGGTACAGCTTCTTTTTTAGGTTGAGCCGGACTCTCCATACTATGGCGAGAGGGAAGATCATGACTATATGGTTGGTCTAGTCAGCTCAAGATTCATCGGATATATGGCTGAACAGTACGGTGAGAAAAGGAGAGACCGGTCGTACTCAGCACATCATTGAAAGCGTCAATACCGGACGTAGTTTGGATTTGAATCCATTGCAGTCGGATGGCGGATGGCGTGGTGCACTTCGTCAGAATCACCTGCACTTCGGCGAGACTGCACTGGTAGGACATCAGGCCAAGGAAGGCACCGAGGGACGCGATAGTCACAACGACCACAGCCCACCACAACTTCCAGTAAAGTCGATCCACAGAGCAGAAAATACGGTAGAAAAATAGAAGGAAATTGAATTTGACAGCCCAGAGCCCAATAGCGACGAGGATATCGACGGCGGTGAGAGCATACAACCCTTTCGGAATATCTTCGAGAAATGTCGCCGGCGGTTCTCTCAATCCATTGCCGACTTCTTCCATCATGTAGACGTATTCAAGGCGGAGCTGGCAAATGATTGTAGCGGCAAATTGCAGGCATAGAACGAACAGCATGAGGTAGTCCTCTGTGATGAGCTTCCGCGAAGACATCCAACGGATCACGATGCGGCCGGTAAACAAGACGACACACAGCGCGAAGAATGTCCACGAGGTAGCCTACAACCATGAACGGAGACTTAAATGAGATGGTGCCCTCGAATTCGCTCATCTCTGATAAGGAGTAATTAGGGCATGATACTAACATGGAAAGCTTCCAACGACATCAACTCCCCAGTCGTGCTGAGGACTCCATGAGTAGTAGACATGTTCTCTGACACCGAATTCTGTACGTTCTTTTGCGAGCAAGAAAATCAAGGGAAAATTTGAAACGCGAAATGAGTAAATGTCCAAGGTCTCTTGATGAGATCGACGTAAGACGAGATGCAGGATTAAATCGACGGACCCAGAGAGATGATTGATTCTCAAGATGTCCGAACTATTTGCGATTGTATTTGAAAAGAAAATGCAATAGAAGAGCAGCTATTGAATGGTAGCGAAGGCAGTGTGATGCATGGTGTGGGGGAGGAAGGGAGCCGAAAGTCAACAAGGAACCATATGAATGTCTCGGCCGGCAGATTGCTGTGCCTTGCTACAAAGGGCGGTAATGGCACCCATGATGTTCATGGAGGGACTTTATCAACCTGAAGATGGGGGCCGCAGTGAGATCCATGGATGTGGTCGAGCCTGAAGGCTCGTGACAGGTCATCACGCATGCAGGTAGTTTTACACATCGAGAAGCCGTGGGCACACGCAAGTGGTCAACTGGCGATCCCATCACGTCCATGCATGGCTTATTACTTGGCCTCAGTGGTCTTTTCGGAAAGATCGACAGATCATACTACATTATTTCCAAAATTGGCTCATGCTATAATACCATTGCAGCATGATTATCTTTCAGCTGCCGCTGCAGACCGAATCGCATCTGCAGTGAGCTTAGTCACATCACGAGCCCCGGCAGAGTGGCACCGCAAGAGATAAGACACAGAACCAGTTCGTAACGTAAAATAAGTACAACCTCATGTTTGAGTATGGAAGGTACGCAATGTCTAACACTTGCTGGCATTCATCAACCAAGCATGTAGCTGCTATAAGTCGTGGGAAATACAAAGGATTAAATTTGACATTACGGTCGGCTTGGGAGTGGGAAGATAATTTGAAATCTTGCTTGATAAATAGAAACCTCAAATGAATAGATGCTAACGTGCGTGCCTGATTGGCGGTTCCCTTGTATTTCCTCCGTAATGCAACATCTGTGTACTTAGTCGCCTAGACACTTACGACCGAGCCTCGCAGGCTCAGAAACGGAGGCTGTGTCAGAACATCAATCTCTCTGGATTCTTGAACCTTCTTCGCCTCGGAACCGAAGTATCGCCCTGTTCGAAAGCTGCCCCACGAGTCAGAGAGGTTTGTCATTTTATTGGGGAAAATCTTACCTCCAGCTAAGGTTTGCTTGGACAATATTTCGGATGCCTTGGATGTATTGTTGGACGTCGTTATCGACTTCCTTGCCCCAGGAGGGAACCGCCTTGACATTTTCGTACCACGCAATGTACCGTTCATCGACCATCGAAGCAATCTCATTAAATGCTTCTTGAGCCGAGAGCCCGTTCATTCGGCATACGGCGACCATGTTGAACGGACAGTTTATGTTCTGCAGCAGGCCTGGGTTCAGCATAGAACGTTGGATTTTGATATCAATTGCATACCTCTTCTTTGCGATATGACAAAATATCGTTGTGCCTGATCATCGATGTTAGTCTTGTGAATGCCGTCCATTGAACACTGGACTCAACTCACAACATGGTTAATTCGGCAACCAAATTCTGCAAAGCCTGTATAGCGGGATGAAGGAAGACTTCGTCTGGAATGTTCAGGTCGTACGCGAACTCGACAAGGGGGTACATCGAGAACGCGCCTATAGACATCCTCCGAGTCTCAATCATTTCTTGTATTGTAGGCGTTCGGTCTGCTGCGTGATCTTTTACGTGTTTCAGAACACCAGTGCAGTAGTGTTGCGTAGCCTTGACATATCTCTGCATGGTACCTACAAGAGGGTAAGTAAGATTGGGATCAGTTTCTAGAATTGGTTGACCAAGTGAAAGCTTACTTGGAGATGAGCCCTTGAAGTTATTGTTAGCTTGAGCCGAACGGTGTTGGTGCAGATATGCCAGAGGCACTCGGGTATTGACTCACTGCTGCAAGCCGCTTGTAAATACTGTCATGTGCAAGTACGACTAGCTCATCAGAAGATCGATGGATATCGGGCAACATGATAGACAACAAATTGCTGATAATTCGTTGCGAGGTATCCGGGTCATTCGTCAATTCCCCGTCATCGAACACTTTGATATCGTTAGCTGGAGATAGTCATAGAAGCCTTAGTTCAGCTCACTGTCATCGAAGGCGAAAACCTAACATTGTTCTTGTTAGCCAAATGTATGCGATACATTGTTTCGGAAAGCTCACCCAGTTGCTCCAATCACAAAGAATCCGTAATTTCTCCTGGTTTGCATGAGGAAAAACAATCGCACAAAAGTAGGCAAAGTCGCAATAGTTGACTTTCTTGCACTCTTGTTGCGAGAGAGACATTACGCTGTCCTTATCATTAGTATTCCTCGTTCTTGAACCGTTTAAGAACTATTTACCTCTGCAACCATATCTCTGACTGATATCTGGCGGAATCATAGCCAGGATTCAGCATGGGGTCCCTGACCAAGAAACTCTCAAACAAGTCTGGCAATACTATGGTGACTTTCTGGTCCAAGGCGTCTGAGTGCGATAATATATGAGACATGACGATGGCGAAGAGGCGAAGAGATGCTTTGATAACCTTGCTTAAAGTGTATATGGTGAAAGTAATGGGCAAGCACTCAAGCTTAGAATTAGTAGATTGGGCCAGTATTTATTCCTTTTGTAGGATACCGGCTGAGCCTTGGAATAGGCAGCCTTTATGGAACCAACACAGACTGCGGCTCTCTTCCACCGAACAGTCACCGATCGGTGATGGTTATCGGTTAGCGCGATGTGTGCTCTCTACCCTGTACGTATCACTTACTAAAACCATGATTCCTCCATAATCAAAAGAATCTGAGGTCAGCGCCGCAGGAGACATGTGCCTAGTCAGAGCGACTCGGTGGTAGGATAGTCAGTCTATGCTCCAGCGAATCGGAGCTGGACGCGCACAGTTGAACCTCGTACCTGTACATGCTGAATATTTGGAGGAAACCCGTGAACATCCGTCTGGAGCCGTTTGACCCGCTATAGGCAACTCTGAGCTTTGGGCGGCCAGGTATCATCCGCTTGCTGTGAGATCTTGCCGACACGTCTGCGCCGCTTGTTGGCACAGCCACCGGATACGCCATTGACCGTGGAGTTTACATAGTAGTCACAGCAGTAATGACAAAGTGGGTCCCTGGGCTGAGCATTGATCCTGGTACTCCACTCTGAATCAGCTCACGAACTTTCTCTCTAGTACTTCCTGAAGACTCCGGAAGATGCCTCACGCGGTCACAACCAGTATCATGGGGTCTTTTCCGTTGTGTGTGTTGGGTTGCACATTGGCACGCAGCCCCCTGTACTTTGCCCAATCACAAGGTCTGGCTTACTCCCTATAATCTTCCATCTATACCATTGGGGTCCAATCCGCACGGGAGTGCCAAGATTATCTCTGCCTTACGGATGAGGGATAGGCATGCAAGGTTTCCGGTAGAGTTCGAGGTGGGTGAAGCTGGAAAGACTTGGTTCGCTTCCGCAAGCTGGTGTGGCCTCCTTCAAGTTAATACTCGCTTGTAAATTGATAGTAGCATACATGTGGGGTGTGAAGTTGAAGTCTCGATTGCGTTTAGAGGTACCAAAAGCACGTGGCTTATGGAGTGAGATGTCACTCATAGCTCATGCCCACATTTTCCGGCACGCTGCCTGTGATATAGCGTAATTGCATGGGGCTATGCAACACTCAACCCGCCGCCTGTTCAGCGTTTTCCAAGGCTACTGCCTGAGGACTGTGCGAAATTCGGTAAATGAAAAGGCGGAGGACCGGGTTCAAGCTTCCCCGCTCACTGCGCTCGGGCCAAAGTGGAAGAATCCATGATGAGTCTGACGGCTTTAGAAACCTAAGTATCCTGCGTTCCAACATGTTCGCATCCAGTTATATGGGACAACCATCCTTACTCTGTTGAGAACTCCCTGTTTGACTCTGACGGAGTGGTTATTCTTGAGGCACCCTCGCGTGGCACCTGATCGAGTCTTGCGATACGAAAACTGGGAACCTCCAGCTGAGGTGAGCAGCTATAATAGCATGCTGAGCTGTGGTTCAAGGAATCTCTAATCCGATACGCAGACTCCTTGCAGTACTGCAACCTACTTTGTTCACTATAACCTAGAATCATTCCCCGGCCTCCCCGTCTTTTGATCCGTATCGCTGGATATGTGCTGCTGAACAGGGACAGCACCCTGAAAGTCACCTTGCGCTTTTTTCGAAAGGAACTAGATCCTGCGTAGTGGGTGGATCTTGTGGGGGCTGTTCCTCGGCAGAAGAACGGCTCATATGTACACAAACGGATTAGGTTCGGCTCAGCCCTATGCTGGTTCATACTCTTCAGGTATGTACCGTAGATCAAATCATCTCGCAGGATTTCTTGCTGGAAACCGGCGTGCGTCCAGAGGCAGCGTTGAGACCGTACCGTGGCAATCCTTCGGAAAGGGGGGCGGGAAAAAAGAGGGTGGGGGCGGGGGGATGGCGAAGTGCGTTATGATCAACAAAGCAGGCAGATTGACGTCACTTTCGAAGTTTTGCCTTCTTCCTTGTTTAAAACAAGTCGTATTCAAGGAGATAGAGAGGGAGGGGGTGGAAAGCAATGGCAGTCTACCGGCAGAGACCAGCATATACCGTGGAAAAGCGAATCCTTGTCGAAACTAATCGGTGTGGTAGCATGGATGTAGCACGTGGATCCTTGCCTTCTAACCTCCATTGGAAACAGCCTTGTAAGGCTGACTCTAGCAGCGTCAAATACTCAACCAATCATCGCCAGAGCCCGTTCACATTTGAAAATTGTCCTCCGGCGGGGGCCCACCCTTTTGCAGCACCTACCCACTGCTTTGCAGAACTCAGTCCATCCTTCGAACCAGTCAGCTTCGTCAATCCCGAGGGCATTGTTTGCGCGGCCCCCACTGCTAAAGGATCCTGTGGAGTGGGGCAGTAATCAAAGAGAAGCAGCAGAGCCGCTCAGCCCTACCGATGAGGTCTGCGACGACTTGTTTGGGATGCATGCTTTGGGCTTCATGCAGTACGCCTCTTGGTCAGCTGAGAGCTCGAATGTTCCGGCGACGAGGCAAAATCCGCAAGAATGAGTCCAGTGCTCACGCCCACCGCTCATGATTTAAGGGACCAATGTCTTGAGTTTCCCTATAGCTTTGTTTTAATGTTGGCTGGCAATATGAAGGTGTGAAAATAGATCTATCACTTTGAAGCTAAACCGTGAAAGCCTTGATGGATGGTCTGTTTGCCCATCATTGGCTGATGACTCCAACAAGAGCTACTCCGTCAAAGGACGCGCATTTGGTCATCTTATCGGATTGTATATTATAAGATCCGATCCAAGCAGACTTAACACGTGGAGTAGTCAGCACGGCGCATCTGGTGCTGCTCGTGTCACCCACCCTCGGGTCTCTCGGCGCAAGATGACCGTGACTCCGACATGAAATTGGCGTAACTCAGTAGTGCTTATCAGTCGCCCTTTGCAATAAGACATCTCTTCTGCCAAAAAGCTACTGTTTACCTCCTCAAGAAGTAGCCATAACCAAATAAGAATACGAATTTCAGAAGATGGCGACCAACGGCTCGACAGGAAAAGTCTTGTCCCCGACAGCACTGGCCCATGTCGTCCTGCAAACTTCACAGTTTGAGCCCATGGTTGCGTTCTATAAGGCCTTCCTGGGAGCCCACGCGACTTACGAGAATGAGTTTCTCTCATTCTTGACTTACGATGAGGAGCACCACCGGGTAGCCATCGCATATGTGCCCTCGACCACGCCCAAGGTCCCGACGTCGGCCGGTTTGGCCCACATGGCCTTTTCATTCAAGACTTTGAAAGACCTCCTGCTTGCCTACGGTCAGCGGAAGGCTCGAGGGATCATGCCGATCTGGTCGGTCAATCATGGCCCCACCACGAGCATCTACTATCAAGACCCCGACGGCAACCAGATCGAGACCCAGGTGGACAATTTCGAGACGATTGACGAGGCCAACGCATTTATGAATACCCCAGAATTTGCGGAAAACCCTATCGGCGTCGACTTTGATCCTGAGGATCTGATCAGAAGGGTCGAGAGTGGTGAGGATGAGGGGAACTTGAGGAAGAGACCCCGCATTGGACCTCGAGGAGTGGAAGGGTTGCCTGTGCCACCCAAACCCGATGTCCGTAGAAACTACGATGTTGTATCGGCTTAGGGGGTCTGCCAGTGAATGTGCTGGAAATCGGCACGCAATTTGGAAAGAGCGGCACCTGTTGCGTCGGATCATATGGTATTACTCGTTTTCACAAAGAAGTATCTGGGTGGAGATCTATACCGGCGGCGACTGAACACAGAGGTACTAAAATAGTCAAATGATCCCCCGTACCAGAATACAAAAACAATCCTTTAGCTAAGAGATCTGAATCAATTGCCTTTGCGAGACAATCATTTCACAAAATAATACAATGACCCATCTTGAGCGCCGTGATTAGCTTCTACTTAGGCAATGAGGTTAGCCGCCCAATTCTAAGTTTATTGTTACCAAATACTTCCGACGTCGCTGGCTCGCATGGTCCGAGCAAGACTTATTGTAGCTGGACCTCATACGGCCCTGAAGTTCCTACTTCGACGTCCTGTCTTATCCACGAGGAGTGTTTGAACGAGAAGTGGTGAAAAAGACCGTGGGTCAGGCCTCCACCACAGCTTTCCGTCACTTCGTCTTGCATCATAATCAAGACTTCCTACGCGGCTATCCGAGTACTACCAAGTCCCTGCATTTATGAGTTATAGAATGGAAGCCTCGAATTATTCGAAGTCCATGTGAAACATCATCTTCGCGTAGTTGTGCAGAGTGACTGAACGAATAATGAATCACTCGAAGCAAGTCTAAGCTGTCTGCCAACAGAGGTGAGCTCCATTATCTGGCAACGTATTCAAGAATACCAGAGACGTGTATTACGAATGCTACTTTCCGGTTCCTATAGATTTAGAACTCAAGGTGCTCGACTGAAGCAAAGGTATGACAAACTCCTGAACGTCTTTGGGCACTCGTATCAGCGTACTCGCGAATATCTCTTCCATATGCAAGACTATTTGATTCTCTGTTTCACGCGCATGATAAGTTGGAGGATACTTCGTCTGCACCACGAACACACCATGCCATAGCTCGACAATACGAGGCAGGCTGGGCTTTGATCATCCAGTGCCAAACCGTGAAGCACCTGTGGTTCATAACAGATGTGCTATTACCTAGACTGTTGATTAATTACTAGTCGATGATATCGAAGAAAGATTTCCGCATTTTTTTTTTGGCTTCGTCCATAATGCGAAAGCCTCTTGAAGACGGGATACCTAGGCAGATTGACGAGGGCAAGGAGTTGGTATTCTAGTATGGACACCTCGCCAGAGAGAACTGGTCCAGAGTTTGTGGAGGAAGTCCCAGACGGCACCTCGTGTCTCGCCCGGTCCTACTTTGCCTGATCTTAGAAGTGAGATGGCCTTCACAAACGCTATCGTGGGGCACTTTTCTTTCGACTAGAAAATATGAACATTACATTGGAAATTTCCGCTGGGAAGGTGAACAAGAGACCATAACGCCATCTCAGACAGACTGTAATAGGAAAGACAAGACAATTCAACCCAGAAGAACCTCTCTCTTTTGCAAACCCAAACTATCCGCTACGTTTGCCCATTTCATTCCAGAATTGAATTGAATCAGACCGCACCCAACCCTTTCAAATATAACGAGGCCGTCTTGTACCATTCCCGTCTCTCTCATAAATAATCCTCGAACGCAGTCAGCATCTGGTATCATATCATTCGAAGAATTGTTGGTCAAGAATAGGGGGGAAAAGATGGCTTTGGTCCCTAGCAATGGGGATATGATGTCAACCTCATCTACCCATACCCGAAAATGTTCGATGCTATGTGACATGCTATCAGGCGTAGTTATATAAAATAATTGAGCTTTTAAGGAGTTGAGGATGTGAAGTATTGTCCTGCCGGCACTCCAGTCGGCTTTCAGCACTCCTTCAATCACAAAAGAGCTGACCTTCAGGGTCACTGAGGGAAATCGATTCGATTCCACGCCTCTAGCCTCTGAGTTCACTTTGTAGCTCACAGCATGAGCCAGGACGCCGGCTTCATACGCCGAGCTAGAATCGCCATTATCGTAAGATCTGATCTTATCAAAGTACACAAAACCATCCACAGACGCCCAACTCCAAGTTGGAGGCCTGTGGAAGTTTGTGTCATTCTCGTTGCATGTTGGATAAGTTCTTCTCATTGTTCGGCGCCAGGATTCGGCCCCCTGTTCAGAGCCCAAATTTATATGACTGCAACTCCAGTAGAGGCTTTTGATCATCGTTTTCCAGAAGTGGCCCTCCACGTTTTCATCAGCCATCGCTTGGCCCATACGAGTGGTTACGGCGGAGAGCGCAACCAGCTTGTCCTTCTCAGGGTATGTCAAGAGCCGAGAAGAGTATTGGTATACAATATGAAACCATTTTAAGCAGAGTCCATCGAGATTAGAGGATGTTGGGATCAATAGGTCGTCATTGGCCAAGATGTATTTGGTAAGTTCTGCACCGGTTGGAAAAGATTCGCACGCAAACGGAAGCTCCTGACAAGTCCAGAACATCTCCGCGACGCCAAATCCAACAACGCGTGCAGGAAGAACTCTCTCTTGAAAAGCCCACGCACGGGATGCAAGAGGTTGCAAGCGATATGCGTTGCGATAGTACGACGCGGACACAACGATATGACTAGCGGCGTCTTTGCCATGTTCAGGACCAATTGCTGTGACATTAACCTCGAATGGGGCCGCGAACTCCGGAATTGGTCCACTAAGAACACTTTCGTGCGGATTTGCAGCTCGATCTAGAGCTAAGCAAACAATGCAGTGCGAATAGACTTCGTGCATCCTGGAGGATTCGTAAAGCCAGTCTTCCTTGCTCCCAGGCCCGTCTTGAATAATGCAGAGGCAATCAACCCAAAGATAACGAATGCGAAGGCGCCTTATGAAGTCAACCGCTTCACGAAAGGCAACGGGTAGCTGTTCATCAAGAATGCCGGCTTGTAGAGAACCCATATTTGAAGCTGTGAGGCGGAGAAAGTTGTAAGGCGGAGGGCCCCAGCAGTAACTCAAGGCAGCGTATGGGCCATACACATTCTCTTGCTTTGTTAGGACAAGGCGCACCCCAGATTCTCGTAACTCAAGTAATCGAGTCGGATAGGATGTTGGGTTGGTATGTTTTGAGCACCGGGAATGCTGGCGTGAACAAGTAGCCATCCATTCTCGAACAACGGCTGTGGAGTCCGACAATGGAATTACCCCCTTCCTGTCTGCAATGGTCAAGTTCGTAAGGAAAGACGATTTCGGAACGAGAAAGTAATACCTGTCGGTACCACGATCATCGATATGAAAGACGATGCAAGCAAACGGTGACAGATATGTGTATCTGTAGTACCAGGATTTTGAAGTCAGGTCGATACCATGACTGGCGCTCATGATGGTGCTACGCCACAATAGGTCCTTGCAGACAATACAACCAGCTGTTGCGGACTTGGCAAGAGACGCTTGATTAGGTTGATGGTCACCCCTCCAACCGCGTTCTTTCGTCCAATTCTTCTGGAAGGCGGCTAGGCATAGGTTGCAGAGCATTCTTGTTGACAGACCGTGTCCCGGAAGCGTTGGCAAGCTGCAAGTGCATGTTCTAGGGCGCGATGCGAAATTTGCGCGCGACTTCGAGCTTCTGATGACATGCAGAACTTTGAGAAGATTGCCGGGTTTGTGTTCTGGAAGGATATGGTCAGTTTATGAACGAACAGGGAGTGAACTCCGTGGCTGCGCCGCGTCGCTAAGCCGTTTTTTCGTAGGCACCCTGGGGCTGTAGTGATTGCAGTGGCTATTGACGGGCAGGACTGCCCTACCATCACCTCAGTCCGCCTGCACTCCCGCCCTCCAACTCAGCAACAAGTAGACTTTAGTTCGGTGACACAAGGCAGACTTTCCTTCTTTTCACCAACTTCCAACGCTTGGCACACCAGTCAGATGCTCACGCTGTGCTTGGCGCCCAGTGCGGTCGAATAGGGAAGGCCTCAGCTGCAGGTGGCTTAAGCAAGGTAAAGGGGAGGGGGCAAGGTCAAACGACGCATGATGAAGCCTCAATGGCCTACCGTAATAACAGCTTAGGCAGTCTCAAATCATGATAGATCAACTTCTTCCTGAAGACTCATTTGTTGGGCGTACTCCTCGTAAGCAGCCACGGCGGGCCGCAGCCCAAAGATCTGGAGGGTCCTGTCCCACAAGGCAGCTCAGTATTAGTCTATTCTTGTTCACTGCGGTCCTTCTCCTCTTCTCAGTCACGAGGATCTCATCCTGAAACCCATAATCAGTTAGCCTTTCTCTGCAAACTTTCTTTAAGCAAACCTCTTCAACACTACTAAGTACCTAGCACGCAACGGGTACCCTGTCCCACCAAGTATTGATGCCCAACCTTACACAGGAATGGACATCTTATCTCAAGAATCAAGCGAAGTGGTACATAGAGTCTTGAATGCTTCAGATTTCTACTACGAGACCTGCTATGGGCAGGCAAGTTGCTGTGGGATGAATAGTTCATAAGGAAGCTGACGAGGACAATCCGACATTCGCAACGCCCTTCATTGGAAATCACTACGAAGAACTTCATGTTCTGTTTTAAGTGAGGGAGGTCGCATAAGGCTAAGAACTGACCCGTACCCCATGAATGTCCCTCGTGGAAAGTGTGTCGCAAAAGGCCCCGGCACACCAGGATGCCATTATAGCGCTTTCCCTCTTGTTTTCATAGCCTCATCAAGAGTTTGCTCAGCCTGGCAGCTCTTAGGATTTATCAACATTTCCATTACTTCGACGGAGGCCTCCGTCCACTTACGTTGACGCAGCAGCATGGGCTTTCGGTGTTCTTGCCAAGGTTCCTAGTATCTACGTCGTGATCAACCCACCCTAACCATCCAGTGCCGATGGTCATGCCGAGGACATTATCTGGAGGGTGGCCAGAGGTTGATTGTAGACGGAACCCTCGGATACCTTCGGCTTCACTTCGTTGACCAAAAACAGATTGCTGAGCTTTGGGCCGGTCTTCGCAGCCGTGCTCGTGATGCCGCTTAAGGCAATTCCTCCTGATGGAAAGAGACAACATTTTCTGATACTAGAATTTGTGGTGTCTATCTTGGGAATGCTCATAATGATGCTATTCATGGGGGATGGGACTTGGGGCGTCCTAGACCTGATCGCTATGTGTGTCTCTTGGTGCGCGATTGCTTCATACATAACCGTCGACGGGCTCAGAGGAAGCGTTGTGGCTGGAGAGGGATATGGGTACTCACAAGTATTGCGGACGAGTTGACAGCAGTGCAGATGACGACCAGTCCCCGTCCTTCTTCTTCATAAGCGACCCCGAAGTCAGATGTTGGTGAGTCTCTCTTGTAGCAACCATGCGTCCACGGACGAAGCTAACAATGCACTAGGTGGCCGGGCGTCTCGCACGGACAATTGACACGATTGGTCCCAATCTTGTAGACAGTAGAGATGTAGTCCTTGTTTTGGTGCTTTCGAGTGGAGCTTAGTAATTGTGAACTTGCATGCAATGTGTGATCCTGGAATTGACTGAGATCGACTGATTGCTGTATGCACTCTCGTCATGAAAAGGCTGCCATCTTGCACTTCTAGAAAACCCCACCCCTCTCACCAGAACAATGGGAAGCGCTATTGATCGATTGATTGTTTGATTGTCTCTTTTCCGCAGTGGGCGGGAAATAAGCTAATTAAGGTCACCCAGCCCTCTTGCTGATTGCCGCCTTCCGTAAAGCAAAAGGCATTTATTTCAACGGCTTCCAAATCCTTCCTCTCCCCTTCTGAGTACTTCATTGAGTTGTGCATTTCGAAATTCCTTCTCATTGAGGAATTAAAAGAAAAAGCACCTATGCAAGAGACTCAAATGAAAAAATTCTTTCAGCGAGGAGCAATTTCGTACCGGGGACTTGTCCAGAAATTGGTTTCCAACTGCTTGGCGGAGGCGATCTGTTTCGATTGTAGGTCGTCTCCGGTGTAAGGGAGGCAACTAACACTTCCGAACTTGTTATCGGTTGCCTCCCAGAATGCAGCCTCAACCATTCCGCTGTTACAGAAAATGCTGGTATGAAAAATCGCGAAGAGTGTTGTTTCTTCGCCCTTTTGAGGTCCACAACCGACGATCGGTGTGACGACGCATAATGGGAACTGCTTGAGGCCGATCCAAAATCGATGACATACATTTCCCATTCTTTGAGCTTCGGGAATGAAAACTTGCCATCTGATGCTGACGTTCTTCCATTGACTGGTGCATCTTGGACCGCCAATTGCTAGGCCAATAGAGGCAGCAAAGACGAGTATGGATGTCAGGGGAACGTAAAATTGCATAATGGATAGTCAGGTCCTGATTTGGCAAACGAGGGAATGCAAAATGAGAACTGCGCCACGGAAAAGAATAGTAGCTGACCTCGGGACTTGGTGTTATGTAGGAGTATTACATCGTTCAGAAACAAAATGTTGTAGAGCTAGATTACTCCATTTTCCGATTCAAGCGAGGTGATCCAGGCAGATTTATACTTTTATCGCGCTCAATTCGTAATACTCGCAATAACTTAGATGCAGGGTTCATTGATGCTAGCACAAGCCGGTCAGTCTCTCGCTCGCACGATCAAACCTGGGCGACTGGGAAGGCAGGCCTTCCCTCTCACCGGTAACAGACAGCGAATGCTTGGCCATGTCTTACACGAGGAGTCAGAGATTTAGTACTTTTGAGCTATACCTCACGTCGCCCAGTTTGAACTTTGACAGCCGAGCAAGTGCGCGACGGTTTCTATAAAGGCTTAGACCGGCCTCGCGCTATAGATGATAGGTCGAACGTCACGAGGGTTGGACAAGATCACCATAGTGACTGATCCTGAAGGCCTTATTGGACACTTTTTAAGCTACCGCCAAAATGCGAAGGCCCGTATTGAGCTAATCGGAGAGCTATGTCACAATGAGGAGCCATTGGAGCGTTCACGATGGCAGCATGTGTCTGAAACTTCAGGACGAGAAAAGAATTTGCCATTAGTACGCTGCCTTCTTGCTAGCACATTATACGTCAAGAGTTTATTGTTTGTTCAGAGGGTGAATAAAGAAGTAATGATGCCGAAGCAGGCAAAACATGTATCCTGACAACCATGCTCGACCATGAACGCCTCCACCTCTTTACCTGAAAACTCAGACATTTCCAACAGCTGTGGTCTGTCATGAAAGCTTGAAAACCGATTCTGTCCAAAGTATGGCTTTGTCGCCATCATGTTAGAACCTATCTTGCCATTCTTGCAGCCGATAATCAATCTTCAGGCAGCCGAGCTCGAATATCACACCATTATATCTGACATCAACCCAGAATTCGCAAAACGAAGGCGCTGTGGACCGCGTAAAATAATGCAGGCAATTCCTCGTTCTCGAGCTAAATTGGGAGCCATCATTAGGTGACTCTCCAATGACACTGCACGCGACCGCATTTTTCTTGAATTCTGAAATCCTAGTGAACAATCTGATGATTATTTTGAAGGCTCTGAGGGAATCCAAAAGTTTTGGCCTAAAGGATAATTGTAAGTAGAACACATCATGGAATATATGAACACAAAGCTCAAGACACCGTACCAGTTCTTACAGGGCGAGAAACATTGCCCAGGCAGAATCTCTATTCTTCTAGCTCTTTTTAGCGACGTATGGCCCTAGTCTTAGGGCCGTCTCTAAATATAGATAAAAATACACATCTTCAGCAAGCCACTTGAAGTCAATTGGTATTTGCTCGCGCCTCAACAAATAATACCACAAATGAGTTTCCATGCTCGTCCGAAAAATGGCTATCAGTTCAAGGTTCACTCCTAGTCCAAACATGCTTGAACGCACGCTGCAGTCATCAATTCTTACTTTTTCACAACGCCTACTTCCTCATTAGAGGTCACGCTCTCATTACCCGCTTCCTTGTCAGTCCTTTTCTTCAACAAATGCGGTGGGCACTTGCCGCCTTTCGACGATCGAGGGAAATCGTCGGCAACGCAGTCTACACTACCCGAGTTGGCTGCACGGGTGCCGGCTATTTCGAGGGTTGGAATTGCTTTCTTGCCCGCTCGTACGGGGTGCAGATGAATCACTAACCTATGGCATTGATGAGTCCCATGGCCATCTTATTGGCGACGTCTTTGGCGCCATCAATCTGCGGAGTACATCAGTACTCCAGCCAAGAGATTGCTGATTTCAAGCAAGTCTGCCCATGATTGGCTTACCACCCCAGACCCGGCCATAATTGTGACGATTAGTTGACAGAAGGATCAGTATGTGTGATGGGGAAATTCGGGATGGTATGAGAAGCCCTTGATAGCCATATAGTACGTATTGGCAAAGTTGCTAGGAAGGGGCAGGTCATTAAATAGAAGAGACGCACTCAAATACTGTAAGAGCATGTCCATCTGCCAAGCGTCTTGGCTTTTGCGGCACGGAGACCAGTTGATTTGCCAGTCGTGTGTTTTTCTTGCCCATCTATCTTGGCGCCCAGAAGCGTGATCGAAGATCTCACCCCATGTGTTCTAGGCTTGTCTTGGGAGACCGGGGGATGTCATAAGGCTGACTTATTTGTGCCGCGCTGTTATATGACGACCAGTCTTGCTCAAGCCTCGGTGCTGAGCCTCCAGTGCACAGCTCATGTTCCGTGTTCGACATATGCAACCGGAGCTCGAAAGCAACTATGATCTTGATCTTGACCAGAAGTCGTAACACACAGATTGTATTGTACAGCGACCAAAGTATTCGTATCTGGAGCGAATCATCCTACTATGGAAGATCAAGAGCCTAAGATCCCGCTATACTACTGCGCGAATCTTTGTAACACAATGGAAATGGCATGCCTAGGTAAATGACAGAAGTTACGCACATGGTGATGGCTTGCTTCTTGGACCAGTAAGTTCTTCTATGGCTTGGAAATGTTTGAGGCCGAGAATTATATGCATTTGGAAAGAAAAGGAAGGACGGCAGTGACAGCAGCATTTACTTAGAAAATGAACGTTTGCGAAAATTGAAGAGGGATATAAAACAAACACACATACACAGAGAGAGAGAGAGAGGGAGGGGGAGATATTAAACAAATACAGTGACTGCAGAAATAGATCTCACCAAAACATAGATGCCCTTTTTTCGAAGATGGCTGAAAGGAACAGTGTAGATGGCCTCCATAAAGCATCTTCTTGCTGGACCTATGAGTGCGTGTGGAATGCTTGTACGTACTCCCGGTTGAACTATTCTCCAGGAAATGGATGCACCCGAGCCCCTGGAACTAAGTCTTTGTGTTTTACTTACTGCAGCCAGGAATAGCGACTGCTATCCGTGGGTGGTGCAAAAGTTGGGGTACAGTGTGATAGAGAGGCCGTAAGACTCAATGTGGTGCCTCCACGTGTGACAATTGAGATGGTTGGTCCTGGGTTCCATAGATAGAAGACATTGTGTGCCCGTTCCACCGTCCCGCTGTCATACTACCAGGGATGGAATCAATGTTCCCCGCCCTATCGGCGTAAGAGGAATTGCTGCTCCAGGGTGGTCAGGCGATGCTTATGTGGCGACGTGCGAGGGACATTCGCGGAGGAACCCGAGAGTGAAGAAAACCAAAGACCATCAACCTAGCGAAAGCTTCGGAATAAATTAAACTATATTCTTTTCCATAATCTGCATTTACTGAGAATGTGTTCAAGGGCTTATCGCTATTCATTATCCACAGCACCAGGTAAACCTTGCAATCTAGGCCTGCCGTCTTTGCCGTTACATTACTCAAAAATAGCCAGGTTCTCAACGCCGGCATGAGGTGGCTGGGTCATCGGGACCAACCAACAACGATCGAAGCAGGGCATCAGCGCATCGGGCTAAAATAGGACAGAACTGGGATTATGCGGTCACCGACCTGGCCAGACAGAAGAGGATAAGAAGGGACAGCTTCCCCTCCACTTCCCTGCGCGCCAACTCACTCCCTCCTCCACGTCCTCATTGTTCTTACATCCTCAATCATCATCAGTGATCCCGCAGTAGCCCCTCTGCTCACGGTTTAACAACCTGCCCATCGATAGCTATCTCTGCTAAATCTACCGCACAACATGCCTGAGGTCAACGCCCCCCAGCAGCAACAGCCCATGGAGGCCCCCACCGACTCCACCGTCGTCACCCAGCAGCCTGTGAGTTCCGCTCTGCCTGCCATTCCTGCCCTCCCTTTCCAAACACAGCTAATTGGAATGCGATACAGGAAGCACAGGAGCAGATGAACACTGATATGAGCCTGCGTGGTGGTTGCGGCGAGTCGCTTGACTGCTGCGGCATTACCGAGAGCTGTGGTTGCTGCTAGAGGGAGCGTCGATTAGATCGGATGATCAAACTTGGTTTATTAGCGAAGATGGAGGGGCCCCATCCCCATACACCCTGGAGCTCTGGGATCCCTTGGTTTGTTGGTTATGTACGGTAGATTTGTTTCAATGTGCTGGGGAAGTCAGCTATCCTTCGAACATGATGTTGTGAATCAACTCAGACAATCCATACAATTGACAAAATCCAGAGATCTACATGACGGCCTTCCTTTCTTCATCTGTCGTTGCATTGCAGTCCACAGCTTGATGGCTAGTGGCCGTTGCAGAGGAGAGCAGAACAAACGCGTTGTGGATCCCGCCAAGATGGGAAGCCGACGGCCTAAGCTGAAGTGAAGATGCTTGGTTGCTTGGCAGGGCTGCCAGGGCCCGCCAGGGCTCTTCCATCAAAGCTTGACTCTTGAGCTTGTCTTCTTTAGTCCGATGACATGACGTCAAGGTCGGGGCATCCCCACATCGCAGCGAGCCAATAATGACCGTTCAGGGGGAGCTCCGCGCTGCCGTACGACTCTTCCAGAACGGCCCATGGTCCAGGGGGTGAAAACAGGAAATTGGCAAACGCTGCTCCGCCTCCGCACTGGACACAGCTCGCACATTGACGCCGGAAATGCAGAAGTGTCCAACGGTTGCATGAGTATGCTTGAAGTCCGAGACGACCTCCATTGGTGAAGAAAACTGTGTTAGGACGCTATGGCGGGCTACGACGGTGCTAGAGTGGCAATTATACTTCTTTAATCACATATACTATTGGAACCACACCGCCACATTCTCAGAAATCGCAACGCGTCAATGCGGAGCCCCCGTGTGGCTTGACATACTACCCCGTATAGAAGATTATCTAACAGAAAGTACTACAAGAGGTCATTAATAGGGAGGCTATTCCATAGGAGGTTATTCCATGGGAGGTTATCCCAAGAGAGGGTACCCTAAGAGAGATCATCCTAAGGGTGCTTATCCTACAGCCTCCCCCTTCTTTTTACTTATCCATCCCAGAGATGTTGTGGCCGCGGAGTCGATAGTCGAGCTTAAGCTCGTTTTCATCCAAAGGGGACGATGGCAGAGATACGCTAGCTTCTCATTCCAATACGATATATAAATCTCAGGTGGAAAATGAGAAGCCGAATTAGAAAATGGACCGTGATCAACGCCCGACATCTGGCGCCATCTCGCGGATCAAGTCCATAGCTCCTTTCCTAAAATCATCTGCTTCCAAGGTCATCCCTCGACTCGCATTGAAGACGAAATTCACAGGATCTGAAGCCGTGTAAGAAGGCCAGTCCATACTCAACTTGGAATCTGCAACTTAGAATTGTATCAGTTCCAGGGCTGCTGGTGCTGCAAGATAAATATATGGTCTCACCTTCATTTGGGTTACCGTCGTTGACAAAGTTGACCCACATGCGCCCCATCATCTTGCTCATATTGACATATTTATTTCTGAGCGCTAATGAAGACACAGAAAATGGATTTGATTCAAACCCCAGACCGCTCGTGTCCCCAAATACGAACGCCACCTCTTGAAAGTGTGCTGCCCCAAGTGTGAGCGGATCCAAGTCAGCTGGCACGGTATCGAAGCGGTAGCTGTAAACGGTGGCATTATGGGCTGCCCAAGACTCGGCAGTGATGCGTCTACCTGCGATGAACAGGAGGTCTCCGAGCAGCAAAGAGACTTTGCCATATGCAGATCCGTAAGGGTAAGAAGGATCAGGTAGAACGGTGCCAAGCTCGGCACAGGAGTCATCTGCCACGGCAGCATCATAAAATTGATCTAGCCGATTGACTGTTTCGTCTGAAATATTGAAAGGTGCATGAAAGATCTTGACTGTCGCTGCAAAGTCTGCGGAGCTGTTCGCCTCAATACTAGAGAAGAGAGGCACAAATGGGGTGCCTTCATTCGTATTGGTGCCGATCAGGAGTGGGACTTTGGCAAAGGCTCCCTTTCCAAGCGCGACAGAACTCAAATCAGTCCACAAATCGTTGTCAATAATAGGATACCAGGAGCTATTTGCGGAGACAGCCTTCAATTTGTCGGCATGGATGTCTCGTAGGCAAGAGATGACGTTGGAAGAGGCCGAACATCCTGTGTCTTGAAGCACTTTGTCGAGCTCGGAGTCTTGTGCTGCTTCGTCGGCTACCATTCTCGCAAAGAACGGTCCTCCGCTCTCTGCTATAGCAGCACTGAAGAGTCTATTAGAGTCGCCGCCATTGGCGAGCAGGTGGTAGCCAACCGATAGAGCACCAGCAGATTCACCATGAATAGTGACGCGCCGAGGGTCCCCTCCAAAAGACTCAATATTCTCCTGTATCCATTGGAGTGCCAAGCGCTGGTCGTGCAGGCCGATGTTGGTCATGCCTGCGTCTCTGAAGTCTCGTCCTGAGGCAAAGCCGAAAGTGCTCACTCTATAGTTGAAGCTGACACCAATAATTGGCTTTGACATCTCTGTCGATGTCTGTACGAGGTAGGACATGTTGTAGCGCGCATCGCCGCTGCCACCCTCCTGAAAGCCACCGCCATGAATCCACGCCAAGACGGGCAGTCCTGGTTCATCATAGTGCATCCCAGAAGGGCGGATAACATTGATGGTTAGACAGTCTTCGTTCTCATCGTACGAGATTGTCTTTTGGTCAAAACCAGTGAGACCAACACTGACTCCGAAGCAAAAGGGGCCGTACTGCTGTGCGACCCTTGGCTCCGACCAGCTTTGGTTCACTGGCTGTGGACGAGCAAAGCGAAGCTGACCCACAGGTGGTGTTGCGAAAGGTATTCCCAGGAAAAGATCTTGATGATAATTGGGATTATATGCGCCAATAACAGACCCATTCTTGATAGTGACAGTGGGACTGTGGAATTTGGTGTGGAACGGAACAGCTGATACGGCCCCAACCAGCCAGATCAGCTGGAGCAAGTAATGTGAAAACGACGCAAACATAATGACTGCAAAGGCAGGTCTGAAAATGTTCGGAAGTGATGTCAAAGCATGGGATTTTACCTGGATTTCGTCGAGACATCTGGCTTTTTATCAACGAGCTGATGATAAAACCACCTCACTTCTCTTCTCCCTCCACTTAAAAACGGATGCCCCGGACACTTGATTGCAGACTAAACTAGTCACGATACCGTAACATCAATCTCGCGTGGTCGGAAGTTGTCTAAGATGAACAGCGAGCTTCCAAGGCTGCTACGAGTCGAACATCATGACCCGGTGCGCTCTTTTTTATCCGAAAAGTCCGGGTCCACAAAATCGTCACGAGCCACGGAGTAACACCGAATTGTTCCCCAAGCAAGCGCTCAAGGATTCGCAATAAGACCTGTCTTAGAGTGATGATCACAAATAAGAGGATCGCCGTTCTGCATCCATGGTGCTCGGGTATCACATACAAGATTGGGACGACACCGCCACACTCTCAAAAATCGCAACAAGTCATTACGGAGCCCCTGTGGTTTAGTTACTCCCTTGTCCAGAGGATTGCCTAACAGGAACGTATCTTACAGAAGAATCCCACAGGAGATTATCCCGCAGAAGGTCATGCTACAGGAAATCTCCTACAGGAGATTGTCTTACAAGAAATTATCCCACAATAATTTTTCCTACAGGAGGTTATCCCATAAAATATGTTTTGTTGTAACATATCATCTCTTTTGGGACATCGTTCTATGGAGAATATTTTAGCCTTAGTTGCTTTGAGGTATTACTTTCTTTTTGATAAGTCTTTCTCGTTTTTTTCTATTGATTCTACATAAATGCTGTGGCCGCAAAACGAACACCGGCGCTTAATCTCATATGTTTCTTGGTATTGCTAACTTCCACAATGTATCTTGACGACGTGACTCTGCCTATATATATTCTGTCTGATTTTGATGAGGTTCATCTCTCCATGCTGCTTGTAGGCGCGCTATGTTCATCGGCGTTGAGCTCGGCGTTGAACACGCCGAAAGGAATTGTCCACTAAGAAGGAGCTAACGACATGCCAAGAAACCTTAAAAAACATATGGCGATCCCCTGAGGTGCTTACAAGCTACACACGAAATATTACGAGAGCGAATATTTGAAATCCAATGGCCGAGCAACAGGGATCTCGGTGCCGAGCAGGTCCGACAGAGCCCCTTAACTCCTTTCCACATCCGACCCTTCATCACGTCGCAATCCACTTTCTGCAAGCAACTTCGCAACTGTACGATCCCAAGCCAAGGAAGATGAGTTATCATCTAGAAGTGAATCAGACCGAGCCGCGTTTCGGTGAAGCACGACCCACCTATATGCCCTCAGCTACGCATGGCAGCTCTGATAGCGCAGGTCGCGCATCTGTGCCGCCTCGGCTGAGCAAGGCTTGCACTGTATGTCATTCGCGTAAGGTGAAATGTGATGCTTTGCTAGTGGGCGTTCCGTGTACTAGGTGTTCCAAGAGCAATCAGGCCTCTAGCTGTACGCTGTCCACACGAACTAAACGGAATCCGTAAGCCTGCGACTAGACCATGCTTTCGAAAGTGAATATTGTTGACTGAATTAATAATTGGACAGACGTGGTACTCACAGAGGCAAGGTTTTGCAGACGACGGGCGCCGCGATGGTGTCATCGAAACAAAACATTGTAAGCTGCCGTCTACCCCCGGGTCAAACATGATCAATTTAGAATCCTGACGCACCATATAGCCACTCCAAGGTGACAAGCAGCCATCCGTAGCTTTTGGAACTTCGCCACTATCAGATGCACAAATTTTGCGAAACTCGTTGGAGGGCTTGAACGAGGACCATTTCGCGAGCATCTTGGCCCACGCAGTCGAACTTACAGAGAAGGCTAGCTCAACATCAGGATGCAACAATCATCACAAAGGTCCCAAAATCTTCGACCAGGATAATCGCACGGCTGGACTTGATTTTGGTTTCTTGCAGATAAACCCTGATGATGCTAAATATCTATTGGGAAAGGGTGCATTTACACTACCTCCGCAGAACTGTTTGTATGTCAACACCTATTCACTGTTCGTCGAAGTTACTGGGCTAATTTTCGATGTAGAACAAGTCTCATCTTCGTCTACTTTGAATACATCCACCCATATGCTCCTGTACTCAACAGACTGGAGTTCATGAAGGCATATCAAGGCGGCAATTATTCCATTTTTCTCGTGCAAACCATTTTAGCTGCTGCCTCACTCCATGCTTCACTACCGATACTATCAGCATGTGGGTTCCAGCAACGAGCAGAGGCTCAAGCCGCCTTTTGCTCTAGGGCTATTCTGCTGTACGACTTTCAGTATGAGAAGAACGAAATGACACTTCTATATGGCTCTACTATTCTCGCCTCGATCACATTTTTCCAGCCGGCAAACAAGGACTGGCAATACTGGCTCTACAATGCTGTCCGTTTGATGGCCAAGATGGGATTTCAAAAGAGGTGAATTATTTGAAAGAGTTGACGGCCGGGCACAGAGCCGCGCTAATATATGACAGTGAAACTTACAATGACAAAAGCCCGGCAGCTTCAAGTGCACACCGCAGGATATGGTGGACTATTTATGTGTGTTGACTTTCACAGTTCCAAGACATCCACTGCCCTGTCTGCTGACAGTTGCCAAATCAAAGTGCCGTGAAGTATCGCTGTCTTATATTGGTGCTCATGGAATTCCCCTGGTTAGCCATACACAGTGGGATATTTCCATGCCTACAGTGGAAGATCTAGAGGGCGAGGACAGCGTCGATGATCTCGCTTTGCTTGGTCTCAACCCTTTGAGTCACCAGCAGAAATCGTACCTCACGGAGCACGCAAAGCTAGCACAAATAGGTGACTAATCCCCTGTATGTGATGGTTCAGTACTTGTCGACTAATAAATGAGCCCTTTTAGGATCCGAGTGTTTGCGGAATTGCAAAAATAACCAGCAAAATGACCCAGAGAATATAGCATGGCGTTTCACGGCCTGGCGTGCATCTCTACGATCGGTGATGCGTACCTCAGACCAAGAGGCGGAGAGCGCAAGTGAAATGATATTATTGGCCACAAGCTATCGGTTCGAATGTACACTTTTCCGAAATCTCAAGCTTTGGTGGCAGCCTCGAAGCACTGGACGATACAACCTAGTCAAGCAACAGCTCTGCAGGGCGATGTGTGAAATTGATAAATTGTTCAACAGAGCTATTGCGAGCGGAACGTTACGAGACCTCCCTGTATCTTTGTTCGTATCAATCTCCAAGCTCTGCTTATGTGAAGCTATCGCTAATTTCAACTCCAGCAAATCGTGCATCCCCATGGTGCTGGCTCTTTATACAGAAATGGCGTTGGACGCCTCTGAAACCGAGGCGAACAGATCGATGGCCTTGGTGTATATACACCAAGACATGTTGCTGCTGAATGAACTAAGAGATATCCCATTAATCCAAAGAGCCGTTTCTATTTTTGAAGTGGTGTTGGAGCAGAAGGACTTGTTCAAATCGGTAAGGGAAAGAGTGCTCAAATCTGGGCGACTGTTGTCCTAGTATCTACGCATAACTCACTCGGACTCAACTGCAAGAAACTGATTTTTATCCTAGACGGATTGACTGTTTCCCTTCACTTTGAACTCGAATTGGCAGTCTGGTATGTGGGACATGGTATCAGTTCGGGACGCGCTAAACGTTCAGTCGGAAGGATTTTCTTGTAATGGCTTCAATGAGCAAGTTGCAATACCAACTCCGGAAAATCAAGGAACGAGGAGAGTTGTACCGCAGCAGAAACTAAAGCATCAAAAGAAATCGCGATGATGCTCGGGACGGGCTGGCTTCCATAAAAGATATGTCACAATACATACAAAGAAAGCTGGTCTCACATTTGAACAAACGCAAGAAAGCACAGATGAATGGCTTGCCGCTAATTTCGGGTGCAGAACAACCAGGACTCCGCGCCACATTATTTCGCATTAGAAAGCCATTGAGATATTCTTTATGCCGTATTCTGACTTGCATAAGAGCGTTGTCCTCCATTGGGAGGCTCTGCGGTCAGATTATCCTTGGTCCACTGAATATACCCTCGATACCTAAATCTCAAAACCTCTACAGGACACAATTCTACGACAAACTCAATACTTCTCAAATTTCTAACTCAAATATCCAACTTTCAACTTCCCGAAAAATGCAAATAGTACCCCGCCTAACAATCGCTCTAGCTATCTTCCTCGTTGCTCGCGTCGCCGCGGAGCAATGCCCAATTTGTTTCGACAACACCATACGTGGATGCACCAAACAAACCGAAGGGAACAAGCCATTCTACTACACATGTTCTCAAAAGCCTAATGGTGCTCATATGATAGCATCTTTTGCTTGTGATGGTGGATGCCACATCGTGAACGGAGAGCCTCGTTGTAATAACGGCAAATTTAAATCAGAAATTATCGCCATGCCTTTGGATGAAAAGTGCCCCTGGGGGCTAAGAAATAAGGGTGGTAAACGGCCATCAATGTTTAGAGCATAGTCAAGGTCGGTGTGGCTGCTCCCCGAGACGAACAAATGTTTTCAGCAAGCCCCACACATGATTCTAGATATAAAGGAACTAAGCGTCAATATTTTCACTTGAGACGATCGAGATAGCCGATCAATATCTCTCATTCATTCATTGCCTCTATCCCAGCGGTGGTGTTGAAACTGTACTCTGCGCATAGCTTGAACCCTCAGTTGACTGATAGTGATACTTGCCTTGCATATCTGTTGGCCCTGCTTTTAGGAGATAGCTGAGGATGTCTTGTCCAAGCCCAGCACATGTTTTGGCGTACATATCCTTTAGAACAGCAGCGCCGGACTCATTGATGTTATTGTCCGGCCCTCGACAGCCAGGAATGATTTTATAATGTGCCGTTGGAGGAACATATCCATGCTTATGGCTGCTGAGCCAGCTAAAGCAGAAATAGCATGCTGGCTTACTGCAACCGATGTACTTATCATCGTCCACGAACACAAACCCTTCCCTGCTGAATTTGTCAGCGATTTGTAGTTCGGCGTGCACTCTAGTGATAATCGTGTTCCGAAAACTCATGTTCAGACGTATGTTGTTGCTTCCAGAAGGAAGATCAAGTTCCACAAGGTTGTGCAGCGCCAGCCGATTGTCCAGAGGGTTTTGAGAAGCGAAGTCCTGGCAGATCCCGCGCACAATCTCATATGGGCTCAGGCCTTCCTGGTCGATCGCCACCATGAGGGAGTCTGGCGCGTCGACCACGCGGATACAAGATATCTGGCGAAGAGATGGAACTTTGATCATCCCTTTGACAACATGGTGGGCAGCTGATCGGGTTGCTCCAAGACGTCCAATATAGTGTGCAAGTTTTCCAAAATCATCCCTTAGATCCTTCGATCTCTTCTTGATGCTAAGAATCTCGTCTCCTCGCATGCCGTAGCAGTAGTCAATTATATCAGAATTCGTCTTGTTTGCCGACGGTTCAGAAAGTTTTCTTAATCTCCGTCGAAGGTGTATCACTTATTTGATCAACATCTGCTTATCCAGGGGAAATGGCTGAGATCCAGCAGGAGACCTCACCAGCATCCGTTTTTGCTTCGTTTCTCAACTGCATTCTGCAATTTCTCGCACACTTCCGTACTTCCTCGTTGTATGTCGAGATTCGAGAATCACACATCATCACCGCAAGTCGAAAGACGGCATCTTCAATAGTCTCCTCAGTACTTGAATCGACTCGCATGAGATGAGATCGAATGGCTTTCGCGTAAGTTTTGATCTCATCGCGTATACCCTCGTTTGCTGCTAACCAAAGAATGTTGCTATGGGGTAGCTTCTGCAACCCGACGGCAGTCACGGTGGCACCCCCCTTCTGAACATCGCATAGATAGGCAAACGAGTCCAAAAACTTTCTGCGGGCTTCAACAACATCGTCACCAGATGGGTGTCGCCGCTCTGAATCATCCTTGAATTGAGCAAGAGCCTCATAAAGCACCAGTCGTGGATACAGTTCTTTAGCCGCATTTGCGAAGATTTGCTCTGAAAGGGTTGTGGAAGCCGTAGAGCTGCTTGAAGCCTCTGCTAGCATTGCGCGCGGCGCCGTAGGAATTGGTATTTTCGACATGACATCTAGGTAGAACTTGAAGCGAGCTGGTTCGTAAAATACACCTGACTGAAAGCTAGAGCAGGACGATGTCGGCAACAGTGATTAAGACTTCGCATTCTGGATGTGAGGTAATGAGGGGTTGGTGATTTCTGGCATGGAAGCTTCCAGAGTAACAACAATTATCCAATAGAACAAGGTGATACGATCCGGCCTGTACTTTTATGCATACTTGATGGCGATAGATTGATCATGGTTGCACGACTGACGACTGTGCTGCCAAGCACTCACAAGCGAACCCTCTCCCCTAATTCTGATGGACGACCAGGCTGTTCGGTCGGTAAGATCCAGAAAGAGGCTATCAAGTCAGAACTTGTTTTAGTCTATCACGCAGCTGACCAATGATCACAGGCACAGGTGCCGAAAGTGAAGTTGTCGACATGACTTTCTGAGAGCAACCAATATGTCCGAAAGGCAGCATTGGCCTTGAGCCTGATGAAGATGAGACCCTGCTCGTGGCAAATTGTCTACTTTGTGTGAGAAAAACTATGGTGATGAAGGAAAGCAATGCGGAGAAGGGAGTGGATGCTGGCAACGATTTGCGGGTTGGTGCAAGTGATACATCTAGGTCTCAACAAGATCCCTCCACCGAAACTGAGCCTGTGGGCATGAAAACATAGGAAGCGTCTTGGAACCCAGTTTTGTTTTCAGTCATCTGAAGTCTTGATAAGGCGATTCTAATAAGATGGAACATGTGCGCTCAGCACATGGAAGTTGATGATTTCAGAGAAACAAAAATGATGTTCCTTGAAAGGACTTTTCGTGGGAGTACACTGCTGTGGATTTGCAAATTCCTATGCAGAGGTGCCTTCTTTCATGGCGGGTTAACATTGAGTGGAGCAATGCTCCGGTACATCCCTACCCCACTAGCGTGCAACCCAGAACTTCCAGGGTGGTTGGACCGATTCTGTAGACTTCGACCAGCTGTCACCAGCTGTGCCCTGATCATACACCTCCGATCCAGTCCCCGGGGTCTCCATCTTCCAACCTCATCATGCAGAAGCGCGCTGTCAACAGGGTCACCAAAGCGACAAACTTCCGCCGACCCAACCGCAGGATCGACGAGGACCAATTGGCCGCCCACTTCGAGGGCACCGAAGAGGAACACGCGCTCTATCGCGCCGCCGCCGCGGTTGCGAGCGCAGAGGGCCAGGATGTTGACGCCGACGAGGCCGTGATGGAGGAAGTGGGCAACGCCTTCAAGAACGAACAGCCACAACATGAAGTTGACGTAGACGGCGACGGCGAAGGCGAGGCCGATGTCGACCACGAGGCCCACCAACACGCCGGCCACGACATGCAGGGCGACGCGCTGGACCACGAGATGCCGATGGCGCCCATGAGCGCCGAGTCGCACCACCAGCAGGCGCAACACATCGCCCACCAGCACCACGAGCCACACAACCTTGACGACATCCTCGGCCACCCGAGCATGACCTACGCGCAAGCTGCCGCGGCAGCAGCAGACCTCCAGCCCCCGCCGCCTCCCCAGCCGAACGTCGGCGGAGCCGCCATCTCAGCCCCGCAGCCCCTCGTCGCGGCCACCGACTTCCAGCCGACGCCGTCAACGAGCCAACACACGTCACAGGCTCTGCCCGGCCAATCCCTCGGGCCAGCGCCGGCGAATTCTACCCAGCAACAACAGCAGCAACAAGAACCCCAGCAGCCGCCGGCCAAGACGACGGAGCAGATGGCGGAGGAGTCCGGGTACGCGGGGTTCAAGGTGGACAGCGCGTTCGCGAAGCGCATGTCGCGCGACCCGGGCCAGCGGCTGGCGGAGCAGCGGCGGCAGGGCCAGGACCTGAACCTCGTGCGGCGCAGCAACGTCGAGGCGCTCTTCGCGCAGATCGCCGGCTCCGAGGCCGCCAACCCCTGCGCCCACTGCCGCAAGGGCCAGGGCCCGTGGACCGTGTGCGTCGTCTACAGCGGCCAGATGATGGGCAGCTGCGCCAACTGCTGGTTCAACGCCTCCGGGTCGAGGTGCTCATTTCACGGTGAGTCCTTCCCTTTGTGCCTATCCCGTTTTGCTTGCGGGGTCTGACTACAGTCGTACATGTTTACTAAACTACTACTGCCCTACAGAGAAATCGCAACCGCCCTTACCTGGTGCGCACCACCCCTACGCGACCCTTCCAGTGGCGATGCCGGTCCTCGGCCAAGAGCAAGGAATAGGCGTAGGGCCAGGAGTCGGCGGCGGAGGCGGGGGCGGCGGGCACATGGGCTCGCCAGCGCAGCTCCACGCCGCGCAGCTGTGGCAGGCGCCCGCCGCACTGTTCTCGCACGACGCCGGTGTTAAGCACACGGTGCAGGGCGCGTTGTTGCAGGTGCGGCAGGCGGACCGGTACACGCGGGCGCTGATCGAGGTCGAGGTCGCGGCGAAGCAGCTCGCGCTCAAGATCGTGCAGGCCGAGGAGCTGGCTGCCGGCCTCGGCGTGGGCGTCGGTGTGGACGGCGAGGAGGAGGGCCATGTTGACGAGGATGAGGATGTCCAGCGCGGTAGTGGGTACGAGTCGCCCGCGCCGGGCGGCAACGGCATGCCGGAGGACGGGGAGCCGTGACTGCGCGCGGTGAGCTACACTAGCTAGAAGCTGTCTACGGGGGCGTCTAAGCTCCATTGATACGGCGAGGTGTGATGACCAGAAGCCATGCAAGGGATGAGTTCGCATGAGAATCCCAGAGAGGGAACTTTCATATCCGCGTGCAAAGGGCCGTGTAGCCGGTAGCATGGACGGCCAAAAGTCGATAGAAGACCATCCAATGTCCAATCAGTGATACCTGTGCACGCGAGCAGAGACCGCAGAGCTCCCGAGAAAGAGCTGAAGCTCGTATGGACTTCAGACGGGTTGCCAAGAGGCCGCCAGGGCATGAAGCGTCGAAACAACTCGCATGAATACTCCCACGCCACCTGATCTGGAGCTCCTCCCAATCCATCATCCCTTGTTAGGAAGATCGTCAGCGCCAGTGTCGCACGAGCAAAGAACAGTCCCATCCCGTGTGAGACCTCCCATTCCCCTGGTGTCGCGTGTGGACTCAAAAGTTGCCTGTAGAGGCAGGCTTCTAGAATCCTCCCGTGACCGGCAGGGTGCGCTTCTGAACGGCGAAGAGCCTTGGGACAAGGAGACGCATCACATCACTAGTTCATGATGAACGATCACCACGCCATTCAGGGGGGTGACGACGAGATATCTGCGAGACATGTGGCAAAGGAAGACGGAGTCCCTGCGCGAGGATCGTCAGTACGCGGACAAGGCTGGTCTGCGCATCTTAACTCCGCCAGACCCGTGAGCTCTCTCCGTCATCAATCAACGGTCCCAAAGGTTATCGTGCTCTATCGGGAGGTGGCAACAGGTGCAGACAAGCCCAAGCCAAGACCGTCCATGCGTCGTCGCCCTCGTCGTCGGCGCGGCGGCAGCAGCGGTTTGGCAGCAGCACAACGCGCACATACACACACACACACACACACACACACTCTCTCTCTCTCTCTCTCTCGCGCACACACATACACACATACACACACATACCATGCAATATTGATAGCATGCACCCCAGCCAGACAAGAACCGCACCTCGCACCGATTATCAGCCCAGGGTACGCAGGTTGCTTTGCGGGCCAGCCCCAGGACCAGGGATGATACCTGCGGCCGACGCGCACTCGGCCGCAGGCCCATGCCAGGGAGGCTTCTGGTCCGAAGTTTCAGCACGGCGTAGGCCGAGAGGGGCGGGCGAAGGACGAGGAGGGGTGGGTGCGGGCGCCCGGTACTCTTGCTTGCTCGCTCGCATAGAGTTCAAGATATGGGCAAATCCTATCCCGCAACTTTCCCCGCCTGGGTCTGGGTCCTCAGATTCGTGCTTGCCGCCGAGGACTTGAGAGGGGGGTTTCTGGTCGCAGGTAGATGTGGGACTGACTCTGGCAAACTCTTTTCTGCGGCGCGAAGTCGACCTTGAACACCAAGATACGTAAGTAAGATGGGAGTTGGCTGATAGAGGTCACTGTTAGCGCCCGCATGTGTTTGATGGGATCAACAACTGCCACAAAAGTAGGTGTGGGTGATTTAAAGTATTGGCTTTCAGTAAATAGAGCTCGTGATGCTATAGACAAATCCAACATCCGGGCACCGTTGATGTTGGCCGCCGTATCCGAAAACCTGTCGAGATTGTTGCCGCTCATCTCCCTCGGTGTGGGCCCTGTCGCGAAACATGTCCCACCACTCCTCCGCCTGGGGTTGTCTTCGCGCGCCTCCCCCGAGTGCCTTTCGCCTGGGAAGCACATGTAAAAACACAAAAAAAAAAATGACAAAAAAAGACCTCAGCGTTGTCAGACTTCATAATTAAACAGAATATTGAACACCGCCCAGTAGTTTCAGATGCATATCCTTCTTTTCGTCCCCATCTCTGTTCGATGTACGAACCACTCCCTATCGTGCAGCCTTTGCAGCCGCAGTGATCTCGCGGGACCTGGTGTCGAGGTTTTCGACGTAACGGGGTGATTTGGAGAGAGTCCAGATGGGCGATACCAAGGACTGGAGTAAGACATAACCTGCTCCGCCACCTTCTCGGGGAGCCACGAGGCTGTTCATGAGGCGGCCCAGGTTTTCGTTCGTAAGGAAGAAATCGTTCGATTATAACGTGTTAGGGGTATCCGGAAAAGAGCGTTTTGAGACTAGATCAGACCGCAGAGACGCAGGTTCTCCTGGATGATGATGTCTGGACGGTTGTTAGCAAGCAATTACGGCAGACCAAAACCACTCGCGGCGCATTCCACTTACCATTGACGGCTGCCATGACGAATCGAATCTGTGTTGTGTCTGTTGCACATGTGAAATGTGTGTAGATTTGTTTGGTCTCGTGTTGGTTCAAGCTGACGAAGCGGTTCAGGATGTAGTCGCAAGCCGCTGCGTAGTCGTCACCGCCCTCGTAGTCGGGGAAGTAGTTCTTCATCGGGCTGACGGGCAGCTTCTCCTTGAATCGATCGATCTTGTTCAAGAACAGGATTATTGATGTCTTGATGAACCACCGCGAGTTGCAAATCGAGTCGAACAGCGTCAGTGCTTCCTGCATACGGTTGACGGTCTCGTCTTCGAACAACAGTTGGTCGTACTCGGAAATAGCGACGAGGAACAGAATCGTGGTCACGTTCTCGAAGCAGTGAATCCACTTCTTACGCTCAGACCGTTGACCACCGACGTCGAACATCCGGTAGGTGAGATCGCCGATAATGAAGGTCGTCTCAGTAATACCAGTGGTCTTGACACGAGATCGCAGAACATCCTGGTCGTTGGGCATGTAGTCGGGAGCGGCAATGCGGGCAATGTTATCGAAGTAGCTGCACAGGTTGTTAGTTTCTCCACAATTCCACTGATAAGATGCTCTGGCTTACTATCTGGCAGAGTCGTTCAGCTGGTACTCTCTTGACCGCTTGAAGCACTCTTGGACACCACGGTCCTTCCACAAAGCCTCGATGGCGTTTCCAACCTCGGGGGGCAGGACATCGCCCTCGATCTGGGCGGGCTGCATGAAGATGGTCTGGACGTGGTACTCCATGCGTTGGTCTTCCAGAGGTAGCTCCAAGGACTCCATAGCCTCCAGGATAACGCGCATGGACTGAACCGTGTTGCTGAAAATGATCTCCTTGAAGGACTCTCGTTCATCGCGCGAGTAGCCACCCTCGTGGATGAGCTTCATCTGCTTGAGGATGGTCGACTTTCCGGATTCACCAGCACCTGTCATTTCCGTCAGCAAAGAACTGTATGGGGCAATCGCACGACACCCATCGAGTTTTGTGGCCCAGAAAGGCGGCGACGGCCAAGGTCGGCGAGAGGCATCATCAATCGGTAAAACATACCCAGAAGTAGCATCTTGATCTCATTTCGTTGTTGCATCCGGTCGCGCTTCAGCTGGTTCTCGATCTCCTCGTTCCGGGCCTTGCCCTCCTTCTCCTCCGTGCTCATTCCGCAGCCCATTTTGATTGAATGATGTCGCTCCGCTCCGGTGCAGGGTTGACAGCTGCAGGTCTAGATTATTATGGCGCAAGCTAGATGCGGATCTGCGGAAAACTGGATTAGTGGTGAGTTCAGCGACAATGTTTTGATGGTTGTTTGATTGATCAGGCAGCGGTTGCTGACAAAACCGATTGATGCTGCAGATGTGAATACGGGAGGGACGGCCTCGCTTGGTTGGGTAATTGGCGGAGGCTGACGTGATGAAACCGGAGCAATATAGGCGAGGTAAAGGATGTAGCAGCGTCGTAGATGGATGGCGATAGGCAGTGGTAAATGGGATGAAGTTGCTTTGTGATGGGAAAAGAAGATGGCTGGAAGGAAATGCAAGTCGAGGCAAGGGGCCTGGAGAGGGAACGTACCGTAGGAAGCGATCGGTCGAGGCGATGCGATTGTGATGCGATGCGATACGATGCGATGCAAAGCTGTTTCTGGAGTCCTGTCTGCGGCCTCAAATTGACGCCAGGACGACGGAAAGGAAAAGATGAGGAGAAGGATGTAAGTGTAAGGACAGTCAAGGCTCTGGAAGAGTTATTTGGGGGGCACAGGCGATGTGCAGAAAAGAAGGTTCGCCAGGATTGAGAATCCAATGGAGAGATTGGACGACGACGGAGAGAAGTGGTGTGGTAGGGTAAGCGTGGTCGAAGGCAAAGAAAGAGGCCGGGAGTTATTGGGGACGAGGTCCAAGTCGACAGACAGACGGACAGACGGACAGGAGGCGACGAAAGGAGAGCGAGGAGGGAGGAAGAGAGAAGGCAAGGCAGAACAGAGCAGGGCAGGGCCTGTTGGAGCAGACTGCGGCGAGCGAGGATTGATGAATGGGGACGGAACGGGATGGGGATGGGGGATGGATGAGCCTTGATGGGATGATTTTGTCTGGGGAGGGGGGGGTCTCATCCGCTCAAGTGCAGCCAAAACTGGTGCCCGTCCGGGTAGACCCAGAGCCCAGAGCCACTGCCAGCGTCGGAGACGGCAGAGAACGGTGGTGCTCCCAAATGGCGCTAATTAGGGGTGCCCACCGTTGAACTGGAGCTGCAGGGTACTATGCAGGTACCAAACCAAGTAAAGACGGGTGGGGAGCTACAAGAGCAGCTAACGGAAGGCAGAGTAGAGTGCCTGGCCAAGGGACCGACCTCTGGCGTCCAGTTCCTCTCCTGGATGCGATGCGGGTAGGAGGTGATGGAATTCGCTAGACGTGCACTATAGGGGGGGAAAAGAAGAAAGCCAGATTGGCAATTAAGCAATAGGGCAGTCGATCGATTAATCAATCAATCATCCAGACAGTTCGCCAGTCAATCAAATTCGACGGTATGCAATGCAATGCAGTGCAGTGCAGTGCATTCCGTGACGGAAACACTGGGAAAAGAGAGAGGTAGCAGGCTGGGGCGGCTGGGGCAGCCAGACACAGACACGGACACAGACACAGACAGACTATGGGTCGGGTCGGATGCACCTCGTCCTGTATCTACGGTTGGTCTAACGTATCCTGTCGGCCTGTCTGCCTGTCTGCGTATGCGGGCACAGGTTATGTTCTGCTTCTTCCCAACCCCAGCTTCTTTTCCGTCTTCTTTTTTTTCTTTCGAGGCCACCGAGGGTCACCTGCAGAGATCATTCCCACTCTGACTGCAGCAGAGAAGTGGATAAACCATGCCGGAACAAGCTGAAGTCTGTGCCAATAGTAGCTCAGGGCCTGGTCTAGTCTCTTTTTGGCTATGGTGGGCCACTGCCGCCAGACTGTTGGTGGTACGGGTCGATGTTATCTCAGGGTTATCTCAGGGGACCTCGTTTTAGCACGCACACACATACGCACGCACGCACGCCCGCCCGCTCGAGAGAGAGGAGCCCAGAGAAGATCGCTGTCGACTCCTGCGACAAAGGAAAGGGGATCGATCAATGATCTTCAGTCAATCTATCCACCCTCCGCCATGGTTTAGCGACGGGCGATGGCAAGCCAGCCAAGCATCCTCGGATGTCCTCCTTTAACCTGCTGCCCTCATGTGCTGCCCTCGTCTCCTTTGATTGCGCCTCTGTGCTCTTTGTCAGTACTGTCTCGGTCCAAGACATCGGAGGCTGGCACTGGCTGGGTCTCTGGCGCTCTGGCGAGCCCTGTCATCAAGCTGTGCTACCCTTCAATCGGCCGTCTCGCGGGGAGATCCCAGCAGGCAGGTTCCGCCAAAAGTACCCGTGCTAGTCAGCTCAAAGCTGACTGTGTCTCTATACTAGGCATCATGGGCTGGGACTACTTGGCCCTTATTCATCGGTCCCGCTCAAGCTCCGGTTCGCCATCGAGACCATCATACACATCACATTTACAGCCAGCGTGAGTGGCAAGAAAGAAAGAGGAGCCCTCCGTGCCCTCCAGACAATCACCCGCGGGCGCTGAGCATCTCGTCATGTAGAAAAGTGGGAAGCTCATCTCAGGGCCCTCGGCTTCGTCGGCGAATGGCAGCGTTGCGAGCATATTCGGCACTTCAGACCCCAAACTCGCCTGGTGCAATTTCACCGTAGCGATCCCGCTCGGGCCCCACCTGGACACTCCGTGAGCAGGTCATTAGCTTGAATAGGCACTCTCGTTGGCCGGTTCCTTCATCCCCAGTCAGTGCAGAGGGGTCTGCCACAAGAGACACCGCCCAGTCTGTGTTGCAGCAGACCGTACAATACTGTGTATACGGCTGTCCACCCCTCCGAGGGATCTGTCTGGTCGGTCTGGTATGTAAGCTGGCGAGGCCGCTTACAATTCCATTTCGACAGCGCCGTGCTTGCTCTATGGCGAGCAGCACACCAGTCTGAACGTACGGAATGGTCTACTAACAAGTGCCCCGGCCATACCGAACAGCTGGAAAGGAGGGCGCACTGCTCATCGCACGCCCGACACCGCTCCTGTGTCTGAGCGATCCAGCCCAGTCATAGCTAATCCATCGGCATGCCGAAGACGCAATTAAACAACAGCAGAGCAGTCTCGCCTTCAACTCGAAGCCAGATACTCAAAGCGGCTCCAACGTGAAGCTTGAGTCTTTTGACATGACTGAGGCGGGTGCCGGCATTGGCCCGTGGGCCTTGCCCGGAGATGAAGAATTTCGCCCAAGCGGAGATTTCTATCCCTAAGCGGAAAACATCTCTCCCACCACAGCGCTACACCTGGCGGCCGCAGAGTCAAGAGAGTGCGCGTGCAGTGGAACAGCCAGCCGCGTCATTGCTGGCCCAACAGAGCTGTACCGTGCCCTCTTGCTTAGATTACAGCCCCAGACCATAATGGGAGCGGCCATCTATTTCGGGTTCGCGTATCATCCTCTTTGGATTATGCTGGCGACGATGAGCATCGTCGCCCTCCATCTTTTCTTCTCGAAGGCCGGTCCGCGCCGTGGCCGCCCTCCTCCACTCTTCCCTGTCAGCGAGCCGTTGCGGGGACTTGGCCTTGCTCCACCCGACCTTTTGGGCAGGTGTTCCTGCATCAGGAGGGGCTGGCGTTTATTACCATTTTTAATTTTCCGCGCCTGCGAGATCAGCGACTTGGGGACACTACCGGACGTGTGCAGGCTGTTAGCGGCCGGCCAATGTCCATGATAATAACAGTAATAATAGCAATGGCACTGAATGAATCTCTGAGGATTCTGAAACCCGTGCAGGATCTCAGCTCTCGCCTCAAGTTTCGAACCCCCTAGGTATAGCAGCGGAACGAAGACAATCGTCCGCCTTGGTGACCACTGGGCAGGATGTCGAGCATCGCACCATCCACCAGGTCACCACCTTAGCCGAACCCCTGTCCTATATCAAAAACAGCCCCTGAAGGTTACGATGAATACCACGCCGTACAGATTCCGTCGTCGACAATTTCAGGACGAGGTCGCGCAAGAAATGAACAAAAGTCTGTGCTCTCATGGAGAGCCATCGGCTGGAGAGTCGAATTCCGTCACCATCCATCACAGACAGCCGTTGGTGATCCACAGGATTCATTATTCAGAACTTTCCCCCAAGAGTGGGCTGACCCCGGGGATGTGAGCCCGAATCTCGCAACACGGGACCCCAGAAAATAACGGTCAGAGGGTTGGAGGGCAGGAGGGGAGGGATCGCCCGGACCCAGCACAATTCTCAGCCTGAGCTAAATCGTCCACCCAGACAGCCAGACAGCCTTGCAAGCCCTGGTCGCAATTCCCCAGTACCCGCTCGACGGACGGCTGCTTGGTGACAATTGGTATTTCACCTCGCTCCAATATCGAAGCATCGCTAAGGGCTAAGGGGGGCTAGGCCGCTTCAGACCTGTCGATTGCGTGAAACACATGGCAACAAGGGGTCTATTTACTGTACCCATCCGACAAGCCCTCTTCGGCGACATGTCGCAACCTGATCGATCCGACTTGACATTGCTGGATGTTCTCAGCCTCTCTCACGGATGTGGCTTGTTCGGCAGTCGGGTCTGCAACGAAAACGGCGGTAGGCCAGCCGAGATCTACAGCATTGATATCAAACCCGTGCCCAGAGTTCGTTGCACAAAGTAGCTGCCAGTCTAGACAGTCTTGTCGGCTGCTTCCTTGCTTGGCTCTGTCTTGCCCTGTCCTCTCCCTTTCCATTCCCCAGTTATTTCGAAACTGTTTCTGGCTGCCGTCGTCCAGTAGAACTCGGCCCGCGTAAAGGCAAGTCTGGCGGTCTCTCCTGGCCGGCGTGCCGTTTCGTTCTAGAAACCCGCATAGAAGCCTCTGCGACAAGGCGGGCCCCCCTTTCTCATGCAGGCACACCCACACTCTCTCGCAAGCAGACGCAGTGTGCCCTCCCTCACTCCATGCTGCTACTGGCAACTGCAGGTCCCGGGATGCTCGAGTTTTGGTAAATCGGGCCCAGGTTGCATGGCGCGGAGGGGAAGAGGGAGTGCTGCGGACTGCAATCTGGAAAGACGTTCTCGCTCCTCTGGCGCTGGACCCAATATGCTCCTGCTCTCTGTGACAGACAGAGCCGCCTCCGGATATGCATGCTGTAGCGGGCTTGTAACCCGATCTTCTTACCCTCGTCCGGTCGTTTGAGTAACTTCTGCCGAGTCAGAGCAAGGCCGGTAGTTGAGATGGGATGATCCGATCTGTGGCAGAGCGGTAGGTTCAGGATCTGGTCGATCCTCAACTTGGCGAGAACCAGAGGACCGAGTCCAAATGCTGTGCTGTGTGCCTAGTCTAGCTACCGACACTCTGACCTGGACGGCACATGCACAACATTGTCTCGGGTTGGATCTTTCGGCTACAGCTGAGCGGACTGCGGAATAGTGCCACAGTAGTCTCACCGACTGGCCGATGTTATTAGCTTCGAGTCGCGCGCCCCTGTGGCCAAGTGTGCCAATTGACCAACCATGGCTGGCGAGCTTGTTGGCCCACGCTTCTGGGTCCGTCCTTGGGTGGCCTCAATCTAACAGGCCCTGAGGACAGCTTCCAGGTCCTCCAGCCCAGTTCCAACTTCACAGCACGCTTGCCCTGGCTTCCTGAGTCCGTCGTATGCTCAATTCGCTCGTTACTGTCTCTGCCCGTCTTCAAAATGGCTGAATCGATTCCCATGCACTCGCGGAGCCCTTCGACGCGTCTGGGAGGACGCGGTAAGTTCGTTCATGCAGGGACCCTAGGACCTGTGCATCGCGAATGATGTCACCGTAATTGTCGCTGACTTGGAGGCCGCACCTGGACAACAGCCTACGCCCATCATCGTGACGACGATGACACTGAGACGGAATACGATCGCCTGCGAGATCTGGCCCGAGCTGAGGCCTCGAAGCGCAACTCGTGCTTCGACAAGGTATGCAGCCGCCGCCGCCCTTGACCGGCCCTCCCTTCCCACCCCCGACTGACCGTGACTGACCGACTCGCAGGCCCACCAAGCCTACGAGCGCGGCGATGGCGCCGAGGCCAAGCAGCTGAGCAACGAGGGCAAGTCGCACGCGGCCAAGATGGAGCAGTACAACAAACAGGCGTCCGAGTACATCTTCCGGGCCAACAACTCGACGGACAAGGTGCAGGACGACACGATCGACCTGCACGGGCAGTTCGTGGAGGAGGCCGAGGACATCCTGGAGGCACGGATCCGCGACGCGCAGGCGCGCAACCAGACGCATCTGCACGTCATCGTCGGCAAGGGCAACCACTCGGTCGGCCACGTGCAGAAGCTCAAGCCGCGCGTCGAGAACCTGTGCCAGGAACTGGGCCTGCAGTACCGCACCGAGGAGAACGAGGGCCGCATATACGTCAACCTCCAGGGCCACGATATCCCGCACATGCCCCCGCCGCCATCGAACTACTCTGGCGGCGGTTACGGCGGTGGTGCGAACCATGGCTACCCGGGTGCCCAACATGGTGGGCAGCACCATGGCCAAGCTCAGCACGGCCAGCAGCACCCCAGGCCTCCGGCGCAATCCCACCAGCCGCAGGAGCAGCAGCAGGAGGACGACACGGAGAAGCTCAAGAAGAAGATCATCTCCAAGCTCACCAAGAAGCTGGGCGACTGCTGTGTTGTTATGTAATGTGTCAAACACGATTTCTCTTCATTGTTGGATATTTATGGTGACGGCTATCCGGACACTTCTGGAGTCAAATAGATGGAAATATCAATTTTTTGAATCAAGCAGACTCGAGTCCACGCTTCTCCTGCCGTGGGGTGGGACCATCAGGGTTGTGACTTCCTTCCATGCTATGTTTGGTACTTGCTTGACGAGCTGGCTAAATACGCGTTGTCTGCTGGGTCAACATTCAGAATCGCACACAGAAACACTTACTCTCAAGACTACCTAATTCACAGCACAGTACCTATGCGCAATCCGCCGTACCTGAGAGATTATTGGAAATACTATAAGCTCGACATAACCCTCAACGCAAGGCACAAGCGACATGCCTGTACCCTTCGCGCGAGCCTCGACTTTGAACAACAATAATATTCAGCACAAACACCGCATCCGCAGGCATCATCGACCCAGCGCATCCTCTCCGGCCTGGCACATCAACCTCTACCATTGGTACAACCACGAGATTTCCTCGGACAGCGTACCAATGACATGGGGGAACCCGTGGAACCAACCACCCAAACACCCTCGGCCAGTCCTTCCCTTCCCCTCTTCATCAACAAGAAGACGCTCGAAACAGGCCGCAAAGAGATCCTAGTCCTCGCCCTCGGCATCCTCTTCTTAGCGAGCCAGCTATGCCTGGCGATCTGGTACTTCGCAATTCCCCGCGCCGCGCCCCGCAAGCAAGAACAGCGCAAGCTCGCAACTATCCTGCCGGCTGAGACGACGCCCTTCTCGGCCCACATTGACACCACCAACGACGCAGACTCCAATGGCGACTCCCTTCTCCGCCTCCGCCGCCGCAGCACCTGGGGCGGGCGCTCCGCCCATCCGGGACCCAGCCCTCGAGGACGGCGCAAGTCCGCCAGCTCGCGGCGCAAGGCGCACGACAGTGACGATGACGATGAAGGGGCAACGGACACGCTGAGCACACTGAGCAGTCCAGGCCCAGAGCCGGAGGGCGGCCGCGCCATGCGCAGGGCCACTGAGGACATGGTCATGGCCGCGGCGCTGGCGACGCCCACGACATTGCTGCCCTTGGGGCCAGGGGGCGGCCCGCAGGACACGGAGCTAGAGGATTTTGACTCGCGCCGGGCGTGGGGCGAGGCGGGCCTGCTGGCGGCGTCGATCGTGAAGCCGTCCTCGCCGCGATCGCCGCGCGTGCTTGCGGCTGATCAGGCTGCTATGATGGATGCTTTTTGTGCAGACGAGGACGAGGAGGCTGCTGCGCCGTCGCCCGTGGGTTTAGAGGAGGATGTGCTGGCGTTGAGCTCGGGATTTGATGATCCGTTGGGGGTGAATAGGCGGGTGGCTTCGCCCGGGATGGATGAGAAAGGTCCTGCTACGGGTGAGTTCGAGTTGCAAGACGGAGGGCAGGGAAGTGTGTTCGCCTGAAGGACAGTAAGCCTTGGGAAACCTAGATATGTTATGGCTTTGCGCAATGGCCTAATATGCGTGCATTAGATCAGACGTCTCTAACTCAGCAACTGCCACCAGAGGTGCTTCAGAACACATACATATTCTGTTGTAGCTCATTGGCAGATGCCTGTGACATGTCTTTACCTCCTTCACCTTCCTGCACAGTGACTAGGTAAGCGATTTTGGTTGACACAATGTTGACTCTGTCTCAGGCTCCGCCGGAACATAGAGCGCAGGAAGCTATCTCCGTTCAAATAAGCAGAGCAAGGTAGCTAAAATCATGTTTTCTGACTTTCCCCCTGACTGCTGAATGATCCAAATAGCACAGCTGGGGAGCGCGCCTTCGGTGCCCCTAAGGCTCACGTCGACTGAGCCGTCACAGTTGAGCCTGTTGTGAGCTTGCAGGCAATAAGGTGAGACCAAATCGTGAGGACTCGGCTATCCTCGATCGGTCACTGCGCCGTTCAACATCCAGTGGCCTCAGTGAGAATTTCTAAGAGTCAATGATTCTATTCATACCAATTACGCGTCGTCTATGCACCCCCTCTCCGAAACACGCTGGCGCCATTCGGAAAAAGTGCCTCGTGCTTCCCCATCCCTTTTCCCGCTCACCCGTTGTTTTCTTCCGGACCCGGACCTAGCTCGACACTGTTGTACAGATCTTGCGCCCTCCTCCTTTTCAGGACCGATGATGATTGTTGGATTGATTGTGTGGATCTGGCGGTTTGTATGCGTTTGTATGTATTGATGTATGTCTTTCATCCGCAGTCGTCCAGACGCCCCGCCCGCATTGGCCGCGTGGCTGGCTCGTTTATGCTTGCTTCCTGATCTCGCGCGCGGCCTGCTTCAGGCTGTAGTTGCACTCCTCGTACGCGCGGCCGGCGCCAAACCCGGCGCCGACGATGGCGGGCCACGACCTCCGCTTGAACAGCAGCACAGAGAAGACGACGCCGAAGCCGAGGCCGAGGGAGGACTTGATCAGGAGGTTGGAGAGGCAGTGGTCCCACTGTTGGCAGCCCAGCGCGTTAGTTGTCGCGTTTTCCCCTCTTTCTGCCGGCGCAACAGGCGCAGCACCCGACATGGGCGGGATACCGCTCGGTAGGAGCTTACCTTCTCGTTCAGGAGTGCCTCGCTGACTGGTCGCGAGACGGTGCTCGGGGGTGGTGGAGGAACGGAGGTCTGTGCCATTGTGACTTTTGGTACTGTTGAATTAGGTCGTGAGCCAATCAATCCTTATTCCAGAGCATCGCTGAAGGGCTCACCTCGCACTGGGATGTGGATTGAGTGCGTCCAAGGCCTGGATATGACGTTGTGTCTGGATTCTCTCTGCGCTTCCGGCTCGTTTTCGAAGATGTCGATTGCCCTGCAAGGGGAAGCTGCCGGGCTAGCCAGGGTTGCTGGCTTATCGACTCCGCCTACTGAATTCGGTGCTGGCTATCGGCGTTGGCCGGCAGAATGTCCAGATTTCGGGACAAAGTTTCTGGGCTCTGAACTCTGAGCAACAACATCCGGAGGGAAGAGGGGACATCCAAGGGACATTTCTAGAAAGTCTCGAGGCTGCATAATAGAAAATGGCGTCAGAAAAGCCTGCGCAGGTGAGAGGATTTCAAACCAGCTCATACAAAGAAGGGCTGACGAAATTGACCCCAAGCAGTCTCCGGACGCTCTCATCAGAGCCTCGAGAATCCTCGACCAGAGCAGCGCAGAGTCTGTTCCCGACACGCTTTCGAACCTTTGGACCTTGCTTTCGAGCTCCCCTGTCGGCACATACTACGCTGCCGAGCAGCTTATACTACGATGGCTCCTGAAAAACATGAACGGGCCGTCTGCCTCGGCGGAGCAGTTCCGGCGATACCCCATGGCCTGGAGCGTGGTGGCCTGTGTTTTCACAAGGATACCGCTCTTCGCACTCCCGAAGTCTCTCGCCGACCGACGATTCGTTCCAATCCTCGAGCAAACCCTCAAGGAAATATCGAACCCGCGAAACGAGGATCATGCATCGTCAGACGTGGAAATGGTTGATGGCACGAGTCCCCCTCCCAAAGGAGATTCCAAAAAGAGAAAGCGGTCCCCTGAGCCGAAATTCGACCTCGAGAGTCTTCGAACTTCCCATGGCTGCTTGAGAACTGCAGATTCTTTGTTTCTAGCCCTTGAGAACCTCGTGGCTAGGCTCAAGGATGTGTCAGGTGATGCACCTTCCAACGTCCGAATGGGGGCCGAACACGTCAAATCGCTATTCTCTTCACCCGCCAAGGAAGCCGCAGAGATCCTCCGGCCCATTCTGTCTATCTGCGATCACGCTCTTAGCGATCAGGAATCAGAATCGGCCGAAAATCGACCGTCATGGGTCAACATCCTTAGTAGCCTGTGGGACCTTCACCTCCAAAGCAGCAGCGACGCTCTCGACGTGGCAATATCTCTTTATCCCACGGGTTTCATCATCTTGGCGAAGATGGACCGTTCGAAAGACCTCGTCATGGACCCTCACCTCAATGTGACCTGGAGGCAGGCTCTGCGACGTTTTTTTATCAAGAACATGATCCTGCCCGCGAGAGCAGCTTTCCTGAACCGGAAAGACGTTGGGATCATCCAGGGAGCTGTCAACATGACCAGTTCACTGCCGACTGCTTCCTTGCCTGTGTTATTCAGCCTCGCTGTCTCACCTTCAGGCTTAACCGACGATGCAAGTGGCCGGAAGGACCGCGAGGATTGGACTCAGAAGGTCTTTGAAATCGTTGAGGAGGCGATGCGCACTGCTGAACCTGTGAAACGAAATGATGCGATGAAGATTGTACTCGACACAGCTCTGCAGTGCAATGCCAGCATCTCTCTGGGCGGCCTTCGCTCAGTCTGCAGGCAGTACACGAACGAGGCCGGGGCAATCGATTTGAGCCTCGTTCCGAGAATAGCAGACATCGACGTTGATGTGTTCATGATATCTGCTGAGGGACAAACTTTACTTGATGACATTCTCGGACAGATCTCAAACTTGAGTGACACGGAGTTGGATGCTTCTGCTGAAGCTGTCTTGGTCAAATTTGTGGTGTCGTTAGCCACGGGGTCTGCAAAAGCTCGCAATCTCTCATGGTTTATAAGGAAATGGACCGAGGTCCTCTCTGAATGCTTAATGAAAGATGATGGTCACACCTCTGTCAAGGGAATCTGGTCTAGCACACAGGTCGTCGAGGCAGTTGCACATCTCCTTCAGCCATCCGTCAACATTTCACAACTGGCTAATCTTCTGGAGTGGCTCGAAGGCCGTGACGGCTCTTTTAAGAATGGGTCCCTGCTTGTTGTCCTCGATGCCATCACCCAAGGCGTCACAGACGAAGAGTTCGTTGATAGCGTCGGAACGCGACCTTTCGATCTCGCTTCCAAAATCAAAATCAAGCACCTTGACGGATCTATGAGGGCACGATGGTGGCGTGTCGTCGAGAGGACTCTTTCGCAATCAGAGCTGGCGACCGTCCGAGCTCTTTGGACGAAAGTCGAATCGGACCTGAAGAAAGCACTAAAGAAAGAGGACTTGACAGACCCTGCGGCACTCGCGGCCTTCCGTTGTTGCAGCGCATTCTGGTTGGCAACCTACCCTGAAGCTCCACTGGAGTCCGAGGCGTCGACTATGGCCTGGGCATTTCTGAGAAGACTGCAGAAGGACGAGCAGAAAGCAGCAGCTGCAGACGACTCCAGGCTAAGGTTCTATGATTCACGCCGCCTGGTCGATCTCGCCACCAAATCAGGCTTCAGTAGCGAATTTCTGGCCGGCTTGTTTGCGTACACGGACAAGGCGGATTCGTCAACCATCTCATTCCGCTCCTTGATGTTGAATGAGGCCAGCTTAGGCAACCATAAGTACCTGACTGCCATCATAAGCCACGCCATTAGCATTATTGGAAGACAGCAAGGCGACAAGTCAAAACATAACCAACGCCAATTAAACACAGCTATCCGGATCTTGCTTGACCTGCCGTCAGGAACGCTCAGTCGTGAACAGCGAGAGCAGACTTTACCGTCATTGCTGCAATTATTGAACAAGCAAGGAGCCAGTACTGACGTGGAAGAGAAAACCAGCCTCATGTGTCTGATGATCAAGATCATGAAGCGGCCAACTTTCTACGAAGGCATGGCATTCGCCGATCTTGTCACTTTAGGGCAAACGATCGAAAGCGGCATCAAAAGCAGCGCAGCTACGGATATAGCTATCGAGACTGCATATAACCTGTTGAAGTTGTTCGAGGCTCTGACATCAGTCACGCTCAAACAAATGACATCGGGTTGGGAGGAACGAGACAGAATCTATCTGTTGGAAGCTTCACGTGTTGCGCTGAGTTGGCCCGTGAAAGCTCCCAAAGATGAGGTTTATCGCAACATATTACTAAGGTCGCTGGCCGTCGCCCTCGAGACCTCGAAGGCCAAGCAGCAAGCGCAGACTGTGGTCGATACAGCTCCATTAAAGGAGCACTTATCCCTAATGTTTGCGAACGGCCTAGCCTCCGACGATATGTCTAGCCTTGGCGACGACACAAACTCGCTGGAACAAAGCTTTTCGACCATCTTCAGCTGCGTTCACATCGAGCAGCTCGACGTTCTGGATCCGGCTGCTGTTCGTGATCGCCTTCTACCATCCAAGGAGAGGCTCGAATGCCTAAGTAACGAGCTTTGTAACAAGGGTTTCAAATCTGGCTGGCGGCTGAAGGAGTTGCTGTTCAGATGTTTTAGTCAGGACGTCCATGAGCCACTTCACATATGTGATGACGTCGCTGTTTGGAGACGACGGACTGATGGTTCGGTGCCACGCACTCTCCTCGCTGGCCAAAGTGACATTACCCAATACGTATATGTTGTGCTCACGCATATGGACGACGAGGCAAGAGCCGGCTATGCAGGGGCACTTGGCCAAAAGCTTCGCGATGGTTCTGATATCACTGGCAACATTATTGCCGTCCATCGGCTCCTACAAGCAGAGAACAGTCAGTGATTCCTTCCAAAACTTCGAGAGCATGGCTAACTGGAAATAGAGTCTTCACTTGGATCATTTGCGGGGCTGGTGGATTGGACCGGAGTCCAAAATGTCCTCACCAACCGATTACCTAGGTCAAGAAGCTGGGCTGAGTTCTCAGTCATCGCTAAGACGATCGAAATGGTCCTCGAAAAGAAACCGATGAAGCAATGGAACATCGAAGTCACCTTGAGCACTGTGTCCACGGTCTGCTCGCTCGGTCTAAAGATGAACGAAGACGCCCAAACGTCCGCAAAGGCCTACCCCTGGCTCTGCAGCCTCGTTGAAGTCATCATCAAGCGGCACCGCCACCGACTTGAGGGGCACTTCCACCTGCTCATCACGGCCTTGCAATCCCTGCTGCGCCTTCTCATCATCCCATGGCCACAAACCACAACCTCCCCTTCCTCCACCACCACCACCTCACCCGACCAACAAGCCCAAGCCGTCCGCTTCTCCCGCCTCCTGACCCTGACCTGCGAGCCGAGCGTCGCCTCCGTGACGCGCGGCCAGGCCCCCGGCGCGCTGGACTCGGCGCCCGACGCGGCCAAGAAGTCGGCCGCGCAGCACATGTACCTGGTCCTGGTGCTGTACGTCAAGCTGCAGCTGGAGCGCGCCGTGCCGCGGGCGGTGCGAGCCGCGCTCGACCCGGGCGTGTACTCGGTGCTGGACATCACGACGCCCGAGGGCAGGAGGATCATCAACGAGGCCGTCGACGCGAGCGGGCGCGCCATCTTCCGGGAGATGTACAAGCAGTACGTCAGGTTTGGGAAGTGGAACGGGGTGTAGTGTACTCTAGAAGCAGGCGATACCGAGGAATTTTACACGTATGTGCCGTAGGGACATCACGTCTTTGATTACACTTGTTGTGATAATGTCCACCATGTGAAACAAGTGTTGTCCAAAAATCCTTATTTCTAGCTCTACATGCTTTTCACGCACTTGCTGGAGTTGCGGGTGCGTCAAGAATTTGTCCCATCGACGCCAAACAGATGTCATCATACACGAACTTCTTTCCAAATAGCGTGGCATATTAGACACTCTGAAACAAGGCACAACGGCGTCCTGTAGAAATAGCTACATACTTACATCACAAGTCTGCTGCTTAGCCTCGACGACCGGGACCCAGGCCGTCACCGACATTTACGTACCTTCGTGTGCCTTGTTTCTGGCGACGATTTCAACTGTTCTATGGATGGACTCCGCGGACGCGCTGCTCAGCCGGCATCGCACGTAGAATCGGAATCTTTTGCCAAGATGAGACATACTATCAACAGAACGGGACTCACAATCCCTCCGAAGCCCTCACCCGAGCAGGCCAACAGGGCTACCGTACAGGACTAGATTACGAGCCGTCCAGAATGCTATCTTGGGCACAGCCGAGAGTCCTGGCCAAATCATAGGCACGTCACTCTACCGCGGTGGACCGGGTCGAATCCCCCCTACGGCCTACGGCCTACGGCGCCGCCCACGCGCGTATATGCATATGCAAGCAGAGCATGCACGCGTGGTTCAGCCATCCCTCCCGCGACCTCCTTTCCCCCTTTTTTCTCGGGTTGGGCAAGGCTGTTGGCTGGACGGCCGGCCAATCACCAAGCACGAAGTTGCTTCCGGGAACGTGGGCCTGGGTCTATTGTGCAAAGTGAGACTAGGGTGGTCAGCACCATATGTGGGCATTCCTGCAGCGTGTGTCTTCCAAAATAGGTCTCGGGACGTATGGTGCAGTAGCGGCCGGGTCGTGTGGGTAGATTCACGGCACGCATGATTGCTCAGAAAGTGAAAGAAGAACAAGACTGGCTAAGCGATGCACTTGTCGCCGGCAGAGCAGCCACTCGGCCGTTGTCCAGGTCAGTTGAGCTGTCAGCTTTTGGGCGCGGTGAACCGATCCGGCTGCCGGCAAGACCCGTGCCACGTTGTCGACAGGGCTTGCGAATCCTTTGGGCTGGGATGGAAAACGGTCGTCATGGCCATGCCTGATCCGCTCGAGACTCGGACGGCGAGATGCGGTCCTTCTCTGCCGTCGGTGAGTCGGCGGCGGCGGCCAGAACCGAAGCCTTGGAATGAAGCCAAATAGTCGTTGGAAATTCTGCAACCCGGGTAGGCTAGAAGAAGCAGAACGGCACCGGCATGTGACGACACGTCTTCTTGACATTTCTGGATATTCCACATGTAGGTAATTCTTTGGGACTGGCTTCCACGTGAGCCCAGATGACGATACGAAGGATTCGACGTGCATTCTACAGGCGCAAGATTGGGCCAGGATTCCGTAGCACGGCAGGGTGCAACCCCCGGGAGGTGCAGTATTGCGCTTTAGAACGAGAAGAGCCGTGCTTGGCGAGCCCTACTTGATGTGCTGCGCCGTTGGAATGCAGTGTGATCCCCGATCTCTTGGAAATCTCCTTTTTCAGCCGTCAGTACGAATCCGCGGATTGCTTTTTTGTGAAGAATACTCAATGGCCTGTTCACGTCTCCGCTCTGCCTCAAGAAGGGTCCTCCTTTTCACGATTTTCCCTTTTCTGCCTCGTTCAAGTACGAAGCTCAGCAACCTCGACACCGTCGACGAGTGACCCCTCAGCGCCCAGCCAGCTTCACCCCACACGAGCTAAAGCTCGGGGATCATAGCGCTGGAATCGGACATAGCTCCTCGGCAGTTCAGTCAACAACGGCCACAGTGGGGATCGCTGGCTCCTGCCCACAATCACCACTTAAAACCCCCCCAACCAGGCAACTGCACATTCAACTGTGCGCCGTCGAAATCTGTCGACAGGAATCATCTGGTGTTGATCTAGGTCTGCCCAGGAGAACCTTGTTCGGCAAACAAGCGACGATATCTGGCCCCACGCGATGGGCTGGGCTGGAGACGGTTGCCGGGTGAATAGAATCAACCAAGACGACGACCCATTTTTGACCGCCCAGTTCAATGGAGGCGGGCAACAAGCCCACCATGGTTGGAGCCCCAGCATCCACCTCGGCTGCTGGTGGCCCAGGCTCCGTAGGCGAGCCTCCTGCACCCGCTCAAGTGCACTCGAATCGACATGAAAATGCGACAACGACCCATAGCCACGAGCTGCCTCCACCTACGGAACAGCTGCGGCACCCTGACGAACGGAGCACCGAAATTCAAAGTCTGGATCCAGTCTCCGTGAAGAATTCTTCGCTGAACAAGAACACGGATACAGGGGACGGCGCGGACGAATCTGCCACCGAGAGACAAGCAGCCATGGACATGGTGAATAGGGCCAGCGCGGGCCAACCGGTATTGTCGGGCCCAGATCCGTTGGGGCTGGAAAATAGCGAGACGCGCCAGCAGGATGGAACAAGGGACGGCGAGACTGGGCAGAACAACTCGAGCCAGCTGCAAGCTCAAGGGCAAGAACAAAAGGTCATAGCCAAGGCCGTTGGCTCGAACTTGTGAGCCTGAACCCACGCACCGCCTCCTCGTGACGAAGTGCTCAGCTGACCTCTTGCGACAGATGGGGTACGTCGACCTATGACCCTGACGACGAGACTGATATGTACTGGGAACACGGGCGCAGATATGCTCGGGATTATTTCATGCCCAACGATGAAGACGAGCAAGATCGTCTGCGTATCCTGCACCAGATTTACCTCAATATCTTCAATCTGGAGCTGACTACGATACCGCTCGAGGACCCCACGGCGGTCTTGGACGTCGGGACGGGCACAGGCGAGTGGTCGATGGCCATGGCGGAGAGGTGGCCTGAGTGCAAAGTGACTGGCATCGATTTGTCACCGACCTTTGAGAGGGCAGTGCCCCTGAATTGCCATTTCGAGGTTATGGACGGAGAGGACCCCTGGCCGTGGGATGATAACACATTCGATATGGTGCATTATCGGCACATGTCGGGCGCGTTTCGAGACTGGAACTATGTTTATGGCGAGGCGCTGCGTTGCCTGAAACCAGGGGGCTGGGTTGAGATCTTGGAGTTCCACGACCATGAGGGAGAGAAGAATTTCTATGATCGGTTCCCTCCGCACTCGCTGATGCACAAGGCCGCCAAGGGAATCGAGGAGGCCGAGAAGATCCACGGCAAGCACCGGGGTATTGATCACATGGAGCCGGAGCTACTTGAGAATAACGGGTTTGTTGACTGCGAGGTTCACGAACACATCATCCCGTTAGATCCGTCCAATTCGCCGCTGGGAAAGCTGTGGCTCGTCACGCTGCGGGCAGGCTTCGAGAGCTACTCGCTGAGGTTGTTGACCAAGTACCTTGGTTGGGACGCGGCTTCGGTGCGCATGGCGTGCGAGTCGGTAGGCCAGCAGATGATTGCCATGGCCACAAACCCTTCTCTGAACAAGGGATTCCAGATCCGTTTGAGGGTAACGATCGCGCGGAAACCACTGGAGCCAAAGACTGAGGTCGTTTCCACCACGGAGGAACCACAGCCAGGCCCGTCTCTTGCTGCATCGTTGTCACCTCCTGCTTCCTCGTTCCCGGTGGTGCCAGGCACAGAAGATCTTTATCCTAACGAAGCTGCTTAGCCGCGGCCGTCTAGTTGAGCGAATGAAGACGGTTCACAGGCTTACCGCTCGTGCGTGCGCTCATGGAAACGCGTAGACACCCATCCTTAGATCCACGAATTTCGCTATCTCTTACTCCCCAATTCTGGGAACCAGGGAATCGAGGACTGGAGCCACTCTTCTGCGAAGCATCGAGTGCCGTTGTTCTTGAACGGCGGTTTTTTTTTTGGTTTTTTTTTTGTTCTTCTCTCTCGCGCTACAAAGCCACGGTCTTGCGATAGTCTCGTGAGGTCAGGCGCACAATTTGATTTCATAAGCGAGACGAGGCGCATCAAGGTTTGGCCACTGTCATGATGGGCTGAAAATGGATCGATGTTGCTTGGAAAGGAGAGAAACGGGACTGTGCTTGATATTTTTGGCGTCATCAGCGTTTCGAGGGACTCGTTCCTTCCACTTGCGTGCATGTGATCAATAAAACTGCAACTGCCAAAGTAGGAATTGAAAGGATGTATCTAACTGCCTTGTCAAAAAAAGTCGCTGAGCCTCTTGATCCCCGATGTCTCGTACCTTTCACACTTCTGGCGTCAAGCAGCCTTTAGACTTGGATTCATACTTGGACTGAGGTTCTCTTTCCGATTATCAAGCCCGAAGAGATGTTTTGTTACGTCAACAGCACTTCATCTACCACTTGTCACTGATCATTGTACGTTGGCCCAACCGAGTAGCAAAATATTACCAAAATTTCTCGTTCACTTCCTAGGCAACGAATGCCGAGTACTAATACCCGGATGCAAGATAGGAACTGAAGGACGGTTCAAGGGTCTCATCATTGATCATTCGAAAATATGTTTCCGATCCCAGTCTTTCCATGTCCTCTCGATAACGCCAATCAAACGCCCGGAGCCTGAGCCCTCCAAGAAATCACCCTTGACACAAAGACTGTCACGCTCACGCTCATGCTGTTGCTGCTTAGAGCTCATGATGCTACATGGAAGTACTCCTTCGCAGAGCCGTTGCCGTTGGAGGCACCAGCCACCTTCTGCTTCGGCTGCGGCATATCCGTGACCTCCTCCTTGTCGCTGAGGACCTCCTTGTTCTTGACGACTGGGAACGGCGACAGCACCTTGGAGATGTCGCCCCACCAGTGCTCGCCAAACTGCCTGTACCACGCCACCGTGATCCTGAGCCCGTCGGCAAACGACGTCTTCTGGTCCCAACCCAGCTGCCTCAGCTTGGTGCCATCGACCGCGTACCGGTGGTCGTTGAACGGCCGGTCGTGGGTGTACTTGACCCACTTTTGCACGTCCTCCGGCGTCTCGTATGGGATGCCGAACTGCTGCAGCAGCTTGCAGCAGAGGTCCCGGTTGGCAACCTCGTCGTAGGACCCGACATTGTAGATTTGGCCGAGTTGGCCCTTGTGCAGGATGGTGTCGAAAGCGTCCGCTGCATCTCCTGCGAAAAGGTACCGCCTTGTTGGTGTACCGTCGCCGTGGAGCACGACTGGCTGGCCCCGGTTGAGGAGGCAGGTGAACTTGGGAATGATTTTCTCGGGGTATTGGTGTGGACCGTACACATTGTTGCTGCGGACGATGATGACGGGGAGCTTAAAGCTCTTCTGGTACGAGTGCACCAGCATTTCTGCGGCGGCCTTGGACGCTGCGTATGGGTTGGTGGGGGCCAAGATGCTGGTCTCGAGAAGGTCATCATCGTCATCCTTGACCTCACCGTACACCTCGTCCGTCGAGATGTGGATAAAGCGCTTGATGTTCACTTTCTTGGCGCTTTCCAGGAGCACGTGGGTTCCGTACACGTTGGTGTGCGTGAAACCGTACGAGTTACCGAAGCTCAGGTCAACGTGAGACTGCGCCGCGAAGTGGAAGACTGTGTCAATGTTGTACCGCTCGAGGCAGTCCACCACCTCTGTGGGGTTGGTGATGTCGCCTTGGTAAAACGTGAAATTCCGCTTGTCGTTCAACATGCGGGTGTTGTTCAGCGACGAACAGTAGTCCAGTTTGTCAAAAGAAACGATGTTGTACGCATGGGGGTACGTCAACGTCAGGTGTCGGACAAGCCAGCACGCACTTGAATTCAGTGTCAGCGGGAGGGGCTCGTGTCGGAATTGGTGGCGCCTCAGAATGGACTTACATAAAACCGGCTCCCCCAGTAATCATGATGTTCTTCACATCTGGCAGAGGCTCGAATTTCGTCGTGCCTGTCAATACTGGGGCTTCTTTCCAGACGCCAAAGTCCTCGAAGAAGTTCTGGCGGGTGCCATTGACGCCTGGTTGACTTGGTCAGGTCTCGTACAAGCCAGAGTTGCGTCACGATTCACGTACCATTTGAGAAACCGTTGCTACCGTTGGTGTGCTGAAGAGGAGCCATCTTTGCCGACTTTCCACCAGAAGCGAAATGAATATTTCAAGGCTCGAACGAAGAAGAGCTGAAATGGCGCCGCGCAGATGGGTGTCGGCTGCTTTTGTGACCGTTCGGGAAGTTTGGCGGGACCGCCTTGTAACCTCACTGCTGGCAAGCTCGCGGTGAAGTACTAACAACTGAGTCGAAGAATAGTGGAGACCGATCGAGAGTCACAGCTATCAGAGGAGCAGATTGCGCCGACGTCTGTCCAAATAAGGCCTTGACTCGCGCTTGCCCCTGATTTGCGATAAGTCTAAAGAGTGAGACCGATGAAATGTGTCTTAGAAGAAAAGAAGCTCGGCAAAGGAATGTCGTCTGTCAATCAAGGGAGCCGAACCCAGCCACTGACGGGACCCTTTTAGCCTGGAAAGACAGAGTGAGTGATGTTCGCCCACGGCCGATTCAAGGGAGAGCCGGACAAATCAGACGAGATGAGGCTGCACGACTGTCTCTGCGTGATGAAATATGCTGTGTGAAGGGAACTGGATCAGGAAGATTGGCATGGCCTTGTCTTTGAATTATACGGCCACATCGACAAAGGGGGGTCCAACTTTCTTTTTGAAGGCTCGAGTTGTAAACCACGCGGCCCTGTCTTGCAGCAGTGGGCACACATGTGCTGCAGGTACCGGTACAAGGAACGTCCGTCTCCACGGGTGCGGGATGCGATGCCAGACACCCAGACACCCCAAGCAGGGACCCCAGGGACCCCTGGAGCGAGCTATACTCGACGCGCGCGTTTTAGTCAGGGGAGATGAGGCTTGCGCATTGCGAGGCTGGTACGACGACAAGCGGCTCAGCCGGCTACGTGCACGCAAGATTGACTTTGCAACGGAAACATCATTAATCGCTTTAGATTTTTTTTTGCACGGGGTGCTACAGCTTTGACACGGCGTTGTAACTCGGTCCTGTCGGGCGCCGCTGCTGGGGGGAGACTTGGATGAGAGCCGTCGAGGAACAAGAGAGACCCGTAAACTACTATGGTACTACGGGTAGCGCAAGATTCCAAACGGTGCGCTTAATTCCCACATCACGAACTTTGCTTCCCACACCCATCACGCTAGCGGCATCGTATCAACGCCGGCCAGCCGGGCTCGTTCTCGCTAGCGCTGTCAACTGATAATAATAATCCTTCATCCTTCTCAGGCCGGGCTGGCGGCGCCGGGAGTCAGCATTTTGCCTCTTCTGGCCTTGCTGCATCCTTTCGGCTCAGCCAGCGCCTGGGCGGGAGCCACCTCGGCTACTTTGCGTTGGTCCAAATCTTAAAGCACCATGCGCTACGAAGGGGGGGGGGGTTGTCTTTCGTTCAGGCTCCAAGGCTGCCCGTAAAGGCCCCGTGTGGCGCGCCGGCACATACATGCGAGGGCAAGACGGGAGGAAGCCCTCCACGGCGGGCGATTGATACCCTGCAGATCCGAGTACGCGGACGCGATGGCGGGCTGGTTCGAGTCCAAACTAGGTAGCCGAGTGGCTGCCTCCCCAGTACTCGACATCTGGCGTACTGCACCGGATGTGAATGTGTATCTACCAGCCCTAGCCTGACAACGATGGGCCTCTTCTGCCTCACTGGACTACTGTTGCCTGTGGCTGTCATACGGAGCACGACCAGAGTTATTAACGGCCGATGTCCCTCGGCGGAGGATGCTCTTGGCGGCTTGTCGACCAAGCTCGATCAAACGATGCCGGAGCTGCACAACCCCACATTAATCTGTCAACGCTCAGCCGTCGGGTACCTACAGGTAGGTCCGTCTCACGGCATCGCGTTTTCCTCCTTCGAGCGAAGTCCCGAACGAGGTGGTCCTTTTGACCGTGTTTGTGTGTGCGTGTGTTTGTGTAAGTGTGTGTGTAAGCGTAGGTGTCTGTACCGTCGATCATGATGCGGTGCGACGCGATAGCTCCCACACACGCAAGCTGGCCCGCATTGCATTATAACCCCACGGATCTTGCAGCTTTGGAGGATATATATCTAGGAAGTCTCCCACTGGCATGTCTCTCTCCCTCGAGCCCAATCCAGTCCAGCCAGTCCAGCCAGTCCCTGAGCCACTAGGATAGATAAAAAGGTGGGCTCAGCATTCGTCAACCACACCCCACGTAGATGACGCAGATGCAGGGACCATCGCGGTCGTCCCTGGGGGGTAGAATGCGGGTGGGGCGGGAATGCGCGTTTGAGATCTGGAGTGCTCCCCTTTTTGTTTCAAGAGCTTTCGCTGCCCTACAGTGCAACGCAGGCCGCATAGTGCACATTGGGTCCCTGACTGAGGGCCCCTACGAGACAATGTGTTGGTCGCGATAGGCTTCCCGGCCACACGCACGCACGATCCATCACTCGGCAGCTCAGCTGGACTGACTGATCGATCCCTTGGCCCCTCGTGGGTGGCGAATACGTGCATTCATTTCGATCTTGCCAAGACATGTTGTCGAGTTTGTTTCTGGAGACCGTGTCCTCCTAACCAACCGTCGGTTTGTTCCACCTCTTGACAGCTCCACCGCCCGCCTGCGCTGGTAGGGCTGTTAGGGTACCAGAACCAGTGTGAGCGAAAACACCGTCAGAGCATACATAGCATCTACGCAACGAACCACACACAAACATCTCGCGACAACAAGGGGAGGGCCGCAACATGCATGCTCTCGGGACATCTCACATTGTGAAGTCTATTCACACGACTCGTACGCTGTCGACAGGCAGTAAAGGGTCCCTCCCGAAATAGAACCAACCCCAGCGCAAGCTCGAGGCTTCTTTCTCCACGACGGCACCGCCCACATGTCCGGGCACCCGCTTTATTAGCATTGAGAGAAGGCCTCTTGGCGCGTCTTCTTGAATTCTTCTTGGCGCAAGGCCCAGCTCACCTCAGCAGCTCAGATCGATGCCTTAAATGGACTTCCATTTCCCATTGACACCAATGGAGGCAATCTTAATGAATCGTCCGATATTCAGCCAGCGTTCGCCCGAGCGGCGCCAGAAGGTGAAGCTTTCCGCAGCCTCCGGATAGCATTGATGATTTTCGTATGGGGGTGCTAGGTTGAGTTCAATTGGGATCGTTCAACCTTCGTCTCATCTTTATTCATGGGTCGGCGGGAGATGCTGTGCGAATGCGAAATGGAACAAAAAAGTCAAGCCGACAGGCTTTCCTTGGCACGTTAGAGGCGCTGAGCTTGTTGGCTGCCCGTCTGTATCGAGACTTCTCTCTCGCCCTACCGCCAAACTGGGACCCGTTGGGTCTATCGTGTCCGGCAATGGCAAGACCCATGCTGGAGGAACTCTTTCCTGCTCGCGCATGTCAACGATGTCAGCGTGCAGGCAGAACAGATCCCGAGATGTGGGATCAATAGAGTGCGTCTGTGTGCACCACTGTCTTCCTACACTAGCGAGGCGCCGTTGTTGAGCCGGATTCAGTTATACTTTGGACGTGCCACGCTACTGGCCCCCTTTTTGGATGTAGACTACAATCTGCAAATGTAGTTATCCTTTCGCTTAAAAACTATGCTTCACGGAAGCTGCAATCCCTTCTTCTTGATAGTTTGGGGCCGGGATGGCCTGGGCCTCCGGCGGCGTACCGAAGCTCTGGGCGGGCCGTTTTTCCCTTTGTTACTTTTTTTTGGCTTTGTTCTGAGTCTTATCGAGCACGAGTAAGGTTTGGCGACGCTCGGCGATGCGCGACAGGCGGTGGGATAATGCCAACCTGTCACAGGTGCGGGCTGCGACGCTGCTTGAACGACGTTTCAAGATGGCATATTATCAGCCCGTTGGAGAGTCAAGAGTCCAGAGTCCAGAGTCTAGAATGCAGCGGCAGCGACAACGTGCTCGACGCAGGACCAGACACTTTGTGATTGGGGATGTAACCCCCGTGCAAGACCCGTACTACCTAGCTGTGGTACGTGTGTACGCCTCAGCCACGAGTGGGTGGTGGGCTCATTCCATGACGTCTCTAGCCAAAGGGCTGACGCGGAATGCTGTGTTCTTGCTGGCGAGGGAGCGTTTCGATGTTCAGACGGAGAGTGGGAGGGCCAGCCCTAGCGGGGAGCCGCGCTGTGCCTGTATGCGCCTGGCAATGTAACAAAGATGAGCGCACGCACGGCATGGTACGTGGGCACGCAAGCTGCAGCGCAGTAACCTCGATCGGCTCAGCCACAGAGCGGATCGGGACTGACGGAGGCACCGCCTAGACTGCCCTTGGGTACAAGGATTTGGGGACCTGGAAGCCTGGTCGGCCCCCGAGCTGCCGGGATGTCAGACATCCTTCAGGTCGGCGCTCACTACTGTTGATAGCGCCCTGTCAGTGCGTCGTGGAATCCGGCAGACAGACGATCAGAGGATCAGAGATCTAGAGAACAGACGGGCGTACTAGACTACAGTATTGCAGACTGGCCGACTGGCAGAACGGGAGTGAGCGAGCCGGCGAGCGAGCCAAGCGAAGCGACTCGGGTGCTGACATCTGACAGCATGACAGCAATATCGCCAGACTCAAGATATGTCTTTGTTTGGCGAGATCAGCGGCTGAGAGAGACATTGTCTGAGCGAGTAGTGGGGCATGGCGCAAGAGGATGGTGTGGAGGGATGCGCATGGTGCTGAGTGTGCTGAACTGGCTGAGTGAGGTTCGTATGCAGCTATGGCAGTATGGTGCTTCGTACCGCTACTTGCCCGTCTCCCCGTCTGCCCGTTCTCTCCCCCCATTCCGCTGGGCAGCCATGGACCCAAGAAAGGTCAAGTCAGTGATCCCTGCCGAGGCTCCGTTCGAACCCTTCCCCCCTCTGGCCCCTCCCCTCCACGAACCCCTGCAGGACAGGAACATGGAGCCCCTTCGCAGGGATTGGGATTATTCCTATGAGCTGAGCACGTTCCTTTGTCACTCGCTCGCTGCCCGTGGCACTCTTGTCACTGTCTGGGCTGGGTTTACTACTGCTGACAGTGCTGAGGCTTTTCGACCTGCCCAGACAAATACAAAGCGATCGTCGCCGGCTTACACTTCTTGTGATAACTTTACTTGTGGTCTCTCTCACCTTGCCTTTCATATGAAATCTGCTTTGCTTTCACTTTACTTCTCTCTGCACCCAACGGTCCTTTAACGTCCATCCACCTTAGACGCTCTCTTCTGTTTTATGCTCCCGCGAGTCTAGGCTGTGTCATCGACCTCACCACTACACTCCTTGGTCTGTTTCAGCTGAGCTGATCATCTTTCTCGAACCTACCTACGGACGACGACTCGTCTGCTCTCATTTTTCTCGATTTCTGCAGCATTTCGTAGACCTCGCAAGATCTCCCAGCGCTTCGCATCATGTCTTCAGAATCTGGCCGGTCCGAAAGGGCGGGCTCAGTTGCCTCGTCCCACACTGAGACGGGCGGCTACGATGAGCACAATGAGAAAATGGCACCCCTCCGCGACGATGAGAGTCTCACCAACCTGAAGTCGCCGACATCTGTCTACCACGACAGCGATGAGCAAGAGCGCGAGGGCGAGGATGAAGAGCTTCTGCCACAGCAGCAGGAGAAGCCGGAGCCACCAAAGGGCAGCATGGCATCCTCGATAGTATGGATGGTCGTCAATACATTGGCTACTATCGGCATCGTGAGTACTTCCTGAGCAATGCTCGCATAGCGTCCATGGAGAGCGCCCCGGCTAACAGTCTCGCCAACCACAAAGGTCTTCGTCAATAAAGCCATCTTCTCCGACCCGTCACTGAAGCTGGCCCAGCTCACATTCGCCGCCTTCCACTTCACGATCACATGGTTCACGCTGTACATCCTGTCGCGGCCGCGCTTCGCCTTCTTCGTCCCACGGCGAGCCTCCATCCGCGATATCCTGCCGCTCTCTATCGCCATGGCCCTCAACGTCATCCTACCGAACCTATCGCTGGCCTTCTCGACCGTCACCTTCTACCAGGTCGCGCGGATCCTGCTGACGCCCTGTGTGGCCCTCATGAACTACGTGCTCTACCACCAGACTCTGCCCACCAACGCCATCGTGGCCCTCGTGCCGGCCTGCGCGGGTGTCGGTATTGTCAGCTACTACGACAGCCTGCCCGCCGCCGACGCGAACATCAAGACCACCAGCGGCCTGGGCGTCCTCTTCGCCTTCCTCGGCATCTTTGCCAGCTCCCTCTACACCGTCTGGATCGCCTCCTACCACCGCAAGCTCCAGATGAGCTCCATGCAACTGCTCTTCAACCAGGCCCCCGTTTCGGCCTTCATGCTGCTTTATGTCATCCCCTTCGTCGACACCTTCCCCGTGTGGAGCACCGTGAGCGTGAGCCGCTGGGTGATGATCTTGATGGTAAGTCTTGAATACACCACTGCTAAATTTTCTCCCAATTCGCCCACCCGCCATGCGTGCGCCGCTTGCTGCTGCAGCAGTGTAGTTCGTGAATCAATCAAACTCTATGCTCGCATTTAGATTTGATCTGCAAAGTCTTATCTCGGTCGCGCGCATGGCGAGAAACTCCGAGAATAGCAACCCGTGCCCCCACACACATCCGCCCCTATGGTGAATGACTCGACTGACATTTCACTCTATTCTAGTCCGGCGGCTTCGCCTCCCTCATCAACATCTCCCAGTTCTTCATCATTGCCCAGACGGGCCCCGTCTCCAGCACCGTTGTCGGCCACGTCAAGACGTGCTCGATCGTGGCCCTCGGCTGGGCTACGTCCGGCCGGGCTATCGGGGACAAGTCTGTCCTTGGTGTCATGATTGCTATCGGGGGTATCATGGCGTAAGTTTTACAATCTACGTCTAGAGTAACTGTGTTTTGACTTTGAGTGCTGACCATAAATCAGATATTCCTACGTGATGCTCAAGGAGAAGCAAAAGCAGCAGGGCAAATAAGCCCTCGACTGACTAGTTCGTTCAGCCGGCGTTATTTTTCTTTTGAACTTTTAGTCTTGGCATACAAGCTCGGATACCAATACAATATACCATAAGAATACACAAATGTCACATCACCGTCCTAGACTACAGGAGACGGGGATTTCTCTCATACGGAGAACAAAAAAAGGGGGGGATTTGGAAAGGGGGAAATTCAAACGAATCACTTCGGCAATATCCTCCAGTAGAATGAATGAACCTGACCCGGATAGATTGTCCACCGTGGTCTCAAACACATCCCGTAGACTATTGACTCCGGCCTATGCCTTGCTCCCATAGAATTGAGACGGCATGCGCCACCTGTGTTGACCGTCATGACTTGCGGCTGAATCTAGCCACCTGAACCAAGGGAGGGTGCGAGTAAGGGAGAGTGGGAGAATGACTGAGACAATAGTCCCCAATAGACGTATCCTGTAACAAGACATTTGGCTGGGAGGGAAAAAAATGGGTATCGATGTCTAGATTCTGTCTGCGCCGTCTACAGGTTGAACCTCGTCCGCACCTTCTCCATCTTAGCCTTCCACTCCCACGACAGCGCGTCCTCGCCCTCGCTGCCCGCCCGGCCGATGCCCTTGTCGACCCTGCGCAACTTAAGCGTGCACCTCGGCTGTTACAACACGTCAGCGATCCCATGTCTCATTCCATTCAGTGCCCTCTAATTTTTGCTTTTCGTTTCACTGGGGGTTCATGTGTGTTTGTGTGTGTGCGCGCGCGGTCTAGTGTGTGACGTTGCCCTGCCCACATGTTTGCACGTCGCAGCCGCCCGCCCGGTGGATCGTGCCGTGTTAAGCGGGCAGTTGGTGGTGTGGTGGTGGTGGTTTGGTTACGCAAGTGTCCACATGTTCGTGTACGCGTGTTGTGCGTGGAGAGTTACATGATCGGCAGCGGCCATGGGGGGGAAGGGAAAAAGTGTGGAGAAAATGTGTCGGCAGCTAGGGAGACAGGGGGGGGGGGGGGTTATTTGGTAGTGTGCACTTACGCCAAGTTCTTGCAGACCGACTCTTATCCCTTCGACGCCGTGTAATTCTTTCCCGTCGGCGGCTTGGACGCTCTTTTCTGTTTCCCTCCTGTCTCGGAATCTGTACGGCCGGTCATGTAAGCGCTCTGTCTGCAAGTCGTGCATGATACATCGTTCAAGGCTGGCGTCCACTACAGACACAGGCTCGCTACTCACATATATCTGTGCCGGCGAAGGAAAATGTAATCTCGTTGGTTGTGTAGTGTGACCACCTGCCGCATCTCGATATCAGGCTGAGGTGGGAACAGCGTCTGAAAACTCTTGGCTGCCAGCAAGCCGAGACTGCTCTTGAAGTTGTTGAGTAGCAGTTCCGGGTAGTAGGCATCCTGGGCTTTTCCGTGGCCGGGCAGCTTGGAACCCTCTATCCAGTTGTTGACGGAGTATGTCAGTGTCGGCCCTTGGGGCAGATGCACGATCGTGAGCCGGTTGGGCTTCTTCTGGTCCTCGTTCAACACCAGCACCGCCGTGTACTCCCTGTTGGAAGCGTACTTGCAGATCTCCCTGACGCTGTACTTGTGCCCGTAGCGATGCGCCGACCGCCGTATGTACTCGGAGTTGGGAAACAGCGACGTGAGGATCTCTGCCTCCTTGTGAAGAGTTGAATTGATGGACGTCGTGACGAGGACCTTGGGGGGTTTAGGAGGCTCGTCGCTGAATAGATTCGGGAACTTGGCAGACAGCACTGCGGGCGTCATGTCAAAGTTTGTGCTCGTTGTAGAAGGTGCCGCGCTGGGTTGTCGCTCTGCCCGTTTCGCCCGCATCTTCTCTATCCGCTCCTTCACAGCATCTTCGTCTGCCTCCTCGTCGTCATCGGAGCCCAGCATGCTGTCCACGTCGTCTTCTTCCTCGTCATTCTCATCCTCAAGAGGCTCGTCTGCGGCCGCGTTCTGCTCCTCTTCCAGCTTGCGCCGTTTCATTGCCGCCACATCAGCATTTGAATACAGATTTTCCTCGTCTGCTTCGTCCCATTTTCGTTTTTGGTCGAGGGTCCTGGTCAGATTTCGGGAAAGACGCTCTTGTTTTCGTTCGGGATCCTTGGCTTCTTCCTTCCTCCTGCGCATGCGCTCCTCGCGCTTCGCCTTGCTCGATGTTCGCTTGTCTTGAACATGGCGCTCCTGGCGATGTATTTTGTTTGCCGAAAGTTTTGAGCCGGCCATTTTCGTAATTGGGTGGAAATAGTCGTCTTGTCGATGCAAGGGAAAAGGTTCAGAATGAGGATGACGATCTCCAGAAATTTCCTGGAAGACTCGGTCGCTGATAAGATAAGAAATTGTTTTTGCCTGCCCAGAGATCCTTAGTTACTGAGCTGCTCTGCCCCTCACTGCAAGAGCTTCAGCATACCTTGGTACAAGCCCGACTAAGAGTGCCCAGGGTTTTGGAGAACCATTTTTGAGTCACCTTTAGCCTGGGGCTCCGTCACCTACATTTGTTGTCGCCGTTTGACTCAACCTCTCGACGTTGAGACTGTCAATTGCCAGTTTATGAAGGCATTTAAACTCGCCAATTCTCTCAGACCACTTGTTGGTACTAAGCCCGCCTCAAACTTCTGGAAAGTTACTACGAAACCCACAAGCGCACGACCATTTACCTCCTCCCACCCTCTACACAGAGCTGTGGAAACGAACAATTCAAACAAGAAAGACATGGCGACCCTCACGACAAAGACCGGTCAGACCATCGACCGGCAGGTCATGGAGTCCATGCTCCGTCGGCGCATGTTCTACACCCCGGCCTTCGAGATATACGGCAGTGTTGCCGGCCTGTTCGACTACGGTCCTTCCGGCTGTGGCCTGCAGGCAAACATCATCGAGACATGGCGGAAGCACTTCGTCCTTGAGGAGGACATGCTCGAGGTCGACTGCACCGTTCTGACCCCTCACGAGGTGTTCAAGACGAGTGGCCACGTGGACAAGTTCGCCGATTGGATGTGCAAGGACCCCAAGAATGGCGAGATCTTGCGGGCGGACCATTTCGTCGAGGCCATTCTCGAGGCGAGGCTGAAGGGCGACAAGGAGGCGCGTGGCCAAAAAGTGGAGGAGAAAGAGGCGGACCCAAAGAAGAAGAAGAAGAAGGTCAAGTCGGAGGCCGTCAAGCTCGATGATGCCGTGGTCAAGGAGTACGAGGAAGTGCTGGCTCAGATCGACAACTACGATGGCGATCAGCTGGGTCAGTTGATTAAGAAGTACGAGCTCAAGAACCCCGAGACTGGTGCCGAGCCTTCGCCCCCAGTACCTTTCAACCTGATGTTCCAGACTGCCATTGGTCCATCTGGCCAGCTGGCGGGTTACTTGAGACCCGAGACTGCTCAGGGCCAGTTCACCAACTTCGCCAAGCTCCTCGAGTTCAACATGCAAAACATGCCTTTCGCGTCTGCCTCGATTGGCAAGTCCTACCGAAACGAAATCTCCCCTCGGGCTGGTCTGTTGCGCGTGCGAGAGTTCCTGATGGCTGAGATCGAGCACTACGTTGATCCCGAGGGTGGCAAGAAGCATGACAGGTTCTCGGAGGTTGAGAACATTGAACTGACCTTGTTGGACAAGGAAACGCAGCTCTCCGGCAAGACGGATGTGAAGACTTTGAGCATTCGGAAGGCAGTCGAGAGCAAGGTTGTGGACAATGAAACCCTGGGTTACTTCCTCGCACGAATTCACCTGTTCCTCGAAAAGATTGGTGTAGACATGAGCAAGGTCCGCTTCCGGCAACACATGGCTAACGAGATGGCCCATTACGCTTGCGATTGCTGGGACGCCGAGCTACTGACCTCATACGGCTGGATCGAGTGTGTTGGTTGCGCTGATCGTTCGGCCTACGATCTTACGGTCCACAAGAACAAGACCGGCGCACCACTCGTTGTGCGCCAGAAGCTGGAGACGCCCAATGTTAGACAAGAGTGGACGCTTGAGTACAACAAGAAGAAGTTCGGCCCCGCATTCAAGAAAGACGGCAAGACCGTTGAGGCTGCCATAGAAGCGACGACACAGGAGCAGCGTGAGGCTTTCGCCAAGGAATTGCAAGAAAACGGCAGCTTCACTATTGACGTGCCCGGTGTGGCAGATGGTAAGGCCTCCGTTGGTAAGGACTTGATAGAGATCAAGTACTCTACGATCACGGAACACGTTCGGGAATATACACCAAACGTTATTGAGCCTTCCTTTGGTATTGGCAGAATCTTGTACTCTTTGCTCGAGCACAACTTCTGGACACGCGGCGACGGTGCTGATGAAGCTCGTGGCGTAAGTAGCGCTCTATCCCCCTCCCAAACCCCCAACCTCTCACCCACACCCCATATGGCATCCGGCTTACTGACATCACGAATTAATAGGTTATCTCCTTCCCGCCTACCATCGCTCCCACAAAGGTCCTCATCGTGCCTCTCTCCAGCAACAAGGACTTCAGCCCCATCGCGCGCAAGCTGGGCCAGAAGCTTCGGACGCTGGGCATCTCCAGCAGGGTGGACGACTCGTCCGCAACGATCGGCAAGCGCTACTCGCGCAACGACGAGCTCGGCACGCCGTTCGGCATCACCATCGACTTCCAGACCGTCAAGGACGGCTCCATCACGCTGCGCGAGCGCGACAGCACGAAGCAGGTGCGTGCGGACGAGGCCAAGGTCCTCGAGGCCGTTCGCGAGATGGTCACTGGCGCCAAGACGTGGAAGGACATCCAGGGCGAGCTGCCGGCCTTCGAGGCCCAGGAGCTCGAGGTCAGGTAATGTCGAGATCGACTAGAATGGGAAAAGCGTGAAGAAGAATTGTGTTAGGGTTTCTGTTGGTGGGTTAAAAGTAGGAACAAAGATGGTACAGCAAGGGGCGGCACACTCACTGATGTAGCTTTGCCCCGAGAATCGGTATAGATACCAAGAAAAATATTAGATCACATATCGTGCTCTTGGTAGGAAACGCTGTCTCTTGCTGTGAAACCACGATCCGGTAGTGCGTCCCTTTCGCTGACGAGGCTTACGTGCATGCTCGGTCGGCAGCCTTGTTCTTCTCGTTCCGCTGCGCTAGACCAGCGACATACCACCAGACAGATTGAGCGAAAGACTTGAATATTTGAGTATTCCGGAGATGTAGATCCCCCCAAGTTGTTGCGTGCTCTGTATTTTGCTTTGATTATGAGTCTTTGTTGAAGGTGTGCCGCATAATTAATGTCAAACTTTGCCAATGCTTTTGACAGCTTGCTGAGCTATCTTTATATTAGAACAAAACTTGACTCTGTGAACTCTTTGAGAGATAAACTCTTCCCATACATTACCATTCGCATGCGAGCATTTCCAATGAGTTGATACTTTTGGTATGTATTCTCGTTCTCTGAATCAGACTCCACTGGCCAGAGAATGAAATACACAGCACCATCTCGCAATACGAGAGCTTTGTTCTCCCCGTTGAGATCAAAGGGAACAACGCTAGATATGCCACACTCCATTGTGCAGAATCGGCGTCGTCGACCAAGTGGCACCAAAGCATTGTCCACGAAGTCCCTCACCGGCAGCATCTCGTCATCCTCCGCCTGGGGTTGATCACAAGCACCCGAAATGATGTTGAGTCTAAAAGCAACTCATAGCTGAAGCTAGGGCTGGAAGACATGGTGAGCCACATATCAAAAGACAGGCGATGATCGGGAAGTGAGTGATAGCTGAGGGCGTAAATTGGTCTGCAGATTCTGTCGCCCGTAGCGTGAAACAATTCATCATTGATGCACGTAAAATATTCGAGTTTGAGGTGGATCGTGATGAAGAGTTCAGTAATGTGGGCCGCTGACGGATTGTTTTCTTTCTTTCTTATTTTTTTTTTCTCTTTTAGTTTCAATCCAAACATTGTCAGCCTCTGGATATATCTCAAGAACTAGGATTTATGGCGCTAAGACTATTCAGTGCTGGTAGCTGCATGTTCCACAGCCACCTCATGGGTCTTTTCTGCCGCATGAGGGGCTGAAGGATGCTGACAGCCGAGTCAACATCTTCAAGATTTCGACCTGTCGCTTTTCGACCTATCGCTTCTGAACACGGAGTATAGAGTGGGTATGCGTCTCCTAAACACTGAAAAGCTTGAGGTCGTCCTGATCCGGGAAGATGCAATCCCGCCTTACGCTGTCCTGTCTCATACATGGGGAAATGATGAGGTTACGTTGCAGGATATGCACAACTTCAGCGCCAAGGACACGCCGAAGCGCAGTCCAAGTATCACAAAGATCATCGACGCTGCTAAGCTCGCCGCCTCCCAGGGCTATCGGTGGATCTGGATTGACACTTGTTGCATAGACAAGACCAGCAGTGCGGAACTCTCTGAGGCAATCAATTCCATGTACATATGGTATGAAAACGCTGGTGTCTGCTATGTCTATATCGAGGATGATACAAGAGGCCAGCAGGATGCAGACTCATATTTCCAAGATGATTTGGGTGCATGGACACTGCAAAAGTCCCGTTGGGTAACGAGGGGATGGACACTGCAAGAGCTCATAGCTCCAAAAGTGGTTCGTTTTTACACCAAGGACTGGGGATACATGGGGGAGAAGCGCGATCCATCCATTTGCGACGCCTTGACAAGAGCAACTGGTATTGAGACTGGAGTCTTGTCCGGCCAGATCACAGTGACAGAAGTCAGCGTCGCGAATCGAATGAAATGGGCGTCCAAAAGGCTGACAACACGGCCCGAGGATATCGCGTATTGCTTGATGGGTCTCTTCGGGGTTAACATGCCACTATTGTATGGTGAAGGTGGTGTGCGGGCTTTCATTCGGCTACAAGAGCAAATCCTCAAAATCACTGACGACCAAAGCATATTCGCTTGGCAACTACACTCTCAAGATGAAGATGAGACCATGTACGGACTTCTGGCCACCTCACCATCCTATTTCGAAGGCATCCGGAGCATATACCTTATGCCCACAGGGTTTCAGTCCAGCAGCAGCGTGCCGTGGAGTTTGACAAACAAAGGCCTTAATGTGCAGCTCTATATTCGTCCCGAGCTTGGAAACACAGAAGAGCAATACCTCGCGATCCTGGATTGCTTTCAGGCCCATGAGGAATCCCAAGACAACATTAATAATGAATTTCAGGCGTATAGTCCTGCAATCCGCTTACGCAGACTATGGGGAGACCAATACACACGAATTCGTGCCCACGTATGCGAGTCGGTTGGAGAACGTGCTAGGCATGGTGGCCACCACGAGACTTTCTTTGTCAAACAAAATCCAGCTCCAGCATTGCCCAGCCTGGGGATACACGATTACCCGCAGCTTGGGCAAGCAGTGCAAAACTGGAGGCTTCGCCAGGTTTTCCCCAACGACCTGTGGAATGGCGAAGCCGGGATATTTCGCTTAAGTCTTTTTCGGGCTCGTGGAATCCAAGGAATGTTCCGTTTCACGCGGTATCAACATACTCATCGACATTTCGCACATTTTGAACTCAGGGATGAGCACCTGGATGTTGCAGTCGTACTGCATCGGACAGTACGGGCAGATCTAGAAGCTGTATGCTTTCCCAGACCCTTGGAAGGACACACTCTGGAGCAGGCGTACTATAGGTTGAACCGGATTTGGACCGATGCATCTAGGGAAGAGCAAGACCGCTTATTTGGAGAGTATCAAGAGCGCATCATGGTCGTCCCGGAAATGATAAAATCAGTGAGGGCTGGCCGCGGTCTATACCTCCTTAATCTTCGTGAGAGGTTCGAACTAGAGACCGATCTGAGCGGCGTGCCAAGGCTCTGGACATCATTTGTCGAAAACCGTCGCGTGAAGTTGGGACTTGACGAAAGCGTAATGGAACTCGACGGTGTACCAGTGGATGAAAATTCTGTCAGAAAAGCACAAGCAGCCCTTCTTGAGGATTCAAGGCCTGAAAGACCTCGCGTTGAACTGATAGAGGACGAGCTTAGATCGCTCCTGGAGCCTCTAGTTCCGTGGTCACATTCTCAAAGTGAGACGTTCCGACAACAATTGAAAGACGGTGCCAATGATATGGGAAACATCGTTGGGGCTACTGCCAGCTTTGAACTTTGTCGAGCTGTTATTACCGGAAATGCACTGGAGCTAGAGGATATGCTGGAACGTGTGGATATTTCGGACATCGCAGGACCTGTCTCCACGTTTGAAGGCTTCCAGTTGATACATCTGGCAAGTTTGACTACTGGCCCTCGAATCATCTCAGCGTTGCTGAAGAAGGGCTTAGATCCTTTAGCAGTGACAGATAAGGGATTTAATGCATTTCAGCTGGCATCGATTTGTGGTAGAAGTAAGGTGCTAGCATGTCTACTACAACTAGCACCTCAGGTTGCGAAAGACCAGACCTCGACCTCAGAACATGAGGAACCCGTCTACGAGAAGGCGGTCTCGAGGTTCAGGCAATACTTTGGATCAGAAGGACACCTTCAGGATACTGCTCTTCATCTTGCGGCAGTACACTGCTCTGCAGGAGAATTCGAGAGCATCCTTGAAGAGATTGTGAAAGCCATTCGCATCCCGATATACAGATGGACCTCCTCAGAAATCACTCAAGAACGGGAATACCTCGTCTGTCTACGGAACAGCCTTGGAGAAACAGTCCTTCACAGAGCCGCTGCCGCAGCCAATCGTGAAGTCGTCAGGTTTATTTGCGAAATAGTACCTGAAGCATCGACCCGCCTAGACTCGATGAGTCGATCAACTCTGTGGCATGCAGCATACGGAGGGGATCGGGAGATCGTACGGCTTGTTGCAGCTGCACATTCCAGTTTCAGAGTTGCGCCATTACTGCATCTGTCTGATGAGAACGGCGTCACCCCGCTACATGTTGCATGCTGGAGGGGGCATGCTGATTGTGTCAATGAATTGCTGAACCTTGGAGCCACGTCACTCTCCAGAACGCGGGAGTTGAACCTCACGCCGCTCCACTACGCTGCACTATTTGGACACGATGATTGCCTCAGAATCATGGTAGACGGGGTCTGGCGTGGGACACGGCAGCTAGGGGACTTCAACATGGTAATGGACATGAGGGCCTCGAAGGAATCATTTGAGCTCTTCGCGCCCATCCACTTGGCGGCTGCAAATGGCTGGCTGAAATGCGTCCAAGTTCTCGCGTTGAATGGTGGATCAATATCGGCAACATCGTCCTTCTACTACGGATTGGCCCACGAAGCTACGAAGACTAGACTAGCAAAGCCGTTCAAGGGACTGGTTGCAGTTGTGCCGTCCACACCAGCCGAAATAGCAACAAGAGAAGGTTATGGGAATGTTTCCAGGTTCTTGGAAAATTTCAAGCTTCCAGATGCTGACAGCAGGACGGAAATAACTCTGATGGATTCGAAGTCTTTGGTTGAGGATTGGAATCGACACATGATCACTTCCACGGATAATGGCAGAGCAGATTAGAAGAATGGCTAATATTAGGACAATACAAACATAAAGTATTCAATCTTGATTGTGGACACTTGGACATGAAAATGACCGCCAGCAATACATGTGCAATGGAATCTTTCTCCAATATCCAACCGCATCCGAAAAGTGGCTACTTATGAATGCAACATTGACGACACTGCCGCTGACAGTGAACATTTGTTGGCAGCCAGATTTTGCAATTGTACCTCATGTTAGATAGTAGCAATAGCTAATGGGCTACAACATCTTTATTTACACTGCAGGTCAATTCCCGGCATAGACCGATGGCCTTCCTTCTAGCCACTATAGCAAGCACTTGCAATAGATACCGGTATACTAAACTGCATCATTCGAAATACCGGCAACACATCTACTCTCAACAAGCGACTGTAAGATAAGAGTATTGGTCTGTCTGTGAGATGCACCAATTGTTATCCCTGATACATTTGCTATGTCAAATGCATTCACTGCACGCATTATGCCCCCGCCTCCTTCAGATCCGCGAGTAACACGTAGAGTAGTTCAAAGAGACCTTAGTGCTAATGTCTTCTTTCGGGCCAGGGTCAATACCCTTCAGCACCTCAATGCAGTGGTCAGTGTGGTGGTACTCCAACAGCCGACCTGGGACACCCATGCTGGTGTTGCGCAGGATCCTTGTCATCATTTTCCAGATAAACTGGCAGTGGTAATCATGGTAATCCCATGAGAGCCACATGGCCTCCTCGATACCCAGCGCCGCGCGATCCTGCGAGATCTTCTCGCCGCCGATGCCGCCGCGCTCCCGCCACCACTCCGACTCGCGCTCCCGGTAGGCGACCTGGATCTCGTGATCGTAGCAAGGCTCGGGAACCCACGAGTATAGCACGAGGTCGAACTTGCAGCCCAGATCGCGCGCTTCCCGTGGCGACGAGCCACAGGTAGGCCCATTCTCCCTTGGCTCCTCGCCCAGCTTCAGCGGGGCGTCTAGCTGCCAGTTTTGGTAGAGATTGACGGGCTTGACGGCCGCTATTCTGACACTGGCTGTTATGCTGAGGACGACAAGGGAGAAGGCTATGCCGGCGAATATGCAGCACAACGTGTAAAGGATGTCACACCGTCGAGAAGAAGGCTTGATGATAGGCCGTCTGGTTTCATCGCTCTCGAAAGACGAAGAGTTGTCCTTGTAGGCCAGGAGACCTTCCTCCACCAAGTCGTCGTCCTTCATAGAAGCCATTCTCGGCAGAATTGTTGTTGTCTCTGCTGTGATTTGTAAGCATGTTAAATATTCTCGGGGGCGTTAGATTTGCATTTGTCAAGACGTACTAGGGCACCCAGGAACGTATCTGTCGAGGCACCTCACCCTAATCTAGACTGTAGGCGTGGCCAAATATGCCTATGAAATGAAAATGGATTTAGAGTGATCTAGATACAGAGTGCGACGGCTACTTGCTTGACGTGTGCGCTCTTTTCACCTATATCTTCCAAATGGTGTCTCCAGCCCGGAATCCTACTCCTCTCAAGTCACGCCATTTGCGCTTCTTCATGATGCCACGCTGTCCGCGTCTCGGTCCTTATTCACCTCCGGTAAACTGATGATTGACTCGGAGAAACAGGTAATCAGGTTGTTGTGATTTCCCGTCAAGTCCGAGAAGCTACCTAGCTACGTCGATCTGACCCGCTCTCCCGCTCTCCCGCAGTCCCACTTACAAGATCGGAATGTAGAACCGTTGGCGCTAACGGACTGGTTCGGTCTGAGAAATGATGGGGCTAACAACGACTTATTCGATCTGCCATCAGAAAGGAATTCCGAATGCGCCTTCTAATGCGCCTTCTAATGCGTGCAGGTGGGTACTCATCATGCAAGTCTCGGTAAGATGACGGAACTGGACGGAACGGTCTACGAGTGGGCTCGTCCGGAGTTGGACCCTGTTGAAAGGTACTGGCTTCATTTGCGTCAGAACTGGCTACCGACAGGCTGGCACCGCCCGGCTGCTGGATTTGAGCGTGGTTGATTACGGATTGGAGAATATTGATGAATTCGTCATTATCTAGACTCTGTACGAATTGTAGTGACAGCAATGAATTACCATCTTGGCATTGTCTTCTTCGCGTGGTCACAGTATACAATGTTTTCGTAGCCTCAGGCGTACCTTGCTTAGCGGAGACGATACTCAAGTAGATCATCATTTTGGTAACAGAATTGACATACAGTATGTGATAGTTCAACGCGAGAATATATTATCAGAAAATATGGTGGAATCTTTTTATTCCAGACACAATACCGAACCTGTTTGAGCTACTTTGCGAAAGACGCGCTGTGCTGCTAAAATATCGCTAGCCTGCGTCTCCAAGTGAATCTTGCCATTTGTGAATCAACAATTTGCCCACCCTTCAGCAAGTCATAAGCTCAACCGTGATTTTGGTCATCAGGTCCTCCATATCTCCTTGCTGCATCTGGACGTAGCCACAGTGCATCGTGTGGTGGTAGTCGGCCAGCTTGTTCTCAATCTTAGTACCCCTCTCCATCGCCCGATGCATCTTTCGCCACTGGTAAGAGCAGTGCGTCTTGTGATACCTGAGCGAAGTGTAGTACTCATTGCCCTTCCCGACGCGGTACTGCAACTCCTCTTCGAACAGCTCTTGTGTCCCCTCCCTGTCCGCGAAGTATGTCCATGGCCCCTGGGCTCGGAAGTCCGCTGTGAGTTCCTCGTCGATGCATGCGGGGGGAAGCCAAGCCGCTGCCAGTAAATCCCAAGTGCAGTTCAGTGCCTGTGCTTCAGCAAGGGTGCTTCCGCAGGTAGCAACGGTGTCGTCATCCTTTGATTGTGGGTAAGGGGAGTGGTCAGAGCTGCTAGACGGTCCCAAGTGCTCAAAGAGATGCGAGTCTGAGTGGTCATGAGCTGGATGACTGGGGTGATCTTGGTGGGAGTGGTCGTATGCGGCCATTCTGATTGCTTGATCTTGAATCCGGCCAGGCCACCAGACGATGCCAGCGATGCATACCGCCATCAATCCAGTAACAACGATGCCCGAGATGAGGGAGCGGGTTCTAGTTCCCCGAGAAACCCTCTCTACCTCATCTGCCCGTGGGTACTCATTGGATGACTCCTCGTCCCTGACTCCGACCTTTTCGTAAACTCGCTCGGGCTTCCACTTCTGCATGGCGAGCTGCTTGAGAAGGGGAAAAGATGTGTTTGGCTTCGACATATGGTGTTTATTCAATGTGAAGTATGTCTTGCCAATATGTTAGTCATATATCCTCACGTACTACACACATTCGAAGTAGCAACTGACCTTCATCAACGAGAGAGGGCTATCGTGAAGCGATGGCAGATTCTTGGGCTCCAACAGGCTTTGCCAATACTTGTAACTTCGTGCTCTCTAATTTTGATACGGCACGGCTTCCATCACATTGATAAAGCTATCGTGAACCAAAATGTGGCGCCCGAAGACCGGGTCGGATCTCGTGAAATGTGGACTTGACAAAAGCCCCTCACAAACTTCCGAGTCCGACTGTCAATTGAGATGGCTTATGCACGTCTACTACATTACCGGATGAAGCGACCCGCTGGAGTGGCAAGTGTTGTGAAATCCGAGTGCATACTGAGATTTCCGAGCTCATGCGGGGACACTGGGATCTAATCCGAGAGCGAAATCCTGCTGCAGATGACGCCCTGAGAGACTGGAAGAACGTGGGACCAAACAGAATGCGCCAGAGCAGTCAATCAACCAAAAGTCATTTCGAAACGCTGTATTGAGGCGGAAGCAGGCTGCAAGACTCTTGATTCGACGCATCATGGTGCTCTCGAGTTGTGTACCACTGCCAGTCTGATTTGCATCTCGAGGCGGAACACAACCCTCACTGGCTTCCATAACTCCTGAGCAGCGTACACCTAGCTTGTTCTATGCCTAGCAAAATTTGATCGCATCATACTCACCAGCATACGGTGTCTTTCTTTCAGATGTCGTTGCTTTCCGACCCCTCGCCCTTGAGAGGGGCGAGGAAGATGATATTCTTTCTGGCCCTAACTGGGGGTCTCGGAGGGTAAGTGAGCCTACTGCAGCGCTCAGCTGCAATTTTATAGCCCTTCTGATCATGAGAAAATTGTAGCTTGCAAGGAGTGTTCTCAGTTCAAACGGCCATGGGGTCAGTAAGTCTTCATGTAATTGTCCAGTCATCTAACTGACTTTACGCTAATTGGAATATAACAGCCGTACCTCATGTCCCTGGGATTCAGCAAGCCGCTGATTCCCTTCGTCTGGCTTGCAGGCCCACTTGCCGGTGTGGTTGGGCAACCATATTTCGGCCTGTGTAGCGACCAGTGTCGTATCCGCTGGGGTAGGCGAAAGGCTTTCATTGCAGGAGGTGCCATCGTCATTGTATTTTCCCTGCCTGCGCTGGCGTGGTCAGCAGAAATTATACACACGATTGCGTGGATTGTAAGCGAAAGGCAGGATCATTATGTCCTGCAAACGATGATCAAGACAACAGCTGCTATCCTCATATGGGTCCTGAACTTCGCCATCCAGCCTCTTCAATGCGGGCTCCGTGCTCTCATTGTCGAGGCTTGCCCCCCGGAGCAGATGGATACCGCCAACGCGTGGGCTAGTCGTATGATCAGCATAGGGAGCCTACTAGGCTATGGCTCGGGTTTCGTGGACCTCTCGCAACTGATGCATATTGGAGGCGGGCACACGCAGTTCAAGACCCTTGCCGTATTAGCGGCTTGCGGCTTGGCCGCCACGGTCTCTGTATGCTGTTGTGCGATCCGGGAGCGAGATCCAAATGAGGATGGGCCGCCTAGCAAAGAACTCAAGAGCATGGTTGGCAAAGTTAAGCACATATACGGCAGTATTTTCAAGATACCGCCGCAGGTTGCTATGGTTTGCAAGGTACAGCTTTGTTCATGGATAGGATGGTTCTCGTTCATGTACTACATTACGACGTAAGTTGTGTTCTCAGCACTTCTCTGCTTCAAAATCACAGCTAAAATGGCTCGAATCGACGACAGATACATTGGTGAAATATGTAAGCAACTCTGGTGCTCTCATTGTTTTCGTTGACTCGAACTTACAAGAAGCAGATTTGAGAGACATTCATCCTGTGGACCTCGCAGCCCAGAAAAGGGCAAATCAACATGGGTCGCTCGCACTGCTCATGTTCGCATTTGCTCAACTAATTTCCAGCATCATAGCCCCCTCTCTCATCACCAAGCCAGAGCAGGACTTACACTCAATCCCAGACACATTCAGCACACGTAGGACAGCACTACCCCGATTCCTAGCCAGGCAGCTCAGCACGTCCTGGTCCTCATTGTGTGGCCTATGGGTGCTCTCACACGCCATCTTCGCAGCTTGCATGTTCAGCACGATCTTCGTGAGCAAAAGCATCGTGGCCGCCACCACATTGGTCGCATTCGTAGGCATCAGTGCCGCATTGTCGCAGATTGTGCCCTTTACTCTAATTAGCCTCATCCTCTCGCGGCACCATGAGCGAGCCATCTACCGCGCCCCTTCCTCCGATCTCTCGCATGAGATCACAACGGAAAAGTCCACGACGAATTATGAGACCCAGCCCGGTATTGTCATGGGCATACATAATATGTCAATCGCAGCCCCGCAGCTGATTGCAGCTTTGGGAAGCAGCGTTATTTTCTGGATGCTCGGAACCGATGGCCATGGCGGCGACGAAAGCAGGAGCACCGCCTGGGTTCTGCGTGCGAGTGGCCTTGCGGCGTTAGCTGCGATATGGATGACTCTGAAGTTACGGGATAGGGGTTGAGGATGAATTAAGACGGCTATGTATTCAATACATTGAAGAGTACTTGAAGAGGGCCGACAACCAAGTTGTGGTGTAAGCTGCTTTCTGGCACTAAGTAGTTAAAGCTGAGTCTTTGCATGGAACCGCATTAGATAGAAGGGATTCTGAGCAAATATATACACTTTTGCAAGACCACTGCTATTCTCACTGCAGAATAAATCACACTATCCCTCAAATTACGAAACACACTCTGATTTTATCAAGCAACATGATTGTACGCAATGTCCTAAGCTCCTTTGACGATCGACTTGACCTTGAATCAACCATCAGTGATGTTGCTCGTAGATATGTAAGCAGCAATAGTCAACCTATGCATCATGATCATCTCCAATTCAAATTACTGTCTCTTTTCACCCTATGAACTTATCTATAGTTTACATGTGGACATCAGTCCAGCTCACAAAAAAAAACGTTCACAGAGCTCGAATTAGCTGGCAGTATAATCAACGAAGAGTCCACTTCTATGGCCAAAAAAACCAACATATCGAAACTTTTGAGAGTTTCATCTTTGAACACAATGTAATATTCCATTAATGCCATAGACATAATTTCTCGCACAACAACGGCCCCGACAAGTCTCGATCTTAGCTTCGAGGCAAAAACGATGGACTTCACATTGCACGGCATCGCAAAAGTTCAACCTCAGCATTTATATTCGCATAAGTAATATCAAGTCCATTCTCATCATCAATCATCGCTATGTAATCTGTTACCGATAAGCGTCCACAAACTCTGCCCGACTTCTTTGTGCTCTCTAAGACCGGCACCTGGTACAACCGTCTTTCGCAACAACCTAGTGCTCGCAATCCAACCCGACACCTGGGCCAGTAGACTGGCAGGAATGAAGTTCAGTGTTGAGGACTCTGGAATTTTTTCATTTGTGAGCAATGACATCCAAGCGAACACTTCACGGGTGAAATACTTACGGGAAGCGATAGCAATGCTCCTCTAGTAGTCAGCGGTAGCGACGTTCCTCTTGTCAGAGGTAGCAACGTTCCTCTTGTCAGAGGTGGCAACGTTCCTCTTGTCAGAGGTGGCAACGTTCCTCTTGTCAGAGGTGGCAACGTTCCTCTTGTCAGAAGTAGCAACATTGCGTGTCTCAACATCGCTGGTAGCCACGTTTCTGGCCTCGACGTCGCTGGTCGCAACATTACGGGCCTCAACATCGCTAGTAGCGACATTGCGGGCCTCTACATCGCTGGTAGCCACGTTCCTCTTGTCAGAGGTGGCCACGTTCCTCTTGTCAGAAGTAGCAACATTGCGTGTCTCAACATCGCTGGTAGCCACGTTTCTGGCCTCGACGTCGCT